TCTCAAACTTACAGGAGCAACGCAGGATGATCGGGTCGCCGGATGGGACCTTGTTGGAGGGCGATCTTTCGTTAGACGCACGGCTGGATGCACTTATCGCGACCGAGCAAGAAGGTGCACCCTTACCAGTCTTTGGACTAGACGAACAGATTGCGAACAATATGATCGAGAATTGCATTGGGTATGTACAAAATGTAAAATAGACTCTGATTTTTCTTCCCATTTGTCAGATGCTATGCGAACACAAAAAAGCCAAGTCTAACTAAAGTCAACTAATTTTTTTATATGTACGTGTCATACGAACTATAACGACAATGGCAATGGATAAACAGCACGATGGGGCTGCCATTGGGCCTAGCCTTCAACTTTTCGATCAACGGCTCGCCGCTTGTGATTCCCATGGCCATCGAAGAGCCTTCAGTTGTGGCTGCAGTCTCGAGCGCAGCCAAGACCATCTCGACCTATCAAGGGTTCCAGGCTTGGGCGCCCGAACGTAATATGATCGTCGCACAAGTACAGTTAATAGATATTCAGGACAATGACATGGACCAGGTTATGGCCAGGATGCAGCATCGGGAGAAAGTCATTCGGGAGGAGGCGAATGAGTACTGTACGAACATGGTACTTCGCGGCGGAGGCGTCCAGAAAGTAACCTTCCATCGAGTCCGCAGACATGCCAGTCGGGAAAGCTTTCAAGGGCAGGATTTGTTAGTCAAGTATGGGGTTGTATCGGCCTCTACTCTTCCGAAAAGGACGGAGAGAGGAATTACCTCGCAGGGACGGTGTTCAGAATGGCTGGTGGTGCATTTGCATATTGATGTTGGAGATGCAATGGGCGCCAATTGTGCAAATACGGTCGCGGAAGGGGTGGCACCGTTCTTGTCGAAATTAAGTGGAGGTCGAGTTGGAGTCCGGATCCTCAGTAATCTGAACGTTGATCGTATCGCCAAGGTAATCACCAGCGAAACACTTTGTTCTCTGTTTGCCTATGGGGTTTACTGGACTTGAAATTGATACATATATATTCTGTGTATTTGGATTTTCGATATTAGTCGATGTTCCGTTTGCCGTTCTCGCATATGGGCTACAAATCTTTGTCGGGCAAGGACGTTGCTGTCCGGATCCTGGAGGCCTATGAGTGGGCAGATCTCGACCCTTATCGTGCAGCGACCCACAACAAAGGGATTATGAATGGTATTGATGCGGTCGCATTGGCGACGGGACAGGATTGGAGGGCTGTTGAGGCAGGAGCGCATGCGTGGGCCAGCGGTGCGGGCACCTATTCAGAACGGTCCACAGATGCCTTCTCATCACCGTTGTTATCTTCATCTGCGAACTCGCCTGCGTCTGGAAGAGCGGCCTTCTCGTCGAATGGGACCAATGAAAACGATAGCCATACGACAGCTCGGAAGAGACAGTTTGGCAAGGATGGCGATGGCGATCAGCAAAGCAGGATCTCTCGGGGTGATGCATACAAGCCCTTGACAAGATATTGGATTGAGGAGGACGCGGAGCGATTGAGGCAGGGGTATAAGGGTCAGGATGCACTGGTGTTCTGTGGAGAACTCGAGATACCCATCATGGTTGGGACCAAAGGAGGCGTTTTGAGCACGAACCCCGTCCATGCTTTCACTCTTGGAGTGATGCGATACCCCGACTCAAAGCAGCTCGCCATGGTATGTCTTGCGCTAGCAATCCGCATGAAAAAAAAAAGTTTGCTCCGCCATCTTATCATATTATATAGTGTTATCTAACCATAGCACACTCCTTCTTTTCTTTTTCTCCGAAATATTGCTGTCTCTGTAGGCAATGGTGACGGTGGGGTTGGCACAAAACTTTGCGGCACTACGTGCGCTGGTAACTGAGGGTATCCAACGCGGACATATGGCCTTGCATGCGAGGAATATCGCCATCTCTGCGGGTACGCCCCCTGACTCAGTTGACGAGGTCACGGCCTATATGATCGATACAGGAAAGATCCGACTTAGTGCTGCAAGGTTGTATATTGAACAACGTCGTCTTGCGCTGTATACTGCAGGAACTGGCATCGGGATCGGGATGAGCGTTACTGCTGCGAATACTAGCAGTGTTAATCTTGGAAGCGAAGGCACGAGTGCAGCGACGAATGGTATGGATGGTATGAACGGCACGAATCATGGCAGTAGTATCCATCATGGCCCCAGTAGCGATGGAGTAATTTCAGATGCACAAGCAACCGAGAGATCACATTAGGAGCAACAGAAAAACTAAGTGACTGACAGCAAGCTAATACTAATAAAATCAAGGACTGATTGCGCGCACATAAAAGTGTTGCCACCAAACAGTAAAGCAGCAAGGGCAACAGCAATCGATCATACCATGGCGTGCATTTGAGCAGTTGAGCAATTGAGGCCTCTTTCTATCCCTCCCTCTCTTATTTTCTCCCATATGCCACACTACTACTGCTTTCACCCCCTCTCTTTCTTCCTTTTCCATCTTAGACATCAACTCTCTCAGTCCCGCTTTTACTCTTACTCCTTTAACATATGGCACTACCACTGCTTATTTAATTGCGTCAGCTGCAAGGAAGAATCGCACTAGGTGGATATTCTGTGCCTTTCCCAAGAAGTATGTCGCGTCGCAATGGATACACTGACCCTAACTGACTTTTATTATGGACTCCAAAAACTTATTTCCTTGTTATTCGTGAATCTACAAGGGAACGTCAGGTTACCAGGGGCCGGAAGCTAAGCTAAACGAGCTTTCACCTGGGTGGAAAGGGTCTATATTCCTGAGCTGGATCAACCCTACAACACCGGGCTTCTTTCTTCTCGCGCTAGGATGCATGGACACATATTCTGAGTTTAATATAAACCCCAAGGAGGTCCGAGTGCCAGGGACGCATTGTGGAATGCTGCGCCCAACGAAATAAAGGGGGGATAAGGTTTTAAGATAAAATAAGAATGAGAAAAAGGGGGAAAAAGTTTGGATCAGTGGCCACACTGGTTCATGGCCGCTCTCCAGGCTTCAGGGAGTTTGCCGGGTCCACATGTTACCAAAGGCAACACCTTCCTTCTTCGCGATAAACAAGGACGAGAAGACGTACTGTACAATTCTGTTGATTTCCCCTAAGTCAAAGTCGACGCTCGGATGCAGTGCTGTTCACAAAATGCTTCAATGTTCGGCAAGCTGGGTTATCTTTTTTTGAATAGCTCGACATACATTCATTCAATCCCTCTTTCCCCCCACATAACTCGCGTAGCAATGTTCTTGGATGTTGAGAATAAACCTACACCGTTACAGCACGTCTGCACTGCTTCCTGATTTCCTACCTTTTTTTTTTCTGTACTTGTCAATGAAGCAAGTTTGACGCTATGCTCAAAATCATATCATTTATTTTCTACTTTGTATGCTCGATCTTTACTCTGTGCACTGCCTGCAGCCGCATAGGCACGCTCCGAATGAGAGCACGACAGAAACCTTCCGGAGAGGTGTAGGGAACTAACTTTGTAACTGAATCTTCAGATAGACTCTGCGAGCACGAATTTTTGCTTCTCCAGCACGTGCTGGAGGAAAAACAGGCATGAGCTGCATGCAAAACCATTTGGCGAACCAGCACAAACCTTTTGTGGAAGCAGCACAAACCGTTTGGTGAACCAGCACAAACCTTTCGTGGAAGCAGCATAGGCACAATTAGCGTACATGCAGGTTTATATTATTGTTTGCTAACACTTCACCAACTCATCTTTCCTCTCATTTTTTCACTTTCAACCATTGTACTGCAACGTAACAATCAATTTTGTCGTCCCCGTCTTCGTCCTCGCAGACCATTAAGTGTTCGTCCATGAGCCTTTCATTGGTGCAGTCCTCATCATGGTAATTATCGTCGACATCGTCGTCAAAAGAGAAATCATTGTCATATTCGTTCTGACTAGCCATTGCAAAATATGTCTCAAGTGGAGAATTTGTGTGTGTTGCGTGGAAAAAGGCGGCACGAAGAATTTTATTGAGAATGGACAAAAGACAAGAAGACTCTGCTATGTGAATCCAGTATGTACGCTGATTGTGCCTATGCTGCTTCCACGAAAGGTTTGTGCTGGTTCACCAAACGGTTTGTGCTGCTTCCACAAAAGGTTTGTGCTGGTTCGCCAAATGGTTTGTGCCTGTTTTGCATGCAGCTCATGCCTGTTTTTCCTCCAGCACGTGCTCCTTTTTTTTTCAGCTCAGATCTCTGTGCCAGGATCCATGAGTAGGGCGATTGTTATCCATGCTGTGTTCCAGGCTCCAGTCTACAATCCAAATAAACCATATTCATTTTTTCTTCTTTGAATACATGTCGCGCTGCCTATCCTCTTGAAGATGGAGTCTTGACGTGTGCGCTTAAGGCCCGTCATTTGCAAATCAGATCCTGATGCTTAAGGATAAGCAGGTCTTGGATGGCGCGTAGCACAGCGCATTATAAATCATTCCATCTGCTCTGCTCTCTATCGACTGTCGCTGCTTTCGTCTACTCTGCATATCCTCCTGCTTCCCATCCTTCCCGCGGCTGTTCACAGTCAGCTACCAAAAGCCGTTCAAATCTAAATTGGTTAATGATCTTATCTTTCTGTTGCGGAATACTTCATTACGCAAAGATCAAAGCACCTGGCCATCTGTTCTAACCGAGTTTCTATTAAACAGCTCCCTCGCCTCGCCCTTTTTCCTGCTACAAACTTTTTCGCGCTGTCATACAAGGCATTCGACGTATGTATTCGCCTTGTTAACGAAAAAGATAACGAACTTTAACATTGACGTGATACTTCCCTGCATTGGTAATCCACTTTAATTGCAGAGGGCGAGGAGGAGGATTTAAATGAGAGCAGAGACGAAGATGACGATACGATGAGGATCAGGGCAGACTGATAACAAACGTATTGAAATAAAAAAATCATATTAGCTTCACCGCTTTCTGGCGAGGACCTCATCTTGTTACAGAAAGAAAAAGTCGAAAAAATACCCACAAAGTACAAGTACTTTTTAGATGGGGGTTACTTCTCTGTACCAGGAATTGAAAAAGCATGGGTTCCCGTCAAGCTTCGTCGACCCAAAATCGCTGGCGAACGCACAGTTTGAGGTGGATTTTCTTGGGTCATTTTGATGACCAAAAACTATAGCGAAGGCCGTGCGTTCGAAGTAGGTCACATCATGGGAAAGAAGCTGTCTGAGACTTTTGGGCCTTGCAAAGTGAACCCCAAGACCGGCCTCCAGCGCGATCGGGATCACAACGCTGGCCAAAACATGGTTAACACTACCCTTCAATGGGCAAAGGACTTTAAGTGGCCCGACGCACGGAACCGGCGACTTGTCAAGAGGCAAGAAGCACCCATTGATATGGAGCATACTATTATAGCTAGTAAGTTACTCCTTCATTCATTGCCCTGTAAGTCTATAGTGCGCCACAGGAAAGCGATTTCTTTGCTACCTCAACCTTTTGTTTGGCATTCTTTTTATTAGTTAAAATGGTAAAATAGTACTGTACATGGTTGCGAAGAAGATAAAAAAAAAAAAAAAAAATGCGATGATTCTTATTTTGATATGAAAAAGAACCGCTCACAGTTCACGCCGAGGCAAGGGATAAGGTAAAGCCTGCGAATGACGACGCGACGGAGACTTTGGCAGCGGCAGAGGTGGAGACCAACTATCCCGAACAGAAGCTGAAACAGACGCCGACTGAGGTTGAGGAGGCGAATGCATATGCTGGTCCTCCAACATCCTCGGAGATGGCGATGTGGATCCTGCTCCCGACAGCGCCGTTACCATTGCTGAAGAGCTCAACAACTCAGCCCCCGATCCCCTACGATCAGCTCCTACTCCAGATGCGTCTCCGCCAGAGGCACTCAATGCCATCAAACTAGCCAACGCAGAAGTCGTTTTCAGGTCTGCTGACAATGCGGCCGCTGTAGCAGTTGAGGTCTCTGGAGTGGGACCGGTCGGTCCAGACCCAGAAGCTGAAGGAGTTCCCAAGGCCTGATCCAATCCACTCAAGACCGCCGCTGCTCTGCCCAGAAGCATTGACAGATGTGACACCTCTCTCTGAAGATCCTGACGTGTCTGCTGCAACACCTCGCTATTAGCAAGAGCCGATACAGCCGCTGCTGGTGCCGGCACTTCTGGTGCCGGTGCTGTTCCAGCTCCTGACGGTGGAGGCAGTCCACTCGACGAGACTCCGTTCATGGGTAGCAGAGGTGGCGTTGAAGAAGATTGACGCTGGTGCGATGAGTAATGATGCTGCTGTTGATGATGCTGTTGAGGATGACGATGATGGTGGTGGTGAAGTTGAGTACTATGATGATGGTTACGGTGTGAATGGAGCGACCCCGTTTCTGATGGTGAAAACTGTTGCAAAATTTCAGATGCCCTAGGAAGTGGCTGCTGCTGATGACGGTGGTGGTGGTGGCCATTACTCGGATGATGCGGTGACGGCAATGATATCGGTGGCAAATGTGCAGGCTCACTCGATCTTCCCATGCCGCTACGCTCGCTGCTTCCATCGCGATGGCTGGGATCCACGAACGAAGGAAGCGAGTGACGATAAGGGTCTGCATATCCAGAGCCGCCACTCGAGGTCGTGGGTCCAGGTCCAGGTCCATACGTACGCGAGTGAGGAGGAGGAGATTTCGACATATGTGGCGACTTTCCGCGATGATACCCTCCATGCGGGGACCTCGATGTGCGATAGTGCTGTGAATAAGGGTCGATCGGGCTAGGCGATCCCTGCCGAGGATAGAGTGGCGGTGAATGTGGGCTAGGCCCCGATGAATGCACGACACCCCTCGACGATAGTCTGGTATTAAAGGATGAGGATGACACGGTCGCGTATCCGGGCAGACGCTGGTTCCACCCTGACGAATAAGACGAGAACTGGGAGGACGGGTGCATGCTATCCTCTATATCGTTCGGGTGATGACGATGCCCATGTAGTCCTTGATATCCCTGCATGGTGATGTCGTGAGGGTGGTCGTCGTCCTGGGGATGACGGTGTTGAGGACGCTGATAAGGCGGCGTGTGCTGGTTCCGAGGCGGTGGCGGAGGGTGGGTTGGATAGCGCGACATGGACATGGATTGCGTCGACTGGTATTGACCATTGCCCTGGTGCAGACCAAGCAGATAGCGGGACGATTGAGAGCGACTAGGTGAAGAGTGATGTGATGTATACTCATGGACAGGACCCATCGGCTCCTGGGATCTCGACAAGTGCTGAGGCTGATGATAGGGCGACCCTTGACTCATCGATGAGTATCGTCTAGAGCCGTAGTGATGGTCGTCATGGTCGCTCCTCTCCCGTCCGTGGTCATCACGGTCATGGTCATGGTCGCGGTCATGGTCACTGCTGCCCATGTTCTCTAAAGGTGACATGCTATGGCGCGCCTCCGGTGTCTTGTGCGTATGGTTGTGATGCGGCCAACCCCTGTGTCCGTTCGCAATTCGCTTAGGCAAGATATAGTCTTCAATTGCTGGGACAACCTTTGACTCATTCGTACTCTGGACACGCCGACGTTTGGTAGCGGTACGACCCTGCTTCTCTGCCTGGCTGTCGTTATCGCTGGGGTCGACCTCGGATGATGTAGGGGCTGCTGGGCTATTGGATGCATGTTTTGGGTGCAATGACTTTTGCAACGATCGCTTTTGTCCCCCCTCCTGCGGCTGTTGTTCTTGTTGCGCCTGCTGCTGTTGCTGACTGGTTATTGGCTGCGTTGATTGTTCCTGAGATGCCGGTGGTGGCGAGCTGGCCGTAACATGGACGCGCTTTCTCCGCTTGATTACAGCTCTTTTCATCGTCACCGGTCGGTGGACATTATGCAACTTGAAATAGAGTCCGCATGCATTGCAGATGGTGTTGCCAAAGCTATCACGGCGCCAGAGAGGTGTTGTTGTCGTTCTGCAGTTGGCACAGACCAGGTTCTGACGGTTGGCCTGGTGCTGATTGAATGATGGACACCCGGCGCATGACTCAGCTCCTCCAGCACCGTTACAGTTGCCATCTCCTGGACAGGTTCCTGCGCACTCGCTGTCATTGGTATTGTCCTTCGCGCCTCCTGCAGCAGTCGCTGAGGCAGATTCGCCCATGGCTGTAGATGATTCAGCATTCCCGCGCTCGTCAGATTCTTCGGCTCCGTCCTCCGATGTATCTCCTTTTTTGTTCGCGGCGCTGCGTTTGAGCCATGGTGGTCGCGTTAGATTCCTGGCCTTGAAGTAAAGACCTATGTTCCATATGACAGAAAACACAAAAGACCCATTGTATTAGCTAACCTTGCCAACACTATATATTCACCTTGTTGATTCCCTGTTGCGGTAGTGATTTTATCGTTTGGGTGATGGCCATGTTTCCTCAAACATCCCAGCGAAAATAATAGTAATAATGATAATAATAATAGTAATAATGGAAAAGCAGTTGAGATATCATACCACAAGCATTGCAGATCGTCTGGCCGTTGGTGGCGCGCCTCCAGAGCGGTGTCGTGGTAGTGCCACAGTTGGCACAGCTTGTTGCGGTCACGCCAGCCTTCTGTTCCTTTTTGGCACCTGTGTTTTCAGGTAAGTTCTCGGACGGTTGTCGCTGTGGTTTTGGACTAGCGGATACATGCTGGGATGTTGCATGGTTCTCGGACGAGGTATTCCAGGGTTGGATCGACTCTGAGTCCTCTGTTTTCATATGGATGGCCGTATCGGTCGTATCTTTCGATGAGGTAGTTGTTGTTATATCAGGACGGCTCGTGACAGTGCCTTTGGATGAAGACAGCATGAGAAGCGACGAAGTTGCAGCACTGATAGATGCCGAGGATGGAGAGGGTGCAGAAGAGGATGCAGTGGTTGACGGATAACCATATGCGGCAGCGTAGGGTTTCGGCGAGATGATGCTTGTGAGAATGGTGGAAGAGAGCGAGGAGAGGGGAGCAGAGGTGGAGAGTCTAGATTTGAGTGAGGATGAGAGGGCGTTGGATGTGGGAATCGAGCCACTGTTGTCCATGATGTTGTGAGTATGATGGTTTTGAGATAGAGACGACGGAGATGGGTCCGATGTGGCTGCTGTTGTAGGCGCAGGTGAAGAAGAGGAGGTGGCGGAGACCGAGACCTCGGGTGGAGTAGATGATTCGTACGCACCAGAGGAGGAAGAAGGTTCTTGTTGTGTGACAGTGTGTGGATCATGATCAAGAGACTGATCCTTTGTGGCGGATATGGAGGTGGATATGAAGGATGATGAAGAAGGTGTCGAGTGTTCCTGGTCTCCTGTGGCTGCTGTTGCTGCTGTTGCTGCAGAGGCAGCAGACTCGGCATCTGCAAGAAACATGTGAGCAGACTGCCCCGGTTCGAGTATTCCGTCCGAGAGAGAGAGGAAATGTACGTGTTAAGGAGAGTATGTGAGAGTGAGAGAGTGAGAGAGGAAGTGAGAGTGTATGTGGAAGTGGGATGTGAGGGTGAGGGTGAGGAGTACAAGGGGATCGAGCAAAAAAAAAAAGAAAAAAAAGAAAAGAAGAGGTTAGAATGATTGCTTCGATGAGAGCAAGCGAGTGAGCGATGAATGCGTGATGAGTAAATGGGCGAGTGAATGAGAAAGCGATGGGAAGGAAAGAAGGGAAGGGAGGGAGTTTGGCTGGGTGAAGCAATCTCGGATTTTTTGTCCGAAGTTGGGAAAAAAGGAAATAGCAGGCAGGAGTAGTTGTAGCAGTAGCAGTAGTAATGTGTTAGTTGTAGTATCGTAGTAGTAGTCAGTTGTAGTAGTAAGAAAACGTACCTGCGGATGTGAATAGGACACGAGACAGGTGAGATAGAGATGGGGGGACTGGCGGCACCAAGTAGTACAGGTATGCGAGCGTATGTGCGTGGGGAAGGGAAGAAGGGAGGAGAGGAAGGAAGCACAGGTGGATCGAAGGAGCAGGAAGGGTGGAGTAGTATTTTGGAGGTACGCTGATTAATATAAAAGAGAAGGAAGGAGTCAAAGGAATAGGAAGCTAGAAATACGATATTATAGGAAATAAACAAAGGAACAGAGGAACAAAGAAACAACAATGGGCGATCAGTCGAGTGTGCTTCGAAATGGGCGACGGCAGAGGGAAGAGGACTGCCCACCCCCACCTGGACAAAGTACGTGTAACTTTCCTACAAATGGAAAAAGAACGACTACTACTGGTCTATAGACTGGTGCGACGGCTGCGACTGCAGCTGGGACTGTGCAACTGCCTCGGCCCACCCACACACACCTCACTCCCCCGCTCCCGAAAGGTTCTTTTTCTCGTTTTTGAGTTGGCCAAATCAGCGTCGTTGATCAAGAGAGATAAGCACGATCAAGTTCTTATCTGAGATGGGAGTACAACATAGATCAAAAGGGCGTCCCTCTCCCATGCACACAAACATACCAAGCACACACACATACACTCACACACATACACACACCCTCCACCCTCTTTACCCGTGCCACTCTTCTTTGCTCTCCTCTTTAATCGCTCCATAACCAAATCCACCTATACTCCTCCTCAACTGCTCCTTCAAAAACAATATCAAATAAAACAAAGATATAGGCCAATGCCCACCGAATGACATGTCTTCTTCTTCATCATCAGCATCGTCTTCATCAACATCACACATGCATATCATTGTTTAAGGGTCTTATTTTTTCTTTCCGTCTATGCAATCGCATCGCCCTACAAACAAAGCACTGCCTCATCGTCTATGGCTCGAGTAGCCATGGCCATGGCGGTTGCTGCTGCTGTTGCCATGGTTGTCGCGTTCACGCCTCTCCCTCTCCTTCTCTCGACGGTCCTCGCGTCTTTTGGGTGATCGAGATCGAGATCGGGTCCGGGAACGGGTCCGAGGAGATCGCGACCTTTTTCTGTGGCCAGATCGCTTGCGCTCCCTTCTCTCTCCATCGCCCTCCTCATCTTCACTGTCTCTTGTTCGCCGACGATGCTATTTGGATTCCATTGCAAATTTTTGTATACATAAAAAAGGAGGTCAATGGTCGTGCATGTGCTCGTGAGAAAAAAATAAAGTCAAAATAACTCCGATGATTCTCGGCGTGATTTTAAAATCTTGAGTCCGTCACGAACCTTGTGAGCACGCATCACCGCCAATGCGTCCTCCAGACTCTCGACCTTCGTTGTCTTCTGTTGATCTGAATCTCTCCTTGGACTCGAACTATTAAGCGAAAACGAAGTAAAAAAACAACAACATCATCCATTGCCAATTAGCTGTAAGAACAATAATAAGCTCACAGGTCCGCATCCGTAAAAAAAGAAAAAAAGAAAAAAAAGGTTTCCTGCATGCCACACTCTAAAAGCTCACCTTCGAGATCGGTCGCGTCTCTTCTCTTTCCGGTGACCCGAAGAAGGCTCGTTCCTCTCTTTACGGTCCCTGTTGTGACCATCTTTCTCCCTGTATCTGCTCTTATCCTTGTCCTTGTCTCTCCGCCCTCGCCCCCCATCCCTATCCTCGTTCTTATCCTTCTTCTTTTTTTCCTTGCCACTAGACCGACCACGGCCTTCGCCACGAGTCGTCTGTCGATCCTGAACATCACTATCATCATCATCTCTGAGCAATTCAAACCTTTCGCCACCAGAGAAACATTCTGCTGCTAAATGTCCTGCAGCACCACATTTCTTGCACACGGTCTTGAGCAGCACCCCGCCTTCTTCGATCGAGATCGGTCCCCTGTCCACGAATCCAGTGTGCACCCTTCGCTTGTCCTCTGTTTCTGAAAGCTGTACCAGGTTGGGATCTATAACAAGAAAAACAGTCCGTATGTTTCAGTCCTTTTTGTCCTGCATTTTCTTTTTCAAACTGCAAACACATTGATATGTCTATTTCCGTGTCGTCCCTGTCATCCATGCTCCTTACCGAGATCTCTTCCTTCGCCTTGATTCACATACTTCATCGAAAGCGCTATCTTATCGTCCTGTATGCTCGTCACCTTGACCTGTTATCGTCAACGTTTTTTGGGCCAAAGAAAGAACCGTGTTAATAGCTTCTTCTTTTTTTTTTCTTCGATCGCTTCCTCGATGCATTTAAAGACATGTCCTGACATTCGCAACAGCGACAGCAACGAGAAAAAAATAAAATAAAAAAATAAAAAAAAAGTATCACAGTTGTGTTTTACCCACACATTGTCCCCGACAGCTACCACATCCGCCACATGCTCCACGAAATGGTTACTGAGCTGCGTCTTGTGAACCAGGCCATGTTTCCTGAATCCAGGCAGCTGTACAAACGCCCCAAAGTCTATTCGTTTCCGTTTTTTTTTTTTTTTTTTTTTTAGGACAAAAGACAGGCATGAAAAACGAGATAATCATGACAAATGTTAATTCAAGATCCAAAAGATTCTCTCTCCGTTAATAGTTCTCAATACCCTGGTTTTTTTTTTTTTGTGTTGTGATGTAACAGAGACTTGCCTTCGACACGGACAATTTTGCCATGATGAATCGAATACAGATCAGGCACAGGCCCATCCATCGCGCTCGGCATCCCGCCCGCATTCCTCTGCTCCCGCGGAAACTTCCTGCCCGTTCCTGACGCCTTGAACTTCTCGAACGCTGCCTGTTGTGAGTCCATAGCCGAGAAAGAGAGAGAGAGATAGAGAGAGATAGAGAGAGAGATAAAGAGTTCTGATCGACTGGTGGGCGGCTCAAGAAAAGAAAGGAATGGATGGTGTTTAAGCGCATTAATACACAAGCAAATAAAATCCTACGCGAACGTGACTCCAAATAGAAACTTTATTTTGAGCATGCATGCAGAAGGCAAAAAGCTGGCAATGAGCGAATTTCGGACGCATATACACATATATATAATATATATAAATATGTAATCTACTTCTTCTCGCGGCTGCGGCGCTGTGCTGCGCGTGATGCCGTAGAAAGGACGGGGCCCCTGGGTCGAGTTGGCGCAGACGATGCAGCAGTCGATGAGGATGCCACAACTGCTTTCGCGGCAGTATGAGTGGGGGCTGCATTAACCTTTTTCGGTGTCGCAAGGCGATTGATCGTTTCTGCGGACACTGGCTTGGCCACGCCCAATTTTTTTGCTGTTGCTGGTGTCGGTGTGGATTGATTAGCGGACGTAGAAGAAGCCGGATCAGAATGAACCTTTCGTCTCGCTCCAGCAGCAGATTTCGAAGAGCTGCTGTTTGTAGACCGGTTTAGGCTGCTTATAGTATAGGGACTCTTGCTGCGCGAGGAACCAGCCGCTGGGATCTTGATGATCTTCTTGTATCTGGGAATCGTCGGTGCTGCGGCCGGAACTGGAGAGCTCTTGGGTGTGTCCATCTTTTGTCTCTTGTTTGCGGGTGATCCTGGAGGTGTGAGTGTGGATCCTGCAAATTTGCCGATCAGACTACGGACCGTTCCTGGAGTCGGGAGTGTATTGCTGTGGTCATCCTGTCCTTCCTCCTTCTTGACCTCGACATGTCCATCGTCTTCCTCCATTGGGCGAGTTCTCTTTTGAGTTGCTCTAGAATCGTATTTTGTAGATAAAAGATGATCAGTTGACAAAAAAAAAAAGACTCCGGCCACAGTCCTCATTGTATGTGTGAAAAATGCATAAATGAGCTGTATAGTCACCTTGGAATACTCGTTGAGCTAACAGGTAGTGCTGAGCGCGTGGTTGGAGTCGACCTTGCCTCCCAGAACTGCTTCCGCTCTGCGATAGGCACCGATGTCTCCTCCACCTTCACTTCCGACAACGGTATCCCTGTCTCCATCTCCTTGTACGAGGCCTTAGCCTGGTCTTCCTCTTGCTTTATAACAGGGTCTTCCTCCTCCGATTTGACACACGATGAACTTTCCACTAATGGATGCCCTAACATTCCCTCAACAACGACGGCCTCCTCCTCCTCCTTGATAGTGGTGGTGGTGATCGCTTGGGTATCTACTTCCGTGATAGTTTCCTGCACAGCATTCCTGATGGTGGTCTCAGCGTCTGTCGCATCTTCCATCATCGCATCTGTAGTGCCTGTTACGTCCTGCATAACATCCGCGGTCGTCTCCGTCATAGTCATAGTAGTAGTCGTCCTGATTGTTGTCGTCGCTGGCGATTCCATAGCGATATGCTTTTGTTGGGTCACCGCTTCGTGTTCCTGACGGTCCTGTCCTTGGTGCTGATTCCGGTGAACTTGTAAAATCCTCTTGAGTTCCTCATTCTATGTGCAGAAATAAATAGTTTTGAGGAATGAGGATGTGAAGCTCGAGAAGAGAGCAGAAAAAAAGGCATGTTGACGACGAGCAACGAGCGATGTTGCTCTTCAGCTTACATCTGCTGTGGAATCAAGTCCTGCCTTGACGCACAGCGCCTGCAGTTGAAGTCTGCTCAGTTCCGCAAACTGATCCTGAATAGTCAAAGTGTCGTCCTTCCTCATAAGAAGCACAGTCGGCAGGTTGTTGTCGCAAATGGAATAGTAATCACGATGGGGGGAAGAAGAGTCTATGTTGGGTTGGGTTGGGCTGGGCTGGGCATTCGGTCGGGGCGAACTTTTTGAACGCGCGCCTCTTTTGTAGTAAACAGACCTGAAACGCGACACGAGTTGCCACCAATTTTAGATCAGGTTCAGATAAAATAGTATACATTGCAGTGGGGGGATAAATACAAATGGCGTCTAATTTCTCGCTTCCTTGCGCTTATAGGTGCTCCAAATAATAAGGCCCGCCAGGAGAGAAAGAGATGCGAACGCAGCCGAGACCAAGAACACTGCCGAGGGCATGGCTACAGAGCTCTTGGAAAACACCCATCCATAGAGTAAGGAGGAGACGGTCATGGTAATCGTGTCCAACAGGCAAATGCCTCCGAGGGCCTTTCCTGTCTGATGCACAGGCACATAGGAGGTAAACAGCGACATGAACGAAGGAAGAGCCACTGAGGCCAAGGCTCGGATGCAACACGCTATTCAGGAACAGGGAACAAAAGAGAGAAATGGGTTTAGATCTCAAGAACAGACGGGAAGGATATCTAGTTCCCTTCACCCCATAGAATGAACCCAACATACCGACGAGGACGGCAGCCTCGGTCTCGACCAATGGCACAATGGCGTGTCCAATCAGATACATGGTACTGCCAAAGATGAAGAAGCTGAGGTCGTTCTGCACGGACCTACTTCTTGCAGCCGCATCCGCATTCGATGAGGGTGGGTGAAGTATGTCCTCCAGAGTCTCCACGTCAATATTGCTCATGCCCACATCTGGCAGTTGACTGATCTCATTATGTCCCACGTACGGCGGCGAGTAGATGGATGTATGAACCACCTCGGGACTTTCTTTCTCGATAAGGATCTTGTACATCTTCTTAAGGACAGGGAAGATTCCAACGTAGACAATAAACGATGCTGCTCCTGAAAGAGAGTAATAGATGTTATCTTCCTGTTGAATTTCATAATTTTCGACAACGGATTGTTTGGTTAGAGTCCACAGCACATAAATAGCGCGATCGCACATGAAATTTGTTATTGCTATTGTGGTGACAACTTACGAGCGTTGTCCAGTGAAAGACGAGATTCTATTGAACAGTGCATAGGACACAAAAGGTTAGACAACTAGGTTCAAAACGTCCGATAGCATCATTGACATTTGCACTCCAATAAACTTACGGTGTATGGAATGAGGATAATGGTGATACCTATTCAAGATCCACAGATCACACAAAGCGAACGTCAACACTCGAACAGGAATTCCGACGACACGACTCAAAGGTTATTGACATGATATGACTGATGCGCTTACCATTCGATGCAAATTGGAGGAATCCGTATGCAGCAATAAGAGTGATCAACGTGTATCGAGCGGGGACCACGTTGACATCCGACGAGGTGTCAATCTTCCCAGGCAGAAACAAAAGCAAAGGATCCAGGATCGCTCGAATACCATTCTTCGCCTTGATCAAAATCGATGTCTCCGTTGCCGGTTTTACCCCGCCTGTTTGTGCGGCGACGTCGGCATTGTGGAGCTGAATGCTCTTTGGAAGAGACTCCGGAAGCACGATGGCATAGAGAATCAGGATGCACTGAATGGCGATCGATATCATGACCGCCGTGGTCATATCGCCCGTCAGCTTAATCAGGTACTCTCCTAGCATCGGTCCCGCAATTAGTCCCACGGCAAGGGCTACCATCACATAGCCCATGGATAAACTTCTTCCTTCTTGCGATGTGCAATCGACTGTGTAAATGACAAAAAGAGACATTCTTGATCAGGGGTGAGCCAAGCACACAAAAATGGACTCTGAAATGTCTTCGGAAACTTACCAATGTACGCGTTCAAAGATGGCTCTAGTAGGAGTCCTGCGCCCAAAACTCCCGTGAAGACCGCATCCGCATAAAGAATACTGACACCGAGCTTGGTCGAGGGATGTGCCATGTAAACGATCAATGCCTGGGTGAGCATCGTGGGGATCAATGTTATGTAGATCAATGCCTTGCGTCCATATCGATCGGAGAGCGAAGTGATGTATCCAATCGTGAACATGCCTAAAGCCGATGTAGTCAGACTTGAGATGAATAGCTATGCTATATAGCAGGGCTAAGCGATACGTGTAACCGCACTACTGGTGTCCCATGCGCTTTCATGTAGCACCTACCAGTGATATATTTGAGAGAACGCACACGGCTCATCACCAGGGCCGCGTATGCCTGTACGTCCGAGGTGTTGCATGGGTCATCATAATAGTTGTCGCGAGAAGACGTTCCGTTGAGAGAGGAAACATGTGTGATGCTGTCTTGAAGCCATAAGGTGTCCTTGTCCCGGAAGTGCTCCTTGCAGATAATCCTGACGATGAGCTGTTCCTGTGGCGCTTGGGAAATCCCCATGACGACCGCCAGCAAAAGGATAAACGGCAATAACCAAGCGACGCTCGGCCTCCGGTACCATGGTAATGCTTGCAGGGGTGCCAGACGGCTCGCCTCGTCTAGGGGAATACTTTGACTGTCCTCACTTTGATCTTGGTCTCTGTGGTGCTCTTCTAAAGGAGTTCGGGTTCCTGTTCCTGAGTGTGTCGACTGATTTTTTGCCAGCAAGGGCTGCCTCTCCGTGGCCACTGTTGATGTCATCGTAGTTCGAGGTGAGGAGTGAAGAGAGGTTAACGAATAGAGCAGAATCGGCCTTCCCCGATACTTTTTTATATCTTTTTCGGACAAGGAAGGTTTTCATTACTGTGTCCATGAGCTGCAACCAACAAACAAATGTTTCCTGTGTGTGCCAAGACATAAGAGCGCAGGAGAGCGAACAATGCAAATTGGAGGGGCGTACAAAGTGCCTGATGCTCTCCAAATTCAGGTAGGAAGCCCTCTCTTGGGTTTGCTGCTCAATTGCTTCTACGGAACAATACACCCAAAAATGGATGAGATCGAATCGCTCGAAAAATGACGACTCGATTACCTGGCAAGTCGATCGCTACGCTTTTATTGCTCTGTGGCGGTAGAGCGTTCTCACTGCAAACGCTACCAGGGCTGCAAACGGTAGGAGGCCCATTGAGACATAATAGTAGAACCAAGGTACCGTTGCCGACATGCATGAAAAGATATGCCCATAAATAATATTGGCCAGCGTAGTTGCCACCAAGTTTGACATGCATATCGCGCCTAGAGCCATGCCAGTCTGGTACTGGGGATGATCGTTGTCAGCATAGACATCGAGGAGACTGTAGAGACCGAACCAAGGGAGGTTATAGCTTCGGTTATTCATGTTTCTGTAGAAAGCATTTTTAGAGACCTGGCTGCCCTGTTTTTCACCACTATGAAAAAATGCGTACGCACTTGGAAGCTGTGCTGCTTACCGATATAAAGAATAGGCACAGACATAAAGAGCGGCACGATAAAATAGGAGACAACTAGGAGCGTCGCTTCACCGAAAAGGAAAAAGGCGTCCATCATGAGAGACTCTGTCGCTGGTATTGACTGATCCCCGAAGGAGGAATCGGTATCGATTTCAGATTCCAATGAGGCATCGTCGTGCTGCTCAATCCTGCCTAGCCTCACAATATAGCACTTGTAAAGGGACTGAGAGAGTGGAGAGATCCATAAGACGGTAAACACGCACATTGCCGAGAACGAGAAGTACAGGCCATCCTTATAGGACGTCCGCCTGAAGATCAGGTTCATCACCAGAATAAACACAGACTTCGCGCCTAATGAGTATATGATAATCAGAGGTTTAGACAAGCTTTCGCGTTCGACGCAACATAAAAATTGATATGTATGGCCTCTTAAGTTATTTTATGTGAACTAACCTCTGACAGCCAACTGCACCAAGTGTCTTATCCCCAATAACAAAGCCAGCTAGTACCTCGACGGCATTTTGGGCGAAGGAGGAACCTTTTCAGGGACGGAGTGTAACAGCGGTTCAAAAATGATCGAAAAATCCCACTTCAGTGACCCACAAGCAAGTGCAGACAGCGATTCCTCCTTGGTGAGGCTTGTTCGCGTGTTCTCATCCTTAGCCGCCAATGGCTTGTCCTGTTTGCGAAGAGATTCTGGTAGAGCAAACAGGTACACGGATAGAACAACAAAATTGACAAGCGAGATCTGGATGATCGAGGTGAGATCGCCTGTCGCTTTGACGATGAATCCGCCCAACGAGGGACCTATGAAGTCCCCCAAGGCGTAACTAATAAGCGTGTAACCCATCATGATACTCCTCGTTTTACTTGGTGTGCAATCAGCTATGTATAGAGAGTCGCCAAGGCTAATCTCGTTATGACAATGGATTGTGCGCAGCAAAAGACATTGCGGCTAAACAGATAGATGCTTACCGACGCAGGCAAAGATAGTAGGGTTACCAAGCAGGGTTCCGGAGGTCAAGCCGAGGTAAATGCCGTCCAAATAGAGTAGACGGCATCCGAATAGGTTGCTGGCACTTGCTGCGAACCAAATCGTTGCCTGCGAAATCGCAAGGTTGACGGTTGCGTTATAAAGAAGAATCCTGCGGCCGTAAGCATCACTGAGGGACGTCCATTTTGCAATTGAAAGCAGACCATAAAGGCACAAGAGAGAAAACATGTGAATACATTGAGATGGTCGTTTCTTCTCAATGTCAGCATTCATACTTCTCTCTCGTTTTTTCGTACTCAACGTTCCTTCAAGGCATGAACTTGACTCTGAACAAGTGTAGCAAAGGCGAGAACCTCAGGGACCCACAGCGATTGTCTATCACACCAATATACTCCAAAGGGAAATGACTGGACAATGTAACTGACGGATCGTGCAAATGATTTTGATGCTCAGTTGCTCCATCGAGCTGTCGATGACATCGACAACGATACCAAACGCTGCTTGATCAGTAGTACCACAGCCGACTCTGTAGATCTTCAAACCACTTGGACTCGGCCTCGTCGTCTGTAACTGACTGTGCTGAAGCAGTGTTCGGTTTTTGTGTAGCCGTAACACAGTCGTCGAGCTCTGCTTCTACGTCCACACCAGACAAGGGTGCCTCTGTATCAGATTGGGTATGGGCTACATATGACATAGTATTGGTATCTTACTGTCTAATATGAAAGGGTAGTGTACATGTACGCGAGAGAAGATGCAGTCGATGATCGCTGAATTTTACGTTTCCGCTTTTATCAGAGCAACTACGCCCCGACAAAGTAGCCCATCGAGTCCTTAAACAGCATGCACGGAATAGCCGTGCATTCTCCAACAGATGACACCAAGGCACAACACCATGCGTTTAGATGTGAGGATATAGACCAAGGTAGATTACACTCGCAGGATGTAGTCAGCTTATTCTTTGGACGCGACATCTATGATGTATCCCCGTGAACAGCAGTAGAAGTAAGAGATACAATAGAAATAACCTTGGATGGCTCTGTATCCGTCATAGCATTTGCTGTGGTCGCATATGAACTCCCACAGCAAACGTCCCATAGGCATATAAGCATAAGACGGAAGGCTGCCTCACATCCAAGGGGAGTAAAAATAGTGCTGTGGCGACATAACGTACCAGAACGCAAATGCTGCAACATCTGTCCATTTATTCCTCCCAAGTTCCCACACCCCTTGCCATCCATTCCTTAGTGACAGCATGCAGGAAAGACGCCACGGGAAGTATGATTATTATAAATATATGGGTGGACCCATATTACCATGAGGGAGAGGAGTGTGTATACAACCGCTTCCCTGTTTCTGTTCCCTACTTTGAGAGTAATTCCCTCCGCTTACCGGCGTCGTACAAGCATTCCTTTCCACTTCAACCACTGCTTCACGGCTCTAGGGTTCCTGATCCCGAAGTTTCTGAGGAGGCATCTTTGCTATCCAGCCCCAAGTTCTGCGCGATTGCTTTTCAGCGTAGTCCTCTCCAGCCAGTGTCGATACATGGACAAGTAAGTGCACAACAACAGCAACAACAACAACAAAAAGGATCTCCCAGTAGCATGAAAAGGACAAGATAAAAATGTCGGTCAAAAGATGAAGGTCGTCTTCAACCCCCTCTCCAGTCCCCTCACTCCTTTGTTCTCTCCATCTTTAGGACGCCTTCCAGCACATATAACTTCTTCCCTTGATCATATTGATCCTTATTCCCCACGTTCACGGTTTTACTATTATTAAAATGATGGATGCTTTGACCAGTTCTCGCTACAAGGAATGCCAGGTCTGCTGGAGCAAGGATCAACAGATTCTGGTCAAAGATGAGGTGATCCGAGCGAAGGACGCAGTGATCGCCGCCAAAGACGAGGCGCTCGCTCAAAAAGACGTGGCTCTAAGGAATGAACGAGAGCTCCGGGAACAGCTTCAGAAGCAACTGAAATCATTAATGTCTGGAGGTAGGCAACTATCCTTATCCCGCTTACTCGCTCAATACATCTGAGGGATAGGCAGCCCACACAAAATCTGACAAGGAGCATGCTTCGACATGCAAGCTGTCAGATACGCATCCTTTGTCTACTGAATGTTCTCATATTTGTCTAATGCTTCCCCCAAGAATATAATGTTGCAATATGTGCGATCTGACAATCTGTTGATACATGTAGTCTCCAAAAAGGCCGGCGGCAGCAACACAAAGTCAGCAGGCTGTAAAGCGCAAGGTAAGACGTCTGTTCTCCTGTATCTTTTTTGTATTCAGGAATGGTACCCCCTGAGCGGCATCTCCTCATCTAATGCTTTGAATGAACGGCATAGAGGAAAAGGACGCATTGACGATCTACATAAGGAACGTGGGCGAGCACATTACATATGAGATGCTGTACAAAGCCTTTTCTGCCTTTGGTACCATCCGCACCCTGAACGTCCTCCACCCCAAGGTACGCGTCCTCTTTTTTTTTTTTTTTACATCACTACGACTATGGGTGAAGAATGAACATTCGAACGAAGTGCTGACCAGCGGAAGGAGACCTCCTCGCGTATGTTATACAAAAGGCGTGTGCGTTTGCAGAGTTCGCCACGCATGAGGCCTATCAAAAAGCACTCGCTGCTGGATGTGTACCTGTGGGTGATGGTCAGGAAACTGTCCTGCCGGAGAAACGCGTTCGTCGACCTCAGCAAACGTTTGCGGGCCGCCCCTCACGCGATAACCTGAAATCGGTCGGAAACCGACTTGTGCCGATTGTGCCTTCACATCATCTGTACCTCAGCAGCGACAACAGCAGTACCACCAGCACTAACAGCTCTGATTCGGCCCGCAATGATGGCATGACAAAGGGCCAGAGCACCTACGAGAACCAGATCAAGGTCAGCAGCAACTGGCTCAGAAGAGAGGACGAGGGTTGCGACCTGACTACCGCATACTGAGCTCTATTCTGGAGGGGCCAAGTCTATCTTGATGCACATTCCCCATGGCGTCCAGACATTGTCGTGCGCGACCCAGACGCGTTTTCGTCTCTTTCCTTTGAATACGCCGATCATACCTCGAATCAAACGAACCATCGCTGCCGAGAGGAGTACGCACACACTGACTACTTGATGCCACGAAAGAGTAATAAAAAAAAACCTGATGGCGATTATTCGTTACAGTTGTCCGATCATGCTACACAAGACCCGGAAGAGCTATTGACTAGCCATGGCACAATTGAGCCGACCAGGCTTCGTGTCCAACCGAGGGCATAAATCCCTCGACCACTTTCACCTTTCGTTTCACACCAAGATTCGCCCTCTTCTCTCATCAACCCATTCACCTTCCGCATCAACCCATCCCTCAGTCAGAAGAGAGATCATCAAGAGATGTCCAAGATCAACAAGAAAGCTGTAGGCGCCGCGGCCCTTGGTGGCATAGCCGGGGCAGCCTACCTCAAGAAAAAGTTGAACCAGGATCCCACCCGAGGACCATGGAATCCTCGCGTGGACTTGCAAACCCATTACGACTACATTATCCTTGGAGGTAATCCTATTCACTGAAGAAACACATGTCTTCTCCGCTAGCAGTTAATATATGTTTTCCATAGTCGCTAACATGCTGTCTGCCACCGCGGCATGGGTGTGCACTTCGTAGGAGGAACCGCGGGCTGCGCTCTTGCCAGCAGGCTGGCTGAAGACCCCAGCATCAATGTCCTTATTCTTGAAGCCGGTTTCAGTAAGTCGACATCGTATACCACCCTTTATTGCATTTGCGCTTCTTTCTCCACAAGGCACATCTTAATTCATTTTCAAACGCCCTGTTTATTCTTTTTGCAAATTAGCCGATGATATCCCTGGCAGCATGACCCCAATGTTGTTTTCCACGCTCTGGCGAACGGATGCTGATTGGAACCTGGTAACCGTGCCACAGACACATGTCCTTGGACGTATCATGGATCAGCCTCGTGGAAAGCTACTCGGAGGATCCAGCTCCATTAATGCCATGATGTATCACCGTGGACCTGCCTCTGATTATGATGAATGGGAATCACTTGGCAACCCAGGCTGGTCCTACAAGGAATGTCTGCACTACTTCAAGAAGGCAGAGGGCTTCAATGACCCTACGCTGCCTGTTGGTCATCTGAGGGGACCCTTGACGAAGCGTACGCCAAAGCCACAATACGAGGAGTTCGAGCCCGAGTTCCACGGAACAGATGGACCCTGGCAGATCACGTACCACCACATGTATGGTTCTGCCGAGGGCTTCGTCAGAGCCAATGTGGCCGAGAACGTCCCATTCAACAAGGACTTCAACGGCAGCAGTACCCTCGGTGTTAATCGAGTGCAGACATTCATCCAGCGAAACGCAGTTCGAAGCAGTGCTGCCCGTGCTTATCTGGGTCCAGATCGACTGCTGAAGAATGGTAAGCCTAGGGTGGACCGAGGACGGATTCGCATTGTATATGGCGCCCATATTGTTCGAGTCCTAGTCCAGAAGCGTCGCGGGGTTAAGATTGCGATCGGTGCAGAATTCCTGGATACAAACCACGGTAAGTTTTGCTTTATAGCGCATGTTGTCGTTATTTATTTTTTTGTTGCACATGGTAGCGGGACTAACTTATTATTCTCCCATTAGAGATGCAACGGGTCATGGCCGTCAAGGAGGTCTTGCTCTGCGCAGGAACTTTAGGTTCACCCCACATCCTTTTGGCCTCAGGGATCGGTCCAGTACCGCACCCTACGATTCCTCATATTCACACTCTCCCCGGTGTGGGTAGGAACCTCGCTGATCATCTTGGTGTCCCCATCTTCTTCCGCGCACCGTCCAGCTGCGACGTCCTTGGATCGCAAGCGCGGTTCTACAACTTACCCAAGTTGATGTATGACTACAACGTCAATGGAATCGGAATACTGTCCTCTCAAGGGGTGGAGAGCGCGTGCTTTGCCCGCCTTGAGGACATCGCACCAGAGTTTGTGGCGCGGGAAAAGGCGAATGGTACGTGGCAGGATCGATCCAGTGGACCACAGGCACCTCACATCGAGGTCCTCTTCGTGCCTGGCTATTGGCGCGATCACGGTAAGATCCTGGCCCCTGACAATCAGCACTACTATACCCTTGTCGGACTTTTGCTCAACCCTGTCTCGAGCGGCACAGTTACGATTTCGGACGTGAAGGATGGGAAAATTGAGACTCTGATCGACCCGAATTATCTGGAGGACGAGTTTGATACCCGCGTGTTGGCAGAGACGGTTCGATTCATTCGTCGTCTCGGAGAGCGGATGCGTAAGGACCCAACTTGTGGAGGGGTCGAGATTTACCCTGGTGTTGATAAGGTTCCTAGTGATGATGAAGCGGCGCTGCATACCCATATCAAGAAGGAGCTCGCGTGCTTCTACCATCCCACTTCGACTTGCCGCATGGGTCCACCGTCCGATCCGCTGGCTGTGGTCGATGCACGTTTGAACGTCCATGGCATTGACCGCCTCCGTGTTGTGGACGCGAGCATCATGCCCAAGCTTCCAGCTGCACATACCTGCGCGCCGACGATCATGATCGCAGAGAAAGCCGCAGATATGATCAAAGAGGACTGGAAGGATTTGCCAGCTCACGGGGAGCAAGTGGTCTTTGCGAAGTTGTAATACCAACCATTCTACACATTGCGATACTGTTCGTAACTGAGCAATAAAAAATATATATATCTATGTATAAAAAACTGAACAAAAGAAACTCTTTAATGTACATGAAGTTGAGGGGGATAAAGTCTATGTGTTTAGCATATGTTACAATAGTGTAGTCTAAAGCTTGTGAGGAGAGTTGATAATCAACGCGAAAATAGCCCCGGAGACCACACCGGCAGCAGGCAAGGTAAGGATCCAAGACGAAGCAATGAGGCCAAGAATCTTCCAGTTAATGGACTTGACACCTCCTCCGCTGCAGAGACCGGCCGCGGTGGTGGCGCCGGTGATGCAGTGCGTTGTGGAGATGGGCATACCGAGCTTGGAGCAGGTCAAAACGGTCAAACTGGTGCCGAGTGAAAGAGAGAATCCTCTACTGGGCGAGACGTAGCAGATGTTGTTACCGAGCGTGGCCATGACCTTGTAGCCATATGTCAACAGACCAATATCGATGGCGATACCTCCGTAAGCGAGGATCCAGACAGGCACAGGGGACTGGCCAGTGACATCAACCATACCGTGCTGCCAGATGTAATAGATAGTGGTCAGAGGGCCGATGGCATTAGCAACGTCGTTGGAACCGTGGGCAAAGGAGGCAAAGCAGGCGGTCAAGATCTGAAGCGTGCAGAAGAGTTGCTCGGTCTTGCTGTCGTAGCGGGTAGACTTGTCGTGTAAGTTCTCGACGTCCTCGGTCTTCGTGGTGATGTCCTGGTTCAGGCCATGGAAAGCCTTCTTCTTCAACTTCTGGAACATGGACAGAGACTTGGGTTCGGGATCGTCCAGGGCAGCCAGGCTGCTATTCACAGTGCCGTCGCCCTCCTCGATCTCACCGCCAACGGTTTTGTCCTCCTTCTGGACACTGGAAGAAATCTCCTCGAGATTCTCGGAGGCCTTGGCGCGAGTCGAAACGAAGCGGACATAGAAGGAGTGGTACCAACGGAGAGGTTCCTCGCCTTCGAGCTTTCTGCGCAGGTAGACCTTGAGGAAAAAGTTGCACCAGAGGAAGACCACGAGAGCGATACCGAAGGAAATGCCGATGACAGTGCCAAGGGGCATCTCGGAAAGGCTGAGGCCGGGTGAGCCCTTAAAGATAATGTAAAAGACATTGATGAAGATAGTGATGGCAAAGTAGAAGGGGATAGCCGTGAGACCACGCTTGAGGGAGTCGCTGTGCTGGAGGATAAAGTAACGCGTGACGGTGAAGATGACGGCGGTGACCAATCCTGCAACAACAGGACTGATCAGCCAGGAGAGGACGATGGTACCAATACCACCCCACTTGACGGTGCTAAAACCAAAGCCAGCAATACCAGTGCCGGTGATGGCGCCGACGATGGCGTGTGTGGTCGAGACAGGCAGGCCGCGGGATGAGGCGAAGAGGACCCAGGTGGAAGAACCGACGAGAGCGCAGACCATGCCTAGCATCAGCAACTCGGGCTGTTCACTGAAGAGACTGACGTCGATTAAGTCGCCCTTGATGGTATCGGCAGTGGAGGAACCCATGAGGAAAGCACCGAGAAACTCGCAGACGGAAGCGATCAGGACGGCTTGCTTGAGGTTTAGAGCGCCTGAACCGACGGCAGCGCCAAAGCTGTTGCTGACATCGTTGGCACCGATGCCGAAGCTGTCGAGGAAGGCAAAGACCATACCGATGGCAAAGAGGAACGTGTAATCACCAGGGAGCATCATGTTGGCGACGAGGGATGAGGAAGGGGAGGTGCGAGAGGGTACCGAGATGTGAAGGGGGCGGCAAGGGAGGACAGCGTTCAAGGCAGAATATTTATACGCCTATGGCAGATGCACAAGAAATGGTGGATGGATCCCCGGTATAGGTGCTAGACTAGTCCGGCGATCCAAAGGGAACATGAACTTGAATCCACACTCAGCAAGACTGGACATAAACGAACGGATGCTCGCTCCCCCCTTCCTTTCTTTCCTAGCGGAATAAAAAACACCGATCGACGCAAGTCTTCACACGGGCAGCCTGTACGACTACAACATTCGTCTCTTTGCCGTAATCCTGTTTAGACTATAAGGATTAACGAAGAGATAGAGCTCCCCAGCCAATCAAGCCGCCCATGGCCAGCATGCATCCCTGTGATAGGCAGCAGACTCGAGTATGAGAGGAGAACTCTAAGTCTGATTGGCTGTAGCTCACCGGGGCCATGTCTATTGTGTGTTGGTTGAGATCTGGTACCAGCGTTCTGGGTCGTCTTCAGTGACATAAAGTATTCACGTACAAGAAATAAAAAATAAAGTTTGATGAGACAACATCGAATTCCATCGCGACTAGGAAGGTTGCTCCTCCGGACTTTGCTCCTTCCATAGGTTTGTTTCCCTGTATCTGTATCCCTGTGTCCCACGTCGATGAGCCAGAAGCGCGGACATGCGCATATGGGAACCAATACAGTCTTTTGGTGCTGCTGAGGACTGATACTCTGGTGCTCTCACTCAAACAACCAGTCGCGTGCGTTAAATTCTCCTGCTGTGGCTGTGTTCTAGATCGTCAGAGACATTCCTGCAACATTCCAGTCCTTTTGTGTGGCCTCGGTGGCGACCACAGCCAAGAATAGAACGCGACGGACTAGCGATAGTTAAAGAAAACACAAGCTGGACCCTTATACCCGCATGGAGGCTATATCGTTCCTATATAGGCGATCTGCAACTTGAACAGACGCTTAATTATCATGCAGAAATGTCAAACCAGAACCTGGTGTGAATCAGCATTGAAATACCTCGAGTTATTTTTTTTTCTCGTAGTTGACGCGTCTCATTGGCAGCCTCAGTGCCCAGACCGGCGCAGGGGCCCAGGCGCCATTAAGAACACCCGAAACGGTGTTCCCTGGTTCCCATCTATTCTCGTCATCTGGATCTGCATAATCGCACCCCACTATGCGTCCCACATGCAAATGTCTACCAGAGACTTCGAAGTAGTAGTCGCCGTCTCCAAAGTATAAAAACCTATACTTGTTCGCCTACCAATCCATCCTCAACAGTCCTCCTCTCAACATCGCAAGCATCTTCTTCAGCCAATATGAAGGTCCCATCCCTTCTCTCCATTGCCGCATTAGTGGCCGTGGTGACCGCGCAGTCCTCGGACAATGCTGCCGAGTCCGCCGCTGTCACCAAGGGTGACGATATTGCCAGTATGCCTCCTACCGAGAGCCTCGATAATGGCCTCGAGCCGCAACGTGGTGGTCCCACCTTGTTCACTGCCTGGTCCTCTCCCGGATTCAAGGGTCACAAGCAGAGGAACAAGAACACCCCTGGCTGTTACCGTCTCGATGGTGGTGCCGTCGGCAGCTTCGACGCCTCCCGCTCGTACAAGTATGCCTTCTTTAATGACAATCGCTGCAAGAACAGGATGATCTACGGCTGGACATCTGCACCCATTAGGCGATTTAACCCTCTGATCTACCCCGGGTCCGTCAAGATCCTCGAGGACAGGCCTGAGCCCCCTAGGCCTCAGCCTCCCAGGCCGCAACCTCCCAGACCTGATCCCCCCATGCCGCAGCCCCCCAGACCTCATCCCTCCCAGCCTAACTCTCCTAGGCCTCAGCCTCCCAGGCCACAACCTCCCAGACCTCAACCTCCCAGGCCTCAACCCCCCAGACCTCAACCCCCCAAGCCGCAACCTCCCAGACCCGAGCCTCCCAGGCCCCAACCTCCTAGGCCTCAGCCTCCTAGGCCGCAACCTCCCAGACCTGATCCCCCCATGCCGCAGCCCCCCAGACCTCATCCCTCCCAGCCTAACTCTCCTAGGCCTCAGCCTCCCAGGCCACAACCTCCCAGGCCTCAACCTCCCAGGCCTCAACCCCCCAGACCTCAACCCCCCAAGCCGCAACCTCCCAGACCCGAGCCTCCCAGGCCCCAACCTCCTAGGCCTCAGCCTCCTAGGCCGCAACCTCCCAGACCTGAGCCTCCTAGGCCCCAACCCCCTAGACCACAGCCTCCTAGGCCGCAGCCTCCTAGACCTGAGCCTCCTAGGCAACAATCTGCCGAACCTCGTCCCTCCTGGCCTGGACCTCCCGGACCTCCACCCCCCTGGCCTCGCCCCCCTGGACCGCCACCTCCCTGGCCTCGACCTCCCGGACCTCCACCCCCCTGGCCTCGACCCCCCGGACCTCCACCTCCCTGGCCTCGACCTCCCGGACCGCCACCTCCCTGGCCTCGACCCCCCGGACCTTGGAGGCAGGAAGAGGATTAGGACGATGAGCCCTCGCTCTGTCTACATTTTCCACTAGACAGTGGCAAACTTACCATGTCCCAGCAAACTTGGCATGGCTTGTACATAGCACATTACTGAGCGGCACTACTATAATGTACGAATAAACCGCTACATCTTCAAGCAATGCCTCTGTTTACGTATCAATGTATAATAATATGCATTTCTTTTTATTTTATTTTATTTTTGGTGCCAAATCCGTTCAGGACGACGTTCGAGAGGACGCCACGTAACGTGACACGACCAACCTTATGCCAAGAACGATGTTCGTTCTTCTCTGCTCTACCACACTTGCCACCAATCCCCAAGCATCCCATTCCACACCTACTCTGTCGATCGGACTAGTCATGCGGGGGACAAAGGTCGAGAAATGCTTCCCTCGTCAGGAGCTCAATGACAGGGCCAAGGTGTCCATGGTCGACTCGACACCACTTCGATTCTACTTTCGAACAGCAGAGCACCTCTTCAAGCAGGTATGGAAACAACGCCTATTCTTGAACTTCCAGCTCACTCTGCCCGAACGTTCACTGGGGTCAATGATGCCCAAAAATACTAATAAGGTCCAATTCTCGTTAAATAGGCCAAGATTTATCAGATGGAAGGCGACCTTCAGACCTCCTACATTCTCTACATGCGATTCTGCAAGTACGTGTTCTGAAGCTTGCATGATGCTTACAAGGAAGGATGCAGCACTGGGCGTTAGTCTCACGCTGAGTCCTCTTCAGCCTAGTCATCTCTGAACTTCAGAAGCACCCCGATTACACTAATCCGGATCACAAGCCCTGGTTGCTTGCCCTCAGAAAAGTATGTTTGGTGAATCCAATAAAGCGAACAAATCGGGGAACAAATAGACACTATCTCTCTTACATTAACCATGTCGCCTATTTTCTATCAACTTTAGAGTGCAATGACAGCCTTGAAAGAAACCGAGGCACTGAAGCCGGTCTTGGATAAAAAGTACGAGGACTATCAGGAGTACATTCGACAGCGGGAAGCAAAGATCAGAGCGCAGGCCATGGAAGCGCAGCAGCAATTGGAGATGCAGCGGAAACAGAATACAGAGAGGAACCTCAGGGAGCAGCAGGAATTACACTGGGCTGACAACCCCCCGACTCAGACTTGGTCACTGGCCAAGGCACTTGAAGGTGTCCCAGGAGTATACCCAGCCCAGCCGGCCCATCGCGTTCATTCACGCCATCATCATTACGACAATACAGTGGCAGTCAGCGAGGTACATGTTCATGAACATTCGCTATCTGACTTGAGCCCAAGGTCGAGGGAGCACGGTTACTGACAGCACCTTATGCGACTTTAGATCCAATACCCCGAGCAATATCAACGTCAATACCATGGCCGGTAAGGACAGACGGACAAAAATATTTGTATCAATACTTGTTTCTGGATCAGTCTCAAAGTTTTGACAGACGACCGATTGACCCTATACTTGTAGGTCGGAAGCCCCGATGCCAAGTATCCAGCCTCAACAGCTTGTCCCAACGCCAACAGGCCCACCGCCAGCATTACCACGGAAACCCGTCTCGCTAAACAACGCACCGAAACTGCCGCCCAAAATCCAGATCGAGGAAGATGTGCATGGTATGTTCGACAGTTCTGCACGCGATTGCCTTGGTATGAGCGCGCTTGACCATGTTCTCATCCGTACTCTTTCTCCCTAGAATTCTCGCGAGGATTGAGGACTCTCATTGTCCCTGTGCGATTGCTGGACAGATTCCTGAACATTGTACGCCCCAATACGATTAAGAATCTGGAGACATGCGGAATCTTGGCGGGTGTACTGGTAAAATTGCATTCATGTCTCGTGTATGCAATCTAAGATTGTGTCGTACAATGGGGTTCTGAAGCGAGGCATCACGTCTCTCACTCATTTTCTTGTTTGGTCAACTCGGACTTTTTATAGTCTCACAACAGACTGACGGTAACAACCCTCATTATCCCAAAGCAAACTGCGACCTCGGATACGTGTTCCACAACCAATGAAGATGAGCTGTTTGAATACCAGAGCGAACGGGATCTTATGACATTGGGCTGGATTCATGTATGTTCTCGTCTTATGTCTAAGCGGAAGTTTTTGAACCCATACTGAGCATAGGAATGGGCCTTTGATGATAACTAATGCTGGATATTGCCCGTAAACACTGCAGACACATCCAACGCAGACGTGCTTTATGAGCTCTGTCGACCTTCATACTCATTGTTCATACCAGTTGATGCTGCCAGAGGCCATCGCCATTGTGTGTGCTCCGAAGCACGACAAAGAGTAAGGCCACCCTTATGCAAGGATTCAGCCACGTTGACGTTTTCCTTGAAGCGATACAATCTGCTCATATACTGTTGATATCGACTGTTGTACCACTATAGCTATGGCGTATTCAGGTTAACAGATCCGCCGGGAATTCAAGTGATCACCAATTGTCGTCAAAAGCCGCTTTTCCATCAGCATCCGGGAGAGGATGATATTTACACTGTAAGGACTCTTTTTATCAACTACATACATGAAGCTGACTTAACACCTGCACAAATGACTGATGAGAAGCTGTTCATGTCTCTTTCTGTGCGGACCAAATGTTTAAATAGGATGCGTGCGACCAGGGCCATGTGGAGCTGGTCGACCTTGACCTGGAGATTGTAGATCTGCGAAGGAAATGAATAAAGTGCCATGTCCTCTATATCGTCACACAGACTTGTCGTTCTCAGCGAACTAGGAGAAGGAAAGAGAGCCGCGGCAATTGGTTGGTTGATCTGTCCACGGATGAGGGGAAAGACGTGACCAAGGCAGCTGGGGTTGAATCTTCATCGGAGATGGATGAGAATGGCACCAATACGACCTCAAGTGTGGGGCAAGAAGAAGGACTGCTGAACCTCACTCACATTCAAAATTATTCCCACGCTTCCCCCGAACTTTTCTCTTCATCTTCCCTCCTCATCCCTCTCTCCCTCCTCATCTCTCTTTCTCTTTCTCTTTCTCTTTCTCTCCCCTCACCCCTCACCCCTCCTCCTCCCTCTCTCCACCATGTTGTCTTATGCTGCTATGCGCCGTGTTGCGGCTTCGACCGCCTTCAAGCGTGCCCTCTCGACCTCCAGACCCGCTCTCTATGCCACCCAATCGTCGATCCCTCGTACAAAGCTGTTCATCAATGGCGAGTTTATCGACTCCAAGACTGACAAGTGGATTGAGCTCCGCAACCCCGTAAGACGCCTCCGGGGATCCCAGAAAACCATTGTACATGTACGCCCTACTCTCCTTATTGATGTCTCATACTCATCTAATACGCCCTTCCGTTTCTTAATATTGACCAGGCCACACAAGAGATCGTCACCCTCGTCCCTGAGGCCACTCCCGAGGAGCTCAAGTACGCTGCTGATACCGCCGCTGAAGCCTTCAAGACCTGGAGAAAGACCTCCATCCTTCACCGCCAGCGCAAGATGCTCGACCTCCAGCTTCTGATTCGTGACAACATGGATAGAATCGCCCATTCAATCACCTTGGAGCAGGGTAAGACCTTGGCTGATGCCCGCGGTGATGTCCTCCGCGGTCTCCAGGTTGTTGAGTCAGCCTGCGCTATCCCCCACATGCTCATGGGTGACACCCTCGAGGTCGCCACCGATATGGATACCTACACGATCCGCGAGCCCCTCGGTGTCGTTGCCGGTATCACTCCCTTCAATTTCCCTGCTATGATCCCCCTCTGGATGTTCCCTCTCGCCAATGTCATTGGAAACACTTGCATTATCAAGCCCTCCGAGAAGGACCCTGGCGCCACCATGATCCTCGCTGAGCTCGCTCAGAAGGCCGGTATCCCTGCTGGTGTCCTGAACGTCGTTCATGGTGCCAGGGACACCGTCAACTTCATTTGCGATAACGAGCACATCAAGGCCATCTCCTTTGTCGGAAGTGACCAGGCTGGTCACTACATCCACGAGCGTGGTTCTCGCAACGGCAAGCGTGTCCAGGTACGAGCACACTCCCATTTATGATGAGCAACTGCTCAGGGTCACTCCATAGAGCTTGTATATTCATTTGTTACTATTTCTTCTTCAATGACATCTAGGCAAACCTGGGCGCCAAGAACCACGGAATCATCATGCCCGACGCCAACAAGAACCATACCTTGAACCAGCTTACTGGTGCTGCCTTTGGTGCTGCTGGCCAGCGTTGTATGGCTCTTTCGACCGTAGTTTTTGTCGGCAAGGCCAAGGAGTGGCTTCCTGAGCTCGTCGAGCGTGCACAGAAGCTCAAAGTCTCCTCTGGCTTTGAAGCCGATGCTGATCTCGGCCCCTTGATCTCTCCTGAGGCCCTCAAGCGCGTGGAACGTCTCATTGATTCCGGTGTAAAGGAGGGCGCAGAGTTGGTTCTGGATGGACGTGGCCTCAAAGTCCAGAAGTACGAGAAGGGCAACTTTATTGGGCCTAGCATCTTGACTAACGTCAGAACTGACATGGAGTGCTACCGTGAAGAGATCTTTGGACCCGTCCTTGTCTGCTTAAATGCTGAGACTCTGGATGATGCCATCGATATCATCAACAAGAACCCTTATGGAAACGGAACCGCCATCTTCACCCAGAGCGGCGCCATCGCTAGAAAGTTTGCCAACGAGGTCGATGCTGGCCAGGTCGGCATCAACGTCCCCATCCCCGTGCCATTGCCCATGTTCTCGTTCACTGGCTCCCGTGGCTCGATCCGTGGTGATGTTAACTTTTACGGCAAGTCTGGAGTCAGCTTCTATACCTCGACTAAGACTGTCACTGCTCTCTGGCGCCATGAGGATGCTGACAGCACCGTTGCCAACGTCAACATGCCCACTATGAAGTAAATATAACAAAACCTTGGACGCGATCTTGTTTAGAGGACCAACACATTGTATCATAGAAAAAACCTCTTTTCAAGTAATAAAAGCGCAATACAGATTTATTCTAACGTGCAGAGCTGAAGCCGCGAGTGCGCCTCTGCCTGTTGATTTACGAGTTTGCTCCTGTTGTTTGACGAGGAGGAACAGAAGACCGCTTTCATTTCTACTTTACGGCAACGATCCTTTGTACCTCGAAAGGTACAACAATTAATATGCTACAGCCCGAGCCGGCGATGCCAAACAGGCCTGGGAGACTGGTACTTGCGTTGCTACAACAATAAAATAGATCCAACAAACCCGAGGAATCTTTTACTCATTCGTTCTCCACTTCCATTGCCCATCATACTTTCCTGATCATTTCTCTCATCTCACCCTCGTACCCTTCCTTTTTTTTGAGTTTGAGCCCCACAAAATGTTTGCGCCCAGGCCAGGTGTGCTCAGAGGCGTGGTTTCTGCCCTGAACACGGCCTCGTATCTGGCAAGTCTTCCTGAGGAGGGCAAGGGACCTTGGGACAATGCCAAAGACACTCAGGAACACTACGATTACATTGTTCTTGGAGGTGAGTTGTATGCACGCCCCGACTTACGTTGTTCGATACTAAAGACGCTCAATTGACAGACATTCCAACCCTGGTTTCTTCATCCGCAGGTGGGAGCGCTGGATGCGTGATGGCAAGTCGATTGGCAGAAGATCCCAAAGTCAAGGTCCTCGTTCTGGAAGCAGGTTACTCGGATGAGATTATGTCCTCTCGGACACCGGCCGTCTTTATCCTCAACGTCGACAGTGCAACAGACTGGCAGTTCAAGACCACGCCACAGACGCATGCGGAAGGAAGGGTCATGAAGCAGCCTCGAGGGAAGCTACTTGGAGGGACCAGCTCCATCAATGCCATGATGTATCACCGTGGACCGGCTTCGGACTACGACGAATGGGACTCTCTTGGTAATCCAGGCTGGTCCTACAAAGAGTGTCTGCCGTATTTCAAAAAGTCGGAGGGGTTCAGCGACCCCAATCTGCCGATCTCGCATCCCAAGGGGCCATTGACGAAAAGGGTCAGGAAATCGCAATACGAGACTCACGATCCAGAGTACCATGGCACGGAGGGACCCTGGCAAGTGACCTTTCATCATCTCTACAGCGGATCTGAAGGATTCATTCGGGCGAATATTGCGGAAGGTATACAATTTAATAAGGACTTTAATGGAGAATCGACGTTGGGCGTCAACAGAATTCAGACATTTATCCAGCGTAATGCGGTTCGAAGCTCGTTGTCAAGGGCATTCTTGAAATCCAAGGACATTGTGCCTGGAGGTGGTGCGCGAGGCAAGATCAGGGTTGTGTATGGAGCGGACATCAGGCGAATTCTAGTCCAGATGAAAAAGGGCGTCAAGATGGCCTACGGTGTTGAGTTTGTGGATCACAAGAAAGGTACAAATGCCAATCATGCACGTTTTTGGCTAATGTGCCCTGCAATCGAGTCGAGACTGACGTCTGATCCTTTTCCAACCAGTTCCACGACGCGTCGTGGCGGCTAGAGAGGTATTACTCTGCGCTGGCGCGTTCGGCTCTCCACACATTTTACTCGCGTCCGGAATCGGTCCTTCACCTCAACCCTCCATCCCACATGTCCACATGCTCCCAGGTGTCGGAGCCAACCTTGCAGACCATCTAGGGCTTGGCGTGGTCTTTAGGGCTCGCAACCGCTCCCATGGCGGGCATCAAGAGCTTGCCCTCGCTCGATCGATTATCTCGCTTCTTGACTATAATTTGCGCGGTGTGGGATCGTTGTCCAGCCAGGTCGGCGAGGCTGTGAACTTTGTCCGACTCGAAGAGATCGCTCCGGATTTTGTGGCACGCGAGAAGGCCAATGGGACGTACAGGGAGCGAGCGAGCGGACCTCACTCTCCTCATATCGAGATCATCTTTGCACCGTACTTTATGCGACAACACGGAACTATCATGCCTGCGGACTCGAAGAGCTATTATACCTTGATCGCATTGCTGCTCAATCCCTGTTCCGCGGGCACTGTCACCATTAAAGCCAAGAAGAGCGATAGTCCTAGCGATGGCGGTCCGCCAGAATTCGAGACCGTTATCGATCCCAACTACTTCTCAGACGCGTTTGATGTTCGTGTGATGGTGGAGGCGGTCAAGTTCATGAGAAAATTGGGACGCAGGATGAATCAGGACCTCGAGCTCGGAGGACGGGAGGTCTTTCCGGGTGAGCTGGCGGTTCCGAACCATGATGATGAGAAGCTGCAGAGATTTGTCCGCAATTCGGCAGAGACGTACTATCACCCAACATCGACCTGTCGCATGGGCCCAACGTCGGATCCGCTGGCGGTTGTGGATAGTCGGTTGAACGTCTATGGCGTGGATCGGCTGAGGGTTATTGATGCAAGTGTGATGCCTAAACTGCCGGCGGCGCATACGTGCGCGCCGACGGTTATGATCGCAGAGAGGGCGAGTGATTTCATCAAAGAGGATTGGGAAGATCCCTCGGTCAGGAAGGGAGAACCCACCATGGCGAAGTTGTAGAAAACTCTCAATAAAAAAAAAAAAAAAAAAAATAAAGAAATGATATTTGTCTGCTAAAATGGTTAAGACCAAGGAAAGAGCTCCAGCAACTGTACTACTGAAGCAGAGTAGGCCATAATCGGGACTTTTCATTAAAAGCAGAACTTCCTCCTCTTCCTTCTCACCTCTGGCTGTGTGAGTGTCCGAATAGTTGGGGCGATCTTCTGGGGTACGCTTGAGGATGATACCTGTTTTCATTTCGTGCCGGTGCTCCTTCTCTTCCTCACCAGCATCGCCTCTCTAACAGTCAAATAGATCTTGGTTTTATTTAAAAGCAAATACTAAATACTATAGGCTAGAAGGTAAATGTCATGCACAGCAGCGTTTCCTTTTTTTTTTTTTGATAACTAGGACCCACGGGGACGTGTGGGCTTTATTAGCGTGATACTATCCTCTAGGGACCCCTATTGCTAGAAACATAAAGAAAAGTGGTATCTAATAAACAGCTTTTGCTGCTAAGTCCCGTTCACAATCCTCGTCAGCATGAGTGGTGACTCGAGGAGCCCTGCTCCCTACTTGGCCTGTTGTGCACGAAGGTCATCCTCTAGCCAGTATCCACTGTCATCAAAAACTTGCATCCGCCTAGTCGCTCCATCAGAGTCAGCTCCAGCTGCTGGCAAAAGCCCTGTACTAGGCGCCTGTCCGCCTCTGCCCTGATCTCTTCCATGTCTGTTGCTGATCTCTGATTATGGGCTGATCCCATGAAATTACTTCTGCTACGGCTGTGCCCTCCGCCACAAGTGTGTCCTCTGGCGCGTTTGCTCACAGAAGTGATTCCACGCTCTCGTTCCCAGTCCACGGTGACTTTGCAACGTCTGTTCCAGATCTCAGTCCTTCCTTTTTTGGAGGTCTCGCCGAGACATGCACAGCAGCGTTTCCGTAGTAACAAACCTGATATCCTCTTTAGAACTTGTAAAACCCATATTTGTTTTGTGCGCTGCCGAAGCATCCCTTAGGCTCAGACTCGCATGATCTCCTTGATTACATCTGAGGATCGTACACCGCAACCAGCTGTCGGTGCCCCGTACCTAAAGGAAATCCTTGGGGACCTTATATCGGAAGCATTCCAATCGTTTACCTTTAACATGTAACGATTTGTATTAAAAAAAAAAAAAAAAAAAAAGTATAATGGACCAACCTTGGTTTCAACAACGACAACTGGGACGGAAAGGAGGAAGAAGCTGAATTCAGTCTCCCATTTTATGACAAATTCCAACTCTGATAAAAAATTGGTGCCATTTCTCCATCTCAATGAACTGGCATCTACAGGCGAATGAAATATGATATTATGACAAGCGAAAGAAGCGAGTGAAGCTGTATCGACCCAAAACGAAAAAACGTCTGAAAATCCAATTCACAAAGACTAACAAGTGCTCCTCAGCAACAAAGGGCTTTGATCCGGTCGTGCTTTTCTCATCTGTTCAACATAGTGTGAAGTTGCTCTCGAAGGTTGCGATTGAGTCCCTTGGGGGGAGCATAAGTCGTTTGATGCGGTCTGGTTGCTTCGAACTCATTTATTTTGGGCAGCGAGAGGCTCGGTGTATTGCAAGGAAGGCGTCAACTTGGGCAGTGCACCTAGGGACTATGGCAGCATGGCGCGAGTATATGGAGGCAAGGTAGGCTAGACGCGGCAGTGAGAGCGTGCTGAGGACGAAAGGATAATGTATGGGATGGCTTGATTGATCTTTTCCACATGATTTACAGCCGCTCTGAGACTGAGTAGCTGAAAACTTTTTTTTATAACAACTTGTCTCTCTAGTCAATTGACTCTGCGAATCTATCAGACTAACTAACAAAGATCTACTATCGTTGTCCTCACCGACAGGAGGTCACATTCCCCGGGCCTGCCCTTAGAGCCTGCGCAACAATTGCCACATCTCATCAGTGCGTTAAAAGCTGAAAACTCCTTATTAAAAAAGAGGTATCTTCCCCATCCCCTCCATGGTTGTCAACCGCCTCCTCCCTTGCAGGCAGTCCAGCAGCGTCCGATCCGCTGCGTCTGGGTCAAGCACGGGGCCAGGTTTTTTTTTTTTTTTTTTTTTTTTTTTTTTTTTTTTTTTTTGATAACTAGAACCCACGAGGATATGTGGGATTTATTAGTGAGGGACTCTAGACTAGGGAACCCTATTGCTAGAGGCATAGTAAAGGGTGCTCAATATTCTAATAAACGGCTTTTGCCGCACCGCTGCTGGTCACTCGCAGCTCCAATCCCCTTCACAATCCCAGTCAGCATGAGTGGTAACTCGACCCCGCCTGGGGTCGGTGACTGAGCCCTGCTCCCTACTTGGCCTGTTGTGCGCGAAGGTCATCCTTTAGCCGCGTTCCTCAATCATCAAAAATTTACAGTTGCCGGTGCGTTCCATCACGTTTAGCTCCACCTGCTGCATGCAGCTTTGCAGCACTCGCTTGTCCGCTCGTTCCTCGATCTCTTTCACATCCAATGCACGTCGTTGTCTCCTGGAGGATCCAACAAAACCACTACCACTACGTCTGTGCTCTCCAACACAGTTGCGTCCCCGGGCGCGTTTGCTCATGGTAGTGATCCCATTTTCTCTTTCCCAGTCGACGGTGACTTTGCATCTTTTGTTCCAGATTTCTGTCCGTCCGAATTCCTCGATGGCCCTGACGAATCGACCGACCATGTACCTCGCGATCGAGGTGGTCGTCTTGAATAGGCTCTCCCAGTCCTTGGCGAGAGCCGTTGGTGTCAGTCCGTGGTACAAATCTTGAGCCGTCCAGGTCCCTTGATCGTTGTCCCTTGTCTCGTCCTCCACACGGCCGAGTGTGTTGCTTGCTTGCCGGATCGCCGAAGCTCCCTTGATCTTGTTCTTGAGTGCTGTCCAAATGGCCTTGTCTGTCACCTGTGTGAAGCTTGGTCCCTGTCCTCTCGCGGCTTGTCCTCGCTCCTTGGCTTGCTTTTGCTTCGTCTCCCACAGCTTGCGCTCTTTATTCCATGCTCTACGTCCATCTGTGTTGACCTTCTCGATTGCTTCCTGCCAACCGTCCTGCTGCTGCTGCATCGTCATTTCGCAGCGCCATAGATGCTGCGTGTCCTCTTTGTCCACCTCACAAAGTCTGCAGGTGTCTGTGCTATACAAATCCGGCCGCCACTGCTTCATGTACGCCAGCGTCGGCAACATTCCGTGCAGCTTCTTGATCCTGTGCGCACGACGCTGACAATCGTTAGGGCTAGTGAATAATCCCTTCGGTGTGTTGCCGTTGTGAATGATGTGCAGTGTTGCTTTCCAGTCCACCAGGTTCCAATCCTTGATGTTTTCCTTAGTCCTGTTCTGCTCTGTCCATAACGCGTTCATCCTTACCGTTGATTGGCGTTTAAGTACCTGCCTCAGATCACCCTCAACGACCGCGCCTTTGAACATGGCGTGGCACTGGATGTCATTGTGTTCCTTTTCATTGATGGCCCAAAGGTCACTGAAGTGCGCCTCTTTTGCTGCCTTGTCCGCTGCCTCGTTGCCCTTATGGCCTGCGTGCCCTTTGATCCACTCCACCTTGATCTTCCCTCCTTGATGTACATATGCGTTGTGCACTGCCGACCACCAGATCGCGTAAGTCGACCGCAGCCTTTGGCGTTCCGTGCTTCCTTGTCTCCCACTCACCAAGGCTTTAAATTGCGTTACCACAGCCGAGTTGTCAATGTAGATGGTTGTTGGCGTGTTCCTTGGACTGGCCAGGATTGCTGCAAAAAGCCCTGCAAGCTCCGCTTTAGTCGATGAAGCAAATCCTGCGATCCTGCCCGTTACCACTGTGTGCATGGCGTCTTGATTTTCCTGCGCTACCACGCCGAATGCCATTCGGACACCCTGCTTTCCTGCTTCTTCCATTGAACCGTCCGAAAACATTACAACTTTGTCCAGTCCTTGCAGTCGGGTACGCTGTTGCTGGATGTGGCGCAACACTGCTGCTGGAATACTGACCCCGAATGTGTCTCCTATCGGACGTTGCGTATCGTCTGGCAGTGCTCTATAGCGTAACGTTGGCATTGCATCCATCTGCTCCCGCGCCAGAGTACGGAGCCTTGCTCGAAGTGCCCCATTGTCCAATCCTGGATCTCTGCCGCGCAGTTTGGTCCTGAGTCTCGCATTTTTGCTTGCTTCCCTCTTCCTCATGCGCCGCTGTATTCGCCGCCTGTTAGCACGTCGCCTGTCAGCCTCACGTTTAAGCCGCTGCCGGTTTGAGTTGTGATCCCGTGTCTGTTGCCTCGTGTTCCTGATACTCTCCTCCAATCTTCTCCTAACCTGTGCCTGCCTCCTTCGTACTGCTTCCGTTTTTCTCCTGTGCACTTTCGTAGCTGTTTCGTTGTGTTTCCGCCATATCCTACTGTTCTCGTTTGCCTCCCACTCTTTTTCTTTCCGATACTCGTTGCGTTCGAATGCGACTCCCATTGCTTCCTCCACTTCGGCGCGTCGTGTTGGGTGAATCTCTTGGCTCTGCTGTAGTCCTGCTTGTACATAATCTTCCTTCCTTCGCTCCCTGTCTGCTGGTTCCTCTGCTGGTCTCTGTCTCGGTATTTCCTGCGCTACGTTCACCTCCCTATACTCAGCCATCTCCATCGCCTCGAGTTCGGCTGTCACTGCAGCGACTGCAGTCTCCTCATCCTCCGTTGCTCCTTCGACCTCAGTGGTGTAGCTGTCGTAGGCTTCCTGTACTTTCTGACCGTCCTCAAACTGCTGAAGGAACTCCAATTTCTCGACGCACCAGTCCTCAATAAAATCAGTTGCGTAGTTTGCCTGGCTAAAGAGGTCCTGCATTGTATTGAACCAGACAGGGGACAATTTCGGATCCTTTCTGCCTATCCTAATTTCCCTCCATGCCTTCAGTGACCCGTCTCTTGTAAGGAGTTGATCTACAAAATAAACCATCCTTTTTGCTAACTCTGTGCGCATGCTGTCGTCAATCTCCTCTCCGAAACACTCGTCAATGGTGGTGGCGTTGTTCTGCAGCCCAAAGTCTCCTGCCAGTTGTAGAGCAAACACGATATTTCTGTCTGCCATGAGCTTGCATACTCCTGAAGCGAAGTTGTGTTTGAATTGTTGTACACTGCTGGGGTCCGCTGTAGGTAGGAGAGCCATCCTCTGCTGCTGTTGTAACGCAATGATCCGAGCTCTGCAGATTTTTCCCATGAGTCCCTTGTCGTTCAATCGTAGTTGGAGTGTTGATATCTGTTCCTCAGCCTGTGCGTCTTCTAGATTTTTTACCCCGTAGAATCGATGGTGGTGCATGATGCTATTGGGCGTGGTAGACGGCATCCGAGCCTTCCGTTTACACAGCTTCATGTATTTGCCTGTCATCTTGCGCGTAAATGTGCGTGGCATAATTTGCGCCGAAATCCTGTATAGCACTTTGGGGATGAGGACATTGTTGACAATGTACGTCGTCTGCTTGTCCGTCACTGCTTTCGGCGTGAGAATGTTGCAGATCATGTTGACTTCTCTCTCTACAATCCGTTCCGTTGTTGTCACTGCTCCACTCGCCGTGACCCAGACTCCTAAAATCCGCACTGCCTCATTCTTGTCAACCGGTGTGATCGCCTCCGCTGGTGTTCCAAACATGAGGCGGTTGTCGCAGTCCTTTTTGTGGTTCAGTGCCACAACCTGTGTCTTCTTGGTGTTGATTTCGACCCCATTCAAAACAAAGAAAGATGTTGCCACGTCCAGTATCTCTTGCATGTTGTCTCGTGAGTTGGAAATCCATGTTGTGTCGTCCACGAAAGCCAACCCCGCGACCTGTGGTGTGTCTTTGGGTCCGTGGATGGTGTATCCTGTTGTATGCTCCATGACCTCGCACAGCAGTGGGTCGTACGCCACGCGCCACAAAAGTGGACACTCCACTCCGCCCTGGTCCAGTCCGCATTCCGGGTGGTATTCGTCTGTGAGTCCGTATTCTGTGATAACTTGATTGGTTTTGGTGATGGCAATATTTTCACACAGCTCGATGAACGCTTCCGGGACACGCAGTCGCCTCAGGCCCCTGGATAGCATGCTGTCAGGTGTACAGTTGACCGAGTCAAAACATCTTTTCATATCCTGGAACACGATCCACTGCTCCTTCTTAAATTCTCGGGCGTCCTCCATTGCTGCCTGGAGGATGTGGATTGGGTCTTTGGTCGTTGTTCCTTTGAGTACCGAGAAGTTTGGTCCACGCAAAATCTCGTGCCTTCGCATGATCTCGCTTAACCTGTTTGTCAACACCGCGAACATGATTTTCCTTGCGTGTTCAAGCAATGCGATTGGTCGGACTTCCGCCATACTTCCTGACCATTCCGCTGCCTTAGGGATACAGTACAATAATCCTGTCCTCCAATCCTTTGGGATATTTTTCTGCACAATGGATGCTCCCACGATTTGATATAAAATGCTGTGCCCTAGCTCACCCTGATGTTGAAAGAGGTCGTTTGTGACTCCCGAGACTCCTGGAGCTTTGTACTTTGGTGAATTTTGAATCACTGCCTGAAATTCTGATTGCGTTGGTGGGTCCATGAGTCCATTGTACCACTCTTCTTTGATTTTGTCCGATGGTGTGTACTGTCGCTCCCATCGCGAGCCTGGCTCTAGCGGTTTGGCTGGTCGCGGTCCATGCCATTTCTCAAACCACTCCCGGACGTATTTTTTGATCTGTCCTGGTTGAAGAATATTAGATGTAGATCCGTCTTCCTCCACTTGAATCCTATCCAGAACTACCCGTCCTCTTCCACGGCCCAACACCTTGTCAATCATCCTCCCTGTTGCCGTAACCATCTGCTCGCATCTCTTCTCAATCCATTCCGTCATTTTTCCTGCATTCGCCACCTTCCTCTCCACCTGCAGCCCTCTCAGCGCCCTTGTCCACCTATTCCTGACACTGGTGACCCATTCCTCCCAGATTTCCTCCGCGTCATGCCATCCTGGTACCGCTTCGAGATCCTCCATTGGCGTTTTCATTTTGTCTCGCCACCACGCTGCGTGTTGATTGAACTTGACGTGTTCTTCCATGAGTCGCGCCCGCGCGTCGTCCTCCAAATCAATTTGTCGTCTCTCCGTAATCGATTTTGCCAGCTGTTTGATCCGACCGAGATCGCGGACCAAATGTAACGCGGAAAGATCCGATTCTGGCTTCATTCCTGACCTGCCCACAATCTTTCCTGGCAGAGTATCCTTTGCGCACTGAAGCATGTTCTTGGAGTACCACCGCCACGCCCTTTCCACGTCTACTTTGTGAAGATCTTCCAGCGTGTTCGTGTCATTGTCCTCGGTTGGCTCCTTGAGTCCTAACTCTCTCATTTTTTCCTTGTCGCTGAGAAGGTCGTCCAATGCTTCCTTGAATGCAGTCCACTCTAACTTGCCTGTGTCACGGAAGCTGAATCGGAATCCCTTTGGTTTCTTGTACTTGATCGGGCTGGATGGCGCCTCCGTGAGCCCGTGGAGTGTCAGTTTTACCGCAACCATCTTGTGGTCCGAAGATATACCGTCAATTGAGCTGTGCTTGACCTCGAGCAACCTGTCCACCAACAGGCTGTCGAGGAAAATCATGTCAATTCTGCTAACCCCTTGGCATGTAAAATCTTGCTTGACTGGGTACATTATGCGGAATGCGTCTTGGAGCGGCTCAACCTCCAGCCACTTGAGTAAGTCAGTCTCCGGTGTGGCCCTGTTCCTGGCTGTCGAGCTCCTGTCTATCCTTGGGTTACATACTCCATTGAAATCCCCCAATAAAATCACTTCTCGATGTTCTGCTTTCGCTTCTCGGTATTCTTTTTTCACCCATTTTGAAATCGCTTCGATCTCTCGTCTTTTTAATGCATCGTTATGCGTCTCGCTCGGCACGTATACGTTCATCACCCTGACTTTCAGCCGCCCTTTGAAGTTGAAGTCCCGCGCCTGACCGCGACTCCCACATGTTGAAATTCTACCCGCATGCTGCCACCACCAGTTGGACATCAAAAGTCCAACCCCAGTGCCTCGTGTTTTTCCTTCTTCTCCACTGACCCACCACGAATTGAAATATTCCTGGTCAATGTTTTTTGCCATGGTTCTCCCGCCATGGTTCATGTTCGTCTCCTGCAATGCAATAATATCATACTCCTCATCGTGCCCCCAATGGTATAACGCCTCTACCTTTCCTGCTGTCAACAGCCCTTGTGTATTGAACGACCCTATCCTGAAATTGTCCGTATTTTTCATCTCCTGCGTCGATTCATTCTCGTTTTGTTGGGTCGTATTATTCATTTTTGGATGATGTTTTTGATGTCTGTCCATTTGTTACGGGGTTGGTGGGTAGCTGGGTGTTCAGTCGTGCCAGCTTAGGCGTACTCAATAATGTCATCAATGATGCCAGTGTCTCATTCGCAGGGGGGATGTCCTGAGTCTTGGTAGAGGGATCTCTCTTTGACTTCATGGCGTTGCGACTGACATCTGCGCTCAGACCAGCAGCCAGCAGCTGCTCCTTTGGGATAGTGATCCCCATCTGCTGAGAGAACATCTGGATCATGATAGACATTAGGAGCTGATTTGTCTGAGCTACCTGTTGCTGTTCCTGTTGCATACGGACAATTGTCTCCTGGAGTTGCGTGACCTTCTTTTCCAATGCGTTATTCTGCTTGATGGTGCTGGTGTTGTTTACGGTGCTATTGCCGCCTTGCTGCTGCTGCTGCTGCGCTGGTTGCTGCTGTGGCTGTTGCTGTTGCTGCTGCTGTCCTTGGTGTTCGTTGCCTTGCACATTGTCTGCTCCACTGCCTTTCGTGATCTGTGCAAACGATTTCTGTGTCGTGACCCTCATTGGGCCTCCTTTCTGGTATTCCTTGACTGCCCTGATGTGCGCCTTTGTTCTCTGATGTTCCTGGAAGATGCTACACTCGCGCTGGATGTGGCCAAGTTTACCGCACTCTCTGCACCTCTTTTCTTCTCTGTCTCCCCACACCGTATCGTAATTTCCGAGGCGCAAAGGCACCGCCATATTTTTCTCCATGTCTTCTGCGGACGTAAAATAAACAAATGCCTCTCTTTGATTTCTCGATTGTCTTCCATCCCTACTGAAAATCTTTGGGATGATGATAAACTCTGCCTTTTTTTCACCCAAGAGGGACTTCAAGTCCAAAACCGTGGTTCCCACTGGGAGATGGGAGAGCTTTGCCACAAAACCAAGCTCCCACTTGATCTTTTCTGTCCCAACCGTGCTTACACGAGCGAGATCTCGCCCAATAAAGATCCACTTTATTCCCGTCTGTAGGAAATTCCTAACGACCTGCACGTCTTCAAAAATCACTCTAGCGGTGATCTTGATTCCATTCTTGCATGGGCGGGTGATGATCTTCTCCACTACGCCATATCGCGCCATTGCAGATTTAATCCTGAAATCGTCTGTGAGTGGGTGCAATCCGTACACCTCAATGGTCCTCTCCTGCTCTGCCTCGCGTCTCGTGTTGTCCATGCGCGTGAACATCGAGTACTTCTCCGTTGTTCCATCCTCGAGAGTGATCCTGTCTTCGAATCGGAGGAGCATATCCAGCTCGCTCTGGGTTTCGACTGCGATGCGGAAGGCTGCCTCGCCTGTGGGCAACTTGATGCGGGACGGGCCTTCTGTGCAGTGGACAGAAGCACGCAGGAGGATATCCTGCAGTTCGGATTTCTTTTCCGCGGCGGTGTTGCCGTGGATGCTATCCAGGTGGATCGATGCCGCGAAAAATCGGTCTCGGGCACGTTGGACTTCGATCCACTCCTCCTGAGCCTCTTGCTCCATGGATTCGTCCTCCATGGCTACCGCCTCGGCGACATCTTCGTGCTGTTTAGCGTTCATGGCTTTAAGCCCCATCTTGGAGCTGTAGATAATGGGGACGGTCGGTGGCAGTGCAGTTCCTGAAGGACCTCCAGGATTGGGCAGTGCAGCTGAGGTGGTGGCCTCAGCGGCGCGAACAGGTTGGCTAGGTTCCAAAATGCCTCCTGTGGGTTTCAATTTTTTGGCATTCGCCATTCCGCCATCATCAGGCCGATCGTGTTGCGGATTTCTCGAGTTTCCGCTTTGCATCCTTAGAAGGGTCGTTGGCACTCTTGTGCGCTAACAGGGGATGTGGAAGGGGGGTAGATAGAGAGGGGTGTGTAAAATGTAGCGTCCGACTTGGTAGAACGGAAAGAGTTTATGCTGTTGGGGTCAAGCACGGGGCCAGGGCAGACTGAGTAGCTGGAAACGTGCATTTAGGGAGCGCGCTGTGCACTTACGGAATATTTGTACTTGGAAACATAACGATACTAGGAGTCGACATTTTAAGTCACCAGCTCGTCTAGCTTAGTCGGTAGAGCGTCGTGCTAATAACGCGAAGGTCGCAGGTTCGATCCCTGCGATGAGCATTTTGCCTCCCTCGATCTGGTTCCCAAACGATGGATCGGCCCAGCTTTTTCTCTCTCTTTCGCCCCTCCCGTGAGAGCTCTAATCTTAGGGACAATCTATTTGGCAACCCCTGCACAAATCCCATGTAAAACAAGGCTCGTATCTTTTGCGAATTTCAAGCCGAAACAACGCGGCGAGAGGTTGAGAACCATTCCTTCCTCCACCTGGCACCCCATGCAACCTTTTGCGACCTTGGGAGAAGCCTTCTTCATGACGGAAAACAGGGCTTTATCGATGACGGACTCAGCGATGACGAAATGGGAAATCAGTTGCATTGTGAAGTCCTTTAAGAGACAGATGACGATCTAGCTTAAAGAGCCGGGGCCAGGTACCATAAGGACTGCCGCGTTGTTTCGGCTTGAAATTCGCAAAAGATACGAGCCTTGTTTTACATGGGATTTGTGCAGGGGTTGCCAAATAGATTGTCCCTAAGATTAGAGCTCTCACGGGAGGGGCGAAAGAGAGAGAAAAAGCTGGGCCGATCCATCGTTTGGGAACCAGATCGAGGGAGGCAAAATGCTCATCGCAGGGATCGAACCTGCGACCTTCGCGTTATTAGCACGACGCTCTACCGACTAAGCTAGACGAGCTGGTGACTTAAAATGTCGACTCCTAGTATCGTTATGTTTCCAAGTACAAATATTCCGTAAGTGCACAGCGCGCTCCCTAAATGCACGTTTCCAGCTACTCAGTCTGCCCTGGCCCCGTGCTTGACCCAGACGCAGCGGATCGGACGCTGCTGGACTGCCTGCAAGGGAGGAGGCGGTTGACAACCATGGAGGGGATGGGGAAGATACCCCTTTTTTAATAAGGAGTTTTCAGCTTTTAACGCACTGATGAGATGTGGCAATTGTTGCGCAGGCTCTAAGGGCAGGCCCGGGGAATGTGACCTCCTGTCGGTGAGGACAACGATAGTAGATCTTTGTTAGTTAGTCTGATAGATTCGCAGAGTCAATTGACTAGAGAGACAAGTTGTTATAAAAAAAAGTTTTCAGCTACTCAGTCTCAGAGCGGCTGTAAATCATGTGGAAAAGATCAATCAAGCCATCCCATACATTATCCTTTCGTCCTCAGCGCGCTCTCACTGCCGCGTCTAGCCTACCTTGCCTCCATATACTCGCGCCATGCTGCCATAGTCCCTAGGTGCACTGCCCAAGTTGACGCCTTCCTTGCAATACACCGAGCCTCTCGCTGCCCAAAATAAATGATTTATAGACTTTTTTTTTTTTTATTAACATAAATCCCCATGATCGGGACCTTAGCCGGAACCCTTGAATAAATGACTTATAGACAGATTCCAGTTTTATTTAAAATATACACTATAACTTATCTCGCCAGATAGTTTTTGGTTGGAAACCGCAACTGTCAAGATGTTGGTCTGAGTGATCGATGTTATTTAGTTGGTCCACGCCATGATGTGCTTAGTGGCAACCACATCCTCCAGTAGAGACCGAGGCCAGGGTCTTCAACTTTTCCTCAACTGAGTCGACTCCCTCCTTTGGAACACGCTTTTCGAAATCGTCCCATGCGGCTTCGGAGAACCCAGGCTCGAGTACGACATCGACTCCTGTCATGGCCAATCCCTTGGCAGAGCGAAGAGTGGCAGCATGGGCAACTTCGGTCTTGGCCTGCTCTGTGAACCTGATCGAGTGGTTTGAGACCTCAGTATCGATGGCGCCCTCAAGGCTGGCGATGTTGAAGACGGGGTGGATACCGGGGAGGTAATGTGCCACATTGCCCATGTCTGTCGATCCACTGGGAGCGGCCTCTTGTATTGCCCTTGGAACGTATTTGACGCCGAGATCTTCTGTGTAGGCGGCATAACGGGCAGCCAGGAGCTCGTTATTGGGGACGGGCTTATACTCCATCTCCTCTGTGATCTTGACGGTGCATCCTGTGGAGTCGGCGGCGGCGTTGAGAATCTTCATGACGCTATCGCGGATCTTTCTATGATCGTCAATGTTGGTGGCACGGTACAGGAACTTTCCAGCGGCATAATCAGGTATAACTATCGGTTTAATCGAGGAGTGAGAAAGAAAGAAGCACACCCAAAAGAAAAAAAAAAAAAAAAAAGGTACATGTCGATGAGTGTGTTTTTTTCGTGTTCACAATGGATGCATTCCTTTGATGTCTGCGGCGCAGAAACGTACTGTTTGGTGCCTGTCCTCCATTAGTGATGATGCCGTGGACGCGACTAGTCGGTGCAGTTTGCTGACGAAGGAGTCCAATGCCGTTGTATGCGGTTACCAAGGCATCGAGAGCATTCACACCTAACATCCAACATAGAGTTCGTCCGAGTAATAGGAAGCTGTCAGGGAGACTGAGCAGAGAAAAAGAGGTGCGTGCAGACCTTCTCGACCATAATTTTTACCTTCCCATGGCGATGCAGAGGCATGGGAAGCCTTTCCGAAGTACTCTACTGCGACACCACCGACAGACAGGACTGTGCAGTAAACAACATCTGCAGGAGCAGGATGTGCCATCATGCAGGCCTCCAATCCATCAAAAGCGCCACTCTTGATCAGCGGAATCTTTCCTCCAGTGGTCTCCTCGGCAGGGGTACCCACCAGACGCACACGTCCCGCCAGGTTGTGTTTCTCGAGTACAGCCTTGACGCCAAGGGCGGCCGCGACACCGGAAATCGCGATCAGGTTGTGGCCGCATGCGTGACCGATGCCTGGCAAGGCGTCATATTCTGAGCAATAACCAACAGCCTTGACCTTCTCGCCAGCAGCGGCAGCGGCAGTGGCGGCAGGCGATTCGTACTCGGCGATAAAGGCGGTATCGATCTCGTACGCATGGCGGGTCACGTTAAACCCCTTTGACTCCAGGTAATCGGTCAGAACCTTGTGCGCAAATACCTCTTTGTATCCAAGTTCTGGGTTGCTATGAATCTATATGGCAGAGCGCGCACTTATGTGAGCGAGTAACGAAAGTAGGGTGTATGGTCGTCTTGAAGTTCATTTACTGCTACTTTGAACGCGTGAGGAACAGGGAGGTGCTGCATAATTATCAAGACCATGTAGAAAGTTATACCTGTAAACTGAGTTGGCGAAGCGATTCGCTTTCACTCTCAATAGCCTGATTAATTTCGTTGGCGTACTTGCTTCCGTGGGCTGAGGATGTAACGGTCATGACTACAGGCGGGTGGAACGGGGCGGGATATAAAAAGGTATTGGGGGCAGTGGATGTGTGCTATGGAAAGGTATGGAGCTGGAGAAGGAAGAGTGGGGAGAAGGTGTGAAAAATCCAGAAAAGAAAATTCTCGTACATGTACCTTATCTTTTGGCCTACGTGGGCATCCTCCGCACAGAGAAATGACTTTGCTGCGTGTGCTAACGTTGTATATATGCGCATAAGGTGCAGAGCTGTCGATGAGTCGATGTGGATGGCTTCTTTTTATGGAGCACATCTTTACAGTTTTTCAGGAACCATATCAGAATTAGCATTTCTTATTGTATTTGAATCCAATTTTTCGGCCTCAAACGGACGTCCAGCTGATTGGCAAGAACGTCGTCAAGGAAAAAAAAAATGTTTACGCGTCGTAGATAAAAGACTTACAGGTCTAAGATACTGCTTGCATGCGTTTGCTTATAATATTTTAGTTGAAGACAACGTCCAGCGCTGCTTTATTGAGTTCTATTAGGTGTACGATGTGAACGTAATGAGGACGCCTAGACTAGCCAGCATCATTTCTGAGCGCATGAGTTTAAAGGCTCTTGAAGACGTTGAGAGGGTCCCAGCGACTTTTGACGGCGGCTAAGGTATCGTAGGTCTTTTGCTCGTAGCACTTACGCCAGTAGTCCTGGTCCCCGAGCTGCTTGGGACGCAGTTCGTTGGCGTAGTAGCCCAAAGTCCAGGGCTTGATGGCAGCGATGGTCTCGTCTAGCCAGGCCTTGTTTTTGGCGTCCCATTCAGGGTCTCCATTACGCTTCCAGGTCGAGTAGACGCACAAAGAATAAGAGCGATCATACCCGAGAGCGCTGCGGGTGGGTGCGTCCCAGGTACCTGTGTTCAAAGCCATGGAAGAGAGGTTGGAGGGAACCTTGTCCCATTGCTCAATCAATATCTGCTGGAGACGAGGATCCAAGGGAACAGGAAACCAGACATCCTCGGCGTAATAAGAGAGATCAGAATCCGCCCAGCTGCTATCGCCGCCATGGATGACGCCAGCATAGTTGCTAGGATCAGAGGTAGCAAAATTCGTAGGAAGACCCTTGTACCACTCGGTGATATGGTTCTGAGCAGTGGTGACCTTGGAGGAAGTGTTGTGCGGGGCAGCAGACACCGAGGCGAAGAGGTACTGCTTGCTGCTAGTCGCTTCATCCACAACGAAGACGATCTTGTTCTCGAGTGCCTTGGGAGCGATGGGGTCAAAGGCGCTGTAGAAACTCAATAGATCATTAGCCTGGGGGCGATCAAAGATGGCAAAGACCTGGTCGATGGGGACGGAGGTTTCATTGTAGGTAGGGACCAGTGTAGGGTTCTCGACCATGGGGACCAGCTTGAGGTAGAACTTGGTGACCACGCCAAAGAATTGTCCACCTCCACGGACAGCGTAAAAGAGGTCACTGTTCGTCTTGGCGTCAGCATAGACAGTGCGGCCAGAGTCAATAACAATGTCGAAGCCAATGACGTTGTCAACGCCAGCGCCGTGGAGGCGGGATCCGATGCCCATACCTCCTTGGAGAAGGAATCCGCCGAAAGTGACTCGAGCAGTATGGGGACCAGGAAAGTGGAGCCCGTACTTTATGGCCTGAGTATAAAGGTCCAAGCCAGTAGCACCAGGTTCTACGGTGGCAGTTCTGGTCTTTGGGTTGATGGTAACCTGTCTCAGCTTGTGAAGGTCAATCAAGACAAAGTCCTCTTGGTTGCTGTCAATAGCGGCCATGTTGGAGGAGTATCCGGACTGGTAACCACCAGAGCGGGCAGAGACACGCAGACCAAAGTTTTTGGCGACTTGAATGGCGCGACCGATACCACGGTTGTTGGCCTTGGAAGGGGCCACGATGGCCAAGGGCAAGGCACTGGCGGGGAACTCCTTGGGGGTAATGAGATTGTTGAAGGTCTTGAGCGCACCATAATAGGCGTCCTTGTTTTTCTGCCAGCGGAATTGGAGGTCATTTGGAGGTATTGGGAAGACTGCGGCAGTGTACGACTGATAAACCTGGTCCTGGGTCGCCTGATCGGCAGCGGCATAGGCTACAGTGGCGATAGCCGATAGAATACACAAGGAAAACTTCATGCCTTGAGTATAGAGTAAGAGAAGAAGGGAAGGAGGCGTAGAGGAGGAGGAGGATTGCGGTGAGAAACAAAGGGGCGACCGGCGGAATGAGGATGAAAGTGTGCTAAGGAAAAAAAAAAGAAAAAGAAAAAAGAGTGGGGAATAGGATCTACGTCTTTATAACATGACATGACATGCATACCCTAGATGCCTCGACACGAAGCAATAACGCCTTGGGGCCAAGCATTGTTGAATGGTGCTTTCAGAACTCTCCCGACTGCATATGTAGTATGTACTCAGTTTCTACGCGTCATTTGGGAAGGCAGGGTGCTCACAGTTATTGATAATGCCTCATTTCAAAGGCATACAAACAGAGTTGCAAATGCAAGGTTAGAGCCGTGAGATAATTGCAGCAATGCAGTAGTTCAGAACCTGTTTGCCCACACTTTCAGTGCTCAGCTCCCCGAGTTCCCTATGTCAAAGTGCTTAAAGAGGCAGGTATGCGGACTCATGGCAGCACCCTGCTCCCGAAATGGACTCTAGCGCTTTGGCAATTTTAGTTCGAAGGAGTACATAGCAAGCAGCGCGAGTTGAATTGAGTTCAAATCCAGCAGCACTGATGCTGTCAGATAATCCACATGGACGGAAAAGTGCAGTAAAATGATCGGCGAAATAACGCACTAAGGATACGCAGATGAACTTGCATTTGTCATGGGCGGATATGTTCCGAAGGACCCTTCATTTCTATCATCTTGTTAAATTCTGGGGTTCCTGAACGCTTTACGCTCTTGTTCTTGCATGCATCTCATTTTCTTTGTTTATGGATACACTCCGTCCACTGTTGGGGAGCAGAAGCGGAGCAACAAAAAAAATAAGTGAGCAGCGCGTTTGTGGCAATATCCAAAATAGACACTTCGTATTTGTGTGCTCAAAGGATTTGTAACATAGGCTACCATTGGTTTGCCATCAAATCAACAGCCAAATCAAGCCCTTGACATCGCCTTCGTCGTCCTTCCGCTTTCCATGAGTCCCCTCCCGCATTCACAGCCTTGAAACCTCTATGGAGACGAAAGGTAGTGCCTTCAAAAAGTGTACCGATCGATACATCTTGTACAGCACAGCTATTCTCATTCTGGAGATGTACATGAGTTAATCGTCTTTTATTATAATAGACTTTCGTTGCACTACTCTGCATTCGACGAGCACATATTACGGTCAAAGACACAAGGATCCAAACCAAGGGGACGAATGGAGGGTCAGCGTGAGAATTAGGATGAAAGAGGTCAAGAAGGGACCAAGGAAGCCAGAGCTAGGAAATGCTAGGGTTTATTAACTTGCTGATTACAGTAATTTAGGCAAGACTTTCACACTGAGCCAGCCAGCCTGGAGCCGGCGTTGGGCATGGATGCAAAAACGTCTGCGCCTGTCCTCGGTAAAGCCCTTGCTACTGGGCTGGTCAGATCTGAGGGAAATTAACCTTGATTTTTTTTTTTTTTACATTAGCCACTTTTTTGCACGATGAACGTTATGGGTAAGAGAAAGATGGATCGTGAGAGGAAGAAGACAAGACGCGACAATGTCAATGGTAGAGAGAGAAACGAGCTAAATGAACAAAATGAAAGGATGAATGTGTTTGCCACCGTATGCTGCGGAGAATGAGGTAGCACAGCGAATTGGGTTGATCGCCTGTTGTTTCCCGTTCATACTAAGTGATGCTGCGGTCTATTACCAGACGCACATGAGATAGCGACCTACTGCTGCTGGTTGACATCCATTGTAGGGATATGTCAACGATGACAGGCGCTGGGGGTTCCGTCCAAGGTTATTTTTATTGGTGGACATTTTTTTAAGTCTCGTCTTGAATCTGGAGGAGTCGCCTGTTGCCGCCCACACCCATTAAAAATGATGGCAATTGGGTTCTCATCGCGGGAGCCAATAGCATGAGTCTCTTCTTCTACCCTACGCCTTTTTTTTTTTTTTTTTTTAGGTGCGTGTCATAGCGTTGGCTCCTATTCTAGGCCTCGCCACGGGGCCCAGAAATCGCTCATGACCCGCCATCTGAGAGATCTATTGTCTTCAGTGCCTCATGAGACCAGATAGCCTCGTTTGCTACCGAGTAGTGGTGAAGGATGATAGAGCCACCTTCTGCCGCTGTCAGATCGGCATTGCCAAAGGATGAATAGGTCAACATTCCTCTGAGTGAGACATGATGCACTGAACAAATTCGTGCTATCCGCACTCCTGGGTCAACGGTTCGGCTCCTTACATTTGTCTCTGACTACCAAGTACACATCGCGGCAAGACCTGTATGTGGAAATAACAGAGATGTACTTTTCTCGTTATGAATCTGTGGCAATCGGTCTATTCAATCATGGCGTTCTGTATTTTGAAGCGGATGTGGTGCAGAAATCCTGAAAAAAAAAGTGAATCCTTCTTTTGATTGTGATGCCCGTGCTCTGCTCATTTTGTGGAGATGGCTCCAAAAGGGGGACAACTTAGACTTATATTGAGGCTGGAGAGAGAGGGGATGCTGGTGGGAAACGACGCCCGAAAGATGCTCTCGTTCAGTATTTCTTTGCTCTACTAGGAGAGGGCACCAAAGATGGGGTAGTGCAGCTGTGTATCTTCTTAAAGAGATGGCGATGATGATGCTGCTGCTGCTGCATTAAGAAATGAGGGACAAATGACGGTGTCACCCCCAGGACGTGTGCAAGTAAAACAGTCGTGGCTGGATGTACGAAAATAACGTCTTTGTTAATCGTTCCCGCCCCTGTCCTCCTCCCTTTGAAGGAGGGAAGGAGGGAAGAAAGAGAACGCGGAGGAAGGAAGAAGGAAGACGAGGCTATCGCTCACATACTCGACATGCACACAGACAGCACCCACATAGTCTACACACGCCATTGGACTTTCTCTCTTCTATCTCCAATCCATTCCCCCTCTTTCTGCCCCATTCCCTCCTTTCCCTCGCCCACCCTCTCCCCCCTGGATGGTTCTTGCTCCAGCACACCTTTATTTAACTTCGATTTTCTGTACTTCGCTCACACAGCTCTTCTCCATCTCCACTGACCGCTGCTGAGGTTGTCATCCCGCCCTGCATCCATCTCTCCTCCTCTTCCCCCTTCCTTTTTTCCATCCAGACGTACCCAATCGCCATTGCCCTCAGGACACCAAACGATCCCCAGCCGAGCGGAATCATTCTCCAGTCCTAAGCGAACGAAGCAGAGGAAACCAGCAACAACTACATCACAAGGAACGCTCCAGTCCTCAACAGCGCACTCCCCCGCCGATCGTTCCCTCAGGATCCTATCGCAGCATTCTCTTTCCTCCATGGCACAGTCCCAGCAGAGGAAGTTGGGCAGCTGGGACAATGATCGTATGATAAAGTAAGCACACTCATTATTCCACACTTCTGTCAAGGGCTCTGGAACCAGACCCCTCGCCACCCAGTGTTACGATGAGTGGGAATCAGCGACCGTATGACACGCCATTGTCGAGGCCGAGGCAGATCGCTCAAACGGGCTTTGTGAATCTCGGCAGAACATAAAACGCGTTTTTTTGTTGTTGTATTCATAAAGGAGAGGTGTTCTTTTTTTGTTCTTCATGGGCTGCATCGCTCGAGTGTCTCCACTCGGCCTTGAACAGTTCCTTCCCCTCCCCCGCTCTTTTTTTGAGTTTGGCAAAGAGTGAGGACACAACCAAAGAATCGGCAATGGCGCCTACAAGTGGAGAAGTTTGATATTATCGAAGGCAGTTGCGTATGATCGTCAGCAGCTCAATGCCCACCTGGCAGGGAGCTCACCCTCTTTTCAGGTCCTCAGGAGACTGAGCAGTGCTCTTTCCAAGGTGTCACCAACAGTGGACAGGGCAGATTAATAAATAGCAACAGACACGTCTTTTGCTATATCCTTGCACAGCTCGCAATTGGTTTTCCCAGGCAGAGACCGCCCTCTATTAAGCGAAACAAGAGAAGGGGACGAGACTGAACAAGGAGGAAAGAGGCTCCTTGTGTATGAGCCTGGTGGTAGAAAGGGGACCAAGGGGGTTGTGGCCATGTTTCGCTGTTTCATCTCCTGGCACGCACCGACGCCAATACGCATGGAGTGAAAAAAAAAAAGCACTCGTTCCTATTCTGAGCACTCGAACAAAAAAAAAACGCTCTCAACGACTGATCTTGTGCGTGGCAAGAAACGACGCAGTGCAAAGAAAGGCAGGGAACTGCCGCTGTATATATGGTATCGACTAACTCACCCGTTCCCGTCCATTTTAGTCTCTACATCTACGATTATTGTGTCAAGCGCAACTTTCACGCATCCGCTTCTGCGTTTGCATCAGAGGCCCACATAGGGCCAGATACCAAGGTCCCCATCGACACCCCAGAGGGATTTCTATACGAATGGTTTGTCGTCTTCTGGGATTGCTGGAGCGCGGCACAGCCTCAAATGGGAGCTGCGAGCAAGGATGCAGCCACATATATGGAGGTAAGGCATGTAAGGTCGTCTACTAGCCTTTGTTATGAAAATGGAGTCCAGTTCAGCTAATCTTCTTTGTCCAGCTCAATCCCATGAATCGTCAGCTGATGAGGCCGCCGGGCCAGGCTCCTTTCCAGATGAGAGGCGTATTGCAGGCTCAGCAAGCGCAGAACCAGCAATTGCAGCAAATGCAGCAGCACCAACAGCTTCAACAGCAGCAGCTCCACCAGCAACAGCACCAGCAGGCCCAGCTACTTCACCAAAAGCAACAGCAGGCCCAGCAGGCGCTTCAACAACAAGTGCAGCAGCAGCAATTAGCGGCTCAAAATCCGCATCAAGGCATGGTACCAAACACCATGCAATCGCCACACGCGGTCCATATGCAGTCTCCTCATCCCCAGCAGCAATTGCAAGGTGGAGCTGTGGGTATGCATGCCTCTCCTCAGTTCGCATCTGCGCAGGTTGTCGGCCAGAGCACACCAAATGACCCTGTAAGTAGAGCGCCGCGTCCGTAACATATCAGTTCGTAACACGAATGGCAACATGTGCGATGATACTGAGATGCTTCCATTGTTTTACCCATAGACTCAAATGGCAAATCACGCTCAAAAGCCTCAGCAAGCGCAGCAGCCTCGTGGACCGTAAGTTAAATGAGGGTCTGTTGGGTTATTCAATCTAGGAATGAAGGATGTCTGTTTATGCGGGAGCGTTTGCTGACCCATGTCATTGAAATATAGGATTTTGATGGGTCCAGCGCAGCAAAAAATGTTAATGAAGCAGCATCAGCAGCAGCAATTTCAACAGCAACATCTTCAGCAGCAGCAACTTCAACAACATCAACAGCAACTCTTGCAGCAACAGCAACAGCAGCAGCAACAGCAACAGCAACAACAACAACAACAGCAACAACAACAGCAACAGCAACAGCAACAGCAACAGCAACAGCAACAGCAACAGCAACAGCAACAGCAACAGCAACAGCAACAGCAACAGCAACAGCAGCAACAACCGCACCAGCACCAGCAACAGCAACAACAACAACAACAGCAGCAGCAGCAGCAGCAACAACAACCGCACCAGCAACACCAGCAACAACAACAACAACAACAACAACAACAACAACAACAACAACAACAGCAGCAGCAGCAGCAGCAGCAACAAAATCAGGGGCAACAGGTGCAGCAGCACCAACAGTTGCAACAGAACCAACAATTGCAGCAAACCCCACAACTGCAGCCGAACCAGCAGCAGCAACCACAGCAAATGACACCGCAAATGACACCGCAAATGACACCTCAGATGACACCACAAATGACACCGCAGATGACACCGCAGATGACACCGCAAATGACACCGCAAATGCAGCTGCAGCAAATGCAGCAAGCCCAGGTCCAACAGATGGTCCAGCCGCCTTTGGACCAACATCAGCTCTTATTACAACGCCAAAAGATGCAGCAACAGCAGCAGCTCCAGTTCCAAATGCAACAAATGGCAGCGAGGAACGCAGGCGCAATACAGGTATAGCTGACGCGAGAGCGTGTTTATATTTTGCATGCATGAGAGGCGAGACGCTGGCTCTAACTGTTATGTTTTCAACCACAAATATGAATGCTTCAAGGCGGGAGACCAGGCGACTCCAGGACCTAACGGTATGGACCCTCAAGTCGACTCGCCACAGGATCGAAAGAGGATCCGTAACAATTCTGCGGGCGCATTCTCTCCAGTGATCGGTCAAGCTGCCCATGCAACGCCGCTGCAGCACAACAGCTCGCTCATGGCCGCTAACGTCAGCTCACCTAACATGATCGGATCACCTACGCCCTCCAGCTCACAGCCTGCCGCTGCACCAGAGGCGCCAGCCAAAGGTAACCGGCGAAAGAAGGCTGTCAAGAAGGAGCAATCCGTGGATCCATCCGCAGAATCGGCGGCGGCGGGGGCTCCTGCAGGACAGTTCAACGTACCAGCAACGCCGGCTGCGAATGGCTTTGCAAGCCCCAATTTATCTCATATGCAGCAGCTCCAAGCACAACAGCAAGCTCAGCAACAGGCGCAGCAGCTAGGACAGCCGCCTTTGCAAGTTCAACCTCAAACACAACAGATGCAGGCACAGCAGCAGCAGCAGCAGCAACAGCAGCAACAGCAGCAACTACAGCTACAGCAACAACAAGCACAAAAGATCCAGCAGCAACAGCAACAGCTCCAGCAGCAACACCAACACCAACAGCAACAACAACAACAGCAGCAGCAGCAACAGCAATTGCAGCAGCAGCAGCATCTACAGATCCAGATGCAAATGCAGAGAGCTCAACAGCAACAACAGCAGCAGCTAGCCGCCATGGGCGCCATGAATCCACATATCCGGCCCGTCATGGCGAATTCCCCTGTTAGGCCAGGGGTCAGTCCTACCTTGACTCCAGGCACCATTCAGTCGCCAATCGGAAACCCTCAAATACCACCAGGAATGATGTCTCAGCCCCAGCTTCAGGTCCGTCAGTTCCAAGCACATCAGCAGCGGCTCCAACATATGCAACTTTTACAGCAGCAGCAACAAGCGCAACAGCAGGCACAGCAACAGGCGCAGCAGCAGGCTCAGCAACAAGCACAACAACAGGCACAGCAGCAGGCGCAACAGCAGCAGCTTTTTGTCCAGCAGCAACAGGGAACACCCGGTCCACAGACGCCCCAAGACTCCTCTCAGATCAAGAACACCCAAAGCCCCATCCCACAAAACAGCTTGCCAAATGGCCTGCATGGACAGGCAGAGTCCTTAGCAAGTGGTCCAGGAGCACAGGATATGAATCACCAGCATATATCGTCACCTACGCCGGTCAACCAAGTTATACGGGATCGGATAAATTCCATGCAATCACCCGGTAACACGAGCAATCCAGCCACACCAATGAACACCGGATCGCCGACGAACCGCGCTAGGACTACTCAGCAGCAGTTCCATGCTCATCAGCAAGAAGCGCAAAAGAAGCAGCAGGCCTTGGTCTGGAACCGTCAACAAGGTCAACTACCCACAGATGGTACAAAGCAGCAGCAACAACAACGACAGGCCATGATGGGTCATCAGCAGATGCTGGGCGAGAGTCAGCGGCATGGAGAGGTGAGTACCAAGACCCATACAGTATTTATCTAGCCGTTGCTTCTCTTTTGTTATACACCAGTTCGTTAAAGGAAGCGCCTTTCATTTATTGATCCCACTGTAGGAATTTGTTGGTTCACCCAATACGAATGCACAGTCTGGAGCGCCGGCGACGATCATTTCGCCTGTATCTGGAATGGAAAGTATGACGATGGGGTCGGGCGGTGTGGACGAGATCGGGAGGATTCAGAGTCTGCTGACGGACAACAGCGAGTTTGAGCACATCGATAATGATGGATTACAGATGGATGACATGGGTGTCGATGCGTATGGAAATGTCAACCTGTTGAGTCTCGGGAGGAACGAAGGTCTGTGATGGGCAACAATGGTGTATGGCACTTCTTTTGCGAAAACCCCGCTGTATATTGACGGAAAGGCGACGGCCTCTGGCAGCAACATTTGTGTACTCACCAATGTTTTATCTGCCGCACGCTTTGAACGTCGTATAGACATGCAAATGACGCCCGCTCATAATTCACAATTGCAATTGTCTGCCAGCTTGAGTGGCCATGTACAGAAAGTCAGCACCTGCGCTATGTCATCCGATGGAAGGTGGCTCGCGAGTGCGGGAGTGGATAAAAAGGTGTTGATCTGGTCTGTGCCGGATAAGGAATTGAAGTGCACCATTGACGGACCGGAGGGACACACGGGCAATATCACAAACGCGAGGTTCAGTCCGGATGATCGTCTCATTCTCGGAACGGCATCAAACGACTCTACAGTACGCATCTGGGACTTGACACCGCTGGCGCAGGGGACGGCTTCGACCATCAAGGCTCTTCAGGTTCTCAGGGGCCATAAGATGGTGGTCACTGCAGTGGATTTCTGTCCGAGTATCGGTAGCAAGTATTGCGTCTCTTGCGATGGTGATGGGGAGCTTCGACTCTGGGATTTCATGACCGGCCACTGCGAGCAGGTCATTAAGCTGGTAAGCGAGCTGCCTCCTACATACCTGGCCCCGTTTTCGCTATTTCATGAGTACTAACGATTTTCCTGTGTTGAACTCTGCTTTATACTTCACAGGTGGCCAAGCCAGTGTACTCTCCCAACCAAGTCCGGTATCACCCACAGAATCCAAACATTGTCGCAGTGGCGATTGGCCAGGTGCTCTACATGGTCCAGATCAACGACTCGAAATCTCAGCATCGAACCATCAGCACCAACCATGTCAAGCACATCTCGACGCTGGATTGGGCTGCCCAGGGCAATTATCTGGTTACGGCATCGGAAGACCAGGTCTGTGTCTGGGATACTGTCCAGCCAGCACAATGGCGCGTCCTGACCACACACCAGTCTCCAAAGATCAGCAGCTGTGTCTTTTTGAAAAGCGAGCCGCGGAATGGGGCTGCTGGGACGACTGCTGGAGCTGGGCAATCTGCAACTACCCGATTGGCCTATGGCGACTATGAGAAGATCTGGATCTGGACATTCACTGGGAATGGATACATGAGAAGTGTCCCCTTGGCCGATCCACAGGCACACCCAGGTGCGGCAGTGACCGCGTTGGCTTGTTCGACCTCGAATCTGGATGGCGAGAATGCGGTTGTCTTGGCGAGTGCGAGCGCTGGCAAGGATGGCAATCTGAAGTTGTGGCGGGTCCTTGGATGAGATCGGATTTCGCGTTTTTCTTTCATTTTTATTTTTGTTACTTTTTTTACTTTGCTTTGCTCGGCTTGTTCACTGTTCATTGTCCAACTTTTCTTTTTCTTTTTTAAGTTTCTTTGTTTTCATCGTTCACTTTTGTGCATGTTTTCTTTCGCCCTCCATTTAGTCTTATAATTGTTACTCGGTTTCTTCTCCCCTGTAGCCCGAAACGGCACCTTATTTTAATAGTCGACCCTCCTCACCCTTCTCCCTACTTCGTCCTCCATCGTTTACTATACCATGTATATCTCCACCTATTTATTGCGCCTAGTTCGTGTTTCCTTCGTTCCCTTGTCATGATTATCAACCGTCGTTTTCATTTTCAAACGAACAAATCGTACATAATTACTCCATCTTAGAAGACGATTTTTTTTCCTCTTTTCTTTTTTTCTTTTTCTTAAAAGAAAGGCGTTCCTTTATCCAAAAATACGACTACATATAATATTGTACAAACGGGAGTGGAGAAAGTCGATGGTTTGTCTGATCCCCTCTAGCAGCATCCTTCCTTGGTTTTACTCTGGGACAAATGAATACGATCCAGCATGGCAGCCTGGTTACTTTGCTTGTGTGCATATACTTCCTCTGTCGCCATGATTTCCTCCAACAGAAACCGCGCCGCGTCTGAAATATTTTTGTTGTCTTTGGCGGATGTTTTAAACCTGTGAAATCAAAAGTGAGAAGCGTTAGCTTGCATTGCGTTCTAATAAGTAGCCTTCCCCCCTCCCAATGCTATGCATTTTAGACAAAAAAAAAAGAAAGAAAGAAAGAAAGAAAAAGAAAAAAAGCATACCATTTAAGAAATCCGTGATCTCTGCAAAACTGGTCCATCTCCTCTGCGTCAGGAGTACCTGAGGCGCTCTCCTGCAGGTCAGTCTACAGATCATAAAAAAGAAGGACGATTTTAACCCTCAAAGTCTACAACCGGTCTCATCGACCGTATTTTTTATCCGATGTTTATGGTGCCGTTCAAACATCCAAAACAACACATTTCCTCATTACCTTGTTAGCCAGAAGGATAGTATGGATGGGGCCGCCGCCCAAGGCTTCAGGTAGCGAGACCTTGGAGTCCAGATCCGCTTTCCATCGTTTTACGGCCTCAAATGTCTTTGGACGCGTGATGTCGTAGACAATCAATGCAGCAACCGCTTCCTTGTAATAGACCTAAGTATAGCAGCCGTAGTATTGTGAAACTTCACGGTTAGGGAAAGCAGAGAATCTTCTGTTGGTCCCTGGTCCGATTTATACGTTCTGAACCCAGAGTATGTCGAACAGCATAAGGAGCATGCTTCAATTTATCGGATATTTCTTGTCCTGTTGCAGCGATACTACATTTCTGCGGGGTGGCATTCATCGATGGGCGGTCGCACAATTGTTGATAGCGCAATTCGATTCCAGATCGCGTTTCGTTGGTCCAGAAAAATTTACGATGGACTTGCTGTGTTCCTGGCAAAGTATTTACACCTTGGGACAGAGAGCGGCACTTACACGAGCCATATTCCCTCGCTCTTGTCCTGCAATGTCCCATAGCTGTAGACGGACGACAGTATCTGGGGACCATTGGATCACCTTGAGTGCAAAGTCCACGCCGATCTATGTAGACAAAAAAAATGGAGTTTGAGAAGAATGATTGTGTCAACATGCAGCGAAGAAAAAAAATGTCGGTCGCATGCACACGGAGAACAGGGGGGAGTTGGAAATATGTATTCTCGTTTCTACACTGCCACCAAAAACTTTTTTTTTGAACTGTTCCCAGCAGTCGCCGAATAGGACCAAAGAGATTCATCATTGCAACCTTATCCGCACCAAGATTGGTTCGATAGAGGCCGTTTCATGCAAAAAAGACAAGAGGAGAGAGAGAGACGCAAGTAATTGAGATGATGCCTATTGTGTCCTGCTTTGTCGTTCTTCCTGGCCTTTGCTCCCTCTACACTTCAGTGAGAGGCCATTCCTTATGGAGGGAGGGAGTCTGCTGGGCCCTATAGGCGTTCACTTTTCAGTTACAATTGCAAAGCAGCAACCGCCAGATATGATGTTGGGGAGGTGCTAAAAACGAAGGTAGCGCCTCTTACAGTTGACTTGTAGTTCATAGAAAAGATGTTGTGAACGTAACGCTTGATGATGGAGGTCTTGCCAGTACCGACATCGCCAATAACTAGAATCTTGTAGAGGTATTCTTTGATATCGGCGGGGTAAAGAGCGTCGTTCATAGCCAACTTTTCCTGTATATAGATGAATAAAGAGATGTATTTATGTTGTTCCTGAATTTGTGTTGGGAGTGACGATGGAAGAGTAGCGAATGAGGAATGTCAAGTGCGAATGAGGAAAGGATGCAAAGGTCCGAGAAAATAACAGGGCTGGTTCGAAGGAGTGGATTTTTAAGGCAAATGGAATGGCGTGTGATCTTATACCGCTAAATACAGAGCCTTTCGACTAGGTGATACAGCAGGAGTCTGAACAAAGACTGCTGTCAAGGAAAACCATCTTTCACCGTTATTAAGTGCATCGCCCATTCCCAGTCGCCCTTGTTGCAATTGCTCGGAGCAAGTCTACAAAAAACACTAGTTCTTTATTTGTTCTTTAACAAGTTCCATGGTCGAGGGATTGAATTATCATTTGTCAGAGTGGGATCTTACGGCCATTGCACTGAAAAGCTGATCCCCTTCGGCTGTTGGAGATTCCAGCTCGGAACTAACCATGCCAGGGGCGGCCTTCTTCTTTTTCTTGTTCTTCTTGTTCTTCTTGTTCTTGCTCTTGTTCTTCTTGTTCTCCTTCTTTCTCTCAGACGCGGTTGACGACGCCTCGCTATTGTATCCGCTTATGGAGGTCGTAGCTATCCTGATATTGGTATCGGCCTCAGCGTCGTCGTCCTGGTGTTCACTCAAGTCGAAGATGGGTTGGATAGTCTGGATAGCCTTGCTTGCTTGCAGGACCATTTGAGCATCACACAAGGGTGGGCTTCGGCGTCTGATAGGCGAGTATGTGGTCAGATCCTGTGGGCCTGGAGTTGGGTTGGCGCACATGAAGCTACGGATGAGGCTACGCACCTGCAATGGACGTTTCAGTCGTGATGGCGGGACGGAAGTCTTGATGGTGGTGTTATCGAACGTGTTCGAATGAATAAATCCTTCAATGAGAGACTCAACGGGATGCTCGACATCGGCGGCATGAATGGTCTTATGTTTGGTCTGACCCAATGTTTCCACAGCATCTATGATCGTTTCATCGGTGGATGTGGTAGATGCAACCTCAGCGGGAATTGGCACAGTGAAATTGGAGATGGCTGCGGGAGATGGCTGTACGTCAGATTGGAATGCCGTTGTGATCTCCTGTCCTTGAATATCGGCAAGGTTCTCGGGAGCAAGCATAGGCGCAGAATCGTGCGAGATCTGAGGTTCGGTATGGATTGAGCATGTGTTATCCTGTCCCGATGCCTTGGCAGGGCCTTCTGCGGCAGAGTCAGCAATGAGAGAGATCAGAGCGGAGGCAGTTGCTGTTTGGGTGTCTACATTTGGAGGGCCAAAGTCCATGCTAACCATGGCGCTCGTGCGTGTATCAAAGACAGCGAATAAGGGGCTTCTCTTTGGCATCGTGTCGTCGAGAACGACAGAAGCATCGACTTGGGCCTGCTCGATATCAACCTCGCTGTTTTGACCATCTTGATCTTGATAATCGTCAGTGAGGTCCACACTCTCCGATCGCGACCCCGATACAGCTTTGCCATTCTCCATGGGCTCACTGGGATACACCGTCCAAGACTCTAGCAAGATTGATTCGGACTGAATCTCATCAATGATGCTGATGGAATCGACGCTGCGGTCACTTTGACCGTCCGTGCACGAAGCAGAACCCTCACGCCCAGAGGTATTGTGCAGATTCTGATCAGGCGCGTTTTTGCTGTGCACCTCGGTCCCATCCATTTTCTCCTTGCTCTCAAACGCAAATTCCGACCTCAGACACCAGACGCTCTTGTCGTTTACGTTGTTGTCTGCGACCATTGCTGCGTTGCTGTTGTGATCTGCTTTCTTTCCTTCTTCCTCACATTCCTCTCTCAGTTCTGTCACCTCGGCAATATTCAAGTCGTTCAAGTCGTTCAAGTTGTTCAAGTCGTTCAAGTGGTTGGGATCCACAACCGCCTGCAAGGCGAGTGGAGTGCTTGACCGGTCCTCCAATGGTTGCTGCGTTTCCTTCTCAAATCCCTCATACTCTCCATTCCGCTTCTGCTTCTCCGGATTCTTAGCTTTTTGTTGCGGCAAAAAGCTGGGCGGCGTCACAGATCTGTCATCAATCGGCGAATCGAGCGCGATAAGAACAAGATCCAATGTAAATTCTGAAAAAAACCAGACGATACCGCAGACCCATGCGATGAGAGACCCCAGCCTTGTGCTCGCGTCCTTCGGTGTCTTCCATGGAAGGAGCGCAAAGGAGTCGACTGACTTGTGAGGAGGAACTGGTCGGCTTGGGCCATTGAAAAACAGGTAGCGGAGAATTTGAGCCTCGTATATGACGGTAACCAGGACGAGGGGCAGAGCCTCAATGACGCACATAGGAACGAGGATGAGGCGTAAGTCGTTGATATCCATGGTGGAATGATTGGTAAAGTGCACGAAGTTGGCGGCAAAGCTGATAGCGAAATGTCTGATGTTGAGGAGAAAAAAAAAGTAGAGAAAACCAGAGATGTCTTCTTGAAGAGCAAAAGCAGTGCAGCATGTGCCAAGGAACATGACAAGGGGTGTGAATGATGCGGGTGATGTGGATGGTTTTTATGGTCGCGATCATCATGTCTGAGGGGGAGTTATTGATGGCCAGTGCTCCGATAGACTTTATGCGCACTGCCTTCGCCCTTGCACAGAACTGATATAGTGGCTATCTCCACGCGTCTCTTTTCTTCTCTGCGCCGGCCTCTTCCCAAGGCTCGACTAGGGGGAAATGGATGAATGATCGAGCGGCACCTTCTATTCGCAGTAAAGAGGGATTGAGCGTGGGTATATAAACGGGAGAGAAGCCCAGTTCGCAGCCGGAGGAGTCACATATCACGGTCGGCCTCTTCCTCGTTTATAACCGAGGAGCAATGACGCTGTCTCTCGTGCCCTTGCGAAGTGGCACATGTCCCCTCTGGTCCTCTGGTATAGTCTGTCCCTTCTCACTCGTGCGTACGTATGGTCTGATCAAGTGACTGCAGGCGGTTGACAAGGTGTTTTTACTTTTTTTCATGCGTCTATGGGTCTATGGAACATGCTAAAGGTGGAGATAGGCACTGTGCAAGAATACTATAGTCTGGCAACTTCGCCAACGTCTTGTGTCAGGATCCATCTGCAGACCTTCTCTGCAATCAAGGGCGCATTCTCCATATGGACAGAATGGTTTCCTGGGACCCCCTCAACAGAGACCTTAGCCTTGTGGATCCACTTAACCCGTTCGTTTTGAACTACAAGTGCGGTTCATGACAAATTGCAAAGTGTTAATGTCAGCGAGCAAAGACGCCCGTGCCAAGCTGATACAGGTCGAAGACGAAAGCCTGTTCTGTTACCTTCTGTCAAACCCAACAAACCACCCTCAGCCAATACTGCCAGCACAGGACAGCAGATACGGCTCATGAATGCCTCTGAATAAGCCTCCGTCAACGACTGAGCACTTCGGATGGTGAGTAGTCGGTCTGTTGTCCAAGTCCAGCCCTGAGCAACAGAGCCATCCTCCATAATCCGTTCTGCAGGCTTCAGTCCTCTGGCCATCAGCACCCTTGCAAACTCAGGCTGGATACCGTACGCACCGCCCTGACTCCGAGCCCGACAGGCGGATTCGATATTTGGATGGAAGGGTAAGCGTTTGGTTATAAGGTCTCGTTTTTCCTTGATATGCTCCAATAAATGCTGGGGTTGATCTTCAACGTCTCGAGTCAATGGTCCAAAGTTGTCGAGCAGTACGCAAAGTGTTACCCTAGAGCACACATGGAAGGTATGCTAACAGTGTCAATAGATGCGAAAGGTCATCCATCACACATGCTTTGTCAATTGAGCATTGTACCTGGACTCATAAAGGCCTGCATATATGGTAGAGATGGCTCCTCCCATGGAGTGCCCGATGATAGCGTGCCGCTGCCAGCCCAATTGCTCCACAACCTGGTCTGCATCCTCTGCATAGCGCCAGAGAGCATAGTCCTCGGATGTACGATGTGAAGATAGTCCGTGTCCTGCCAGGTCTAGAGCAACAATCTCCACCGGTTCAGGCCCTAATTGCTTGAGTAGAAGCCTAAAGAGAAGACAGGCAGCGTTGTTGAATATTGACGGGCAAGAATAACTACAGACAATTTCTAGCCAACAAGGGTTACACTTACGGAGCCAGGCTAGGAAAGATGAGAAAGAGGCGATCGGTTAACATCGACCCTTGCTGATTCTCTCATTCGGGCAATGGGGATCTTGGTTATGCAGCGAGATGCACTTACAAATCGAATGAGCTGGCATTGTCGAGGAAGCCATGGAATGCAATGAAGCGACGGCAATCTCTGGCTCGTGCCTGACTGTCTCCTGTCTTCCAGTGTCTCGCTCTCAGGACGATCCCATTACGGAGTTCGAACGAGCGCTCCTCAGGAGTAAACTCACTGACGATTGTCGGCAGAGGTGTGCTTGTGGCGCTGACAATGGTTCTCATGGCTGTTCGCTGATATGATATGAGTGGGTGGGTGGTTGAGAGGCGATTTGTTCCTGAAAAGGGCGTTCTTGCGGTTATAACACGAGCGTTGAATGGTCTTGCAATCTTGGTAGATCTGAATAAAGATGGACGCAGAAGCGAATAGCGAAGTGTGGACTGAAGCATGGAGAGTAAGAATAAAAAGAGCGGTTGAGGCCATGTAAGCCTTTAGGCAGGTAGACAAGGTGCTGTAGTAGGATTCGACATAGACCGATCGGCTCGTGGTTGTCCGATCACAAAAAATCGGTTCCATGTTTGTGTGGACGGAAGTTGAATTATCCGGAGGAATGTGCCTGAGCACGAGTATGAGCAAACAGTACGAGCAGAGGCAGCCGCCAGCCGAGAAAACCTTCCCTGCTCAGAGAGGGTCTTAACAACAGCATTGGCATACGGCATTGCCATGCAGCAGATGCTGTACTATAAAGACTACTTGTCAGCCCAATTGCTCCTCTACTTCAGGCACAACATGTCCCGATTTGGTGAGCAATGTCTCGAGATGACGTGACTCACACGCTGAATACTTGGATTCCACTCTTTTCGCCCCACCACACCATGGCACTTCGACTTGGTGCAGTAAGCGTCCTCAGGGCTGTCCACAGGTCGGCCTGTCTTCAAACTTGTCTCTCTCCGACATCAGCTCGTCATTCTTACCTGTCGCGATTCTCGAATGCAGATCTTGCATCAGCAACAAGATCCTGCTTGCCGGTGCGGCCACCCTTCTTTACCAAGAATATCCGATGGATGACTTCTGCCGCTACCACTATGATCGACACATCCGACCGCGTCCAAAAACTGCGTCAAGTTATGCAAAGTCCTCCATACGGGGTCAATGCCTTTGTCATCCCCTCTGAGGACGCTCATCAAAGTGAATATGTGGCCGAATGCGACGAGCAGCGCGCATACATATCGGGATTTACGGGGTCGGCAGGCCTAGCCATTGTCTCAACGGATTCTGCAGCATTATTCACGGATGGACGATACTTTCTTCAAGCCTCGCAGCAATTGGATGCGAATTGGGCTTTAATGAAGTCAGGGCTCCCTGGCATTCCAACCTGGCAGGAGTACCTTGTGAAGAACCTCCCTGCAGGATCCAGGATAGGTATCGACCCTCTTCTCCTTACAGCCACAGATGCGCGCAAGTTGGAGACAGAGTTAGCTCAGGTCGAATCATCACTCGTTTCTGTCCCCAACCTCGTGGACATGATCTGGAAAGACCGCCCTTCCAGACCTGCGCGGCCCCTCATGATCCTCTCGACATCAACAACAGGCAAGACTCATACTGAGAAAATCCAGCAATTGCGTAGGACTCTGGAAGAAAAGGGCGTCGCTGGATGTGTAGTGTCGGGTCTGGACGAGATTGCGTGGTTGTTCAATATGCGAGGATCAGACGTTCATTGCAACCCAGTGTTTTTCGCGTATGCCATTATCACTCAGGACGACGTTCAGCTTTACTTGCAGGACAAGGCTATTTCAACCAAAGTCAAAAAGCATTTAGGAAGCGAAGTGCTCATTCGACCGTATGAGACGATCTACGAGGATCTGAGGGCCTTGTCCAAAAAACTGAAAGACAACAAGCACAAAATACTACTGGGCACGAGAACCAACCTGGCCCTTTCGGTTGCGCTAGGGAAGGAGAACACGCTGGAGGTCAGGTCGCCAGTAACAGATGCAAAGGCGATCAAAAACGACGTAGAGCTGGAGGGCATGCGGCAGTGTCATTTAAGAGATGCAGCAGCCGTAATTAATTATTTTGCATGGCTGGAGGAACAATTGGGCAAGGGCATTGAGTTAGACGAAGCTGACGGCGCAGAACGTTTACAACAGTTCCGGGTGTAAGTGCCTTTGTCGGTTTGCAAAGTGAATTTTATCAGAACCGATTTTCCTTCAGCTAGCTCAACTAACACCGCTTAATCTATACATGTTCTCAGAGAGCAGAAGGGATTTGTCGGACCCTCATTCGACACCATCTCGTCGACAGGTCCTAATGGCGCTATCATCCATTACAAACCCGAAAAACCCACCGCGGCAACAATCGACCCCGACCAAGTCTACCTCTGTGACTCTGGCGCTCAGTATCTCGACGGCACAACCGATATCACCCGTACCCTTCACTTCAAAACACCCACTGAGTATGAAAGGCGTTGCTTCACGCGCGTCCTCCAGGGACATATCGCTATCGACTCCGCAGTCTTCCCCGACGGCACCACAGGGTACCTCCTGGACATCTTATCCCGACGCGCTCTTTGGTCCGATGGCCTAGATTTCCGCCACGGGACTGGACATGGTGTGGGCGCGTTCCTGAACGTCCACGAGGGACCTCATGGGTGTGGAGCCCGACCGGCATTCAACGAAGTGCCATTGACCCCTGGGATGACGCTCACGAACGAACCTGGATACTATGAAGACGGGAGATTCGGTATCCGGATCGAGAATGTGCTGGTGGTGAGGAAGGCTCAGACGAGACATCGGTTTGGTGGCAAAGAGTATTATGGGTTCGATCATATCACGTTCGTGCCAATTCAGACAAAGATGATAGACAGGACGTTGCTATCGAGGGAGGAAGTGGAGTGGGTCAACCGGTACCACACAGAGTGTTTGGAGAGGGTATCGCCGTTCTTGAAGAAGGATAGTCTTGGATTGAGATGGCTGCAGCGTGAAGCGGCTCCTCTTTAGGAGTATACTCTTCACATAATATCAAATAAACGAATACATTCCTAGTAGGGCTTTACATGAACCACGTCTCCTTTGGTCGCACAAAAAATATGGCGAAGTAAGCAACCAAAGCTGTGCAAAAGGGCGAAGGGGAAATGTGCTTTCGTTCACTCGATACTTTTCCTTCTTGCATCTTCTCTTTCCCATTTTCTTCCGCCAAAAATTTCTTCCGCAGGCAGCAAAGGATGATAAAGCCTATACAGAGAGAAGCACACGCAGCAACTCCGAGATCCGTCAACCAGCAAGACCGTCAATATCCCCTCTCGACTTGACAGCAAAACAGAAGAACGCTATGTTCTGTGGAGGAGCATTCAACTAGTCTTCAAAAATACAGAATATGGCCTGGAGGGTGAGGGCCTCGTGGAGCTCATGACTGATGACAACGATAATGAATGAATTCATGAGAGATAGCAGCTTTTGATGGCAAAATGATAATGCATGTAGGACGTGCATGCAAAGCAGGGCTTTAACGGCTTTTTGGTTGTCATTTCAACAGAGATGTGCCCCAGCGCATCGAATACCATCCAGGAGCGATCCTCGACGGTATCGCCATGGACGCCGATCAAGGAAGTATTGTAGCATCACCCTCCTTCTCTCTTCAAATCCCTATCTCTGCATCGGTGTCGGTGTCATCAGCAGAGCCATCCCAAGCCATGGTAGAGTATTCACGCCATCCGCTCCAAAACAGAGCCAACATACTCTTACAACAACCATTTGCTGGTCCGTGTTACTGAAGCAGGAGATGCCGTCGAGAAACAAATTATCGTCCAATCCGCCAAGAGAAGAGAAGCCAGCTCAGAAGGCGCCGGAGGAGGCCGTGACTGGGGAATGATGAGCTCTACAGATATTATTCTTGAAGTCAGCGGCGCATTCAGGCAGCGAAGCTTTGTTTCGGAGGGCAATGCTATCAACCGAGGAACTTCTGTTGCACCAGAGACTGTTATCACTCAGATTATTACTCCTGGCTCGGGTCCTGTTGCATCAACAGATCTACCACAGCTGGTGGTAGAATACATGGACCCTCCCTACCAGTACACAGTGATTGTTCCCCCAGAGCTAGAGCAGTTAGCCGGCCTCACGACTGCGACTGTGGAGATCGCCGCGAAGACGATGGTTACTCAGTCCTCGGAAAAGGCAGCTGCAACAGAACAGTCCTTTCAAGAATACCTTCGACTCTGTCAGTCCTAAGTAACATTCGGCACAAGACGCACCTGGCCAAGCATGAGGGATACGGCATTGACCAGCCCACTGAACTCTTCGACAAATACGGACCCCATGTCCTGGCAATCATGAAACTTCTAACGTATGAGTTTACGATTGCTGATGTCGTCGTGCCGCCCTTGGCGCATCTCAACCTTCCAGATGGGATCGAAGCTGTCAGGAAGAGTATTGATGTCAGCATGAGTAGCATTCCAACCCTGACAGATGAGACTACCAGATACATCCAGGATTTACAGGCCAACGCCGACAGAGGTTTCGACACGGCATCTGGGAGGATCGATCTGAGTGCAATCGAGGCGCTAGACGGAGTTGATCTGCGGCAGCTCGAGTCGTTCCAGCACGTTAATGGCAAGAGTCATGAGCTCGACAACCTGTACCAAGTTGTTAAAGCCAAGGGACATGTCAAGTGGGTGTGCTTGGACCACTACTGCGACAACTATCGACATTCTGCAACGCAGCACTTTGGTTTTGTCAGGGCCGGCGATGGGTGGTACAATATCGACGATGGCTCTGTCTCTTTTAGCGTCGGGTCCAGTATTATTGCCAAGCAATTTTACGATGCCCTGAAAAAAGCGCGCGGACTAAGACATCTCAACATTGCTATGGAATAGAACGTGACAATTGAGGATCTCCGGGCTCTTGAGGCTGCCATCCACAAGAGAAATTTTACCGACCTTTTACCGACCTGAATGTACATTCGTCGGGAACCAAAGGGCAGATATCCGATACTGTCAATCGCAAACATCGACTACATCTAATGATACAGCTCATGGCCAATGGACATATTCGGAGCATAGAAATCAATACAGGCGGCGACTATAGTCTGGAAATAATTCTCTGCAGTCGAGCCCAAGGTCTTCACAGAAGTTTTGAGTCAGCTTGGTCTTACTTTCGAGCAGTTTCAAAAAGCAAGCGAGCAGGGCAAGTTACGGTAACTGCCTGGTCGTTTTAGCAAGAGGTTGGCTGGCTTTAGATTGAAAGGGGAGTCTCCCGAGAGTTGGATTCACGTTGCCACAAAGCTGTGTCCTAGTAGGCATGACGTGCCTGGAATTGAGGAATTTGAGCTGTATTGCTATCGGCTGAACAGATCGAATTTTCTTCGACACTGTACTCAATGGATTCAAGCCATGGTTTCTGCCCCGCCTCAAAGCATCTGCCACATCGCTGTCTTCTTGGCATCTATGTTAGTCCAAAGATAAAATCAATATCTCGACTGATTTGAAGGCCTAGGACGGACTGCTGTCTTCATGCACCAACTCCTCCACATGGCGATCCTTGAGACGCGGCCAACTTTCTGGCATTCATCTCGAGGTCCTTGATTTCTCAACTCTGGGAACACTGGATTCCCAGCTCCCCAACTTTGCACTGGAGCAGCTTCAACCTCTTGTTTGCTGCATTCCTGAAAAAAGAGTAATGGGACAATGCCACTGGAGATAGATCTTTGGGGTTCGGATATTACCGCTACAGCATCAGCGAGGAAGCTGGCTGCAGCACTCGAAAAGAAGGTGCACAATAGATACACCAAGCAAAATGGGAATCCACAAAAATAGTTTCGCTATGGGTCTTGCAGAATTTGATGCGTTCTTTTTTAAAATTCTAGTATGCAATGCTATGCAGAGATTTGCCTCGGCCCTTAAAGATTCGACGGCTGGTCGAATTCGAACTTGTATTCCTCTTCGTCCGCGGTCCCGAAAATATGCTGCCGCGCTCCGAACCCGCGTTCCTGGCTTGCATGCGGATGCTCTCCTTTTGCCAGTTTCGTTCCAGAAACCGTGGTGGTGGTCGTCACCTCCGTACTTGCTGTGCCTTTAGAATCATCACCATCACCACCCACACCGGAGCTATCGGCCTGAGTAATCGTTGTCGCCGCCACCGCTACTGATCCCGGTATGGCTGTAGAAGACGATGGCAGAACAGCCTCCTGCTCTTTGTGTGTCATCATCATCCCCCTGAATTCCTCCTCGATCTCCATCATCGTCTTTACATCCTCTTCCACAGGCCAGTCGCGAATCGTGAGTGGGTACGGCAGCAAAGCCAGTCGCTTGAACAGATCTGAGCCCATCTTGAACCCAGCCTTCGCTTCCTCTCTTGCAGCGTCCGTGTTGCTCTTCAGTTTTGCGTTCAAACATGACACGCGCAGAGCTGCTGTGATGGCGTGGTTGACTTTGGCCTGGATCGCGCACCAGTTCGGATAGGAGTCCAGCATGAGCTCAACGTGGTGTAGGAGCACATTCGATAGTTCCGTGCAAATCTTGTGCGATGTATTAAAGTATTGACGACCCTGGCTCGCCTGGGACTTTGATGTGGCTGACGTTGAGCCGGTTTGAAAGTGCGGAGGGACATGCATGGATGAGGGACGTTCTGTGTCTGCAGCGGACCCTGCCGTGGCAATTTTTGCAGCGTTGGAGACCGTAGCTGAGTCTGTCTCTGAGTTAGGACTCGTTGCTCGGCTGACTGGTCGCGCGGTGGATTGCTTGAGTGCCTCAGAGACGTCCTTTGAATGACTTGGATCTGCGGATCTGGCAGGTGATGCTTGATAACAGAACTCACGCGAGGACGTGCCTTGAAGGATGGGAAGATAGGATGATTGCAGCATGATCGTGATGGTGTAGTACGACATGATCAAGACGCCTATAGGGAGCAATGGTGGTTAGCCGAGTCACAGAAGGAATAAAAGACTGTGGCAAAAAGGATGTGATTTGAACGTACTCATTTTGCCATTGACCTTATGGTTGACATTGGCATGATCCACATCATATCTGAATCTTAAGTGGCTCGGTATGGCCTCTTCCCATGCAATCAGCTCGGTTTGAAGACTTTGCAACTCGTAATCCTGGAGCCATGCCTGCTCGGACCACTGACTAGTCCGTTCGTAGGCACCTGCTGCGGACTCTTCAGTTGCTGATGTGGATGACGCTCCGCTCCAGGCAGAGGACGAAACTGAGTCTCCTGTCAACGGCATAGGGCAAGCTGATGGTGCGGTGATGTTGGATCGGCCGGCGAGATACAATCCAACGCGACGACCCAGTGTCCATAACCGGACCTCTTCCAAGAATAGGACTCGAGCGTACGATCCTCCGTCCGTGGTATCTTCTTCTACATCAAGGAGCAGTTGCATGCGCTCCATGTGTAGATCGAGCTCCAGCTGATCTGAAGGTGAACTAGGCGGCTGGCGCGCCTGGATAGGATAATCATGCCGGCTTTGTTGCTCCAGGATCTTTGGCGACAGCACCGAGAAACGCGCTGTCCCTCCACCGCCAGAATCCTGCCCGCACAAGAGTTGGGCTCGCATGTTCTCGCCTCTGTCCTGGTCCGTGGGATCGTCATCGCCTTCCTCGTCAATGGCCTGAAGCCTAGCCCATTTGCCATCTTTACTCTGCCCATTTTCCTCTTCTTCATCGTCTTCATCGCCATCGCTGTCCGGTAACGTATTCCGATAACTGGCCCGATCGGTACTTGGTGTCGAGTGATCTTCAGAATGTGCCATGTGCCTCTTTTCAGGCTGGACCTGGTCTCTCTTAAAAGACGTGTCCCTCCGTTTACCGATGACTGCGCGTGCCTGCAGCAATGATCGACTCGCACCCTCCTTTCCTCCCAGTCCAACACACCCCTCGATCTTTGGCAGTTCTGCCGTCACAGCCATGGAGTCCATTCCGTGAGGCCATCCAAAGTAGAGCCGGGAGATGGAATCGCGGATATAGAGACCCCAAAATGTCCACAACCTTGCCTGGTACGCAGCTTCGGGAATCATTCCCTTCGTGGCCTGGATGGACCTACTCGCTGCTTCGAGGTCCGGATAAGTACCGTCCGCATCGTTGGTATACGACGTGGTGGCTAGAGCATTGTAGGTTCCACAGATCTCGGCGAGGCCAATAACAGCCTTAAAGACACCGTAGACGACCAACGACCCGAGCAGAATGCCCTGCATCCTGCTGAGACGGACCTTGGCGTCAATATAGAAATGCATCTCTGTTTTATGGGTTCAGGATGAAATAAAAAAATAAAAAATAAAAATAAAACTTGGTCAGATTGTATGCGCGTAGTTGCGTATTAAGTGGCGTGACATGGATAGAGATTAAGCCCAGCTCACCTCTTGCGCGTTCGCGGAACCGAATGGCGCGTTTGATATCGCTCGTTCGTGCTAGATGTTTGCAGGCTGTCATAAATATGATGTTTAGTAAAAACAAGGCCTGAGGGGTCTGTGGCTCCATCAAGTAGAGCTCTGCGGTTGCGCGGTCAATGACCGGATAGTAAAAGTACGCATGCTAAATAAGTAAATAAATAAATAAAGGACGTGTTCGATGAAGAGAATTAACGACAGTTCACAAGATCTTTAGCAAAAGACTCGAGGGTAATTAGCAGGCAGAGGCGACCTGATCATTAATATACTAACTCACCTCAAAAAATACATCCACAAGATAGTTCGCGTCGCGAGGAAGCAGCTGGAGATGGCCTGGAATTCCTTGGATACCGATAGCCAGCGACGGATCTGGCACAATGAAGAACTCATCATGCTCCTGTGAGATGTGACGAGGGATCATGATGCTAAAATCATACTCCTTGACAGCAAGCATATCCCTGGCGATCTTCTGCATCCTCTTGGACTCTCTGATTTGTTCCTCAGTAGGCAAGACTTCAGAACCAGAGGTGTTTGTGTCAGTATGATGCCCATTCATTGAATCGTCGGTAAAGTCCTGAATTGCCGGCGCAAACGTATGGGGGCCCTGCGATAACCGGTGATACGAGCCAGGAAAGAGCGCAGAATATTCACTGTCCACGAACGTCGGAGTATCCCACGGCTCCAATGAGCTGTATTGATCTGAGGATACGCCGATGACTGAGGATATAGGCGCAATCGAATGCACGGCGTGATTTGGGCCAGCCGCAGAATCAGTGGGCAAAGCACGATTCAAGGCGCCCTCAAGAGTCGGATACGAAAGACCCTGGCGGCGTTGTAATTGTTGCGGAGCATGCGAAATAGACGCGAGCGGCTTGAGGTCATAGCGTTGTTCGGTGTGTGGGGCCCCATGGTGCGATAAGGTCTTAGAACCATGACTTGTTGACGGTGCCCCCACGTCTGAAGCACCAGTTCTCGATGGCATGGTCGTGGCCAGAGAGAACTCCCGGTAACCTGCATATGCGAAGGGCGAATCCGATATTGGGTTCGTCGTGTAGCGTACGCTTCGTCCATCGTAGCTCGCTTGCATAGTGATATTAGACGCCTGGTCTAATCCTCTGTGAATGTAGGAGAGCTGCTGGTGATGTTGGTGTCGCAGCCCACTCGATGTTTGTGCCTGTGGTGGGTACAACGCCGATGGAATCGACCGGTTATCAGTGTCCTGGTGCCAAGGCACTTTTGATGGAAACTGCTCGGCCACGTTATCTACAGTCCTCGGGACATGAGGCTGCACTCCACTCGAGGACGGCGCTCCAGCTTGACTAGATTCCTTCGCCCTGGGCTGTCCACTATCGTCCGTAGCCGATGGTTCCTTAGGATAAAGACGTACAGGGTACTGAGGACCTGGATGGGCAACTCTAAGCGCCTTGGAAAGGTATCTTGATTGAGAAGTAAGAACCTGTTGTTGACGATTAAGATTGAGTTGATCGTTTGGAGTGTGTCCGGCGTATAAGAGCGCATGTGGACTTATGGGACCAAACCAGTGAGGTGGCATGATATTGCCTCTGGATGAGCCGTTGGCATTATTGGGCCTATTGGCGGCGACGCCAACGATCTTTTCTTGGCTCAGAGGGGAGTCACCCCAAATCGCGCGTGAGAGCTGAGCACCTGTGTAACAGCAATCGACGTTGTTTCTTTTACAATTTGAACAGGGCACTCCACTGTCGCACTTGCGCTTTGGAATTCAATAAATGTTGACGAGAATTAGGACAAGAAAAAAGTCGGGATATAACTTCTTTCGTGCGTCGACTTTACCTTGTTTTGGCGACAGCGGTTGCACGAAGTCGCGACCTTGTGCCTCTTGCGGGCTTTGCCTGGTAAATAAGGAAGAGTAGGTGTCACCTGCCGTCGAGGCACAGCGTTTGTTGCATCCAGAGGTGTGACAGAAGAGATATGGTCCGAGTGAAACGTGGTTCCTAGATCTGCTGCTGCCCCGGCGGCAGATCGCGTGTTGAGATTAAACGTTGTGGAATCCACAAAAGGCGGGACTGGGAACTGATCATGCATATCTTTAGGACTGCCTACTGCTCCGTTTGACTGTGGTCGAAGTGGCCCATGGTGGTATGTGCTGTGCTGCTGCTGTTGTTGTCCTTGCTGTTGTTGTACTGGATGTAAGCTGTACAACGAATCGGCCCAAGACGACGACGATGGTGTCGATGTTGATGATAAGGATATAGATACAGGTACAGGAGCAGGAAAAGGCGTTGACGTGGATCCTACCGCTGCAGAGACGGGTTGTGCAGAGAAGGCGGGATCAGAGGATCTGCCATGTGCTGGGTAAGGGTACATGTGTCCTACAGGAGATCGGCAGTGGTCGATCCGTGGATGAAAAGGAGCTGTGGATTAATTGTACGAACTGATAACTGGATAAAGAGATTTGGAGCCGAGATGGAAAGGGCGTGGTTATAAAGGAAGGGGAGGTAAGAATAAGGCAATAAAATAAAAGGGGCTCTGAGCGGAAGGGTCGGCGGAGAAGGTGAGACAGAGGGGATTTCCTGGGGCCTGAGGAAGGGAGATGGCGATGAGAGCGTACAGATAGACAGACAGGGAGAAGAGACTGTCAATCGATTTTGAGCGCAGGATATGGGTGCGAGTGTACGATGGAGCCCAAGGTTGAATGTGGAGATAGGAGAGAGAAATTGAGCACCATGCCCAACATCGGATATCGATGTCGACATTTGGTACATGAACTTAAGAATGAGGAAATTACTTTGCTGTGTGTGAGTGTAAGCCTATGAGTGAATGGCCTAATTTGACCCATTCCTGCAGGCAATTGCTCAAAAGAAGTGACAAAAGGGACACGAAGCGAGTAAGCGCGTGGATGAGCGAGTGAGTGAGTGAGCGTGCAAAGAAATGAGAGAGTGAGGAAGAGGGGAATGGGGATGGCATGTTATCAGCCCACGCTCGTTGGAATGGGCGTTGCGGTAGGATAGATTCCTGGAGGAGAAATAACATCATTGGGGTCTGCTGCGTGCAGTATCCAGCCGACAGAGTCGACCAACAACAGACACTGCCTACAGCTGGATCTGCTTCCTTCCCCTCTGCGTCCCTAATGTCCACTTGTTTATTTTTATTCTATTTACACTGGCCGTTTCCTCTCTGTACTTTCTGCCGCCATTGAGCCTTTTATTGCACTCTAGCAGCATGGACGAGGACAGCGCAGGTGTACACATCGCCATTGAAAGATGGTGTAGGAGGGGTTTGATGTCTCCTCGAACAGAATGATTCCCCAATGATGCGTGGAATGCACTTTTTCTTGTGCATTGTTGTTTTTTCCCTTCTCCACTTGAAATCTACAAAGAAACAGAAACGTGTGAAGAATAAAATCGTTCGTCAAATGCAATTGCTATTGGTCGTACTATTTCTGTGACGCCGAACCTCCCGTGGAGGAAGAGGAATTGATTGGTCGAATGAGCGGAATGGCAGAATGAGAGGGGTGACTTTTAGTACTCAGATGAGATCACAGGGGCCGAGATGGGAGGGTCGGGTTTTCTTTCCTGCCACGTTTTTTATCTGGGGCTTCGCGTACTGCTCACTCATTCTGTTGATTTGTTCTTGTGTTCCCACTAAAGCGCAGTTTAGACTAATATCCAATCAGTATGGTGGACACAAACATTACATGCAGGAAGACGATGAGAGGATGAGGAATGGAGGCGGATGAGTGACGGACCAGCTCAAGGGAAAATCCAGGGGGCGGCTCTTGTATTTGCACGCATGTACGCTACTCGTTACGTTTGTAGACGGATGGGTGTACCTGATTCTCGTTCCTGTCTCGCTGAAACATCTTCCCTTTGCTGTTGTGGATACTCAACCCTCTCTCGCTCTTTCGTTCTGTCACGCTTTTCATTGGTGGCACGTGTAGAAAATAGCAAACAACATATTAGTCTCTGTGGAGCTCCATGTTTTCTACCACTTGAATATTTAGAGTATCTACTGGAGCGGTACCACGTGTATGCCCCAGAGCCTTTCAAATAGTCTAAGCCTGATATATATATCCTGGATGTGTATGTCTCGCGATTGACGTGAGCTCGATGTCGACATTGCAAGGTGTCTTTATTTTTAAACCAGTCGGCTCTCTAGACATCCGCCTATAGCCTTCCGTATTGAGTGCCTATCCCTTTTCTCTGGAGCTGATATATGTTGCACAGACTACTTCGTAGAGGTAACGACCATTGAAACGTGGGCATTCCCCAATCCTTGAACAAGACATATTGATCACAACCAGGTATCCCGTATAGACAAAAAGTTCTTAGTGGAGAACTTTATGGCGTATTGCCCACTGATTTCTTAAGGAGACTTTATTAAGAGAAATGCAAAGAAAGGGAATGGAGAGGGATTGGCGCAAAGGTAGTGGTTTTTTTTTCTTTCGAAACTGGTAGCTACAAATGAGTGGATATCGAATTACGTCAATGTTCTCTCAACTAGCACCACTAATGCATTAATAGCCGCCGCCATTGTAGAATCCGCCGCCATTATGAGGAGGCCCTTGGTTGGCGTTGAGATATTGCGGGCTAGGCTGTGGTGGGTAGCCGCCATCATTGCTATAGCCAGCATTCCAGCCGCCGCCTGGTGCAATCGAACTAATACGTTTGTTGGCCGCGGCCTTGAAGCTGGGACTGGGTGGGTAATGAGGACCGCCTGGAGCACCGTGCTGCGATCCCTCATACGATCCCATTTCAACACAATGTCTCGGGAAGACTCCCTTCGCGCCGCCTCTCGTGTTATTAACTCCCATACACCATCCATCGTCAAACTCTTGCAGGATCGTCACAGAGTCTCCGAGACCAATCTCAATCTCATCCGCAAGCGCTGGTGTGTAGGTGGCCACAACGTTATACGTTCCAAGTGGCTTGGTCGGAGTCATGGGAAGGCTCTCCTTGGGAGAAGCGGCAGGCTCTGGCAATTTAGCATACGGGTTGTTGTTATTGAACTGAGCAGTCTGCTGCAGCAGAGCAGAGGCCAGGTTCTTCTTTTTGCGGTGACGGCAGAAGGCAAGGCCTCCCAAAGCAAAGACGAAAAAACCGCCGACGGTTCCCAAACCAATAAAGACCTTTTCGGAAACCTTGGTAGGCACATTGTTATCGTTCGATCCTCCAGTTGGCGACGACGAGGGCACTGCTCCAGTGCCAGTGCCAGTGCTAGTTGCAGTACCAGTGCCAGAGGTACCAGGTGTAGTCGAAGACGAGCCATGGGCAGTGGTGGTTGCTGATGGACGGGTGGCTGGATTGGTTGCAGCTGGTCTGGTTGTAGACTTGGAGGGCGCGCTCGTGGTAGTAGGGGGATTGTTGGTGTGCGTTGTTGATGTCCTAGGCGCCTCTGTGGTGCTGGCCCTTGTTTCGGTGTGGGTGGGATTCTGTCGCTTATAGATACGGGGAGCCACATTGTCGATGATTGCGGCTACTTCCTGCTGCTGTTGCTGAACCTGGTCCTGGGATTTCACTTTGTATCCAGCGACGCCAATGCCATTGGTGACGGGTGCTGCCTCGACAGTGAAGACCGCGATGGAGCCAATCAGGGCCACAAGGGCAGTCAGGGCGACAATGGCCTTTGTTGAGGGGTATCTCTTCATTTTGTGCTAACAAAGCTAGAACGAACATTAGCGTGTTGTAGATAGCACAAGTACATCTACGCAGGGCCCAGTTGCTGGTACCGAAAAGAAACCATCGAGACGTTGTGCTGTGTCTATGTATATTACACCCAGCAATTACCTTCTTGCTCAATGCTGTAACGCGACTATACGATAAGGTCAGACCAGCTGGCTGTCAGAGAGGACACTGGGTATGTAATAATGAGTGTGCAACAAGGCGGGAAGTTGGCGTTTTGACTGCCAAGGAAGGCTAATGTAAGGCCGTGTTGAGAGTCGTGAGAGGAAGTGGGCACAGTAGGGAACGAGGGCGAAGTAGGAGGAAGAGCGAGATATTGAAGAACCCGGGGACAAGGGTTTGTTGGGCAAATGGGATGGCGTTTATGGATAAAGTATTAGGTCCAAGAATAGGGCAAGGGAGGGATGGCTAGCTGGACTGCCACGGACGGGAGGAGGAGGAGGAGGACGAGAAGGAGGAGGGGAGAACGGGTCAGTTGATGACGGGAGGGAGGGAGGAAGTGGAGGGAATAGATGAGGGGATGGTAGAGAGGAAAGAAGAAGAGAAGAAAAAAAAAAAGACGAGGATGGCGGATGGAAGTGGGAAGTGGATGTTGCTCATCACTACACCTTTCAGGCAGCAGTGGAGGATGGGCTTGGTGTAGAATGCGATCGAAATAGCCGCTCTTCAAAGGCACGCTTGTCCGGTCTATGAAAAGGGGCGGAATAAATGGATTGACTGCAGCATCTTTTTTTTTTGCTCTCAACAATATAAATAAATAGAGGTCGCTTTAGCTCGGTGCTCCCACCTCCCACAAACCTACTCTACACCTTGTTGTGGCAACTGTACCCTCAGTGCAGAGAAACTGTATAGGAGAAAGAGTAAAAGAGTGGGCACCATCGACAGCAACAGCCTGGGGATGCCGTGTAAGCACAGTACTTCAGTCTGTAAATTGCAAAATTACCCGACCACTGTACAAGGTGTATAGGTGGGCGGAGGCATGGAGATATGGGAGAATGTAGCATTGCACAGGTAAGCGCGAGCATTCCCGGTCAAGTGGTAGGAAACGACCACTGGGTTATGTAAACAGAGCGCTTCGATAAAAAGAGAAATAGGGTTTGATGCAATATTGCCTGGAAGGACGAGAAATACGCTTCTGCGTAACAAATAAAAAATAACTGCCAGGGAGAAAGGGCTCCTTGGCTTGCTCATCTTTATCTGTGAGCAAGCATCTTCCATGCTACACCTCTCATCTTTAGCTGGGTGATACGGCACTCATCCCTCTATGGGAGACATGAACGATGCGAGTGATATGAATGAGGTGGGAACCTTGCGCCATGATTAGAGCACTACCGAGATCCAGAACGCCTAAATGGAGCCAGAATTCCACTGGAGACAATTTCCTCCCTGACATTTGATGAGGTGGAGAAGAGAGCTGGCAATAGTTAAGTGCAACTTGGGGCTCGAAGGTACCGTGTTAATAGATGAGGAGCTCGAACTCCACATTTCTAAATTCGTAGATCTAAAGACCGAACCGGAGCCGGCATTTCGCCGATCTGGCTCCATTTTTCGAATTCCTGCTACGTTCAAAAATTAGCTTGAAGCACCTGTATGCCCTACACTTAATAGATCGCCTTTAACCCATAGAGGATGCATACTTGGTCACGATATTGACATCGGCCCTACGTGCTGTAGGATGATCGATGCGGGGGGAACTCTGCACCGCGAAACATGAGCGCACTACGGATACAGAGCCGTAAAATGACATTGTGGTCGAATACCCTTAAGCACGAAATGCGAAAGGGGCGGCAGAAAGAAAGAAAGAAAGAAAGAAAAGAAAAGAAAGAAAGAAAAAAAGAGAACGCGCTGGACTCCTACGATTATGAAAGGAATAAAAGCCCCGTGCGGTCTAGAGATCTATTTTTATCCCTCGAGTGTTTACGCGCTTGTGTTCTGACAGGTTTTCCCTCCCCGGATGAACATGCCAACGCAGAATCCCAGCCTGTGAACAATGCGCTCTACGAGAACAAGGCTTCGCACTCTGTCTTTGGTTCTTTCTGCCAGTAACCGTCATTTCGCTCAAATACCTGTCCTCATGCAGCGGGTATTCACTCGTCCGGGAGCGGTCCTAAATGGAATGGATGTCTGAGCGTTGGGGCTCTGTTACCCGCGCACGGCTTGCCTAGGGTATCACGGGCCCCGACAATTTTTGGCATATGAAAATACGCGTACTGCCTAAAGATGCTAGCCCCCTAGTAGAAGTGCACAGTGCAGACCTATATAATATGGTCAGGATGACATAAAACCACATCCTGGGTCCGCCCTGGACGTTCCAGCTCCCTGTCGTGGGTTCGTTTTGCCCAAACACGACCACCATGATGAGAGCAGCTGCTCCTCGCTAGCGAGATGCTCTCAAAAATAAATCTTTTTGACGTGTAGCAGCAGGCAGGAAGACTCTGACTGGCTTGTGTTGTTGGCTGATTTCAAATGTTCTCCCGCATTGCATGTTCTCTTTATGTCTGTGCCATGGCTGGCTGGCTGGCTAGCCCAGCACGGGTTGACAATCATTTTTAAACGCCAGCGGCGAGTCGCAATCGCCAATCAGAGGCGGTATCTTTTCAATCCTCATTTTTATCTTTCATTAGTAACCGAAGCGGCCCTGGACTACACACTCACATAAACAAACTCGTTCTCCCGCCCGTTTATAACCGAAAGCGTATTTTCTTCTTCTTCCCTTCTCTTCTCTTCTCTTCAGCATCCCTTGTATCCCCACCGCTGCCATCCATACTATCCCCGCCATGTTCATCAAGTCTGCTGCCCTTACCGTCTTGGCTCTCGCTGCCTCGGTCTCTGCCCAGACCCCCAACCACACCTACTTCACCAACCCTGTCACCGATGGTCTCAACTACGTAGCGGGTCAGACCGCCACCTTCTCGTGGGCTTTGGCTTGCGTTTCCCCCTCGACTTACACCTCGACCACCCCCACCCAGGTCCCCGTTCAGCTCCTGAACTCGACCAACTCCAACAACGCCTTCTACCTTGCCGATGTCACCACCATCGACTGCACAAAGAGCCAGGGTAACACTCAGTGGAGCGTCCCCGATAAGTTTGGCACCTCTGGTCTCTTCTCGCTCAAGATTGTCTTTGATGGTGGCAACGCCGCCTACTCTGGCCGGTTCACCATCTCCTCCAAGGACGCCCCCGCTACCCCCTCTGCTACTGCTGCTCCTACTGCCACCTCCAAGCCCAGCGGTGCCAATGTCCTTGTCCCTGTCCTCTCCGGAGCTGCCGCCATTGCCGCCGGAGCCCTCGCTTTCCTTTAAGGAGCTCGACAAGCCTTACATGGTGCAAGCAAGCAAGCAAAACCCGTTCTTCATGTGAATCTTCTGCGAGGTCGCTGTTGAACGTCTCATTGTCACCTCTTTTTCTAATGCCTCTTTGACATTGTCCCCTCACTCTTCATTAATATCTATCGCTAAGCTAGCTAAGCTACTTTATAAACTACACTACATATTAAAGAGCAGTTGTAATATATATCCAGCGCGTCTTCATGATGGTTATGACCATCAATGGTCTGCCTTGTTTATTTTTTTTCCACCTGGCTCGGGTACATGCAAGCGATTGAAAAGCCCAATCTTTTTATTTTTTCCACCAAGGAGAAAGGCCCAGGCCAGCTTTTTAGTCGTTATTTATACCATGTCGCACAAAGGTGGGACAATGGTAAATGGTATCGCTCCAGAATAACGACAGAGGTCCCAGTTGCACTGCGCATAAACAGTTATGCCGTGGTTCGTTATTGTGTACTTGTAGTATTTCATCTTCAATGAGTCCCTTGGACGAAGAACGACTATTTCTTTTCATCGTGCAATGAAGATCACACTACTGTCGCGATAAATCTTTCATAACTGTCTCGCCCTGTTGTTTTCAATAACTTGATCCCAGGAGGCGGGGGGCTGAAGAGAAAAGGCCACCGGCAGCCAAGGGTGGGTGAGTTCGTCCATCTGGTCTCTCTAATGCGCTCTTTCTCAGCGGTTCGAATTTGCTCTGAAGAAAGAGAGTTTCTGTTTGTCATCAAGCGTAGTTTCCTCATCCGCGGATGATGAAAGCGCCATGGCGATGGATGGACTTTTGTCTTTCGAATAGGAAATAGGTCGCCCGCGTCACTTTATCTATCGGACGAGTACCTGTTCGCCCTCAGGAGCCTACTCCCCTTTTGGACATCCCCTTGGGCATCCCTTGGGCATCCCTTAACGACAGCCGTGAAATACTCGCGGGATAAGCATAAAAAACTAGTTTTGTTTTGTTTTGTTTTTTGAACGGTCATCGCAACCATGCAATAAATGAGAGCGCAAATGAGCTCTCACTTGTGTGTGCCTGATACATTACCAGCGGTAGATGGATCGATACGGAATAAAAATAAAACGTTCGTTTATATATGCCAGTGACCAAGAAGACTGACTGGCCATTGCCGCTACTCTTTCTCACAAAAACCTCCAGGGAAAAGGTTTACGTCTCGTCCTGTCAATCGACAGACTAAGACGTTAAGAGATTCGACAAGTAAAAAGCCTATTATCCCCAGGGTTAGGGTCAATGTTTTGATTTCTAGGACGCTTGCTTTTTTTTTTTATCGATAGTACAGATGTCCATTTACGTGCACCTTCTCAACAAGTCGGGTCTATTTGTTACAAACTAGAAAAATCGCTGAACAATAGTAATTGGCGTAGCTGGTGCTTTTAATGGCACTGGATATCTCTTCTTCCCCCCCCCCCCCCCCCCCAGAAGACAGAAAGACAGAAAGACAATGTTCTCAAGTCAAAGCAAGCCGGCAAAACTCCACTGTAGATTTCTCATCATTATGATACAATTCGGGAAGGTTATTTTTATTTTTATTCAGGACCTATGAAGCATTGCCACTCCTGGTCAGTGTGTTAAAAACTGAAGGTTACTTATTACCAAATGTGTGTCCTCCCCATCCCCTTCATGGCGGTCAGCCGCCTCATCTCTTGCAGGCAGTCCAGTAGAGTTCGATTCGCAGTAGCAGGATCCAGTGCGGGGCCGCAGCAGGACCCGCTTGCATGATCGGCGTTGCAAATGTATCCGTAGTCCTCAATCTAATCTCCTTGAGGACTCTTGTACGGCGTTCGTTTCATCTTGTCTGTGATCCCCCATACTCGCAGCGTAGTTTCTAGATCAGCACCGTAGTCCACATATCAATAAAGCCGACGAGCTTGCGGATGGTCTGGAACGCCGCCTTCGATGGTGAGGTTAAGAGACCATCCCACTCCTTGATAAGAATGAGGGGTGTGATGCCGCGGTACAAGTCGCTGATGCTCAAGGTTAGATTCGGAGAGCGGCCGATAAAGTCGTCGCCCAAGAACAGTGATTATGTCCCAGCCAAGCCATCGTATAGCTTTCAGTGCAGCGGCGCGGTTCTTGTTACAGGTAGCACCGCGCACACGCTGATGTTTGTTGGCCTTGCTGTATGGGGCCATCGCAGCGCGACCCTATTTGTCTATCTCTTGTAAACCATCGTGTCAGATTTGCTTGTGGACATCGTTAATGGCACTGAGAAATCTCATAGGTAGTCGTTATTCTCATCCTAAATACTTCAGACGCAGTGGACACGGTCAGGATAGACGTCAAGATGGCGAGTCTTCATGGTGTCCATAGTGGGCAGCATACCATGCAGCTTCTTGATGTAGTGCGTCCCCCGACGCGTATCTGTGCCATTACTGTAGAGCGTGTGCACAGAGCGCTTTTCGTAAATATGGGAGAAAAGGAGTCGGAGGCACACCGCAACGGAAAAAAAGGGGTGCCTTTGCAAAGGAGGGGAATGTTGAGTCTAATGTGGGATGGCCCAGCATGAAACTATTCTTAAAGTGCAGACGCGCACAGCAATGAATTCTGATTCGGCGCAGCCTGAAGTCAATTCTGACAAACGGCCGCGCGTTGTGATTCCTTCTTGCACGTTGCTGTGCTTGTACATGTACGTTGATGATTACGCTGGATTGGTTTGATAAATGAGTCGTATTTGGGTGAAAAGTGGCGGAACAAATCAAATACAAATCCATCTCTTTAGAAAACAGAGGATGGAAGGATGGATCTTCTTCATCAGTTCGGCTATAGCATCTCTGGTCTCGCTAACTCTGGCGAAGATGCAATGCAACTGCCTAAACAGGGAGAAGATAGGAAACCCTCGCTCATTACAGGTGAATCTACCAACTCCAGAGAGTACAGTGCTATTTAGAAGGCCTCGACTCTTCATCGAAAACCAAATAAGCACATTTGAGAATACGATCGAGAGATGGCTACGCGACGATGTAATCAAGGTCGCTCCTGTAGGCAAGGTACACAGCAATGCTCTCACAGTTGCTGCCATTGAAATTGCAGGCCTGTTTGACGAGTCTGAGCTTATTTGTTGATTATGGTAGATGTTTGTAGTTGGCTCGTATTGCTGGATGCCCTACCAGATAAGTCTGCATAGCTATACAGTCGCCAAGGTCTTATTCAAAAGGTCCGCCGATATGGGTGTCTCTCATGTGCTACAGTCTGATAACGGATAAGAAGCGCCAACGAAACAATCCATACCATGATCACACAAATGTACATTGATTATCGATTAATAATGCCATATCTTCCAAGCGGGAAATGGAGTTGCAGAAAACCATGTCAAAACGACGCGCAACATGATTCGCAAGGAAGCTAAAGGAAATCATCTTCATTGGGATCGTCTTTTTTTTTTTTTTTTTTTTTTTTTTTTTTTTTTTTTTAGTTTTCAGCAAACGTGCGAACTGTTAGCCTGCATGACTCATATCCATTCTTGATATTCTTCGCGCGCGAAGCAAAACAGCTTCAATATATTCACTAGAGATGAAGGAAGGATCATGAATCAAGAAGAGCTGCTTGAACACTTGAAACTTCGTCTTTTCCGTCATTATTGAACAATTCAAGTGTAACTGTACTGCATAACGAGTTCCCTGGCGAGTTCCCTAACGAAACAAAGGTAACAACCCTTGGCCTGAGAAAAGAAAGAATGCTCGCTCCACGTTACGAAGGACCATATACAATGGCACATTGAACTCCATATGGTGCTTATTTTCGAAGATGGCACTGGAGCGCTACTGGGAAGTCGCTGTGCCTCATCTCAGTTCAAGCTCGTGCTGGATGGCTTTGGGGATTCAGGCACCTATGAAACGGACAAAAAAACCGTTACAGAACGACGGTGTAGATATTAGCGAGTTCTGTCATGTAGTACAAAGCAATCTGAAATCCACGGCAATCAATATCAAATATGCTAGCATCACAGTATCTAATCAACTTCAAAAAGTCAATCCGGATCCCGAAAAAAAAAGAAGAATGAAAGAAAAAGTTCTCCACTTTGCCTCATACACTACGCCAAATCCTGAAGCTCGCGGTTCGTTCTACATGGGAAGGGAGAGCTGTTGCGTATTCGTGCAGATAAATACCCACTCGATGTAGTGCGTGGACCTAAATGTGCTTCTCGCTCCTTTTCGTCTTCCAGGTCCCAAAACATCGCAAGGTCATTAGATGATGAATGGCTGTATGCTGGATGGTCTATTTGTGTGTCTATGGAAGAACGACAGTAATGGGTCACAAGGGTGACCAGAGTGACGAGTTCTCCTTTGGATATGTAGCGCATATATTATGTCCATTTTCGGGCAACGCAGAAGGTGATGAAAGATCGGAACGGGGGTAGATAAGGAACGAGCGCAGAAAATGAAACCCCACTACGTGTTCCCGATGCATGCTTCAGGTCCATTGGAATTGAAGCGACTTGTTAAACTAGCCCAGATTGCTCTAAAGTCGCTTCTATAGACGACCAGATTACCGTCGTTCTGGAGCGTCAATCTGTACTGTCCGTCGACAGGGCCAGTCTTGTTGCTGCACCACCTGTTCACGCCGCGACCATCATAGAGGCAGAGATTGCCATCCATATCTAAATGCATTTTGTAAGGAGGAACCTGTGGAGACTGATCCGACATCAGGCAGGTCCATTTATATCCGAAATCGTAAGACCAGAAGCAGAGGTTTCCGTCCGACTGGAGCCGCACAGCCAAATTAGCAGAAATCAGATTACCGTCTTGCACAATGTCTTGTCCAGAAAGGATGGTGTCGGGACCCTGGCATGCCCCCATTCCGTGATAGAGATCCTTCTTGCAGAGTCCAGCCCTCGGCTCCGCAAGTAGCTTGTCCGCGATAAGAGGTGCCGTAGTAGTAGCTGAAGGAGCCGTGCTACTAGGTCCGGTGTTGTTTCTTGACGTAATGCTCTTGAAATCGCTGCTTCCGGTGCTGTTCCTGGATCTTCCATTCTTCTTAAGGTCCAAATACATTCCAGAGATGGTGCATCTCGGCACTCCTCCACGGCAGTTCTCGTCATAGAAGGCCCATTCTTGATTTCCGTAAACGCCCGCATGCAGTCTTACTTCGGTGTTCTCCTCAAGTCCATCCAGATCCATGTTGGTTGGGTTCACGAGTGGATACCCAGCACCGTTTTGGCCATCTCCGGGAATCCAAATTATTTGGAGGATCATTCGGTATCCGTTTTGGTGCCATCTTCTTTCGGCGGTGTCTTTGGTTAACAGCGCCGTGGACAAGTGTCCTGATATTTGCCAGAGCCCCAGAAAAGTTATTGATGATGGTTCCAACGTTTAAACTAGGGGGAGGATAGCTTGAGTGACTATATCTCGCAATGCCGTAGGACGCGAGAGCCGTGCTAGCGATTGCCAGCAACAGCAAGATAGATCTCATCATCATGATGGGAACAAAGTGTAAGAGGTGTGGAGTAAGGCAAAGGCTAGTGTGCTCTGGAGGATTCAGGTAGTCTGGAAGAAGAGCGGATGAGGATCCACCTTCATAGCGTTCAGATGCCGTGCTATTTATCGATTCTCAAAGTCGACGTGAGTGTTTTCGCACCGGGGACGGGTGGTGGTATCCCGCAAAGTTGTACTTTGTGGTAGATCCTCAATGGGCGCGACGAGGTCCACAGTCTCTCGTCCCTCCAACCTGCTGCACAGTGAGCAAAACATCACTGCTTCTTTTCTTCACGGTTCCACAATGTCTCAGAGCACCTAGCAGAGAGTAAGGCTGCTCTTTTAGTCCACGCTTATCCGCTGAATCATTTGGTTCTCTGCCCCCCTCACTGCTCTGATTGCTCCGTTCGCCCCAGTCGTTTAATCGCTCCAACCGCTCTATCACACATATATTTTGTGTCCTGTGAAGCCTCCATACCCGGAACCAATCAGAACTTAAGGAGCCTCTCTCTTGCTCCCATACAGTCAGATCGTCTAGCGAACACTGGTTCATACATCACAGGCATTTCAATTGATATCGAACTTTACTACGCCCACTTTTGCGTAGACCAGTTGTACCCAGTTGCCACCGCTCATTTCTGCCTAGCTCAATGGTCAACGGTCGATGCTCATCTCTTGAGTGACCGGTTGGTATTGCTCTCATGTGTGAGCTATCACTTTGGTTGGATTGGAGCACCCCTTTGTCTTTAATTGGCATCGAATCTGTCGGCGAGAGAGGAATGCATACACCACGCGTCGTCTTTGTTAACAAAAGTTACGATAGACCCAAGAAAGGATCATGCATAGAGGGCTTTACAAGACCATGGTGTGTATACTATGTACTATGGCAGTCTAAGGATTATTGCACCGTCTTTATTACCAACACGATAAAATGCATTCAGCTCCCATATATTCACATCGTGGTCATTGTTTATAACAAGAATCGTCTCTTCCCAGTTCCTATCAAGGTATGCACGTTGCCGATTGAAATTGTCGCTTTCCAGAACTTTAGCTCAATGTATTCACCGTGTGCAACTTTTCTCAAGACTTTGAGATGACCGTCCTCCAAGTGTTCGTATAGCTGTTAAGCAGGTTTTCCACCTCCTATCTGACAGAGGCCTCTCCGGAAGATGTTTGCAATAGCAAAGGGGTCTCTCAACGGTACGACAACGCCATCAAGTTCATGGCTGCCGTCGACATCGTGCCAGGGCTGTCAAGAAGATTCAGTATACTCGGACTTTTGTGCATTTCTGCTCCTTGTATCAGAAAACTGGGATCTCAAAAGGAACTGTGCTCAATATTTGAAGGACCTCAAGTTCTTCGATGCTATCGTATTGTTGTCCAGATATTCCCCTAACTTGTAGTGCAGGTCTCTTTCAGAGGGTAGTGCAGTCGACTTGCAGAGAAAATTTATAAACTGCTGTGCTGGATTGCAAGACATGCATGAGAGCAAAGGCTCGAGCAGATGCATCTTAGGGAGGGTAATCTAAGGAAGGGGACAAGTGATAATCACAAAGACATTCTAGGTTCTAGGTTGCTTTTGAGGTATGATTCTGAAATGATCAATTTGTCTAAATGGGTCGACCCAGTACTGGAATTACGGCCCTGTATCTTGATGCAGCTCGGATAGCTGATCAATTTTTTTTTTTTTTTTTTTCGTACTGACCAATGTTCACATAGAAACATCATCGCGGCAGTGCCTTACTGGAAAGGTATCCAGCTTCATTTGTGCCTTTATGTGTCTAAATGGGAGCCTAGTTTCTAAGTTAATGAGGCTCGATACTTTCATATTCACATCCACTGTGGCAACAGGTGATGATATCTCAATCCTCGTGCGCAGCGTTGCATATTTATTTAGTAAATTCGCACAAATAAATGTGGTGTGTAGACCTACGTATCTTCCCCGCTCATTTCGTTTCCTAAAATCCCAAGACATTGTTTTCAAGATGCAATATACACTCGAAAAGGAAAGAGGCGAAAGGGGACAATTGTCAGGATCCGGACAGGCGGAAGTGCAATAAAGGATGCGTGAATAAAGGGCAGACGGGAAGGTACAGCATTTTATTGCAGACTGGGGATTACTGAACGAAATTTGACGAGGTACCGGGTCGACCGCGTACAATTAATCTACCCCCGCGTTCCGGAACCTAAACATGATCAGACGCGTCTGGCTCAGCCATAGAGAAGACGTGCAAAACGTGGGCAGACATGTATCTTGACACGAGAAAACGACGTTGGTCTGGATATGCCTCCCGCGCCGCGACGCTTTGGATGCAGGTACGACGGAGACACACGGGGACACGACTTGATTGAGGGACCCAGTGGCAGTGCGAAGTGTCTGGAATTTTATTCGTAACAGCACCCATATATCCGGCCTACACGAACTAAACAGGAGTCGCGATCAACCAGCCACGTCTAAAGCCATAGACACGTCTGCTTGACCGGGGTTAATTATGAAGCCGTCGGAAGTGATGACTTGTGATGTTATATTTTCAACAGGCGTTGAGCTATAGCTTTTTTTCTTTTGATAACTAGGACCCACGGGGACGTGTGGGCTTTATTAGCGCGGCACTATCCTCTAGGGGCCCCTATTGCTAGAGACGTAAAGAAAGGTGGTATCTAATAAACAGCTTTTGCTGCCAGGTTCCTTTCACAATCCTCGTCAGTATGAGTGGTGACTCGAAGAGCCCTGCTTCCTACTTGGCCTGTTGTGTGCGAAGGCCATCCTTTAGCCGCGTTCCTCAACCATCATAAATTTACAGTTGCCGGTGCGTTCCATCGCGTTTAGCTCCACTTGCTGCATGCAACTTTGCAGCGCTCGCTGGTCCGCTCGTTCCTCGATCTCTTTCACATCCAATGCGCGTCATTGTCTCCTGGAGGATTCAACGAAACCACTACCACTACATCTGTGCTCTCCAACACAGTTGCGTCCCCGGGCGCGTTTGCTCATGGTAGTGATTTTTTTTTTTTATTAACATAAATTCCATGAGCACGCGACGCATGGTCCGCAAAGGTCTTGAAGCCATAGATGCCTTCCATGCACGGCAGAGCCGCATCCCCTACCAACTATGTTGGCCTGAGGCGTCAAATTCATAACCCATGTCGCATAGCTAGCCTAACCTAACTCCTGCGTGACCTGTTGCGCGATACACGTCTCCTAATCCAGATCCAATGTTAATAAAGTTGTTTTTAAACCGAATAACCCCTCCATTATGTCCAACTTCCCTCGCCCCAAGCAATGCTGTAGCACCCTATAATTCGCGGCCTGTCTACCTTCCTGGATCTCCGCTGCAAGTAACCGTCTCCCTTTCAAATCAGAGAAATCACCAACACTACGTTGGTGTCCCCGATCACCGTTGCGTCCTCCGGCGCGTTTGCTCATGAAGGTGATTCCAACTGACTTTTCCCAGGCGACAGTGTCCTCGCATCGTTTGTTCCATATCTTGGTCCTGCCAAACTCTTCGATCCTGCTCACGAACTTTGTCACCATGATCGTCGCAATCCACTTAGTGGTGGTAAATAGCTGCTTCCAGGTCTCAATGAGTCCCGTTGGCACCAAACCTCGGTATAAGTCCTTGACCTCCCAAACTGCCTCACTCTCCGGCTCCTCTCCTTCTGCAACCCGATATGTCCCTCGTCTTTCCGCCGTCCCCTGAATCCACTGCATTGACTCCCAGATAGCCTTCGTTCCTGTTGCCGAGAAGTTGGGACAAGTCGCAGTGAAGGGCTTGTCCTTCCGTTCGGCCTCCTCTCTCTCCTGTTCCCATTTTCGCACTGCCTGTCTCCATGCACGATATCCATTCAACTCCACTTCCTCCACCGCGTCCCTCCACTCTTGTCGCTGGTCGCACAAGGTAGCTGAACAACGCCAAAGATGATCGTTTGTCTCTGATTCCCTCTCACACCTACGACATATGTCCGTTTGGTAGGTATCTGGATGTCGTTTCTTCATCGCCTGCAATGTCGGCAAATCTCCATGCAGCTTCTTGATCCTGTGCGAACGTAAACGACAGTCTTCCAGGCTGGTGTATAAGCGCTTTGGCGGGTTGTTATCGTGTAAGATCCGCAGCGTGGGCGCCCATGCTACCGACCGCCAATCCTTGATGTAGGTCCTCGTTCGATGCTGCAATGTCCACTGATAATGGTGTCGTACCGCGGACTGCAGCTTCAGTATCCTCCTCAAGTCCAGGTCTGCACTGTGTGTTGCAAACTGTGCGTGGCATTTCAAATCATGGTGCTGCGTTGCGTCTAGCCTCCATAGTCCTGTATCGATCCCATGTGCTGCCTTGGCAACAGTGTCTGCAGCCTCGTTGCCACGGTGTCCAGCATGTCCTCGTACCCAATGCACAGATATACCTTGTCCTTGTTGCAAGAAGGCATAATGCACCATCGCCCACCACTGTGCATCTGCAGATCTCAAACGCTGCCTTGCTGTTGCTGAATCCCGCTGCTGCACCAACTCCTTGAAATTGTTGACGACTGTGAGATTGTCGATGTAGATGTCGACGTTCTCTTCCCTTGGGCTGATAAGAATTGTTGCCAAGAGCCCACACATCTCTGCAATTGTTGACGACGCGTATCCCCCGACCCGTCCACCGAACGCCGTTGTGTAGGGACCACCATCCACAGAAACGACAACTCCGAATGCTGCACTGACCTGCTCTGTGCCGTTGTGAATCACTGACCCATCCGAGCAGAAGTGAAGCCTTCGATGTGTTTGTAAACGTCTCCTAGCTGTCCGAATTTGCTGGATTGTTGGTACCTGGAGCGCCAATCCCAGTAAATCTCGCTCAATTTCATCTGATACTGCCGGCAATGGTTGGCGAACAGGGTCCCCTCTCGGTCCGGCTTTTTTTTTTTTTTTTTTTTTTTTCCAATGGACAATCTTTGCCAGGGTTTATTGGTTATTTTATGGGGGTTACGATTTCTCGCTGGTCAGGATGTTCCTTTTTTTTTTTTTTTTTTTTATTAACATAAATCCCCATGAGCACAAGACGCATGGTCCGCAAAGGCCTTGAAGCCATAGATGCCTTCCATGCACGGCAGAGCCGCATCCCCTACCAACTATGTTGGCTTGAGGCGTCAAATTCATAACCCATGTCGCATAGCTAGCCTAACCTAACTCCTGCGTGACCTGTTGCGCGATACACGTCTCCTAATCCAGATCCAATGTTAATAAAGTTGTTTTTAAACCGAATAACCCCTCCATTATGTCCAACTTCCCTCGCCCCAAGCAATGCTGTAGCACCCTATAATCCGCGGTCCGTCTACCTTCCTGGATCTCCGTTGCAAGTAACCGTCTCCCTTTCAAATCAGAGAAATCACCAACACTACGTTGGTGTCCCCGATCACCGTTGCGTCCTCCGGCGCGTTTGCTCATGAAGGTGATTCCAACTGACTTTTCCCAGGCGACAGTGTCCTCGCATCGTTTGTTCCATATCTTGGTCCTGCCAAACTCTTCGATCCTGCTCACGAACTTTGTCACCATGATCGTCGCAATCCACTTAGTGGTGGTAAATAGCTGCTTCCAGGTCTCAATGAGTCCCGTTGGCACCAAACCTCGGTATAAGTCCTTGACCTCCCAAACTGCCTCACTCTCCGGCTCCTCTCCTTCTGCAACCCGATATGTCCCTCGTCTTTCCGCCGTCCCCTGAATCCACTGCATTGACTCCCAGATAGCCTTCGTTCCTGTTGCCGAGAAGTTGGGACAAGTCGCAGTGAAGGGCTTGTCCTTCCGTTCGGCCTCCTCTCTCTCCTGTTCCCATTTTCGCACTGCCTGTCTCCATGCACGATATCCATTCAACTCCACTTCCTCCACCGCGTCCCTCCACTCTTGTCGCTGGTCGCACAAGGTAGCTGAACAACGCCAAAGATGATCGTTCGTCTCTGGTTCCCTCTCACACCTACGACATATGTCCGTTTGGTAGATATCTGGATGTCGTTTCTTCATCGCCTGCAATGTCGGCAAATCTCCATGCAGCTTCTTGATCCTGTGCGAACGTAAACGACAGTCTTCCAGGCTGGTGTATAAGCGCTTTGGCGGGTTGTTATCGTGTAAGATCCGTAGCGTGGGCGCCCATGCTACCGACCGCCAATCCTTGATGTAGGTCCTCGTTCGATGCTGCAATGTCCACTGATAATGGTGCCGTACCGCGGACTGCAACTTCAGTATCCTCCTCAAGTCCAGGTCTGCACTGTGCGTTGCAAACTGTGCGTGGCATTTCAAATCATGGTGCTGCGTTGCGTCTAGCCTCCATAGTCCTGTATCGATCCCATGTGCTGCCTTGGCAACAGTGTCTGCAGCCTCGTTGCCACGGTGTCCAGCATGTCCTCGTACCCAATGCACAGATATACCTTGTCCTTGTTGCAAGAAGGCATAATGCACCATCGCCCACCACTGTGCATCTGCAGATCTCAAACGCTGCCTTGCTGTTGCTGAATCCCGCTGCTGCACCAACTCCTTGAAATTGTTGACGACTGTGAGATTGTCGATGTAGATGTCGACGTTCTCTTCCCTTGGGCTGATAAGAATTGTTGCCAAGAGCCCACACATCTCTGCAATTGTTGACGACGCGTATCCCCCGACCCGTCCACTGAACGCCGTTGTGTAGGGACCACCATCCACAAGGAGGGAGCCAATCCCCTGCTGCCAGCAATCCGAAAGGTAATTTATACACGGCCCCCCGTGCCGAAAAACAACCGCACCAAGCTGGATCCGAAACTAGGATCCACAGCACTGTTCTCTGGAAGCTTCGCGTGATACTACTGTACCACACAGGCTCGCCCGCCGCTCTTGCTGCTTCTTGCTGTTCTTCCGGCTAAAAGCTAAAAATGACATAAAAAATGCGTTCAATGTTGAGCTAAACTCTAATTTTTCTGAAATATAATAGTGTGGCGGGCTCTAGACTTCAGCCTCTTCAGATGAGAAATGCCCCCTTAGCTCATTGGTAGAGCGTCTGCCTAGTAAGCAGAAGGTAGCAGGTTCGATCCCTGCAGGGGGCACTAGAACGTGCTCCAGCATTCTCTTTTGCGGGCTGGGGGGCCAAGCTTTTGTCCTTGGTCGAGGGGACAATCTATTTGGCAACCCCTATACTAACTCCATGTGAGGCTAACATTTTTTAAATATCGATTATGCCTGTAGTCCTTATGGTACCTGGCTCCGGCTCTTTAAGCTAGATCGTCATCTGTCTCTTAAAGGACTTCACAATGCAACTGATTTCCCATTTCGTCATCGCTGAGTCCGTCGTCGATAAAACCCTGTTTTCCGTCATGAAGAAGGCTTCTCCCAAGGTCGCAAAAGGTTGCATGGGGTGCCAGGTGGAGGAAGGAATGGTTCTCAACCTCTCGCCGCGTTGTTTCGACTTGAAATTCGTAAAAGATACGAGTCTTGTTTTACATGGAATTTGTGCAGGGGTTGCCAAATAAGAGTAACAGCCCGGGTTGTCAAATAGGAACCATCTCTGTCGACCAAAATTTTCGGTCTAAAGGTCAACGTTGGTACCGTGATCACACTCAGGAGCGGCAGCTGTAATTCGTTGACGGAAAGCACCCATCGGACATAATGGGCGACGCTATTGGTGGCAAGGATGTAGTGGAGATACCCTTATCTTCGCACGTTTTCCTTCATACGCGTTGTTGTGCTAGGATTTTTAAGGATGTGGATGCTTTGTGTTCACTTTAGTAGTAGATCTAGCTGGAGGTATTCTAGTGTCTGAAGAGCGTGCTGTTCTGCAAGAAGTCTTCGTCTGAGAGAAAATAGCCAGGGTGTAATAGACCAGAAAAAAGAGGTAGAGAGCGACAGCAGCGGTTAGTTGCTGCTTCCCACTCGCCCGAGGCTTTCACGAGGAAAAAGGCTATTTTACGCGTTCTGTCACTTTGTGCATCTCGGCCTGACCCCACTGCCTCATTCCTCTCACCTTCTCATTCATTCTTCATCCTTAATCTTCTTGTGCATACCCATAACTTGAATCTCTGTCTAGTTGCTGACAACTCACCATGGCTACCAACCTCGGCCACTACACAAAGCCGATAAGGTCTAAAGTGAATACAAAATCGCCAGAGTACCAGGACAACTACAAGGAGATGCTCGGTCTCGTGAACCAGCTCCAGGAACGACTCCACGAGGCCACCTTCCAAGGCTCGGATAGGCTGCTGGCCCTGCATCATAAGCGCGGATCTCTGCTCGGTAAAATGATCATGTCCATCACATTTTATTGCAATCCAAGAAGGGAAAGCCCGTTCCAACATATCGACTGATCGCAGTGTCACCTCTGTAAAACTAGCTCGCGATCGCATCGAGCTGCTGCTGGATGACGATTCTCCGTTCTTGGAGCTCTGTCCGCTTGCTGGACATGAGCAGGAGGATATGACTGTGGGTGGATCCCAGGTCGCTGGAATCGGTCTTGTGTGGTACGTACATAATTTTCTCATCGACGTGAACTGTTCGCCCATAAAACATTATCCTGATACGTCTTTGAGCATGGTTCCTTACTAGCGGTATCGAGTGCATGATCACGGCTAACATTCCGACCTTGCAGGGAGGTGCATGGAACGCATCGACAATGGCAAGAGGCTCTCGAATCAGCGAGATCGCTTGGATCAACCGTCTGCCTCATATTCAGCTCGTCCAATCGGTAAAAGAGGATTTGCAGTGCTCATGAACCTGCCTCTTGATCGAAAACAAGAGTTACTCAACACTGCCGCATTTCGTCTTCTGACCACTAGGCTGGAGCAAACCTCGCACAGCAGAGTCGCGTGTTCCACCCAGGTGGGGCTGGATTCCGTCACTTGGCCGAGAGGTTCGTGAACGAGTTTGTTTTCGTTCGCATGCACTACAATAGTTCTCGGAAAGCAACAGGAACACTAAAGCATTTTTTTCTTCTGTTTTCGGTTCATTATCTTGCAGATCCAAAGCTGGATTACCCTCGGCTGCTGTGGTGTTTGGCAATTCGACTGCTGGAGGCGCTTACATTCCTGGGATGAGCGATTACGTCGTGATGGTCAAGGTAACATGGTAACACCTGTCTCTGCATCAAGCATTTTGACAACAAAGCTGTCGTTGTGCTAATCATCGATATTTCCATACGTGCCGGCAAACAGGGCAAGGCCCAGGTTTTCCTGGGAGGTCCACCACTGGTCAAGATGGCTACAGGCGAGATTACAGATGCAGAGAGCCTGGGTGGAGCTGATATGCACAGCCGCAAATCAGGTGTTTCTGATCAGCTTGCCATGGACGAGTACCATGCAATCTCGATGGCCCGTGAGTTCGTCTCGGGACTAAACTGGACCAAGCAGGGCCAGCTGCCGATCCGGCATATCAAGGGTCTATTTGACCAGCCCATGTATGACCCTGATGAAATCTTGGGAATCGTCAGCGCCAACATCCGCATCCCCTTTGATGCTCTCGAGGTCATTATCCGCTTGGTTGATGGTTCTCGCTTCACGCAGTTCAAGCCATTGTATGGACCAAATTTGATCTGTGGATGGGCAACTATTCACGGTATTCCCGTCGGCATTCTGGCCAACAACAATGTCCTCTTTCCTCCCGAGGCCAACAAGGCGACACAGTTTATCCAGCTATGCAACATGCGCAACACCCCGATCCTCTATCTCCATAACATCACTGGATTCATGGTCGGCAAGAAGTATGAGGAGGAAGGGATCATCAAGGCAGGATCTCGCTTCATCAATGCAGTCTCAAACTCACAGGTGCCGTGTATCACTATCGTCATGGGTGCCAGTTACGGTGCAGGAAACTACGCCATGGCCGGGCGCGCCTACAACCCCCGATTCCTGTTTTCATGGCCGAACAGCAAGTGCTCTGTCATGGGCGCGGAGCAATTGACGGGTGTGCTCGATATTGTGATGCGAGATTCGGCTAAAAAGTCGGGCAGGATCATTGACGAAGAGATGGCCAAGGCCTCGATGGGGATGTTCCAGGCCATGGTTGAGAACGAGTCAGACGTGTACTGGACGAGTTCACGGTGCATTGATGACGGAGTGATTGATCCCCGCGAGACACGAACCATTCTTGGTTTCTGCCTCTCAGTCTGCTACAATACCGAGGTGAAAGGAGGCAACCTCTATGGCGTCTCGCGTATGTAATCGTACATAGAAGTACAGAAGCACCTCGGAGAAATCATAAAATAGCGACGCAATAATGGGCCTCTAGATATCGGTAGCTATCATCTGTTGGATTACGCTGAGCGCCTCTAAGTCAGAATCCGTGCTAGAACGCGACGATTACAGCCTTTTCCGATTTTCAGCTGAATACGAATAGACCTTCGGGTCCTGAATATACTACATGGGGTTGTCTTGTGGAGCGGAAAGACTTCATGAGGCACCTGCTAATGTTAGATTTAAATATTGGAAGAGATTAATCCATTGTAGACGACTTTTAAGCAACGGTGTATTATAAGCAGTCGAATAATAGCTACGAGCCGCTGAGGTTAAGTACTTTGTAGAATATATTTATTCAAAATAACGTCTTTTTATCTCTTTGCTTGCGAAGGAGAAATTAAAGTCTGACCATTGATGCAGAAAATGAGCATGGAGTAATTTGCTGAGCAGAAAAAAAAAAGTGCGTGCTGGTTAAATCGACTGAAGGCACAAAAGTGCGCGCTAGTTAAAATGAGAAAAGTGTACGCCTGTGCGGTGTGGCAAAGCTGAATCAAGGTTTTTGGTGCAGAGTAGCAAACCCGATCTGGACCCTGTGAGCAAAGGAATAATATAATGTAGGGTAGGGTAGTATTTACTCCTGGTCTCCTTTTACTCCTAAGGAACTATTTGATGAATATGTATCGACACCACCCACTCTGAACCGAACGCACCGCACACCCCACATCATTGTACCATATCCGATTGGTACGCCTTGCCGCAGATGGTCTTCATACGCATTGCCAGCGAGAGTTGAGATGGGGTTGTGTGCCTTTCTTCTTCGACCATTAGACGTCATGCATGCTCAGCAATTAGTCTCTTGTACATTGTATTGACCTATGTAGTACGTGCGAGCAGAGAAGAGTACCTTTAACATGGTGCAGACGGGAACAGCTTTATAAGGTACTGTCTGCCCTGAGGATAAAGAGCCCTTTCTTGTCTTGTTGGCTTCAGTCTGTAAGTGAAATAAGTATAGAATATCGCATCTTGTGTATCTTGTGTTGTTGATACCATTTGTTCTGAGACCCTGCAGCGTAATTGTATTATTTCTCCATCCTTTCGGTATCCTTTACTGGCAGCACTAAGCAATGGAGGTCCTTTTTACTATACAGCATTTTTTATCCAGAGTGTAACGAATGGTTTGTTCCATACAGTTTCCTCACACTTTCCCTGGGCACAGCTCGTCTCTCTGTGTCACCTTGCTCGGCATGAGAATGTGTCGTACCAATGCTGGTAATGTCTTTAAGCTTCCTATCCACTTTGTACTGGGACCGGCATTACTACACACACCAGCTTGGACATGCCATTTTCATGACTGATGGGTCATGTGTAAGAACAGAAAGTGTGCGCAGCTGTGTCGCGCTTGCATATCAGGGCACTAATTAATCTGATACAGACCCGCACAGCCACACAGGATAGGTTGCGGAGAATGCAGGTATAAAACATTTTTTTTTTTTCCTGACGAACCCCGAGAGACAATGTTGGTTTCCACCCATTACCAAAGCATCTGGTATTTTTATTGAGTAGCCTATTCATGAACCGCAATAATACAACAGCGGCGTTCCTGCATTTCTTTATCACAGTGTGACAAGCAAGTCAAAATTCGATCAGCAATCTCCCGAGCATGCGGAGTCTTGACATCGTCTTCTGTCTTTCCCATGAAGAAGCAAAAAAAAAAACCCCCCCAAAGCAATTTTTTTTTTTTTTTTTGGCGATATACAAGCGTCTAAGTGCAACATCTCTTGCGATTGCAAGAGCTCACATCGACTTCCGACACGGTGCTCACCTGCCTTTTTTTTTTTTTTTTTTTTTTAAAAAAAAAAATAAATTATTATAACCAAGGGACATAGGACCAAAGCAACAGTAATAATTTATTACAGGCATACATGACCCGATGATGAGCTCGGACAAGTATTCGTGACTGAAATTGGCGACGTTCCGCTTGATGAATTTGACGTGCTTTCACGAAGAGGTAGAGGCGATAGCCATATCCCACACTCTTCCTCTTATTCGCTCATTGCAAGCGCTTCTTTGCATTTTTCAAGTCCTTATAGCCCCACGATCGTTTTAACCCATTCACGTCACCATTGCCGATCTTATGGATATCTGCCTATTAGTTAGTAAGAACCAAATGTGAGAAGCGAGTCTTGCTCCCGACGTAAATAACCTTTTTCAAAGTGATAACGTACCCTGGCAACTAAAAGCGTTGGGAGTGTCGCGAACAAGGAGGGGATCATTGCGATTGACGTGGGAACAATAAATGAGCCAATCTCCTCAAGCATGAAGATACCGCGTGTTTTCGTAGAGAGCCGCATATAAGACGCGTTCGAATAAACCACTTGAAAGAGCGGCGCAATTTCATTGCCGGCGTCTAAGAATGCTTTTTCAAAGCGCGCGAGGCGGTACATGTCCCATATGTTTTTTTCATTCTTCGTCCCCAGTGCTGGGTCAGTGGCCTCGCCCCAACATATTTCCTTCCCGAAAGCTACAGCCCTGATATCGGGTCTGTCTGGCTTCAGCCCTGATATCGAGTCTGTCTGGCTTCAGCCCTTGAGTCTTCTGTGTTGTGGAGTCCGTGTTCGGACTATGTATTTTCATAAAAGACAACGATTAAAACAAATCAACAGATCATCATAAAAAGGACGTCAACGCATAACACACTTACAATTCACTCTTAACAAACTCGTTGTCTACAAAGGCTTGCATAATAGGAGCGATGACTTCACGATGAAAGTATTTTCTGAGACTATGTCAACTGGCTTATACGGCAGGTATTCCAGGCTAATATTCGTTTAAAAAAGTTAACTCGTGCGCGTATAACTATATAGTACACGAATGCGCATGTCAAATGACTTACAGCATCTCAAGCATTAGTCGAATCTTTCGGTCCTTTTTATTGAGGGAATGAAGAATCTCAGCTACATCTTCTCTCTCTCCCTTGAGACAAAGCTGTAGACAAAAAAAAGTTAGACGGCACACGAAGACAAATTAAGTCAGCAGTGCATGTAACTAGTCGACATACCCTCACAGTTTTCATCATGAGACTATCATCGAAGTCGGTATCTGGCAATTCAATTGTCGACTTCGCAATCTTACGCAGCAATCCTTCGGTGAACGCGTTTTTCATCCTCGCTGTCGGCATCGAGGGTGCAAACACACCAATAATAGCCATGGCGTCGGCAACTTCTGTTTTTTTTATTTCGCTCTGAACCAAAGCATCGATGCATGCTCGCTGAAAGGCTTGAAACCGACACACTACGCAGATGTCATCCGCTACCCAGTCGCATTGAGTGTGCGAGGCTTTTTCAACACTGCGAAGAAGAACCTCGCGCTCATCGTTGTCGATGACTGGTTTCGTAATCACTGGCTCTGCCTCTTCGAACGGTGTCATTACAGGTGCTTGTGATGCCGCTGGCACCGCCGCTGTTAGAACAAGCTGTGAGGGGGACCCTGGAGGTGTTGTTGATGCGGCTGTGGATGGTCTTGTCGATTGCTGCTGATGACTCTCATTCTCCTGCTGCATCGGCGCTGCTGCCGTGACATATTGTTTGTGTTATTCAGTCATTAACCTGTTTGAACTCGTGAATCTGATCATCTTGTTTGTAAAGTTCTTTGTACGCGAATATTGCACATAACATACCAATGTAGCAACTTTCTTCAATGCGTGCTGTGTGGAGATTTGATACAGCTTGCTTTTGCCTAGCGACGTTAGGGAGGAGGGCTGAAATATGCCCGCGCTAGACGTGAAGTAAAGAACATTGTTATGTTGTGTACTATCGGTAATGTAGATATGGGAGCTCCTGGACAGCTTGACTTACTGTTTCGGGTTCTTCATCAATTATAGCCCGGAGCTCATTCACTGTAGCCTTTTTGAGAGAGAATCCTAACTGACGCTTATCGAGCGCAGAATGATGTCGAAGGTACGGCAATACCTTGCCGGTCCAATATCCTAGCAACTGCTCTTTATCTCGAATGTCCTTGAAGGTTCTCATGAAAGATCTAAGGGAGATCTTGCGTACTGGTGTGCTGTCAATGTACTTTTTGTAATCGTCGAGCATTGTTGTCTTATCCCGGGACAGTGTCAATGGTATGATGAGGGCAGCAGAGTTGTGATCGATTTGATTTCCTATACAGAAAGACGCCCCCAGAATTGAGGTCCTCAGGGCAATTGAAGAGTTATACTATCAGATTCACACTCCATCTAATGAGTTCATATCAACACTAAACAAGAGAGCTATAATGATTGATCAAGTGAAGGCACGCTCTGCGTTACACCGAAAGAAGCACTATCGGAACCCACGAGTCATCACCGTCGTTCCCCCTTGTCATATGAAAGGAACATTGACGGCTGCGGGAGTAAAACGCATGACGAGCGGAGTAGCTTCACACATTCTCACAATTAAGACCGAAAATGTGCATAGCCATTCACGAAGCTATCCTCAAAAGTCTGATCAGGAGAGATGAGGGCCCCGTCCAATCAAATCATAAGTACAATGGCAGGAGGAAAGAGAAGGAACGCCGCCTTTTACACAACAAGAAGAACTATTCGACCCCTCGGCCATCGCCGACATTCCCTCTTGCCATTCGGAGATGTCGGCTGCAGCATGATTCAACTATACCGCACTGGGCGAGGATTGGCTTCACACACCGCGATCCGCTTCGCGCATGTGCATATCCATTCACAAAGCTAGCCTCAAAAGTCTGGCCAGGAGAGATGAGAGCCCCGTCATCCACGAATTTGCCATTGTTCTGCTTCCAAATTGAACAAAATTAAGGGGATTACCATTCGAGCGTCGGATGAAACGTCTGGATAGTTGAGCACGCGAGCAAATGATCTCGAGTGGGTGAAACGGGCCGAATGGGAATGACAAACGGGCGTGATAGTTGAGAGGATGGATGGGGAAGTATGGGGAGGCGAGCAAGCGCGTGGATGGAGAAGTGATCAAGTGTGTGGATGGAGAGGTGAGCAAAGCGAAATGATAGAGAGCAAGCGAGGAATTAATGGAGGATGACAACGTGGCCAAGAAATAAAAACGCGCTCAAGCATCGTGAAGAGGGAGTCAATCTCGTTTGACCGACATGTGCCGCCATTCTTCCACCTAACGATCAAGTGCGGAGGGTCAAGAACAGTACCCCTCAATGGCCGTTGGCCAAAGCACAGGGGTCAAGGCAGAGTCCCTATCGACTTAGCTGATCCCTAACCTGAGCGTGTCGTTGCCTCCTTATTCTTGTAAATTCTTTTTTCTGATCGGTGGAGAGCAAGGCTTTTCCCTGAGACCTCTCTTTGCAAGCGTGCTTGCATCTGAAGCTCTTATCGTTTATATCTGTGTAAGCTTATTTTGATTAGAGTTTATTGAGCAACATATTCACAACCAGTGCTTTTACACGATATACCGATTGTTACAGCCATTCGAAAGAATTATCAGGATTGGAGATCCAAAGCATGGACAAACATCATCAACAACACTGAGGACATGATCACATCCTGGAAGGGCTAAGAGCGTCGTGAAAACTTGTGTGGAGAACTCAACCGGTAAGCTGTCTAACCTAATACCACATCTAGCATGCAAAATAAGCATCCTACTAAATCATCTGTGCTCTACGCACGACACTCACTACAGCTTGGAAAGCAAGATCGCTCAATACTCCCGAACTTTTCAATTCATGCTCCTCCATTAGAGAAGCGCTTGAGCTCCTCTTTTTTCGATGCAGTTTGTTGGACGCGGCCAAGATGATCCTTGAGAACGAAGCGCAATTAGTTGAAGTAGTATTCGGTCGAAAAATAGCTTCAGAAGTGTTGCAAGAGTTGTTCTCGATGAGCCATACGTCCTGAAGACAACGTGCAGTTATTTCCGGGAAAAGTATCCTTCTCTCATAACTGCTGCAGCGCGGATAATGCTGCACTCAGAAATGCCACGGCACACGGAGATATGTGGGAAGCTATGATGCTACCCTCTTCGTTGACACGTTGAAGGCTCAACCTCTATCATTATGGCCTTCGCTGACCAAGACTGATCTTCCTGGGCAGCTCGTCGGCGATGTGACAGTTGTTGGATACAATGAACGGAAGCCAAAACTGGTGATCTCGACAGGAACATCTCAATCCAGGACTTCATGCAGGCGCATGTCAAGGACAGTTCCAAGAAGGCGAATCTGAGCTTTGATGGACTGGAGCGTGTCTCCATCGATTTGGGCGACACCAACTTCGCGCAGATCTTATCAAAACGTCATGTCAAGTTCCTGGATAGGTTGAAACGACGTAAACAAGGCGCGGAAGGTCAGCAAGACCGGGATCAATCAAGGAAGAGAAAAGCAAGTGCTGAATGAACAATATGCGATGACATACATCCGGACGCTAGACCTCATTGATAACAAAAAGAGAAGTAACATGGAGAACTTGTTGAACCGATCCTTTGTGAGGTGTGCATGTCTTCCGCGAACATCCAAGAGGGATTTTTTCCAGTGAACCTCGTCCAGGCAGTGCGCATTTTTTTTCCTCCTCTACTCAACCACAGTGCGTATTCAAGTTCCGACACAGCGCCCCTCTTGCTTACTTTGAAAAATACCCTCGTATGCTCTTCACGCTAGGCTCGACCCCAGGCCTCTTTAACTGTAAGATGGATAGCCTCGAATCCAGTCCTGAATAGTATTGACTTAAAGTTAAAAGGAAACGTCAAGTTTTCAGTCATATCATTTGAAGAGGACTGAATTCAAGTCTATCTTCACGAAGCGTTCATTTTTCTTATTAGTGGTGTCGGGAGGCTCCCGAATCAGCGAGATCGCTTGGATCAACCGTCTGCCTCATATTCAGCTCGTCCAATCGGTAAAAGAGGATTTGCAGTGCTCATGAACCTGCCTCTTGATCGAAAACAAGAGTTACTCAACACTGCCGCATTTCGTCTTCTGACCACTAGGCTGGAGCAAACCTCGCACAGCAGAGTCGCGTGTTCCACCCAGGTGGGGCTGGATTCCGTCACTTGGCCGAGAGGTTCGTGAACGAGTTTGTTTTCGTTCGCATGCACTACAATAGTTCTCGGAAAGCAACAGGAACACTAAAGCATTTTTTTCTTCTGTTTTCGGTTCATTATCTTGCAGATCCAAAGCTGGATTACCCTCGGCTGCTGTGGTGTTTGGCAATTCGACTGCTGGAGGCGCTTACATTCCTGGGATGAGCGATTACGTCGTGATGGTCAAGGTAACATGGTAACACCTGTCTCTGCATCAAGCATTTTGACAACAAAGCTGTCGTTGTGCTAATCATCGATATTTCCATACGTGCCGGCAAACAGGGCAAGGCCCAGGTTTTCCTGGGAGGTCCACCACTGGTCAAGATGGCTACAGGCGAGATTACAGATGCAGAGAGCCTGGGTGGAGCTGATATGCACAGCCGCAAATCAGGTGTTTCTGATCAGCTTGCCATGGACGAGTACCATGCAATCTCGATGGCCCGTGAGTTCGTCTCGGGACTAAACTGGACCAAGCAGGGCCAGCTGCCGATCCGGCATATCAAGGGTCTATTTGACCAGCCCATGTATGACCCTGATGAAATCTTGGGAATCGTCAGCGCCAACATCCGCATCCCCTTTGATGCTCTCGAGGTCATTATCCGCTTGGTTGATGGTTCTCGCTTCACGCAGTTCAAGCCATTGTATGGACCAAATTTGATCTGTGGATGGGCAACTATTCACGGTATTCCCGTCGGCATTCTGGCCAACAACAATGTCCTCTTTCCTCCCGAGGCCAACAAGGCGACACAGTTTATCCAGCTATGCAACATGCGCAACACCCCGATCCTCTATCTCCATAACATCACTGGATTCATGGTCGGCAAGAAGTATGAGGAGGAAGGGATCATCAAGGCAGGATCTCGCTTCATCAATGCAGTCTCAAACTCACAGGTGCCGTGTATCACTATCGTCATGGGTGCCAGTTACGGTGCAGGAAACTACGCCATGGCCGGGCGCGCCTACAACCCCCGATTCCTGTTTTCATGGCCGAACAGCAAGTGCTCTGTCATGGGCGCGGAGCAATTGACGGGTGTGCTCGATATTGTGATGCGAGATTCGGCTAAAAAGTCGGGCAGGATCATTGACGAAGAGATGGCCAAGGCCTCGATGGGGATGTTCCAGGCCATGGTTGAGAACGAGTCAGACGTGTACTGGACGAGTTCACGGTGCATTGATGACGGAGTGATTGATCCCCGCGAGACACGAACCATTCTTGGTTTCTGCCTCTCAGTCTGCTACAATACCGAGGTGAAAGGAGGCAACCTCTATGGCGTCTCGCGTATGTAATCGTACATAGAAGTACAGAAGCACCTCGGAGAAATCATAAAATAGCGACGCAATAATGTGTCTCTAAATTTCGGATGTTTTTCAAACCTTGGATAGACTTAATAATTTTTTGGGTTTTTTTTATTTTGCTCTATTCAGCGCACTAGTATGGCCGTGCGTAGCCGATATACAAGGAGGAGGCCATGGTTATGACGAGGCTTTCTTAGGCTTTATGCCTTCTTTAGGGCCTTGGGGATGTTGCCACTCAAGTTGCCGCTAATCTCCTTCTTGGTAGGGCCAGTGGAGGCGCGGTGCTTGATACCATCGCCGAGCTCCTTGACATTCATCTTGCGATTCTTGAAGTCAACGATCTGGATGGACTGGCTGGGGAGCTTGCCGTCCTTAGAACCTTCCAGACGGATGTCGGCGCAGTTCATGTAGTACTGAGGCAAGATGTTGGCAGTCCATCTAGTTTTATAGTATGTAGGGATATTTGTTCATGTCAGACAAGAATGGACGCTTATAAACAGATATGATGTATGCTCGACGAGATCGATGATATCAAGGAACTTACGACCAAACGAAGAGGCACTTGTCGTGTGTACAGGAGGGAACATTGCTTGGGATCTTAACGGGCCACTTGAAGTAAGCTAGATTGACATGAGAAGAACGGCATTTGGGCAACGTTAGTGTACGTGATCGAAATTGAATTTAATTTGGTCATGGGTAGCTTAGCACTGATGAGGGCATGGTTGCGATTTTCCTTACCATCTGGGCAAGTATTAGTGTAGCGACCAATCAAGTGGAAGGTCTTGCCGCCGTCATACGAGAGAGAGAACTCGCACTGCGGGGTTCACAAAAATTGTGTAGAAAGACAAAGATGGTTATTATCGTATTTTCCTTTAATCGCTGTACTCGAAACATTGGCTGAGGCCAGTGTATGCACACCAATCTTCCACAAACAACTCTCCGCTCTTGGGCTTCTTTTTCTTTTGGTGATCTAGCCCTCAGTTCGTAGAAAATGAAACATAGCTTACCATTCCACCGCCGTGGCGGGCCTGGTGGAACTGTTTGGTGCTCTTGGTCAGGACGGGTTGCTTCTTGATATCGCTGGCCCTCATACCAGAGGCATAGAAACGGACATTGATGGTCTGACCTGCCTTCATCTTGGTGATAGGGCCAGGTGCATAACCGCCGCAGGGGAACCGTACTTTCCAGACGTTATCCTTGTAACCAATGAAGGCCTATTGTGTGAAGATAATAAAAATTCGTCGTCAGTTTGAATGTTCAGATTGAGTGAGAAGAGTGGAGCATGTCGAGTTTGTGTCGTGATGTATAGTTTCGGGCTAAAGAGTGGTCGTTGTTCATCGTGCAGGGGACATTACATGGATCCGGCCGTTGTATTGCTTTGTGCCGAAACCACCACGGGGAGTTGGCCAGAGCATGGCCATGTGGGCAGATGCCACAGCGATATAAGAGATGATCAAAAGGAGGGCGGTGGCGAACTTCATGTTTGCAGGTGGAGAAGAAAGATGTTGTGTGTTATATGTCGATGAAGAGGTAGGGATGTGGACAGGGGTGCGGGTTATGCTCGTTGATAGCTGGGAGGATTGTGATCAAGAGTGAGATTCGCTCTAAATCGCAAGACGGGCCGAGGGAGTATCGGCGGAATGGGAGGTGGCGGTTGAGAAGTTCAAGGGAGGATGGATGATGAAGAAAAAAAGAGAGGGAAAACTTTGAGAGATGCCTGTGTTTATATAAGCGAAGTGCGAGGGCGATTTTGTTATCTCGCCGCGGACAATGGCTAGCGAGGGACCTGTGCTGCACGCAAGTGAGAGGTATTGTATTGGGAGGAATGGCTGAGATCTGTGCTCATTAAGACTCGACTGTGCCCAGCCCCCATCCAGCTTCCGAAAAAAGGTCCTGCGGCAGGAGGAAACACAAGAACGCTTCTATGGACCCAATTTGTTAACTCATCTGTGCGTTTATTAACCCGAGTGCGACAAAACCAAACACCTCATGGCTTAACTACGCTACGTACCAGCTGGACCTAAACTATAGCATGCCCTTCGTCAGTATGCGCCATTGGCCCTTTGTCACCATTTGGTCTTTGACTCTCTTTCTCGAAGCTAGCCCTCTAGCCACTAATCACAACCGCACTAGGGCCACTATGTAACACAATACTTCAAAGTCCTTCCCATGAACGACTGGGTGAACTCTATGGTTATTGGTCGCTCGGGAGAAATACCCAAACACAGCTAGCCGATGACTGTTACCAAGAGTATACCCCCTGACCTGCCTGACCTGACAAAACGGTTTAAAATGCATGCTAGCCGAGGGTAGCCCTCCGGTCTATCCAGACATGGGAGGGAGGAAGAGCAAAAGGCAGTAATTTCCCGCCAAACATAACCTTGGGATCATGGTATTTGGTAGACATCCCTAGTAAATGGAGGGTAGACCATACAAGTGAGCTTTCAAATCGCATTGATTGCAATAAATGACCTAATTTATGAATCTCTAGATGTCTCAAGGGAAGCAATGCAGAAAAAGGCAAGAGGAGACGGAGGAATGTCGCCATACGTCTTTGCCCTGTTTGCAATCGATGTCGGCCCCGCACGTTCCCGCTTTCCTGCACCTGCATATGCATCTGCACTGCGGTGAGGATGGAGCCCGGAGCAAGAAGAATCTAAAATCCCCTTGGTGCCACGGAGTGAAGGGTGCACGCGCGGACTGAGAATCTATGTGTACGTGTACATGGTGAGAGATACTTGGCAGGTCCAGAGTTGTGGAACCTAGGCTGGCCTTCCGATAGTCCAGCTGGACGGAGTCCCATAAGACATGTTTCAGTCGCTTTGACCTACATTACCGTCATTGTTCCTGAGTTTACTGGGCCAATGGCAGCGTTGCAACACTGCAGAAAGAATATCAGCGGGGTCATCCATCAGGGAGCCGGTATTTTTTCTTCTGGCTCCCGCTGCTGCTGTTTTGAGGGTCTCGACCACCTGAGCAGAGAGTTCGGGTGTCGATTCGGCGATCTCTTTCATTCACATCTCATTCATTCCTTAATCGCCATCACAAATAGATATACCTTGTCATTTTTCACAGCCTTGGGCATAAAGGTGTCCACTACGACATTCAACTGCACCACAATTGTCCTCCATGCGCAAAGGCTTCACGTCCCTTGTTGTTCCAGTGTCGCGAGTGGCTTCTGCTACTCAGCTCTTTCACAATGCACTAATCTTTGTGCTCTGCCTCTTGATCTGTGTCCTGGGTCAGTCGTCTGCACAGCAACCCGAGGATGTGCCACTTCGCGCCATTGCCTCTATCTATCCCCCGCATCCGGAATCCACATCTCCACCAACAGTCAATCTATAACCGGGTAATAGAACAGGCGATCCGTTCGGCTGGTCTGACTGCACGGACGATCTCGTTTGTTACACATGGTAAGGTTTGGTTGCCACCAAAAAAATGTGAGCACAGCCCTCTGGTCTTAACCATCACTAAATCTTGTATGTAGCGGCCGCCATTATCTCAGACGATATTAAGTTGGACTCGAGGTCGTTTGTGCCCCTCACCATCACAGATGAGATGGCTGGTATGAATTACGATCCGCACCGATTGAGTACCTCCATTTACAACGCCATCCAAAACCCAGTGGACGCTCATATTGTCTCCGTTCCCGATTATGCGGTACTGAAGGATTCTATCATGAAGGCCAAAAAGAATCACATCCCTATTATCGCGCTATACACTGGACTGCAGGCAGACGAGGACATAGGTATTCTCGCTGTCAAGTCGGATGAGGTACGCTGGCTCAAAAGTGTCTCGCAAAATGAACCCCTGTTTGTGAAAAGCGCTGATACCTATTTACTTCATCTTTCTCGTAGTTTGAGGCAGGACGACTGATAGGAGCGGAATTCCTAAGCGACGGTAAGCACTGACATCGCTTCTTGTATCATTATAGAAAAAGATGACCACAATATAATATCTCACCCACTTTCCTTAAACGATTTTTTGTATCTGGAATGCGCATACGACAGGAGCCAAGGATGTTGTCAATTTTCTTAATTGGTCTCTGAACTAATATCTCTTGAAAGCCCTGTGCATTCAGAGGTGTTGGATATAGCATCGGCTTGGCTTTAAACGATACCCTGACTCAGGGACTGATCATCGGCAACCCGCATGCCAGCCAAATCCAATACGCACTCGACAAGGCTTTGCAACAAGTTTCTACTCGAACGATCTCTGCCAACAGAACTGATCAGCTGTATTGCGATGACAACGTGAGCAACCTGACAACTGGAATCGACTGCCATGAAACAGAGCCTTGGAATCACACTATCAACCAGGTTCTGCCAGTTCCCATTATCGGCATTGGTCCGGGATTTAACTGGACAGAATATCGATATTTGTCTTAGGTGGGCGAAAACGATTGCGAGGCAGGAAGGGGCTATGCAGACGATATCGTTGCGAAAGGAGGGCGTCGACCTATCTGTGTGGTTGTCAGCGACGAGCCAGACCAGCAAATGCTGATGTGTCACGGCCTGTACGAACACATGTCAGAAATTATGGGTCAGGGGGCGCTACCGCACTTTAATGACTACTGCATTCGACTAGCCTATACAGACCTCTCCTCGGCATCCAGAAAGATGGTTGATCTGGCAAAGACCTACCGGCACGACAGCTTTTACACGGCTTCGTCGTCACTTTTTGAGCTGGTCCGCTGTATGGCGGCGCTTGGTATCGTCGACAAGGGCCTGCTACTCACTACAACAGGAAGATCCGCGGCATCACTTACAGATTATATCAACGGCAAGATCGCCCAGGGGTGATCCCAACAGTCTTATTGGAACGGCTTTATGACAGGACAGGGTTTAGAACTTTATTTCGACAGGACCGCAGAAACCGAAGTTCGTTTGCCACGTGGGACAGTATTTTTCGATAGAGAAAGATCAGCCCTCGCCGGGCAATCCTGCTGCCACCCATGTCCTGAGCAAACGTACAGCGATACCCCAAGCAAGCAGGAGTGCTATCAATGTCCGTTTGGAACTTTCACGATCATGCGAGGTCAACGTCCCGTTTACTATGCGAGGACTATGGACAGGGTGTTGTCGCTTGCCAGGAATACTTTACGACTAGGCATGCCACCAATGTTATGCTAGCCATCCTTATACCAATACACTGATATGGCAGCCTTCGTTTATTACTACATCTGGACGCGCAATCGAAACAAGAGGATCCTGGACGAACCTTGGCAGCTATCTTACAGCAAACTCATGGGGCTCGAACCAAATTCTGACCTCAGCGACCCAGACGATGATCCTGAATCAAACGAGAAAGGAGATACATCGACACCTTATCATGAATCCAATTCGCGATCAGCAGCAAAGTACAATCAAAGCCATTCGACAATCATTGGCAGTTACTCTGATATCCAGCCCATGGACCAATTAGGATGCGCTGTTGGCGTCTATCGCAATCTGCCAGTGTTTATCCGACACATCGGTGGGTCAAGGGTCCACTTGACTCGAAAGCTTAGGATTGAAATTAGGAATGTTATGGAATTGCGACATCCAAAGCTTGTCGAACTTGTCGGAACCTGCCAATAGCCACCGGATATTTGCATAGTCTACGAGCACTGCTCCAAAGGGACCTTCAACGAGATATTGGCGAATCCGGATTTGAATTTCAAATGATTGCTCAAACTGTTATCTATGAGCGACATATCGCGGGGCATGGAGTTCTTGCACAACTCTAAGATTCAATACCATGGTGACCTGCGATCATCCAACTACCTAGTCACCAGTCGATGGGAAGTCAAGATGGATGGATACGGACTCGATGAATTCGTGAAGACAGCGGGTAGGATACAACGTAGGAACGACGACGAACCCGCTTCTAGCGACCCTTATACCTGCCCCAGACGAGGGGGTTGTTGGAGCGGATATGAGTGCTTTAGATTCTTCGCCTCACACAAGTGCTGACAACCGAGGACTTTATCATTCGCATACGCCGCTGGTTCCTCAGAGTACTGGCGACGAACTGGCTTCTGAGGTGGATGAGGGGTGATTTTCTATTGCCAGGACGGCCAAGGAGATCCAGAAAGACCTTTGGGTCGCACCCGAGATGGCCATATCTTTCGCAAGCAAGCCTGGTGACGTCTATAGTGCGGGAGTTATCTTTAACGAGATTATGACGCGAACTGCACCCTACGCCAGACAGCTTCAGAATATGGATCTCATCGATGGCTCGTCTCAAGTGTTGTACATGGTCAAGTTTGAACACCAGCGGCTGGATCTCCTACTGGGTGATGATTCGGACGAGAGCGTTGACGCGGTTAACCACTTGATCTGTGATTGCCTTCAACCGGAGCCGTACTTGCGTCCTGACTTTTCAAACATTTTGCAGCGTGTCCGCACGATCAGCCCAGACAGAGAGCTCACCGGACCCGTGAAGCAATCCAAATTCCTGCCTATGCTCCATGATTTGATAACAGGATCCAGCACGCCAGCTGAACTTGCAGTGCCTGACAACGGTCACCGGGCAGACGAACGCGAGGAGCAACTCAAGACGGTCCATTGTCTGCTTGTAGATGATAACCTCGTGAGCCAAAAGGCTATTTCCAAGATACTGAGTCGTATGGGTATTACGCCCGAGCTTGCCAACAATGGTCAGGAGGCTGTGGACAAATGCCGAGTCTGGTCAGCGGCGATCGCCAAAGCGACCCGTGGCGGACAAGAGGGCCATGAGGATACCCTAATGCATCAGACCCTCCAGCAAAACAGTTCGATATCCTCTTCATGGTCCTTTGGATGCCAGTTCTTAGTGGACTTGAGGCTGCAACCGAGATCCGAACCCATGCCGATGGCGTAAACGCGGAGGAACCGTTTATCGTGGCGGTGACCGCGTGTGTGATGCTCGGCGATCGAGAAAAATGGATTGAAAGTGGAATGAACCAGTACCTTGCCAAAACCATTCGGAAGGAGGAACTATGTACACTTCTAGGTGATTGTTTGGTCGGGTGAGCGAAGATACAGAGGAAGAGGATGTTGTTGAGTGAGCGGAAGCGGATCCAGAAGAGGGAGCGCAAGATGCTTGAGAAGCGAAGTCTAGCGGTTTCGAAAGACGCTACGACAGGAAACGCGAGAAAGGGACTTAGTGTAGCAACGAACACGGTTGAAACGAAACCAACAGTAATGAGAACGACGGTGGAGGCGCGGAAGAAGAAGACAGTGAAACTGAGAGTGGTGATGAAAGTGTCGAAAAATCCGATAACCAGACTCTCAATAACACCAGAATCCCACCTGCCCGTCCGCGAAGAGGTCGGTGATTGCGTCTTAGTAGCAATACGTCACATATGAGCAACGACGAAGGCGTGCTCGATTGCCGCGATGGATGTGGAGGTGGGCAAATAGGCGCTGACTAAGCGCGGGGCGAAAGCGACGCGAGAATGGTCGCATTATCGTTCAATCGACTGCTACCTATGATCCGACCACAGGGTCCACTCCTGTTGTCCAGGACAATGTTCTATACAGAAATAACGACTTTGAGGAGGATCTAGTTGGAGAGAGGTCAGCTCGGTCGGATTTCGTCCGATACTCCTTTGAGTTCGGCTAGCACTACGGTCACCATTGCGAATAGGGTCCATGAGGCTAGATTGACACAACGACGCGATAACAAGGACGACTCATCAATTCCCCTTGGGAGATGAGAACGTTCATTCAGCTCATTTCGTGCATATTACCATGTAAATTATAAAAGATAGCTGTTGTGAGTGATAAGGCACCATTACTTTCAACATTGTCACTTTATCCAAGATCATATTGCTAAGAATGCATATAAATTTTATTGATCAAAGGGAATGCCAGTAAAAGTCCTATTCCTCGTCAATCTCAATATCAGGACGACTTTCCCGTAGCCATTGAACGACTTGTTCGTCATCGTCTTCGTAGAGTCCTTCGATAGTCCTCAGGTTCGGCCAATTCTTGCTCATCCACACGATCTCAGGCACTTCGACGGCATGGTCGATTGCACTCAGACACAACGTGTGGAGGTCCGTGAGTGGCACCAACAGCGCAAGCCCAGATCGCAGCGAAAAGTCGATCCAGATGCTATCGCTTGTCTCGTCCTTATCCCCTTCACCTTCGAAATCGCTCCCATGCTCTCCATTGTTCAGTAGAGTCGCGCCGATGGCCAGGTACTTTAGTTTTTTCAACTTTGACAATTGTTCGTAGACGAATCGTCGCGCTAATGAAGGCGGATACAGTCGCTTCTCGTCTTCGGTCATTTCGCTGGAGTCGTAATCAAAGCGCAGGACCAAAGACTCTAGCTCAAGGCATGCCCACTGTCCCCGAAGACCCTGATGATTGGAATGCTTTGTTCGAAGGATAGAGCTGTCTGTGTGGGCAACGACAGGTCCTGCGCTTGCTGCCCGTCCACTTTTATACGCCTCCGCCATCATTTTGCCCACATTTACCGAGACATCCCAGCCTTCCAGTTTCCTGAGTCCCCAGCATCTCTCGAGCAGTTGTTGAACGATTTCACCCTGGATCCCGTACGTCGTGTTGATGTCAAGAACAGTAAGGCCTCCACAGTATTCCACCAATGCCATAAGACTTTTGTTCCCAAACCGTGTCTCTGCTGCGTGGAATGTTTGCAAGCTGGGGAAGGATGCGATCAAACTGGCGATTGTGGCATCGTCCATGTCCTCCGAACACGATATGTCCAAATGCTTAATTTTGGGGCAGCGCTTAGCTAGTCGTGCAGGAAAGTCCTTGCTAAAGTACACCTCGGCTGATTCTCGGAGTGAGAGTCGATTGAGTAACGGGAATCGGCTGCCGAGGTTAAGCACCAAGTCCTGCATACATGTGACGCTGTCCATGCACAAGGACCGGATCCCGAACGACTCTTTGGACTCGATCTTAATGTCCTTGGATAGTGCTTCTGCTGAAGTTTGTCCAGCTAGATCAGATGCCGCCAAGAGTCCTGACGCGAATTCCTCTGCGGATCCAAAGGGGTGCTTGATAAAATACGTTCCTTTTAGCGAGAGCTCTTGTAGCGATCCATTGCGTTTGCTCAGGATGGTCTCAAGTGTGCTGACTTGAAGCGTTTTGTTCTCGTCAAAGGCTAGCCTTCTCAAGAAGCGTAATTCGCAGACCGCTTCAATAAGACGGGCGTAGCTGGAAGACGGGTCATCGTGGATGGAGAGCGAGAGGTTGTGAAGGTGAGGGTTCTGCTGAAGGAGACGTACATGATCAGCTTCGTTTGCCAGGGTGGTCTTTGGGAGGACCAGGGTAATGAGATTCCTGCAGATAGCGGCATCGACACTGAAGAGCAGGCTGATGTCGTCGTATCGTGAGCATTTGAGGATCCGGATCAGATCACCATGTCTGCCGAGAGCGTCCAGAAAGGCGGGTTGGTGCCACTGTTTCCCTGCGTCGATGGTGTGCCAAAGGATCGGTAGCCAGGATGCATTCCATGCCCGACTGACGCGCGAGCACGAGGTGATGGCCTTACGGTCTAGGGAGCGGGAGATGCGCTCGCAGATCTCTGGCAAGGCGAACACCTTGTCGCGAGGGTCTTGACCGGAGATGGAGACGATGGACATGGCGACAGAAGCTGCGGATCGCAAGGCAAGTCAGAGGGATATTTATTATGTTATGGCGCGATATCGCTGTCCTTTGACGAGAAGCGCAGCTCCATCCACTTGGTAGGCATATTCCCGATAGCGTTTGTGCCTTGTTCACTCTTTTTCCTACTTTCCTGCTTTCTTACTTTCCTCCGTGGCACCTTAGCAACTTGAATCACCTCATTCGCATTACTCGCTTCATTCGCTCTCGGTTTTGCAATGGGAATCCTACCAACGTCCAACAAGTTCCCAGTCTTGCTGGTCCTGAACCCATATTCGGGCAAGAACCAGAGCCGTGAGGTCCTAGAGACGATCGTTCAGCCAGCACTCAATAAGGCCGAAAAGCCCTTCAAGGTGATCGAAAGCGTCGCTCAGAGTCATACGCAATCGTACTTTATCGATAACATCAAGCCCATTATCACGGACCTAGTCCAATCGCTCAGCGTGGTCAACGAGTCCGCTCCCGACGCCCCGTCGTTGTCGGTTTCTCGACCAAACTCCGCCACACTGCAGGTAATGGTCTTGGGAGGCGATGGCACCGTCCACGAGATTGTCAATGGAATCCTTCGCGGACTTGAGGGCACTGCCTTCGTCTCGGACGAGTTCCGACCCAGGATCGAGCTCTCAATCATTCCAACAGGCACCGGAAACGCGATCTCGACCAGTTTGGGCGTGACAAGTGCTCAGGACGCTGTGGACCGGTTCCTCGTAGGAAAATCCGTTCCTCTACGACTCATGATGGTCTCGACAAGAGCGCAGCAGAATTGGAAGATCCAGGTGTACACAGTTGTCGTCAACAGCTTTGGTCTCCATTGCGCGACCGTGTACGACTCTGACGAGTTCCGGCATCTGGGCAACGACCGCTTTCGGCAAGCCGCCATGAAAAACATTGAGAACCTGCGGCAGTACGAAGGCCAATTAGTGCTCTATAGCCCTGTTCGAAGGTACAGTCGGACGTCGCGATCGTTCAGTCCTGCTGCCCACGATAGCAGCAGTGCTAACGGCGGCATTACGATATCGCTGCCAGGACCGTTCACATACCTGTTGATCACCAAGCAGGCTTCGCTCGAGCCAGGATTCACTCCTACGCCGCTCGCTAGCACTTCGGACGACTGGATGGATGTACTGGCGGTCCAGAATGTTGGGCAGGCCGAGATTCTGCAAATGTTTGGTGCAACGTCGGATGGGAAGCACATCGAGCAGGAGAAGATCGAGTACTTTAAAACAAAGGCCATCGAGCTGGAGACGCCTACGAAGGGTCGGTTGTGCGTCGATGGCGAGTTTTTGACGATCGAGGGTGGCCCTGAAGGAAGGGTGCGGTTCGAGATTGTGTCTGACCCGGATACCCAGCTCTTTAGTGTCTATGTCTGAACGTAATAAAGCTTACACTTCGTGCTTGGATTATGATTAAGTACAGGCTTCTTTTTTTTTTTTTTTTTTTTTTAAAAAACAACTTCTCACTCTTCTTGTATAGTCTGTCAAAAGCGAGACGGAGCTGTACAAGCCTGTTGATCTGTAAATGGTTCAAAGCATGCAGTCGAGACCAGCCGATATGGATGATCTTAGATCCAGCCACGGTGAAGCTCTGCTCTCCTGTGCATCTGTCAAGAAGGTTGGCGGTGTGGTCACTGAAAGCCCAGCTTCGGCTGAGTGTGTCCAGAGCCCAGCTTAGGCTGAATATGCCCAGAAACCAAGCGTACTAAGCTAAGACTTCCTTATAGCCCTGCGTTCGCATGCTGAGGTACAATCTAAGCTTCCATTAGAAGATACTCGGTGTGTACGGTATTGGGTGGATCTGGTTGCGAGCATTGACAAGGAAAATGCAATAATAGAGGACACGATTACCTCCCTATTCAGCTTTCTTTATCCTCCGGAGATGACATGAGCAGTAGCGGCAAAAACATTGGCTTTTAGACCGTCGAGGAATACGATAGGCGATTTTTATTGCTTTATTAACGATGTCGACCGGAAAATCAGCACAACAGACCTCGCTCCGAACGCGTTGAAATGAAACTCGCCAATCCACACGCGCCAGTGGCTTGGACCCTCCCTTTTTTGTTTTTGTCCTCCGGGCGCCGAACTGAGCAGAGCCCTGCCGTGAGAGCGACCAAGATCCCGTCCGAGAGGAATGCAATCACTCACCGTCTGGCATCTCCATATTCTCTCCGGATTTTCATCAGCAACTCCTCTCTTTTCATTGTCCTCCCCTAGAGCCCTCCTTCTTCCTCTCTTCATCCCGATTGCCTTGATCCCCTGAGAGAGACCTTGAGCATCATCCACGCAGGGCAACCATACTCGATCAAGAAGCTTCTTTTCATACCCTACACAAATACATATTCATATCGCAATGCTTCGCGCACTCTCAGCCAAATCCGCATGCCGCATCGTACGTCAAACTGGAGGTAATATCTTGGTACCGTTAGTTGTACCCTCCTGGCCTGCTATGTACAGGATCGGAATCGTCTCAACACCCAGGTCGGACGCGCCCACGCCAATCCTATCCTATCTACTCAGGCGCGATTATGTCTTACAACAAAACAAAAACGTGCCAGAATGCTAAGGGCGCAGGATTCGACCGGTCGCGCGGAAAAAGGAGCGCAGACGGCACCTATTCCAGTATCACCATGACTACCTCGGAGCCTATGTCCGAAGTCCTTGGCTGGAGACGAGGCATGACAGATATGGCGTATATCAGCGTGCTTCACATACGCAACAATGGACACACCATTGTAATCAACAGTCTTATGTTATAGGACAATCCATTAGCTTATGGAAAGACAGTTCACTGACGACGACCTTCGTTTCCCATTGACTGATCTGTAGCTCCCCGTCACTTCCGCACCTCTACTATCACCAGGAACGAAGTCGAGGTATTTGTCGATGGCAAGCCCGTCAAGGTAGAGGCAGGATCGGCTGTTATTCAGGCCTGTGAGAAGGCGGGTGTTCTCGTTCCTCGCTTCTGCTATCATGAGCGCCTGTCTGTTGCAGGAAACTGTCGTATGTGCTTGGTCGAAGTGGAAAAATCGCCCAAGCCCGTTGCCTCATGTGCATTCCCTGTCATGCCAGGAATGAAGATCAAAACGGACACAACTTTGGTCAAGAAGGCTCGTGAAGGTGTCATGGAGTTCTTGCTGGCCAACCACCCATTGGACTGTCCCATTTGTGACCAGGGAGGAGAGTGTGATTTGCAGGATCAGTCTGTCCGTTATGGTTCGGATCGCGGTCGTTTCTCGGAGGTTGTTGGCAAGCGTGCTGTTGAGGACAAGGACTTAGGGCCATTGATCAAGACCACCATGACTCGCTGCATCCACTGCACGCGTTGCGTTCGCTTCGCTAACGAAGTTGCTGGATTCCAGGATCTTGGTACCTCTGGGCGTGGCAATGACATGCAGATCGGCACGTACATCGAGAAAACTATGAACTCTGAGGTATTGTTTAACGTACACGGTCAAATTATGCCACCCGCTGAGCTTGGATAGCCTGCTAATGACCTTGCCACATCTATCATATGTCCAATATCCTTCAATCGACAACCAACTGGATCGCGCTGTATGCAACCATTCAACAACTGGATGTTTGATCAAACAGATGTCCGGAAATTTGGCTGATGTCTGCCCTGTCGGTGCTCTTCTCTCCAAACCTTATACATTCAACGCTCGTCCTTGGGAGCTCAAGAACACAGAATCGATCGATGTCCTTGACGCTCTTGGATCCAATATTCGCATCGACTCTCGTGGAGTGGAAGTCATGCGTATTCTCCCACGCTTGAACGAAGAGATCAACGAGGAGTGGATTTCTGACAGAACCCGTTCGGCATACGACGGTCTTAAGACTCAGCGTTTGACTACTCCCATGGTCCGCAAGGGCGATACCTTTGTCAGTGTCAACTGGGCTGAGGCCCTTCAGAAGGTTGCTTCAGAGATGAAGGCTTCTGGCGTAGGTATCAAAGCCATCGCTGGTCAGCTAGCTGATGCAGAGTCTCTCGTCGCGCTTAAGGATCTTGTCAACACTCTCGGGTCCGAAAACATTACCGTCGATAACCGTCGCCAGGACGCCCCCGCCCATGGGGCTGATTTCCGCTCCAACTACTTGCTGAATTCTACGATCGCCGGAATCGAGCAAGCGGATGCCCTCCTTTTGATTGGTACCAACCCTCGCCATGAGGCAACTGTCATGAACGCTCGCATCCGTAAGGCCTTTGTCTACAACGGTCTCAACGTCGGTCTCGTTGGTACCCCTGTCGATTTGACCTATGACTATGAACACATTGGTGCCGACACCTCTTCCCTCGAGGCTCTCATCTCTGGCAAGCACGCATTCTCTGCTCAGCTTGCCGCTGCCAATAACCCCATGATCATCGTCGGAAGCGCTGTGAGCGACTTACCTGATAGCGAATATGTCTTCTCTGCCGTGTCCAAGATTGTCAGTCAGCACAAGGACAAGTTCTTCCAGGAGAACTGGAACGGTTACAACGTCCTCCAACGTGTAAGTGCTGAGGGAAATGATCAGCAAATGGCTATCGACGATCTTTTGACCTCGAATGGTACTGCTTCATGCTACTCACTTGCCATTATTTTTTAATGACTTTGCTTTTAATAAACATAGGCTGCCAGCAGAACCGCTGCATATGACATCGGATTTGTTCCTCAAGCAAAGGAGACCGGCAAGACTTCATTTGTGTACTTGCTTGAGGCTGATGAGATCTCACCCAGCGATATTCCCAAGGATGCATTTGTGGTCTATCAGGGTCATCACGGCGATATTGGTGCCCAGTATGCCGATGTGATTCTGCCGGGAGCAACATACACAGAGAAGAGTGCCACATACGTCAATACAGAGGGTCGCCCCCAGATGACCCGTGCTGCTGTTCCACCACCTGGTGCTGCTCGTGAGGACTGGAAGATTATTCGTGCCATTTCCGAAGTGGCCGGAGCCACATTACCATATGACGACGTCCACCAGGTCCGCGATCGCCTACGTGACATTGCACCGCACTTTGCCAACTACAACGTGGTGGAACCCAGCTCAGTAGCCGTTGCCTCACTGGGTCTCGCGACCTTGAACAAATCAAGTATCAAGTCTGCAAACATGGTGATGACGCCTGTGATTTCTGATTATTACATGACAGATTCTATCACGCGTGCATCCTCAACGATGGCCAAGTGCTCGGTTGCATTTTCTAAGGGAACTCATCGCCCAGAAGAATCAGAATTCAAGATTGAGGCCCAAGCGTAAAGACGAGAGTGATCCGAAGATGAGGAGAATAAGCCAAGGGATGGCAAAGAAACTCATTTAGAGGCTCCTGTTTTCATTAGATTAAAACATTTGTAAAAAAAAAAAAAAAAATTCGAATAGGATCCAATTGGCATCCTCGCTTTGGAACCGCAATATGATTTGACCTCGTAAAACATTGCAGCTTTGATCGCCAGAGTACCTTTGGAACCTTTCGCAAATGGTCGTAGATGTATTTTTACCCGATGGTCGCACAAACAAGAAGGATAGGCCTAGTCTTTGACAAAATGATGGAGGCGTAATAAACCCATCTATCGAGCCGGTTACTGCTGTGCTCATCTTGGTAAAGTAAATACGCGGAAGGTCAACCTAATGAACGAACGGTAAAGAAAGAGGATGGAGTGAGTGAAGGGGCTGGAAATGCACAACGAATTTGCTCCGAGGAGAAAAGCAAGGGCTCTGATGAGAATCTTCACAGAGCAATTGTGGTCATGGCGGAGGGAAACATGAAAACAAACAAGCATGGCTGCACGTTGCACGCACATCTCATCAACAAAGCACCCGTGGCGTACAGTAGAAATTCATTATTCAGAATTCAGGCACACTGCTGTATTTTATATTTTTCTCTATTTTTCTATTTTTCTATTTTTTTCTATTTTTTTTTTTTTTTTTGGCTGAGGCAATGCGGGAGGGACGGCCCGGCCCTACTTCTATTCTTTTCTTGATAAGGGCAAGCCAGCTCTGGAATGCACTCTTTTCCATATCTCCTTATGGTGGAGAGTGAACAAGATAGAAACAGGGTTCATGGAATACATGGCACACACATGGCACCGCAGTATGCCATTGGCCAAATGCATTTGTGCTCATTGCTTCTTTTGCCAATCTCTTTGATTCCCGCTTGCCTAATCATGCTGCTCCTCCTCGGGAAAGAAGGTTGGTGAGGCGTTCTTTGGATCGCTCCTAAACCATGTTTACTTCGCCATCCTCCTCTCCCCATCTGGAAAGCAGAACGGAGCAAACACAGATGTCGACGCGGACAGTATCAGTTTTGACCGCGGCATATAAAAGGAGAACTTTATCCACTGCAGGAACAACGCCCTTTTCCATCTCTTTAATTCACCTTTCCCCATCCACTACTCCTTTCAAGTCCTTCCAGGTCCAGTTCCCACTTTCTCTTACTTTTTCCTCAATTGGACCGAAACCCTTCTTAACGATAGTCTAGTCGAAATTTGCAAATATGGCAGTACGCGACCTTCTGATTGCTGCCGGTGCGGTGACTGGTCTCCTGGCCCTAGTAAGGATATTATCCATGACTCTGAGCGTTCTAACGACCAAATCCACGTGGATTGGTATATTGTATCCTCTACTTGGTATTGAACACTTTTCGTTTGCAAACTTGTTAGGTTGCCTCCTTCATGGGCGTCAAAATCGATGATCCCCCACCACAACATACCTCGCCTATCACCGGTTTCCCAACATGGCATCAGACATACAAGAGTAAGTCAAGCGAAACCCGAGTGTTTTGTCTTGTTGTGGGCCTGGAATCCCAACTGCGCCCACCCGCGATCGGACTTTGTTATTGTTTGTTTTGTCATCAAGTATTCCCGTTGTATTAATCCGTCTTTCATATTCCGCTGGGTTTTCTTCCGTGATCAATAGACGAGGTCAAGGAAATTACCATGTCTTTCACGATGTTGGCTCTTCTCTTTGCCACCGGAGCAGCCTATGCCGCTCGCCAAGCCATCCGCCGACCCTCGCGCTCCTTGACGGGCTTTGTCACGCTGTCAACAGGAAACGAGGAGGCGTCGACTCAGATCAATCAATTCATCCTCTACTACATCAATGCGACCTGGATTGCTGTTTTGGGCTATCTCTTTTTCGATGTTGGAAAGATTTGGGCTGTCGTTGGTGCTTTGCACAATTTGCTTGAGGTCGCCTTGATCGTAGTCTTGCAGTCCGGTGGTCGAGTCAGCAGCATGTCATTTGGGCTGTACATGTTTAGCTATGTCTGCATTACTATCCTGCTGAGCGTCTATCTACCATGGCCCTTAGACGCCATCTTCTTCCGCTGGCAGGGTAAGTGACAGTAAAATGAACAAGACGATGGTCATTGCATGAAGGAGCATCTGTTCTAATGGAGCAACGGCGGCGGAATGGCGGGCTGAAGCGCTAGCACGACCCTAACCTGCAATGACCCTTTTACTAATCGCTTTTTACACCATTCACGGCACGATGATCACTCATAGGACTCTGCTCGGATTTCGCCCTTATTGTCTTCTTTGTCCGGATGTACAACTCGACCAAGAGACAGTTGGCAGCATTCGGCGATCCAAACCGCCACGATATCGAGCTTGCCAAAGCCCAGAAGGCCGCTGACCGCCTTGCACAGCAGCAAGAGGAGCAGCAGCGCAGTGGCACGACCGTCTCTTCGAGCTCGTTGCAGAGCGTGAACCTTACGCAGCCTAACTCAACCCTCCCGACCACTGACTCGTCCCGCACCAACCCTCTGCACGAACTCCATGCTGGCTGGAAGAAGTTCGTTGCCCGTGCTCCCCTTCCCGAACACAACACCCAGCAATCCGCTAATGGCAACGCGTCCTTGACTCCCGGCTCTGCTCACGAAGCACGCTTCGCTGGAGAACCCGCTCATGTCATCGACTTTGTCCCTGCTCCCAGCAACGGCACCAACGGTCATGCCAACGGTGGCCCTACCTACTCGGTTGTTGCTTTGAACCAGGATGCGTCGATCTGGGGCATGCAGTGGCGTAACCCAGAGCAGCTCTTGCTCTTGGTCGCTGCCTCAATCGTCCATGTGATCGGCAACTGTGTCACGACGATCTGGATTACGAGCACCTATGCCATGGCAGCCTTCCACATCTCATATGGTGTCTCGTACCCGTTGTATGCTTACTACCTGTATGTGGATAACCATGCTCTTCGTCAGACCAAGGTGTACTTCCCAGAATATACCAAGCTCAAGAACATTACAGTTGCTGCTCTAGCCCTCATTGGTGCCACGGGTACCATCCGCGCAGGATTGTTCGTTTCGAGCCACGCCAAGAATGGAGGCGCCTTTTAAATGACGGAGTTAGTCCTTTTTATTTTTATTATTTCCATTCAGCGCAAATATCTCCTATTTCGTCCTCCCATTTTTTTTAGCATCAACGTATCAAAAAAAAGAGAATGCAGCTGTGTCGAAGCGGTGGCTATAACACCCTGTAAATAAATAAAAAAAAACGCTGCAGATCCTCCAAACGCTTACTTCACAGGCAGTGAATGTCCGTCTTTTATTTACAAGGGGTTAGCAGCTGTTTGCTTTACGACTGACTTTGACTTTCGACTGCAAGCAAAATAAAGAAAAAAAAATCCCCCCGAGCGTCCTACAGAAATGGATGGCGCGCTAAGAGGAGGAGGAGGAGGAGGGGGGGGGGGGGATTTAAGGGTTCTCTGCAAAGAAGTAGTTGGCGCCGACCAACTCAAGCCCAGTCTCGTTCGAGAACTGCTTCGACTTGAAGCCCGGGCGATCATGCGAGAGAGGGGTCGCAAGTGTCAAGTTTGAGGTCGATTGTTTGAACAGCAAAAAGACATATCGGTGAGGGCCTGAGCCCTTGGGAGGTGCTGGGCCCATATAGGGCGTGAGGATGGTTCCCTGCGACAGATTCGCGGGCTGAATCGCCGTTGGAGATGAGCCTGAAATGTTGGAGACGATCCAGTGGCGGAACTCGCGATTCTTGGGGTTGCTACGACTAGGAGCGTCAGGATCAGTCTATGTTAGGCAAGATAGAAAAAAAAATCGGTTTAGGCGGATGCCCGACACGTCATGTTTAGCACATGGAGTCGAATCCTTGATGAGCTGTTCAATTTTTTGCCAAGGCCTGCTAAGAAGTGTGAATCGGACTGTACCATGATAAGAGTGTACTTGTCGTTGGGATCATCGGCTTGAAAAGACACCTCAGGAGACTGCTGAGTTTCTATGGTGTTCCAAGAGGGTAAAGAGGCATTGTTAAAATGGATTGTCAACGCAGAGGATAGTCGTTCTAGCTTAGAGCGCGCTCGACATAAGGACGCAAGCCGTCGCTTAGAAGACAAATACAACTATATCTGTGCCAAAGCAGCTCCAGTTTAGCGAAGGGTGACCTCCGGACGTACCCTCGGCCGACAACTTGTTGCCGAGTGCGATTTCCTTCCCGTTGCCGTAGCTGACGATCAGCATGGTCTTGGAGTGAAATTCTGGGATGACATCGGGAATGATGCCGTCCTTCCTCAAGGCAGACTCGGCTGCTTGGTCACTGGTGATAAGAGGCATGATGTGGGTGGATTGCTGTTGCTGGTGGTGTAAAGTTGGTTAGAAGATAAGAAAGCGAAGAGGTGAAGGTGGAGAGTTGGGTGTGAGAAAAAGGAAATGACATGAGGTCACTTTGAAGAAATGAAACGGGCGGTGACTGTTGTCGCGATTCATGGCACTATGATGCAGCAAAGGACCATGCGTGGGACAACTATGGCGCAAAATGCGAGCGCCATGTACTCGGTTAATATGTCGAGGTGGACAGCCTGACAGGATCTGCTTTCTGTCTGCTGCTGATCTGGTGATTAAATTCACCGGTTATCGTGTTAAAGCGTGTTAAAGCGTGTCACAGAGTGCGCAATGACATTGGGGCTCTACTCCATGGTTGCTACCAATACCACAGGAACAAAAGTAGGGACAGTCGCTTACCTTGGATTTGCCGCAAGGGATCTGGGAGTTATCGGGAATCGCGTGCAATCAACTGGGCAGTGGTGGCTTGTTGGTGGCCATTGTCCTCTACCAAAAAGTTTCCGCCTTCAGATGCCGGCGATGCTAAAGTGTATCTCAAAGCGCGAGCAATTGAACGGGAAAGAACATACCAATTCACCTTTCCAGCTCTGATAAGAAAGACGCACAGGTCTATTGCGCTTCAAGCTGTGTTGTTAGTTTGAGACAGACAACTGATCAAATCTGTGTGGGATGCCCTTGAACAATGTCCAGATATGCGAACATTCCGCTGAAGCGTTGCGAAAGTGCTTACATTAACTGCATTTTCGATGACTACAGTAAACGTAGCTAACACTCAAGAACCAGACCATCAGATGCAGAATTGGCCGGTGAACCTTTCTTATCGAGGCTGGAAAGGCGGTTTACAACCTCGTTTCCGCTCAATTGCTCGCGTTTGAAGGGCCATATCTTGCATGTTCACACCCTGTACAAGATGCATATAAATAAAATTTCCCACTCTTCTCCCGCTGCTGCAGGCGATAAAAGAAAAGATCTGATCTGATCAGTCTTCGGGAAAGATCACAGACGTAGGATTGTCTTCCGTTTCCTTCATTGATCTCTCCTTCTTCATCCTCTCTTGACTCGCTTGCTCCTTTTCCTTTTTTATTTATTTTTATATTTTTTTTTTACTCTACCGTTATTTCCCTTAATCGCTTCTCTTGAAAGATTTCTCCCCTCCGACTCACGTCCCTGATCCCCGTTGGCTGCCCATTCGCACCCCTTTGCGTCACACGAGCCAGGGCCTCCTCATCAAACCCAACCCATCCCTACTCCTTCACCCGATCACCCCACTCTCCAAGTCTCAGCCTCCTGCTTCCAAGAGTTAGACTCGGTTCTGCCAGACAAGAAACAGTCAGACAGCCCCTCCTCTCCCCCTGTTCAGCAGAGATACTCCGAGCAAGTCGTACAAAGCGCACTTAAATATAAAGAACCACGTATTCCTTCCTCTCTCGGAGTAGATCAATAGATCAACACTATCGTCAGTTCCAGGACAAGTACCCTCCAATCAATTGCCGTGATACCCTGGGCTTATCAGTCAGCGCTCCCTCAAATCTCCAAGTCAGCGCCGTCAATATCTAAGCATGATGGCGTCGGCAGGGACTTCCTCGTCGCGGACCAAGCAGGCAGGAAGCACCTCCCAAGAGTCATCAACGTCCAAGTCGTCTCCGGAACAGACCGCGTCCCGATCCTCGCTGACCACAGCTCGAGCCAATGCCGCTCTCTCGCAGACCATCTCAGGGATCTCTGCCACCGGACGATCGATCTCAACGCTTGTGTCGTCAGGACTACATCACCCAAAACACCGCATCATGGAGTTGCTCCACACGTTCAATGTCTCCGAGCTGGCATCCTCAGCTCGCCACACGCTTTCGACCACGAGCAGCATTGTGTTCTCGCCATTGACCGTGCAAGCCGTCAAGGGCGATCTGACGGGGATTGCATCACTGACAGGGCTATCTGGTATGGCGCCACATCTAATGGCTGGTCACTACCTGAAACGCGCGACGGCGAACGCGCAGGCCCTGGCCCTCACAGGAACTATGCAGGCAATACCGGCGCCTGCGGATCAATTACTGGCGGAGGACATTCCGGATCCAGGGGCACGAGTTTCACTCTTCCAGGGTTTCAGGGCATCATACCCGGGACATTCCAAGGGCAGCAAGAGGGGTAAAAACCATCATAGGCGGCGGAAGAATGGATTTGGCGAGGTAGACGAAGACGACCCGAACAAGGCGTTTTCTTCTTTACTGAATGAACGAGAGAGGACGATCAAGGAGCAGGTCAAGCTGCAGGCAGAAAAGGTAATGTACATGGAGTCGTACTAATGTGTTCAATATCTACATGTGCATGATGGGAGCTGACTGACCGATGCATGTTTCTAGACCGTCATCCAATCCGAGATAAATCAAATAGCTGCATCCATCGAGACTCTACAGGCGAAGAAAGAAAACCTTGGATTCAAGTTGAGCAAACTGGCAGAGCGCGAGGACGATCTTGCCGATACCTGTAAGCTATTCATTTGAGGATGGTGTGTCACCAAATGGGCACTGGAAATTGTATATTAACGACACTATGCTGTATACTCGCTGTCATAGTGGGAGAGCTAAATGATAAACTCGCATCGGTATCAGAACAGAGCAAGCATCGAGACGGTGAACGTAAGGATGAGCCATGCGCAATAGAAGAGCCAACTGGATATTAAATTCCGGAGTAATAACATGGCGGCTAATGCCTTGTCTTCTCGCCCTTTGATCTGCGCCTTTCTAGCGCTTCAACTGGAATACAGACAAGAAACTAGAGACTCGGGCACTTGCATGCACACATTTTACGGACATGACGGGATCATCACTAGCCTGGACCTTAATGGCCCTTATGGAACTATGGTCACTGCCTCGAGGGATTGCACAGCGCGCGTATGGGACTTAACGACATTCAAATGCTTGGGTCAGCTCCCTGGCCACGATGATTATGTGGAGTGCATGCAGCTCACGCAGCATATGCTGGTGACAGGATCCAGGGATAACACGATCAGGACCTGGAACTTGGCCGACTTGAACCATGCCCAAAACTCGCGCTCATCATCGCCCTCGCCCTCCGAATCCAGCATGTACTCGAACAATATCAACGGCAAGTCAACCGAAGTAGGCGAAGAGTACTCTCGGCGATCAGTAGAGACGATCGAGGTCCTTGACAAGTGCTGGACCAGCACGCTCAGCGGACACACCGGAAACGTCACGTGCCTGTACTTGGAGGATGATAAATTGGTATGTGCAGCTCTTTTGATATCATTTTTAGTCCAAAGGAAGGACTTAGTTGCAGTATATCTGACAGTGTTTGCTATCGAATGAACAGATTTCCGGCTCAAACGACAAGACGATCAAGGAATGGGATATGACAACTGGCCAATGCGTGCTCACGATGGATCTCCTCTGGGCTATGGGTACATCGAACACTTGGTCTGACTGGATGAACGAGGCCCAAGATCAGAGCTATGTCGGTGGACTCCAGTTCTGGCAGTACGCACTATGCAGTGGAACTATCGATGGCGCTATTCGCATGTGGGATCGTAAGTATACTGTTTTCAATCTATCAAAAGCCGTATTCAGAGGATAAGTTAAAGTAGATTCTAATACCTGCTTGTTCTTCGTCTCTACAGTGAGAACTGGTCAATCGCACAGGACATTGGCTGGCCATACTGGTCCCATCACATCCTTGCAGTTTGACGAGTATCATGTTGTCAGCGGAAGCATGGACAGAAGCGTGCGGGTACGTCTTTTTGAGACATGCCACCAAGGTTCAAAACGGAAACGCAAGAGGTGCTGACATATCACCGTTGCTTTATTGTAGATATGGGATCTCAGGACCGGCGCAATCCAAGAGATTCTACAGTACGATGATCCAGTGCGAACCCTTCAGTTCGACACCTCAAAAATCATTGTTGGATCCGGAGAAAGCCTCAAGGTATGCAGCGTTCTCTTTGATGTCAAATATCAAGTGGTCAATGTCCAAGACTTTCGTCTACGAACCACTAACACCGATTTTTCTTCATTATCATTTAGGTGTATGACAGGGTGTCACAGAAGCATTCGTACTATACGGGACACACCAACACAGTCGAGAGTGTACGGTTCAATGATTCGGTCATTATATCCGGAGGTCAGGACTCAACCGTTAGATTATGGAGCCGGTGAGGGCGTCCATCTAGAAGCAAATAAAATCAGCACTTGTTCGCTTTCGCCTTCGTCATGATTTTTAACAAATCTGCGCCGGCGGTGGGATGCTCACATCTGCACTATCCTGTGAAACATTAATGAACGAGCACAGCCCACCCACATGTGCTAGAAAAGGAATATAGCTATCCATGTGCCCCGGAGCTGCCATTACGGCGGACATGACAGCACAGGACAGCGGCACAACACATTGTATTATGAGATACGAGTACGAGATGGCCGGTATACCCAGTCATACTAGAGCGCATTGAAGACTGGCGGTTGCCGGCGGCGCCCACAGCGAACGAATATGATTTCAAAGGTAGTGCAAGGAAACATAGTCGCTCGTAGTAAACAATCGCCAAAAATAGAATTGGCACTGCTTGCGCCTGATGATGGTCTTCCCCTTTTCTCCCACTTCCCCATTCATTCTATTCATCGAGGCTATTCACACATCCACTCTCTCTATCTCATCGTCTTACCCCTCGCAGGTTCTTCACAGCCATGACAGCAAGAAGAATCTACTTCATCGCGGCCCTGATCTTCTTCTTGGTCCTCATCGCATCGCGCCGCTCCACCAACCATCCCGAGAACAATGATTCGCGCAAGGTCGACCATTCACAGGGACTAACTGGTGGAAGACAACCCAACCAAGGCGGAAGATATGGAGGCCAGGACGAAGCTCACATACCGCCAGCAGAGGCTGATATCACTTACAAGCAGTCGCAATTGCCCAACACCTCCAAGCAATACGACACCCTTATCGTTATCCCTTCCAGTTGGACTCAGATACAGAGTCGCCGATGGGTGCGTGATACAATTTTTGGGATCAGGAACAACTTGGAACCCTGCAAAAAGTACGATGGCCGAATCATCTACAAGTTCTATATCCATGGCCGTACGACATGGTTGAAATCTGGAATTCATACCGCCCAGTTTATGCAGGCTCAAGTCCGGGATCTCTATGGCGAGTTCATGGAGTTCAACGATTGGGAATTCAGGAACGCTACGGTCACTGACCGATATAGTATCTGGGGCGATGCATTGGATTGGGCTGTGAGTATTGGTTCCTGTGAATGGCGGCGCAATTTCATTATTTTGATGTTTTGATTGCTGATGATCTCACATTCAACCCTTGCAAATTCACTCAGGTCAACACATTTGTCCCAAGCGAAAAAATCAAGGTGGATAAAGTCCTGATTTTCGACTCGACTACGCTCGTCAACCTTCCAAAGCTGGAGGAAACCGCCAAACAATCCGTCAGTCCCAATGGGTTCGTTCGCATTTGGGGCGAGTCAACAACCCCGTTCGCAGCCATGATCAGCTTCCAGGTTCTGGAGCAGATCCTAAAGAACCGTGACGCCATCAAGGAGAACCGCGAACTCTTCGACCTCGTTACGGCAGCGACCTTGTACTACACCAGTCCACCGCCCGCCTTTAAGATCATCAAATCCGAGGGGCTGTTGTGGGAAAGTGATATTGAACAGATTCATGCAACAACTTTTGTCGTCGGACAGATCTTCCAGCAGGAGGATTGGGTGCCCGTTGCAGAGAAGCTGATTATCCAGCCCACAAAGGCCTGCGCTGTAGATATGAGGCGCAAGGAGAACATTGCAGTGTTGACCTCGTCCTACATCTACGTCGACATGTGCATGGCAGAGGCATCGCTTCTCTCGGCCGAGAACAAGCGGACATATGCGACTAAGCACGGATATGATTTTGTCGCCCGCGGAGGAGAATTTGCACAGGAGGAATTCCGACATCGCAGATTGGTTTGGGGCAAGATTGGAGCTATTCAGAAGGTGTTACCACATTACGAGTGGCTCCTCTGGATGGACATGGATGCCGTGGTAGCAAACTTTGAGCAGGATGCGAGGGCGATTATTCGACGTGCAGAAGAGTTGTACGAGAAGGATGGGGTTGAGATCAGCCTGATTGTGTCGAGACCGCTCAAGGACAAGATGCTGAACGCCGGTGTGATGCTGATCAAGAACACGGAATGGAGTCGTCGGTTCTGGAACGAGGTTCAAAGACGCAAGGAATGGTATAACAGAGGGCCGAGTTATGAACAAGGAGCCATTTGGGAGGTTATGCAGGAACCACAATGGGCTTCTGGAGTAAGTTTGCGCGCGCTGCATACCTTTTATTTATTTTATTATTATTTACATAACGACGTATTAATATCGTTCATCGTTTTTTATGTTAGGTTCATCTTTTCGACCGAGACGATCATACTATGAATTCGTTCCCGAAATACTACGAGCAGGGTGACTTTATCATCCATTTCGCACCTGCAGGATGTCCCGCTGTGCCAGTACTGAAAGCTCTGCGTAAGCTCAAGGAGGGCAAGAGCGTCGTTGGCATCGGCATCTAAAAAAGAGAGACACCTCACCAAAAGGACAAGTGGTCAACTGAAATATTATGGGCAATAGAGTCGCAGTTATACAGTTATAAATTTCATAAACTCAATTCATCAATTCAATTCCTCAACTCTATTTCCTCTTCATTCCACAAGCATGGATGTGTAACATGCCTCTCGATTGTAGCCAGGTGTTTGAAAAATAGTTCACGCGTTTCTTCTTTAATAGCAATTATAAGTTAGTAATATAGTGGTGGATACGGTGCTGTTTACAAGGGTTAGGAGTAGCTACTGGCAACAGAAAGTCTTTTAGTGCATGTGGGTGCCGCTGAAGAGCAGGGTAGGGCCAGCCAAGATGTTGCTCTGGGAGGTGAGGGTAACAGGGGTTTTGGAGTCGGTGACAATGACAAAGACGTAACCCTCAGCATCAGCGGGGAGCGTACACTCGCTGCGGGGCGAGACAGCGTTCTTGTTTCCGTACAAGAACTGACAGTAGGTCTTATTGGAGTTGGCACCCTTGCCAGTGAAGGCGGTGGTGACCTTGGTTGAGTCCTCAGAGGGGAGAGTCGCGGTCAAGTGGTTGAAGGGCTTGACTCCGAGATCATAGGGACAGCTCTTGATGAAGCTGGTGGCGATAGTGACGATCTGCTCAGAGGAGAGAGCAGTGTCGAAGGAGTATGGGGCACCGAGCTGACCCCACAGCTCGTTGAGATAGGAGGCATGGCGGGCTTCAACGGTGGTGATTTGGGCGGCAGCAGTCAAGAGATCGCCGCTGAGACCGGAAGCAGCACCGAGGTATGCAGAGACACCGGTGTTCTCGAGAGCCTGAGCGATGGCCAAGAACTGGGTGATGTTGTCCATGGGGAAGTTGTACTCGCAGACGGGCACAGGCTTGGCCTTGAGGCTCTTGATGACGGAAGTCAAGGTCGAGACGTGGTCACTCTCGTGCTCACCGATGTGGACGAGGCGGTCGCGGACCTTGGCATCGAAGCCGGCGTCGGTAAAGCTGGACTCGTCGAATTTGGCGAGACCCTGCTTGTAGAATTCGGACTCGAGGTGCTCAAGCGTCAGAGCGTAGTTGAGGACGCTGGTGGCACTGTTCTTGCGAACTGGGGCAGCAAAGGCAGTGGCGGCAGCGACGAGAGCGCAGGCAATGGTAGTGAAACGCATGGTGATGTTCGGGATTGTGTTGGGTTGAAAAGCGAGAGGAACGGGTGGAAAGTGCGGGTTGGTCTGAGGAAGAGAAAAAGGCTTGATGAGTTGATGAGGACAGTGAAGGAATGTTGGAGTTGCTTCCTTTTTATATGCATCGGCGAAATCGTAGTGAAGGTCTTTTTTCTTCTGGAATATAGGACACGTTGTCCCTTTGCAAAGGATGACACGGAAAGAGATGGCCCATTTGCTGCTAAACTAGAAAAAAGAAGCTTGCGACTTGAGGCCGAGCGAACGCGACAAGCGACTGCAGGCATTCGCCTTTTTCCTCAAAAAGAAAGGGTGAGAGGCAAGACCGCGAAACGTCTTTGAATGAGCGGAGAGAGTGACCTGGCAGAAAAACAGGGAGGCTACGACGCGCGCTTTTTTTAGAGATCGAAAATGTGCGCCGGCCCAAGCAAATCGCAGGGTCTGCGAAGGTTTCGAATCGCGCAACTTTAAATCTCGCATGTCGTACATCCGTGTCTTTTGTCCCCTTTGCGCGACATGCAACGGCCGCTTCGGTTGTTTGGTATTTAGTTGTACGCCCTGACGAATCAATGTAGAATAAAAAAAAGGCGGGATCAAGTCCTGCCTAGATCCAGAAAAAGCGACAAAGCCTGGTTGGTCTGTGCGGTGTTCGCATCTGACTGGACTAAACGTGCCAGATACTAAGCTCGAATTCAGGATCACCAAGGAGACAGAGAGGGAAGAACTAGCTCTCTGTCTTCGAACGGTGGGATTCCCTAGTCAGCTATGCCGTTCCACTACAATACGATTCAGGTGCGCGCCGCTTGTTGGTTGCACTATTGCGTAGCGTCGTAAATGCGCGGCCACATCCATTACATAAAACTGGGTACATCTTCTCCCAGCCCGCGCTTCCTGCATGTTTTCGCAGAATTTGTACACCATAAAACATAGATGAATATTCTCAAGACATCCCAGCCTAGTCTTTCTTTCTTCGCGGAGGTGGTGGTGTAGAGAGAGGGTAGGAATTCTTCCTTGAGGGTGCACCAGAAATAGATTCATTTAATTGACCCGCGTTTTCGCTAACGCATTCAGCGCATCGTCTTTCCTAATCTCCTATTACTGAACAACAGCCCCCCTTCCCCTCCCTCTCTCTCTCTAAAAAAAACCCCCCGATCGATTCTTGCGACAGCTCTTGGTCGTCGCAAATACCGAAGCACTCTGACGTAAGGATAGTTTTAAGGTTGTCTGCAGGGCAAAGCAGTTTTTGTATTCCTGGTCCTAATGGAGCCTGGGACTCGAACTACGGAAAGGGAGGGGGCATTGACGCGATTTGAGATGTCGCGTTTCAATCGATTTAGTTAAGTGTGCCTGGCCAATTGATCTTCATTTGCTCTGGGCATGTTTTCTTTGACAACTCTACATGAGTACTCGTCACGTGAGGCAACCAATGTGTATGGCTCCACCCCTAAAAAAAAATCCACCCCTACCTCTCTCTCCTCGCAACTCACACCTTCTATTTTCCCCCGGGGTTTATACCCACTCTTTTGTATACCTTCCTTAACCTTCTTACTACATCGCTATAACGCAAAGATGGGCCAGTGGTTCGAGGAAATTAGCCCTGACCTCGCAAAGTGGATTAAGAAACAAAAGATCTTCTTTGTCGCGACCGCGCCTCTGGATGGACGAGGGTGTGTCAATACTTCGCCCAAGGGCCACGACTGCCTTAGGATCCTGGGTCCTAATCAGCTCTGCTATCTTGAATTGTCTGGCAAGTCCTAATAGAAATGAATAACGCGCTGTTCTGTTCATTTCATCCTTTCTATCGCTTTCAATTCCGACCGTCTAAATCGCTGTGCACTCGACTAACTGTTTGATAAGGACGGCCCCTCTCTTCCTCTCGTTTCACATCATTAGGGTCCGGTATTGAGACCCAGAGCCATCTGGAAGAGAATGGTCGTATCACTATCATGATGACTGCGTTCGAAGGTGGACCTCGAATCCTGCGATTGATTGGAACAGGCAGAGTCGTTCGCGTCGGCTCCGCCGAATTCAATCAACTAATGGATGATCACTACCAGGACTCTGGGCTCTACAATGCGCATGGAAAAAGAGCTATCATCCTGGCGGACGTACGCAAAGTCGGGACAAGCTGTGGCTACGCCGTTCCTTTTTTTGACTACCGCGGAGAACGACCCACGCTTATGAATACCTGGGCCAAGCGTGACGAGGAGGCCATCAAGCAGTATTGGTTAACCAAGAACAAGTATAGTCTGGATGGGCTCCCAGGCATGAGGCACGAGTGGCTGGGGCCAGAATGGACTGGGAAGAACCGAGGTCCTGGACTGGTTGAGCTGCCGGACTGGGCGACGCCGTCGACGGCGCAAAGCATTACTGCGTGGCTTAAATCTGGATCCGGATTAGCAAACGTTTCAGTCCTGGGTGCTGGAGTCGCCATCGGTGCTGGGCTTGCTACCTTTGTTATCTCGAGGCGTCGATGAACAGCTGGCAGGGGAGGACAGATGCAGTTTTTTCCCGCATGACTGCGGAGGATGGACAACAGAACTCGTTAAATTAGCTGGTAAATAGGAAAAATGGTGCAGCGTGCTGTATCCCAGCAATGTTTTTTTCCCTTTTTCTGCATTCCCATAGCGATCTTGGGCATAAACGAAGGGGTTTTTAAAGCTCACTTTCATGCTCAGATCGTTAGATTTGGAAAAGACAACTGCTCTTTCCTCTTACAATTCATGCTGAGCACATGTCGGCGACTTTAATGACACCTTTGCCCTGAAACGAACGATCCCACATGCACCTCCAGTGCGTTCTCTAAGCCCCCAAGCCAGCTGCGATACCCTCCTTCAAAACCATATCTCCATTCAGCAGTCAGTCACTCACTTTCTTCATGAACTGTGCATCGGTTATAGAACCTTGGTTTCGTCAGTGCTTGAAGATGATGTGGAACAAGTTCTTGGTTCCAGATGGCGCGGTAGTGTTGTAAACACTCATCATACCACGCGCGACAATATTTGCGGCCACGCACCTTCAGAACCTCCAATGCAGCTTCAAGAGCCTCACCACAGATACTGTCGCAGTAGATGTCGACACCTTCTGGAGCAGCAACACAGAGGGACACGAGGATGCGGCCCTCCTTGTAGTTGAACGCGGTGTCGAACTTGAGGTCATTAAGCAATATGCAGCGTTGTCGTCCGAGCCGATTGTTACATTGAACTGATAAGTGCATGTTAAAATTAAGGCGAACAAAGATGAACATGGCCTGCATTGAATAAGTGATTACAGTCGTAATGCCTTACCTGAACCAATGACTCACAGACCAAGTAGCCTTGCGATCTAGCCGACAAGCTGGCCTACGGCATTCATGGCCACAGAAACAAAACTCGCCTCTCCAGCCTTAGGCTTTCCGATCTTCAAAAAAGAGCCGTAGGCAATGAGACCCTACATTTTTGCTTCACGACGTACACATTTATGCAGGGGTATCACCAGAGCTTCCATCCAGTAAGAAGGAAGAATCTTAGACTCGAGCGCCTTCGAAAGCTTTGAGCGGATAAAAGAGAAGAACACGGTTGCATTCTTTGCATCTGAGGATACCTGTAACGATAGATCCCGCTGGAGCCTTGGGTTCCTGGGAAGTAATGACCTCGCCAATACCGAAGTTGCTGATAGGCTGGCCAATCTGCCATCCGGAGATGTGGATGACTCTATTGGCCTCCATCCTTCCCAGAATGACTAAAGTAATGTAGTAACTAGAGCACCGTTGACATCAGAAAAAAAAAAAAAAGTAGACACGAACATGCAAACATACAAGGGCCGAAAGAAGGTAAAGGACTTTGTTCTGATCCAGAACCATCGTCGATTTTCCCTGGATTCGGCCCCGAAGTGCTCTCCAGAGATGGGATAAACCTTGGATTTCTTCCGGAAGATAATGGACTTGCTACTTGCTTTGACTATGGCATTGAGATGAAGTGAAGTTGTTGGGTAGTACGAACAATTGAATGCGTCGTTTGAGCTTGGTCCTTATAGATAAACATAAAAACAAAAAAAATGCTTTACCTGAATATGGACGCGTCATCGTGCAGCCTCCAAGTTTTTATACCTTTCTTAAAAATGATAAAAAATAACAAGGATAGCGAGTGCAGACGCGAATGACTGAGGCTGCAATATGATTAGAATTTATTTCCAGCTGGTCAAACTGGACGATATACAGCTCCTTCTGCGGTCCTTTTGGTTGGGTCGATTGCCATTGCGTGGTGAATGATTTTTCCAATGAAAATTGAAGTGTCTCGACACGCGTTTTCGCTGGGCTTCTACGAGGGGTTAGAGACTGTTGCAGGAGTATGAACTAACACGGCGTGTAGGCATATTTATTAGGATGTTTACATTGAGAAATGAACTGAATCTGACGAACCATATTGTTTCGGACGACTTACTAGGGTTCCACGACTCTGTAGTGTTAGTAAACCCCAGCGATGGTAAGAAGCGATGGAGAGCCTTATGCTCATGAGTCGCTTTATAAGTGCGCGCGAAATGAAGTTCTGCCTATCATCTTTAGCTTGTTTTTAGCCTAGAACCTTCGCGTAAAGAAAAGCATAGGACTCCATTTTATTCAAGAGAGAGGTCAAGTCTCGTATCTCACAAGTCAGTAATCTTGACGACGGCCCTGCCAAAGTTCTTGCCCTGGAGCAATCCTAAGAACGCATCCGGCGCGTTCTCCAAACCGACCGTAACATCCTCTTTGTAGATAATCTCGCCATTCTGCAGCCAGGCGCTCACATCTTTTTCAAACTTTTCACGGGTCTCTGCCGAGAAGTCATTGACCACAAAGCCCTCGAACCGGATGCGTTTCATCACTACGTGGATCAAGTTCTTGATGCCGTAAGGGGTTGAGGTGTTATAGCCGCTAATCATGCCAGAGGCTACAATGCGGCCGTGGATGTTGAGCACCTCCAATGCTGCCTCGAGTGTCTCGCCGCCGACATTCTCGTAGTAGATGTCGATACCCTCTGGAGCAGCAGCGCGAAGAGACTCGAGGATGTTGCCCTTCTTGTAGTTGAACGCGGCATCAAACTTAAGGTCTTTAAGCAAATATGCAACCTTGTCGTCCGATCCAGCTTTGGAAACAAATTGATAGCAGAAGATCTTAGAAAAATGGCAAGATTGCCGGGCGCAACAAAGACGAGCGAATTTACGGCGGAATAGCCAGTACCGTACCTGAACCGATGACTCTGAGGCCGAGGCGCTTTGCGATCTGGCCAACGAGTTGACCCACTGCGCCGGAGGCGGCTGAAACAAAAATCGTCTCTCCAGCCTTGGGCTTTCCAATCTCCAGAAGAGAGGCATAGGCAGTGAATCCCTACATTTTTTCATGATTAAGCAATGAATGCGTGTTAAACCAATGAGACAAGTATATTGGAGACAGCTTGTATTGTGGGGAAACTTGATCCCGGTAGCGTACAGGCATGCCAAGGACTCCAACCCAGGAGGAGAACGGAAATTTGGATTCGCGAGCACCCTCGATGATTTTGAGCTGGCTCGTAGCAGGGACACGGCTGTATTCTTCCCATCCAAGGAAACCGACAACGATGGACCCGACTGGGATCTTGGGGTTCCTGGAGGCTACGACCTCACCGATACCCAAATTGTCGAATTTCTGACCAATTTGGAAACCGCTGATATAGTTGGCTCTAAAGCCTTTCATTCTGCCTCTCAGATCTAAAAGGACAGAGTAGCATCCGCCATGCATTAGTGATTATCATAGCAAAGTACATTTTTCAGGAACCAAAAAAAAAAAAAAAAAAAAAAAAAGACATACAAGGATCAAGAGATATGTAAAGGTTGCGAGTGCGGACTTCGTTATCGTCCAGATTCTCATCGATTTCCCTAAGCTCGACTCCAAAGTGTTCGCCGGGGATAGGATACTCCTCAGGCTCCTTCCAGAAGATGATGGACTTGTTGTTTGCCTTGACCATGATGTTGGGATAATAATAAATAAACAAAGGCTTTTGTCGTTTGGTTTTTGGTGCGAAAGCCTGTAGGGAGTGGAGATAGAGATAAAGGAATAGAGAGAGGTTTTCAATGAAAGTGGATGTTTCGTTAGCCATCTACACTTGTATTTATACATTTTAACGATACGATCGAAAAAATAAAGGCCTGGCTGTATGGACTTTGTGCCTTGCCAGATACCAGAGAGAAAATTATGTTGCTAGCTGGTCAATGCCATGCGTCGGATGGCGCGCTTTGGTGTCCGCGATTATGTGCTTTGAGTTGAATTAATAAGCATGGTTTTTTAGATTACTGCAGAAATGAACGCGTTTCCAAAGACTCCAAGTGGGTACGAGCAAGCAGCCTTGTGCATACATTAAAAATCAACACGGATTACTGTAGGCACCTGTTCATAATTGACAACATTGTTATCCGGCTGACGTGCACCCTATCCTACAACGGTGACACGTTTGCAGCGGTAAGGCGCCCAAAAAGGGAGGGACCATTGGACTGTATGATCACAGATAGACCGATGATTGCGTGATTCCTGTTGCATTTGTAAGCCCTGACTAGAAGCAGCCCATTGGCACTGAGGGTCTTTCCGAGAGCGCGTGCATGGTATGGTTTGTCTGTCTCCATTTTATTTTATTCGCATAGCGTGCTGTGCAAGGAGTCGCGTAAATGGAGGACGCCGTGGCGCTTTCATTCTTTGTTTCGTCGTCTGTTCACAGATCTGCAACCTTCACAACCTGCTTTCCGAAATTCTTTCCCTGCAAAAGACCAACGAACGCCTCAGGAGCAGCCTCGATACCCTTGGCCTCATCAGTCTTGTAAACAATCTTGTTCTCCAGGAGCAGGGCCTTGACATCTCGGAAGAAATCTGCAAAGTACTGCTCTTGAAAGTCCGCGACAATGAAGCCTCGAATAGTCAATCTCTTGCTGACAACTTGCATCAGGTTCTTGATACCGTAGGGCTTAGTAGTGTTGTACTGTGAGATCATTCCGCACGCGATAACCCTGCCGTGGGTGTTCATGTTGTCCAACGCGGCCTCGAGGGTCTCGCCACCGACGTTCTCAAAATAGATATCGATTCCCTTGGGCGCCAGCTCCTTGAGGGCATCGTGGGCAGTGCGCTTCTTGTAGTTAAAGGCCTTGTCGAACCCGACCTCCTTGAGCAGATAGTCGACCTTCTCATCCGATCCAGCTATTTTTTTGCAGAAGATAAGTCGTTCAATGGTTGAATTTTGATGCTTTAGTCGGCTTAAATTAAGGCACGTCTTGTCCCATACCTGATCCGATGACGGTAAGACCCCAGACCTTGGCCAATTGACCAGCAAGCTGGCCCACAGCTCCAGAGGCTGCCGAGATGAAGATGGTTTCACCAGCCTTGGGCCTTCCAATGTCTTTCAAGGAAGCATATGCGGTAAGACCTGTATGTTTCCATAGGCGGGAACGTGTTTAGGAAATCATTAACCCTTGCGTATGTGTGATGCCATGGTAGACGACGACAACCCTCGTAATGGACTAACCTGGCATGCCCAATACTCCGACATAGGATGACAACGGGAGCTTGGATTCTCTGGCCTCTGGAATGATCCTGGTCGTGGGCAGGTCAGGCAGGACTGTGTACTCTTCCCAACCGACAAAGGCGTGGATGATGGAGCCAACTGGATATTTGTCGTTCTTGCTCTCGATGACCTCGGCAATACCACGGGCGTCCAATGGCTTGCCGATTTCGAAGGCGGCGCTGTACGACTGCTTGCCTGTGTCACGCATCTTTCCACGCATGTCTAATATTCAGAGTAGAGGGATAGATCAAAGAGGTGGCGTGGGGGAAGTTTGATGAGCATCAATTAGATAGACGCGGGATTATTAGGTGCATTGGGCTGTTATTGACTTACATGGATCAAGTGAGATGACGAGGTTGCGGGTCAGGACCTCGCCGTCTTTGAGGACGGGTTTGAAGTCCTTGTTGGTCTGGGCCGCGAAATGCTCGCCCACAACCGGGAACTCGGTAGGGTGCTTGAGATAGATAATAGAGGTGTTGGAGGAAGGCATGCTGATGATAATGGGCCTTTGTTGGCGTGGAAAGTAAGGAGAAAGAGGAGTGTCTGTTGCAATTGGGGAAAATAAACCTGGCGGCAGATTACGTCTTTTATACCCACCATTGGTGGATTTCTAAGCTGGTCATTCTCTGGGGGGGGGGGGGGTTTGTAAGCAGCGATAGACGGCTGCTCGTCGAGAACTACTTCTAAAGGGACATCGATGCAAGCTTTCTGATGGACTATCATCATTATCACGCATCATTGCTGTGTGATGTATTTACTAGGGCCATGCCGTGGGACATTAGTTTGTTTATATTTCGCAAGGATGGTCCCCTGTCCTGGGACTCCGTTGAGAAGAACGGACACTTGGATCCCTGTCTCCAGTTCCATTCTCCTGTATTGTCTGTTTTTTAAAAAAAAATCAGTGGGGGGTCTGATCGCTTTGTTAGCCGATGGTGCCTCCATGCTGATAAACTTCGGGCAGGGAAGAAACTCCAATGCAACCCCCGGTTGTATCTTCATGGGCCGTGGTCTTGGTTATGATAGCACACAATGCTCTTGTGGACCCTTTTGGGTGTGTCGCAGCTGTTGGTTGTTGCTGCAGCAGAGAGACCAGGAACCAGCCGTTTGGATGCATGCACACCGCATCCGTCCATGCCTGAAACTGCACCGCACCGCACCGCAGCGTTGGATCGGCCAGGCACATACGCCCACGCACGAGATAGGCGTCGTCTTCACCTCCTCCCCCTGCTGCACACACTCGCTCTAGCGTAGCTGGCCCCTCGTTTCTTCCTCGCCGAATCCCCCGCCCACTCCCCATCCCTCGGCAAGAAAGTCCACTCCTCTTCCACTCCATCTAATCCATCTCCATCCCCATCTCACATTCCATCAGCGTACACCTGGCCATTCTTTCACACTCCTCCACTGCTCTTCGACTACTGTGCTTCAGAGAACTTCCCGATCGCGTGTCTTATCTTTGAAAAAAAAAAAAAAAAAAACGGCCAGGCACTTCTCCACCTGCCCTTGTTCGTTCCTCGCCACGGAAACGGCTCCTAGGCAACCATGGCCAGCCAAGGTTACTCTTACCTCTCAGGCACACAGAGTCAGCAACACACCCCACCTCCTCGTCCATCCTCGTCTTCCTCCTATGAGAGTCAGGGAACCCACCTGGTAATTTTTTTCGAATCATCTATCCTGCGTCTATGCCCTTGTGGGAAAGAACGGAACAGTTTGCAACTTTACAGTTGGTATAGTATGCCATGGCAACTTGCAATCAGGGACACTCTTCGCCTTCGAGTATTAATCATTACCCTCATGACCTCTTGCCCCCTCTTGTAGATCATTGGTAAATGCATGTACTGCAAGAGGTAAGGGCTCCTGCTCACTGTGTTAAAGGCAGAAGACCGTGCTCTTCGTTGGTATGACGACCGGATACTCACAAGGACTATTTACCGCTATTTCCTACTTCATTATTACAGCCAGCTATGCTATCCGCAAGCAGTCAAGGTCTTTCAATGCGTAACCTGCGACACCATCAACGACCTCATTCCCGCGCCTGGTGTTGGTATGTTCGGCAGCTTCATTTCAATATAGAGCATCTCAGGATACGATCGAGCAACGGGACATGTGGCACATTAGAGGAGTCTTGGCATTCAGCCTTTTTCGACGAAACGAAAAACGGACAACTCACGATAAGGAACTGAGCCTGCATTTGCTGACCAAGTCGTCTCCAGAATCCAGCAGCCTGCCAGTCCTGCGACATATTACCACTTCAACGACGACATTTGATGGCTATTGCTCAGTGGTTGTGGCTATACTTTGGTTGTTGGTCAGGGTTAAATTGATGACTGTACTTGTTGGCTAACTTGATGAATTTATTATTTCTTGAAACTCATAGTTCCTCAGGAGCCTTTGACATTGCAGCATATCGAGGATGAGATTGAGCGTGCAAAAGCTATACACCGTGAAAGAGGCGGAGATCTGGACTACAGCGATCTGGAGGCGCTCTTGCGGGAGAAATTGAAAAAGTTTGCCGCCTTTAACGCCAGTTTCAGTAGTGTAAGTACCTCGGAGAATTTCTGTCTATGGACAAGAGATACCGATCCATTGCCCATCTGGATGATTAATTTGCTCGCTCTTTCGCCATATGGCTGCTAATAGGGACGCCCTATCACCTACGAGCACTGCGGAGTGAATCTGGATGAGGCAAGGAAGGCATTTTCAAAGTTGGTGGCAATGGTATGTGATTGGCGTCTTGACAGCTCCCGTTTCAGCATCACGTTCTTCTCTTATACCCCGCAATAACACCTTACTTGTGACCCTACTTTAGCCCAACTCGATTGCACTGGCTGTCATGACATCTGTGGAGGCGATATTGAAGCGTCCTGGAAAGTACGTGGCGTTTATGCATAATCCAGAGTGAGCTCGACATGGTTACACATAACAGGGCGAATCTAACGGCGATGCGTTCATGTTTAGGGAGCTCAAGGAAAAGGAGGACCTCAAGTTCATTATGCTGATGTTTGAGGTATGTGCTCGCCTTTGAGGCGCCTTTATTGGTGAAAACCGACCACACGTACGTTTCACGGACTGACAAGGACTCATGAAAAAAAAAACAAATAAAAAAAATAGTGTCCATGGCTCTCTCGACATAGGACGCCGCAGGAATCAGATTACCACCACAACATCACAAAGCGTCTCTTCACGATCGTGAGCAACCTACCCAGCGAGCTCCACAAGTACCTCTCGAGCTGGTTTGCAAAGTAAGAAAAGATAATTTCAGGAGATTGATAGTGATTCACATGGATACGAGATGCGTTACTGATTGCATCTCTCGAACGATATCTGCGCAATAGCAGCATGAGCACCCAGATATTCCACCACCGCATCAATTTTGTCAACAAATTTATCACACAAAGGCTGTCCAACCAGCAAAAGTCCACGGATCGTAACCAGCACATCATTTACCAGAGTGACGCAAGGATCCAAGCAGCAGCCAGGGTCATGCACCTCTTTTTCAAAGCGAATCAGCCCAATGAAAAAGAGTTTCTTGATGCCAACGGCAAGAACCGGTCTGTTAAGGACCTTGTGATCATTCCCAGCGCGAAGGACTCTGCGTCAAAATCGCAAAAAATCCCAATCGACGAGTATTACAATATGATCGTGGACCTGATTGATCTGCCCGCTGATTTTTGCGCATGGGAATCGAGATCTAGGTATGTTTTTGTTGCGTTTCGCAGCAATGCCTGTCATATTTCCATGGTATCGTGCGTATCTGACATCTTTCTTTCAATACCTTTAATTTGGTAGCATGTTTACCTTTTGCCAATATCCGTTCTTGATCTCGATGGGCGCAAAGATGCAAATCATGGCATGGGATGCAAAGCGGCGGATGGAAATTAAGATGCAAAAGACGATTGAGGCGCTTCTTGTGCAAAGGCGGCTGCGTGCAGCTGAGAATGGAGGGGAGATCGCCATGTTGACACAGGCAGAACTGCAGCAAGCGCCCTTGCTGATCCTTAAAGTTCATCGCAATAACCTGATTGAAGAATCTTTGACACAGGTAAGGCCTTTCCTGTTTCTTCCATGCCCTTATTGTCTCGCTTTTGTGCGCTATACACTGATCAGCACTCATCAATGCACTTATGGCTGAATAGTTATCGCGGAACGAGATGGACCTAGATAAATCATTACGCATTGAATTCGTTGGCGAGGATGGTGTCGACGCAGGAGGACTGCGGAAAGAATGGTTCCTACTTCTTGTTCGTCAACTGTTTGATCCTCAGTATGGTACGTCTTATGCGCCTTCACGGGCAAGATGCTGAATCTTGGCAGTGTTCTTTGCGGAGCAAATTCTGACGCATTGTGAACTCAATGCCTTTGGTATGGTCCTATAGGCATGTTCGTATACGATGATCAATCCTCGCACTGCTGGTTCAACCCTGCGTCATTCGAGTCGCTTGATCAATTTTACTTGGTCGGGGTTGTTATCGGGCTGGCCATCTATAACTCGACCATTCTAGATCTGCCACTTCCTCTGGCAGGGTACAAAAAGCTGCTGAACGTTCCTGTTGTTCTCGAGGACCTGGCGACTTTCCGTCCTGTAAGTGACGCGCCAGAAAGGGTTTGTCTCGTGTTCTCAAAAGGCTTGAAAGACGTATCTAACCCATGCTGGTGTACTTTGTTGCGTCAACCATAGGACCTGGCAAAAGGATTCAATCAGTTGCTGGAATACGATGGAGACGATGTTGAGGATGTTTTCTGCCTGACCTTTGTGGGAGCTTATGAGGCGTACGGCGAAAGCATAGAGGTCCCACTGATACCCAATGGCGAGAATATTTCAGTCACTAGTCAGAATAAGCGGGACTACGTCGAGCGTTATGCCAACTTCGTGATGAACAGCAGCATTTCAGATGTAAGACCATTTTTTTTGTGTCCAGATAGAACGGATGGACACGCTTACTGTTCTGGTTCTCTGTTGAAGCGAGTACTTATCTTTATTTTCTTACATCTTTCAATAACGCGCAGCAATTCGAGTCCTTCCGTCGCGGGTTTTACTTGGTGTGTAGCGGACACGCATTGTCGTTATTCCGGCCCGAAGAGATCGAGTTCCTGGTCCGGGGAAGTGCAGAGCCGCTGGACATTGACCAGCTGAGATCCGTTACGGTGTACGAGGGATTCAACGATGACCACGAGGTGATCAGGTAACCAATGAGTGCTTGATTACATGGGCCATACAGCTTCTGGGATATAAAGAATGTTCGCATATAGAGCATTTTCGATGTCCGACTTTTCGCACGGAGCCTGGCTACTGACGGTCTTATTTACTTTTACATCAAACTGTATCTAGGAACTTTTGGTCAATTTTCAAGGAGTTTGAGGACAAGCACCAGAGGCGACTGTTGCAGTTCATCACTGCGTCGGACCGCTATCCGGCAACGGGCATTGCGAACCTGTCGTTCAAGATCACCTGCATGGGTAGCCATGACTCGAATCGCTATCCCACGACACACACTTGTTTCAACCAGTTGTGTCTGTACAACTACAAAGGAAAGGAGAAACTCAGACAAATGCTGATCCGGGCGATGAATGAATCGGAAGGGTTTGGCGTCAAATAGCGCCATAGTTATGCATGAGTCCAGGCAGAGAAGAAATGACAGGCGCATGATGTAGCGCAGAGGTTTTGTCGTTTCTTTTCTCGTTCTCTATTTATGTCCCTTTTCGTCTTTTCCCCCTTCCTTGTTTTTGTTTCCTGCAGTGAAGCAACTGTCGCGTTCTGTTCTTGTGTTTCTTTTAAGCACAGTGCGCGTGATGTATTACACATGTAGAAAGATGCAATGGGTTTTGAAAACGTGAAAAATAAAAAACATCAAAAGAGGTTCCTGCTGATGTTCTGCTTCTAATGGCGCATGTGCATGGTGCATTCGAAAGAAAAAAAAGAAACACGGTGCAGAAAGAAAAGAAGGGAGGCGCAAAGGTGCAGGTTGCCAGGTGCCGACAAGGTTTCAGATTCGATTGAGTCTTCGTGCATGTTGAACATCGAGAGCGGGGCTATAACATACATGCGCATAGAACATACACTCTGCTGAGGCAGATTTTCACAACTATCCGTATGCTGACCATGGCCTAGTCTGTAGTGCCGTGACCTCAGGCTGGGCTAAGCAGGACGGTCCTTCGATCAACATAGGGGCAAGGGTACGATGGGGTTTGGATATATCCACTGTGTTTGTTCGAGATGCATGTGGGATAATGTCAAGTTGCTAGATGAGGTTCTACTGTGGTACATATTGCGTCTTTTTATATAGGCGGCAAAGTGAGGCGAAGGGTGTCGTATAGACACTCTTAACCCGGGCCAAACAGGGGACATTGGTTTCTGAAACGCCCCTGTCTGGGCTAAGCACCCTGGCTGGGGCCGCGACCATGGTCTTGCTAGGATAGATAGGTATCCGACATTCGGTAAGGGTATGCTTTTTCTTTTTCTGCTATAAAAACCATCCCTTTGACCATCAGAATTTTCTGATCATCATTCGCCAACATCCTCTCTCTCTCTCTCTCTTTTTTCCCCTTCCTCATCTTTTTAAAACCTCTTTCAAGACCAAAGAAAAAAGAAACCATGCTGGCCACCAAGGTCTTTCAGCCCATCTTCCTCGTCGTTGCTGCCCTGTTCTTGTTCAATACCATCGAGGCCGCGCCTAAAAAAACCAAGGGTAAACGATCTTTTGCCTTTATTTATCTGTTTTCCATGTGCATCAGGAAACGACCAAGACTTAAGGAATGAATAGACGGATGAATACAATGGATTCTAACCCTACTTGGTGCTTCTTCTTTTTTTTTTTTTTTTTTTTTTTGGTAGAATGTATTCAGTGCTTTGCTCCTCCAATGTGTCCTCCCTGTAGCTGCGGTTACGAGTGCGTGATCATCCCACCTTCGTGTCATGATTGCGGCGAGGGCTTCTGTAGAAAGCTTTAATCGACTTTCAATACTTTTTTTTTGTCTGCTTGTTTCGTCTGGAAGGATGGAACTTTGGGGAAATACCAAAATCACACAGCAATCATGACAACGCGTACCAAAAAACCCACACTCTGAGAACAAAATAAAAAAAATAAAAACGTCTTCGAAAAGGCTGCCATTCTATGGACAAGACCCTTGATGAAGCTGCTTTAGAGCACTGACCGACCGCCGAATATCATCCGAGAGAGGATCATAAAGCATCACCTTTTTTAATGTTTCTCGTATATGTGCTTTCCACACCTCGTCCTTAAAAAAAAAAAAAGAAAGGCACCCCCAATTGCCCCCGTCCTCAAACCTTCAAGTCACCATGCACGCCTTCAACACGATCTCGCTCCAAGTCCTTTACGTGATGGTTCTGTTTACTCTTAGTAATACCACCTCTGTCACCGCAGTGAAAGGTAAGTCCGGGAGTCCGTCCGTTTATTACCAACGTTCCAATGTTTCTCAAAGCCTAAAATTCGGTTCCTAACCGCGCTCGACGATCCTGTGCAAGGCTGCTTTTATACCCAAGTTGCTTGTGAGCCCCCCGAAGAACGCGTATTCGTCCCACCTTGGGAAGCGGGCAACGTCTGTGGGTACTACAAGTGTCGTAAGCGTCGCTACTAAATGCGTGTCGACGTCGCCCTGGATATGTCTAGCAAGGAAATGAGGAAAAGTCTTGACCGCTGTAAGACCTTTATCCCGTCAGAAGATGCAACATAGTTTAGCAAGCAATAAAAATTTACTTTGAATGAGATATTCGAAATGGTCTTTATTCCTTTGCAAATGAGCTAAAAGAATGTCGCCCTAGTCAATAGATTGCAGCTTCCATACTGGCGCCCTCAAAGAATCCAGAATGACCCCCTTCTTTTTTTTCTTTTTTTTCTTTTTTTCTTTTTTTACATGGCTGCAATTGCTTCAAGGTGCGCGCTGGGAACGTCATTCGCCTGTTGCTGCTGCTCAAACTCCTGGTCATGTTCCTGCTGTCCTTCCAGTCCAGTATCTCCCAGGGTTTCGATCACCTCCTCCAGTACTGAGAGAATGTTCTTGGGCGGCTCAAATTCCTCCACACCAATCTCCTGCTCCTTTCCTTCTTCCGGTTCCTGTTCCGCTGGGATGGAACCATCGAATGAATTCTCGCTAGTCTGATAGAACTGTACAATGTTGATCTCCTTTGCAATCTTGGACTAAACCACACAAATATTGGTAATAAAAGTAAAAATAGGGGGTGGCAAAAATTAGTGGTGTGAATGGGCATGGGCGCAAGAACATCAAAGGATTGTTCACATACCTGAGCCTGTTCGCGGAACGTCAGCTTCTCGCTAAAGACTCGCAAGTTACCTCCCTGTGGGACGTGGCTCGCAAACTCAAGGCTGTTGACCTTGGATTTAACCTTCGAGTAATCCACCTTCTTCGACGGCGGGATCTTGAACGATGACCGACGACCAGGACTCGTGGGCGCTCCATTGCTGGTCGAGGAGGTCGAGGATCTGCCGCTCGGGGACTGTGACCGGGGCGACAGGGCTTCACCATTGCCTTCGTCACTGGACGCCCGACTGCTAGAACGACCTCGACCGACATATGAGATGTTGTCGAAGGAGCCGACCTTGGCTTTAACATGATCAAGCTGGAGCTTTTGCGTGGGAATGATGTGTTTCGACAGGCGACGAGCAGGGCTAGCCGGGGACATGGGCGGACTGGACACAACAGGCATGGAGCTCCTACGCGACTGCGGCAGAGACATCGGCTTCGGTGTTGTGGAGAGGCTCACGTTCGAAGAGCTACGCGAAGTCGACGAGAGCGGCTTTGCTGAGGAGAAAGCGGACCTCAAAGAGGAGGACGAGATACTAGTCGTGACAACGAAGGGTCGTTTGGGCGCAGCCGTTTTAGCCGTCGGTGCTGCTACAGATGTGGGAGTGGCAGAGCCAGGAGAAGTCTCCGAGGTATTCGAGGCATCGGCGACTTTTGCGGCAGGGGTGGGCAGAGCTAATTTCGCATCGACCTTGGACTTGATATGCGAAAAGTCCTGTTTGAACGACTGGATTTTCTTCTCCGACGGCTTGGGCTTGTAATGAATAGCTTCCAGCGAGCCAACCTTGGACTGGACGTTTGAGAAACGTCTGTTCGTCGGCAGTGTGGGCCTTGGGGTTGGCGAGGTCGGCGAGGTCGGCGAGGTCGGCGAGACGACGCTTGTGGAGCGCACGTCGCGGGTTGTGGTCGTGGCCTTGCGCTCGACCTTCACATGAGGTGGCGAGACGGTTTGAGGTGATGTAGAGACGGTGGTCATGAGGAATCGTTGGCGAGCGAGCGAGAGAGAAGAATGAGAGATGTGATGTTGGTTGATCCAGCGGCGGTCAAAAAGGTCGATGAGGGGCGCGTCTGTCGTTGTTCGTTTTGTTCGCTTGTCGATTCGCTACCACGCTGTGGACGATGGCAGGGGCGGCGTATGTTTTGGGAAGGATGTGTGATATCCTGACAAAGAACGCCTTTTACGAGCGGAGGAATGGAGAGGGGAGTGTGGTCAAAGGGAGAGGGAGGAGAGGAGTGTTTGGGCGTATACATTCACTCGGACCCTCTCTGCTACACCGTACCCGCACTTTCCCCCATCGCCCCATGCGATATAATCATTTGCAATCGTGTTTATGTCCCTGTCCGCATCACGATCGCAACAAGGCACAAAGGGGCAATGGCTCTTTCTCATAGCCCTGTGCAAGCGTCATCTTGATTGCAATTGAAGCTTAAGAGCCGATGCTCGTGGCAAACAAACTAGCACGTTTGCGCGCATGAAAAGGAAGGGCAAGACCGCAATAGACTACACATACAACTGCATTTTCTGCACGGAATAAACGGTTGCTCGGGAAATGAATACGATAGAAACAACAACGTGAGAGGATGTGGAAGAGAAGGGAACGGGAGGGGAGAGCACAGGGCAGCGCGCATGCTGACTGGCAGGGAACAACTCTTCCCGCCGGAGAATTGCTGGTCTTCATGGGAACAAAAGCTTGTATGGGTAAAACAGACATCAGCAATTTCCATCCGAACCTCCTTTGTCCTGCTGTTGCCGTAGCTGTTAACTACACGTCGCTGCTCTCCTGAACAAAGCGCCCTTTCAACGCGATGTGGCATGCCACACCCCTTCCTTGAAGGAGTTCAATGCACCTTGGTCTGTCCAATGACGTAATCAAGCGGATCCAGGGGCCCCATGCCCTGTGCCCCGTGTCTAAGGGCTGCGACTTTCTGGTTCCTGGCGGCTAACATTGGGGGAGGGTCCAAGTGGCGCGTTTGGGAACATGACTCCAATGCTCCAGAAGAGAGCCTTCCTCCAAATCACAATTGTGAGCACCTGCGACGGCGACCTGCAAAAGATTTATTCCAAATAGACATTCATAGTCCATATGCCATGAGCATATCAGACCCTGTAGACAGCCAGCTGGCCGCTGACCGTTCGGCGAATCCCTCGGAAGATGAATCTAAGGCGTTGGCTTTTTCTGACGGACTCAAAGGGTATGATTATGCAATATGTACAAGGCATCGCCTTCATCCTTCGTGTGGACTATGAACCTGTCTTGTAGTCTACCCACACCGGCGCTAACCAGGGCCGTGTACCGTGTACTGCGTTCGCCATACATCTCTATTTATGATGTGCACAAAGCACGGTGCTGAGACTGCTGCGACACCCATGCATGGTGACTTTCGTCCCCCCCGAGGAGTATTTCTTACCTATCAAATCAGAAGCACGACAAATTCACTACGCCCCTCGCTCATGCATCTCCTCGGATAACAGGACTATGGCTGTCAGAGTATGCTATTTTCATCACCATTTGGCCGTAATCAGGGTATCCTTGGACGATAAACCGGAAGGTATATAGCGAATTCTGTCATGAACAACGCTCAGGAACATGCAGTCGGTCAAATTGCATATTATCGTATTGTCGATTGCTGCAATATGAATAAGCGTCGATCCCAGCCCGATCAACAACGAGGAGTATTCAAAATGATCGATGCCACCATTATGCGTGTTACTGGGCTTTGCCACATTTTTGATATAAGAATAGACACTATATGTATCGTATGAAGTAAGGTCTCTGCCTGGCCAGACTTATGGCAACGCGATGTTGTGTTGATTGGTTCGAAGTTTGGTGATTGTTAGAAAACCTTAGGATAAGCCCGAAAGCGTGAGCGAAAACACTATCTAAAGCAGGCCTGACAGGACTCGACTTGAACATGGGAGAGACCAATGCATAAAAACACCACCAGTAAGACCAGTAAAACATGGACAACTTGTCCTTTAGTAGAGTTTCTTTTATTTTCGGTGCTGATCTCAGCAAGTTTTTTTTGGCCCCCCGATTTACGTTTCGAGAACGTCAAACAGTGCATCGAATGTGTGGGCTCGACGGGTCTCATGAATCAGAACGCGCGATGGCGATACGAGCAGCCCCTAACGATTCAGTCTCCACATCCGAGTATCAGATGGGAGGAATGATCTCCTCGGACGCCTTTTAGGTATGCACGTAAAAGCCATTTTTGAGGGTGTTTATTTGAATACCCTCAATTTTTGAGAGGGAATGTCATAGAGATATGTGCGCGATCCTCAGAAAATTCTCGTGAAACGATAGTGAGGATGGTGGCCGACAAATATGCTTCAGATCCAGACAATGGTTGTGGTGCCCCAGGTGAGCGCTATTTGGATAAACGAATGGTTGTGAGAGAAGAACCTATTTTTTTGTTATGTCTGGGTGTGGATGCACGGATGTGCGTCGATTTCCGCGGAAGAACGTTAAATTCATTAGGCCCGGCTCTCGTATTTCATGTCCCTGGAGACATGGCTTACAAAAAATAGGCCATGACAATCACACCCGTGCTGCATTCCCAAGGTCGCGACAGCAACAAAGACGCAGCGAACAGCCCTGGAAGCAGAGCAGGCAAAGTCATTTCCTTCGCATTTCTGCACGGCACCCCGCACTTCCACTTCTTTCTCTTTCGTTATCTCGCTCCCCTTCGCATTTTATCCCTCTGACCCCTCTCGATTTCCAAACTGGGCTGGCGGCACCATTCCAGGCAGCAGCAAGCATCCTTCAACAGATAAATAGGCCACTATTGTCACCATCGCCCCAGGCTGTACCACACTTCAGATCTCACTCTTCGACCTCTTTACTTGCAACCAAACCCCCTACCCTCGCTACTTCTCGGCAAAGTTTCATCCGTTCAACACAGCGCCCTCCCTCCCCCACCGTCATCGCCCTCGCCTACATATACATTTTCCACCCCATCCCAAACATCCACTCCCTCTCTTCTCACTTCTACGACTCCACCACTAGTTTCTTTTTTCCGAAAAAATGGATCTTCCTCAACGATACAAGGGCCACTGCTCGACTTCACCTTGCAGGTCAGCATTTGACAGTGCAACTCTTAAACCGTTTTCACAAAGAAGATCGTCGTCCTCTTCCTGGACAAGCAGTAACACCATCTCTTCCTTTCATTCCCCCATACCCTCCGGCTCCGTCACTAGCCCTGTGATGCCTTCAAGCTGTCGAGATCCCCTTCGCAATATTCACCACAGCCCCAAAATAACTAAGACTACTCACCATCAACGTTCAGCGCCATACAATCGTCATGGCAACCGTATTCGTTCAACTAGCCCATACACTGACTGGGGTCAGTCCCCAGCCAGCGCGCCTTTCCATCACACCTCAGCTAATGCTGAAGACATGACACCACACGATCGACAGTATCACCGCCAATTATCACCTACCCATACAAGACTGCGTTCATGTTCACCGCCCTCACCAGCGGCGCGATCTTCATCTGGTCCTCGGAGCTCATCTGGTGCTCAAGGTCCGCGGAGTAATGACCGACTTCCTTCTCTTTTTGCTCAGTTGAAGGCCAAACTTGAAGCACCTAGAAGACCAATCATCACCACTATCTACACCTCTCCCCTCTCACCTAGTAGCACATACCTTTCGTCCTCACAAGACGGTTATCCACACTCAGCTACACCCCTTTCTCCCCTGCATCCTTATCAGCCCATTCAGGACGACGATCCCTATACAGGTAGCCAGCCATGGCCGCCATTGGCGTCTAGTCCTCCTCCGACTCTTTTTGGTACACCATGCTCTGCTGCCAGTCAGCGAGCGTACCTGAATCATAATCCGGACGTTGAGAAGAGTTTTCGGCGGCTTCAACTTGAAGATAATGGCCGAGTCGAGCACCGCACAATAGGTAATGCCAATACTACAAACAAATAGCGAGCGTATGGTTCTTCAAAAATGTCAGGTAGTTAAATTGCATGTGTGTTGGAGTCTATCTCTGTGTGTAGACGCGGCTGTCTTTGACAAATTTACACGAAGTGTTTATGTTTGATATCTGAGCATTTTATCCATCCATTGATTGATCCATCGCCCGCATCCCAGGCTCGGAATGCATTACTATGTTCTTGCCTGAGAGACATGCAAGAACAAAACAATATATCATCCTAAACAAAGCACCACTCTTTTTTTTTTTTTTTCTTTTTTGCACCTCAGCCCTGAGGGACTTTGCGCATTTTTTTCTTCTGCTTCTCTGTCCCACCTCACTCAACTTACTTTTTCATGGAGGCGTCCCCGCCCTAGATCTATTTTGGATTAAAACTCCCATTGCATGTCTTGGGGGAGGGGAAGGGGAGGACGTGGGCTGTGCGATAACAGGGCAATTTTTTTTTTTTCGATTTATGTACTTTGGCCCTTCGGTACCTATTGCGCCTCCACATATCGACTGTTTTGGCCACGATTTCGATCGCCTTGGAGTTGATTGTTAGTACTCCAAATACTTGAAAGTAATTTCCAGATGTACTAACAAAGTCGTCATGGCGCGTACCCCTCTCCCCCCCCCCCTGCGAACCATCATTCTATTGTTAGCGTTCTCGACCCACCTGACCATCTCGCGCTGGGAACCGAGCAGTGCGTCATCAACGAGCACAAGTTCCGCGGGGTCGACTGCGCCTGTTGCGGAAGATGCAAGAGTCGAAGCAGGAAAATCGCGATCTGACATCAGCACGGGTTCATTCCGAGGATCCATCACGAGCCCTGCACAGAGTCCCCGATCAATTTCATACCCGTCTTCGCCGCGTTCGCCCAGCTCACCGAAACAGCAGAAGCAACAACAGCAGCAGCAAATGCAGCAAATGCAGCAGGGGCAAGAGAATGACCTCGTGTATGCGACGCGTCTTTTGTCGCTGGCTAATTATATCCGGCACATCATCTCACTCAGCTCCGGGAATAATCCGCTCCATTCGCAACTGACAATGGCACAACAGCAGCAGCAGCGGCAGCAGCAGAAGATTCAAGATTGCAGGCCTATGCCATTCGTCTCGAACACTCAGTTCAGCAATGAGGTTCACGAGGGCCCAGGCTCGCTGCCTTCCCCACTCTCCGCAGGGCCTGGACCGATCAAGTCGGGCTCGCTTTCAACGAGGAGACATCGTTATGCCTCGGAGTATCATGATCATCAGACACGTCGGCATTTGCATCATCAGCAGCAGCAACAACAACAGGCCCAGAATTTGACTCAGGGGCGATACGAGACTGAACACCAACTGCCGAAACCACTATCATCACAAGGGCAGCCGCAGAACACGCTTTTAGAACCGTCAGGAACGCAGGCCCATCGACTGCCAAGCCCTATCTCGCCTACATTCGTTTCTGGTCGCCGCCTCTCTCAGCAGCAGCAGCAGCAGCAGCAGCACAATATTAGTCCAGTATCGCCTCGAAATGTTACCGGTGTATTTTCGCCGCTGCTCAAGGTTCCGTTCCCAAACCTCACACTCACATTAGCACTCATTTACGTGGACAGACTGAAGGCCGTAAGTGAACCGATGGTGCCCGTTTTTATTAGGCCGCAAAGTCTTTGACCGCATCGCATCTCGCTCACTCAATGTATTCCTATATCTGAACTTTATTTCAATAGAAATATCCTGAGGCAAAGGGCGAAGCAGGATGTTCGCATCGACTGTTTTTGGTGGCATACATCATTGCTGAGAAATACCGCTGCAGCGTCGAATTGGCAACACTGTTGCAGGAACACCATAATCATCTCACCGAGCTCGAACTTCGGGGACGCGACCAAAGCCATACTTCGTCGCTCGAGAACACGACTGGCCCTGAGCTGGATGATGCGATTGAGGAAAGAATATTGAAGGTTCAATCCAACGCGGAGCTCATCTTCTCGAACCACGAATGGGTCAGGTTGCTGAACCTTGGATCGTTCTTTCGTCCACCGCCTGCTCCCACGGCCTCGATGCCTTCTTCCGCGGCTAAAGCCACCGCGGGAAATATGGCGGGTGTAGCGAGGACGTCGCCGGCCCAGCCCATGGTCCGCTCTATGCCTTGTCCTTCAGGGTCTATTGAATCCGAGCCTTTGCCCTTGCCTATCCAGTCATCGCCTGCAGTAGCAGTGCCTGGTGACACAAACACCGTTACCGCCGCAAACCATAACTCTGTCAAGAACGCGTCTTTGCCTTCGCCCGCGCCCTCGTCTGCGGGCACACAGGGCGGCACGCCAATGCCAACACCAAAGGCATTGCCACTGCAGGTGCCGCAGACCTCGATTCTGCAGGTGGAAGATCTCGATCGGATGGAGACTGAGTTCTTGACGTTTTTAGACTTTGATCTCTCGACGCGTGGTCAAGATCTTGACACCTGTTGGAATCTCCTCGTAGGAAACATACAGATTTAAGGGAGAATCAAACAACCCCGACGCCCAAACAACAACAACGGCCTGTACCCCTTACCCTAGCCCGTCTCTTTTATTTATTTTTTTCCTAATATTTTAATGATGTATAGTTTGTACGAAACGACCTAGATGTAATGAACTACGATAGTATATTCTTTCGAAACCCTATGAACACGGGGATTTGTCTTTGTTTCCTTGCGTCTTTAGGTTGCATAATGATGGTGGGAGAGTATGCAGTTTTGGGCTGAGCAGAGCTGGGCTGGACTGGGCTACGGCTGGTTCTAGAAGGTCATTCCGTTGCCCCCGCCCCTCCTCTCCCCTTTCCCTCATGCTGACGGATCCTTTTCTTGACCTTTAAGGGCTATCCTTCGAAGAAGAAGTGTTATAGTCATCCTTGCATGCCTTTTTTTTTTCTTTTCTTTTCCATTGAATATAGGACAAAAAAAATGAGAACGGCACATGGTATCATTTCTTATGTAATTTATCCGCGTCGGTTTTTTTTTTATGACAGGTCTCTGCTTCCGCACGTTTTTATCATGTCTGTCATCCATTCTTATTTCTGATTGAATGCGCACATATTTGTTAAAAAAAATAATAACAATAACAATAACAATAACAATAACAATAACAATAACAATAACAACAACGATAACAGCAATTTGATGTTGTCATGCAGCATGGGGGTCATGAGGAGAAAAATGGAATAATAATAGTAATGATAACAATAACACACGTTCGTCTAGGGCCATGAACGGCCTCAAAACAAGAACTGAGCTTAGAGACCTATGCTTCCTCTCTCGTTCTCTCTCTCTTTCACTGCGACACATATACACACACACACATATACTCTCACACACACATACACACACACACACACATCCTTTTCTGCTCACCATGTGCCTTTAAATCAATCAATCAATCAATCAAAGATGAAAAGAAAAGATGCATGAAGGCTCTTTGTCAAGCGTGGGACAGTGCAAAGAACTGATTCTCCCGCTCCTATCATTTTCACGCGTTTCCTATGCCAACTATGACCGCATGCATAGACTACCCACACGCCCATGTCACTTTTTCCTTCTCCCAAGTAGATCTTTGTCTGCCTTTCCGCGTTAGTTTGAATCGACCAAAGTCCGTCTTTCTTTATGCACGATTGTGGAACAGAAAAAAAAAAGTCCTTGGGAGTCCGCGGAGGTAATATTACAGTGTTCTTTCGACCCGAACAATTCTCTCTAATCTCAAGATGCCCATCGCGTTTTTTATTCGATGTCATCTTGTATGCATCGTTATGTCGTACACATCTGAGAGCGCGATAGGGCCGTTCCTAGGACACTGCGCCCACTTGAAGATCAACTGCGACACCGAAAAAGTTGTTTCCAGACTATTTGAGTGAGCGGACAAAAATCTTAAGACTTCAGACATCATCGATCGTTCTTCCTAGCTGCAAAATCGTCGAATAATCATATAGGAAATTTTTCATTGTTCGCGTTCAAACACAATGTTTCGCCAACTGAATTTTCTTTTTTCTTTTTTCTTTTTATTAGGTTGAGGGCAAGATGAAAAACATATTGGACCAGAAGTAGTACAGAAGGGACAAAAGATGAGAAAAAAGATAGACTAGTGGTATAATATTTTACAGAGTAAAATGAAAAAAGAAGCGGATGCAGACGAAAGAAATGAAGCGCAACGAATCAAGTCAATCAAAGAAAAAAAAAAAAAAAAAGGCAGAAGAAAAACATCTAAATGGCAGCGAACTAAATAAAAAAAAATACCGACGACAATCCTCCAGGGGTTCCAAGATACAACAAAACATCATCCTATATGAGGACCACTCCCAGCCCTCACGTTCACTTTGGATCAACCACAATATGCTGCAACACCGACATATCCAAATCCTGCATTACTCCAAACCGCACCACATCCATTTCTATGTCGTCCTTCTCGTTCCTGCGACCTCCTTCACCGCCTCTGCCTCCTTCTTCTCCTCCTCTTGTGAGATACCCAAACTGTTGATGAACATACGACGCCTGTGGAGGCGCCTGCGAGAAGCCACGCTCTTGTATATCAGACTGATGCTGCTGCAAGTGGTCCTGCGAAGTCGATCCGCCCATTTGGTCTGTTCGACTCACATTGCTCTGCCATCCACCTTTTCCTCCAGAGGAATACCCCATATATATATCTTCGCAATCTTGACCCTCAGCGGACCCAGTCCCGCAAAATGACCTCCACTTCCGCTTGAACTTTCCAGGGAGCCCCTGTGGCCGGCGCTGGAGCGACTGCACGAACCGGGGCCACACGTTTGAGTAGACCAATTCCTGGACCTCCTTTATAATAGGCTCGTACATCTCCAGGTAGCACTCCGAATCCATGAACAGCTGCTTGATGTAAGCGACATGCTCCTCGTCCAGGTTCAACTGCAGTGTGGCATGGGGCATGATGAACGTGTGGGTGATCTCCCAATACGCCGGCAGAAGCGCCCGGGGTACTGGCGTTCGGCGGTTGGTCGATGGAGCAGTCGGACACGATCCCCTCAATTCCGATCCCGACATCGAATGCTGATGCAACGTCTGTGGCTGGGTCGCCGATTGAGGCCGGCATGACTCCGTGGATCGCTTCTTCTGTTCCTCTAATGACAATCCAACCGATAGCTGAGCTTGCGGTGTGGACTGCGTCTCCGTTACCTGGTGCTGCTGCTGCTGGTCCTGAGACTGGGGTTGAGCTGGCAATAGATTGAGATGACCCGTCGGTGTGGATGAGGCAGACGATAGGAGGCTATTGCTGAGCTGTCGAGCCTCCTCTACAGTCTGAATGGACCGCGCCGAAGTCGTCCTGCTGATTCCTGGGCGGAGGGGGCTCAAGGGCTGGGGTTGAGAAGGCAAACGCGGAGTGAAGGTGGCAGAAATCGAAGAGCTGGAAGAATGGTACAGACCGTGACTCACTGGATGAGCCAGTCGACTGGGCTGCTTTTGTTGTCCGATCGACGTCAATGCATTATCGCGCACCTGGTCTGAAGTAAAGGCACTGAGCGGTATACTGCCAATGGAATGGCTAGGACGGTGTCTCGGGCCAAATGGTGAGCGTGAGGCCGTCTCGGAGTAAGGTGCGCTAGAGCTGGTGGCGTCTATGGATATTGTCGGATGTGAGTGCTCAGAAGCGCCAGGTGCCGAATGCAATCCGCTGCTCGTCGGACTCGGCCCATCAAGAACCTCATGGATACCATAATTGCCTCCTCGATGATCCTCGACCACGGAATAGGAGTCGTCTCCAAAGTACTCGGATTGACCCTGATTCGCGTCCGATGCTGTGTCCGGATAGCTACTGACCTCGCCCGGCGTCGGATCGCGGTAGTCGAGTGTCGATCCATTGTTTCCTCGACCATACCAACTAAACGACGACCTCTCGCTGTCATCGCCTCCTGAACCGTGCTTGGATTCGCTCATATCAGGTATAGCACTCATCCTCACCTCGTTATGACAAGTCCTTCCGTCAAGGCTTGCCTTTTGTTGGTGCCGTCGCTCCATGGATGTCCGCGGTGGTGACAAGGGCGATGGTGTTGAACGAGTGCGGCGTGTATCAGGAGGTCCATCTCCGTCCTCCTCTTCGTGCAGTGGTCCATACGGTGATGCAAATGCCGGGCTTGAATTTCGCAGCGACGACTGAAGGGAAAGCTTCCAGAGATTGCCCTTCGGATCTTGTCTGTTCTTGCCAAACGATTGTACTGGATGAAGCGCATATTGCTGAACACTCATGCTTGGTCCTGGATCGCCGTCGCATTCAACATTGCTCTCTCCTGCGTCCGGTACGCTTCCGATCCTGTTTGAAAGCCAGCTGGCATCATCGCCATCACCACCTGCAATAGAGCCATGAACAGATCGCTTACTGTGCAAAGACGAGGTCAGGCTACCTAGCAGTGACGCCTTCTTTTTGTACGGTTTGGATCCCGGGGTCGATCCTGGAATAGCCTCTACTGCGTTATCGCTGAGATTCGATCCTGTCATGTCTGACACGCGAACGATAGGCTTCTTGTCGCGAAAGTTGCGTTGGCCCGCCAATTTGTAGTACTCCCGCACTTGCTTCCGAAGACCCTCATACTCCTGCAGGAACTTTGTGTTCTCGGCGCTGAATACTGTGATCGAGAATTTGACGAGCTCATTCAGCATTTCCGTATCCTGAAGAGCGTATTCAAAGGCACGCGGGTTCATCTGCGAGAGCGGTATGATGTTGCCCTCCGCATCCTTGCCGTATTTCGCCCAGAATCCTTTGATTCCGCGAAGGCGATGGCCCGTTTGCGTACTATAATTGACCAACACATATGGTGCATCCTCCCCGTGATAGTCGACAGGGACCTTCGAATCAATGCTCAATTGCGCCACCGAGTGCCTGTCGCAAACACTGGGATCACACTGCTCAGGACCATGTTGATTTGCTGGAACGAATTGAGACGACGACCGCGAGTGAAAGTGAAAGGAAGATGCGTCGCTGGTCACTTCCATCGTAGGTGTTCTAGGAAACGACTTTGGTAAGTCCCATCGAATAATGTTGGCAAACCGACTACTCCCACTCCTGACACTGCTAGTTCGCTTTTTGGGTCGCTGCCTCATGAAGAACTGGATAAGCGGCAGTACCACGGAGTTGACGTGCGCCAAAAAGATGGTGAGGGTGAGCCAGTTGACATGGTTCCAGGGGCCGGCGTCGAGGTGTTTGAGATAGAAGGGCGAAAGAAAATAGAGGGCGAATCCTGGGAGGCCGATAATCATCGTGATCAAAAGTTCGTTCCGGATACCAAATCCATCCTTGATCCACCAGAGTTTCCACGATAAAATAGGACAGCCGACTGCCAAAAAGGCCAGCATGATTGCATAGATCGGAAGAAACTATTGCGGGGACACATTAATGATAACCTAATCAGATCTCTGTTCATTTCCCATATAAAAACTGGTCTTTGCGCGCAACTTACCACTGGTCCCTCGCCACATTTGTAACTGATGGGGCCGATCTGGACTGGCGATGGCTTCACAAACTGCATCCCCAGACAGAGGGCGAAGGGGAAAATCATGCATCCCAGCAAGAACACAGTCAGCCTGCTGTCCGTAACCTTGTTGAACGGTAGGTAGCGACTCCACCGGTGCTTCTCCTCCGTTGGCATGGGGTCGAAGGTTATCGGCTGAGACCTTCCGATCATCTCACGTATATCGTGTGAGAGGCCGACGCTTGTCGGTGCTAACGCTTCCCAGTTTTCCTGTGCGTTGGTACTGCTCAAGACGACCCCATTCGACTCGGGAAAGATGGCGATACCTGGAGGCGAGAAGATGGCTCTGGCAGAGATATTATTGTTGGAGGGTATTCTTGGTGCTGTAGCGATAGAATGTGGCGGTGTAATGGTTGTTGTAGTAATATTGGCAATGACGGGTCCTTGCTCTGTAGTAGATATTGTTGATGGCGCTGACTTTGACCCGTCCAACTCTGACTTTGCTTGCGAATTGTTATTGGCATTGGTATTGGTAGTATTGGTGGTATATCCTTGTTCATTGATTACTGCCTCGTCTTTCCCTCCTATCTGTATGCCTGGTCCGGGTATTGATCCTGCTACGGGCAATCCGCCGCGAATTTGGTCCGGATTCTGTCTGTGGTCTGGACCGCTCTGCGCAATCCCTAGGTCGTCTCGTCCTGTCGTCCTAAAATTGGATACAGGTGCTTCGCCCATCCCTATCCTCATCTCCATCCCTGATCCCAACCCTGCTCCGAGGCTCGCTGTGATGGATTCATGGAAGAGGTCGTTCGAGTCGATGGTGCTATTCCGCTGAATGATGATGTTCGTCCTCCCAAAATCGACCTGCTGGTTGTAAATGTATACAAGTCGCCATCCGCGCGCGAGATAGGTGAGGAGCCAGGGGACGATACACAGGTACGACGCTATAAATATTACCAAATCCACCGAAAAATAAGAGCCAATGCAAGAATGCAAGAAAGAGTGTTAATAAACAAAAGATCTCTCAGAAAATCGTGAGCAGTAAGTACACTCTCGTCAGCAGCATTTGCGACAGCAGCAAAATAACTCTCCCCCAAACACACGAAGAATGATGAGCATGGGGTCCATTGTTGTGCAACTATAAAAAGAGAGTTGGTGCAACGGACTGGAAGACAATATCCAGGGCAGTAGACCAATGATCATTTCATCGCAGATGTTTTCGTTTGAGAGCAAATAACCTTTGAAAGAAAAGAAAGAAAGAAAAAAAAAAGAGTTCGCTTACTCCACAAAAGTACGAAGCAGGGAAACTCGCCCGCAAACGAGTTTAGCATGAGGTAGACAGTAACGACACCGGTCGCGGAGAGGCCATTCCAGAAGACGAGGTACCGGCCGCGTTGCTTCAGGTCATTATGTGACTTGGCGAGGATGAAGAAGACGACGGTAGAGACCAGGCAGATTGATCCGAGAACGATCGCAGCGGACAGGTAGGCATAGTGGTGCGCCTCGCCCTTAATCAGACCATACGGACCAAGCGACCTGGGAGGAACCGCCTTGTCGGCCATTGCTTGCCTGGCTCTCCGATCAATCCAGGCTGAAAAGGGGCTGAAAGATGCAATTGCAGGTTCAGAGAAATAAAATAATGTGCGATCTGTTGATTCTTGTCTCAAGTGAACTTGAGCCTTCCGTGGTGTTGGTGAGTTGTTGTAGAAAGGGGCTGGTGGTGGTTATCAAGCGGCTATGGAGCATAGAAGAGTCGTCGGTTGAACAGGCGGGAGAGAAAGAGGTTGCGCGTGAGCGAATGTGAGCCAGCAGAAGGAAGAGCAGTACTAGTGCGAGCGATGGGTACGCGAGAAATAGATTAAAGAAGTGTGGGAAGAGAGGGTGCAATTGGTGCTGCAGCTGTTGTGTGTGCAAATTTTTCATTCCGCTGCCATTCGTTCGTTTAATACTCGCCGAGTGGCCGATCCGCGATGCCCACTTTGTATCGTATGTACCCGCTTTCCCTCCACTCTCCCTAGCCCATCTCGAGGACCACTCAGTCGCTGTTCGTGAGGTGTCGAGTCTCGGATGAGGGGGCAGTTGGGACCCGGCGCAGTGGCTGTGTCTCTCTTTTTTCTTTTTTCTTTACGCATCCCATTATAAAAATTGCATACCCGAGCACCCTTTCGAATCACACAAAAATAAAAATAAAAAATAAAACGTGGCCACCCCGGCGATTGAAAACATAAGCACGCTTCGCATACGTGTGCATGTAATCAATCACCTGCACTCTTTATTGTACTCTATCCCTTTCGTGTCCTGTTTTATGTTCTTTATTTCTTAGGTCAGAGTGGGATCAATTGAGAGGCGAATCAATTGCAACTGCGTGCAGAACGGTGATTGTGCAGTCAATCGGTCTCTGAAAAAAGCGCGAAAGAAGGAGGAAAAAGAGAAAAAGATGATGGAGTGCTCAAAGGTATGAGGGCGGTATTAATACCTTTTTTCTTTCGCGAATCAAATAAAAAAACACCAGAAGGGATACAGTACCAGTGTGAATGAATATCTATCTGGGGTGATTAGGAAGGAAAGAGAAGATGAAGAGAGGGACAAAGCGCACAGGAAATGACCACGACCAAAAGAGAGGAAAGGCCAGAGCGAAGCAGAAGTTCAATGTCAAGAAATGAAAGTAACCAAAAACAATGTAAAAATGAAATATCGGCAGCAGCGACCTGTGAGCCGACTGTTGACAGATCGTCTTGTTAGAGAAAACAGGGGTTATTTTGTGGATTGAATGGGGGCCCAGAAGTCAGAAAAGAAAGGAAAAGAAAGAAAGTGCCGGACTGGGCCCAGCCCAGTTCAATGGGCACGACACAACACAACACAACACAACAAAATATGACATGACGGGCGGGAACAGGATGATATGATGACAAAACAAAATCCCTCCTCTTCCCTCTCCCCAAGTCGCAACAGTAACAGCGTCAGCAACACAAACAAAGCGAAAGGAGGAAAATGAAAGCATAAGGACAAAAGATGAAATAGAGAGCACAACCACAAGCATCCAGACAACACACAACTAGAGGGCAGAAAAACATAGAGAGAAGAGAGAACCCGAACGGTGCTATTGGGTGACTCTGTCCCCACCCACCCCGGACAGTTGGTTGTTCCTGAGCAAATGTTGAAGATTCCTCCCTCCTCACGGCATAGAAGGACGAAAACAGATGACCGGCTTCAGCTGAGTAGAATCTGAGTCTGGAAGAAGAGGAACACTCAGCTCAGCAAGTGCTGGAGGAGAGGATTATCGTGCTTGTTTTCCAAAAGAGGGATCGCCGCCAACTGCTGTTCCCAAAAGGCAATGGCCGCTTTGTGCTTTGCTTTTCATAGCCTCCCTCTCCGTTTCCCTCACGCCCGTTGTATTTGTTACAGATGCATACTCACACGCGCAAACACATAACACACATACACAAAAAAAAAAAAATAAGGGTCTGTGGAACCAGTGCTTTTCTATTTCTCAATACGAAGTGCGGGGGAGGGGGGTGCTGGCGGGAATCAGACAGATGAAAAAAAAAAAAAAAAAAAAAAGAAAAGAGAAAAAAAGCGAAAAGTGTGCGCAGGGACATACCACTGACATGCTCCCTCTTCAATGTCCATTCACCATGAGCAACAGTCGAGGGAAAAGGGGTTCGTGTTAGCGGCAAGATAAGTGCGGATTGCTGGTGTTAAAGAGGGTTGTATAGATGAGCGCAGTGAGAGATGAGTGAGAGATGAGAATTATTTTTTTCCTCTCTCGCTCTCTTCCAGTGAGCGCGCAATTGTGAGGGAGGGACGGACAGCGGCAGAAAAGAGAGCAGGTATTGATTGAACCCGGCTACAGACCGTGACTGTGGTGGACCCCTACCCCCGCAATTGGCGCGTTTGCCACCAATTTCGTGTTTCGTCCCCTCTCTCGTTTGACACCCAAAAAGTAAAAAGGAATGCCTTTTTTTCTTCAGTTCATCGCGCACTTCATCACTCTCCACTCGCAGACCTGCTTCACTCTGCCAGGATCCGATCTTCTACGTGTCAACAGCAACTTCAGAAGAAGCTAAGGCCGTATTGAGGAAGAGGAGGGGAAAAGTGCGGAAAGACTCCACCAGAATGCCTCCAAGGAAGACACCGACAAGGGCTGCTGCCTCAGCAGCCGATGCCGCTAGCTTTTTCCATCGCGCTAAAAAACCGCATATTGCCGAACGAATCGTTGCCGCCAAGAGGTCCCCTCCCTCCTCTCAGGAGCTCGCCAAGTCGGGGCCAAACTCTCATTTATACCTGACGCAACAGCAGCCGCCGAGATCCGCGTCCAAGAGCAGCGAGAACGATTCCGACAGTAGCCCTCCTTCAGATCCACAGGAAGATGGTTGCCACGGTCTCAGTACGCAGGTCTTATGCGAGATTGCTTCGGATAATTCATGGGATTCGCCAGAGGGAGAAGATCGAAACGAGTGCGACGATCTTTCGGCTGCCGTGCACCATACTGCATCGGCTGCTGTGCACCATACTGCATCGGCCCCAGCCCCCAAACTGTTCACAGAGATATTGCCTCCTGCGCCGGCCACCCCACGAAAGAGAACCAGTCCCAAGGTCGCGGCCACCCTGAGCAACATTGAAGACGGAAGTAGGTTGATGTCCTTGTTTGTCGAAACGTCGTACTAGCTTACATTTTTGAGTTCGCTCCGATCGCCCGAACAAAAGAATTGATTTATTTCAATGTTTAGTCCATCAGGGCGATCTTTCAGAAGGGGAGAAGACGCTCCGCCAATTCGATCTGTCTCCAAAGTATGGGCCCTCTCTGGACGTGACCCGTCTTGAACGCTGGCAGCGTGCTTTTGAGTTGGTAAGGAGTATTTATAACAAGCGTAGACTGGAAAGAGATGGACGCATTGTAGCATGGGTATATGTGGTACTAACTTCACTGCTCTTATTGGGGCTGACTAGGGACTGAACCCTCCCCGGGATGTCAAGGACTTGATTCTCATGCACAGTGCATCGAATACCTCTCTCTTTGCAGGACGTGTCTAAACAGTTGCTTGTAGTTTGCAAATTACAGATCACGAGAATAAATCAACTTTTTCTACTTGCTATTATGGTACAGGAATGCCTATCAATTATCAATTTTCTAAGTACAACAACCGCGTGTGTGTGCGTCTACTTTTGTCTGCGGACGACAGTGACCAAGAGAGGGCACTTCATTGGCAATGTTAATGAAGGCACAGGCTCGGGAGGGCTCTGTCCTGGGACCAGCTTGAACTGAAATCTGGACGAAATCATGTTAATTACAGTCAAGGCCTCAAGAGTCGCGAACGTCTGACCGAGACAGATGCGTGGTCCCGCGTTGAAGCTCGAGAATTTGAACTGCGACTCCTTAAGGACCTTTGGCCAGACGCGGCCCTCAGGGTAGGTCCTATTGGCCAGCAATCCCTTCTCCAGCTCGGTGGTATTGCCCTCAAACCAACGCTCAGGCAAGAACTCCGGTGCCTGGGGCCCCCAAACATTCCTGTTCCTGCCAATCGCATAGGTTGAGAACATGATGCGGTCACCAGCATGAACGGCGACTCCGTTAGGGAGGACATCGTCAGCGACGGCGGTTTTCAGGTTGCGGGGGACTGGTGGGTACAAACGAAGGGCCTCATGAAAAACGGCGTTCGAGTAGCGCATCTCCTTGGTCAGCATTTCGTAGCTGGGCTGGTTTCCGAGCTGGTCGACTTCCTGCCAGATGTTCTGCTCCACAGCGGGATTTATCATAACCTCGTAGTACATCCAGCTGAGTGCCTGTGCTGTCGTATCGCGTCCCGCACTAATATAAAGAATATACAAACGTTAAAAAAGATGAACCCTTGACCTCTCCATAGCGAGGTGCCCACAGATCCAGGCACGCGTTCATCCGGACTTACATGATAAAGTTGATAAAGACATCACGCAACTCAACATCCGACAGCGCGCGACCATCGTCGTCCCTCCACTTCATGAACAAATCCAGCAGATCCTCGCGTCCAGTTTCACCCTGTCGAGCCTGAGCCTCTTCGGGTGTCTCCTTGCGTCTTTTCTTGATGGCATCATATGCATATGAATCAATGATATTGACAGCCTGCTTCATCTTTTTCGACTTGCTGGTCAGTTTCTCGGTGACTCTCCAGAATGGGTTCATGAAACGCTCGTCTGTCTCCACGACTGCGTAATCGAAGGCGGATCCGAAGGGATCATTGCCATCCTTGCCCATCGAATCGATCTCCAGTCCAAAGGATAGCATGGCGAACGCATCCAGAGTCAGTCGAAGGAACAGTGCCTGCAGATCGACGGGACGACCCTCCTGAGCAGCACGATCCAGGACTGAGCAGAGCTGAAGCGAGTGTGTGGTAAATGGTCCGTCAATGAGGGCGCGGTAGATCTTTGTCGAAAAGACGTGCGAGGCTGTCTTCCTATGCATCCTCCACAAAGCGCCATCGGAGTTGAAAATGCCTGGGGAAAGAAAACAGGAAAGATGTGGTAGATGAGTGCCTTTGCCCTTCTCCTCTAACCATCCTCCTCTCTCATAACTCCCACCCTTTTGCGCTGCATCCTTACCATTTCCGAGGACCTGCGACATGGTCGAGTTGAGAATATAACCCTTTTCATAGTTTTCAAAGTTGGTCTTGAGGATGTGCTCCAACAAGACAGGATCGTTGATAGCAATGACTCGGCCCAATCCCAGCAATGTCGTTGACCTAATTACAGAAGCAAATGCGTTGTCAAGATCACGCCAGGGGATGATGAACTTCATAGGCCATCGCTACTGGATGTGAAAGACGCTTACATGACGCTGCTATCGGACTTCTCAAAGTTCTCTACAATGGTGTCCAGGAACTGGTTGCGGTTCTTTAGGACGGTGTAAGTGTTGCCGATCAGAGGCAGACCCTTCCAGGAGAACGCCTTGAGGTCGGGCCTGGCGCGTGTGCCAATTGCACGGTCCGGGTATTTTGCGAGGAGGAAGAGGAGTGACAAGAGGGCAAAGAGGCCAGCTTTTTGCGATCTTGTCTTGGTTCCCTTCAGGATCCTGTCCTTGAGAACTGTGAGAAGAGCGGAGAGGGCAGAGGAGCTCATGGTGTGTCGGGGGAAGGTCCAATTGCTGATAGGAAGGAAAATGAAGAAGACTTTGTGTCAATATTGCTTCTTTTTAAAGGGTTTCCTCGGCGTCCGTTAGATCCACATGGCTGTGATGTCCTCGTCCCGCACAACCCTCGCCTCGCTTGCATCAACCTTAATTCTTCGCCAGCCGAGATTTATTGTCTGAATAAACTGGCTCGGCTTCGGCTCGCCCCCAGATCCAGCAAAAAAATCGTCCGAACCCATATCGCTGGCCAACCGAGAGTATCTTGTTCGTCATGACTGCTGTCAATCGCATCCTATATACGTCAGCCTCCAGGTGCTCTCAAGATGTTTAGGTCCATCCCTTGAGTTTGCTATGATAACACTCGTTTGTTTGCATCCATCGCATCGCATCGTGTCGCATCGCATCGCATTTGTTATTTGTAACTTGTTCTGCGTTGTTAAACTTGGTATTTTATTTTAAAAGCAATAGAAAATGAACATGAACAAAATGACAATGTGAAGGGGGAGGGGAGGGAGGAGATAATTATGCTGGTTATGCAATCGAACAGCCTGGGGGTGCCTGTTCCTTTGCCAGTTCTCTTTCGCACGATTCGATCTGATGCGACTGTCAAGTATTTAAAGCTCGCTGATGATGGCGTTGGTGAACTCGGTATTGGTGGAGCGTCCGCCAAGATCGCCAGTCAGAACCTTGCCGTCAGCGATGACCTTCAAGGTGGCTCTCTCAATCTGGTCAGCATACTGGTTCAGGCCCATATGTCTCAACATGAGGACCGACGAGAACAGAAGAGCGGTGGGGTTGGCCTTGTCCTGGCCAGCGATATCGGGGGCAGTACCGTGGACGGCCTCAAAGATCGAGGCATCGCGACCAATGTTTCCAGAGGGGGTCAAGCCGAGACCTCCAATGAGACCAGCGCTCATATCGGAAAGAATATCTCCGTACAAGTTGGGCATGACCATGACAGTGTCGGCAAAGACGCTAGGATCCTGAACGATCTGCAAGCAAGCACGATCCAACATCAAGTCATCGAACTTGACTTCGGGGAACTCGCGGGCGACCTCCTGGCAAGAGGCCAAGAAGAGACCATCGGACAACTTCATAATGTTGGCCTTGTGGACGGCGGTGACGCGGTTGCGGCCAGTCTCCTTGGCATAGTTGAAGGCATAGCGGGCACAGCGGTTGGAGGCATCCTTGGTGATTAACTTGATCGACTGAACAACACCGTCAACGACCTCGTGTTCAATGCCAGAGTATTCACCCTCAGTGTTCTCACGGATGAGGACAGTGTCGACGTTGTCGTAGAGGGTCTTGTAACCAACGACAGACTTGCAGGGGCGGACGTTGGCGTACAAGTTGAAAGTACTATTGTTGCATGCATAGGAAAAGTAACAATGAACTTTGTTAATTTGAATGTTCGCCAATGTCATTTCCTGGCATCTCGCGCAGCTGCGTCTCGAGCGATGCTGGTGATAGACGGGTCGAGGCTATTCGCCACGCCTATGGCGCTCGACACCACTACGATTTCGAGAACGCAGGCACAAGGCAGACTTGATAACTTACCGACGGAGAGTCAGGTTCAGGGAAACGTGACCCTTTCCGATAGGGGTAGCCAATGGTCCCTTAAGAGCGACAGTGTTCTTCTTGACCGAGTGAAGGGCCTCATCAGGGATGGCGACCTTGCCGTTCTTGAGAACAGGGGTGACGCTGACGGGCTCCCACTCGATGGGGACCTAAACACACAAAAATCACAGTATTTAGATCATGACAATCAAAGGAATAGAGCAGATCGAACATCTCGGCCGAAAAACTTACACCAGCGGCCTTGTAGATCTTGACAACAGACTCAGAGATTTCGGGGCCGATACCGTCACCGGGGATCAGGGTGACAGTGTAGTTACCCTAAAGTCAGATCAAGACGTATGAAATGGTATGGCGATTAATGAGGATGCTTGTGCCGCGGCGTTGAAATTCTCAGGCTCACAAAGAATAATGGTTCTCAAGAGTCTAGTAGATTGTCGAACTGTAGATTCTCTCCTGATCATGCACGTAGATAACAGCTGCGATTGAAGGGTATTTACGCATATACCATGAACGCCATTATCCCCTAAGACCCTTCCTGTTGCTAATTCTTCCTCGCAAGGCGTTCAATGCATGCCATATCGCTCCATTTCTTTGACTTCTTCCTTAGCGAGTTCTAGTTGAGTCCATTTCTGTGCAGCTGATGGCGTCCATTGATATGAAGGCAATTATCCAGCGGTACAGTATATGGCAAGAGATGTTCCGAGCCGTAAAGGATCCTTACGTTGGCGTTCTTCTTGGAGTTGAAGGCGCCGGGCATGGTGCTAGCAGCCTGGGAAGCCATGGTGCGCACGGCGGTCTAAACGAGATAGCGGAAGCAGACAATTGACGTGATATGGTTTAGTACAAACTGATGGCTTTTAAAGGGAGAGGTGACTTTTGGACAACAGTAAATTAAAGCAAGGTATGTCGTGCTGTTGATCAGAAGAGTAGCCAGGTGAATGAGTGTAGCGTGAGAATTCATAAAGAGAACACACAGGTAGAGTGTTTGGGAGGAAAAAGATACCTTGGCAGAGAGGGACTTGACGCCCTGGAGGGCAACAGCGGCGCGTGTGGCGGCGAACATGTCGAATGAAGGAGTTGGTTGATGGAGAGGGGAGAGGGAGGTGAAGGCGAGGAGGAAGAGAAGAGGAAGAAGAGGTTCAAACGAGGCAGGAGTGGATAAAAAGGCGAGCCCGCATCAAAACATAAACAACGCATAGGGATGATTGGCTAAAGATATAAGACGTCACTCGGCATTGAATAGAGCGCACTTATCAAAGCGGGGATCGATCCCAGATAACAACGAAGCACAAATTTGGACATCCGCGACCGCTCTCTGCTGGCTATGCCATGCGTGGGCAAGTTGTTTGTGCGCCGGTGCAGAGGCCAGCTCCACTTCCCTTTGTTTGTTCCTGAGAACCCTGTCAGGTTTACTTCGTTGTTACTGTTACTGGTAAAACCGCCACTTTTTTATCCCTTCAAAGGAACTGAACGACCGTTGATCCAAGGCGGGTAAAACGGAAATACTCCTTCCGACTATGCAACATCAGTTAATAAATCCCATGTCTTTGAGGGCTCTCGTTAAAAAAAAAAAAAAAAAACCTTCCGGCTATGCAACATGGCAACCTCTTGCAATAGTCTACTCAATCACCGTTTTTGCTATCCCCAACAGCCAACTACTGTTCCAATAAACTGCCTATCCTTATCCATTTCAATTGGAATCAGGCCCTTCAGAGCATGCAAATGGCGACAGTGGATCTGACAAGGTACCAATTGAGAACTCTTTAGTCTCCACCACGGCACCATATCAAGCAAAGCGTCTTTGCCAGCTACATTTACGCGTTTCTGACAGAAACGTTCCTTACAATGTTTGGTTTACTTTTCTCTCTCATAGAAATTTATTTCGACAGGTGCATTTGCGCTGCAGACACCACGGGGCGGGTTCCAGGGCGACCGTCTAAAAAAAATAAAAATGCTTCAGGAGCAGTCTCGTGGCTTGTTATTGTTTACTGCTTGATCCAAGGTCTTTTTTTTTTTTTTGTGTGTATGTGTGTGGACTTCGACAACCATCAACAAAAGCAAAAGGTCTTCTTGAGCTCTGCGACCCTCTATCCGCCTGTGCTGTTCCTTGATTGTGTGGTTCACATCCCTCTCTTTCTGCCCGTCCTTCCATAACACAACTTCCCCTCCCTACACATACCTGTTCATTCTTCAACCTCTCATTCCATTTGCCTTGCGCGTTACACATCCCAGACCCTCTTCAACACAAAGAAAACAATGTCGGATCCATTCTTCGCACCTGTCAAGAAAACCGGCAGCACTGGAGGTCGAGGGGGCTCACATCGCGGCCGTGGTCGTGGAGGAAAGTCAGGAGGGTCCCGCGCAGTCAACCCTGGACCAAAGCTCGATACTGGCAGAAAGAACAAGGCCACAACGTCTTTGGCTGGGAAGAGAAAACTCCGTGGCGACTCTTCGGACGAAGAAGGCAATGCAAGAGGCCGTCATGTTAAGGCCAGGAAAGGGGCTGCAGCTGAGGACGATGACGAAGGCGGCGATGAGATTGGTGCTGGAGGAATTGATGATATGGACTTGGAGTTCGGCGATTCTGAAGACGAATCTGAGGATGAGGCTCTGCTGAACGAAACTCCGGCACAGAAGCGACTGAGGCTGGCCAAGAATTACATTGATACTCTGCAGCATGCAGGAGGTAACATTCGCACTTGTTCTTGATATGCAGCATGACCAATTCACATCAGGATCAGTCCTCACTAAAAAATTGGCCACCATACTACATTGAATATCCTTTAGACGACGAGATTGGATACGATGCTGAGGACATTGATCGGGACAACATTGCAGACCGCTTGAAGCAGGACGCTGTAAGTTTTCAGGAAGCATCGTTCTTCATCCGGGTATGTTGGATCCCATAGCCAGATCATGTAGACCTAACAGTGTCTTTTCTTGCCCCTCCTTCTTTTTAGCTTGAGATCCAAGGTCGCCTTCATAGACATCTCGCAGAGACGTTCCAGTTCCCTATCAACACACAAACCGCCATCAGAACTTGCAGAGGACACAGCCTGTCAACAACCTCAATTGCCGCAACCGAAAACGGACTCTATGCCTACTCTGGATCAAAGGACGGATCGATCATCAAGTGGGACCTGAAAACCGGCAAAAAGCTCTTTGTCTTTCCAGGAGGACGGAAAAGCGTTGAAGGATTTAAGGGCCACACGGATCATATCATTTGCTTAGCCGTCAGCACTGACAATCAGTTTTTGGCATCAGGAGGCAAAGACAAGAAGATCAATATCTGGTCGGTGCAAGACAACAAGTGGTTGCATTGCTTCAAGCAACAGCACAAGGATACCATTACAGGCATGTCTTTCCGTAGAGGACAGAACAATCAGCTCTACACGGTCTCGAGCGATCGCACCGTCAAATTGTGGAACGTGGACGAGATGAGCTATATCGAAACACTCTTTGGTCATCAGGACAGTATCACTGCCGTTGACAGTCTGGCCAAGGAGCACTGTGTCTCCACAGGTGGAAGGGATCGCACAGTCCGTCTGTGGAAGATCGTGGAGGAGTCGCAGCTCGTGTTCCGAGGAGGCGGATTCATCCGACCCAAGAGGCTGAGCAAGGACGAACCGGATCAGTCCAAAATGGTGACGACCCCTGGCCCTGACGGTGGAGTTATTATGAAGGAGAAGAAGGATCCATCATTTTTGGAGGGCTCTATGGACTGCTTGGCCATGATCGATGAGGAAAACTTCTTGACTGGAGGCGACAGTGGAACTATCTCGTTATGGAACATTAACAAGAAGAAGGCCGTTTTCTCTATGCCCTTGGCTCACGGCTTTCATACGCAACCTCTGGACTTCTCGAACGGTGAGGCTAAGCCCAGCGGAGGAGTTGAGACCCCTTATTGGATCACAGCTTTGGCATCGCTGCGGTACTCGGACATGTTTGTCAGCGGCTCCTGGGATGGCACCATTCGCGTCTGGCAGATTGGAAAGAACATGAAGAACTTTTCTCTCATCAGTACCATTCCTGTGGTAAGCGCCTTTCTTTACTATTTGAAAAGAAATGGATTATGAGCGCAACTTGCGGATCAAATTTACTCACTTCTTCTCACCATTCCTTCCCTTGATAATATAGGTCGGTGTTGTGAATGACCTTCAACTCTATCAACCAACGCTTTCCATAAAGACATTGCTGGTCGCCGCAATCGGCCAGGAGCACAAGCTGGGTCGCTGGTTGAGGATAAAGCCCGCCCGCAACTGTATGCAGATCGTAGAGCTAAGCGCGAAAGCAAAGGACGCTGCACCAGTAGAAAGCGTAGACGAGGACTAGGATAACGCGGAGAAAAAGGCGTAACCAACCCCTTCAACGCATTTAATTACAGCACACCTGCATCATCAATAAAACAACCAGCATCTTGCACGATAGAAACAAACGACTCGCTTATTTATTTATATATATACATATTTATTTATATATACATTTATATATTTATTTATTTATTCTACGGACTTTATTAGGCACAAATAGTAAGACGAATAATGAACAAGCCGGAGGGCTATTTTAATGCTGTTGTACTAATGCGCTTTATACCCGTCTATCCTGCGAGCCGAATGTACGCTCGTCGTCGTCATCGTGGTATTCATCCTCACTGTCATGTATGGCACTCTCGATCACCAGCTCATCCCTACAAAGAACAATGGAAGAATACCAATTAGTACACTTTAAGACATACATTATAGTCCGAAACCATCAAGACATGCAGCCAGGGCATTTACAGTTCATCCGTGTGCACAGGTTCGCGTCCACGAACAGACGAACGGCTGTTACTGAGGGGGAACCACTGGATACCGTCGTGTGCATCACCAAGTTTCTTCTGTTGCTGGTTTTTCCTGACAACGACGAAAATACCGATGCCGACTGCGATCATCACGAGCAACAGCACTGCCGCTACACTATAATTGCAACAAGGACCTATTGTGAGCATCTCAGATCATTTCAACCGCAGAGTGACCCATCAACATAAAATGCATGAATAGGAGACTTACTTTGCTGAGAAGAAAGATCTCTTGGGTTGGCCAATGTCGACCTTCTCGCCTCCAGGAGGAAGGTTTTGATTTTCACTGGTATCTGTGTCTAGATGAGAGGTAAAGGTCTGCATCCTAGGATCCAGACCCATAAACCGGTTCATCATGTCCAATGCTGCCAATGGTGCATCATAGGGGACCATGTGGGATGCATTGTAGAGCAGCACATACGTCAAGTTCTTGTCCTGCCTCCATAGCCCTGCAGGTTCGTTATCCACCATCCAGGGGATCGCGGGAGCATCCTGGAACCCCTTAGTATCCTGCCATGTCATGTTCGAGATCAGGTACTCCGTTCCAATATGGTTACAGATCAAATCCTTGTCGCCGCTATCATGAATAGCCATTCAACACAGTGATCAGTCAGATGCTCTTATAAACGCACATCATGTCAGATGCATTATATTATGCAATAACACGCACCTGAACAGCAGGACGTTGACCCTGTCCAAAATAGCGGGCAGAAGCTGCGAATCAAACGAGAAATAGTGTCAGTAACTAAAAACCACATTAACGAAGCGAGCGGACGAAAAATTGTCCTTTCTTTTGATACGTACCGATATCGCCGGCATTGAATCATCGAATCTCAAGGCCGAACTGACACGCGTGCTACATTCAGTCCACGGTAATATCGCTCCATTTGCGTGTAACGCAGCCTTGACATCATTTCTCTACAATAATTTGATCCGCAGGCGCGTTAGCGAACTTCATTATACTTCATTGTCGTTCGTGATAAAGAACTAGAACATGCGTCCTTACGGTGAGATACTCCTTCATCTGCGGCAGCTCATTCGGCCAGAGCAGGCCGCACGATGGATATTCGTCCACCAATCTGATGTCGTACTGGTTGGTACACATCGGTGAGAGATCACTAGACATAAGTTGAGCACAATGGATTGCATAAGCAGTTGAGGTCATAGTTGGCAGTCTATCAGAGCGAAGGAAAAAAAAAAAAAAAAAAAAAAAAAAGGAATGCCCGCCTTGCGCCTTACGTTGTGACACTGTGCTGTAAGATGGTCTGGACAAGGTCCTCGCATCTATTCTGGGAAATGCGATCATGCAACCGGATATCATCCAAACATCGGTCCTGTTGGGAGACCAGCTCATCCAGTAAATCCGGTGTCGAGATGCCATGTTGTACGATATATGGGATATAAGAGGTATACTAAGGGAAAAGAGAAGGAATGGCGTGAGTATGTCAGTTTTTTTTTTTTTTTTTGCAATCCATAGCCACTCCCGCAGGATACAACCATGGCACATACCTGATGCAGCGGATCGATCCAGCCATTTCCGATGGCAAGGCCCTTTAAATTGTACGCAACGTCGTCCTTGGGCACATTTCCATTATGGTCCAAAATACCCCTGGCAAAATAGGGTATGTACGTACCGGCGTAACTTTCTCCTGCAAGATATAGCTGTGGACATTACATTAGCGGGCGGTTGATAAAACTCCATGCGGTCGCAGATAAGATCCAAAGACCTACATCATCTTGAGCACGCTCTGGAAAAATCTGGAAGAACGCTTTAAGAAATGCTAGGAAGTGGTCTGTGATCTAAAGTGGCATCGAGATATAGACCATGAACATGGGATCAATGAGAATGTCGAGCGAATATCCTGGCCTTTGCTATCGTCATGACCGAACTGGCAAAGTACCTCAGGTAGAGATCCAAGTAATTGCTGCGATGTGTAGCTCAGTCCGGTTCCGACAGGTTGATCCACTATGTCGGCCAATTGAACACCATTAAGATACGTAAGCCGGTGATCATTCTTCTAGGTAATATTAATGGTTTCACTTAGTTTGGTCCGTGCGACATACAGAACACAACATTGGCAAACTCGTGCCATCCGCCCTTGTTAATTGTCAACTTCTTGTCCACGAAGCGCAATGGTCCTGATTCCAGGAAGTATCCATCTGCGCTTGAACTATCCGCGTGGGATCAAATCAATAAATCGGTAGCAGATGAAATTAGTGTCAAAGATCCGTATTCTTCGGATGCATCTGCACCTCAATCCCTGTGTCAACTCCTGGTCATTACCATCCAGGTCCTTATGAGAGGCGAGTAAATTCAGAAGGGATATCAGGAAGGAGCAATATGCAGTGTTAGAATCGATGGGCCAATTGAAGACAAATGGCGTGGCGCTCGATCCCTGTCCTGTTTGCATGTCACCATACCTCCGTTCAACCAGATGATCTGTTAATGAAAGAGGGGGAAAGATGGAAAGAGAGCAATTGATAAGGATAAAGATCGCAAGCGCACAAGGATTGTTCTGTGAACCCAAACATCCATCTAGCAAGCTACACTTGCCAATTTGGAGCCGTTTTGCGGATGCCTGTTAGTGACCATCCAGAAAAACAGGTTCGACTCCCTCGCAGGATCCAGTGCAATATGTCTATGTGTGAAATCGATTCAGATGAGTTGAAGTTAGCAACTTGGTATTCCTGGTGTTCCTGGTAGTCCCATTACAATTTCGTTCCTGGCGATTGTATACCCTGCATATTGTTTTAGTTGAGCCGCATCCTCTGGCGACAAGTCCGGAAGATCTGCTACGAGGTAGTCATCAGCAACTACAAAAAAAAAAGAAAAAAAGAAAAAACCGCTGAGTTGATCTGTCCACCAAAGCAAAAACTACGGAACTGACTCACTGCTTGAGTTCAATGTACCTTGCGCCTCGGTAACTGTCAAAAGTAAGAGCTGGTAAAGGACTACTGCTACCAGCCATCCCAAACAAGTCGCTCGCATCTCAGTATCCAGCAATGCGCCCAAAACAAAGAGATGCGACAAGTATATGGGAGCGAGGTAGAAGAGAGAGAGAGAGAGAGAGAGAGAGAGAGAGAGAGAGAGAGAGAGAGAGAGAGAGAGAGAGAGAGAGAGAGAGAGAGAGAGAGAGAGAGAGAGAGAGAGAGACGGGAGGGGGGCACTCTTTTGTTCGTTCTGAAACCGGAGAATGTAGCAAGCGAGCGAGATGAATGAATCAGATGAGAAAGGAGAAATGGAAACAGAAGATTGGAGCAGGATGAAGGGAAGTCAGCGGTGTTACACATGAAATCTTGACTGTCCCTGAGGATAATCAGGGTCCATTAGTCTAGCCCTTGTTATACCTCAAGGAATCGTGGCAAAGCATTAACTGGCCAATGAACAGTGCTGTACAAATGCTCTTTCTCTCTTTTCACTCTGCCATTATCCATTCAGTATTATAGTTACAGCCATGCCACCAGCAGGAAACTCTTTCCCAGTTACTGAAGAATATATTCATCGCATTGCTTTGGCAGGGATGTGTTAAATAAACATTGAAGTAGCGTATGCTTCTTTCTGGCGAAAACTCCATAAATATAACCAGTTGTCCTGAAATAAGATACTACGTTCAACACCAAACTCCAACGGCAATGCGATGGAATCAGACAAGCGAGTGTTGTCATACCGAAGCCTAGGGATGGACCTAAACATGCTGAGGACACCATGAAGGCCTGACGTAGGATGGGATCGACAGCAGCCATGACGAACAAGATATTCTCGGCTGGCCAGGGATGTGGGACTGCATCAACAAAGCGAAGCATAAAAAATGTGGTAGTATGGTTTTTTTTTATTCCAAAGGTGTGGAGGCAAATCTTGGGCATGAAAGCTAGTCATTGAGCTCAAAATCCTTATTGTAATACATGGTGTTCAAGCAGTCAGGTCGCGACATAACAGACCCGCACTTAGTACACGTGGCAGTGATCGAGCTTCCGCTGTATTGGGTACGATCCATTGTGAAAAAAGAGGAGTCGACGCCCATCGATTACAACCCATGGCTCTTTATTGCTCTCGCCCGGTTGACAGGCCATATCTTTTCATACCGCATTCGTCCTGTCCTTTTATACTCGCTGCTCGATGATATCAGTGTGGGAAGTGTGGGACAAGGCAACACTGTTCCGCACCTGCATACTGTACGCGCTCTCTTTTTCTTTCTGAGTCCTATCTCTCGCACAAGTCCATTCGGATGACCTTCCTTACTAGTCAGTCTCCCGAGTGAAAGCCTGATCCGGCCGCGGTCCAACACCCGGGAACAGCGCAGTGAGCGAGTACATGCATGGGGTCAATGCCATATATGAGTGTGTGCGAGTATCCACACGAACTCAACTGAAAAAAAAAATAGACATCAAACCAGTAACTATCAGAGCGACAAATAGACACGGAGACCAGACTACGAGCTAGATTCGATGGAATAAAGTCTAGTTCCAGTTCAAGTTCGGGTGTTTCTCTAACATGAAACTGGGCGCTTTTTCACTCCTGCGATTTGGTCACAAAAAATGACACTCCCAGACACGACTCTTTGGGATCATGCGCTGGTAGCCAACCCAGACAATGGGGCATTGGGCACGGTGCCAAAAAGTTGGGCAGTTTTAAAAAGACTCCCTTGGTTCGCACACTTTGCGATTTCCATAAACACGAAAAGGGGATGAAAACGACAAGAGGCGGCCCCAGCTCTGACTCGGGAGACGGCGCCTGCGACTTTCCTATGGATGGATGCACCTAATTCTTTTACTACTCCCCAAAAAATGTCTGCTTGCCCGCTTCAGAAACAGAAGCATGAAGAGCGGGACGCGACCTTTCAGCCCCCCTCCTCACACACACACACCTAAGACCGCCTTGACATCTTCTCGGAAGGATCTTTTTTGTAAAAAAAAAATCGCATCCAGCACACTGCAGGTTCCAGTGGAACTGTGTCTGAACTATGGCGATAACGACAAGGAAAACCTCGTATGTCATGCAAAGGGAGTGTTGTTGCTCATTCGATCATTTGCCTAGGTTGGCGTTTGACACTGTTTACTCATCTATCAAGCGACTTATCACCAAAACATACACACACACACACACACACACACACACACACACACACACAAAAAGACATACTTCTCATCTATGCAGTCTTTGTTTTGCAATTACGGCCCAAAAGATAATGGTACAAGTGCGCGAGGAAAATATATTTACATGTACAAAGTCGCAGGTTGCTAATCAACAATAAAATGGTATCAAAAATAAAGGACGGCAAAGAGTAAATATGGCTACCAAAGGCGGGCGGCATTAGTGCGGCAGCTGAAGTGAAGGGGAAGGAACAATGTGGTATGGTATAGACTACAGGAACAAAGAAAAAGGGGGGAGAATGTTTTTGCTTTGCTAAGGACAGTGAGCATTGCATATTCCCTTTTTGGGAGTTCATCCCGAGCGCATAATGCTCGCTCGAAGAAGCTGCTCCTGTGTTACTGATGCATCCCACTCCCCTTGCCAGCTGTACGCAGCACGAGCATTGCCCCAACGTTCTGTCATTTCTGCGCGGATCATCCGCTCAACCAGGACGATCTCTTCCTCGTAAATTTCCTTGGTGAGACCCTGGAATTGATGGTGGTATGTGAAAAAGTTGGTCGTGAACTTGAAGGACTCGAGGTTGGGGAACAGCTTGAGGATGGCCCTGAATCCTGGGAGCGTTAGGGGTGAAGAGGTATACTTGGTGATCGTCAGATGGCGGACTGATTTACCGGGGAGGGGGTTCGCAAGTGTGGTTGGTGGTAATGTGGCGAAGTAAGAGTGGTGGTGTGCAAAGGGATGGCTCAAAGGTGAGCTGGCTGTGCGTTCAAAACTTGTGGCTTGCAGCTGCTTCACGCGCTGCACCATGATGTGGACGTTGTCGTTGGAGACGCAATCCAGGTCGAGCAGCTCCAGTGACTCAATCGTGCCGCACTCGAGTAATGACCACAATCCCTCCATGCTGACTTCCTTAGTCCCGACCGCCTGTGCCTGATAAGGTGCGAGCGTCATTGAGCGAAGATCCTTCCATCCTGTCATCATCCTGCGAAGAACAGTGTCCGAGATACCGTGATGGCCACGGAAACTCTTAATGTTCGGGCATGCGGCGGTAATAGCGCTGACGATCTCGGGTGAAAAGAAACCGTCGTCCCTGTTGCGATCATAGAGCAGGTTTTCGAGATGGCGGCCGTTGCGGACGATGCTAAAGATGAGTTCGGTCATTTCGAGGTCGAGAAAGTTGTCGTGGATATCCAGAGACTTGATGGTTTCTTGACTCTGCTCCATTAGTGTGATGAGCGCTCGGGAAAAGTCTTGGTGTAGGGTGAAACCGAGCTTGCGGTATTCCTCACGGCGACGCGGGAGAGTAAAGGAGGTGATATGGGAGTACAAGGAGTGCATGCCGGGCTGCTGAGGGAAATGATGCATAATCGCCGTATTTTGGATGGGCACAGTGGTTTTTGAGATGAAGGATGAATAGCAGTTGGATATACAGAGGGAGCGCATGCGTGGTGCAAGGCGGCACAACTGCTGCATGCAGAGCACCAGAGTGTTGAACTCCATGTTGTCGAGGGTGATGTGGGTGTAAAGCGAGGGATCGGCAAGGATACGGTGCCATGTGCGGCAGGTTCTAATGATTAGCATTTTTGGAATTGAATTGAATTGAATTGAGAATATTTAGAATGCGGGGAAAATCATAATCAATTCAGGGCCGGGACAAGAGGAAGGGGTGGTGTCGACGATCATTGAAGGCGAAGGACTTACCCAGCAGCCTTGAACTTCTCCTCAAGGGTGAGGAAGCTGAAGATCTCGAGCCAGATGTTCTCGGGCATGTCTGTCAAGTAGTGTTTGCTATAGAACCGGCAAGGGGTGATGTCGGTATCCATGTTGGATGATTGGGCAAAGCGCATTTGATGCTGTATGAGTAAGAGTGTGAGGAATGAAGGAGAGGTGTGCAGCCGAGGTGGGAGGTGAATGAGAACAGGATCAAGGAGGGGATGAATGACGGGATGCAATGACGAACGCTGAGGAGCAAGGGAGAGTGTGCGTTGCGGGGGGTTCGTTGAAAGGATGGGCAGTAGAGAGAGTGTCGTAAAGAGGCAAGAGAGTGGCCCCAATTGAAGGAGTGTTATCGAGTATTATCGATATGGGATGAGAGATAACGGATGATTAATGGCGAGGGAGTGCGGGCGAAGGATAGTTGCGGAAGCAGAGGAGGACGATGCAGGAGAGAGAGGATGGGGCCGAGTATTTATACGGGTAAGATAGGTGTGAAGAGAAGAGACGAAGAGAGACCAAGACATCGCTCTGAACTCTTTTCTCAGCAACAAAAGGACCAAACAAGGTTCCCCTTTTTGCCTCCTCTGAAGGCGAGCGAAAAAAGAAAAACAGGGAGCAGCAGCAGAGGAGCACAAACAAGACGACGACGGCCACAATTAAAATAAAATAAAATAAAGTAATAAGATATACAAGGGGTCAAGTAAAAAGAGGCGATGTGTTGACACTACTCTATGTGGATGCGCATAGTCTATGTGTGCGGAATAAACTATTTATTACTAGATTCGATTCAATCGACTGTACAAAGGTTGAATGCCACCGATGATTTGTGTATACTCAGCTGCGCGCGAAACATGTTCAGCAACCCTATTCAGCTCCACAGGAAAGTACCTTTCCTTTGGAAACAAAGGGTCTCTCCAGTCCACCTTGGCTTACCCACTGACATTACACCCTCTGCAGCAATCATCGCTCGTTTCAATAGACCACATGGAATGGGCTGGGTTATCACCGAAGATCCCTCTCTTTCTCCGAAAGCAAGAGACATTTGGAGAGACATGAAAAACGAACACGTCCTGCGTTGCATGGTAATGACATTCATGGACAAAAAAAGTCGCCAATGAATTCGTGCGCCCCCCGTTTGACATTGACAAAAAGGGCCTTGAATTGTGGATGTATTGGGTCTGCCAGCAACAAGCATAGTAGGAAGCGCAAGGACTTGGCCTGTCGTGCTTAGAGCGCCCAAGACATGGCAATTCAAGAGAGATACACATGATGCTTGGTTTCTACTCCTCAGGTCTCTTAATGATGGCCGAGAACATGCCACTTGTTCAGGAAGGTGCACTAATGCGCTCAGAGTTGCTGCAAGGGTTTTCTTTTTTTGGTCTGGGGAGCCTGCGAGTGCACCCATCCCTGATGACACGTCCATCTGTCAGCCTATCCTTGATGACACGTCTAGGGCTAAAATGGCTAGTCAAGGTGCTCGCGTAATTCGTTGTTCTATGACGGACAGACTCCGCTTCTCTGCCTGCATTTTCTCTGACAACGTTTAACGTTCTGATATCCCCCTCCTTCATGAACTGCATTTTCCATTATAGAAGAACAGAGGAGAGGGATATTATCTATCGTGTTCTCATAGTAAAGTCGCTATTTTATGCCTCCTTCCTTTAATATACTTTTACAAGGAGGAAGAAAAAGTATTTGACCGAGAAGTAGGTTACTAGGACGAACCTCCTCGTTTCATTTAATTAGCCATTTTCTTTCCCGGAGAACTTGGACCTCCAGATCAATGGCCAGGATTTTTTCCCAGTAGGGGGCGCACCCCCTAGTTGCTTTGGTAATGCGTGGTTACAAACAGCAAGGTCAAAAATCCAAATTGGGTTCCCCTAACCTCCTTCACTCCGTCCATCCGAACAACGACAGTCGTTCACAGGAGAGGATTCATATTCGCCATCCATCGGTTGATCCTGGCCAGGTTAGCTTACCGGCCCCTCGCCTCGATGTTTGAAGCCGTATTTCTCATTCCGTTCAATAGGAGACAGAACCTGCTTCGGATGTTCAATTGAGATGGAATCACGACGTGATCTGTGTGCGTGAGTGGGTGGTGGGTTGAACTCCTTATTTTGTCCGCGACTTCTGCAATTTATACATCTGAACCCTGCCGAATGGGAGCCACTCCTTCATTATTCTTATCCACGTAGAGAACCAAAAGCGGTTGGCGACTCAATTGATCCCTTAGCAACCCAAGGAAATGGTACCAATAAAGGTCCCGCCTATGAATTGCTGAACCTGCATGTCCCTCAATTCATCTCACATAGGCAGCTGTTTCTGGACTGGGAATTGCGGATTCAGACCTTATAAAAAAAGAATAAAGTCTTCTGATACAACCCTGAGCGGGCACAAAATAAAAGTCCTCGACCATTATTACCCATACAACACCTTAGCGGCCTACCTCTGAAATACGCGACTCTTGCCACCGATTCGGTAGTCAGCATCCCCCAGAATCTCCTCGACATCTCGTTAAGTCTCAAGGCTACATGGACGCTTCAACCCACAACCTGCCTCAACTGCAGTCTTTCAGGAGCCGATTTTTTCCTATAAGCGCGTTTTCTTTGTGAGTTGGCTTTTTTTTTTATGCTGGCTCTGTACTTTTTGAGCCGCTTTCCGTTGGTCTGTGTTTCCAATCCTGATTTAAAAAAAGCATGAACAGGGTCGCCAGCTCATCTCGGGGGGATTTTTTTTACACGAGAGCCGCTCATCATTTCGCGCAACAAACAGTTTTGTAGAGTACTTGTCTGTACACAAAATAAAAATTGGCGGGCGGCTTCCCACTGCACATGCATGCACGCGCTCGCTGTCTGTGCCCAGCTTCAAATGTCATTCATGTCGCTCTTTGTTGACACTTTTTGTGTAATATTCATAGGCATTTGCCGCATTTTATTTCATTCACCAGAGCGAGAAACGACGGCTGTAGAGAGACAAGGGAGCACAGACAAAAGAACGCGCGAAGAGAAGCAGATGACGACGAACTGAGAAAAGCAACAGCCAAATAAGCGGCCCACGGAGTCCCCAGAAAGCCATGTCTCGCTATTTCATTTCGCTAGCATTGAAGATTTAGAGCAACTATTTTATCACATCGTTCATACATGCATGTCGCACAGAGCTATAAGTGGCATGTGCATGTACGTGGACCTCGTTAGGAATCTTTATATATATTTTTATACATATACTAAAAGAACGATCGCGAGCAGGATTCAGACCCCAGGAAGCCATAACGAGAGAGGGTTGTCTAGGACAGAAAATCCAGTATCTGGGAATGGTACAGCGATTACTCTTATTACCCTTATTACCCTTGAACCTTGGAATTCATCCAGGATCACTGCCACCAACTCACACAGTCTAGAAGGGCATGTTCCGACATGTTTCTGTCTGTGCTCGTCATCTCAGGTTACCCGGCAGAGACTAAAGAGAGAGGGCTCGAACCCTTCTCCTTAGAGCTCTTGATTTAATGAGGCCATAAAGAACCGACGCTCTATAGTCACGCTGGCTAGCCATTGTCTCCCCTACCACCGGTGACGCTCCGGTTCCCGTCCTAGCAGTTGACGATGCTAATCCCGTGTCCTGCGGCGGCTCTGCTGTGGCAGGGGACAGTGCTGGGGAGAACAATTGACTCTCGTGATTGACCCTCGTATTAATGCCGTTCTGAAAGCCGAGTCGAAGCTGGGAAACCGCATCATCTGGGCCACCATAATCGCTGCTGCTTCTTTCTGACCCTCTGGATAAGCCCTCCTGGCTACTCTCCAAAGATGCGACAGAATCCGACAGGTTATTATTATTGTTATTGCTGCCCGACTTTTCATTATCTCGGCGATCGCCCTGTTCAGCTCGAGCTCGGCATTGGACCGAGCACGCGACCCACTCCAGCGGTACGATCCTCTCATCCATGACCCCGACACCCTTCCATCGCATTCCTGCAAAAAAGAGCCGCTTTTGGCAAACGGAGCAAAACTCGCACTCCATTTCCTTTTCCTCCAGTGTAAGTTGCATCGGCGGAGGCGGGTTCAAGATACCAGATTTGGATCGAGAATCGAACCGGTCGATCCCACTTTCTGCTGGTCCATGCTTCGAGCCGAATCCTGCGGCTTCATGATGGACGCTATCGCGCTCAGCCCATTCGATTTCCTCTCCTGAATGTGAGAATGCTGATCCATGTAGAGCTGTGCGCATCTCCGATAGGTGGTGAAGTCCCATCTGCTCTATCATCCACTCTGGCATCATCATGAATGTACAGTCGTCGATATGGTCCTCCTCTTCAGCAACGGGTGATTTCTTCTTTGCAATCGACGTGACTCCTGTTTTCTTACTCGTCATGAACGGGCAGACATCGCCATGGCAAAAGTAGTGCGGATCATTGTACAGTTTTTCGCCGACGATCTGCGAGCAAATGTCCCCAAGGCTGAGTGTCCATGAACATGAAGTGTAACTGTCCTTGCAATACCCACGCCGATCGACTAAGTGCTCTGGGTGCGGTTGCTCTTGTCGTTGATGTTGATGCTGGTAAGCGTGATTGAAGGGGTGTTGATTATGATGGTGCAAATCGCCTAGTGGCGCTTGTTGACTGTGCTGACCATCAGAGTTGCGAACCAAATTTCCTAGCCTGGCATTACCTTCACTTGATAGTGAAAGCGACCCCAATGATGGCATTGGTATAATTGATGGTGGCGGTACTGGCTCTCCCAATTGTCCAGATGGAGATATTGAATTCGCCGCGGTCGTTGGTGAAAGCGGAGCGGACGCCATCAATGCCGAAGGCGATCCTAGTCCTGCCATCAACATGGACGTCGTTGCTGTAATTGGTGACTGTGGTGCAGAGGCCCGTGGGACCTTGACCTGCCAAAATCTGTTACCTCGAGCCCAGCACTTCATCCCCTGGCGTATTTGAACATAATCATCATCATCATGACCTCCGTCTTCGTTTGGCGTAATATTAGGAGCACCTTGTCCCGGCGCTGTGGTGAACAAAGACTCCATTGGGCCCTGAGGGTTGTGTGATCCTTCGCCACCAGCCTGCACCTCAAGTCCATTACCCAGCGATAGCGCTGTTTCGCTCAAGCGCCAAAGACTCCCCCTCTCGAAAGCGAGTGACTCTGATACAAGTCGCTGAATCTCCACAGGAATACATCCAAGATGGTTATCCGCGATATCCAGCAGTCGAAGTTGTTTCAATCGTCCAAGTTGCTGTGGAAGACTTTTGAGGCGATTGGATTGTAAGAAGAGCTCCTCAAGTGTGGGTGCCAGCAAGCCGATCAGGGGCGAGATCTCCGTCAAGAAGTTCTGGGAGACATCGAGTTCGCGGAGCGCAGGAAGTCGAAAGATTTGCAGTGGCAGGTCTTTGAGCTGATTGCCCTGCAAGCGCAAAGATACCAGATGGGAAAGATAGGGCAGAGAGGATGTGGCAATAATCTATATCCGAAGGAAAATATGGTCCATCAGCTCGGCGAATCTGTAGTCATAAAAACGGATGTATCACAATAACGGCTTGCTTCTTACCATGGTCGAGATGCGCAGCCTAGCCAGGTGGACGATCCCGCGCTCAGACTCTGATACCCGTGTCACTTGATGGACCCTGCAAGTATGTTCGCTGGCAATTGCATCCTGCTCATGACTGTTACTTCGTCGATACGGCATGCTGTAACTCCTGTTGCGAGAGGTTGTTGCTTCGTAGTATCGGCTGTCCTGCGTCGAGACAATGGTGTGGGAGGTGGTGAAGCCATTGGTGTTGGGTGTTGGCAGATAGTAGAGCCGGACTATATGTTGCTCGCAACCCCGTGCGAGGTTCAAGATGGTATTGACCGAGGGCTGGATAGCGCTGGAGTTCATCGGATAAGGCAAGACCGCCATAACCAAGTGTCCTTGCGTTGTTCTTCTCGAGTCCTGTCTTGATGAAGCTATAGTCGATGCGTGTCCTTTGAATCAGATGTTGCTGCTGGACATTCGACAGATGTTGCGATGTAGAGCAGGCGGTCAAGTGTGAAGGAGTACAAAAGCTATATCCAGCTACGTGGTACAAACCCCGTTCGCCCCTCAATCGAGTCCCGGTCTCCCGCGCGAATGCAAGAGGAAGACTAGAGTTTTCGTCATCGTGGGATGTTCGCTTTTTCATCCCTCATAGTGTTTACATTGCCGCATTTAGTGCTATTGTTGTTGTTATTGTTGCTGTGGTTACGGACGCATCAGCTTTGAGGTCACTCTTAGTGCTCTATGAGACGGAGAGCGGCGCGAGCCAAATTGCGGTCAGTTATATGTATCGTTGGCACTTGATGGTCTGACCCTTGACGTTCCCCAAGGCACCGCATCGGAAGCATCTTATAGAGTTCCTCCACGCGGCGGCACGGACTATGGGTATATTATGGGCCGCCACCTGGACGTAGAAAGCCTTGATAGCAGAAATCGATTACCCTCTTTAGAGGTGCATCCCCCACCACAAACACTGGCCTTGACGTCCCTGACTGTTATTTCCCCATGTATCCAGCGGCGTTCATCGCTCTTGTGATACTCTTGACTAGGGTTGCTTCTTTTCGTCTGCTAGAGGACGTGTCCGTCCGTGGTGATCGATCCTGTTAACACGTACCCCAGTGATATTCTGTATGAATTTCTGCTTTGTACTACTGGGGTGACAACCCATTCTTGAGGAACTTTAGCAGAGCCGCGCAAGCGACATTGTCTCGCCTGATGCGCCGCATACCAATCGAAGGCATTCTGCTTTTGTTAATCCTGGAAAGTGAAGAAGGCTCGGTTGTAGGGTTTCGGTGCGCCGATGGAGGGACTTAAAAGGAACGTGTTTTTTTTTTTTTGTTCAATCCAGCCTCTGGCAAAGAGAGAGGTTGAACAAGTCTCCCGGTGTTTCGACGCTTGATCCAGCGCTTGTGCCTTCATATTGTTCGCCGTTCTTGCTCCGCTGCCTTGCATTGTCTTGCCTTGCCACACAACCTTCATGAGGAATGGCCCTCCTTGTCCCTAAGGCTCGTAGAGTGCCCCTTTATTGTGGAAGTCTAATGTTGTTGGTTATATTAATGCACATGAACCGAAAGTGCTGGTGTTCCTACTATCTCAACCCCACAATGATGCAGCTACGTATCTGGCGGGTACCAGCAAACTCAGAAAAAAAAAGGTACCAAAAATGAAGGAGTGGATATTTTACAAAGGTGGGTAGATTGTGTCCCGGATAGATTGAGAGGTGAAAAGATGTGCTGATGCAGGATGAGTGTGAGGCGAAGAAATCGTGGTTCATGGTCTAGGGCTAGCTGTGGACCTGTGCTACCCTCGTGCGAGGTCGATGCTGCAGCATTGATCCCCATCCAGTTCTCCTTAGTCCACCAAGCCTTGTATCCTGTCCGAGAGCATTCCTCAGGAAACGCGTCGTCATTTCGAGGACACAGCTTTCGCTCTGGCAGACGCGGCCCTGGACATTGACGACATTGGAGACGGTGTCAGGATCGAAGATGGCGGTGTCGACCGCTGAGGCGATGTTGGCTGCTGTTCAGGCGACAAGCAGGCAGATGAACGACTGTCCGAGACCGCGTTCGTTGTGTGGGCGTTGGCCGTATCGACTTCTTGTAACCGCGTGCGGTCCATTGGAGCAGCAGAACCGTTGTAGTTGAGTCCGTGAGAAGACGTTACGAATTTTGGCCAGACATCGCGGAAGAGGAGCTCTTGAATCTCATAAATGGCTCCGTCGAACATACTCGATTGCCATTCGCCTCGCTTCGCCTTTTGATGGATCTCTTGCGCAGTAGCATAGGACAAATTGACCTCCAGACGACTGCCGCTGACAATAAAAGTCTTGTAAACATACTCGAATTGAATCAATAGCGTGGGAGGCATGGGTAGAAGTCGAAAGTCCTCGCCTGGTGTGGTAAGAATATTCTGCGGAGATGACTCCAATATGGTGGCGCTTGGTGTTTGCCTTGCTGATGGATCCTGCACAATGCCTAGTTCTAGATCAGGTAATGCTGAAGAGCTAGAACCATGCCGGTGCAGATTTGGGAAAGTAAATGACCCCAAGGGTGAAGATGGCTCTGAGTCGTCAAAGTAGGATGAAGATGACCGGCGTGGCCCCAGCATGTGCACTGTTGACGATACAGATGATACAGAGACGATTTTCTTGATCCGGTGTGGTGTTCGATTTGTATCACTACCATCGGCCTTGGCTGAAAGCTGGGGAAATTGAGTTGGAAGCGGAGCGATAGTTGAATGGCTAGTTCCCGAAGAAGGAGTCTTAGTCAGCCTCGTAGAGGTTGGCGTTGCAGGCGAGGTCTGCATCGAGATGACGGTATGATCCACCATAGACAGTGAAGGGTTTGTCGCTGGGTTGTCAAGAGGTAGCTCATGTGGTGTCGCTGTCAGGTTTCGCAGATGTTCATACTGGAATGCTCTTTTCTCCAGCCTGGAGACTTCGTACAGGAATCTCATGTTCTCGGCGCAAAACTCTCGGACAGTGAAAGCGCTCATCCTGTCAAACAGTTCGCGGTCCTCAAGCGCCTTGATAAACTCGTCCCAGTCGGTCTTTTTGCTGTCAATGATGGTTCCGTGAGTGCTACTGCCAATGCCAAAATGTTCTCTCCTGTGGCTGCGAATGAGACTCTTGAGGGTGAGGTTGATATTACTGATGCTATTCTTTCGGCTGTAGCCCAGGGGAGAACCACTGGTGGATGTCTGTGCGTAATAAACTTCCCGAGTATCGCCCTTATCTCTGGCTGCAGGTGCTGGCGTAGTGACTAGTGTGAATTGTACTTTGTTGGCGCCGAGTGATGATTCTTTGCCTCCTGTCTGTCGGGTGCCCTCGAGCGGAATATCCTCAGATCCTGACCGGTCCCGGATGTCAGCCCCATTATTTCCTGCACGATGTTTGCGATCGATTGAGCCCAAGGCAGTTGCAGGTAATTTGCTGCGATATGTGTTCCGCTGGAACACCATGGCAGTATAGGCGCACTGGTGAGGATACTCTTTGAAATGGCGAACGAGCGGGGTCAGGATACTAGCGATATGGCTCACGATGAGGATTAAGGCTATATATGTTGTTTTATCCAAGTACTTCCTGGTGAATTCTGGTAGCACTACAGGCATGATGAAGAAAAGCGCCACACACGGAGCCGAGAAGGTCGTCATAAAAATGAGCTCGTTCCGGATACCGAAGCCATCGTTGGTGCCCTTGAGTTGAAAGATCATGAATGGGGATAACATAAAGAGGAAGATAAGTGCTGTGATGTAGGGAAAGGCATACTATACAGCAGCGTACAAAGAAAGATGTGCGGCGATGTCAGTAATGGGAACGGAAATGGAAGTCGGAAAAGCGCTTAAAATCGATCGACCACAAAGTAGAAATCATGAATACTAACCTCAGGCCCAGTATGACACTCGTAGTAGACGGGGTTGAAGCCGATGGAAGGGACCCGGAACTGGAAAAAGATCGCCAAAATCAGGGTGATGATTAAGTATACAGCGGCAACGCCAAGCATCTGCATATCAGTGGCGGTTTTGTAGCGGTTGTACCACCTCTTTGACAGAGCAATTTCCTTCAATGTCTTGTTGGTCAACTCAAAGACCTTCTCTCTCTCTGAACTATAAGAATCGTAACCATGGACCTGATCCCGCAGCTGCTTTTGTGTTTCAACCGGAGAGGAGGATGGATCGGAAGCTCCAATGATGGTGGGGCCCTTGGTTACCCCAGTCCCTGGATTAAGACGTCTCTGTCCGGTGCCCAGGGCAATCAGATCTGCTGGCTCTGCGAATCTGGATTGATAGATGGCAGTGTTGCGGTCGAATCTGCTGACGAGACGCCACACTCTGGCAGAAAAGAATAGCACGAACGGTACCATCCCAAAGTAGCTCCCTGTACGCAGTGTTGCATGCCATATTCAAGGACGAGTGGGGGAAAGGCTGTAACATGTAAGCAAACACGAAGCAGTGTAAAAGAAATAGAGAATGGCGACCAGAACAGTGGTACAGTACCATAGAACAGAACCGCACAGGGGACGCGGTATTTGTATGACTGATAGATATAGAGAAGGGCAAAGAAAATAGTGGCAAAGTAGCCCTGAGCAGGGACGAGGTAGCGTCCTCGCTGTCGCAGGTTGTTGTCCTTTTTGGATGCTTGCTGGAAAATAAATGTAGAGAGGAGACCAATAAAGGTCCCGAGAGTGCCAAAGACTATGAAGATGTTGCGGCGGGTTGCGCCCAAGGGAATAGCGACACTTGGGTCGGTCCCTGGTTCGGATGGATATATGATCTGTACCATGACCCAGCTCGCGCGATCGGAGACAGAGTCGTATGTGTATGTGCCGAGAGAGTAGCCGAAGATTGGTTGGATTTATGTGTTCATGGAGTGAGTGGTGCAAGTGTGAGAATGTGGGGTTGATATGGCGATTGGTAGGGGAATTGAGGAGAGGAAACGTGGAGAAGGAGGATGCGGTGGTGAAGTACCAAGCAAGGGGTGAGATCCAAGGAAGAAAGAGATTCGAGGTACTAATGGGAGGGGAGGCGAAGAACAAGGGTGTTTTCTGAAGAAGGAGAAATGAACAGTAGCACGCATGCCTCTATACTAAGCAATTGGGCGCGGAGAAAAAATAACAACATTAGAAGTAGCTTTCATTCATTCCCGCTACAGTTATATTACATACCAGCTACACGCTGGCATGCAAGAGCAGCAACTCAGTCTGCTAGTCTAGTCTGGGTTGTATGTTTTTAATGCAGATCAAGGCTAGCGGAGCAAAAAAAAAAGCAGGGCGGTGAAAAAAGATGGACACGTGTGTTGTGTCCCTTTTTTTTCGGTTTCCTGCGGCGCAGGTAGGGGCTCTCATTTTTTTTTTTGTTTAGCAATCGAGAACTAGACCACTTGCACTTTGAGGTTTGCTCCGCGCGATTCAGTTGTTTCCTTCACAGTTGCAAATATTTCATGTCGGCTCTTATACATGCACCAAACTCACTTACCATGGAGAAACGCACCCAAGAGTCCTTACATCAATTGGGACAGGTAGTTCGTCGAGGTCATCAGAGCATCGAGCTCGTCTATACCGCAACATGCAACATAGGCTCTAGTCTTACAGCCTGTCCATGAAAAATAAAGCGCAAAACTGGCTAAGGTGCTCAAGGGCATGCTCTCATCACACTTCACTGGTCCCACATTCAATATTAAATGCGATCACGTTAACGAATATAGACTTTATAGATGGCATTTTACTTTCTACTATATTCAGAGCATTGTTATAAAAATGGGATGATGGCATCGCACATGCGCCAGCCGAATGGAGCTGGAGTAGGTTACACCTATGGATGCAGTGCAAAGTGTCAAAGCTTTCCGAGCGCAGCTTAGTGGTTTTGCGGTATTGCGCAAGGTCTTTTTTACGCAACCGGCTTTTGTATGTACATTATGTATCTGGATTATGTGTTAATGGCCGCCATGGCAGCAATGCGTTAAAATGGCTAACTACACAACATGGTGCAATGCAGATGGTTTTTAATTTTTTATTACTTTATCAATGGCTGTTTATATCACGCGTAGTGCTCCACAGAGTGTCCTACAGCGTGCTATCGAAGTAGTGGCGGTGGAGGATACACATCTTGGCTGACCCTCACAGCACCAACCTACTGAGACATAAGGAGCAGACGAAAGAGGAGTTACAGCGATTAGAAAGTCTGTCTGTGCTTGGCGATGACTAGAGGGTTGTTTTGGTCCAGACTACTCAGCATGTGCATAGGATTTGGGATTTGTGTCTAAGGACGACTAGCCTGTGCTTCGTCGCGTGCCCGACTTTGTCTCCGGAGGTAAGGAGCTGCGCTATAACGGCAGGTGGATAGCGTCGCATACAAGATGAGTAACGAAAGAGTAGACTACGCGCGAGAAGAGGTGGTCTTTTTTCTGTAAATGGCAGTTGGCCCGAATAAGGCAGGGTGTGACAAAATCGGGTTTGGCAGATGGACAGCCGAGGACATAAACGAAAGGGACTTCGTCCTGTCAGTCAGTCATTCAGTCCACCCTCGTCCATCGGTCAAAGAGACCGATGAAGATGCGGCTGGTCCTCCAGGGCTAGTTTCGACATCGTCTTGGCTTTGGCTGTCATAGTGTAAAGCGTGCGAAAGTTCCATGCAAGTAGCAGCAGTGCAAATATAAAAACGTATGTGTGGCCTCCACAAGGACAATTAATCCAACAAAAGCACATCAGCGCATCCCACACTGCATTCAAGTCGTTCATTCCTCATTCACACTTCAAGCAATGGCGACCTTCTCAAGCAAGACCTTCAACAGCGCGTTGTACCAGTCCTTCCGCCCTGGCTACAACTCCAACTTTTTCAAGGCGGTTTACAACTACCATGCTAGGCACAGCGGCCAGTTCGACACCGCAGTTGATGTCGGCACAGGTATGCGCCGCCAAAGCAAAACACACACACATCACATCTTCAGTAGCTCACTCTCAATTTGATCCACCGCGTCTTTTATCCTAACCAGTGGCCTTTTACATATATTTATCTAGGCACTGGACAAGTCGCGTCTGTGTTGGCTGAGAAATTCAAACATGTGCACGGCGTCGATGCCTCTGCAAAGATGCTTGATGCTGCCATTCAAAAGCCTAACATCACCTACCACGTCAGTAAGGGTGAAGATCTCAGCGCCATCCCCAGTTCCAGCGTCGATGTTCTCACGGTCGCGCAAGCCCTGCATTGGTTCGACCACCCAAAGTTCTTCTCCGAGGTCAAGCGTGTCCTTAAGCCCCACGGAACATTTGCTGCCGTTGGCTACTCGTTCGTGCTCTTTGAAAAGCATCCGAGGGCTAGCGAGAAAATCTACCAGTTGGGCGATGAGCCCGATCAGTTGGGCACATGCTGGGACCATGGCCGATTGATTCTCGACAACCTCTACAAGAGTATCGACGTGCCACTGCAGAACGTCGAACGACATTATTTCCCCAAAAATGGGAACACACTGCCGCCCATCATGACCGAACATGTTACGATGAAACACTTTCGAAATTATATCAAGACCTGGTCCGCTTACAAGAACTACTGCGAGAAACATCCTGACCGTCCAGACATCGTCGATAAGACCATCGATGAAATTATGGCAGAGGAGAATCTGAAGGACGAGGACGTGGTCGATCTGACCTGGCCCACGGTTTTAATCCTTGGAGAGAACGGTGTGTAGATATGCACTTCATTTTCAATCGACTACCTTTTCTTTTTATTGTTGTACGATGATCGGCTTCAAGTTTGGGACGCTATCCGTCCCACAAAGCTCTCTTGAGCTATTTTTTTTTTTTTTTTTTTTTTTTTTTTTTTTTTTTGGAATAAACCGATGATCGCCTTAGTTGTTTGACAGAAATCCACTGCAATACAAAAGAGTCGATGAATGTGAAATGCGTGAAGCAAGGCAACGAACGTGCCTTCTCCACAAGAAACTAAAAACACAGGTATGATGAATATACAGAATGGAGGGGGGAAAAATACAATACATCAACAAACAAAAACAGATTTAGCTCCCTTTCACGTCGCGCGCCATTGACGATGATCCACCGTTGGCGCGACTGTTACCCTGATCATGCCATCGTCCTCTCGTCGGCCCTGGACATTGCCGCTCAGCTTGATAACGCTCGTCTTCTTCTTCATCACCCGCCTGGAGCGAGGATTATGCCGGCTGGCGTGAGAGGCCATGACCGCATTCTCCGCCAACTCAAATGTGATCGCACTCTTAGAGATTGGAAGCCTCGCATGGCCTAGCGACGTCGGCGGTCGTGGCGCCTCCGGTCGATTGGTCTGCACCTGCAATCCTCCGTACTTGCCACCGTTACTGCTGTGACTCCTGTTGCCGGGAGGACTGTACTGCTGGCTGATGTTACTATGACAACTCGCATCGGAGCCCCGAGTGCGCAGATCGTCCAAGTTGGGCGCAGACGCCACCAAGGCAGAAAGAGCACTCTTGGCGCTAAAGGGCGAGGCCTGGGTCTTTTGGAAGCCGTTCGAATAATTTTCCACGTTTTGTCGGCTTCCTGATCCAGCCATATGAATCTTGAGGGGCTTCGGATTCTGGAACTGAAAGCTCTTCTTCTTCTTCAGCGTCCGCTCCTCCTGCCCCTTTTGTTGCTCACGCTCAGCTGTTCTCAGAAGCGTGTCAAAGTCCATCGCCTTGAGGTCCACGGGTGTATTGGGAGGGAACTCTTGGCTCGCATCAAACTCCTTGGGGTGGAAGCTTATGGGCGTAATGGGGCTACCTCCGTTCAGGGTCTGAGCAGAGTAGTTCGAGCTTGCAGACAGCGTCGAGCCCGTGCTGAAGTTTTTGAGGTGGTGCGGCAGCAGAGTGTCGGAAGATGTCTGCTGCTGATGGGCAGACGAAGGCTGTCGCTGGTGAGCAGTGCCTGCAAATAAATAGAACCCAAGCACAAAAAAAAAAGAGTTAGGATTATGATCACAGCATCGTTCATTATCATTAGCGACAAAACAAATTACCTCTCGTATTCGACAAGAACTTAGTGTTTAATGCCGGTACGGACGGCCGCGTTTGTTGCAAGACGTTGCGCGGCTTCCATGAGTTCGAGTCATCCGCTGAAAATTGTGCGGGCGAATTTCTTGGAGGTGAAGATGAGGTTGTTGTTGCCGGTGATACGTTGATCGTAACAGGGGAGCCATTGAGAATATTCCGGCTGGCCTTGCGGTGAAGTGTTGGGGATAGGGACGGCCCCGCCCGTCTTAATGTCCTTGGACCCTCTCTGTTACTATTTTCGACCGACCTTGTATGACTGCCAGCGATTCGGCCACCGCTGCTGCTGCGGCTAACGTCTTTTGTACGAATGGAAAGTGCAGGCAGTTCAGGGAGGGTGTCAGAGTCAGCATCGCCGATCGACATCTTCCTTCGCGGCGACATCTCTCTCGAGCCCGAATCGCGCCCTTTCCCTTTGTCAGCCTTGGATCCTGTTGGAGTTCTGGGGCGGACGAAAATCTCCTCCATCGACACATCAGCATCGCCGGTGTAGCCGCTCATGGCATCGCCGTCCGAATCAAAGCCCTTAAAATCCTGGTCCGTGTCCAACTGCTGCATTGAAGACACCGTCAATCGGGGTTGACGCTTGAAGTTGAAGAGTCCTGGGACCACAGAATTGTTGACTATGGCATGTGCGTGATCCAAATCGGCTACTTCAAGCGTAAAGCTCGTAAACGTGTGCGTTACATGAGTTGAAGCCGCATCGTCATCAAAGTAGTTCTGGGCGCTAGGCAATCCGAGGTGAGCGGGGGGGTTAACAAATATAGAATGGGCTGCGCTGCTCCGTCGACGGCGGCGCATGGCCATCTCAAGGGTCTCGCGTCGTGTGCTTGGATTTCTTGGTGGTGATACAGTCGTAGCCAACAAAGCCGGATGGGTCGAGGTGCCCATAGAGCGCGAGCGCACGGAACTGATACTCTCAGACCGTTTTGGGCGACTGCTGAGATCTCCTGAATAAACACCGCTGTCTCTTTGGGATGGCTGCAGCGAAGGCTCGTGGGTCTTCACCAAGTCCAAAGAGGGGGCCTTAGTCTCGATGGGCGATCCCACTGGAGACTGCTCAGCGGACGGCATGTTCTTGAGCTTCTTCGTTGCCCGGCCAAGATGGAGCGACTTCATGATGGCCTTGCGCCATTCAGACGGCTCTCCGGAGCTCGACCTGCCCATTTCGTTTGCTTCTTGCCGCTGTTGCTGTTCGATCGAGTCTTGATCCTTGGGTCGTTTTTTGCTGTTCCTCTGGGGAATCGTTTGGTCAGTGAAAGTACCAGCATCGACAGCATCGCTGCTCTGGGCCTTAACGGCTTGATTGTTCTCCTTCGCTTTGGTCTTGTCTTTATCAGAAGCAGTTTTTTGCGGAAGCAAAAACCGCTTCACGGCATTGGGGCGCTTGTTAGAGGGGTCTTGTGTTGCAGCATAAGCAGAGGCTGCTGCTGCTGCTGCCTGAAGCTTCTTGCGCTTTTTGAGAGGTAGCTCTGCAAATTGAGTATAGTCGCTGTAGTCACCCGGCATAATGAAATCGATAGAGTCGTCGTCCGAATCCAACTCGTCCGCGGTATCGTGCGCTGGCTGTTGTTGCTGCTGTTGCTGCTGTGGACCAAGCTCGGGCGAAATCATCACCGCATCCAAGTTTACATGCTGTGTCTTGCTGCAGGGAGAACTGTCCACCAGTGAGCTTGATCTACTCTTGTTTCCCCATAACATAAGTTTGCTGGGGGAGTTCGACTCTGGACGAACACGAGGGTGTGTCCAAAATGGTTTCGAGAGTCGAAGCATAGGGTTGGTTTGCTGAGGCTCGGAGGTGATGGATCTAGAGGAAGATTGGAGCTGTTGAGGCTGCGCTGAGGCTGACGTTGGAAATGAGGGACTGGATTCAAGGTTGTATGTAGAGATAGGTGTAGAGATGGGCGCGGAGACAGGAGTGGAGTCGGGAGCAGAGAGAGAAGTCTGTTGCGAGCGTGCCTTCTCTCTGAGGTTGGAGGATGATTTAATAGAAGCAAGAGTGTTGTGGACTCGATTCTTGAACTTGACCAGCGATGATGACGGCGCTGAGCGGTCGCCTTGGGGAAGTGTGCGACGCGCTTCAGAGTCCTCCATATCAATATCCTGAAATTGCAATTGCTCCGTGTCCCCCTGTTGGATTGTTGGTTCAACGTAAGACCTCATTGAAATCGACGCAGTATCGGAATGCCCGTGGATGGCGCTCGAGCCCTGGTCGGCTGAGGTCATCGAGAGCTCATGGTCGAGCTGTATGGGCGGTAGGATGAAGGATGAGGCAAGCGAGGCCGAAATTGACATGCGGTTGTTGGTGTTGGTGCTGTTGCCGCTGTCGCTATTATTATTCGTCACAGACAGGGCTCCTCCTGTTCCAGCGATATTGGATCTGCGGGATGTGTGGGATGGGAACATTATTTTGTTTAAAATAAATGGCCGTGGTGACACGAACGGGAAGCAATGGTAACAGAAACAGGTCAGGATGACACGTCTTGATACAGGGGCAGACCAAAGCGTGGAAAACGCTCTTTTTTCTTTAGAGCGCATCCCGATGGATGACAAACCACGCAGGGCAGGGAGGAAAATAAACATGACATGCTAAGCGCATCCATGGTCAGATGGTTGGTGCATGGGAGAAAAAGGCAATGGGTAGGAGGCATGTACACATACCTTTTATGAGACAGATGCCTGTTCTTGAACTTGCCGAATGCCTTGAGGAACTTTGATCGTGCCGAGAACGGATCCGAGGGGCTCGCCTCGGCTGAGTCATTGGAGGATTTGTTTGCTGTCGAGGACGGAGCACCAGCAGCGGCGGATGGTGATGCGGCGTGGTCCTTGCCGTGGGATTTTTGTTGGCCGACTGTCCATGCCGTTGTCGCATTATTTGCAGGGTTGAAGGCAGAGGGCATCCTGCGCAGAGTCTTGAAGACTGGCAAGCCCGTTTTGTGCGACTCGGACGCATGTTCGCGAGGAGCTGATGAGGTCGAAGAGGGAGAGGTGGTGCTGATTCGAATATTGGAGGCTTCTGCCGCTTCGCTGGCGCCCATGGCGGAGACTGTTCCTTGCGCTCCTCTATTTACACCGACCTTGCCTTTGACTTTGCTGTGAAGACGTGCCTCTCCTTTGATCCGGATGTCCCAATGGCCAAAAATTTCGTTTGAGGTGGATCGCAGGATATTCCTTGATCGTCGCTGGAGACGTGGGCGCGTTGATCGGGCGAGTTTTGAGGTCCTGTGGGACGGACGGGCTCTCTCGCTGAGATGCTCTTGCAACACAAGGCGAGGGCCCGGTTCGAAAAGCGCTTTGGGTACCGAAGGTGTCAGGGGCGCCGAGTGTGTGAAGGGTATCGAAGGTATTGAGGGGATAGGGGTATTATTGTTGTAGAGTGATTCAGAATCGGCAGAGAGAAAGCTCGAAGGTCGTGCGATCAACATCCGGAAAGCGCTATCCAGATCCAGCAGGGGGGACAGGGGTTCCTTTTTTGAGTCGAGACGATACAGTGAGGATCAAGGGGCAGTTGCAGGAGTAGGAGGATTCAGACTGGACTGGGCATGCAATGGGCTGGATACTCCTGTTGCGAAGTGCTTTGGTCGAGGGAGGATATAAAAAAGATACGCGTTTTCTTATCCTCTTTTTCGAATATTTCTTCAATGCGCTCCTCTTTTTTTTTATTCCTTTGGGTATGATTCAAATGAGAATGAGAGAGTAAAGAGTGATGAACAGGATCAGATTGATCGATTCCATGTACCCAAAAAAAAAAAAAAAAGACCCTGCCGCTGCGTTGTTTTGTTGTTACTCTTTCCGTTCACTGTGGAAATTTTCTTCCCGAAGCCCTATGGGTGGATGGTATGGTATTTGGTAATTGGTAAATATGATATTTTTTGGGAAGGTGGCATAGATAAGGTCGAGCAGTGAATAGAATTGGTATCGATGGGAGGTGGGAGAATGTGGGAGGAAGGGAGAGAGAGGAAGCAAGGTTGATGTGTCTGTTAGATGCTGCAAAAGAAAAAAAAGAAAAAAAAAAAGATAATAATGTCCGCCCAGCGACGGAAACGTTTTCTGAGCCCTTGGAACCCATTGGGACCATTGGGCCATGGTAAGGCAGGTCATGACTTTTTCCAAGCACGCGGACCTTCTCCTTTTGTCCTCTTTTTCCATCGCGACCTGGCAGAAATAAATACAGTTGTCTGTTGACCGTCCATCATTCATTACCATTCCAGTCGAGGGAAGGGCTGGCTGGGAGAAAGAGGAGACAGGAAGGCAAGGAGCAGGGAGCAGGGATGAGGGGAATGTTAAATAGGAGAAGAAGAAAAAGGCAGCTTGGCCCAAAGGGTATATGCATGCAGGCAACGTCTTGTGTCTATTGTTTTCTCTTACCATGCACCCAACGCCCGATGCTGCATCACGCCTCGACCACCATGACGATGTCGGACTGAACCACTGCCTTGTCCCGGAGAGTGGCGAATGCCATGTCCTGCTTCATGCGGGAGACCAGCTGCTTGGCGGAATAAAACCGGCTTTTATACATCGAGAGCTATAGCATTTTCCGGTTCAGCATCAATCTACCATGAGCCAGTGCCAGATGTCAAATTCTCGGAAGCATATGAACGGCGACGATCTAGGCACATACAGATCTGATCAAGCGGACGTCAGACATTTGTTATCCGAGACCATCAGTACTCCAGTACAAAGCAATTGCTGGATCCATTCCAATTCATGCTAAGAATGCCTTCGTCGACTGTGGATGTATGCGAAATGGTCTCTCTGAACAGTCGTCAGTGCCACACGGTCGTCTTTGGGTTAGTCTCCCCTGTGCCGATATATCGTAATCCATTGTTTTGTTTCCATGCGCGATCTTTTGAACACCGTGCACTGTGCGAAAAAAAAAGATTCGCCTGTTCCTGATAGCATGCTCGACTCTTCATTGCGACGGAACTGGTCGGTCTATTTCCATGGACAGGTGCGCCTTTTCTTTGTTGTCTGTTGCGCTACCTTTCGGAGTACAGGCCGACGTTGATGTGCTTGCTTTAGGCTGCTGTCCAACATAGTACTGAAATCGCGTTGAGAGTTTGATGGGTGTACTGCCGATGATCTCAAGTCAAGAGAGAACGCTCTTACTGGCAACCCGCGCTCCTTTGGCTGTCCTGACATTATAGAGAAAAAATCGATCGGACGGACTAAACTTACAGCGGTGACGGATCCTGGTCCATGATAGACTACGACTGCCAACTGTGGTTAGACGGGTCGAACATTATACAAGAACGGCTTGGATGATGGCTGTACAGTGCAAGGGGTGTACGACGGACGATCGATGAGGAAGGGGTTCGATGGGGCATTAGGATCGAAAAAAGGAGCAAGATGGAAGGAAATAGTCAATGACTTTATAGCAGTTTCCCCTGCTGGAAGGCCCCACCTCATCATTCACATCGGTGTCCATTAGTCCATCGCACAGAGCTTATAAATAGCATAGACATCATCATGGGGTAGAGCGAATGGACCTACTGCTGCGATAAAGCAACACCACGGATGGGCTCGCTCGATGCAGCATGAAAGACATAGGAGCGGAAGAAAAAAAAATAAGAGCGCGAGTCAACGAGAGCATGCTTCGGATGGCTTGATGGGTCGGAGAAGGAAACTGTGGTGTATTTCGCGGTGAACCTGCTGCTTTTTAGAAGCATTATGGTAGCGTAGGCTGTATACATAAAAGTCGCGACATTTTTTTCTCAGGGGCAAGATTAAAGGATCCTTGAGTCCTAAGACAGCTGTGTTTGTCAGGTCGCGTGTACGAGCCTGTAGTTCCTTATTGAAGGCGCCACCAATTATTGCACAGGGTTTATTCGACCGAGGCATTCTTATCGAAATATATCAAGCGCCTTCACTGCCTGCATCATCACGTGTGCACTTCAACAGCACTTCACAGGCCGTACCATGTCTGGAATGAATCTGGCACGCCTGCACGTCTGGAGGGATCTGGCGCCAATAAAAATAAAAACATGTCTGGAATGAATCGCGCGCACAGTCCATCATGATGTTTAATATCCATTTACGTGGAGATCTTTTTTACATGAGGTCGAAGGACCGGCGCCCTGGAGGTGGATTAGACATACTTTTATATCAGAGCTCTCGTAGGCAGCGCTCCTTTGCAGGCTGCAGTATGTTCTACAGCTCCCTCATGACCAGACACAGCTTTGTGCACACATTTGATCAGCCGCATACAATCGAGCCCGCTTCATTTGTTGAACGGAAGTACAGATAGAGGGCTAAGAGCTCTCTCTTTAGTACTTGCGCAACATGATGACCTTGGAACACTCTCATGCCTATGTGGGTGTGTTCGTGCCCAGGCAATACCGGGCAGGATAGGGTACATGTAAAGTTACTGCAGAAAGGTGTCTCCCCTACACTTTAATTCCTGTTGCTGTTTGTCATCCAGGCGATGCCTAGGCTTGTTGCATTAAGGTACAAAAAGATGAGATGGCGTGTTGAGAGCCACGTTGCTGTGGTTGGTCCGCTTGGTACTGGGCGCCCTTTCCTTTGTTTAAGGTGTGGTTTGTTTATTATTCATCTCGGTTACTACTCCAACGAAAAACGCGGGTAGAGTAATCCGGGGCATCTTTTTTTTTTTTTTTTTTTTTTTTTTTTTTCGTTTACTAGGACTATAAGTAGGCCTTGAACCACAAAGAATTTTTCTTTTTTTTCTTTTTCTCCTCGATCGATCTTCCTTCCTCCCCAGTACACCTCCGTTTCTTGTTCTCGTCCTTCCCTCATTTCTGCCCAATAATGGCCGCCCACAGTCTTCCCGTCCCTCCCACCAACGCTGGTGGCAACCCTCCTCGCTGGACCCAGCCTGTTTCCTTCTATGGCCAGAGCGTCTTCAGCAAGTACTATGCCCACTCCATCTGCGCTTTCTTGCTCCTGATTCCCTTCCTGGTCATGCCCGTTCAGTCGCAGGCGACCCAAGGCCCCATTGGAGGACAGTCGTGCGTCACCACCTACGATCCCACCGTCAACTATTTCCCCAACCCGATCACTGGTAAGTAGCAGCAGCCCGCGCGATCATGACTGAGGGCAGGAAAATCCCTGTGGGCAATGGACTAGCGGAAGAAAGAAAGCCGTTGGAAAGTGAGTTGCGGAGTGGTAGCTCGATAGAAACAAGGTTCATTGCGATGGACCGTTTTTTCGGAACCCGACCTGCTGCTCTGCATCTACCTTGCATGGCCCCCCCAGCGCGCATTCGTCTGCTTGTGAAAAACGATAATCCAGAGCCCTGGAAGGAATGAAACTAACCGCAACTCGATCTATCCTTCTTCGTTGTACCTTAATCTGTCCTATTTAGTCGATGATGCTGCCCTTTTCAGTGTCCGTTACGAAAAGAACTACAAGGTCGTAACGAATACTGCCGTGGGTGTGAACCAGTCCTTTGTTCTCACCCAGTGCGGAACCCCTGCCCCCAACGCCTCTCTCTTCTCCAACACCACGGTTTTTGTCAACGTGCCCGTCTCGAACTTAGCTTCGCTCGCCACCACCGCCGTTGCCTACATTGAGATGCTCGGCAGGCGCTCCGCCATCAAGGCAGTTGACACTGAGGGGCTGGTTAGCTCGCCATGCGTTCAGTACGGTCTGAACCATAGCGAGATTATTGGCCTCGAGGACAAGAACCAGACGCTGCGCGCTGAGCAGCTCGGCAAAGTCGACGTCATCTTCAGTTCGTTCGGTTCCGAGGTCGGTTCCGAGAACAAGACCGTCGTTACCTCGGAGGTATCGGATCCCGGCCCATTGAACGTAAGTGTTGTTGCTCCGCTGAATGCAGTTTGCAAGCGTGAGAAATGGTTTATACTGGCCGATGTGCAACTGTCGTAAGCAGCAGAGAACTACGCCCATTGGACATCCGTTTTGAGAGCCTCGTTCCTCCCCCCAGAAAAAAAATAACCGGAAGGCCATCCACATAAGTGAAGGAATGCAGCAGCTTAGCTAGTGCCAGCAGCAACACTTGATGCAGGATGAGCCAGAAGCGCAGGATACGCACAGGAGCAACGGTTTTGTCGTCAACGGTGATTGTGGCTAACAATAACATTTTATTCTCATCGTTGTAGCGTGCAGAGTGGCTCGAGTTCTACTCGACCTTCTTCAATTTGGAAGAGGCTGCACAGAACCTGACTTCGACGATCAACAACAACTACAACTGCTTCAAGAAGGCTGCCAACGCCAAGACCACCAAGCCCGTTATCGCCTGGGCCTCCTATGTTGCCCCGTCCTCGTACAACAACAATACCGCTTCATGGGGCGTCTCTGGTGCTGCCTACAAGAAGATCCTCTCGGAAGATGCGGGCGCCACCTTCTTCAATGGCACCACCACCGGCACTTTCACGACTGCCGCTGCCTTCGCAGATGCTCTCAAGGATGTCGACGTCCTCATCGACGAGACCTTCACCGGCAATGATATCAACGCCTTCTACCAGAGCTACGGTCTCTCGGCCAGCTCGCCCCACAAGTTCATCCAGAATAAGGCCATCTTCCGCGAGGACGGTATCATCAACCCCAACGATGGCCGTGATTGGTTCTCGGGTGCCGTTGTTATGGACGATGCTGTGCTCCAGGATGTTGTCCGCGCTGTCCACCCCGATGCTCTGCCTGCCAATGTCCCCTACAATTGGCTTCGCAATATTGCCAAGGGCGAGACCATGCAAACCTTGACCAGCGCCAACTGCACCAACCCCGACTCGAACGCCCCTATCCCTGACCGCGCCATTGTCTGCTCGACCATGAAGGTTGGCGGTAGTGGAAGCGGCGGCAATGCTGGGTCCAAGACCGTTGCTGGCGCTTTGACTGTCGTGTTGTCTCTCCTTGCCGCTGCCATTGCCCTCTAAGGAGGTTGCGGGAAACACATTGGGTCTATCCATCTACCTCTGGTTTCTTTCTATGCAGTCGCGATGATTATTATTTTTCTTACTCAGCAATGCTGTCTCTTCATTAATTCCAGCTGTGCTGAGATGAAGGGCAATCATTGAAGATGTCGAGCGAAATATGAGGCACTGCTGAAGATAATGGCTATATTATTATTCATTAATAAATCGACCCTAGTAAACTACTCCTTAATATAACAAAGGAAGGCATGCATTCGTGGTTTCGCATTCGACCTTAAAGCATGCTTCTTTGCTTTCACTCCATAGAGAGCTCGTTCCATCCACTCCTTCCCTGAAGCACATCTTGCTCCCTTCCTCTCTTGTCATCACCGCTCCTCATGACCTCGCCCCTTGCAAGAAGCACGAGCTCGCTCTCGAGCACCGACATGGAGGCGTACGTTGTTGTTGTTGTTGTTGTTATTTTTTTTGTTACACACTCTTCTGTGGCCTCTGCTCAGCCCTGGTATGACCAGTGCTTGACAATCCGTCCGCCCTTTGGACTCTTTTACCCTCTGCATCTCCTTTCTCATAACCCTGGTCCTGAACGACCATGTTTTTGAAGTCTTGCATATCCAATTGATAACTACTTGGCCTGCGTCTGTGTTTGACAAAATCCATGATCGGTATCTAGACTGTTTGCAAAGATACACAAGGACCAAGCCTCACAACTCGAGCTTCTGCGACACACAAAACGCGCCATGGACCGGAGCCTGGCTGCGAGAGACAACTCGGACGTTGGTACATCCTCAATGGCTAGTCTGGTAAGATATTTTGCGTCACTGTCAGATATATTGGTCACGGCTCGGGCTCATCTTGTTACGATCCAACCCCTGCTGCCCTGCTCACCATTATCAATGGATGGAGCCCTTTTAGTCCTTTGAAATTCTAGGTGAATTGCTCGACGAAATTGTCTTAGACGTTGTGTCTGAGGCGCATAGAGATGTCAAGAACATGCGATCGACCTGTCCAGTTTGTAAAACTAAGTATGTTTTGAAAGCCATGAGGAAGGCATACTATATATCTACATTATAAGACGATACTCATCATCTCTACTGGCGCTTTTGTTCCTCTACAATGTATGATCTAGGTGCCGAAACTACGGTATGGAAGAACCTGGAAATCAACAGCAACGTGTCCTCAATCAGCGTCCACGCTTTTTTTTTTTTTTTTTTTTGTTCAGCTGGAAGAGCGATTCATAACTGATCGGTTTATGAATATTCCACTTTTTTTGAATATACAGTGGTTCGAGCCGGTCTCGACATTTTTGGACAGAATCCTCAATCCAACAACTCCCAAACCTACGACTGTGTTCACTGCCAGCGATCGTTCCCGGCCCAGCGATATGCACCGCATCTGGAAAAATGTTTAGGACTCTCTGGCAGAGCGTCAAGTCGTGCTGCGAGTCGAAGGTATTGCTTGTTGTATGAATTGCAATCGATTCATTTGGTTTATATTCGGACATCATTTGACGAAGCGTGTTTTTCTGCGGACCAAAAAAAAAAAAAACTAGGATAGGAGCTGCTGAGAGGGCTGGATCGGGATCTCCCTTCACACCAGTGAGTTATTCAGATGACCGCGAGGCCAGTGATTCGGATAAAGACCTCATGGAAAAGAAACGTAAGGAGTGAATTCGGGATATTTTAATTCAGGATGGCGGGAGTATAGCGAGATAAGAGACTAAACATTCACGATCTGTGTGGGCTGGTCAGGCAAGAAAAACGCTTCAGCAAGTAATGGCCACTCGTCCAACGGAAATGGCTTGAATGGATCAAATGGAGGCGATTACGGGACTCCTGGCTCTGCTAAGGTGAGCGTTGCTGGCCGTTCGAAACCTACTTGATATGGGCATTGATGTTCACTGCAGTTACTGACGAATGCGCGTCATTGTCTCGTTTTAAACTCTTTAGTCATCCTCTTCTGGTTCCATGAAGGTCAAAAAGCAGAAACGTAAGTTTATGTTCTTTTGCTCGTTAGAATATTGTATCTTCGCATTTCTCTGCAGCTCCTCTAACATGCGGATTACCTTTTTAGAAACGGATTTATCCGACTACCCTGCAAAGACACAAAAGGTACGGGCGTTATCTGACTGGTGAAGCGACTAAGCTTACCACACCATTCCTCACATGGCGGCGGGGGACTAACAGTTTTTGTCACGCATACCAACACTTGATTGTCCGGCATCAAGTCTTCTTTGCTGGCAAAAGGTAAAGAAGAAAAAACGATGGATTTCAGAGAAGGAACTCCATGTTTATGCAATATACGCTAACCATCCTTTACATTCGTTATGATGTAGCATCTAAAGCCAGTAGCTCCACAAAGCTCAAGGGCCTAGGGCTTCACACGCCCTCGACCGTCTCTGCCACGCCCGTTGGCGAGATCTCGCTGGGGTTTCTTGATGACGAGCTTCTCCTAGCCAATGGGCGGAGTCTCCAGAATGGCGCTGGAGGCGGTGGCGGTAACAATAGTGGCAGCAATGTCAATGGTAGCAGTAACCCACAGAAGCTCTCGAGTTCGAATCCAAAGCGCGCCTCTGGAGGGGTCAGCTCATCGAAGCGTCCGCCGGGGTCCGGTTCAAGCAAAAATGGGCAAGTTTCATCGTTTTATGAGAGCTTGAGAGCTATTGGCAATCATGAGGATTCGAGCAGCAGCCATGATGACAGTAGCGACGGCGACTATCGCGACGATGCCGACGAGGAGGTTGAAAAAGATGGTGGTGGTTCGACCCATTTATCATCCCAACTTGCTCATCCGCTTGTTCTTAGACTCAAGAAATCGTCTGCGTTCTCGGGTCATGCCTCAGATTCCCTGGACATGGACTTTATTGGTAACTGAGGAGAAACGAGACGGAGGAAAAGAAGGCGGTGAAGCAGGAGTTGTTGGACGGATGAATCATGGACAAAATGCACTGACCATGGCCCGCGCGTTATCTTATGTGACTGATCAGATATCGATGGGGACGGAGACGACGATGCCATGGAGATTCTACAGACGCCCAAGAAAAAGAAGCCTTAGGCGCAGCAAGAGAGTTCAGCCTCCATGAATTGCTTCTACATCTGGCAACAAAATATTGGCAACATAGACATTTCTTTTGTGTGCAAACAGCGGGCTACCAAACATCCCTGGGTGGCAACACAGAGACTAATAAAAACGAAATCTAAATGGATTCTTTGCGGAGCAAATTATTTTACTCTTTTTATTTTCTTTATTTATTCTGAGAATGCAATGCGTCATGATTGATCCATCAGATTCCCTGCGCCATGGCTTCTTCCTCCAGCACCAGTCTTGAACCGTTTGGATGCCCTGGCTTTGTTTCGAGAGGCGGATTTGTGCTTGCGCTTGAACTCCTGGGTCATGGTATGCCGCGTCTTTTCCCAATGCGCTGTTACCTCGTCCCTATTAGTTTATGCATCGGATTCGTTAGTCTCCGCGAGCTCGATCATATTGTCCATGACGAGCATGGGCATTAGGCACAAAAAAAAACGCAACGGAAAAACCTACATTGTACCCGTCCGCATAAACACCTTATTTGTAGTCTTAAAGTTGGACCTGGAATCGTAGGAGCAGAAGTGATTGTTAGTTGGTCTAGCGCCCCCCATTGTGCGTTCACAAGAAGTTTCGAAAGAGACGAATGAGTAGGTATGCACCTTTTCAGAAGCGCAGGATTATTAAAATGGAAAAAGAACATGGAACCAGTGTGCGACAGGGGCGCCCTGGTCAATGCTTCTGCACCGCTAGCAAAGATGGTCCTAGAACCTTCCGTGTATGAGGTCAAGATCTCGTCCTGCGACCGATCGTCATTCATGAATCCTGCCTGACGATCGTCCTCCACATCCCCCGATAATAATTCATTCTCTTCGTCCTCCTCCTCATCATCGCCGCCGAACAGCTTGAACGTTCCAGCGGTCGGTGCAAACAGGGACTTTAGATCGGTGGCGACTTGGAACTTGCGCGTGTTATCGAAGTCTTTCTTGGGAGCTGCTGATCCTGAGAACTCGGATGAGTCCTGGTTGTCGCCGTCGTTGTTCAGCTCATCCGCGTCAAAAGCGAACGAAAACCCTACTGAATTTTTGGCGGGCTTGGCCTCCTGAACCTGATCATCCTTCTCTTCAGCCTTATCGTCTATGGCCAGCTCATCCTCTAATTCCGCATCTTCGTCCTGCTCCTCTTCCTCCTCCTCCTCCTCCTCCTCTTCAACGTCCGACGAATCTTTTGAGGGTTGCTCAGACTCGCTCGAATCAGAGGCGCTCGCCCTGGGTTCCTGTGCGGTCGGCTCAGGCTGCTTGGGAGGGGGTGGGGGCGGAGCAGCATCCGGGTCATACCGCACTGTCAGTCCCGTCGTGTAACCAAGACCGCCCTTTGCTTGTCTCGCAGTGTCCTCCTCCTTTTTCTTGCTCCTCACTGCCGAGTCTCCAAACATGGCGCGAAGCACATTCATAGCCTGCATCTTTTCTGCAGAGATATTGGATTCCGCCTGTCGGTCTTCGTCCAAGACAATACCTGTTGCTGCAGCGCCCGATGCTGCAAACTCTTCGGCCTTTAAACGGTCTTGATGAGCCACATAGTCTACGTCGTCCTCGGCCCGAATCCGATCGTCCAAAAAGTCCTTGGTTAGCTGGAAACGGGAGTCGCTTGTGCCGATCTTGCTCTGCATCTGAAAGAGCGCCTTTCCGCCTGGACCCTCGAACTGCTCCTTGATATTCAGACCTATTCCGCAAACAAAATATTGTGTTAGGTGATGCAATACAGAGACAATCCAACCACTTCAAACAAGTGCCCGTAGGGCAACATGTTCTCACCTGGCTCTCCAAAGGCAGCAAATCTCGCATCGTCAGTCTCGTCGTCCGATGTGAACATCTCTTTGACGCCCTTCCTCTTCTTCCCTGCAATAGAAGAGGCCTGCTCTTCCTCATCCGATCCCGAATCTGAGTCGAATATGCTTTTTGGAGGTTTGCTCATATTAGTTTGCTTCTTTGCATGATCCGCCTCCATCTGCTCGTAGTCCTCGCTATCATAATCGTCCGAATCTGAAAACACAACGTGTCCGGCCTTCTTGTCTCTCGAATCAATGTTGGCGAGCGTCGATGCGATCACTTGCTGCTGCTTGTCTCGTGCGGCCTCTAGCTCGGCTTCACGGGCCTCTAGGGCCTTCAGACGAGTGGTGTTTGACTCTTCTGCGAGTTTGACTTGGAGGGAAGCGCTTTTGGTACCTTGATCTTGATCATCATCCGAGTCGAAAAGACTGCCTCCACTGGCCGATGACAATCCTTGCAGCCGTGTAATCGCCTCGATAGTGTCCTCGTCTATGCCGTCTTCGTCCTCTTCTTCTTCATCATCTTCTTCGTCGACTTCATCCTCGTCTTCACCTGCGCTCTCCATCTCCTCGTCCTGATCCTCTTCATACTCTTCTTCCTCATCCTCGTCTTCTTCCAGAAAGTCTAATGGGAATTCGTCCACTTGCGGCGCATCATCATCCTCATTGTCTCCAAACAGATCCTCTGACCGCGTGTCCCTCTGAGCTTTTGGAATGATCACTGCAGGTGTATCCAGCACAACGTCTCCAAACAAATCATCTGCTTGTGTATCCTGCAGTACGCCGAAGTCCTCCATGTACGATTCGCCCTCTTCGTCGCCATCGATATCAGACCCGTCCAGGGACAGTGCTCGGGGGCTCATGTCGATCCCTGCAAGAATAGAGGCCATCATGGTCCGGTCATCTGACGTGTTAATCTTGTCTGTTGTAGATTTTGGTGTGAGCGTGTCATTACTTCCGCCTGCTCTTGGTGTTGTTGCCTTATCCGCGGCTGCTGCTGCTAATACCGTCGGTTTCGATCTAGAGAGGAATGGCGCTAAGGCGACTTCGGTCGAAAGATGTTTTCCTTTGGGAAGAGGTTCATCCTCGTCGATCTGGTACAGGAGCTGGTCAAGGGGCAGAGGTTTTCCTGCAGTACTGTATATTTTCTCCGCGTTATTCTTATAGTGCGATGGGTCATACGTCAGCTAGTCCATCATGAGAACGCAAAGGCGTTGTAGGGTCAGCAAACAAAAGTTGGAAGTAGCGCAGATTATGGCACCAGAGTGGATAATGTGCACTCGCTTACTCTATCCAGTTTCATGGTAATAACAGGTCGTCCAAATCGCCCTCTCTTCCAGCCACGTTTGCCATCCATGTTCTTGTCTGTGATTAGGGACATGTCTTCAGCGTGTTTGATGGGATTCCTTTTCAGTTTCTTGAAAGCCGCATCCTGCTCTTTCTTCTCCAATTTCGCCTGTGCCTCCAGATCCTCTTGCCGTCTATAATATGACCATAACCACCAAAGAAACAAAACTTCCACGGTTAATCTCTGCGTCTCTATGCTGCCATTGTCAACGCGATCCCAAATATCGATTCGCGTATCGGTACTTTGTCTGCCAGTCCTTATTTGCCTCTTCGATCTTCAAGACGTTGCCCTTCCATTTCGCGCCGTTGAACAGGGTTACACATTTGGACCAGTCCTTTCTTGTGGTGTCAAGTGTTACATATCCGAATCCGCGACATGTCCCGTCAAGATCCTTGGCCAGATGTACATCCTTGAGCTGTCCGAACGATTTGAATCGCCCCTCCACATCCGCCGGCGTCACGTCCTTGGCAAGACCTCCGATGAATGCTCGCTGTGAGATCTTTTCTATATATCGCGATCAATATTGAAAAATGCCAGGAATATCTTAACATCGGATGAGGGACCGCAACAGATAAAGAACCCCGATTCCTTGCAGTTCCACATACCATTAGGATCAACAGGCGGTTTCGGCGCCTTTGGTTTCTTGACCTTTGCCGGCTTCAATGCCGCAGCCTCGTCCTCCGCAAACATTTCAGATGCTGTCGAAGCTGGTGGCGCTGCCGCGACTGATCCCGGTTGTGTTGATGCTGTACGTTGCTGTCCCACTTTCGTATCGCCTGGCGTACTTCTTAGACGTGACCCCTGTTTGTTGAGCTGACCCGGTCCTGCTGGTTTTGAGAAGGGCTTGCGAGAAGTGTCGTCCTTATGTGAGTACTCCATTTGAGGGCGAGCCACCTTTTTGAGCGCCGTTGGCTTCATCATGAGAGGGATGTTGGTGGTCTGGAGACGGCAGTGAATGAGGAGGCCCAGCTAGCTTTGTACAAGGTTGGTATGCATGGCACCCTAAAAAAAAAAAGAAAAAAAGCAAATAAAAAACAATGCGCACAGTCACCACCTCACTATACTATCACGTGCGACGACCCAGTTTTCTATTTTTTGCCTCGCCTTGTTGGTTGAACTTGCTTGCAAGTGAAGACTCGAAAAGAGAGTGAGGGCTTGGCCTAGCCGAGGTTCATGATCTACTCTTCCACTGGACTTACTAAGTGAAGTGGCATTTATCTCGCGCGAAACACCGGTTTACTACATCGTCTGGGGTTTGAAGCATCCAATGGTAATATCCACTAAGCCCATGCCACTTTTGACGCCACCAATTTACGTAACGTCATGACCCTGGCCTATTGAACCGGCCACCGGTTGCAGCTTAAAAAAATAGCAGCCTTGTGCTTTTGAAGACCGTAAACGAGGGTGTTTTTATTGCACATAATAAGCTAGTATACACATTAAATAAAGCAGGTCAGATCGTCCGGTCCAGTCGGCGAAAGTGGTTCGCCGAGAATGAAATGATGTTTGGCCCCGTAAAGTTGTATCGTGGCATCCGTGTTATATCCTTCCTCTCCGCTCCATTCTCCCGAAAGCCACTCTTCTTCTTTGACTGATCCCTCTATCGACTCAGTGTTCCCGTGGCCATAGGTACTCTCATCGCTGGATTCCATCTCTATCGCTGTCTTCTCGTGACAATCATGAGAGCTGTGCGTTCGGTGATAGAGTTCAGCACCGCTGCTACCGATACCTCTCTTCGTCCTTAAAGCAATGGTATCATTGTAAATTGGCGATCGTCGGATCGAGTCTTCCGAGAGCCACCCTTCCTCCCCTGTCAACCCATCAATTGCCTCATTGTTTCCATGGTCATCGGTACTCTCGTCGCTGGACCCCAGCGTTATCACTGTTTCCTTGCTCTGTGCTTGAGAACCACGCAACCGGTACCAATAGCCTGAGTCGGTAGTCTTGATCCGTTTCCTTGTTCGTGTGGCAATGGGGTCTGCGTCACTTAGTACCCGTTTGCTCGGGGTTGACCGGTTGGCATCCAAGCGAGATCGCAGTCTTGATGATGTCCTGGTTTGCCGGGTATAATGCGTGAATGTTGGTGTTAATCGTCGCCTTGAAGGCGATCTGGAGCGCAGGTGTCTGAACTGGATGTCATCGCTGTCAGTGCTATCATCCTCTGAAGTCTCTCCTTGTCCATCGAACTCGTATGAGATAACATGTTTCTTGCGTGGGGCCAATTGTCGAGGTTGAATATCATGATCGCTCTGCGCAATGACACCTGCGGGGGTATCATCCTCACTTTGACTGTCCAGCGCACTTCCGGCTTCTTCTGGGAACTCATCAGTCGTCACGTCGTCACCGCCATCATCTGCGGAGTCGCTAGCACTGGAATCACTTATCAGTATGTATTCCTCGTCCGGTCGATTGTTTGAATGTGGCGAGTTACTGCGCAAAGATATCGACTCCAGCTCAGGATTACCATCCACCACGTCCTCCCTCGGTTCTATGAACAGGTCTCGAAGTCTGGGTGCTCTCTCGGGGGTAAGCAGTTGCTGCGATCCTTTCTCCTCAGAATCGGATTCGGACTCAAGGTCACTGTAGTTGATCGAGCGTCGACTCGCTCTCACTGGGCGCCGAACAGGGGTCATTGAACATTGGATCCGTCTCTGGACCTCGAATGGCGACGCCTCTTCGATCTGCTGGCGGTGCCTTGCGGAGGACTCTCCAGTCGAGAGCTCCTCGGTCAAGGTCTCCGACTGTTTGGGATATGACGATCGCGAGATCAATCGGCGCCGACGAGCGGTGTAGTCGTCGGATTCATAGTCATAGCTCAGGCTGAATATTTTCTGAGAGTCATGCTGTCTAACAGATGAAGTGCCGTCATCGGCGCTCTCTTCAGAACCGTCACTCAGCACCATGGATGCAATTTTGTTCGCCTTTGGAGTGCGCTGTACCCAGTCTCCTAACATTGTATCATATCGCCTACAGAATTTGCAAGAATATGAGAATAAACGTGAGTAGTCTGGTCTAGAATTCAAATTAGGAATTCGGGCTGAAATGCAGAATGATTTGGGCTCTTACCAGCTATCGTTCGATGCGCGCTGGATTCGCCGACCTTTTACCTCGCGCAGATAACGCTCCAGACTCGACTCAGTGATATCGCATTTGTAACCAAGCTCCCGCCGCGTTTTCTTCTCCAGAGTAACGTAGTAGTCCAGCATCCTGGTAATTAGCTTCATCGATAGTCCATATAACCCTACTGCATCCAACATCAACGCCAAGGCATTCAGGTTCGTCAATATGCCGTATGAGTTGATAACCACATCAAAATCCTCCACCCGAACGTGGCTGGACAGTCGAGTCTCCAGTAATTGTATCCATTCCTGAGCTTTTTCATCATTTGTTATATTCGACGACTCCGTGACAGAGACATATAGCGCATGCAGGGCCAGCGCAAGGGCAGTGTCCTTGAGTACCATATTGTCCGTATCGTCAGCTCCATCACTCGCAGGGTCGTTGATATCCTTGAGCAGACATCGAGCCACGTATTCAATGACACTATCACAGGTGATCGTCGGTATCCTTTGAAAATCTATCGATGTTTCTGTACTTTGCTCGTGCAATCGTAACGAGTCCTCGATCAGCACTGAGGTCCAGTATGACGCGCGACTCCGCTTCGACCTCATGTTCATAGACTGCAATGAATGTCCCATAATTCTTTCAAACCCTCCTTGGATAAGAATCGCTCGATGCTGCGGTTGGATCTGCCGTATAAAGGTATAGAACGACTTATCCAAAAAAATAGCTACTTCGCCGTCCCGAGATAGAGCGGCGATCCATGCGTCCGAACTCCTGATGCGTAATGCGACGTTGTATGCCCATTGAAGATCCAGTCGGTACATCCTATCCGCACCACCGCTCAGATGTTCAAGGAGTCGCAAGGCCTAGGAACAGAGCATTGTTGTGTTAGAAGCATAGGTTCTTACGTACAAAGATACGAAAGAGCAGCAGATGCATCAGCAGCAAGACTTACTTGCGCATTCGCCTTGTATTTGGCACAAACACCGACAAGAGGCTCGATCAGACGCCCGACAGGCACTTGAGCGACACACAGTTCAACGATGTGCTCAAGTAACGCGAACCTATATAGTAAATGTCATATAATGGTATGGTTAGTTGAGCAAAGGAAGCGAATAGTTAGCGCAAGCTAGATTCGGAGTACCTCTAACAATTTACCGGCGCATGTAAGGGGGCATGATGCCATAGTATTTCTCCATAATGTCTGCGAGATTTTCGGGAAGACGAGCAATGGTTCGTCCCACCGTGAACGCACACGAATTTCTCAGAGATGCCACGCTCATGTTAATGACATCGGCTGCGACCGACTCTGGATCTGTGCTCAACGGCAGATCGTGGTTCTCACAAAGTGGATGCCACCAAACTTTCTCGACCACGTCCTTAAATAGGTCCTTGAGTGACAAGCGGAAGCGCTTGACGAGGATATCACTCCCATTCTGCTGCATAATCGAGCTGATTCTGGTAGTGCCATCGCTCGTATCCAATGGCTGCCATGGCGATAACGTGGACGTCGGCCTGCGGTCAAAATGCGTTTGGGGTTGGCAGTTTGGGTTTCGCCGTGCCCTCAGGGACCTTGATTGACCATACTTGTGCTTAATGTTCCGCGCTGGTCTATCAGAGTCACTCTCATTATCGCTACTAGCTTCTGTGGTTGGCGATGCCGCTGTATTTATCGCATTGATCGCGGAGATGTATCCAAAGGAAGGCGCGGTCTTAATGGCGAGGTGGATGGCAGCAATCTTGGCCTTAAGTGGTCGTAGCAGTCGGTGAATGCGGAGCAATTCCAGAGGGTAAAGATACCCGCGAGGCAAGGAGGGAGTATCTGCCAGCGTTGCCCAGTGCGCGGTGATGACTCCATTCTGTAACTCCTGCTCCGTTTTCTTGTCTGGGTCAAGGTCCTGCAGGGTCGGGATCCGCATCGTGCACCATTGAGAAGGACGAGAGAGGACGATGTGGAGAATAGGCAGGGACGAGTCAAGAGAATTCGCCTAAACCCTATTTGTTGTTGACAAAATAAAGCAGGCTTGCAACACTCCTTCTCTACTTCCCATTCCCAGTAAAAAGCGATCAAGAATGGCTGACACTGCACAGGAATTACCCAAGGAACTCGATCTTGATGGCCTGGTCCACTTGGAGAATATGTAAGGAATCTCAAGGGCGTCGGATCAACAGCCGCAGGATTAGCCGGCGATTTGTGTTCTGATCTGATCTATTGCAAACAAGATTTTTACGCAGCACCCTGACCTAACTTGTTGATGATGCTAGGTTCGTCGAGTATGGTCGAGAGGATGGTTTGGCGGCAGGAGTGAGGAGCGGCGTAATTGAAGGAAGGGTGATGGGATGCGAAAAAGGATTCGAGCTCTCTCGCGAGGTTGGATATTATGCTGGATGTGCTCAGCTCTGGAAGGCTATCGCGCAGTTCGATCAGGAGCGCATTCCCGAGAAGTAAGTAGTGATCATATTGAAATAAGCGGTGGTTTTTCTTTATTCGTGTTGAACTCACATATGACTATATCTGTTTGTCATTTTACAGGACTCTGAAGAAGATCAACTCGCTTCTGGACCTTATCAACTCCTTCCCGCGCCAAAACCAATTGGACGACGATGTAATTGCGCTTTTGGACAGGATTCGTGGCAAATTTAAGACAGTTGCATCCGCATTGCGGACCACTGAGCGATATGCAGAGGCACCCAAGAGCAAGATGTTTTATTAACGTCGGTTGTTGTTCCAGGAATCAATACGGATGTCATCACGACCAATTTGTCGCCAGCCATGGCTTGCCTTACTTGGTACCGAATCTCCTCATCTTTGCTGATAAGAGTACTTCTATTGCGATGCATGGGATTCTTCGACGTTAAAATGAAAATCACTACTTGCCAGTGGAGCAGCTTTGACCGCGTTGCTCGTCTTCAATGGGATCCTGGAATCTCGTCTATCCATGTCAAGTCCGTACGAATGCACATGCGTTGCGACATGGCACTTTGCAATGCAGATCGCGCAATGGCGCACAGTCCACTCTACGCTTTGTCTGCCGTCGGTATCAGTAGCAGTTCAGACCGATGTGTGCTGCTGAAATAAACTTTTTTTTTCGCCTTCGTCAATCTCCAATTGTATCAGAATCATCGAGTATGAGAGGCGACAATTACAAACTGTATCAACAATGCCTCTTGTCAAATGAGAATTCAAAAAATGGTTTGAAGCGCCGTTGCACTTTTAAAGTGCGCTTGGGCACGGCACTAATGAGGCCTTAAACCTGATCTGTACAATCGCTAGCGTTCACTCACACGACCAAAAGATACTGAACCCTGAACCACTGAGGCTGCATTACGAACAATTATCGGCGACTGGGAATAAAAATAAAGTAGGTTTCCCACTATTGGCTATTCATAATTGCAATTTTTTGCTGTCTCTAGTCCCCAGTCTCAAGAGGAGGCAGATAATAGTAAAGCCCACGACGAAAATAATTCAATTGCAGACCTCTCTATGAGGTGATCCATATAACGCCCAAGTGAGCAAAAGAGCGCGCGGATGTACAACCAAGTGGGTATGCACAGCCTGATAAGGAAAGGTGTAGGCCGCTGTCTCCAATGGCACCACTGAACAAATAAGTATTTTCTTTGCTGGGATGTCTTCTTACCCGTACACTGTTAAGTGATATAGAGAGGATATATATATATGTGTGTGTGTGAGTGTGAGTGTGTATGTGTGCGCTCGCGGTTTATGCACGAAGAGGAATTGGAGTGATTTGCCGGAGCAAGGTAAGGAAGAGGTATATTCAACGAAATTGAAACAATATGACCGCAAATTGAGAGCCATGGCGCCAATGCACATGAACCTTTGACGTGCTTGCAAGCTGTCGCGTCTTTTTATATGAAAGAATTCTCTGAGGGGGCCTACTGTATGAGCATCAGAGGGAGAGGCGGAGTCCAGGGACAAGGTTATCCCTCTCTCCCACACACTGTTCGTTCAACAGATATCGTACCTGCACACGAACATTGTTCCGAGTGGGCGTTTGAGGGCGCAGTGGTGAGTTAATAGGGCTGAGGCAAAACAGGCGGCGACGGGGGATGGGGACACAGAGTGCTCCTGCAGCTGTGATGTGGACGTACCGTACTTGTGTACTTCATATACAATCGTATATAACCTCCCCCTGATTTGGCCCTGGTCCCTTTCACTCTCAATCCTCTCTCTTCCCCTGTCTTCCCTGCCTTCCCTGTCTTCCGTCCCCTGTCTTCCGTCCCCTGTCGTCCTCTGTCCCTCATCTCCGCTGAATATCACTCAACCAATCGCAGCCCCTGCTTTGCTTAATATTCTCACATATACTCAGGGTCCAGGACAGAGGAAAACGAATCCCATCTCGGTCGCAGTCTCGCATATTACTCACTCGCCCACTTTATTACCCGCCCACTCTTTATCTCTTTCACTTTGCATCTTCAACCTCATTTCTTTTACATTCGCATTCACATTCTCATTTTTATTTTCATTCTCATTTGCATTCTCATTCACTTTCGCATTCACTTTCACTTTCACATCCACTTTCGCGTTTAAAATCAAGCATGGCCCGAAAATATGGTACAACAGTCTATGTGAGCCGCAGATGGCCCCTGATGCTACGGCTTAAGGGCACAGTCATCGTCCAGATCTGGTGGCAAGTATTGCTCGTCGGCATCTATTCAGCGGCCGTCTTCTTGATAAATAAATACTCTGCCTGGAAGATGGGCTACTCTCTGGTAAGCAACCGCTATCTCTGATTTAACAGATTCATATAGTTTATGGTCAGCACCTGCCTCAGGTTCATCCGAAAACTGACCATCCTGCTTGCCTGTTTGTTCCTGCAATCTCATTGAATGAAATAGAATTTGGTTTCGGTAATGGGTATGGTCGTATCGCTCCTGTTGGTTTTCCGCACAAATACAGGTGAGTGATGTTCTCTCGTGCTCCGCCCAGACCAGATCAGCTCATATTTTGCTTTATTGTACTACCATGGCATGTCTGTGCTACATCCCCCTGGCTGCTTATCACTAAAAATATATGTCTAATTTGATTAAACACAGCATACGATCGTTACTGGGAGGGACGTCGTCTTTGGTCGCAAATGACACTCTGCATCCGCAACCTCACTCGTGGCATCTGGGTCTGCGTTGCCGAGTCCGAGACAAGGGACTTGCTCGAAAAAAAATCCGCCATCAACCTCCTAGTCGCTTTTGCATTCGCCACAAAGCACTATCTGCGTGAGGAGTACGGATACGACTACGAGGACATGATCGACCTGCTCACCCACATCCCCAAGTACTCGATCCCAACCTCAACTCAGCCTATGGATTGGCGCGTCGACATCCCAACGGACCTGGAGAAACTCAAGCCTATCAATCACTTACAGTCACCCCAGCAGCAGAACCAGTCCTTAATGGGCCATACTAGCGCTACCTACACTCAAGATATTCGTGCCCGTCGTGCCTCCAAGAGCCAGCAGGCACTTGCGTTCGATTTCTTGACACCGACCAACATCCCAATCGAGCTCTCGTATTACATTGGAAGCTACATCAAGAGCTGCAGCAACAAGGGTAAGGTCGATCCCGCGACATTAACCTTGATGAACAATGCTCTGGTCTCGTTGGTCGACTGCCTCACCGGATTCGAGCGTATCTTGCGCACGCCCATCCCTCTCGCCTACTCGATTCATTTGCACCATGCCACTTGGATCTATCTCTTGGCCCTGCCCTTCCAGCTGGTCGCCAATATGAGCGGACTCATGATTCCTGCGACCATGCTTGCTGCTTTCACACTCTTGGGCATCTTGGGAATCGGTTACGAGATCGAGAATCCTTTCAACGACGACTACAACGATCTGCCTCTGGATGATTTCTGCAAGGTGATCCAGGCAGAGGTCGATTCTATGGTTGTGACTCGTGCTCCTACTCCCTCAGAATGGGTCTTTTCCGAAAACAACTACCCTCTTCCTCAATCTGATTTGTCAGCAAAGGAACTCTCGGAACTCTCACTCGAGCAGGTTCATGAACTGATGGCTGCCGAGAACCCGCACCGCACGCCTGAAGAGATAACACAGGCGCGCATGTCGGTTCAGCTTCAGTACACTCGCTCAGTAGCTGGTAACGACAGGGGATCAACTTCGACAAAATCGAGTACAGGGACTGAACTGACAAAGGTCAGCTCGATGTCGGGCAAGATTTAAGAGAGGAGGGGAAAATGAATCTGCCTAAACATCGCTTGAGATATCCTCCCGTTCCGCTCCTGCTGAAATAAATCAGCATCCGCATGTCGCGTTAAAACGCATTTCAGGAATAACGTGAATAAACGAACGTTCTATGTATAGACCCGTCATCGATAGTTAGATTGTACGTGGCAAAAAAAAAAAACGCTTCCCCAACATGAATGCTATCTTCCCGGCTCTACAACATCACTGGGGACTCCATTGAGTTCAGACGGCAGGGCTTTACAGCGCGTTTCCATCGTTTGTTTTGAAGGATCTACATCGCTACAAAGTTTTCTTCGTCACCCCTAGATCTCGCTGCTGAATCAACTTTCTGCACATCGGAGCACGCCGCTGTTTTCTCAAGCACCAGTTTGCTTACTCTAGCCGCGAGTGTTTTTCTTAGAAACCATTTCCTCATTGAAGCCTTGGATGCTGTGGAAGATGGCTTCGACGACTATATAAAATGGGTCCTCAGAAATTTTTACGTACAACTCCACATCAATAGGCGACGGATGCTGAAAGAAAAAAACGTCGTAGGTTGAATACTGTTCCTGTTGCCTCCTAGCCTTCCTACGCGAAGGTGTTATGGGCTTGAATCAAGAAGTTTGCAGGACCTTCGTCCTACCGACAGTACGCACATTATTAACAAGCACAAGCGGATTAAAGGGAGAAAGCTGACAAAAGAGGGGCATCGAGCCATTCTACATCGCTAAGAGTGTTGCAAAGCAGGGAGAGAAAATGGCAAAGCTGCTTCGATAGCCAACCCTATGGAACAATGTCAGAGATATTGTGTTGAACAGAAATATTGAGACTGGTCTACTAGTATTCAAGACACGCGCCTCCCTTATTTGAACCTCGGTCTTCGCTCAATAAAACACCTTCACCACTGAACACACTTTTTTTAACTTTTTTGCAACACCACGCTCCCAGACTTGAATCCATTGCATCTTAACTGTGTTTTCTTCGTTGGACTGATTGGCAGTGCAAGCAAGATGGCTATTTTGAGCGATCCATCCCTTTGTCAGTCTCTCTCTCGGTTCAGAAGATAATGCGACGGGAGACAGAAGGCGCGCCAACTGATTGTTCCGCAGGATCCTATTAGCCTCGATGGAGATATACCAGGCTATCAATCACACCTTGCCCTCTTATTTTCCCGCACCTATGAAGGCCTGCCGAAACAAAGGGTGTCGCGTTCTTGGCAGTGCATGCATGCGTTGATGCCTATACAATCCACGCCTTTTTGACAACTCTCCATCGCTTCCTACCTTGCAATGCACCTTCATTTCACCAAAGCACACACCCTTGACTTTATCAATCCTTCTCCTACGCATTCCCAATTTTTCCCTACAGAACCATGCTTCAATACAAAGTATAACTTTTATCCCTGACCACGGGCGGCACACGAAAGCCCTGAATGGTCCTGCAAGCCCAGGCTCGACAGGCCCAGCTCGCCTAGCTCGCGCTTTTTCTTAAAGCTACTCCCCATCCTAGTGCCGTCAGCACCACTATCACCACCAATCAGCAAGCACTGGGGTCATCTTCAAACTCTCGATATCCAGGAACGATGCCACGAGCCCCCCCCCCCCAAGTGAAAAGGGAAGTATCGGTGCTCTTGTATTACATATTGCTAACAGTTTAACTATGAGTTGTTAGGACTACAGTACAAGATGGGGGATCTACAATGTGTATGGTATCTGCAATGGCCCTCAGGGTGATGCATTAGATATATCCTCACAGTTCTTTTTGTATACTTCAACTGTTTTACAATGGACGTGTCGCGAACGCTTTTATTTGAGCAGGGCATGGTTTTACGAAGGGCGTGGGACAAAAAGTAAACTCAAAAAAGTCAGAAATGCGGGGCACAGACGCAAAAAAAAAAAAAAAAAAAAAAAAAAAAGTGTGGGGCAAAAAAAAAAAGAAAAAAAAAGAAGTGATTTGCTTTGGCTCAGCGATAGGCGACCTCATCCCAACGGGCCAAGCGATCGAGCGTTTGAAACCAAGGGTCATTGCTGGCGGCGGCCACAGTTGCATCTCCAACGTCTTCTTGGCTCATCGTCCGTGACAGGGCTCGTTTGCGCTCTAGTGCCGCAGTCCGCTTGCCACAGACCGCAGCCGCCAGATCCGTTCTCCAGTCAGCCTCGGTCAGGTCCTCAAACACGGGACTTGTATACGCTAGTGATTTCATGGCATTGTTGTTGTTGTTGGGCGAAGGCGTTGGTTTCGAGGGTTCAGATGTAGTAAGATCGTCCTGGGTAGCCGTGAAATAATCAATACAATCGAACCCGATCTTGCACAATGCGTGGGAGATACTGCCGGGACTCAAGGGCCCGAGTAGAATATCATCATCCCTGCTGTTGTTGCCGAAATTGCTTCCGGTTCTAGACTCAGTCAACAGCGATATTTCTGGGACGGAAGAGGATAAGGAAGGTGTGGTCGATAATGATCGGCTGATCTGTTCATTGGCCGTTGTCTCTGCTGCTACCCTCCCGGCAACATGCTTGCTTCGTGTGCTTGGTGTTGTTGTTATAGGGTTCTCAGAATGTTTTGAAAAGATGCTTGAGGACTGCGTGGAGAGGAGATAATCCCAGCAATCCTCTTCGTCTTTGGGGTAGATCGAGCAGAGGGCTCGGGAATAAGTGGACAGCCAAGGTCCGTCGGTCGATTGCATGTTGCCTGCGAAGGAGGCATCGAATCTGCTCTTGACATTGGCCATTGTGAATTCGGTGCTATCAGTGGGGTAATTGAACGTGGATATGGGAATGCGGCAAAAAGTCGAATGTAGGGGTTGAAGAGGGATGGAGAGAATGCTGAAGGAGAGGTAAAAAAAATAAAGGAAGAGATGAAAGAAAGGGTGTTCTTTTTAAGAAGGAAAAAGAAGTTGTTGGGGGGCAGGGTGCGTGTTGTTTGTACGGTCGTGTACTACCCCGAGATGGGAGGGCACACCAAACAGAAGCTTGGCCCAAGCACAATGCATGAAAACCCAAAACAAATAAGCGATAAGTGTGGGGCAGAGGAGTAACTAAACCACAAACAGCCAAATGCCATCTCAACTCGTCCACGCTATGATGCACAATGAACAGAAAGAAACAGAGGCAAAGAAATGATGGGCTAGGCCCTTCTCCACCCATGTGCTGCAGACTAAATTATAAAAATAAGAAACGAGGCTAGGTGACAATTGGAATAGGTCGATAAGCCGAGCAATGGTTTATTTTCAACGTTCTCTCTCTGCAACATTGCGACTGCAGCAGCTATATGGCGTCCAGCATCATGCCCCGTCGTCATGCCCGTCGTCATGCCCGTCGTCATTGCTGCTTCTTGGTACCCTTAAAGGACACAGGCCCTTGTTCGTAAGATCGGACGCGCTGGAAGGACTCGTAGAGCATCCATAGAGGGAATACAACCCAGGGCGTATACAAGGATGTCAGAAATAGCTTTTGCGCGTCCGTGATATGGAACGGGAAATCGCTGGGCTTGCCGAAGTTCAGTGTAGTAAGACATGGCAGAACCGTCGTGATGACATGGGCCGAGTAGATACAGATCCACAAGGCGACGCTCCTCTTGTTATGGTACAGCGCCCAAGCACAGTAGATGAACATGGGCAGCTGGATCAATCCCTCCATGTGCAGGAAGGTGTTAAACCAAACCAGCGACCTGTCGGCGATGAAAGGGTCTCTATAGGTATCAACGTAGTACTCTATACCACCGTACAACGCGTGTCAGTTGAAGTAATTAGCCGAAAAAGACCGAGCACTGTATCTGATCCTGAGCTGGCATACCATTGAGCTTGATCAATGGCTGGATGTATGGGGCCACGGACGCTGGGTAGAGTGGAACCACGTCGACCAGGGCCGTAGTTGGGATATGCATAGCAAAGTAAATAAACATGATAAGATCCTTGGGCCTGGCCGTCAGAGGAACTCTGCTTGAGGAGACAGACATGTCGATGGTAGTATTTCTTGAAGTGATGGGAGCAGAAGAATGAAGAGTAGAGGCGAGGGATGAGGATGAGGATGAGGATGTTCCCGGCGTAGTGCTGAGCTGATGATCTTTGTGGTGCCACCAAAATGTTTACCCACGTCCTTACGTCCTTTGAACACATGAGAAGGGTGTGCCGTCGCAAGTGCTACGCCGCGGCGCACACGAGCTGCACCATCTTAAGAAGAGCATTCGCCATGTGTCTCCAACCTTCTTCCCATCAACTACATCACTCGGGCCAGTGAGTCGAGCCACGTTTATTTCAGGAACATGGGAAATACGGCTTCAGGCGAGGAGGGTAGGCACCGTCTCGGATACCACGTCCTCAGGGTAAAACGTATTTCTTACCAAGCGCCAGCCATGGTCCTCTAACGAAATATGATGGCCAACATGTGTCCTCACCCTCCACATATCTTTCGCATCTCTTGCTTTGTAATTATACAACGAAAGGTTAAGGACGACTCCCCGGCGTACAGATCAGGTATCCGACCCTTTTTCGACTATATTGTAGCTATCGATGGTGTCCGTCTCAACACAGAAGGCACCTATCTGCAGGACCAATTACTTGCCAACGAGGACAAGCCTGTGATGCTGGATATCTATTCAACGCGAGAGCAAGCTGGAAGAAGTACGTTACTCGTTAACCGCACTATAATGGAATTGTCAGCACAATGGGTACAGCACACGACAGATGCTAACTCTTGCAGTTATTCTCACTACCAATAGGGGTTGAGATGATTCCAACAAAGAACTGGGGCGACAGAAAAGGCGGCTTGATTGGATGCAGCATCCGTTTTTGCATGTTTGATGCTGTAAACGATGTTGTCTGGCATATTTTGGTACGCTAGAAAGGGCTATAGAATTATGAACGTCAATCCACCATGCTGTCGTTTGACCAAACAAAACGATTCTTTTGCTCTAGGACGTCGCTCACGGATCTCCAGCAGAGAAGGCAGGATTGTGCCCACACACGGACTATGTCATTGGCACACCATACGGCATTATGCGGGGCGAAGGAGATTTGTACGATCTTGTGGAGGACAACATTGGCGAACCTCTACGACTCCACGTGTACAACTCTGAGACGGACCATGTGCGGGAGGCAAGTGTCGTCGAAAACGAAGCTCACCATGACCTTTCAAAAGACTTATCCGCTTAACATTCAATTCTTCTTCTAGATCGTTATCATACCAAACGAGGAATGGGGAGGCGAAGGACTGCTGGGATGCGATGTCGGTTACGGGTAAGGATGCAAATTTGATTCAGGATAGTGGTGGCATGCTTGGACGCCGACTATGGCACTATATCACTATTTCTGATCGTGTCTACTGCTCGCTCGCATTACAGATACTTGCACCGTCTCCCGAGGCAAGGGTCTATCATACATGAGGGCTCAAGTGGATCACTTAGGAAGACACCTTCGTTGCCATACCCGCCATCGCAGGAGATGGTACACGACACCTCATATGTCAGGAATACCATGCCAGCCTCCTTCCAGCCAGGCGAACAGCCATTGGACATTGTGGCACCGACGCCTCGGCCGCCCCATTCGCCGTCGTGGCTGAGCACTAGCGAGGCCCTTGAAGGTTCCTTGCAAAGCTCATCGACCGCAGCCGCAGCCGCAGCAGAACAAGAGCAGGAGCAGGACCTACCGCCCCTCCGGTTCGGCCGAGGTGAACGACCTGATGCAGAAGATGAGCCAGAGTCCGAAGACGAGTTCATGCCTAGAGGCGATAGATCTGCAGGACTTCAAGGCTCGGCGTTGGACTCCTTACAGCCCAAGTCTCCGACCTTCCTGAAACAACTGCAGGCAGTCTCTGTTCAGGACAACTATCAGCATCACACAGGACCCGCCGCCAGGGCCGAGCATCAGTACAATGGCCCAGCTCAATATACCTCGCCAATTGCACATCAACTCCAGTTTCAAAATCAACCACCATCTCCACAGCAGCCCAAGGCACCTTTGCCACAGCCCTCGACGAATGCGAATAGCAAACCTCTTTCTTCTCCTGCGACAAAATCAGCGACGACGGATTTCAACACTGGAGACATCCCCTTTGGTGGAGGAGACGCAATGGACTTTTCTAGCCAATTCGGTGTATTTCAACAGTAGTATCGCCAGTAGATGAGTATCAATGGAATAGCTGTGCTTGCTTGAATAAATGCCATCAATAAAGACTCCGTGCCCAGGGATTGTAGTTGGTGTGACAAAAACAAAAAAGATGAATGCGTGCGTATGTTCGTCTTGGGCTCTCTGGCATGGGACTTTGTCGGACGGCTAGACAGCTGGACATGATGACAGGGTATGAATGTCTTAAGATATGGCCATGCTGGCACCTCAGTTAATGTATTTCGCTGGGCCAATGATTCCAATGGTCATTCCCAACCCGACGGTTTCAAGCGACAGAATTCTGCGCTGAATTGGGTCCTTTCTCGCGCCGTGACTCGGTGAGGGCACAAAAGAAACTTCGAGTGCAAACCTGAACGACATTCAATCCTTTCTTTCTTGCTCACTGCACATCTCAACGAAGCACAACCTGCATGGGCCCGTCTGTTGATCGACCCCCACCAAACTGACCAGCACAGAACGCTGACATATCCGCTGACATATCCGCTGATATATCGATTGACCTGGCAGGACCCGACTGATTCCAACAACGCTACCATCCTCTCATTTCACCTTCATTGAACACACGGACATGGACCAGGACAACTCTGACAATTCTGACAAGGCTGTGGCTATTGCTACCACTACCTCCGCTACCAACGGCTCTATAATAATCGCACCCGCCACTGATACAGCCGGCAGTAACAACGACACGACGAATGGCGCTGATACGGAAGAAGTATGCCCCTGTCGTAAAGTGACCAATACGTTTGCGGATCGTACATGTGGTATCTGCCAACGCGTCATCCCTGCGTTGGAGAGCGCCGAATTAGAACACAGGCGATTGTACAAGGAATTGGAGCAAGCTAAGAAGGAGATGGATTTACGCCAGAAGCGTGCCGAGGCCGAGATCGCAGAAACACAGACGTTGCGCAAAAAGGTACAAGGGCTTGAGATGACACTCACCACCAAAGTGGAGGAGTACTCGAACGTACAGCGGGATCTCTCTGTCTTGAACGATAAATACGTGGACGAAATCGAGAAGGTGGCCGAGATGCAGCACGCCAAGGAGATGGTTGAGAATGAGCTGGAGGAGCTGAGTCGCACGCTTTTTGAGGAAGCCAACGGCATGGTCGCGTCCGAAGCCAGAGCACGACACCAGCTTGAGCTCACCCGGAAACACCTCGAGCTCGAATTGAAGGACGCTCGGGAGCGACTCGCAGCGGAGACATCCCAACTCAAGGAACTCAAGTCCAAGATGGAAGCCATGATAGACTCCCAGCCACAAAGCAAGCGCTCCTCGACTAATCCCTCAGATCGTGGAAGCGTTGACCTCGCCCAGCTCTTTGGAATGAGCAAGATGTCGGAGTCAGTGCCCATGTCGCAGGAGCCGGAGACAGCGATCGCAATTGACGGCCAGCTAATTCAGGAGTTCAAAGAGTTCGTGACGCAGAGCGCAACAGTCCGCCTGGTCAAGATCCACACCATCCCATTTATGCGGCACTGTCAGGACGAGGACGTGGAGCCGTGCTTACGATTTGGAAATAACCCCAGGATTTCAGCCAGGAAGCTAACGGAAGGCATCTGCTCCAACACATGCTACATTGAAGAGGCGACAGCTGAACAAGTCAAGGAATATGAGCGCATGATCCAGGCAGCCCAACAACCTCCCTCACCGGCACGCAACTCGGTCTCCAATAAGAATATGCTATGGGAAAGGCTCCAGACACAGTATGCCATGTACCAGGCACCCAAGGGAGGATGCCAGACCTGTGGGCGCTCAGGACCATTAACCCATCGGTACCGCATTGCGACTTTGGATGAATGGTCGTTTATTGATCGGTTCTGTCGAGATCGACTCGTCGCAGTCTGTGAATTCTACATTTTTGTGCGCAATATCCGCGCTGGGCTGTATTCGAGTCGTGCGATCGAGGATCTGTACTCAGAAAGCCTTCGCCTTCGGCTCCAAATGTTCTATGCCCGCTCAGGAGTGCTGCCAATTATGCTTTCAGAGCTCGGTGTGGTTTCACAGTCGATTGGAAATATGGGTCCTGCGGGAGAATGGCCAGAAGGGATTCATCCACGAGGTGAGGGCAGCGATGGAGGATCCATTATCTCTATCACACCAGCCACCACACCAAAAAGCGAACGCGCCGAAATCCTGTTCCGGCCACAATCCGCTGGAGCCATGTACGAGAGTGCATCACGCAAGGGTTCTGAGGACAAGGCAAGGGGAACGAGTGCCAGTGGAATAACAGAAGCAGTGGGAACTATTGTGGAAGAGTCGCCGGAGGAGGAAACAGTCGAGGCGACGGTCCCAACAAGTGTTTCGATTACGACCTTGGCTTCGGCTGGACCAGAGTCAACAACGCCTTCGACTCCTGACCAGAACATGCTTTCAGCTTAGACATGGATCGTTTTACACACAGATCGGAGATAGTATGGCTATTGCCCAAAAAAAAAAAAAAAAAAAAAAAAATACATAACATACCATCGAAGCATGAACATCACCGCCCTCGGCCAAAGCACAGCAATGAGGCCTGCAAGGATGTCCTTTGGCGACGAGACATTTGGGTTACGGGTGCATTTTTGAAACAATACTTGCTGTGACTACAATTACAACACGCCATCAGAATTCTATATTTTACTCCACCAATCGACATGGCCGACAAGACGCTTCAGACACAGAGCGGTTTCCAGATATATCTCATGACCACAACCTATGAATGCGTGCGCTGTGTAATTTCTTTGTTCTCTCACGCCTCCAACTTTACCCCCACATCAGCGTTACGACCATGACAGCACCCTCCCACCAGGAAATCACCCTCAGAATTACCGATGATCGCTTGAACCACTGGGACTGCAAGAAGTTCGTCAATCGGCCTTTTATCAGGAATACTTCCGGCAGCCCTTCCTGTGATAATGATCTTAAACATGCATGCTGTTCCTACAGCCTCTACCACACCGATAATCAGTTGTGGGTTTTCGACGTAAAGCTAATTAATAGCCAGATCTGGAGCGAGTTCGAATGGGTTCACATTGTTCCGCACAAGCCTCAGCAAGAATGCACGGAATATAGGTGTGTAGGTGTCGACCAAATTAATGATAACATGTTGATATACCTCGATGCGAAGGGTGAGTTAAACTAAAGACGAGCCATTCGTCCTACCGCTGTTGCTTTTTCGTGTTGTAGAGTACAGCCTAAAGACCTCTAACCATGTGTTTTTCGTCACTTCAGTCATTATCGATGAGGACACAGCGCTCAACGAAAGCAATCCTACGCGGTACGCATTCGACCTTGTCTTCTCAACTTCGTCAGAACTGAGCCCAGACCGCAGCAACATCACCGAGGAGACTCCCAGGATCACCGAGAAATCACTCAAGGATACCGAAAGTGGAAAGCCTTCCAAGAATGCATGTGCAGAACAGTCGTTCAGAGACCTCTGTCCGGAAAAGTATGAGGACATGCTCACGTTCCTCCGTGATCCCGAGTCCGTCAACACTGCATTCGTCTTCACAATCCACAGCTGCAGCATCAGGATCGCTCTGTGGGCTCACTGTGCCATACTGAAGAAGTACCCGGCTTTCCAGGAGCTCCTTACGAGCCACCGCAGTGCCAACACCGTTGCTTTAAGCTACGGCCCCATCGTGGTGCCTGTCGAGGGTATCTCGCTGACGACATTCTGCGTCCTGTTGAAGTACATCTACACAGAGGACATCGACCTCGCAGTCGATGACAGTCAGTTCCTGATGTCCGACATGGGTCCGTCAGACACTCCTTCCGATGCTACTGTCCTGAACAATGCTCTGCGGGAACGCAATGCATCCCAGTTCTATGCATCCTGGGAGGCCAAGGACAAGGTGACGTGGGTGGATCTCTTCCTTGCTGCCGACCGATTCGGGGTGCAGAAGTTGCGGCAACATTCTCTCAAGAGCTTGCTTGTGTCTGTGGACAAGCACAATGCCATGGAGATGCTATTCGGAGTCGGGCCACACTTCAAGACGGAGGTCCGCGACCCGGTGATGAAGTATATCTCTGAACACCTGGACGACGTGTTTTCGGTGCAGACAGAGGATCCGTTCAAGCGGTACGCAGACCATGAGAACTGCCATGAAGTGATGCTGGAGCTGCTGAGACTGGAGCGCAGTCGCTGAAGGTTAAGGTCAGATAGCAAGGAGGCTGGGCAATGCCATGTATAGAGCATGAAGTAAACTAGCGAAGCACTGCGCGCGCATTAACCCGGTAGAAATAGGCTTCATATAAACTGAGGTTCGTGCACGCTGGGGACCCTTTGTCTGGATACGAGTGTGTCACTTTGCATGATGCATACAGCCATGTTGCAGCCATCGTGGACTATAACTTCCTGCAGCCTACAATACATAAACGGTTTTCTCCCTTTTCTTTCTAGTCACACTTTCATTTACAATTCTAATCTCTCGCTACTCATATCATTATTATCCACACCACGGCCATGGCAGCACCCTCCCAACAGGAAATCACCCTCAGAATTACCGATGATCGCTTGAACCACTGGGACTGCAAGAAGTTCGTCAATCGGCCTTTGGCCAGGAATGCTTCCGCCAGCGCTTTCTGTGATAATGATTCTAAACACGCGTGCTGGACCTACATCCTCTGTCGCACCGATAATCAGTTGCGGGTTCTCGACGTAAAGCTAATGAATAACCAGATCCGCAGCGAGTTCAAATGGGCTCACATCGTTCCGCACAAGCCTCAACAAAAAGGGAAGGAATATAAATGTGCATATGTCCGCCAAGTTAATGATAGCATGTTGCTATGCCTTGATGCGGCTGGTGAGTTAAACAATAAAAGCAATTCGTCCTACCGCTGTTGCTTTTTCGTGTTGTAGAGTACAGCCTAAAGACCTCTAACCATGTGTTTTTCCGTCGCTTCAGTCATTATCAATGAGAGTGCCTTCCTCGACAAAAGCAATCCTACGCGGTACGCATTCGACCTTGTATTCTCGACTTCGCAAGTACTAAGCCCAGAGTGCCGCAACGTCATCAAAGAGCCTCCCAAGGCCATTAAAGAGTCCCCCAAGGCCAGCGAAGAATCTCCTAGGGTCAATGAAAGCGAGAAGTCGCTCAAAGAGTTATCTCCTGAAAAATATCAGGACTTGCTGGCACTTCTCTGCGATTTCAGAACAGTGGATGTGGCATTCGTCTTTACGATCTACGAGTGTAATGCCAGAGTTGCGCTCTGGGCCCATCGTGTTATGTTGGACCGCCACCCACGCTTCCGTGAGCTATTTAAGAGTCACCAGGACTCCGTATCAGCGGACGGACCGTTGATGGTACTTGTAGAAGGGATCGCCTTGACAACATTTTGTGCTCTGCTGAAGTATCTCTATACCGACGACTTGGGTCTCACGATTGACCCGGAGCAGTTCCTGGTGTGCAGCATGGGTGATCTGGAGGAAGTGCACTCGAGTGGAGATAAACACGTTGCATCTGCCGTGTTGACCAAGACATTGAGAGAACTCAATGCATCCCAGTTCCACGCGTCGTGGGAGGTGAAGGACAAGGTGACGTGGGCAGATCTCTTTCTTGCCGCTGACCGATTTGAGATTCCGAAACTGCGACAGCAATGCCTCAAGAACCTGCTTGGGTCGGTGGAGAAGAGCAATGCAATGGAGATCCTATTTGGCGTTGGACAGCATTTCAAGGCGGAGATTCGCGATCCAGTGATGAAGTATATCTCTGAACACCTGGACGATGTTTTTTCGATTCAGACTGAGGATCCATTCAAGCGCTTTTCAGGCTATGCGGGCTACCACGAGATGATGCTGGAACTCTTACGAGTGTCGCGCTCGAAATAATGAATAATACCAATGGTGTTAGATACCTCGGACCTTTACCCTGTCTAAAAGCGCACGTCAAATGCACTGCGGGAATTAAATGCTTAAATATAATATAGCAAGCGAGAATTTTTATTATCATTACTATTCTTTTGACAGAAAAGGTGTTTTCATCGAAAGAGAATTAAAGACGCTCATACACAAACGTACACGGTTGTTCTTCTGTGCGACCTAAAAAATAGCGGCTCATCACGTCCTGTTCTTGAGGCTTTATAACGTTATCGTTGTATCTCACCCTGTGGTCATAAAGGAAAACAAGACGTAAAAGGTCTCAGCTTTTTTTTCATCTTGATCCTCAGCGGAGATACTTTACTGGCGCTTACTAATCATAGCGCTTTGTCTCTACACGCCTTTGTCCATTGCTTGACTCGATAATCGTATCAAGATCTAGCACCTTTTTCAAGTACGACACGTAATGGCCATCCCAACCGTTCATGTAACTAATGAACGAGCGCAGTTCTGGCGATGAATGATACGAGTACACCCGATGAGTAAACTTACAGTTACATATCACGAGTGAAGTCTCCTAAAAGAAGTGTTCGCGTGCCTTACCATATGTCGTAGGCTGGCCTCTGAAAGAGCCGTCTTGGATCTTGTACTTTTCCAGGCACAGAGATTCGTCTACGAGAATAGGACTTGATGGGACGCTTCCTAATGGAGAGTCTGTCGGTGTAGGTAACTTGTTCAGGTGCACGATTAGCACTTGAGGACAATGGACTATCTTCCGGGCGACTGAGCAGCTCTCTTTGCGGCACATCCTACACACTTCAGTTTCTTTACGCTCCATATAATACTCGACCCTTGCCTTCAGCGAATGCGTGATGCCATGAGGACTGCTTAAGTCAATGGTATAGCCGACTGGAAGTACGAAATAGCTAGTAAGGCTGTCGACCTCGGTGTTGACCTGCTTGAAGGTGCAGTCTGAACATGTCCGAGTGACCTGGATTTGCATGCAGAGTAGGTCATGGATCGCATCGACCACCCTGTGTGACACTTCGGAAGCGCCAGCCATAAGCGCCTCCACAAAATGCATAATGGGCTCGCTTGTATCCCAGGACATCTGTGATGTATAACTACCACGGTGATATTTACTATGTGTATAGACATTTCGTGGATGGGTGATCAGTCAGAGGTGCCCACATATCTCCCAAAAGGATCGGACAAATGGTAGTTCACCTACCGCATTTCGGCTACCAGTTTTGTAGGGTTGATTGGACTCAGTATGTATCCAGGACGAGGGTCGCGCTCCTCGGATGCTGCAAGTCTGTGTATGACGCGTCGTAGCTCTTGCAGAGTGGGTAATTGGCTGGGTAGGCGAGAACATATGTCGTCCAACAGCATCGTAAATCCATTGCAGTACCTGAGCACTTGTACGGCGCTGTTCAGGTAGCAGGTCGATCCTATGTTTCTCAACGCTCCCGACAACTTGATCACTGCTGAAGTCGTCCAGGTGCGGGATCCAGGCCCCTCGCTCTCATTGCGGCCTGGAAGAGGAGACTGGGACGGCGATGCAGAACTTGTTTCTGCTAGCGTGTTTCCGGAAGGCGCCTTGAATCGTGATGAGTTGGCTCGATTCGCATCACCTGGGCATTCTGACAAGCAGGGTTCTGCACTGCTTTTGTCTGCTGTTGGGTGTTGATCTCTTCTGGCTGATGTTGTCTAAGCCGGCCATTGGACCAGTTCGGTTTTGGCCAAAAATACCATGGAGCCACACAAGATGGGGTCCATGGTCGGGCCTTCGCTATCTGATACGCCTGTCATCGTTCGCAGCGCTGTCTCGGGGTAAGGCCAATCGCCCAAGCGATGTATCTCAGGAACTGAGTGGTGGGTTTGGAACCGTGCTTTTTCCTGACTACCCGTCTTTTCCCGTTTGACCGATAGGAAGCCTGGTAACGGCGCATCGCTTCAACGACAGTAGGGTATCGCACATATTTTCGCATGTAATAGTTTGTGCCAGTATTCGGTGCCATCTATTCGAAACGATTTCAATTCGTTCCTTAGCGATCGTTTTGAGAAATGAATATGGCTGGGATCCTTTCTCTTTATCTGGTTAATTTTTTTTGAGTTGATACTGGACAGTGGTTGATTGAAGGGGTATCAATGTAAATAGAGTCGCCTTTGGAAGAGGTGAATGAAAAAAAGAAGAGTAGGACGATAGATATTGACAATCTTCTTTTTAATGATCGATACAGCTCTCTTTTACATTGAATGCTCAAGCAAAGAAAGATACGATGAAGGTTTAGCGTGAAAATGCGGTGGTAGGCAAAGACCACGGTCGCGTCTAATATTTATTCATTCTATCTATTGGAACTGAGGATCTGTTGGTAAATCTCCTGTGGCCACTCCACATAAATAACTGCGGGCAATGCGCGTGGTCATGGTGGGGTGTATTGCCGCGCAGTGGAATCTAGTCGGCGTTTTCAGCCTCCTCAGGGAAGAAAACCCGGAGGGTATTCTTGTAGCAAATTGCCGCCAACTCATCGGGATCCATATTGCGTAAATGCGCGAGGATAGTTAACACTTGGCTATGAAGAAAAATGATATTCGCAAGATTCGGTTAGGCCACAGCGATGCTACACGCGACTTTTCTGTGTAAGATATGGTGATACATACCCCATAGCGCAAGGCTCATTTCTGCTCTTGACCGTCAACCCAAGCTCGAAGCGTTCTTTGTTCTTGGCAGGAGGTTTGTATAGTGCCTGCTGTTCCTCAGTCATCGCCTCGAGATATTTGAAAGACGCATGTGTAGTTCGGATTTCACAGTAAGGTCCATCGGTCTCTAGCATGAGGCGATCCAGAGGCACACTCGCTGCGACTTTGAGGTTCTCTTCAGTCTTCATTGAGCTACATGTTGCAATACATGAGAGTAAAAAGTCAGGAGGCATAATCTGGGCAATTGCTTAAAGGATACACTTTTTTCTTCTCAGACGCTACAAAATCGGACGTACCATCCATTGATGCTGATATACAGGCCCAGGTCAATGTAAAACTTTAGTTCCTCCATTGTACCTGTGAAAGAATGGACGACACCATCCTTGAACCTCTTTCGGTTCTCGCTAATCATACGGGCAAAGTCACCAGCCGTATTTCTATCATGCAGGAACATCGGTAAACCGGTCATCTCCGCCAACTCGAACTGGTGTTCAAAGTACTTGATCTGGGTCTCCTTAGGACAGAGAAAGAGCCGGTCGTAATCTATTGGTCATCTCAATGTTTAGCAGGCATGCTGAAAAACATCTCACTGAAGAATTTCAGCATCTGTGAGGTCACATACCAAGCCCACATTCTCCTACGGCGACGATTTTCGATTTCGTAGCAGGGTCTTGAAACATGGCCCTCAAAACATTGAAGTAGGCGTCAGGGCCGTCCTTATACCGTTCGAACTCGGAGCATCTTGTGGGATGACAGCCGACAGTGAAGAATAGTTCATCTACGGGAATGACCATGATATTACGACCACATTTCGTGTACCACAATTTTCGCGTTTGAACAAGTTTCAGCAATAGCTCCTACCGTCGTCCTTGGCGATCTCAAGTGCGCGATGACAATCCTTGATATTGCCGGCCGTGATGATCATCTTATCAACACCGGCACGTCGTGCTCGCTGCATTACATGCGAAAAGTCATCTGTATAAGGACTGTTAATACATGTGGGGTGTGTATGAGCACAGGACAGCATAAGTGGCTATCTTTTTACCCGCATGAACGCGTTTTCCATGGTAGACACCATGGAACATTGAACTGGTCAAATTGATGCCGATATCTAAGAATTGCATTCATATACTTGGTCAGCGCCTACACATTTTTCATAGAGCACGCTTTGGATCCTGTCATTAATTGTTTGTTACCGATAAATTTTGGAGGCATATCTGCAGGCCTCTGGTTGTAAGCGACAAGGTATGAAGATATGGTGTTATTGTGGAATAGTGAAGTGGGAAAGGCGCCTGCTTTGCGTCGTATTATACTCGTGATGGCGCAAAATCGTTGGAGCAGGACTCAATCTCGCCGCAGTTTTGTGGCGGTGTCAATAACGTGCATTTCGAAGGGTCCAAAATTCTGCCGCATGGACCCACTGTACGAAAGGGGGGGTGAGAGAATCATGACGCCCAAAAGTGCCCTCAGCCCAAGGCCAAAGTGCTTGTCCTCTTGGGGAGTGACCCAATTTGAATCTTTCTCCATTACTCCATTCACTTTTCTGAACTCATTCGTCATGAAACACATCGGGTCGCAGTCAGAGTTCAACAGTCAGCTTACCGCAGCGGGGTCGAGACTGGTAAAGGGCTGTGGCAGCATAGCACAGCACAGCATAGTGTCATTGGATATCGTAGAGCTCATGGTACATCTCCATTCTCATGCTTACCGAATAGGTGGTCGTGGACTTCTTTGCGACATGGTGTGGTCCTTGCAAAACCCTTGCCCCTGTGCTCGAGGGTCTCGAGAAGAAACATACCTCTACGATTTTTGCAAAAGTCGATGTCGACCAGGCAAAGGATTGCGCAGAAACGTACGAAGTCACCGCCATGCCAACAATTGTTTTTTTCAAGAGCAAGTCAGAGGTTGGACGTGTAGTAGGCGTCAATATGAACCAGATCCAAGCACTGATCAAAGAACATGAGGGTGGGGACGCCTTCAGTGGTGTCGGGCAGACATTGGGCGGCAGCAGTAGTAGTACTACCGGCAGTGGCAGCAACGCCTCGATGTCAACTAGCACCAAAACTGTGGAGGGACCAGGCGGTAGCTGTCAGATCCAAGTACGACTCATAGATGGATCAACCATTCGGGGATCCTTCGAGCCCACACACACGCTGCAGCAGGTGCGTGACTTTATACAGGCAAATTTGGATGCCAGGGGAGTGCAAGTACCAGGATTCCTGATGATGACTAGTTTTCCCAGAGTGTAAGTGCACCGCCACCAACGCAGTGTCATATGGACGTCGTTCAACTGTAGAAACTGACGAAGATATTTGCTTTGGGTACGCTTTCCGTACCATTGGTATAGCGTTTTTGAGAATGACACCTTAATGCACACGCTGCAAGAAGCCGAGCTCACCCCGCGTGCGCTGCTCATTGTCAAAGCAGCTTAAAAGTTGGCATGGACAAAACTGACAGCCGTAATTGAAGTGAATAAAGTCGATGTACCTTCTCTCGTAACAACACCAGGTCTTCACTCCAGCACACAGCTTTCGTTTTGTTATGTCTATTTTGTCATCTTGGCTGGTAAAATCGAGCCCCGGAGACGTGAAGGTAGAAATCGGCATATTATTTCATTATGTAGCTATCCAATCCTAGCACAGTCATAGTGAGAAGTATAATGTACCTGTGCCATATTCTGTCGAAATCTGACCGACGACAGCAATTCTACGAACAAAGTATTGGGTAATGGGTACACGCCCCAAGAGTGGTCGCATTTTGGCAGCACCCTAGACCAGGCCCTGCGAATTCCATCGCTCTGGCAGCTTTCCCTCCTAGAACTGCACTCCCTTTTCGACACATCCTGTCCAACGAAACCACGTTTCAGAAGCCAACCCGACCTTTATTCTTTTGCGCTCTCTCTGGATCATCATACTAGGGGGTTGCGCTCTTTACCCCTCCTCTAATTGCCTAGGTATCTGCTTATCCATTCCATATTAACCACAAGCATATCCTCGCATGGCAACGATGGAGCTCAATCCGAGAAGAAGCAAGAGTTCGGGTATGATGATAGCTCCCTTGATCAGAGATAATAGGATTTACCGCTGTTTTTCTCATTGTGTTGATCGATACGTGTCATTGCCTTCGTCATTGTCGACTCGCTTGGTGAAATGTCAGCTTAGCTGCCCTTGCCAAGTCTTCGTAACTTTGGCGCTCGTTTTGTAGACCCTACCTTGGGCTCCGATGTCAACGTGGCCACAGCGATCGCACCATCTACAACTATCTTCAAGACGGCCAACTTGCCTAGAGCAAAGAGAGATCGACTTGGACTTGGACTGACATCAGCTTCTCCGCAGTACTTCCAAGACCGCCGAGTGCGATGAACCTAGCCTCAGACCGATTGGATAAGTGCTGTGCGCACAGTCTTGGCATATCGGGACAAGGTAACACAACCACGCCCCCCCCCAAACACTGGGCGAACTACGACCGAGCGAGACTATCGACTTTTGGTTGGAGCGGGATGTGAATATCGTGGATAAATGACTAGCATTACAGGAGACCAGATGTGGGATTTTTTTTTTTTCTCTTTTCATTTCATTCGTTTGCCTGACACCCCCACACATTTTATCACCGCTCCCAATTTATCACATACATCCATTTCTACAATTGATCTGGTCTAAAATGTTACATATCTTATCCAGGCTGGACACTGTCAGTTCGGCAGCGGCAGAGCTCGGCCTGTCAGCAGTTCTGATATCCCTCACGATTGTCAATGCTCTGTCCAGGTACAACAGTAAAGATGATTTGAAAAATAGTACACACCTGCAGATGGCAAAACTTATGCTAAAGTACATCCCATCTCCTGCTCTAATCTTCAGGAACATGTTTAAGCTAGTGGTACTGAGTGAGGAGACAACACCTTCATTGGACGAGTCCGGTCTCTCCAAAACAAACAGTCAAGACAAAAACCTCTCCAAAGTGCGTGACAGTAGCAAGAAAGCAGGAATTCCGATCTTAAACCTAGCCCTCATGCGCCTGTATCAAGCCCTCGCCTCGACGCTCGTTTTGGACGTGGGCCTGATCTGCTACCAGATCTACACCACCCACAACTACGCGGTCGGGCCATTGCTGCTGGCCAAGACCATCTCCTGGATCGCTCTCACCTCGAACTGGACTCGCCTGCGGTCCGGTGCTACCAACGGTGGTACGCGGGTACTTTGGTTCGACCACGCCTTTGTCTGGATAACACTTGCTGGATCCACATTCCTGGCCAGGCCAATCCTCGCCCATGCCTGGGGTGTAATCGCCAGCAGAGCTCTCCTCCAGACCAAGCCCAAGCTGGATCCATGGGCATTTTTGCCCTTGACCGAGGATATCTTTGAGCGAATCCAGCTCGGGATCTTTGCGATTCGCTATACAATGTTGTGGGCCGCTAGCCTGTTCTCAGCGCTGCATCTCAGCGGGGCTTTGGACATATCCGACTTGAACGTTTCCGAGGCCCTCTTCAAGGACCCTTTGTCCTCGGACAACACAGCGACTAAGGCCAAGATTGCTCCCTCGAATCGGAAGACGCTTGCGTATTTGGAAGAGAGGGAGAAGGAAGAGGCCGATGCGTTCAAAAACTTCTGGGCAAAGGCCAAACTCGCCATCCGACTCTCTTATCCCTGGGGCGAGAAACGACTTCGGCTTAGGATCCTGATCAAGCTGATTCTCGTTATTTTCAATCGAGCCGTCAATGTGCTGGTACCGCTACAGACGGAGCGCATTCTCAGGAGCTTTACCCAGGATGCCGGAGGTTCGGTCACGATCTCGAAGTTCGATGCATGGTCCGTCGTCATGTACGTCCTCTACAAGTACCTACAAGAAAACTCGGGCATTTTCTTTACTCTCCAGCGCCACGTCTTGGCGCCCATGGAGGAGCACACGCGGATGTCGATCACACTACGGTTCTTTGAGCACCTCCATAACATGTCGATGCAGTTCCATCTGGACCATAGGCCTAGTGATCTGATGCACATGGCCGAATCTGCACCCCATATTATCCAGTCTGTCTCGGACATGGTCCTTTTCGGACTCCTGCCCAATATCGCGGACATTGTCATTGCAATCTTCTATTTCTGGACCACCTGGGGCTGGAAATATGGGTTCATTGTCATCTTCAACAGCATGCTCTACATCGCACTCTCAGCCTACTCCACCCGAAAACGCATCAAGGCCCGTCGCGGCCAGGGCGCAGTGGGCGACGGCGGTTGGGGTAAAGCCATGGGCTCGTTCCAGAACTCTGGGACGGTCAAGCATTTTACCGCAGAGTCCTTTGAGGCAGGACAGTACCGTAAGAGTCTAGAGACATCCCAGATAACGCGCTTTCATTTAACCATGACGACGGAGCTGCTCAACATGCTCGAGAGCTTTGCTTGGACCCTGAACTCGCTTGCCGGATGCATGCTCTGCGCGTATGAGATTTCGAAGGGCGAACGCGACGCAAGCAGTTTTATGGCTTATATCATCTACACGAGACAGATAGAGAGACCAGTAAGTCTTTTTTTTTTTTTTTTTTTTTTACGTCTTCTTTGGCGATTTACCTGTTACCAATGGTGGTTACTTATCGAGGACTTCTTTTGCATTCATGCCACAGGTCGAGCAAATGGCCATGCTTGCGAAACAATTTCATAGAACCTTTGCCATGCTGGAGAGAGCTCTAAACTTTCTCGAGCAAGAGCAGACTGTCAAGGATATTCCCGGTGCCGAGCCTCTGGTTGTCACCGGCGGCGAGATCGTCTTTGACGACGTTAGTTTCCAGTACGACGCAAACAAGGCTGGGTTGAAAAACATCTCCTTCACGGTTCCCGGAGGCAAGACCGTAGCCCTCGTGGGCCCCACAGGATCCGGGAAATCAACGGTTCTTCGTCTCGTCCTGCGTCTGTGGGACCCTACCTCTGGCCGGATCCTGATCGACGGTCAGAACATTGCCGAGAGGACCCAGCTGAGTGTCCGGAATCAGATCGGTTTTGTCTCCCAGGAATCAGCCCTGTTTGACGACTCTATAGCCTACAACATCCATTACGGTCGGGTTGACGCTCCTACGGAGGACATCCAGAAGGCCGGGGAAGCAGCCCAGATCCACGAATCGATCCTCAAGTTCCAGGACGGGTACGAAACCATGGTAGGCGAGAGCGGAGGCAAGCTGTCGGGCGGCGAGAAGCAGAGGATTTCGCTCGCGAGGACCATTCTGAAGAACGCGCCTATCCTGTTGCTGGACGAGGCCACCTCTGCGCTGGACACCATTACCGAGAGCAAGCTCCAGGCTGCGCTGACAGCCATGACCAAGGATCGCACCACGATTGTTGTGGCCCATCGTCTCAGCACCGTCATGAACGCGGATATGATTCTGTGCCTGAAGGATGGTGTTATCGTCGAGCGTGGCACACATGCGGAACTGGTTCAGAAAGGTATGGAGAACGACGGCGAGGGCGAGTATTACAAGATGTGGAAGGTCCAGTCCGGCGGGACAGCTCTGTCTAGTTTGTCCACTCCGTAGTTGTTTGTGCAATGAAGGAAGTATAAAAAAAAAACTGGACAATGAATAAAGACAATCATCGTATAAAACCAAGACGATGGTGCTTTCTTATGTCTTTTTTTTTTTTGCGGATTCAGCATAATTTTTTAAACAAAAGACTTTGCACAAAGAGGACGAAGAGGTCTTTTTTTTTTTGCTTTACATGGTTGTATATTTACAAATTCTATTTATTCAGTCCTTTTTTACAAGGTCGCGCTACTACAAGTGTTTTTGTTTCCATCGATCCAGTCGTTTATTCCCGCTCGATGATGCATGCCATGCCCATTCCGGTACCAATGCACATGGTGGTCAAACCGAGCTTCTTGCCCTGGCGCTTCAACTCGGGGAGAATGGTGGCGATCTGGCGAGCACCGGTGCATCCCAAGGCTAAGTAAAGTAATGAAAAAAAAAAAACAAGAACGTCAGTCCCTGAAATCCAATTTTTTTCACGTGCGAATTCGATCCATATAAAGAAAGCACGGGGACTTACGATGACCCATGGCAATGGCACCTCCGACGGGGTTGACCTTGTTGATATCCAAACCGCACTTCTCAATGCTGTAGACGGCCTGGGAGGCGAAGGCCTCGTTGAGCTCAAAGACATCAATGTCCTCGATCTTGACACCGGCCTTCTTGCAGACGGCGGGGATGGCGACAGCTGGGCCGACACCCATGATCTTGGGAGGGCATCCAACGACGGCCGAGGCGATGTACTTTCCTTGGATGGGGAGACCCAATCTCTCGGCAGTCTTGCGCTTCATCAACAGAACGGCGGCAGCACCATCGGAAACCTGGGAGGCGTTACCGGCGGTGGTGGCACCATCAAAGGCGGGGCGGAGCTTGGCCAACTTCTCGACAGTGGTGCCGGCACGGATACCATCATCCTTGGAGACGATGATCTCCTTCTCGTTATCGTTCTCATCCTTGATGGTGGTCTTGACGGCGACAATCTCGCTGTCGAACTTGCCCTCGGCCTGGGCCTTGGAGGCCTTGGCGAAGGAGAGGGCAGCGAACTGATCCTGCTTCTCACGGGTGACGTTGAACTCGCTGGCAACGTTCTCGGAGGTGATACTAGATGCAAGAAGAAAGGCAAATACAAAAAAAGAAAAGTCAGTTGAGGAATTGGTTCGTCACTTTGAGCTGTACAAGGGAGTCAGGACACAAAAGTAGGCACAACAACTTACCCCATGGGGAGCTGGCAGTCAGCAGCAGGCTCGCATGCATCAGGGATCTTCTCGGAGGTCTGGGAGGCCATGGCCGAGGGACCGTATCCCATGGTCATGGACTCGACACCGGCACCGATACCAATGTCGATCAAGCCAGCCTGGATGTGGGTGGCAATGTTGACGACGGCCTGCAATCCAGAGGAGCACTGGCGGTTGGTGGTGTAGATCGAGGTCTTTTCGGGGTATCCGGCGTAGAGGGCAGCCATGCGGGAGACGGTGGCACCACCGGCAGCCTGGAGAACGTTACCAACGCAAATATCGTCAACGAGAGCGGGGTCGATCTTAGTGCGGTCCTTGATGGCGATGAGGACAGCGGCCAAGAGATCCTCGCTGTTTGCATAAAAGATATGTAAAGGAAAGGATACGGTTAGATACACTTTCTTTTCACACACACACCCCTTGATTTATGCAGTTGTGGAGAAAACAGTAGCAGTAGTGGTTTTCTTCCGTGTCCAGATCATAACGTAAGAGCGCATTGGTGGTCTTCCACTGCTGCAGCTGTTGGTGCTGCTGCAGGTGCTGGTGTTCGAGACGCTACTCCGTGATAGATCCATTGGGAAAACAACCAAATGCGATCGGAGAGATCGAACGAGGTATCCATGATACGACAGGGAAAGCAAAGGCGAGCAAAGCAGGACAGGAATGACAACTTACGGAACGGTGTCCTTGAAGCCACCCTTCTTGCCGCGGGTCATGGGGGTGCGGACGGCATCGACGATAACAACATCATCGGGCGACTTGACGCCGATCTTTGTGCGGATTTCCGAAGCCTCCGCAGCGGTGGGCTGGATGGTCAAGTGGGAGGAGATCTGGGCAAGACGAGAAGACATGGTTGCTATGTTGCGAATGTGAATGAGGAGGGAGTGGGGTATGAGTGAAATGAGGAATGAGAAGAAGAGAGAGGGGTGGGTGCAGAGAAGCATCAGGTATTTATACCGCCACCGGCAAGAATTACCCCGGCCCATGTACGCATTGGTGTAGTGCAGAGCACGAGGTGGAGGTGGGGGGCGGTCGTAAGAAGGTTCATGTCAGTGGAACAGTAGGCCGTGGGCAGACATCACCCAACCGACCACCCCTGCGACCCAGATGGATCCAGCACCTTCGCACTCTATTCGGCCCCCTCAAACCATCCCTCCTCCTTCCCCCCCGTGGAAAGAGAAAGAACTATCAGCCGGGAGGGGAGGGTGGCACCTTGGCCAGGCTGGCCTTGACTTGGCCTGTAAAAGACTGGAGTCGAGTCGTTTTATGGAGATGATCGAATGAACCCCCCCTGGGAAGCGAACCCTCACACGTGAAGGTACTATACACTTTATTCGAATGAATTGGCCGCCATTCATTCCACACACATCGCAGACCGATGGCCCACAGAACAACACCCTGGTCCCCCTCCCCCCTCCTCAAAACAAGGTTAGCCCGTCATCTCATCCCATCTCCTGTACCTCGCTTCACTTTACCGAAAGATTCCTTCCCCACATGCCCACATGAAAGTGCTTCTTATGCCCACCCACCAGCCCCCCTCTGTACCTGCCATGCTTCACCGCCTTCCCTCATGTCAGCACCCGCGCCATGCACCGTTGCTTTTGTGCTCCCTAAAAGGGTCCCCCTTCTGGTCTCCCTCAGGCGAAACAGCCGTGGCCGGACTGTTCCATGTAGACTAAGCCTACATCTTCACGTACGTCGTCTACCTTGCTCCTGTTCATATCCCACGCAGAAAGAAAGAACATTTCACAGACATACTTAAAAAGCCGGAGATCCTCTTCATTCCCTCGATCACAATTTAATAAAATTTTACTGGTACAGGCCCTGTCTGCAGGGCAACGAAAAAAAAAAATTCAACCGGTCCATCGGTTCCTGACTGATTTTACAAATGCGGGGGAAAGTGCGTGTGTGGTGTGGGGAAGAGGAGGGGGTTTAGGGGATTGCAACACAGCGCAAGAACTGTAGTTGGATATGTGGAGCATTACGAAAGGTCTTCTCATGGGTACATAAACGGATTGGGTGACGAGGATGACGACCTCACTGGGCGATGCGCATATCCCTCAACCTCAGGCGCTTGCTCCTGCTCAAATTGCCCCTGTCCCTGCCCCTGCCCCTGCTTTCGTTCCTGCTCTTGTCGGCGCTTCTCCTCCAACGCTTTCTCGATCTTTGGCCGATCGCGTTCGTGCACCTCATGTGTCACGACCCTCACAACCCCATTATCCTCCTCCCGTTCAACCTCTTGGTACTCTGAGGGCGAGGGCAAGCGAGAGTAAAGACCGTGTTGCTGTTCTTGTGGCAGCGTTGGAGATCGTTGCTGGATCGCCGATGAGAGCGTCACGGAAGAATGACCGGACGAGCTCGAGTCCGACTGGCTATGGATATCCTCCGGACGGATATTTAGCCCTTGACTGGCTGGATGGCTCTCGATCATCCCTGCTTCCCGTGCACTCAAGCTACCGGTATTCGACCATCCGCTGTTGGATCGAGAGTTGATGCCAGGACGGACGCTGACACCATCATCCAGCTGTACTTGTTGGTGCCGATGCTTCGCACTGCTCTCCTCTATGAACTCATACGACTCTGAACGGGGACTATTGGTACTCACTATCGTCAAAGGGTGGCTGCTGAGGATCCCGAGGCTCGGACTTCGCATTTTCTTGGCCCTGGCTGCCTCCTTCATCTCCTGGGCAATATCATCCAGTGTCCTCGTCATATTAGTGCTGGTCCTACTCATGTCCTGTAATCCCCCGAGTCCAAAGCCTCCATATCCAATCGAGTTGTTACTATACCCAAACGATCGCTGGCTGAACGACCGTTGAACGTCATGTCCAGGCAAATTCTGCTCAAGGTCACCGTTGCTGCCCATTCCCTCTATCAGCCCTCCTAGACCCGACCCACCGCCTGTGGGCGGTCGCAGAACGATCTCATCGCCAATATTGATATGCGGCAGACGTGTCACCGCATGGCTGCTCTCCTCCCGTTTCCTCGACCAAGTCCTCGTATACTTGTACTGCAAATGCAGCAATGGTACCGTAACGCCATGGATCAACACGCTCGAAAAGACCATGAACATCACCACGGGATAGATCACAGAGTGGACGCGCTGGAGTCGCACGATATTATGTGCGTTATCGCCCATGTTCCCTGGGTTCGTCATCTCCGCCGCGACTTTGGACAGGTATACAGCCCCGACACCAATAGGCCCGAACCAGCCTGCGAACGCTGCCTCGCGATACGTCGCCAGGGCTGGGATGAATCGTTTCATAGCCACCACAAACGGCATCCTTCTGAACAGGAGCACGACGATCGCGAGCACGATCAGACGCCAGATCGAGAGCTCCAGCATCAGATCATGGAACTTTGAGAACGGGATGGACGCGCCAATATAGACAAAGCAGGCCAGGTTAAGTAGCATATCGATAATCTCTTGGATATGGGCTTCCGCAATCTCGTTCGAGAACCAGTCGCTATAAAGAGATCAAGCAAAAACTTTGTTAGCCTCATCTTCAGCACGCACTTGATAAAGAAAAAAACAAGGCAACAAAAGTTTCAAGTAAACATACTCCCAGGCAAAGACATTTCCTGCAATAAACACCGCCAACAAGTCGTCCGACGCCAGGATGCTCACACATCCACTCACCGCCAGTGCCAAAGCGATCGAGAACACCAAGAAGGACTCCTTGTCGATCAGATTCCTGTTCTTCGCACCCTTGACCAGTTTCCGGGCTGCGGCCCCGATCAGTCCTCCAAGGACGATGCTTAGCAGGATCTGATATGCCCAGATCATATAAAACCACTTGCCAATCGCGGCCCCGACGGTGGGTTCCCTCAAAAGGTAGAGTCCCAGATACAGGAATGGAAGACCCATGCCGTCGTTGATGCCGGATTCTGCAGAGAGAAGGTGCCGGATCCTTGGAGGAACATGCTTTTCTGCAAACCGGCCCTTGACCACCGAGTTGGACAGGACAGGGTCCGTTGGGGTGACACATGCTGCCAACACCATAGACTCGATCTAGAAAAGTTAAAAAAAAAAAAAAAATGAGGCAAAGCAATATTAGATGCATGATAGTGTTGTGAAAATAATAAAGAGTCCATCGTCAGGAGCCAGGTTGGCTCTTCTTACAAAGCCAAGGTCGGGAATCAAAGCCCAGATCAGGAACGCAGCCGTAATCCACATCAAGATCATGAGCGGGACGATCATCATGAACAATGAACGACCTTCCTTCAGCATGTACGACCTATTATCAGGAGATATTAGCATTCAAACTTGATGGTTAGAACTTCTGCGCACAGTACCTTCTCTTTAAAAAGAAAAAGACCTTGCCATTCGATATTTTTCATCTTTTTTTTTCTAGGCTTTCCTTTTATTCTTCTATCTCTTACCTCGGTAATGATACTCCTGCAGCCATGACCTGAACCGCAATGACTATCCTCGTAAACTCGAGCGTCACCGTATCATAGTTCTTCCAGGACATGGGGTCGAAAATTCCGATTGCATAGGGTCCTATAAGAATACCAAATGCTGTTGATACAACTTTTCAACACGTAAAAAAGAAGCGCGCGTTAGGACGACGCGTCTGTGATTAGATGCAATTTATCCTCCCTATCATACTTGACCATAAAGCACAAACTCAACTCTCCCCCTCTCTCCCCTCCTCTCCCCTCCCCTCCTGCTCCCAACCCCCACCACCACCTCAATCAAAGCCAAGGAAACAGAGTGATGTTTTCGTTCGATTCGCACACCAATTGTGGGAGCAAGGAATGACGAAAAGCGGTACATACAAAAAAAAAAAAAAGACGTTATCAGGAAGGTTGAGAACCAAAAAAAAAAGTGTGGACTATATTACTCGTAACCAGATCACTCGACGATAGAATGCATCTCGTCAGTTGGAAAAGTAACCACAAAAAACACACACATCCGGCTACTGTCGTTACGGACAATCCTGCGTGCGTATTCAGGAAGACGCATTGGTATAGCAGGAAGAAAGATGGGCAGTAAGAGCAAAAAGAACTAGCGATATCAGGGTCGCCGCAGATCGAACATGATCCCCCCCACCCCTCCCCCTCCTCCCATTACTACGGCTAAACCACTCTATCATAGATATGAGTGGCATGCATATCGAGTTGCCACCGGTCCATTTCTCTAAAGACACCTCAGACCCATGCAGGAAGAATAACAGTCGAATCGATGAAGGGTAAGAAGGGGAGGGAGGGGAAGGGCATTCAAAAGGACCATTTCGTTTTGTTTCGTCCTTTTAGAGAACGAAGGATTATGTGTGTGCTGCAAGCGGTCGATTGGACTTGACGAGCTGCATCACAGGGAGACAGGGCAGGCATCAGTGGTAGGAAGAGCAAAAAAAAAAAAAAAAAAAAGGGTACTAGTGTGCAAGCTATGAATAAGGGACATGCGTCGGGGCAAGTCAATGCACCTAAAAACGGAGCGAGCAGGAACACTACAAAGAAAGGCAAAGGAAGAGAACAGGAGTATCCCAACCGACAAATATAGGCCCCACATGAAAGGAGACGAGAGGATGGTGCCTACAGAAAAGGCATTTCTGACTTACATGCTTCGGAAATGAACAGCTTTTCTTTAACAAACAAGCTGACGAGTCCGAAAAAGATGATGAAGCACCCAAGGAGTGCGTAGGCCACATGCTCTGGCGATGCGTCCAGAACGACCTGAGAGGGCATGGTGTGTTTTCGGTTCCCTTGCTGTCAGAGCTGCTGTCCTTGTTCGACGATCACCCGGTGAATTATCTGGAGGATTACAAAAAAAAGGATCGACAGAACGGGAACGAGCCTTCCTTTATGCAACAACAGCAATCGTGGTTAAAATACTGATGGGAAATGGTATGTGAAAAAAACGGGGTAGGAAGGAAGAGCGGTTGAGGACGCGATGGTCGGTTGGATGGGCGACCTGACGAGGAATGCTTAGAGATATGGTTGGTGCAAGAGAGTACGAGGAGACGCCTATGATGGAGATCAAGGGTTAAGGGTTGCGCTCAGGAGAGTTTGAGTTCAGAGGTGTAACGCGCGAAAGAAAAGAAATAGAAAATGAAAGTCGGTCTGTGCTCCTGTTGGCAATTGTGGCGCACAGAGAATCAGTGTAGAGCTGTTAAGGTTGTAGGCTGGGTAGTGAAAGTGAGGGCGAGTGTCAAGGCATGCGGCGGCGGGATGGGAATTGCACGCAAGATAATTGAGCGAGAGAAAAGAAGACAGAGAAGAGGAGAGAGTGAGCGAGAGAGAGAAAAAGGAAAGAGAGGGAGAGGAATGAACCATAGAAGAGCGATGCATCTTGAATGAGAAATGGGCGTGGTGAAGAAATCTCTCAGATGACGAACCCACGGACCTGCTTCCGCTGGGAATGCTACAGTGGCAGTATATCGGTCTTGTCTTTGTAGGACCACTGCAACAAACAGCCGATTCATCCCATGCATAATAAACGTATACAGTACGGTAGTAACACAGATCCCTTGCAGGGACAATCTAAAAGGCAAGGACAAGGCAACGGTGTGGTGTATGACGCGAGTGGGCAGTGCGGCCCATATGCCGGTGATCTTGACGATAGCGATGATGATGCTGAAGCAAGGGGCAACAAGGCGAGCTTGATCCTGTTGACTATTTGCAAAGCACGCGTTTCTGTGCCCGCTACGCGCATGGGCCAACTCTCTTTTTATTTTTCTGAAACCCACAGCCGCATGGGGCGCGGTTATAGCGAGAGACCGCGCGGTTTGTGGTCAGAAAAACTCCTCCCCCCTTATCCCCCTTCCTTCCTTTGCGCCAATTGGCCCGTCTCTATCTGTGTTTGGGTCCCAAATCCATTCACATTGCTTGCCATTCTTAGACGAGCAAAGGGCAGCCACAAACGTCTAGAGGGGGAGAAGGGGGTTCCATGGTTCAAAGGAACCGTCAGGGCTCGCAGTATTCTTCTCAAAATTCTTTCCTGCGGCCGTAGAAGCGCAGTGTCTATTTCCGTTTCCTCATGGGCCCTCTTCCCCCTCCCCCTCCCCCCCCCCCCCCCCCCGACAATGGAATCATACAGCATGATGAGCGGCTCGATTCCAAATCCTAGCTTTATCTTTTCCTATCCTCACACGCCCACCTTCTGCAAAACCAACCTGGGTCATGTCACCTGTAGGAATACAGCAGCGTAGAAGAAAAAGTGTTACCGCACACTATTTTAGTCCCTCCCGTCGGTTTTCTAGATTGCAGAACTGATGCGTTGAATGTTTGCATCCTACGACTTGATCCGCTACCTGAACCATATATTCTCTTTATTCTTTCCGCACAGTTTTCTTCTTTCCTTGCCTCTCTCTTCTGGAAATGTGGACATGGCTGGTTCGCTCTTTCACGCTACTGCGAGCACACTTCTTAGTTCCTTTAGTATTGGTGATGTCACAACGACCGTAGAAGCATCCATGGCTCTGCGTCTTCTCCTATCCTCTATCCTGAAAAGTGACATCTCGTGCTCACCACCATACCATTGACCTCAGCTTCGGCCCTGATCTCTGTTGCCCCAAAGTACATCCTCAGCTCAAACACCACCTTGTGGCCCGGTAATGCACCTGGGATATAAGGCAGTGGGATTGTAAAGTCACCAATCTTTTCCACCATTGGACTGTCGATATATCGAGGTATAGCCATCGAGGAGCAGGCGTAGAGTGGGGAATTGACGGGCTTGGGATACTGATACGTTATATAACGCTTAGTGATGCATTCGTCGACTCCGACCTGCTGGCCAGGTGCCACATAGACCGAGAATCTGTCCCGCGCACGAGTCAGGCCTTCATGATCCCGAACTTGCTTATGGGGCATATCATATCCGGGCTCGAAAATCATCAGCGAATCGACACCGTACCATCTTCTAGCCACACGCGCGGCAACTGTCCGAGGGGTGATTCCTGCCAGGGCAGCGCCACGGACCACCGCCAACTCTGCTCGCGGTGGAACGGCGATCAATCGCACAATGTGTGAAAATTCGGCCTGAACTCTCGTCATCAGATAGCTCGAGCATCCGAATCCGCCAACCAAAAAGATTCCTTGACAATTAAACTGGGTTTGTTGTAACTGGTGCTGGATCAACCGCAGGACGTCATCCACAACAGGGTCAAAGACCTCGCGCCTCATTTCTTCTGCCGTCACCGTCAAAACACCGTCCTCAAGTCCGATCTCGTAATCGGTCAGCTCGGCGCGTCCAGGCACCGCAGGCATGGTGATATACTGGTCGTCGATACCGTCAAACAGCGGCTTCACGTTGTGAATAAACGTTTCCATGATCTGTACCCAATTTGCCGGTGTTAGCCCTCTCTCCGTCCACTTTGAGAATTTGCGTCTCAGCAGTGCCTCCATGCGTTCGTCCAAAAAGACAGATCCACAGCTGTGTCCGCTTCCTCGGGTGACCTCTCTCAGTGTTCGACCCTGTGGCCCTGCATTGACTTCAAAGACAATTAAATCCACAGTGCCTCCGCCAGCATCGCAAATCATGAATCTCTGGCCATGCCCGATCTGGTACTGGTCACACTTCTTCTCGCAATAGAGTGCTGCCGCCTCGGGTTCTGAGATCAAGAGCAGCCGGTGTGGTGGGTCCAGGGGCGTGATCATCCCGGCCTGAAGGGCGGCCTGTCTCATCATAGACTTTGCATGATCTGTCCACATAGCCGGGACTGAGAGACAGTACTGAATATGACGTTGTTCGAATGCGGAGCCGAACCCCCTCAAAGCACTCTATAAAGAATTGCATTGATGTCCATTACAAACGTGTAGGCAGGACCAATGACACACCGACTAAAATAAGGACTTCACTCTTATGGGAACAAAACAGGGCATTACCTGTAAGACGTGTGCGTGGAAAACGCGTAAATAATCTGAGATCGCGTCCACCACTGTCAACCCATTGGGCAAAGGCGGGTGTGGTCCTGAAGACTCGTCCAGATGCAGCTTGTATTTTGAGAGCAAGATATGGTTTTTGAAGGGTGGTTTGGTCATGGCGATCTTAGCAGGATATCCCCATTCCAGAATATCCTTTGAACCAGGACCGTATAGGTTGCAGGTCGGCACCTTGGGGTAGTTGTGCGACTGTTTGGGCCTAGACAAACCCCAAAGGACCATCAGTCCTTGTTTCAAAACAAAAATCCATATAATCAACGACCCTCAAGGTAATCAACTATCGTACCAGGTAGACACCTCATGGACTTCTCCGTCGTACTGGTAAGCATAGGCCATGGAGGAGTATGTGGTGCCCCAGTCGATGGCCATAATGATCGGATAGGTATGATTCCCGCTTGCTGGCATGACATACTGTTGGTGGGAATAATGATGACCGGCCATGGGCGAGGAATATGCTTGAGATGTACCCCATGAATTGTTTGTTCCGGGGATAGAATATGGTATTTGAGGAGGCGTTAACGGCGGTAGTTGATATGCGGGGCTCTGGGAGGGTTGAACAGGCGATGGCTGGCTGGGTGTAGGAGGCAATGGACTGTTTCGATACGAGCTCGTGCCCGCGCTGTATGCAGTGGGTGGAGTATGAGGCGAAGCGTAGCCCATGGAGGTGTTTGTCGTCGCAGGACTACTTTGGATTAGTGCGCCTGACGACGGCGCTGAGGGCACATGGATACTCTGATGGCGGTCAAGTGTGGGGATGACGCTGGTATAAGATGGTGGATGTGAGCTGGTGATATCTGTGATAGTGTGGGGCGATCGCGGGTCTCCTGAGCGGTCGACGTAGTCCTGGCCTCCATTGATAGATCCTATAAGCAACGGATTCACGACTAGCTCTGGATTGGATGGCCGCGCTGCGGGTGGTCGACCGATGATGCCGGTAGTGGTGGACAGGGGGGCGGGCACTGGACTAGCATAAAGTTGTGGCTGTGCATTGTTTGCGACAGTTGTTTCGTCCTGGGGAAACAGAACAGGTCGGCCGTCCGCCGTGACATTGGCAATGACCTTGACATTGGTGCTATTGCTTTGACTGGTAGTCTGGGCGACGGTGAGGTCGCGGACAGAGGCATTAGAGACATCACCACTCGAGGAGCTTTTGTCCTTCTTTTTCTTTTTAAACAAATTCATCATTTGCGCAATTTATATCTTTTCGGCAAAGTAACCGGTGTGGTGCTTTGATGGGAAAATCAGGAGCAGTTGAGTGAGTAGGTGGTAGAGAGAGCTGAGTGCGCAAGAGAGGGGAGGGGAGCCAATCCAAGGAAACGCCTTTGCCGAACACAGAAACACTCAGTCGCTTGTCGAACCAGACGAGGTTGCCTGCACCATGGAACGGCTAGTAGTAGAAGTTGTACGGGTAGTGCGCTGCCAGAAAAAAGTGAGATTGATGCGATGCGATGCGATGCAATGCGAACGATGCGGTGAAGACGATGGCGAAAACGGATGACTGAAGGAGGAATGAGAGCAAAGAGAAAAAAAGAGATAGAAGAGAAAGAAAGTCTGAGGCGTTCTCAGTCTACAAACGGGGGATGCACACACACAAACAGTGTTCAAGAAAGAGCATCTACACCTACCCCCCACGAAGGCGCGGGTTCCTGGTGCAACCGGAAGCTCATCCGCAGCAGGAAACCAACAACATCTCCCCTCTGTGTATAGCTAAAATAAACAATCGCTCCAATGTCGGTAATGGCAAGCAAGCAATAGTGCTATGAAGTACCATCCGGGTTTTATTAGTGATATAGCCAACCTAGATCATCTAGACGACCTTGTAAAGCACCATCACAAGCGGTACAATAGCGTCCGCTGCAAAGACTTCGTATTCTTCACCAGTGAGAGTTTCGACTCCGTCGCTGCTGTTGCCGACATTGCTCCTTCGAGCCTCGTACTGCCGACGCACCACATCCAGGTCCTTGGGTGGGCGCTTCATTCTCTCCTTGCCTGGTGGAACATCGTACACTCTTCCCAGTGCTGCAAAAGTCAGGACCATGCACTGCACCTTGTTGTCCGGGTGAGCATCCTGCTTGTTTCCTGAAGCTGGTACTCGCAATCCTTGCAAATGGTCGTGAGCGCGCGATGAATTCGATGACAGATAAATATGCTTGTTCCTGAAAAAGCGAAAAGGACAAATGATTTGGAAATTAGCAAGCGTGGCACTAGATTGATTAAAAAAAATACTTGTCTTTCGAATCTTACTTTGCAATGACACTTTCGAAGCCGTCATTAAAGATAAAGCAGCCAGCGCACTTGTCCTGCATGCAATTGCGATACATTCCCTCCATGCCCAATTTACATCGGAGATCGGCAGCATGCCACAATGGCCGGCAGACACGTTTGTTCCAACTTTGACCTTCGAGGTATCGGTCAAAGCAAGAAGCCGTAATCGGATGGATGGGTATAAAGTTGAGACACTGAACTCTTGGACCGCGCAGGTCATTGTCGTCCGAAATCCATGTAGAATAAAAGTAATCGAGGATTGACCTTGTCAATGGCGACTTTTGTGTTGCGTCGAGAGGCAAGGACATAGGTAGCCTAGATGCTAGACAAAAGAGATGGATCGAAGGACAGGTGGGCGCTAATCTCGAGAGCTCCTCCCGCTGGTTCATTGGTATCTCTGGCGGTGGCTGCTGACTGTATGGTGAGACAGAGTGGCAAATGAAGCACTCGCAGACGGACTCTGGAGGAAGGGTTGTAGGCATTTCTGGCTTTGCTTTGATTCTAGTGATATGGACAGGCACAGACGCGAGCGGCGAAGACGTTGCTAGAGGGGATGAACCTGCTGTCATTTTGCGGTGAGACGTCCGCGGGACACCAGCACCAGAAGAGCTCAGTGGAGTCGGCGTCAGACTGGACGACGACGCTGGTCGCTGTGATACGTATGCAGGATGAGGTTGAGCTGGCATGGACGCGTCTAGAGTATTGGAGGTAGGTACAGCTGCCTGCTGATGTCCTGATGGATATGAATGTTGGCTCTGTTGCTGTCGTTGTTGCTGCTGTGGATGTGGTTGTGGTTGAGATTGAGGTTGATAGGTAGGATGCGGAGGGCCCCAGGGACCAGGGTTCGGGCCTTGGTTTCGATGGGACCCTAACATTGTGCTATCAAGGGGATAGTTCGACGAGTCATGGATGGCCTGCATGATGATTGGGGTGTGATATTGGAAAGGCGAGGAAGAAGAGGTGCCAGTCTGGGCTTGTTCTTTGTGGAATAAGACAGGTGTGAAGAGGAAGGAAAGAAAAGAGAGTGGGAGTGGGAGGGAAGGACGAGAAGTAAAGTGGAGTAAGGTGAAGTGAAGCGGGGTGGGAATGGAGCAGTAGCACAGACAGGGCAGGGTGTTGTGGAATGGGAGTGAGAGGGGAGAGGGAGAGGTGGGAGTGAGAGTGTTGAGGGCGGAAGAGGAAGATGAGGAAGAAGGAAATTGGAAACCAGGAAATCAAAAGTGCTCTCAGGATTGCTGTTTGTTGTTTGTTTCGCCAATGCTAGTGTATGGGTTGCCCAGGCAGAGGAGAGTGGGGGTGAAGTCATGATGAGACGAGGAAAGGCGTACCCTTCCATGAGCAAGAAATTCGCTCTCACTAATATCCATTGGCAATTACCCTTGACACATACCTTTACTGTCGCAAAGACAGTTATTGTTGTCGCACAGTAGCTGGTGCTCTTTTGGGTGGATGTGCTGTAGCCGAGAGGGCTTGTTGCGTGATGGGAAAGGAACGAAGGGAACGAAGGAGCGAGCGTACGTTTGCTTGGCCAGCCTTCTATTTTTACTCCCACCACCTCCCTCCCCAGTCAGTCACCGTCTGTCTGTCTGTCTGTTTGTCTGTCTGATGGAAATGTTCCTGGCCCGCCGTCTTCCGTGCGCACAAACAGCAGGAAGAAATAGATGTCTGGGTGTTGTTGATTGTAATAAGTGTAAAAAAGAAACCTGGCTTATCGTGCCCTCTGGAGCTAATTTTACATTTGGGTTTCTTTATTTTTGCATCCTGCTGCTGATTCCTCTTCCTCCTCCTCCTCTTCCTCTTCCTCTCCATTCCGCCATCACCATCCCCTCAAACCCATCCTCTCAACCCAACCCGTCCCCTCCCTGCGGAACCCAAACACAGCTGCACATTTTCTCTCCCGTTTCTGCCGGCCATCCTCCCTCCCCCTTCTTCGCACGCATATCCCCCTTTCATCTATTACATATATCTTACACCTCACACCGCACACTTTCCCCGCACACACTTCATATCTCCCATACCGTACATTATTTCGCCAATCCAACGTTCCCTACCAGTACCGTAGACCGCGGTCCAACGCGTCTCCTTCCTTCCCTCTACCTGTGGTTCACCACTTCTGCATCGCACTGCATCGCTTCCACCGGTTATACCTCACCACTCGTTGAATCGCACAGATGAGTAACGTCTCGCCAAGGTGGTTCCACGCCGCTGTAAGAGTCTTTTGTTCTTAACCGCACAGCTCCATGTCCCTTTCAATTACCGTATTCCTAATTCCCTTTGTCCAATTCTGCCACATACCAGGCCGCCATCAAGTCCACAATATACTTCACAGGTGGAACAACCCAGAGTGGTTCAGGAAAACAATATATCCTGGATGACACACTCGCCTTGGACCTCACACAACCATGGACCATCGACAACCCTCCTCTCACAAAGCTGTCTCCCATGACCGTGCCATTGAGTGGTCACTCCATGAATCCCGTGCAGGGAACCACACAGCTGTTGGTTGCCGGTGGAGAGTCCAGCGCACCCCAATCATCACCCATTCTCATCTATCAGACCGCCGTGGGAGGCAGCTGGTCTGCCCCAACCTTCACTAAAAATGACACTGCATCCTTTCGTCGACTCTACCACGCCTCAATTGCTACTGGAAAGGACGGTGCTATACTCCAGGGAGGGTATCAAACCACAGTAGCCAATGGCACCGTGGTATCCTCCTTGGTGACCCTAAAGGCATCCAACAACTTCATGCCCCTTTCCACATCACCCGTCGCTCAGGCATCCAGTGCACCCGCACTTGCACGGCATACCATGACTCTTACCACTGACGGACAGGCGGTCATCCTAGGAGGGATCAATTCGCAGGGAGTGGTCGCAAATCTGTCAGTTGCCTATGTTCTGGACACACAAGCGAACAGTGGCGCATGGAATCCTGTATCCTTGTCTGGGACCCCGCCAGACCCACGCATGTCTTTCTCCACGGTCTTAGTTAATGCAACCACGATGCTGGTCTTTGGCGGCACGGCCGATTTCAAAACTGCGTTCACGACTCCGTTCTATCTCGATTTGCCCACATGGACTTGGTCCTCGCCAGAGGCCCAAGGCGACGCGCCCCATCGCTGGGGTCACACTGCCACGATGGCTGGTACCTCAATGGTGGTGGCCTTCGGTTAGTCCACCCTTGATAATCACATCATAATTCCGGAAATAGCTTTATATTCGCACCAAGCTAACATTAGATCGCTGTAATGTCTACAACATAGGCACATCACCTCAGGCAGCGTCGGACCCAAGTAATATTGCAATCCTTGATACAACCTCTAATACATGGACACAGCGGTTTCGGCCAGTGGGGATGATGAGGCCAGATTCTCAAGATACGAACAATGGTCTGAGTATCGGCGCAGTCCTTGGAATCGCATTCGTGGTCACATTGCTCATTGTCGGCGGTGCATTCTACCTGTTGGTGCGTCGTCGCAAGCACCGTACGCGCAACACCATGGCAAGGGAGTACATGGGAGACCAGACCGCTCGATCGGCTATCAAGAGACAAGCGAGCGAGAGCTCAGGTTTCTTTGGAAAAGCAGGTTCATTCTTCGGCATGGGAGCCAAAGCACCGGCCAGCTCCAAGCGGTATTCGGATATGCCAATGTACTCTAATCCCATGGCCATTACCTCCCGCATGACGCAGATGGGATACTCTCCTCTTAGTCTTGGCTACCCTGAGACGGTTGTGCAACACGGTTGTGGACAGGTCTCTGTTTCAGGTTACATCTACCCCAAGCAGGCTTGTGTAGAGACGGAAAAGGAGCCTCAGGACGGACAAGAGACCGCGATTGTCTACCATATGCTCACACAGGCGCAGCAGGAGGCGCTCAAGTTGAGTAAGCAGCCAGCAACCAACAAAGACAAGAACAAGAGCAAGCTGTATCAGCTGGACTCTTAACATATACACCTATGATAGAATTAAACCCACCCATGTACATTTATTGCCTTTCATCTACTCCGAACCGAAGAACAAAAAAAACCTCACTTTGTTTCAAAGGTTATATCCAGACACAGGTGCTATTTTCACCGCACTCCTTGAAATTTGATCATTGGTCATCATCGCTGAAGCACCGCGTTCTAATTGGACGTCGCGTAACCCGCATGTTTCCAGTTGATTGGCTGAACCGCAAGCAAACCATCAAGACGGCACAGCAACAGCTACATATGAGACGCGATTGCTTGACCGCCTCTCTCGCGGATGCTCTATGATGGGTGAAAGGAATTGTGAGCTCCTTAGGTTGTCGTCGCAAACCGCTGCCCCTACGTACTACCGAATTCCGGTCCCCTCTTCCATTGCATCTCCCGGTGCGCGCAATTGTACTCCTCTGTGAGCAGCTTTCTAATGCACTCAGCAAACAAATATCATTTTTCTGTACCCCCTCATACACCATGTTTCATGCGCTGCCACCACGTCTTTGCTACATGTATGTCTGATCACCCGCTCATCGCATGTGGTCGGAAGTATAGAGCCGTAGCCACGAAATGAATCCCATTCAGAAGCCACTGATGAGAGCCGATCGTTATTCGGGCTTATTCCAGTCGGAACAGGTCTCGGGAAGCAGTTGCCACCAAACCTCAAGGGGGGAAGAGGGGAAAGTATGGACCTTCCCGTCTTTCACCCCATGATCGGTCGACCGACATGTCAATAATATTCTGTCGTTTTCATCAACGCAGACATTTGCTCCAAGAACAGCTATCCGGAGGGACGCTATCTGCATAGAAGCCAAGTGAAGATTGATCGCATGTATTGCCCTCCATGGTTTGTCGCACAGTAGGAAATAGGCAACAGGCAACTAAAAAAAGAAAAAAGGATGTTTGGGGTCGACTTTGGTCATCTCAATGTTTACAAGTGCCAACGTAGTGCTATACCTTTCTTGATAGACTATACCTCATACAAAAAACAATTGCCCATCCATCTTGCGGAGGAAGAAAAAAAGAAAAACAGATGGAAATAGTCATGTCGGCGGACAAAACTTGGTTGCACAGAAGAAATTGGCAGATTCGGCGTCAATGGGTTGGATCTGTCAATCCATAGGCTCTTTCGGTCGGCCAAACCAGAAACGACAAATTCCATGGCAGATAAAATGGGGTTTTTGAGAGGAGTCAAAGGCTCTAGTAAGACCACAACAACTGGGCCCTCGCCTTTTTTTTTCTCCGCCTTGTAGTGCAATGTTTATTTCTTCATGGGCTGATCTCATAATCAAATGCACTCATCGTCCTCCGCTTTGCTCACATCCACACGCGTTGGTGCGAAAAAAAAAGGTTCAACATGTTCGTCCAGATATCTTTCCTTCTTCCTCCCGCTTCCAAACCTTCATAATTTACTCCGAGGAGAGGCCCAAGCTGTTGACCCTGTTTTTTTTTGTCTCATACTATTATAAATCGCTCACATAAAAATGTCTGCCTACGCACATGGGCTCCGTCAGGTCAAATCACCGACGTTAATCTTATGGATGTGCAATCTTGGTTGTACCTCGTTCAATGCAAGGGAGGTCTCGACAATTATGTTTTATCCACCTCATGCCGCATTCTGTTACCTAACTCGTCTCTCTCCCTATCAACTTATCCAGCTGAACACAAAGTTTGGTAAATCTCAACCACGATGGTAATTCATGCAAAGAGAAAAAAAGAGATGAACCAAAGGGGGAACCCGCATTCCTTACATGATTGAGCTGCTTTCCTTTGCATCCTTTTAGACCCCTCCCCTACTGATTGTCTATGCCCCTGACATTTTTTGTGGAGGTCTTTTCTGAAATGTCTGACACGTTCTATTTTTCGCTCCCTTGCTTACAACTTGGATGGTACTCTCGTCACCTCTACGCGAGCATCAAATATTTGATGGGGACAAGACGGAAATTTTTGGCGCCCGGGCGGATCAGCTGGTCACCATTCCCTGTTCCATGGCGACCGTTTGCTTTGTTGTGTTAACACTCTGGGTAGAAGTGGAAGTGCTCATCTTTTTTGTGTATGCAAGGCATTACACCCGAATGAGCCCCACTTAACCTTAACAAATGCAAACCAGAATGCTCATACTCAATGAAGAGGGACAGCCCACACAACAATATTGGGCGGCAACCTTGACGTCGTAACCAGAAGACGGATAGAAAGAGCGCGAATGTATGCGCTTGGAGGGCATGAGACACGTGGTGTTTGATGTTAGCAAGCTATAGATGGCCTAAAGCATTAAAAAAAATGGGATCATACACTGGACTAACCTAGTGAGGAGTAGTGATGAGGGTGATTGCCGCTGTAGGGCGCTGTCATTCAGAGCCACGCTATTTTCATCTAATGCTTTTGCGCTCACAGTTCCCCTCGTTTGTACCCTGACAGGCATGCACTGCAGGTTTGAGGGGGGAAAGGCGGGAGTATTTGCTAGCTTGAAATGCACAGGTATAATAATAATTACATAAGGGAGCGCAGGTTTGGGTGGAAATAGTCCAACCAAAATCAGCGGAAGCAGGAAAAGCGCATGCTTTCGTTCTTGCGAATAAGAGAGTCAAGATCTTTCGACCTCCAATGGTCGCGGCAAGATAGCGGCTCCTGGTTTTACAAATCTTGATTACTCACCCCAAATCGCGCCCTATTTGCTCTACTGAAGTGCTTTACATTTCGTTCTAATTTTTTTTGTGGTACCATCCTTGCTTATTAGATGCATTGTGCATGCTAGACTCTATCCTATAATTCCACGTACCCTCGCTCTCGAGGGAACAACAGCGGACGGGAAGACGTCAAGGACGAATCGGGGAAGGATAACAGTCGTGCATCTTTCTTTGCAAAACGGGAGGTTTATGTTCGCTATCATTTGGACTTGAATTATGTCCGCAAGCCGTGCTGTGTTTCCAAAGTGAGCTCTTCCATTTTACATCCGCTACTCATGGACTTCACGACAATTGAAGATGCTTGCTCAGGGGATGTCTTGTGGAAAGTACAGAACGACGAGCAGCTGAATTCTTTATTTAATAAGATCTCGGTGTTGGTTGTTTGCTGTGCTGTGTTCTTTCATTCATGAAGAGCGTACCATGGCCGATCCTCCCTTTTTCATTTCGGCCGCTTGTTCCAAGGGCTTATGCTAATAAATATGACTTTTTAATGGTGGCGAGCAAATGATACAAGCAGACAATTCAACGGACTGGAGGAGATGAGGCGGTGAGACGAAAGAGCTAGGGACTGTACCTGAGGAGGACGAGTATAGATATATAAATAAATAAGATCAGGACTGAATTGGCGTATTCTACACATTTACGCATTGAGGTTTCTGTACCATTTAGACCTCCCTCTGTTGCTTTGCAGTATGAGCATTTGTCTTTGTTTTTGCGCGCTGGTTTTGTGGTGTTGCTGTGCTGCACCACCGGCATATATTCAGTTCTTTCCCCCTGCCTGTCTTAATGGTATTCTGAATACATCCGACTGAATGAATGGGAAGCGGGGGAGAAAGGGGAAAAAACAGAGAGAGCATTGCATTTTTTTTTTTACTTTCACTCACTCACTCTTTCTTTTTTCTTCTCTTTCCCCCTTTTCCTCTCCTCCCATCCCGCGTCCACCTCCTGCCCGTCCATCTTCTTCTCATTTCTTTTCGCTTCTCTCTCTTATTCCCCTCTCTTTCCCTCCTGCTATCTCGCTCCAACCCCTAGCCGTCAATCTTCACCCGTCAACGTATGTTTCCCGCTCTTTGCGTCCAATTCGTTACTCGGAGTACTATCCCCTCTTGTTCCCTAGCCAATTCAACTGCACGTCCAAAGAGACCAGCCATTCCATCGACATCTCTTTCTCCGAATGTTTCTGAGAATGTGAAATTCTTGATTGTATTTTGTTTCTGGCGTTGATGTCTCCCCCTTTCTCCCCCCAGAGGGTAATAGTCTCAGATTACTTTCTCAATCTGCTGTTTCCTTGGCACGTCCCCCCCTGTCCCCTTGTCACCCAAAGTTCAGGTACACTTACTTAACACAACAGCATACTATTGAACCTACGCATACATCCCATTCTATCCTCACCCTCCATGCATCTCTCAGCAGTCGGGGCGCCAACCAATCTGCTTACAAAAGGCACGTCGCCCTGTTCTTTCTCTCGTGTGATCCCATTACTATTATTACTATTATTATGGTTATTGTGTTGTGTTATCATATATTATATTGTACTATATTCGCATCGCATTCAACAACAGATTACGTCCCACATGCACACAGCCGTGGCGGCTCTCTGGGGAAGAAGAAAGAAGCGAGGATGGAAAGGAAACACACTGTATTACATTATAAGGGACCACCCGCAAGGGCCGTTGGGCCGTTGAAAAATGTAAAACGAGACAGCATACGGGAGGGGAGAGGGGAGAGGGGTGGGGGGTGGGGGGAGGGAGGGGGAGGAAGGGGTCCTGTGCGGTTGTCCCTGACCCAAGGGCGAGAATGAGCGAGAGTCTTTCTCGGTGGTCTTTGCATCGGCCACATCTGACCAAGACGGGGTGCAGGGACCATTGCCCTGACCCATCATCATCTCCATCATCATCCTTCTTCATCTTTCATCTCTCATCTCATCTCATCATCCTCATCTCTGTTTCCCTTTCTTTCTCCTGCTTACTTAGTGTCATCGTTTTTATTATTTTAGTTTCCGCTTACTGCCAACGCGTCCGGTCCCTCGCAAAGCGAACACAACAGCAAGCAAGGGCTCGTTTTTTGATCGCACAACACCTGCACTCGCAGCATCCCGATCGTCCCCCCGCCTACATTCCTCACCAGCAAACAAGCCCCACGCAAGGGTCAACCCCGTCCTCAACCAACCCTCGCATCTACACCACAGCTCGCCCTGTCATCCTCACTTTCTCCCCATCCAACTTCAGCTGCGGCACACTCACAGCCTCTATCCGGCATGCTCGGTCCTGGTCCTGGCCCTGCGCCTACGCCTTCGCTGACACTCCCTCCCCTCAGGGAGCTGGACAAGTCTCTTGGACCTGAATCTGATCATGGCCGCTTTCCTACTCACCATGCTGCCCCTCAAGGCCAGCCTCGGACACAGTCATCTGATCCTCATCTTCATCAACACTTTCATCAGCAACGACCTCACACACAAACACCACCGTATTCTCAACCGTCCTCTCAGCATGGTTACCCGAGCCATGACCAGATTAGCCGCTATTCTTCCTCTTCATCCGGATCGCTACCAGGTAAGATACGACTCTGATTTGGGAATGTTGGTCGACACAACAATGTATATTGCTCATGCTTATGCTAATCCACAAGGGGAAAACAGAATGCACCAACATTGAAGTTCCGGACAATCGACACTACCTTCTGTATTACGAGAAATGTGTGTCAGCAAAGGTCTACAGTTATACAGCGCTCGATCGCATCTTATTTTAACTCGTATTACCCATGGGGGCATTAATGAATTAATTATAGATTCGGCTCCTTCAACAACGACAAGCTCGAGTCTCTCGAGGGCTGACTCGCTATCAACCATGGAGTACCTGCAGTCCAACTCCCACGCACAGGGGGGTCCTCCTCATCGACGCGCCAGTCCCGATGCAAACGCGTCTGCAAACGCGTCTGCAGTCCAGGGCGCGACAAATGCAGCCAATCAGCAGTTAGATTCAGAATCCAAGACCACAGCCGCCACGGCAGGAACGACCTCTGACGCGAAAGATACCAGCAGCAAATCCACCGCAGAGCAAGGGCGCAACTCAAGTAAGCGCGCGGCCCAAAACCGAGCTGCTCAAAGAGCATTCCGTCAGCGAAAAGATCTCTATGTCCGGGAGCTAGAACGTAAGGCCGAGTTGTTGCAGGTCGCTGAGAGCCAACTGATCACCTTAGCCGCACGTAATCGCGAGCTGGAGGCCATGTTTGCAGCTCAACAGCAGAAGCAACATCATATGTCGTCGTCGCCCTTACCGTCGCCGCTTCCGCAACACGATCCCCATGGCTCGGGGCCGACAGGGACTACAGGACCGATGGGACGCGGAAGCGAATGGGATCGGGAACGAGAATGGGCTCGGGAGAGGGCTCCCTTTGAGAATAGCGGACCTTACGATCACTTTCACTCGCCCTCATCGCCCATGCGGCCGGCTATCGGACGCCATTCTTCAGCCCAGCATCTGCGACAGGCCTACAGCGCATCGTCGCCACCACTCTCGAATGGCTCGTCCTATAAGCACCTGTCACTGAACAGCAAGCTGTCGATGCACTTTCAGCAACAGCGACCAGACTCTGACCATGAAATCGAGATGCAAGGCCGGCCTCTCCGTCACCTTCACCGCCATCCATCCGAGTCCTCACTGAACCTAAGCCGGATAGGCTCTTTTCCAACACACGTCACCAATGATACTAAGGAGGAGGACTACGGAGTCGCATCGCGCATCCATAGCTTCCGCAGCCCAATGGATTCTCGTGGAGTCGAGATGTCGTCCCCGTCGTCCAGCAATAAGTCCCCGATGTCGGGCCCTCACGATACCACGATGCATCACTATCCAAGTTCCCCGCTTTCCCCGACTCATGAGCGGATGCCTCTCTATACCACAGCCCCGAATCCTCGATCGGCCGGCGGCACCAGTTCCGGATCCATCCCGTCGCCTACCATGGCCGGACATGGCGAATTACCTTTCGGACCTTCGTCCTCGTCTGCTTCGTCGCCGTATGATCTGAACAAGAAGCGGCCCAGTGATGGAACCGTCAGCTGGAGTGGAGGCACCGCAGATCTCTACAGGAACGCACAGGACGGGCTTGCACACCCGTACTATCATGCGGTCAAGAAACAATCCAGCTGGAGCTCACTCTCTGAACAACGACGACTCCATGCTGTGAAGAAGCAACCGAGTTGGGGATCGATCTCTGAACATCGGCATCATTGGCGGACCAAGACCGAAAGCCCCGAAATGATGTCTGCGGACGTACGGTTCGGTGGAAGCGCTCCAGCCCTGCCCAGGATTCCGGCACAGTTTTCTCAACAGCAACAATCACAGCAACAACCACAGCAACAACAGCAACAACAGCAGAGGCCGCCACCACCGCAGCAGCAACATAGTTTTGAGCGCGAGTATCCATCCTCACCAGCACCCTTTTCGTACTCACCCACGGCCTCCCATGCACAGCAGCAGCAGCAGCAAGGACAGCATGCAAGGCAGTCTTCGGATTACTACAGCCAGGCAAGACCGCCAGCACCTCCTTCGTCATCGTCGTATGATGGACATGGGCCTTCGGACATGGAAATCGTTCAAGAGGGTACTCCGGTCCCTAGTGGCAATAATGGTGCATACGGACACCAAGGGGGTCATGAAGCGGAACCGTATGAAGCTGAGCGGGAACGGGAGGAGCGGTACGGAAGGCCGGATCAGCATTCGCCCTGAACGAGATGTCCCTTTTAAGAAGGCGATTGTTGACGTCTGTGGGGAATGTATGAGGATAAGGCGATTTCTAGTGGAAGGAACGTCAAGTGCTGGTCAGTGCTTTGAAAGCATACGAGGGGATGAAGAGGGGAAGAAGGCGCGATATAATTGTAAAATATAATAATCTCAAAAAGCGACATTTTAATAAATAAACATCCAGCTTGTGTTTCCCTTGAGCTCTTTGTCTGCTCTTTGTCTACTCTGGAAGAATACTGCTTTTCTAATCAGTTGAACGATCGTACCGGAGGACGATAACGGCGTTTTAGGTATACGAGTATACGTTACATGGTCGTCAATTGATTTTATTTTGTGTGTGTAGATGAATCGCATGTGTGTGTGTGTGTGTGTGTGTGTGTGTGTGTGTGTGTGCGTGCGTTATGTGTGTGTATGGGGGGGGGGGGTCATTAAATAAAAAAGAAGCTGGAGAAAAGGACCTTTAGGAAGGCTGTCGGGCCATATCCAGGGCGACCATGAGCTCCATATTCTTCTCCATGATCTCTGCAGCAGCCTCTTCGGCCTTGGCCATCTTGCGTTCCAAAAGACCCATCTGGTCAGTCCACTTCTGCTGCCGCTTTTCGTACATCCTCTGGATTTCTTCTTTGTCGTCCTCCGATACAGAATGAGACTCGTTCGCCAAAGTCTTATCCTGAAGGGCCTTAGAAGAGGAAGGAGAAGAAGAGTCCAGCAAGGCTGCGAGATCAAACTCAGCGAGGATGGCACGCAGCCTTCGGTTTTCGCGTTCGACTTGTTCGATCCGGTATCGGTCCTCTTCGTGCTGCAACTGTTCGATCGCCAACTGTCGCTCGAGTGACTTCTGCGTCTGCGTCCATGCCTCCTTCTCATCCTCCAGCGTCGAAACCATCTGTTCCTGCAGAAACATCCTCTCCTCCAACGCATCGTTCCTGTCCAATTGTTCCTTCACCCGCATCTGAAGCACCTTCTCCCGCGCAAGAGATTCCTGTCGTTCGAGCCTCAAACTCCTCTCCAGTTCTTCTTTTCCATTGTTGCTGATGAGAGCCGCGGTGGCCGCGGAGTTGGATTGCTCCGAGAGCTCCGTCAAGGCGTTCGCGTGTTCCATCACGACCTTCTCGAGTACCTCATCATGATCTCGTTGGATCTGCTCAACCTCTGCGGCGTGTTCGGATTCGAGGTGCGCGAGTTTCGAGCTCAGCCGTTGGACAGTGTCCTGCAATGTCCGGTACTGGGCTTCTTCCTGATGGAGCCTTGCGGTCAGAGTCTCAACTTCGTGTTCGTGGGTCGAGCGTTCCGAACGCAGCGCGACAAGCTCTTGTTGAAGCGAGGTCATGGCAGTGATATCCTGACGGTCGTTCTGACCCTGATGAGAAGCACTCGAGTCCTCGTTCGAGTCGAGGGTTTGCAGAGCCTCAAGTTTGAGCTCAAGCTCCTCGCGTGCCCGCTGGTCCCGGGTAGCGATCTGTTCTTGCTCGGAAAGCAGGTCCCGAAGGCGTTGAATTTCCTCCTTACTGTCCGACACCTCCTTCTCCAAAAACGACCGCTCCGCATGTAACAACGAAACATCGCCCTCAACATATCCAGTACTGTTATTCGAAGAAGGGTGGTTGGACCGTCGCTCTGTCATCAGTTTCTGGATCGTCTGCTCCTTCTCGCTCAATTGCACCCTCAGTACCTCGACCTCCGGCTGAAGCTCCAGGGTCATCTCACCCGTAACCTTTGCCTGGTCTTGCCGAGCGATACATTCCTTCATCTGCACATCCCGCCATTCCTGAACCTGCTTTAATGCCAGCTGCAGCTTCGCGTGATCGTCCTGCGGATCCCTGAACGCGTGCTCCTCCAAAACCGCCACCTGGTTCACGAGCGCATCCCGCTCCAATGTCAGCTGCTCCACCCGGAACTGCAGCTCGCCACCATCTCGGACCCGACTCGAGAGCTCACTGCTGATCGTCTCCAACTCCTTCTCCAATGTGCTAACCCTCTTCTTCAGGCGCAAGATCTGAGACTGATGATTCGGCGACGCTGCGGCCTGCTGGTGTGGGAAGATTGACTCGCCCAATTCAGGACTCATGGACGCCAAAGACGCCGGCGTTGGCAATGAATCTTGACCGAGCCCGCTTTCAGAAAGTAACTGGGGTGTCGGTAGAACCAGCTCCTTACTTCCAGATGCCTTCCTCCGTCGCTGTGTCGCCATATCGCCCGTCAGAGGTGGTGGTGCAGATGTCGGCGGTGGCGGTAACGACGGTAGCGGTAGAGACGGAGGTGCCTGTTGGATCGCGCTGTCGATCGCAATGTTGTTCGCACTGCTGATCGAAGCAATAGATCCGGCTCGCGCTCTTGGAGTGGTCGGAGGCAAGATTGACGAGGCCGGTGGGTTCGGTTTGATGCGACGACCTGCGGGAGAACTTTTCCGAGCAACACCGGCAGGGCTACCACTCGTACTGTTAGCAGGCGCTGATATCGTGGGGATGGGCACAGGGCCCGTTGGAGGTCGGATGCCACCGCTGACAGGTGTAGTTGGTCGCGATCGCGAGAACGTGGGGGAAGCCGATCGATTGGGGGAGGCCATAAGACCGGCACCGTCGTCCATGGAGGCCAGGAGCTGTTGCCGGTTTGGGGGGCCTGTAGGGATAGGTATATTTTCTTCCGACACCATCCCCAGCGGAGTCGTGGCGCGTGGACGTGAGGACGGTGGACTGGGCATCAGTTTAGAGGTATTCTGGTTCCTGGACGCTTGGGCTCTATGCGGTGCTTGTAGTTGTTGAAGGTCATATTGAATCTGTTTGATTTGAATGTCAGCCTCGTCGATCTTCGGAAGTGTCGAGTGGCCGGCCGAAAGCTCACTATCATGATCGGTCATGTAGTGGTTTGATGAGGATAGAGCGGCGACTTCGTCGACATCGGATTGGCTCAGCGTATGACTCAATCTTAGCTGGGATTTGGTCGTCAAAGGTGGTTTCGTGCCGTTATAAGAGTTTCGGTCCGTAGCTCTCTTATTCGGTCCATGTCGCTCAGGTGCGTTAGGGGATGCCATTTGACTACCGCTGTCATTGTCAGCATGTAGTAAGGACTGGTTGCCCCTGGCCATAGCATTGCCCTTGATCAAATCATCCCGAAGCGCTACGCTCTCATCCTCCCACGACCGCCTCGTGGGGTTACCGACTGTTGATCCTAGGCGTGATACATCATCAATCGCCGGAAGAACCTGTACTGGCGACATGGCTTCACTGGGCGAGTGCTGCACACCACTGCTTCGTCTCATCTGATTAGTAAAGAGCCTGTTCGGACCTTCACCAAACGAAGTCGGTAAACTGCTTCTCCGTCTGAGCTTTCGATCCTCTGCAGACACTGACAAATGACCCGGCTGAGAACTATCGGGACTAGGGAGTTGTGGCATAGGCTCAGAATACAACTGCTGCTCCTGCTGTTGCTGCTGTTGCTGCTGTTGCAATCTCCGTGTCTGGCGGGCCATTCTCTCAGTCCTGGCCTCACGATCGTTATCAGCTCGTCTCGGATTAGTGCGAGACTCCTTGGGAATGGTAGGGCCGAGTCCCGGGGATGTCATCTTCTGCAGCATCTCCTCGTACTGATCCAGCGATGGCAGACCGTTGTCATCCGTGGACGCGTATTGAGTAGGAGCCTCCCTCCTCTTTGGAACCGACTTCTGAGCGGCTCTAGGCGATCCGTGTGGGCTTGTGACTTGATCCATGGATTGCATCAATGACTGAGATAGCTGGACTTCTTGCTGATAAGTACGGTTCATGGACGGGGGCGAGGCGTCTGAGGGTGTTTGTCGGTGCTGTCGCAGCGATTGCTGTTGGGAATAGTATGGCGCTTGCTGGTGATCAATTGCCTGGCCATCTACGATTGGAGTACCATAACTCTGATATCCCGGCGTATCGCCCGGTTCGGTGGCCGTCAGGTCCGAGCGAACTGTGCCGTTCGAGTCGGCCCGTGTGAAAGAGCTGGACTGGTGAGCATATGTGCCGTCCTGTGAATTCTGGTATTGCTGGTGTTGCCATGGATGCTGCTGCTGTAATGGATGTTGAGACGGCAGATATGCGTAGGATGAACTGTTGTTACTGAGTTGACTGACATGGCTCATATGGCTCATATGGTTGCCGCCGTGATTATAGCCATAGTTCATGCCTGCACTGAGATTACTGGCATTGCTATTGCTTCTGTTCCTGTTGGTGGAATACGAGGCGGAGGAGACTCGTGCTGGTGCTACTGGTGGCTCGTGAGAAGGCGCCAGGACAACTCCGGCGTGGAAGCCATGGCTATTGTAGGGTGTAGAGTAGGCTGCATTCTGCTGGTACTGCGAAGGATCTGCCGAGGCCCAGCTCTTGAAGGAGCTCACCGATTCGGTCGATGGTTTCTGTTGTGAAGAAATAAATGAAAGTCAGGAACGCATTTTTTTAAAGTTTAAAGCCTGTTAGTTTCAGTGCATAATCTATCGCGAAGGATTGATACTCACCATGGCCTGGTCATTATATGGGTTCCAATCGGTCGATTCGACCGGGATGTTGTGTCCCTCTTGGAATTGGCTGGGAGACATATATCGCTGCTGTTGCTGTTGTTGTTGATGACCTGAGGTAGTGGCGGTATTGTACCTGGAGGCCATTTTGGCGGCGATAAGAGACTGAGGGATTGAGGAGAAGTGAGAGCAGGAGGCGATGAAGAGAAGAAGAGAAGGTTATTTGGTCTTCATCCGCGAGGCGAGATGAGAGATGAGCGAGAGAAATGAGTCGAGTGGAGTCAAGTCGAGATGAGATGAGGAAGTGGAAGTGAAAGTGAAGGTGATGGTGCAGGTGAGAGGAGGTGGAAGAGAAAAGAAAACCTACTATTGGAAGAGGCACACTGCTCAGAGGTACAGACAGCAGACAAACAGACCACCAAGGAATGTTAGCGTTAGCCTAGTCTAAATTACTAACGTTGTAAATAATGCAGAGGGCGAATGGAAAAGACTACAATAAGTGTAATATGTGTTTGACTAAAAAGGATTCGCCCCCTTTTGGCCCTTTTTTTATTGCTGTTGTTGATGTTGTTGCGGCTGCCGTTGTTGCTGTGAGGAGGGATAAATAAATGAACGCAGAGCCCGGGGGCATCCATGTGTCTGGTCCAGCCCCGTCTGGCGTGCTTACCTCAGTGGAGGGCGCATTGGTCCCGAAGCCATGAAGCATAGCAAATTGTGAAGGTCTTCATTCTCCAGTCTCCGCCTTTAATTGCATTTTCTCGGTTTTCCTTTTTCTTGGCTTCAATTGCTTTATTAGAAAACCCAAAAGGAGAATCCCCTAGAAACACAATCATTCAAAGACACCATCATGGCTTTAATAAATCAAAGACGTCCTCGGTCAAGAACCAATTGAGTGTCTGCGAGTAGACGCCATCTGAGAGCCGACCTGAAGCACTTTATAGCCGTGTAAGTTTAAAAAGCCCTACCTACTCATCGGTCCAATCCGAGTCAAGTCCAGGCTTCTTGTACGACTGTCAGAGCATAGCATGCTGTTGCTGATGCATGCGGAACGCGCCTTCTATCCACAGTGGCCAACCAACCTACCCACGCCTCATCTTCTACGTGTTCGCCTAGAATTGTCTCTGATGTCTGGGTGCACGCGACTCGTACGCGGTCTGGGAAAGTTATTTTTAGATTTGTTGCACTATTCGACCTCTCACTTTTTAATCGACCTCAAAACGATCACCATTACCTTCCACGAGAATTGGATCATCTAGTTTGTCATGGCCTGCTGCTCATGTCCCCCTGCACATCCGCTACGCCCTCTTTCTGCAATTCATGATTCAATCTTACACATCAACGTTCTCCCTTCACAACATCTCATTTAAATGTCGACAGCCGTCAAAGGTCTTATCTCAGCCTGCCATGTCGCCATCTTTATCTACGGCTTCCAGCTCCAGAGGAACGATAGGGAGCTCTCCGACATCAATACCATTGGATTCTCAATCTACTGCTCCAGAGGAGCGGCCCTCTGCCTCGCATTTGACATGACCTTGATCATGTTGCCAGTCTGTCGCAAGCTGCTTTCGTATATCTCGCGCATTATCTTTGCCCTCCTCCACATCGGCCAGGGTACCATCTCTGAAGGTGATCATTCCGGCCTGACCAACTACCACAAATACCTCGCCTACCATGTTCTCGTCTTCCTCGTCATCCATGTGCTTGGTCATTGTGTCAACTTTTATCGTCTGGAGCAATTGGGACGAGGCAGTGCCATGTCGTACCACTTTGGTACCTGGGCTGGAGTCACAGGATACTGGATGCTGCTCTTACTCGGCATCATGTTCATCACTGCCCACAGGAATATTCGGAAGAGAAACTACGAGGTATTTTGGTACACGCACCATCTCGCACTCTTCGTCATGGCATTTTTTGCCTTCCACGGCTATGGCTGCTTTGTCAAGACAAACGAGGGCCAGTGTCGAGGCTACGGGTCATGGAGATACGTCGTTCTGACATCGCTGATCTTCCTGACTGAACGAGCCCTCCGCGCTTTCGAATCAAGACAGCCTATTGCTCTTTCATCGGCCATTGCACATCCGGGAGGTGCAATTGAACTCAACTTCAAGCAGCCATCGATTCATTACCGACCAGGACAGCACCTGTACCTCAACATACCCCAATTGTCGAAGTACGAGTGGCACCCTTTCACCATCACCTCCTCGCCCATCGAGCAATACATTTCGCTGGATATTCGACAGGATGGCGACTGGACAGAACAACTCGGGCGATTTCTCGGTCATGGACCGGAGACGCCTCGACTGGAGCAAGCGCAGGTGGTTCGAGATCGATCTCTGCTACCCTTGATTAGAGTCGACGGCCCTTATGGCGGCCCCAAAGATGACGTCCTGAACTTTGACCATGCGGTTCTAATCGGGACAGGGAACGGAATAACGACCTTTTCAGGCATCCTTCGACACATTTGGTAAGTTGTGAAGGTATTGCAGGCTAAACATAGATCGACAACCATGCGAATGGGCGTTACAGAACTAATTATTTCCCATATTCATTATGGTGACACCAGGTTTCGGCATCAGGAAACCCAGAGCTCTCGATTAAAGACATTGGACCTCTATTGGGTATCGCGCGACACCAACAAACTGGAATGGTTCCAATCCTTATTCTCTATGGAGCAAACGATGGAACTCTTCAGAACAGGATTGATCCGCATTCACATCTACTTTACGTCCTCCAGGCCAGTGCGCAATTTACCCCTCAGACGTAGCTCCACGATCCAGAGCTCTAAGACCGGAACCGGCTCTCACCCTCTGCCGTTGATACAGACAGGAATTACCATACAGGGGCGATATTCAGAGGACGATGACGAGCAGGGGGAGCACGAGGAGCTGCTGTCACCTCTGGACCGTCCGGCTGGCTCAGAGTCCCTCATCTCTCTTACATCGGTAAGGTCGCCACCGCAATCTAGGTCAGATGCTATGATTAAAACATCAGCGGCAGATACGAGTGCGATAATGAGGATATCAGAAAGTATGGAACAAGGCGAGCCAATCATTGGACCTGGTAACATACACTTTGGACGACCTGATTTCGCATCTGTGTTCGGCACTATGAAGAGTAGGCTGGCGCGAGATGGGGACGCTGTTAGATCAGTTAAAGTAGGGGTGTTTTATTGTGGATCCCTAGGCCTGGGAAGGACCTTGGCACGCGAGTGCCGACACTGCAGCAGCTCCCGTATCAAGTTTGTCTTTTCCGAAGAATAAATCAACCGAATAGATCAAAGATTGGATTGAGCAATGTTCGCAGTTGGTGGCAAACGGGTACCACTCACGTGAGATTCTGATTCCGCCCTGTTTTGGCCGAATTCACAGAAGCGGTCCCGAGAGTGCCTGAAGAAAAGGATCCAAGCGCATCGCATCGCAGCACCGCATCCTGCATTCCAGAACAAGGACAGAAAACACATGGCATCAAGGATTCGACCACTGGCTCCGGCCTTCAGAACACTGCCCAGGACAGCAGCAGCTCGCCTTCCCTCGACAGCAGCAACATCGTCCCTCGCAGCGCAGACTGCAGCTGCAGCAAGACGATCCCTTTCCCTGAAATCCTTTTTCACCTCCAGCAAGCCCAAGTCCGATCCATTCACTTCGCAATTCGAACCAGTCCTCGAGCAGGTTAACCTCTTTCATCCCCTCAGCAAGTCTCCCTTGCCCGCAGTACGCAGCAAAGCAGAATGGATCAACAACCACGGAACATGTCCTGTATGCAAGGAACACGAGCCCGAGGAGAAGAGCAAGGCACCAAAGTACGAGTGCCCGGATTGTGGATATCCAACCCACTGTAGCGAGGAACATTATAAGATGGACAAGGGGAATCATAAGCATGTCTGTGGGGTACTCAGGGAGGTCAACGAGGACGAGCACGACCTTCGATCTGGCCGTCGCATGAAGGAGTTTGAGTTCCCGGGTACGCAAGGGAAATAACAACGCGCGCAGCATGCAGGCAACAGTGGAAACCTAGATATTAGAATACTGAAATTCGGCTTTCTTTTTTCCCTCTTGTGTTGTGGTTTCTAGGTGCGCAGCATCGTGATGAGGCGGTCAACCTGTCAAATTGGGACACTTTCCTCTACACCCGTGGATTCCTCAGTATGAACTCGGAGCGATCGATGCGCCACGTCTCCCATGTCTTGACATACCCTCTCACCATCGGCTCGGTTCTCCATCAGTCTTCGCCATACCGCCTCGGAAAGGATCTCACTGTTGAGGGATTGAAGTCATTAGCTGGTATGGGCCGATTCGCGTGCACTTTTCTTTCCTATTGACGAACTATTGGAACCGGTCTGACAAATGCTGACATTCTGTTCCACAGCTCTTCGCCATACACTGCACCCAGCTATCATCGGAGGAATCACTCAGGCTCAGGATCTTCGCACGACAGCAACACACACCGTTCGCATCTTTTGCTTGGGAGCACGCGCAGAGTCTCACCTCCCACCCCACATTTACATGCAGCTCGCTTACCTGTTCCCCAACACAGCCTTCCAAATCCATTTCATCGGACCGGACGCGATCCCACCACACACAAAGTCGAAGGATCCCCACCAACATGTACACTACGAGCAGATGACATTTGTGTATGACAGTTCTCGCTATGAGGCCTATCACGCCGAGGCAGGACCCTTCAACCCTTATTACGACATCTTCTTCCTCTTCTCGCCCGGACTCGCTCACCCGGCCACCCGAGAGATGTGGAAGCCGACGATCCCACTCTTGCTCGACACCAAGTGCGCGATCTTTGGAACAGGATTCGATGAGAACGATGTGATGAACGATGTGAACGAGATTGAGAGTTCGGGATATGAACTCGACTGGTTGATGAAACCCAGGGAGAATGTGTTCAGGAGCTTGAAGCACGAGATCAATATGACGGACGTCCGTCAGTCGGCCCAGTGTAATTGGGGCATCTGGGGTATCCGTGGACGCCGATATGATGTTAGGCCTGCGGAGGAGTAGTCTTGCAGTCAGCTATTATTTTTTTTTGTTTTTTTTGCGGACTTTGACATAGACTTCCATCTGGGACCCTTTGTAAAGAAAAGAAAAAGAAAGAAAAGGAACCCGGCGTCTGCTTCACTATATCCTCCTTGGTATCTCCTCTAGCATTTTATCTCATTCTACATTTGAGCCGCAAAATAAAGAAAAATAGCGTGTCTAGACGCTATTCATTATAACCATTTATAATAGTTTATAGTAACGCCAAGAGCGAGAGGAAAGAAAAAAAACTGTCATGTATATGTGCGTGTTTGTGTGCAGGGAGGATGTGGCCTCTTGGTATAACTATGGTGCTGGCTACAGCTGTGCGTCTGGCTATTCATCAATATGCTGTCGAAAAAAAGCAGCTCCAGGCCGCTTTTAGAACAAGGACGACAGGGCGACAGCGTTGGTCGCAGCTGTCAGTGCAAGTGCTAAGGCTCCCTGACTAAAGATAGTACTGGCTCCTGCAGCCTGGAGCTGGGCACCCTTAGCGGTGTTCTGAACCAAGGTGATAGGGCCACTAGGTGTAGCCGCGTCCTGGGAAGTCGATCCTGTAGGGACTAACAGAGTAATCGGAGGCGAAGAAGAATCATATCAGAAGGGTATTCAAGAGTCGAACAAAAAAAAACGAAAAGAAAAGAAGAGAAAAGATTGCAGCAGAATGAACGAAAGGCTCGCCTTACCTATGGCAATAGCAGCTGCGGTGCCATTGGCAGCAGCAACGCCCTCGGTCGAGATTGTGAAAGTGTGAGTGTAATAATCGCCTCTGCCTGGTCCATCAGCGATCCAGAACTCGAGCGCGCAAGAGGATCCGCAGCTGACATTCGGGACTTTGGAAACAGTCAGCTTGTGGTCGCCGAGGACGACATCCTTGCCGAGTGTCCCGAGACGCTTATAGGCCGCTGGGTCTATATAGGAAAAAAATAAAAAATAAGATAAAAAATAAAAAATAAAAAAAGCGCATAGTGAGTTGTGAGATATGGTCTTTGGCGCAAGTCTCTAGAGTACTACACTGCATCGATCTTTATGCTTACCTCCGCCAACAAGGAAAATAGTGACAACATCCTGCTTGGATGTTGGGGCGCTCAGCCTCCAATGAATCTCCGCAGAACTCCCGATCTTCCAGTGGGTAGCTATCGAACGTACAAAATCGGTTGTACAAACATTTCAGATTTTATTTTATTTTTTTCGAGTTTTGGGTGTAAGGGAGCTGGTTTAATCATACTAGCAGTTGGGTCGGTGCTCCAGACATCTGCGAGGCAGGTCGAGGTGTAGGCCAAGGCCGCCAAGAGAAAAGACGCGCGGGTAGTGAGAATCATTGCCGTCGTATTCGTTATTCGTGTCGTGTCGTGTCGTGTCGTTGAGATGAGGTGAGATGAGTTGTATCTGTGGAGGGTCGTCAAAAGGTTGCAGAAAAGAGAAAATGCATAGCTGATCCATTTAAACGACTTTTTTATTAGTTTTTTTTTCTCAGGTATGACTATGGACGACGATGCTGCTTGATAGTTGCAATGGTAAGTAAAAAAAAAAAAAAAAAAAAAAAAGCCAAGGGCGTCCCTCCAGCTCCTTGTTGGCTCTTCTAACAATTGTATTGTATTTCACTGTGCGATAGAAGGGAGTGAAGGGAGTCAAAAAGGATGAGCGCTTCCGTCCACGTCTCCTTGAGGCGCTCGTATGCGCATCCCGCGTTTGTCTGTAGGAACCAATGTCCTATCTGAACATTCTCTCCCTCTCCCTCTGCCTCTCCATATATAAAAAAAAAAAAAAAAAAAAAAAAGCAAGGAGGTGCAGCCTCCATGCCCCGACACAAATGTTGCTCCCATGTCGCTTGAGCAAAATAAAGGGAAGTACAGAGGAAACGTAGAAAGAGCATGGGGCGCAAAACAACAGCCTTGGAATATCCGAAAATATATTAGAGTGCCTAGTTCTGGGTACAACAGGATCTGTCAAGGGAAAGCAACTGTCCCTGTTAGTAATTGGATCGACTCAGTTGTCAAGGTTGTCCTCGACATGGACATATGCTATACGGCTGTCGCGTTGATTCGATCGATCGATCGGCAGTGTAGTTTGCTCAGTGCTCAATACACGATTCGTAGTGATCGGTTAAAAGCAGTTTCCCAAGACGATTTCTGGTATTGTACGACTTTCAGTGCTATGTGGGCATAAAAGATAAAGAGTAGTGGGGTTGTGCGTCAATTGTGTACACGTACCTGCATGCAGCCTCAACAAGGTCCCAGGAAATCAACAAAGTCAGGACACGGAGGCAGGTAGTACAGTACACGCCATTGGAAAATCAGATTGTGCGATTAAAGTCCAACCCCATGAAGCTGAGCAAAGTTTTAACCGTGGTAAAAAAAAAAAAAAACTTTGTGCGTCCAAAAATGTTCGATTTATCAGAATACTGCCGATAAGTCCAGGAGAATGGATTGCAATGTTCCTTTGTGCATGTACAGTACCGCTCCATGGCCGCAAGATGATCGCCCGTCAATTTGCCACCAAGCTGCTAACGCGACAACAGGCAATGGCGGGGACATCGTTTATGTATGTGCCTGGAGCAGCCAATGGGTAAGCAGGGCAGACAGTACAACGAAACAGCAGGTAAAAATGCCATTGGGCAAAGTAGAAGGAAAAAGCTACTGGGTGGGCGGGCGGGCCATCATCGTCAGCAGGGTCTATAGAAACGTAAATTTCGGTACAATTTTGACAAATAATACAGTCGGATCCCGCATCACATATTAATGTTTTATCCGACAACAGACCCCACTGATCCCCTTTATAAGAAACGCAACCACCCCAATTCCCCTCCTCCTCTTCTTTTTCTCCTTCTTCTTCCCCTTCACTTATATTACTTGCAACCCCTCCTTCCTTCTGATCTTTTGTTCATAAACGGACGCATCATCGTCAGCCAAAGGACCGACGACCACCAGCAGCAGCAGCAGCAACAACAGCAATAAGCAACCACGTCAGTGTGTGTCAGCAGGGGCACCAACAGTCGCTCATCCATCACATCGGGGTCAAGCACAGGCACAAGCACAAACAATACCAAGTCGCCAGTCGAGTCTCCACCCTCCCTTTTTTCTGTCCCAGTTGACCCGTCTTCTACTTCTTTCTCCCTTTCACTTCATTTTTGCCATTTAACTCGATACATTCCAACATGCCAGTCTCCTCCGTCCTCGCCAGTCCGGCTGCACAAATCGTCCAGACTTACCTTAACAACCCACGCCTGAGCAACATCAAGAACCTGGTCTTCATCATCTTCATCTACAAGCTCCTTTCATTCCTCAACACCACATTCGTGACCCATGGACCCACAAGAACTTACAAAGAGCTCAAAGTTTACCTAAGCGCAGTATGTTATCTTATCAATTTCCCCCCCAAATGCATGGCATGATGATGGGCGCTGGATTATTTACACCCCGGAAAAAGGAATCACCTGGAAAATGGGATACTAACATTTCCCTCATGTGAACGATCCATAGCTCGCCTTCAAATATGCCAAGATGCTCCCTAGTGTAAAGGAAAAACTGAATCGCGAGCTCGGAAAGGCCGCCAAGGATATTGAGGACAAGGTCGCACCTCAGGACGACAATTTCCCTCGCTACACGATCCTACCAGAGCGAGGATTCACAGAGGAGGAAATGACTAAGGAACTGGAGAGGTAAATGGCAGTGAATAGAGTTATTTTGAATTGGGACGTTCTGGACTCTTGGGGATAAGGAATGCAGGAGCAATTGCCATAAGATGCTTATCTGTAGAAAACTTTGGACGAACGAGTTTTTTGTGGGTCAGGACAGGAGTAGCAAAATGCAATTCGCCAACTCAGCCATGGACATCGGCCTTGTTTCACGAGTTTGTTTTTCTACCTCTTGGTGCGACCAGGAAACTCTTAGTAATGCTAATTTATCTAATTTATTTTATCGCATCTTCTACAAACAGATATAGCGAATTGCCCCACACTCGCTGGGAGGAGGGACGTGTCTCAGGAGCGGTATACCATCACAACAAGATCCTCTCAGACTTGGGAGCCCTCGCATACAGAAAGTTCTCAAGTGCCAACCCATTGCACCCCGAGGTCTTCCCAGGAACGAGAAAGATGGAGGCTGAGGTGTGCGCCATGGTGTTGCAGCTCTTCCATGCCAGCCCCAAGGCTGGAGCTGTCATGACCTCTGGAGGCACCGAGTCGATCCTGATGTCCTGCAAGACCCATCGCGACTGGGGCAAGGAGGTCAAAGGCATCACCAAACCTGAAATGTAAGCGCCGGAAAAAGCTACGGCCCTCATTTTCCCACCATAATGCAAACTGCTAACAACGAGCCAATGGTATCCTGTCGATGAAAATAGTGTCGCCCCAGTTACCATTCACGCAGCGTTCGACAAGGCCGCCAGCTACTTTGGCATGAAGTTGATCCACGTTCCTATCGACCCCGTCACGATGCAAGCCGACCTCAATGCTGTCAAGAAGGCCATCAACAAGAACACTGTTCTTATTGCTGGCTCCGCAGTCAACTACCCACATGGTGTTATGGATGATATTGTTGCTCTGGGCAAGCTGGCCAAGAAGCACAACGTTGGTCTTCATGTCGATTGCTGTCTTGGTAGTTTCATGGTGGCGTTTGCGGAGAAGGCAGGATACAAGTTGCCACCATTTGATTTCCGTGTCCCTGGAGTCACCGCCATCTCATGCGACACTCACAAGTATGGATTCGCACCTAAGGGATCTTCGATCATCATGTATCATACCAAGGAGCTCCGCCGGTACCAATACTTCAGCATGGCCACTTGGCCCGGTGGAATTTACGCCTCACCCTCCATTGCTGGCTCTCGTCCCGGCGCTCTTATTGCAGGATGCTGGGCTACGTTAATGCACGTCGGACAGGAGGGATACGTTAAGGAAGCCAAGCACATCATTAGCGCGCAGATCAAGGTTCGCAAGGCGATCGAGACCATTCCCAGTCTGTATGTCTATGGTGAACCCAAGACATCAGTCGTGGCCTTCAATTCGAGAAAGTACAACATTTATGATGTCAGTGATCAGTTGTCAAAGCGCGGTTGGCACTTGTCTGCACTGCAGAACCCTCCGGGCGTCCACTGGACCAGCACAATCCCAACCGCTGATGCCGCGGATGAGTTTATTTCAGACTTGCAGGAGGTTATGAGCGACTTTGAAGCAGGAAAAATCACAGAGACGGGGTCGACAGCAGGCATGTACGGTATGGCCGCAACGGTGCCTTCTTCGGTCGTTGCCGAGGTTGCCTGTGCCTTTGTTGACGCTCTTTACAAGCCGTAAATGATGAGATGTGTAAAAATAAAGAAAAATGAAATTCGAGTCTGGACCTCGTGTCGTGAGGTTATGGGCCATCAAATCCGGCATGTATGCACATATGGAATGAATGCATCGTTGGGGGTCTGCTTGCATCAAAGGAAGAATGCTTGCATTAAGAGGGCATGGAAACGGTTCTTACGCGTCGTCATCGAGGTGCTCTTCCGCAAGCTGCATTCAACACACCCAGTTCATTGCCAACTACTTCACACGACATTCAGCACTCCGATCCCTGCATTTCTACCGAATGAGCTCACAACCACGTCAGCGGGTCATTGCACTTTACAAGCAGGTAAGCCATGGAATAACTAACCTGCTCCGCTTGGTTGCTTAGCCGGCACCCCGCGCCCCTCGCTGTTGGGAGCAATTGGATACTTCTGTTCCAACAAACATCCTTAAGGAACTGTGATACCCGGAGACGACAGCGATACAATTAGACGCATCATGCTAACCATAGTTGCGTTGCTGACCCGTCAGCTATCATATCTAGGTCGTGAATATCCAGCAGGTTCAGACTACTTCCACAAGAAGCTGAAGACCGCATTCCTAAAGAATAAGGATCTGAGCGATCCAGCTGAGATTCAGAAGCGAATCGATCTTGGAGATTATGTCTGTAAAGGTTAGTATTTTGAAAACGCGTTCATGGAATCGCCAATTATCTGTTGCCGTTGCCCTTCTTTATTCTAATTCAAGCCTTGGTACGTTATGCAGAGATCGAGGCGATGTATCATATCAACAAGTACAGGGCTATGAAGAAGCGGTACTATGAAGAAAATCAGGCAGAGGACATCCAGAGCAAACTCGAGAATGCAAGCTGGGCAAATGCCTCAGCCAAGAAGTAGATCCAGCCCGCAGTTACGAGCACACAGAGCATGGAACAGCATAGAGACAATGCGACATAAAACTTCAATTGATCCATGTGTATATGTCTCAAGATTGTGAAATTGAATAGAGATGGCTTGCTTAGATCGTCAATACTCTCCATGCCTTGCCCGAACGCGTCTTTTTTTGCGTAGAACTAGACCCTTTATCCGAAAGATGGACCGTTCCCCCCTAGATTTGTAATGGTCTCTGCAGCCCCCTAGCTTGCTGAGCTAGAAAGCAGATAGATGAACAACAAGATCACGTTAAACAGCGGAATCATATCCTGTGCACGCGTGTTCACGCAAAAGGTATGCTCGGCATTTAGTTAGTCATCTTATCTTTTTTTTTGTTTCTCCGCGTTTGTTGTTGTGGTTGTCCATTCCAAGGCCGATGGTTGTTGTTTATTGGCGTGCGCCATCTTCCCCACCCACTTTATCTCGGACCCACCATCATCACGCATGCCCATGCTAGTCTACACTACTACATCACCCGAGTGAGCTCCTCTTCCCCACCCCCACCTTTTGTTTGGTATCATTCTCCCTCATGCGCTCAGGGCCATTGACCCAGTTTTTACTGCTTCCAAATTTCCTGGGTCACTAGCCAAAGTTGCCCAATCGGAAGACTTTGTGTAACCCAACTCCACTTCTTCATCTACTTTCTTTTCTCCACTCTTGCTGTCGCCTTTTGCTTTCAATATGAATGAGTCCAGATGTCTTTTTATTACCCAAAAACTGTGTGGAAAGTAGGGTTCCGAACTGGACGTTCAACAAAGGATTAGGCGCGGGAAGAATCGTTTGAGGGTGGATCGAAAAAAATGCCCTTGTGTTCATGTTACAAACAGAGGACCGCTTGAAAACAAAATGATGGCAGATGGTATCATTTTATCCTGCAGCTCGCTCTCTCACACCTGCTGTCTCCATGTACTTCGACAACGTCTGACTACTACTTCGCAATGGATTTTGAATCCTGGTGATTCAGGGATTGACGAGTACCGATTTCGCTATGTGGGTTCCAGAACCTCTGTGCTCGTTGTTCTCATGTGTGTGCGTGTCTTTATGCAATTTTTTTTTCCTCGCCCTAGCTGCTTGCCCAAATGCTCACTTTCTTTTGTGTTCCCTCCCTTTGGTTTACACACTCAGAGGCTTGAAGGAAGGGACTTTGTACAGCTTTTCGATTGAGTCGCGGGCTTGTAAAGGATCATTTAGGCATTTTTGTTTTTGTTTTTTCTTGTAGCTGAAGCAGACTACTTTAACCTTAGTCTCAGGGCGCTCGATAAAGAAGGAGGGATCCTGCAGGACCAGGCTGTCGGAAGTACAGACCGCAACGTACGTTCAACAGAGTACATCCAGCGGACACATCGCACTACTCTTTTTCGTATTTAAACACGGCTGTCAATTCTCTTTTGCAGTTTTTTTTTTTTCTCTGTGCTCCTCCCACGCCTTCTTCTGCACCTTATCCTTTATTTTTCTCCTCCTCTGGCCAAGACTCTTGACTTGTACACATATTGCCTCGCGCTTGCATTACTGTAAATCCAATGTCTGAAGTCCTCCCAACAACGCAGCCCCAGGATAACCATCAGCACGATGGTTACGGCTCAGCGGTGAAGGAGAATGTCAAAGAACGTCTGGTCTCCTTCAAGTCCGGGTTCCGTCTTGGAGAGATGAGCGGAGCGCTAGGTGATCTGGGAACGCTCCTGCCCATCCTCCTGTCCTTGGCTCTCACGGGCCAAGTCGATCTGACCGCCAGTTTGATCTTTGGAGGCGTCTGGAACATCCTCACCGGCATCATGTTTAGGATCCCCATGTGTGTTCAGCCCATGAAATGTAAGTCGAACGATCTCCACAATCAAATACCCATCTCGACATTTGGTGCCTAAGGGGTTTACTGACAAAGGTTATTGTTTTGCTTTCTCTAGCTATCGCCGCGATCGCATTGACGAACCACATGTCTCTGGGTGCGCTCATGGGCGCCGGCATGTCCGTCTCGACCGTGATCTTCGTCCTCGGCGTGACCCGAACCATCCATCTCGTCAAAAGGTACACCCCCATGGCCGTAATCCGCGGTATCCAGCTCGGAACCGCCGTCTCCTTTGCAGGCAAGGCCGCCGATCTTGTGAAACAGGCAAAGACCTTCGGTGGCGATGGCTGGGACTGGGCCAACAACTACGAATGGGCTATCGTTGCCTTCATCATCGTCTTCATGTTCTACTACCGCGCCAAGCGTATCCCTACCGCCATGATCCTCTTCGCGATCGGACTTATCATTGCCTTCATCAAACTCTACACTAATCCACCTGCCAAGGCCGTCTACCCCAAGATCGGCGTCTACACCGTCTCGGTCACGGTTCCGACTGCTGAAGAATTCAAGCACGGGTTCCTGTCCGCTGGTCTTGGTCAGATTCCACTCACGGCATTGAATTCTGTCATCGCCCTCGCCGCCCTGGCCCAGGACCTGTTCCCAGAGCGCCCTGCAAGCACACCTACCATCTCCATCTCGATCGGCCTGATGAACCTAGTCGGCTGCTTCTTTGGCTCCATGCCCTTCTGCCACGGCTCCGGTGGTCTCGCTGCCCAGTATCGCTTCGGTGCCCGTACTGAAGTCTCCATCATCGTCTTGGGAACCCTCAAAATCTTCTTTGGTCTCTTCTTTGGCTCCTCGCTCTTAGGCCTGATCCAATGCTTCCCGACCGCCATCTTGGGCGTGATGCTCTTTGTCAGTGGTATCGAGCTCGGTGCTGTCGCACGTACCGTCAACGATGGCGTCGCCAGCGACGTGAAGCGCCATGCTAATTTCATCATCATGATTACGACAGCCGGCATGCTCGTCGGCTTCAAGAACGATGGAATTGGTTTCCTGGGTGGAATGGTCGTCGCCATTTGCTTCTACGTCGGAGCGCGTTTTGGTGGATCCATGGATGAGGATAACACTGGTGTCATCCCTGAGCAGCAGCAACAGGAGCAGGCGGCTCTTCAGGCCAACTCGACTGCAAGGAACAATGACGAGTATGAGGATCCTTCTATTCGTAAGGCACCCATAGTGGATCCTGAACAAGTTGAGGAGCCAACTCATCTGGAAGAGACGCGTCCCGCGCGCACGTAAAACGCGGTCTACCTTATCTAGTGCACATATCTTCATAATATACATTCTTGTCAATCTTCGGTCGAGTGGATTTTTTTTTTTTCAGTCTTTTGTTCAGTTTATTCAGGCAGTAGTGGCAAAAAGATAGGGCGGAAAAGAGAAAAATCCATGCAAACAACAGGATTGAGAGCACAGTACTACAATTCTCTTTTAACCCATGGGAAGACCGCACATCTCGCAATTCTCGTCCCCGTGTGTGTTCAAGAATGTACAGTGACGACATGTCCATGGAGCAGTGGCAGATGCGCCCGAAGAACCGCCTGCACCTCTGCCTGAGGACGACGAAGAACCCTGCCCTCCTCGGGATGAGCCCGCAGACTCCTTCAGGACCGTCAATAATGTCTGCCACCCTGGTGTCTGCACGAGTTTGTTGGCATCTTCCTCCTTGTGCAAAAGCGCGACGCGGACCAAAAGATTCATCTCGTCCTGTGAAAAATTGTGAGTTGGAATAGTATGGATGAGCGATCGAGATCCAATGTAGTATCAGCACATGCAATTTGCAGCAGAAAACATAAAAAACTTACTGTATCGTTTAGAATACCCATGCTGCGGGCGAACAGCAAAAAGTGAAAGTTAGATGCGAGTTCAACCAGATTTCCAGACTCCAGATACCGATGCAACGATGCCGCATCCTGCACAAATGCCCCGACTCTGTTCTCGATAGGAAAGTCCTTTGGTGATTTGAACATGGGAGACGCCTTAACGGGGAAACCATGTGTTACCTATATTGTTGCAATTTTGAAAGATCAGTCTGGGCGATGAACCATGCATTCAGCATTATAAAAATATACCCGGTTTAAGCAGCCCTTTGCCCCTTACGTTGACAAGAAGGTACTCGACCGGGAAGGAGGGTTTGGCATCCTTCTGGACCACAAGGTTGTACTCGTTCTTATACTTGAAAAACACGTCGGGAATGTAGCGATCAGTCGTTGCCTCCCTTACGCGCATGATGCCTGGCTCCACACTGGGCTCTACGATATCAGCATCCACCATGCCAACACAGGTGTTGGAAACTTGGTACGAGGACACGTCGATGTTCCCCTCCTGATTTCCACCAATAACGCATGTGACAAACTTGGACCCGAAGGTTCCTGTGGACGAGTATTTGGTCGCATTCGGGTACTTTTGTTGCATCACCGCCGCAAACTGGCATTCCTGTGACGAGAAGAAGTACGAGTCGATATGTCGTTTACAAAGGACCGTTCCCTTGCCAGAGCCATCATCTGTCAGGTCTGTGTAGATCATACCCACGCGCTGAAGTCCACAGGCGCCTGCCATCTCATCTGCCCTTTTTTCTCCGTAGATAGGGTCCTCCAGCTTCAATCCTTCGCTGTCGCCCTCTTGTGGGGGCTCATAGATCGCTTCTACTACTGCTTTGATGCCGAGAGGCACTTCTGAGTAAGGCTCATATCTTCCATACATGTAGCCGAAACGCTGAAGCCCAGTCGTGCGCCAATAATTGATGAAGTTGTCGATGATAGTTGCGCTGGAAAATTCGACATGGTCCACCAATCTGAATGGCTGGAAACATAAGACAGACATAGATCAGCATCTCAAATTGCAATCTTGGAATGGTCAGTTCAAGCAATAAAAGTTGGGTTTGTAAGCCTACCTGTCGCTGCAAGGTGATGGCACTGGGTTGGCATTTCGTACAGATACTGGCGGGCCATGGTGGATGTCCAGAGCTGCAGTTGGTTTTGACCTTGTATGATGGCTCCTCGAGCGAGGGCAGAGTGATGTAGGAAGTTCCTTGCTTTTTGTCGTGTGCGCCCAATTTCCGCAAGTAGGCATGGAACGACAAGCTCTTGATCTTGTGCTCCTCCAAGTATGCTGGGTCGAAAGGTTCGAGAGGCATGCAGTAGTCGCACATTCCATTCGCGGCATGTTTGCAGCTGAACATCACAAACATAAGGTATTAGTAAGCAACTTCACGGTAACACTCCAAGCGTAGGCCTTATGCTGCCGAAACAGAGAAAGATCGATGACGACGTACAATTTCGGATCCTTTGGCCGCTTGATGAGTCCGTCCTGCGAGTCGAGGTAGTCGTCCACTGCATCCTGGACTACTGTCGAAGAAGATCTAGTGTCAGGTTGTACCGCAGCCTCTGCGAATCCGATATAGAGCAGATCGCCGTGCCTTTTGATGGCAAAAAGGGCAATGACAATTTAGTATCCCGAAAAAAAAAAAGATAAAAATCTCTGCGCCTCATTATCAGAAGCAAAAGGCAACATACTTGACGTTGAGCTGACCCAAGGTCTTTCCTGAGAGGCTATCCATTGGTGTGGCTCCTGCATTGGGCTGGTCGCTGATGGTGATGGTGGACGAATCCGTGATCTTCAGCTCCTTAGCGATCTACTCCGTATACCAAAAGAATAGTACAGTCAGCTATCCCACCCGAGATCATATATTGGTGCCTCTCAAGGACCATGCCCATACCTTATCTCGGAGAATGATAATATCATCGCTTGGGCTCACTTCTATGCGATGGGTGCCCTCTTTGCTTCGCACTCGAACAAGCTAGAGTTGACGCAGTCAAAAGGTCGCAAACGGCCATGTCAGCGAACAGCGCCAAGGAATCGCATGAAAAGCGGGGCATGAGCTTGCTGTCGTCGTCATTCTCATTCCTGGACAATGTTCCATTTGTCCTTACCATGATGTCGAGTGTGGTGTAGAGGCGGGGTGGTGTAATGGGAAGGTGAATGAGCTCGATGGAAGTTGCAGAAAAACGACTCAGGCATGCTGAAGAAGGAGTACGTAAGACCGTGACCGGCTGCAAACCGTAAAAAACGCGTTATTTAAAGTTTTATTTTACGAAAGGGCCACAGAGCCAACTTTTTGGCCAATCTTCCACGCGACGCGACGCACAGTGATGGAGCAGTGCCTGAGATCATGTCCCAATTCGCCTTCCAATTCAGTCATGGTATCCACAATGTCTTCGTTCAGAACATTTCCTCCCAAGGCCCATGCAAAACTGGCGTGAAACTGCGGATCTTCATAGAATGCTGGCTGGCAATACCGCTCTACTATCATATCCATCTCACTTACAAGACTCTCTATCTGTGCACAAAAAACCATAAAATCGCATGAGTTGAATGATAAGAGATAAGTTACGTCTGTGAGAAGGACGTTCCTAACCATGAAATAGTTACCTCCGCATGTCCAGACCCTACCCGTAGACTCAGGAATGACCGCGTCTTGTCTTCGTTGGCAAAACTCTGCACACCAGAAAACGACACGCTGAACCTTTATAAATGTGACAGATAGCTATCAGTCGAGATATCGTGCTGTACGAGTGCCACAATTGCTTTAGGACCTGTACCGTACTTCTTCCGTTTCTTGAAGGCGTCTCTGACATCAGATGCGAATCGTCCAGTGTGCAGCTCTTGCAAATAGAGCGGTTTCGTCAGGCTGATATGCAATTCCGTCGCGTCCTCTGAGGCCTCCGCTTCAATTGGGGTCGTGTTTTTGCTATTTTTTGAAGCAATCGATTCGAGCAACGAGACGGTGCCTGGAGCCGACTTTCGGGCGACCTTGATTAAGGTTGTCACAATATCGAAGAGCTCACTAGACAACTTCACTGATGTTAATCGTGTCAGGTAATCAGATTCTTTAACCACACGAGCGGTTTTGAACGGAAATATCTGTTCTGCTTACCTTCGAGATAAACATGTACTGGCCAGGAGCCGTCAATGTGGGCACGCGTCCGGGTTCGACCCTGGTGTCGCTCTGGATTGTCAGCAGGTCGCTCCCTGTCCCTGAAGAGGTCAGTCAATGAATTTGGAAGTGGTGGGAGGGCTATCTTGATCCTGAATAACAGTATGAGTGCTTCAAAGTAATTGGTACAACTACAATAGGACGACATTGGATGTGTGGTCAATCAGCATACCTCTTTGGGGGTACTCGCTCCGAGTCGTCTTGTATCGTACGTTTTGTTATGGATTGCTCCTTCAGCTCCATCTTCTTATCTAGGCTGAATACTTCCTCTTCTTCCTCTTCTGACGAGCTTCCATAGTCCACCAACGGCATTTCAAAAAATAAAAAATAAAAAATAGCGAGTTGGAGATGAGCAAGGGACGCCTTGACAATTCCTTTTTTCATTTATCCATTTTTGGTGGCGCGTAGGATGTGTTTTGATTTCTTTTTTCAAGGCACGTCTACTTTTTGAGCGAGCACACCTTCAACTCAACACATTATTGTCCCATCATGGCAGCTGTTCACCATGTCCCTGAGCACCTGTCCACTTTGGCAGACGTCCTGGGCCCTGATGTCGACATTGCCATACTCGAGAAACTACATGTCATCTCTGACGGAAACTTGAACCGCGCCATCAATCATTTTTATGAAGGAACCTATCATAACGCCACCATCCCAGCACCAACTCGAACGCAGGCGCCGGCGCCAGCAAATATCCCACAGCCTTATAAGAAAACAACACCTAATTCTTCCAGGGACACTGACCTCATACTCGAAGATTTGAGCGAAAATACATCCGGATCTGGAAGCTGTAGTGTCAAACGGAAAGCGTACGACTCAATCTTCCCCAAGTACCTCGGCGAGCTCACCATTATTGCCTTTGCACTTGGAGGGATAGTCAAGATCGAGGCAGGAGAGCAAGTGATTTTTGATAGAGCGAAGCCTAATCCACAACATCAATTCTCTCGGAAAAAGAAAGGATCAGGGTCCGCTACGACCGGTTGGGGCGGAAAGGCACTCAAGGAGAACAACGTCGTCCGGTTCACAAAGCAGAACGGATTCGAGATCGGAAGATTACAGATCGATACATCTCGTTGGGTTTCAAAGTTGATGGACTATGGACTTGCAGAGTTCCAGGGCACGATCATCTTGGCACCGCCAATACTTCAAACTGGAGCTGAGATTGTCTTATCGATGCGCTGTTACTTGACAGCGGCAGCCTTTACATCTTTCGGATCTAACCAGAATATCGTACCCAAGTCAAAGTCCGGCTCGGCCACGTTCGTGAATGAGGCACTTGAGACGGGGGGTGAACTTGAGCTCAAGTATCGGAAATACGCTGTGAACGCCATGTTTCGGGATCTAGCTTTGGCGCCTGTTGCCACCAATACCATATGTGGTCCGCGTGATCGAGGGATTGAGATTTTCAGCTCTACCCCAGAAGGATCCACACAGGCGTTGAATGGCGAGAACGAAGAGAATGAGAGCGAACCAGAGGTCTCGGACAAGGAACTGGATGTACTTTATGAGAAGGCTCAGCAACATGGACGGGAGTTTGCTCCGATGGATCCGCCTTCGACTATGACTTACATCTTGAAGCCATATCAGCGTGAGGCTCTGGCATGGATGCACTGCAAGGAAAATCAAGGGGAGTCGAGCGAGAAGCACAAGACCCTTCATCCGCTCTGGGAGGAGTACGAGTTCGCCAAGGAGGATGGCTATGAGCCCAGGTCGGAGGAACCGAAGAGGTACTACTTCAACCCATACTCAAGCGAGATGAGTCTCGAGTTCCCCACGAGTGACCAGCGTTGTCGAGGAGGAATCCTAGCTGACGAGATGGGCTTAGGCAAGACGATCGAGATTCTCAGCTTAGTGCACGCGAATAGCATGGATAGGGCGACCCTCGATTCGCCCGAGGAGGCCTTTGCGCGGCTATCGACTTCCAATACTCAACGGCGAAAGTTATCGCCAACGACGCTGATTGTGTGTCCAATGAGCTTAATATCTCAATGGAGGGATGAGGCTATCAATTCTTCGGACGGATCACTGAAGGTCGAGGTCTATTACGGTGATTCAAGAGACTGGTCTGACGTGACCTTGGTTCAGAAAAATGCGCCGGATGTACTGATCACCAGCTATGGAACCGTTATGTCGGAATTCTCGTCGCTCACCGGAGGGCAGGACCTCAACGACAACAGAAGGCCGACCAGTTTGGAAGAGATCAAAGCTCAAAACATCTGGAAAAAAGGAAGCGCCCTTTTTAATGGTAAGCTCGTTTGTCGGTTTCTAGTAATTTGCATGTGAGAAGACTGTAAGATGCTAACGCCTTTACACTTTTTGGCTCTTTTAGTCGAGTTTCATAGGGTTGTTTTAGACGAGGCGCATCAGATCAAAAGCCGGTTGACGAAGACAGCCAAGGCCTGCTACGCCATCAACTCTGTGCGGCGCTGGGTTGTCACTGGAACACCGATCCAGAATAAATTGGAGGATCTCTTTTCGTTGGTACATTTCCTCCGAGCAGAACCATGGTCGAATTTCTCGTTCTGGCGCACCTTCATCACGATTCCATTTGAGTCCAAGGACAAGGACAAGGCTATGAAGGTCATTACATCGGTCCTGGAACCATTGGTCTTGAGGAGGACAAAAACAACAAAGGACGAGAACGGAAACCCGATTGTGATGCTGCCAGAGCGCACTGTTGAGATTGAATACCTTCAGTTTTCTGAGCAGGAGAACGATATCTATCAGGCGCTATTCAAGGACGGAAAGACGAAATTCAACCACTACTGCAGAGCTGGCACAGTATTGCGGCACTATGCCAGCATTTTTCAGCTGCTCATGAGGTATGTTTGTCAGCCTGTTGTCTTCCCGCCCTTCCACATGATTCCCCGTTCTTCAAATCCACTAATACTGATATGGGATGGATAGGATGCGGCAAGTTTGCGATCACCCACTTTTAGTTGTAGGAAGGAATAAGCCGACGAATTCGTCAGAAGGAGGCATTGATCTAAAGGATGGCCCTATTCAACTGGAGGAACTGATGGCAAAATTCTCGGCGGACGGTGATCAAAAAGAGCAGACGTTTGGAGCAAGCGTTCTGCAGAACTTGATGTCGAACACCGGCGAAGTCCCAGAATGTCCAGTCTGCTTTGAAGATATGGCCGATGGAGTTCTCATGCCATGCATGCATGCAGCCTGTCGTAGCTGCGTACTAGATTATCTTCAGGTACGTAACTTCGACTCATGAGGAAGAAGATCCATCTACCAGCTTGCGGACTAAATTTTAACTTGACATTGCAATGCGACTTAGTTACGCGACGACAGAGGCGAGAAGGGAGAGTGTCCAGTCTGCAGGCAAGGTCCGATCACAGAAGCTGACCTGATAGAGTACTCCACGTCGGATGCAACAGAACAGAAGAATGAGGATTTCGACACTAAGTGTTCAGACATCGCGGCCGGCAATGTGCTCATGGCTGAAGGCGTTAAGGCTGAGGGCAATGGTGACAGCGGTAATAGCAATGGCGGTCGGGTGGTTCAGATTCGACGGAACAACTTCAAGTCGTCCGCAAAACTGGATGCACTCATGCAGGATCTTATTCGGGTTCGGAAGACGGAGCCAGACGCAAAATCTGTCATCTTTTCTCAATTTACGGGCATGTTGGATTTGATCGAGTCGATTTTGGTGAGGGATGGGTTCCAATTTTTGAGACTCGATGGGACTCATAGTCAAGCGACCCGTGAAAAGACTCTGCAGTCATTCAAGGCGCCAGATCACCCGGCTAGCGTGATCCTGATCAGCTTACGCGCTGGAGGCGTCGGATTGAACTTGACCGCTGCCAGTCGGGTCTACATGATGGTAAGTTAATCTCAGTTTTGGATTGTTCTTTGTGTCACAAAAGTTTTCTGACATGATGGTTGCCTGCGTTTTCTTTTCTTTTCTTTTTGAATTACTAATAGGATCCATGGTGGAATTATGCAATTGAGTCCCAGGCGATCGACAGAGTTCATCGCATTGGACAGACCAAGCCTGTTGTGGTCAAACGATTCATTATCCAGGATTCTGTGGAGGAAAAGATCCTGGGCATCCAAAGCCGAAAGAACGCACTGGCCTCAGGACTGGGCATGACCAAGATGGAGGCACAAAGCGCGAGAATGGAGGACTTGCAGGAGATTTTCTCATAGGCTACAGAATGCACCATTTCTTTCTTTCTTTGATCTCTTTCTTTTTTATTTTTTATTTTTTATTTTTCGGACGCAGCAATATTTTAACGCATGTATTTATATGAATTATTGTATGTATTTTATCAACATTCTCTTGAGGGAGCCGAGGCCACGGACCAAATAAACCAATGGCAGATTGCTTTTCAACTATTGTTCCTTGTTTCGAAAGAATATAACGAGCTGTTGTACTTGCAGCCTTGACGTGGGATGCGATCGACAGCATCCAACAAGACATGCAAGATGCTCTCAACTAGCTAGCGATGTGATGAGCCAAAGTCGAACCAGCGTATCATGAAACATTGTCGGTGCTCAAAATGCAGAACATCTGCGCGCGCGGCTGCAATTATTTGTTTATGCGTGTGTGTGTGTGTGTAGCGGGGAGGGGAAAATGCGTGCACAAAGAAATGTGCGAGCGGACAGTCGGTGGTCCAACAGCGTAGTAGTCTATGGAGGTCATCGGATTAGCGTCTTTTTTGTATGAATTAGGGCAGCAGAGGTTTAGACCGACACGGCTTGAGATGGTATCGAAGGATAGCCCTGTTCAAACAAACTTTTAATAAACACGAGTATAATGCTTTGTAGTCAACATGGATGATTATGGTTTTATTTGTACAAGTAGAAGCGATGAATTGGTGTTACGAAGCATCCGTCGTAAGAAAAAAGGAAAGGAGGAGGGGGAAGAAGTTGCTTTTGTTCTTAAATGAGGGCATTGAGGATTTTCTTCCAGAGAGGGAGAGGGGCATCCATGTCCAGCTTGTCGCTCTCTGTGGGGATGAAACGTCCAGTGTCGAGATCGGCATCTTCGGCCCTGATCATCTTTGTCTTTTTCACGAATTTGTAACCAAAGAATAAGCAAAGCGAACACACCCATGGGAACCAAGCACCCAACAAGTTTTGTGCATAGGCATCCCGAGCCTTATGGAAGGCTTTGATGTCCGTTGGTGCGGCATCGGGCCCGGGGTTATGGGGAGGGTTGATGATGGACAGGTAGCAGGTGGCGACTATGCATCCGATACCGATGCAGGTAGCCAGGATGTTGCCATAGGGATATCCCCAGGAGACGTAGGGCAAATCCGAGACGGGGCGACCCTGCTTCTTCCAGCAGTAACGGAAACGGAAGTGGAGGAACAAAATCAGGATCCAGGACTGGAAGATGATGGAGCCGATGATGGAGACGAACCAGGAGAAGACGACTCCAGAGCCGACAAAGATGGTGATCAGAGACAAGCACGAGCACAGCGTGACGATGGCGAGGGAGACGACGGGGACACCGCGCGAGTTGGTGTATCCGATCTGCTTGTGGGCCCATCCGTTACGGGAGAGTGAGAGCAGCATGCGCGTGGCAACATAAAAGTCCGAGTTGATGGCCGAGAAGACAGAGGTGAAGACGACGGCGTTCATGTAGTTAGCGGCAGCGTTGATACCGGCCTTGGCAAAGACGATGGTGAAGGGAGCGTTGGCTGCGGAACCGTCAGCGTTGACCAGCTCTGGGTCGTTCACGGGGATGATCGAGGCGAGTAGGAAGACCGAGACGATATAGAAGAACGCGATGCGGACCATGACAGTGTTGACAGCCTTGGGGACGTGCTTGTGGGGGTTACGGGACTCGGCAGCGGTGACACCGGTCATCTCGGTACCACCGTAGGCATATCCGACAGAGACCAAGGTCGTGATGAAGCCGAGGAATCCGCCCTTGAAGGGGGCGCCCTCGACATGCCAGGCGTCCATACCGTACTTTTTGTTTCCGACGACTCCGGCGTCGACCAAGATACCGCAGATGATGAACATGATGATGGTCAAGACCTTCAAGATCGAGAACCTAAATTGGTCGCAGCAAAATGAAAAAAAAGGATGAGTTTCTGTTGGGAGTCATTGTCAAAGACAGTTCTCCACACATGGCTGGACAGGGGTTGAAAGACGAAAGGGATTTCTCACCAGTATTCCAATTCACCGTATGCCTTGACACCGGCCAAGTTGATGAAGACCATGACCACGATGATCAGCACGGGCACGATCCAGGCTGGGAACTTTGAGTCAGCGGGCAACCAGTATCCAACAATGACGGCAGAGGCAGACAGCTCGGCGGGGATGGTCAGAGCCCAGTTGATGAAGTACATCCAGGTCATCTGGAACGAAAAGGCCTCGTCAAAGACACGGGCACCCCAGGCGTTGAATGCACCGGGGACGGGCAGGAGCGTTGCAATCTCTCCGATGGCCTGGCAGACGAAAACCAACCACAGTCCTACAGTTGCGTAGGCTACCACTGAAGTCGTTTTTTTTTTTTTTTTTTTTTTTTTTTTAAACGGAAACCAGGGGGTGGGCGGGAAGAGAGCAAATGCATGATAGAAGTGGGTCAATATCCACAGCCAATATCACTGCCACTGATAAATCGGTACAAAAATAGTATACACAGCCATTTTCCCTCAAGAATGAACATGACAAAAGAAACTTACAGGCTCCACCAGGACCGGCCGTGGCGATAGTGCTTCCGGAAGTCAGGAAGAGACCAGTACCGATCGTTCCAGAGACAGCAATCATGATCATGTGGCGAAGACGGAGATCGCGCTTCAGACCCTGCTGGTCTGGTGCGAGCATATCATGGTCCTCGATAGTCTGCATCTGGTCGACCTCATACTTTTCGTGTGTGGCCATGCCGTCTTCTTCGTGCTTTGACATGTTTTGCGACTTCTGTTTTTTTTTTTTCTTTTAGTTGTGGCTGCGTGAGGTGCTGGAGGAGAGGCCAGAGGAAAAAAGAAGGAAGAGAAGGTGGTAAACTGTGGATGCTCAAGCGACGTTCAACAAGACGAAAAGTGTGTGAGAGAGAGTGTGTGTGTGAGAGAAAGAGTGAGAAGAGGAAGGGGCGGCGAAGGCAAAGGAGGAGGAGGAGATAGGTGTGAGTGGATTTGGTGGGTGGCACAAAGTCGAGAGAAAAAAAAAAAGGGAAGGGTCGGCTGGATGGTGCGTGTATATATAAGGATGTGAGGAGAGGTGGGAAACGGGGCTAGAACAATACTAGTTGTAGTTGTACTAGTGCAGCTACTATAGTAGACTATCAAGTAGACTATCTACCCCATCCTTGGCGCGTCCATTGGTCTTTTCCTGCACAATTTGCAAAGTGAGCCTTCAACGACAAAAAGGGTCAGTTCACAGGGCAGTGGACGTTGCTCCGGGAAGGCGATTGGTCAACCTTCTGCTCTACTACCTTCCTTTTTTACGTATCGGATAGAAATGATACATCTGAGCAGACCATGCGGACAACTCTTGCCTCGAATGGGCAGGCCTGTCGGCCCCTCCTTCCCTATCGGTCCTTCCTAGAGAAGCAAGTAACATACATGTCTTTGCCTCGACCATATCCTTCATTTCCATGCATCGGATTTAATCCGGTCCTCGCGCCGCTCATCGCTCCTCTGTTCTGCCCCAGGCCACTCTTAATCCTTGAAGTGCTTGACGATCTATGGCCGTCGCCTGGCTGATAGATCGTCTCCGTTGCAAAGGCTGTCCTCTTTGCATTAAAAACCCATCAAACACAGGTTTTGGGGAAGGATGATGGACCGAAGAATGCCCTCTCACCATTTCGCCTTTATGCCTGTCCATGGACGCCATCCAAACACGGCGAATATATGGAAGCATATAGTGAACACAAACATAAACACACACAAAAAAAAACAGACAGCCTGTGCTCCGGAGGAAACGCTTTCGACATCCTCAAAAGGGCAATCATTGTCCAACTACCCAACTATCAGACTGTTATAGAAGGCTCATTTAATACTCAGTGGACTGCACATACGCACATACGCACATACACTGAAGTACATGCATACTTACGCTCGCCTAGTTCCTTGTGATAAAGAAAGCCCGTTGCTCTTAGATACGCACTGCAAGGAGATGCGAATACCATGCAAGGAACGTAGACCCGAGACGCGAACAAGCATCATATCGCGTGTGTCGTTTGATTACTCTATACGACAAAACGGCCAATTCGGAAGAAACACCTTGTTTTTGTTGTCGTCGCTTTTTTGCACCGGCATCGATCGAAATGATTTCACGGTATAACATTGGTAGACTATTTTCAGGCCAAACAACGAAATATAACGAGTCTAAAAAAAAAAAAAAAGGAAAAAGAGAGGAATGAGAAGCGTGCTTCGCCCTGATCCAACATTTCGATCCTCAGGATAGGTCTGTCGAGTTTGTCTAGCTGGCACTCGTATCCTGTAAGATACATCACGACGCTCGAACTAGACTCAATCCACTCACGATGGCCGGCCAGATTAAAGCACTCGATCTACAATAGAGTTCCAGGGCTGATCGAGGCCTTTTGGGGCCTTCAGTATATTGCCGGAAAATCCATCCAGTCATAGCCAAGGAAATAAAGATAGTTCCAGGAACGACCTTCGAGATTGGAAAAAAAAAAAGAAAGAAAAGGTACGTGAGCTGGTACCCCGGCAGTTGTACCGCTCCCTTTCCTCTGCTGCTTTAGAGTTCTCCAATGTTGCACAAACCCCATACACATGCACAAAAGTGGACAAATGTAGCCTTCGGAAGAGAGAGAAAAAAACCCTCCATGGCCGGAAAATGATTTCGTTTGTTTGCGCGTGATATAGACTCTGAAATCCGGCCAATCAGCGACATGCACCCAGGTCCAAACGACCTTCCTCCCCCAACTGTCCAACCATAGCCGCCGCTTAGGGCCTAAGATAAGGCCATGCCGCCTACATAGGCTGAACGGCTAAAAAACTAAGCCCACGGGCACAAGTTACTAAGCAGAACCATCAACCATCGATCACTTTGTTCTTGTGCGCGCACTCCCGTGGTGGACTACTTCTGAGCGATGGGATCGAATACACCACGTACAAAGACATCCTGACATCCTTCATCCATCGAGAACGCAAGGCAAGGCCGTTACGGGCCACGTACGTAACAGTGACCTCCTCATATTTCACACTTCATGCCTCATGCTTCACGTGTTAAGCGTGGGAAAGTGCCCTGTTTCCCAATGCAGTCAAGAAAAACAAGGAGTCCGGCATCCAAGTATAACAGTGACCACAGTGTACCCATGATGGTCTTACTCAGCTGACCATAATCAAGACTTATCAGATGACAATCCACTCGGGGGAAAATCCACGGCGGTTATCCAGGTCACTCGTTTTTTATTCATTTTCTAAGTCGCTGTAATTCGTCGTCATCGTCCGTCATCCTCATCCTGGTAGACCACTTGCCGGTAGTCCTTTTCCTGGTAACCTTGATCTTCGTCACTCTCATCATACTCTTCTTCGCTTCCGGACCTTTGTCTCTTCACGCCCTGCTTATGCTCCCCATCATCCTCGTCCTCGTCCGTCTCGGGCGGCAACACCATCACCTCCTTTCCGAATCGAAGCACGTTCTTTTCGTCCGGTAACTCACCATATCCCTCAAACCAAAAGGGATCGTAAACCTGTGGTTTCTCGTCCGAGTCCGAGTCGTCATCCTCCTCCTCCGACTCCTCCTCCTTCTCCGACTCCTCCTCCTTCATCCGCTTCTGCTCCGCTAGAATGCGATCCTGCGGGATTCTACATTGCTCCAGATAGGCGTGGGCCTCCTCGCCCTGATCCCCACCGTGCTTTGCCCTCTTGAGGGATCGATTAGACCCCATCCGCTTCGTCCTCTGCAAGAACTGTTCCCTGAACTCTAACGCTTCGCGGGCTGACGGGCGTGCTGTGCTGGAGTAGGCGACCAAGTGCTCGATTAATTCGAATGCTTCTGGAGAGATGACTGGGGACGGCGACGCAGTAGTGTCCTGATAGTCGGATGTGCCTGTACTTGACACTTTTGAAAGAAGAATGCTCGATAAAGGATTGATTTCCAACGCTTGAAAGGACAATTTTCCATAATCCGGCATACGGGGGTATTCCTATGTGGCGCATGTAAATCCATAAAAAAAACAATAAATTAGATGTCTACGTGTCTCCCAAGACATTCAACCTCATTTCTGTACTACAAGCAAGCATGCATACGGGCATGCATCACTTACGGGCCAATTTTCCTCAGTGGGCGTGCCTAGTACCTTTACAATGGCACAGACTTGACCGATATCGGAATCCGCCTCAAAGAGATGTCTTCCCAGGTACATTTCCGCGAACAAAACGCCAGCGGACCAAATATCAATCGCACTCGTATATATTTGGGACGAAAACAGGAGCTCGGGGGCTCGGTACGCTCTATAGATGTTAAAAAAGGTTGTGTCAGTAGGACACCAGGTTGTGCGCACCGCGTTTTAATGAAAAAGCAGTACTCTCTCCGCATACCTTGTCCCGACCTCAAAGGTCAGTTCTTGCCTGTAAGGCTGACCATAATAACCATCCCCGCCGTTCCTGGTGCTTGCAGGCTGGGTTCTCTCTGGAACGGCAGCGTCGTCTGTCGTCGCAGGTCGATGAAACGTCGCACACCCAAAGTCCGAGATCATACAATGAACGATGCCCTCTCCATCCTCCGTGTCGCGATCAGTACCCACCATGATGTTCGTAGCCGAAACATCCCTGTGTATCAATCCAGCCTCGTCATGGATCCATGCCAGTCCCTCGAGAATCTGTCGCATACATGTCTCCACCAACAAGGGTCTGGTCTTTGTCCATCCGATCTGTATCAGATCCCATAACGAGATCGGGATATAAGGTAGGATGATGCCTCCCATTCTAGGTTGATGCGCAAAGACGCTGTATAATTCCTGAGGTGTCATGGAAGATGCATCCTTCCCCGTGTAGTCGTATTGCTCCTCGTCGTCCGAGTAAGTTTCGTCCGAGTCATTGTCGCTGTCGAATCCTGTATTGGAAGATGACGGGAACAATTCTCGGGGGGTTATTGAATGTGCTGGCGCAAGCGGCGAGGTTTCAGAAGGCCTATGGTCCTGGAACAAACTCCTGGCTAATCCCTGCGATGCTCCTAGTAATGGACCACCAAAATCCCCAGTTGTGGTGGTGATGTCCTTGTTCTCTTGCACCTTGTCTTGATTCAGTTGCAGTGGTTGCGATGACTGCTCATTGTACTGCTTCTTTGAACGCTTGAGTGGGTTGGCCAAGGGGGTACTAGTGAACCCAAGAAATGGTATTACCTACATTCAAAAATACAACATGAAAGTGTCAGCACCATTGCTTTTTTTTTAATTGCAGCTCCTGAATGCGATAGCATGTGGGGTGAAGTATTACATTAGGGTGTCCTTGTGCTGCCCTCAGTGCACGAATCTCCCGTCTGGCCTTGATGCCAAACTTGATCCCTGCTGGAGCCTTCATTTCGCCAATAATAGGCCATCCATGATGTGTTGCCCCATCCGGTGTATTCCTTCTATAGCTCTCGCCCTTGTCCTCAAATTCAATCGAACTGTCCGATTCATCCTCGCTGCTATCCCAAGTGTCAGATCTCAAGGCTTCATCGCCTCGCCTCCGGACGATCCCATAATCGCTCAGGAATTTGATGGCTATGAGCTCTGGAAGTCGTCGGGATATGTCTTCGCATTCGCTCGCATTGGTGGTGGTGGTGGTGGTGGCCGACTCCACACCATCCGCTTTCCTGTTGCCATTGACGTTGATATTCGCTGTGCCTTGAAGGATACTGTCAGTGGCTGGTGCGGTGTCCTGGGACGAAGTGGATGCAGTAGACAGGATGCCAGGGCTGATCTGAAGAATGCACGCCTGAGTGATCCTGTCGCCGGTATAGGGGTTCTCATGGAGAGTCTCGAGTGTTCTCAGGACATGCATGGTAATGCCGGGAATGGGAGGTGTGAATGATGGATGGATGGATGGATGGCAACGAGGGTGTGCTTTTCGATCCCCGCACTGACCCCACACACACAACACAGTCCATGCTGGATGTGTGTACCTTTTTCGCGAATCAGCCACGCGTTTCATTATTCGCGTGTCGCGCACGCGTCAGGTTTCAAGCGCGCGTCTGCCTGTCTGTCTGTCTGCCTACTTGTCTTTCCTTCAAGTTTGCTTGCCACCCGCCCACCAGTTCCAAGTACACACAGTTCACAAACTTGAAAGTTGGAGATAAAAGACTCGCTCTCCTTGCTTTATTGCCCGAAAAGACTTATTCCCAGTGTCTATTGTATGGGGCGCGCGCTGTTCGATCATCAATCATAGTTGTAATTTTGAAAAAAAAAAAAAAAACCCCCCCCCCACAAAAAAATGCGTTCAAAGTTGAGACGACCCGCCGTAGAAAGACATACGGATCCCGCGTCCTGGCGGGTAAAAGCGGGTTCAACTTTGAACGCATTTCGAGACATCCTGTTGGTTCCTCCCCTCATACCATGATCCAGTTACCGTCATTGTTGTGTCCGCTTCGAAGGAAGGCCTCAAGACTTGTGTTTCCCCCCCCCCCTCCCCTTCTTCCCCCCTATCCTCCATACATACCCCGCAGTGAAAGCAGTTGGGAAGAATATATTTTTTCTGTTTTGTGGATTCTTCCCATCACTTGGAAGATCACCCCACTGTATGTGTGTATGTATATGTATGTAGCGTGTGTAGTGTATATGTGTGTGTGGATGTGTGTGGATGGGAAACAAAAAGGATACGCGGCGCACGTAATGTCGGAGGATTCGGTCGATGTTCTCTCCCAGGTCGGGAGCAGGGAGAAGTATGAACGAGCATGGTGACACCAAAAAGCAAGGGACGGAAAGAAGCATCCTTTTCATTTCCCGTGAATAAGAGGGGGAGGGGAGGGGAAGGGACACGAAGGGCGATATAGAGTCCATACATAGCTCGCGACTTACGTTTCAGAAGCATAGGAAAGGCACTCCCCCGGTGGAGCCATGCATGGACCACATCCAATAGACTACTAGCTCAGTCGTCAAATTGGTAGCAGCTCCTTGGGTCTTACTGTGCCAACCTGCACCTCCCTATTTCGTTATCCGATGTGCCCTTATCAAAGTCGGAGACGCACCATGTGCTGTCTCAACCTATCCGCATGGGGACATATGTACTATAGGAGATCTTCCGCAGGTCCTAGAAGAAACATGTAATTTCTTTTTTCGATGTTCTTTCGCGCGGGACAAAAAATAATAATAATTGATGGGCCCTTCAATTCAGCCAAGGATCTTTTAGCATGCACAGTAACATAAGAACAAGACATAATCTTCACCCTCCTTCGTTCTCTGTATCGCTGAACACGAGGTCGGATGGGTCCCGACGATGCGTGCATTGCCAAGAAAAGGAATAGAACAAAGAGAGAGCGAGTGCGGTCAGCCGTGCATGCAGTGTCAGCAGAAGAGCATGGAAAAAAAAAATAGTTGGTCGACTTGCTGATGCGTGCACATGAGCCTAGACTACCTTCCTAACCCTCTCCTCCCCGCAACCTCTCTGAGAACAAGAAAGTGGGAGGAGAGAGGCAGGGTAGGGAATAAAGGGCGTGTGGCCTTTCGTAATCCCATTCTTCCCAGATAGATCATTCGCCATGTTGTTGTTGTTGTTTTTGGTTGCTGCCGCTATCCTTCCCAGCACAAACTCCAATTTGCTACGCCTTTGCTTTTGAGAATTGTCCTGAAATGTTTGTTTTGTGTAGCCTTCCCCCTACTTTTTTTTTTATATTCGTCATGGCACGACCTGAACCCTTTTCCCGAGAATTTTTTTTTACCCCTCGTGTCACCGATGGGTAGACTAGATGTCGATGCAAACATGACCCTTTTCCCCTACCACCTTCCCCCTCCCCCTTGGGCACAGCTTCTATCTCAAACTAACTTAGTTTTTTACACATGTCCACATGGCACCTTTTTTTTTTTTTTTTTTTTTGTTCTTTGAAGGAGGGTTTTTTATTATTATTATTATTATTATTCCAGATGCAGGTCTGTCGACAGGATCAGCTGTTGATACAAGGTGTTGAACATGGTGACGACAGAAAAAAGAAAAAAGAAACGAAAAGATTACTATATACAGCGAGCGTTTACTATCGCTTACATCGAAAGCAAAATAAAGAGACATAGACTATATATTATGTTACAGAATAAAAGTACAGGGTTATACATAGCGAAAGAAAAGCAAAGAAAGGCAAAGCAAAGCAAAGCAACGCAAAACAAAGGCATAGAGAAAAAGAAAAACTGAAGAGGGGATGGGATGGGAGGAGGGGGAGGGAAGGAGGGAGGGGGCGCATTTGATTTTTTTTTTTTTTTTTTTTTTTTTCAACTGCTGCAATTCACAGACGACGAGAGCGACGGCCATCCACTCTCATCCCGCGAGGGTTAACATCAGCGTAGCGCTTGGTATATTGTCCGGCCTTTTGAGAGCACCACCCGTCCTCGGACTTTGAGCAGTGAGCGATACGCATCAGTGACTGCTTAGCGGTCAAACGGCCACCGGTACCCGACTGCTCATGCTCCTGCTGCTGGTGCTGCTGCTGCTGCTCTGATGATGATGAAGATGACGAGGCCGTGTAGTCAAAGGTAGCAGTGACAGGGCTGCTATTCGAGGCCTGAGATGAGAGGCTCGACTCGGAAATGCTGGGCAACAGGCTCACGGACGACGAGCTGGTTAGCTGCTGCTGCTGCGGCTCGTTGCGTGCAGGGTGCTGCAGAACAACGGGCGAGAAGGTGACGGTGCTTCGCAGAGTGGCGGGGAACGCGTTCATGACATGTCCGAGTTGCGATCGGTTCTTGCGCGAAATCGATGATTTCAACGAGACGGTGGAGGACGAGGGCGAGGGTGAAACGGAGCATTCCTGGGAGATGGCACGCGTCGTCGAAGGGCCGATGGTCTGGCTTCTGTTCAGCCCAGTACGGTAATTATCATCATCCTCAGTGATGCCAAACATCCAGTCGTCATGGTAATGATCCTGCTGTTGCTGATAGGTGTAGAATCGCAGGTTCTGACGGCGGCTGTAATGTCGGTGATAGCTGTAGTTGTTGCTGTTGCTGTTGCTGTTGCTGGTTGCGTTAAAGCTGGGGTTCTGCTGTTGCGCATAAGAGTCTTGGCTGAACACTTTGGCGCCCGTTGCTCTTGAAAGGGACGAGCTGGAGCTGCCAGAGTAGGCGGATGAGGGCGAGGAACTGGATGGGGAGGAGCTTAGTGAAGGGGGGGACGAGAAGGAAGGGGAGGTCGAGATGAGGTTGTGCTGGTAGTGGGGGTTGAAGGAGTGCTTCTCTTCGCAGGGGAATTGGCGGAGTGCGCGTTCGCGCTGCTCATCAGCTGCAGACAGGTCGCTGAAGATGGAGTAGTAGCGCGGCTGGTCGCACTGTCGCTGCTGCTGCTGATGGTGGTAGTCGTGGTCGTGGTCTTTCTGAGCCGGGCTGAGGGGGATGTGGATGTGTTGGCTGATGAAGTTGATTAGGGTACCCATGGCTGCGGTGGATGTGTGGGTGTGGGTGTGGGTGTGTGTGTGCAAGAGAGGAGGGTCTGAAGTGCGAGAGTGTTGTGCGGAGGATGTGTGAGGATGTGGAGATGTGGTAGTATGGGGGGATGATGTGTGAGGATGGAGAGAGAGGAGAAGAGGACGAGGGACGGAGGAGAGAAATAACGATGATGGGATGGGATGGACGTGCTGAAGAGAAAATATAAAAAATAAAAAAATGGTTTCACGAAGAGTGCGCGTGCGGCCGGTTTTTATACCTCAGGGCGCATTGAATACTTTAACAGTTCAGATTTGAATTGTCTGAATAGTTTATTCTATTCACTACCATAGTAAACTGACACTCAATCGGATAGACTACTCCGATATACTCCACACCAGACAAAAGACCTCCTCCCCACGCACATCCAACCAGTCAATTCACTCGACCTTATCCTTCAGGGGGGGGGGGAGTGAAACTGCCCTTCTGGCTCCTACCCTCAGCCATCGGCACCCGGGTAACCATGTTCTCTCGGTTGCGTGGGACCCTATCGACGAAGAGAACGACACTCGAGGGTTGACTGCGGGGGGAAGGGGGAGGAGCAGCGAATAATGAACAGGGGGGCGATGTCGATATACATGGACCAACGCAACTGCGTCGCTAGTCGTCTGCGGCAGTGGCAACACTGCGTCGCTAGTCGTCTGCGACAGTGGCACAGTGGCAACATTGCGTCAAAAAACTAGGCCAGTATGAGCAGCCAAGAGGAGAAGCAGTAGGACTGGGCCACTTATCGACATGACCATGACATCGACCACAACGAAACGTCAGTCGAGGCTACATTGGCCGGTCAAGTGAACAGCAGGACATCGATAGGACGGAGAGATAGCGAAAGGGAAGAATGAGTGCCTCCCTTGGACTATTTTACATCCAATCGCAGTCTTTTCGGCCGTTCTGGTCGACCAGTGAGCGCACACATCGACCTGTAACGGCCTGTAAATGATGTAGCAAATAACATGTATACTGCTGGCCCTGCTTTGATGGCGCACAATTGTTTCTCTCGCCTCGTTGCCATCAGTAACATGGGCATCTTCTCCGGCGTACAAGGGACAGAACAGGCCTTTTAGCGGCCCAAAAGGGAAAGTCTTTTGGCTTGACTAGGGCAGCTCAAGGCACTCTCTAGTCTGCCAATTGTTTGGGCAAATAGCCAATTGTCCAGTCTACTCAAAAGATCTCAGTTCTGCAGCAACAGACGGTCTGTCCGGGATGAGAATGTGCGGTGCAGTGGTGCGCTTCACGAGGATGCTCATGTATGTCCGTGTCTTCCTGATGGCACCGACGTGTGGGGAGCATCTGAACGAGCGCGTGCATATCCTTGAGAAGAATGTCCGGTCCTCGCTTTCCTCCAATGGACTGTGAGGACGTACAACCGACTTTGTGGATGTGTCATCATCAGCAGATACCAGTCTTCCACGCGATGAGAGCCGCCATGTTGAAGTGTAACACCAGGAGACCGGAGAGGGGCGTGGACAGGGCAGGGGTGGTTTTCCAGCCAGCCAACCTTACTGGCATATGCTTTCTAGCCACAGCAGTGGTCAGCATATCCGGTCATTCTCCTTCTGTACAACCCGAAAGAGATCCGTAGCATGCGGATCTCTCCTCGTCTCTCATTAAATCAAAATCAAAATCGAAATCAAATCAAATCTAATAAAATTATCCGCCCGTGGTGTGTGGTCACCCCATCATGTGGGAGAGAGCATGCTGTCGGATCGCTTCTTCGCCCATGCCAGTGTCGACATGCAGCACACCATATGCAGCGAAGAAAAAACAAAGATGGTTTATTTTTGTCCGGCCCAATTGCCCAAATCTGGCCTGCAAATACCGCCCCCCCGCCCGCCCATGCTGCTCAGAAATACAATCCCCATCTGCAGCAGTCTACAATCTCCATCGTAAACTGTCCCTTGATTCGTTTGATTTCAAGTCACGCTGCAATGAATGGTATTTCAGAATATCGGATAGTCTACCGGATATTTCACATTTCTCGACTGCCTATCTACTGGAGGACCTCTCTGCTGCCAGCGTGGACTATGTGTTCCTTCTCCCGTGGCCTAGCCCGCAGCGTACCGACCCTCGTTATAGGGCCACGCGGACTGCAGGGATTGAAATCTGGGGGAGGGGGAGGGGGGGCATGCGCACTCGGTACTGCATGTTGAATAGATGGGTGGTAAATCACATCCATTCATGTGGCTATATCTAATATCACCAACCCTTCCCCTACCTTGGCTTTAGTTCAAACCAGGCCACACAGCGTCGTCCTGACCCCCTCTCCTCTACCATATCAACTGGGCATCAAAAAGTCCACCGAATGTAAGTTACTAAGAGCCTTTTGTCAACCAAAGCCGCATTAGACAGAATCCATCCGGGCCTCTGAATTTCTACTTTATTGTGCTTCGCCTAGGAAGAAAAATCTTATTTTTTGCTGACATTCCGAGCACCCCACCCCCTTCGCCCCGCAATTATCTCCCTTTTGCGCCTATATTGCCTAGGCACCAGGGTCGCAGCTCCAAAGGGCATTGCCACCGATTCAGCTCTCCAGGAGTCGATCTGCGACTTTGCATGACACCTGCACATAATGGAGTTTTAGTATGTGCGGGCTCCTTGGAAAATAATAGCCGATATATTATGAAACGAATATATACAAGAAATAGAACAAGTAATGACCTGCAACAAGCGACAAAAAAATAATCTTTGCTGGATGATAGCAGTGGTGTTGATGGTTCTAATGGTATCAATGGCGATCAAGGGGCACCAGCGCTGGTTGAAGTCGAGGAATGCAAAGTCGATATCAAGGGACATCCGATATTTGTTCTCTCCATGGAAGAATTTTATTTTACGACCCCTCTCCTTCATACTAATCATGGGCATGGAACACATCGGCAATCACGACCCTGGCTAGATCACGGTTGAAACCATAGCTAGTTGGCTTTGGCGAGAATAAAACCTTAAGTTTATGGCACACACCCTTGTTATGTACGAGGATGACAATGAGAAAGTGAGCCTTATGGATTCCAGGGCAGCGGGAAGGAGGCGCCATTACCAATCCCCATGATTCCGGCCTCTTTCTGAAGCTATCGTTCCTTGATACAGTAAGATGCTTTTTGAGCAAAAAAGATCAGACTTTTGGTCGATGCTTGGGCAATAGTTTACATGCGGATGGACCTCAGAAATGGAGCGTCGCTCAGATGGGCACGGTCGTGTCTACCATTCCTCTCCATCTCCCTCCTCCCTTCCTCTCCTTTTGCTCAAGGGGAGAGAGGGTGGGGGACTGTCTGCCCTTGGCAGCTCTGCTAAAAGGCCAAATCGCCCACTCGCCGCAGTTAATTGGTATTCCCATCCCCCATCCCCCCTCCCCTCGGTGAGCTTCACCGCCAATGCGATGTATGCACTCTTTTTTTTTCTTCAAATTTGCATCCCTTGAGATCTGTAGGAGGGGGAGGGGCTATTTATTTTATTTTTCCTTGCAGACGACGTGGTCTTGAGTCTAGACCGAAGGAAGGAGCAAAAAGAGGGAGTAAGGCAAATGGTCGATCCGAACACCATTGACTTTGTAGAGTCAACATTCTTGTCTTGCTTGTGCAGTTGCCCTAAATTTATTGCATTCCTTTCACGTCTATAGCGTCTATAGCACTCGCGTGTTTCCGTGTTTATCTGTTTGTGTTTTTGTTTTGTTCTGTTTATTTGTTTGTTTGCTTTTGCTTAAGTGTCGATCATGGGCATTTGTAGTCTAATTGCGGTATCACAGAGAACACCGTTCTTACAAACCACGTTTGTTGTCCCATGATGGACTGTAATCTTTGTTGCCCTGTTACAAACCGCAAATAGACAAGTGGCATTTTTTTTTTTTAATGACGGCTAAAAAATGTCAAAGGCTGTCAAAAGCTGTCTGATAACGGTCAGCTCAAGGCCATTGATTCTTTTTTTTTTTTTTTTTTTTTTTTTTTTTGGCAGCATTCCAGTGGCCCAGTGTACATGTAGAAGTGATCAGCAACTAAATGAGCGGCATGAGTTCATACTGCATGCTGATTCTATGCCTCATCTGCTCATGGTCAAGAGCTAGACGTTTATTAAATAAGCCAACGGTCGATAAGTCGCGCACGCATACTCTTCTTTCCTTTGCACCAGAAAGCCTTCTCTTCTTTACTGAACGTACATCAGCCCAATCGCTCTCTACAAACGCGTCTTTTTTTTTTAAGAAAAAAAAGATTTTCTGGCAGAGTGCCCTGGAATGCTAGATCAATACCTTCACCTTGATGGGTCGATGATAAGGAAGGAATAGTCGGTGGATTCGCATTTGGTCTCAGGATTATCATATCAGTCAAATGTGGAGAACTTGCAGTCCTCCAACAGATTAAAAGAAAAAAAAACCATCTATACGCGTGGATATGCACTACCCCACATCTTTGGCATAATACCGAAAAAGGCCTTGATGTTTGCTTTTCTTGCTCGCCTGACGATGAGCGCTGGACCTTTTTTTCTATTTTTTATTTTTTGGAGAGCGGCATGTGAGAGGATCTCTCCGTATCGTGATGATGCCGAACTTGTCCACACTCCCCAGAACCTTGAATGGGAAGTTCTTATCAGCATGCCTCTTCCGCGCCGTTCCGAAAGAGGATGAATCGGTCCACACTGCGTTTTTTATTTGCATGAATAAGGGTCTATTCAGTCCACATGATGCACAGAGTCGTACAAACTCGGACTGTTCCTGGAGCATCCACTGTGTGTAGAGAAAACTTTAGTTTCCATTGTCCCCCCCACCCCCTTTGGACGTATTTGCATAGCACCAAACCTTAATGCGCTATCGGGATCCTTTACCCGTTATCTCTCTCTCGCATTCACTCACTCTCACTCTCTCGCGCGCGCGCGTGTAGCGCTTAGCTCCATCCACCTCCCCCGCCACTATAAAAGCCTCCTCCTAATTCGTACCTCACACTCTCTTTCTTTCTCTCTTTTTTCCCTCCAACTTCTTTACTTCTCACATCCACTCCCATACTCTCATAAAGCCCCCCTCTCCCTCTCTCTCTCTCCTCTTCCATCTCACAAACCAAATCCCACAATGCCTTCGATCCTGAACGCCATCCGCTCCGCGACCCCCTCGCCTGCGCGTCAATTCACCTCCCTCAACATCGCCTCCTCCACCTCCATCAAGAGCGCGTTCCACCCGGAGCACCACCCCATTATCCTCCAGCAGCTGGTCGAGTCCATCTCCCCCCGTGCCCAGAATGTCGCCTCGGATTCCGTCGTGAGGGACGCCCTCAGCAAGACCACCTCGACTGCCAAGCGTTCATAATTTCAGGAACCAAACAACAGCAACAGCAACAACAGCTAAAAAAAAAAAAGAAAAACGACAAAAAAGAAGAAAAAAGAAAGCCTGACCTCCTTCAACGACTTGTCGTCCCACGCATCCGCGCAAAAAAAGACCCGTTTTTTGTTTTTTCTTGAAAAGACGATCGATCCAGGCAGGGTCCAGAACGATGAACGCGATCGACATTTGACTGTATCATATATCCATGAGAGAATCCCCCCCCCCCCCCCCCCAAAGCAAGGGTCCCGTTTCGACCTCCGGGTTTCCTTCACCCTCCCTCCCTCTCTTCCTCTTTCACCCTGTAGTTTTATCTAATAAACCTATTTTCAAGGGGTTGTACATTTGAAAAAAAAAAAAAAAAAAGTCCAGCATTGGGAAAATTGTATACCAATGGTACCAATGGTCCATGCATGTCATACAGGCTGAAAAAAAGTTCTCAAGCTTGAAATATTTGGAGTGTGTCTTATTTTCTTCTATGTATGATCCATAATATTATCTGCTGTATATAACCAATGCAGCGTCTCCCTTCCTCCCTTCTTCCCTCTCGCTATCGCTGCTGCTACTGCTACTGTTACTGCTACTGCTGCATCAGTCCGTCCTCCTCTTCTACCTTCCTGGGCTCGGGGATGTGTTCGGGTGTCACATAAATCTTCACGTTCTCCCTGACCCTGTCCAGGATATCAATCTCGACCGGTCCCCTGTACTTCTTGAACAACGGCTCCTCATCCTTTCCCATATCCAGATCCTCCTTCTGCATATCCTTGGTCTCTGCAAACGCAATCTTCATCACCGCGCCTCCAGCATACTCCACACAGTCGTAAGAATTGAACAGCGCAAACAGCTTCTTGTGGAAATTGCGGAAGCCGACCAGGTTCTTGAAGGGGATATATCCAATGGGCTCCAATCCTGAGGCCGGCAATGAGAAATAAGCTTCGTCCTGAGGGATCTTGACGGGCGCTGGTGCTGCTTCTGCCTCCTTCTTCTTTGCATCCACCTTTTCTGTTGTTTCTGTTGCTGTTTCTGTTCCTGTTGCTGTTTCTGATGATGGTGATGATGATGATAATGATGTTGTTGTTGATGATGGTGTTGCTGTGGATGATAATGCAGTGCTTGCCGCGATTGTTACCCCATCCTCGTTCGTGGTACCCTTATCTCCTGTGGACTCGACCGACCCAGTAGCCTCTGTCGATAATAAAGCACCCTCGTCCTTGGCTGATACTTCCGGGACCATTTCCGCCACGACCACGGGTTCGGGATCCTCCAGACTCTGAAGACATCCGTCGTTATAGCCCTTCAAGACCTCGCCGAGTGCGACTCTTCCCAAGACGACGATTCCATCCGAATGCGACTTTAGCGGGGCCACGGGTGCGTCCTGGCCCTGTTCTGACGAGGCCGGGGTCTTTCCTGCGGCGATCTGACGCTTCTTCCGGATATCGGCAGCCACCATCGACCGGACCTGGCCCTCATTCAAGGCCTCCCTGACCTCGTAATCCACAGCAGCAGCGTCGAACACAGGCTAGATCGTGAATTAATAGCAAATAGTGGAGGAAAAAAAGAAAAAAAAGAAAAGTCATGGAGTCGTTGGTTAGAAGACTTGAAGACGCTTTCGCTTTCTCAGTTGCTGTTGAGCTGCAGAGAGAGCGAGAAAGAGAGAGAATGAGAGAGAGAGAGAGAGAGAGAGAGAGAGAGAGTTCTGGCCTTTCTTCTCTCCCCCTCCTTCCCCCCCTCCCTCCTGATGACAACGGCGGCTGTTGTTGCTGTTGTTGTTGTTTACCTTGACAAACTGCTTAAAATAATGCCGAGTCTTATGGATCCCATCGCCGGGGGGTGGCATAATATACACCGTGACCTTCCGAGGCATTTCCTGAACCGCACAAGGCTGCTTTGCGAGCACATCCACCTTATCCGCCACACGCTTCTTGGCTGCGACCGTCAAGTAGTGATCCCGAGTGACGAGTCCTCCAATGGACCCGACGGTGGCCCAGAAGATCATCCAACCCCGGCTTGGGAGCTTGGCTCGCAGCTTTCCTGAGAGCGTCGTAGGTACGGCCGCAGGTTTAGGGGTGTTGAGCATGGGCTTTGGGCGAGACTCGGTTGTGGAGGTGTTTTCCATGGTGTGAAAAAAAAAAACGGACGATGGAGGAAATGAAAGGAAATGAAAGGAAAAGAGGAGAATGGAGAGAGAGGGGTGATCGAGGCAAGAAACCTTAATGGGCAATGTAAACACAGCAAACCCCCCCCCAAAGGCAACGGTCACGGGCTGTCCTACGAAAAAAAATAAAAATCATATGTTAAAAGGCAGATACGTAACAAAAAACGCGTTCAGAGTAGACTGAAAAAAAAGCGCGTTTTCGGGGAACTGCTCTTTGGGAGGAAGCGTTGCCCACAAAAACTCGCTCACTTCCTCCTCCCTTCTATCTCTTTATCTCTCTTTTCCTCCTGCAACGCGACGGGACCACCAGGGAAAGGAAAAAAAAAAAAAGAAACTCGCATGAATCTCAGGCCTCCATACTTTTTGGTCGTTTGCAGAAAACAATCCTGCTTCTGCAGCTCTTTGGTGCTAGCTAGTCTTGACAAAGATCTCCAATCGTCTTTTGTTTTGTTGTTTTGGAAAGCAAAAAAAAAAATGCCAAGACTCGGGAGTTTTAATGGTTTCGACGATGATGATGATGGTGTTTCTTTTTTTTTTTTTTTTTCTTTCTTGCAGGATGCATAACACTCAATTGTGGACAGAAAAGGCAATGGGCCCTCAATCACCTCAATCACGAAAGCTTGGCATTGAAGATTGGACTTTAATATGTGTGTGTGTGTGTACTTTAACTTATGGATATGGTATTCTAGACTAATCCCTATCCTCCCTCCCCCATACCGCCTACGCGCCTCCTCCTGCTCCTCCTTCCGGCTTCAAAAAAAAAACTATCGCTCGTAAAAAAAGCACTTTTAGCAATAGTCGTTCTCGACCTTCACGCGACGATGCTTGGAGGAGGAGGCCTTGGTCTTCTTCTGACTCGGGCTATAGCCATGTACCTTCTCGTAATGACGCTGGCGGGCCTCGGACCTCTTGAAGGCCGAACCACAGTGTTCGCATCCGAAGGGTGTGGCACCGGTGTGACGCCTCATATGACGCTGCAGATCCGAGATACGAATAAACGCGCTCATACAATTCTTATGGCTGCATTGGTTGGTCTTGATACCCTCATGGGTCTTGTAATGCTGATCGTAATTGTATTTGCGCGTAAACACCTTGGTGCAACCGGGCCACTCGCACGCGTGGAAAGCCTGGGCCTTGCTCTTGGGAGATGTCTTGGGACCGGTCCTCTTGTCGCTGCCGCCGGCTCTGCCCCTCTTGGTCGGCATGTAGGGACTGGGCGAGGGTGATGGGGAGAATACGGAGGGGGAGAAGCAGGGCGAGCTGAGCGCACTGTTCATGTGGTCCTCAAAAACGTGCTCCGGAGGTACTGGGCTCATGCACGGTTTGATAGAGTGGGAGGATGACGGCGACAAAGACTGCTGGAATAGGTCCTGGGGGGAATTGTATGGATACGAGAGCGTGAGAGGCGAACAATCGTGGGGAGACTGTACGGGAGAGTTGTATTCGTATGGGTCAGGACCGAGCATCAAGATATCGTCGCTGTTGGTGGCCGACACTGGCGGGTACGGCCAGTTATAGGTCGAGGCCGGATACATGGGAGAGTCGAGGAGACCCTGGCCCTGGTAGTTGTGATGGCCTTGCGTGGTTGCATGACTCAGCATCTGCTGCATCTGTGGGTAAAAGAGCTCGGCTGGGTCGAACAAGGGGTAACAAGGAGCCTGGTCGTCGGGCATATACAATGAGATGCTCTCCTCTGGCTCCTGTGTGAAAACCTGACCGGTCAAAGGCAGGGGCTCAGAGAGAGCATAGTGGGCATATTGTTCCTCGAACAGGTCGGTCTTGCTGTTGGAGCGCGAGTTGGACTCTGAGCGAGAGAATTTCTTTTGGCTGTTATTTGACATTGTGAAGAAAATGAGGAAGAGACGAAGTGTGGAGTTGTGCGGTTGGGGGATGGTGGTCTTTTGTAGTGTGAGAAAAGGAAATATAAATCAGGGACGAAACTCAGGAACGAGGCACGAGGAGAGAGAGAGAGAGGGGTGATATTCAGAAGCGGTGATAAATGACCCGTTTAGGAAAGCGGGAGCGTTGGAAGAAGTGATAGTCGTTAAAGAAGTGCTGTGCAGGGTATATCTATGGACAGTAGATGAGGCGCTTGTTGGTCTTTGTACAGAAAGGATGCGAGAGCTGGGTTTTGATATAGAAAAGAAGAAAGAAAAAAGAGGGAAAGACGCATGAGCCAGGGGGTATTTATCTAAATGGAAGATGTTTGTTTGTGCCCTGGTCCAATTGATTCGAGAGACAAAATTGTTATAAAAAAAAATGTTTGTGCCCTGGTCCACCCTCTTTTCCCGTCAGATCTCTCCCTTCCTTTTTTTCTTCTAATCCGCCTTGTGTGTCCATGAGTTGTTTGTTTATGTTGCCTGCTACTGTTGTACTGCTGTCTTTCTCTTTATTTGCAGTTGGCACAACCTTCCCCTCTCCTCTCCATGCTTAATGAAACTGAGCAATTGATTGCGCGTGTCCTCTCATTCATATTTCCTCTGCGCTCGAGGGCTGCCAGGCTCGCTGCACGACCAATTATTATCTCTCGTGCCTGTGCAATAATAATAACAACGATAATAATAACAACAACAATAATAAAAACACTTCCCTGCTCGGTGCTCATTCAGCCCAATGTGTGTAATTGAGCAAACGACTGTCTGTTCAATTGCCGATAGGAATAAAAAAGAAAGGCTCAACGGAGTAGGAAATCGTGTCCCATGATGTGTGTGTAAACATGAATGCAATTGCGTGAGTGGGTCACCATGGGCCAATTTCGATATCACGCCCGGGCCTGAGCGATAGAGCAGAGGGGGATCCTCTCTGTGTGTGTCTCGCGTTTTTTTTTTATTTTGTTTATATTGCCGGAAATAGAAGATGAATAAAAAAGATTTCTGTGCACTGGCTATCGACATCGACAAAAACGGGTATGGAAGCAACAGTCGAACTCTACACGTAGTCGACATACTCCCTGGGTTGTATCGGGGACTGTGGACTGGGTTTATGCAGCAGCAGCAGCAGCAGCAGCTTGGCGCCTTCTCGTCCTGACTTGCACATTTCATGCACACCCGTCCTCTTGATCCTCTTGAAAAGGACAAGCGAGATAGGGAAACGCAAATAAAGATTACAATACTAATAACAATACTAATAATAATAACTATTACTAAATAAGACTGCAATATTTGACTTGTGTAGACACTATGTTGTGTTCATGTCTTGTATGTGTGTGTGCGTATATGTGTGCTCTCAATCACAGAGTGGCGGGATGGTGGGCGGTGCTGATTCCCGCCCCTCCCTCCTCCTTTGAACATCCCTCTCCTCCCCGCATTGGTCCAGTAGGTTTCTTCTTTCCCCGAATTCCAGAATTGCTGCGCCACAATCACTCCCGACCGCAACGGCCACCCCCCATTCGCCACAACCCTATTTCGTCACATACGCCTCATACGCCTCATTCCCCGATTGATCTCCCATATCGCATAATTCCCATCGGAGACTTAAATCCCTCAGCTCTTCTCTATCCATCGGGGTCATCCGCGAGGTCATCGGCTCGCACCACACCGCATCATGCATGGCGCGTCTATTGTCTTCTTTCTTTGGCCTCCCTCGCTTCTATTCGTCGCTTCTATTCGTCGCTTCTTTTCTCCCCCCCATTTCCCTGTCGTTATATTCTTTTCATAGCTGCTTCTTTTGCTCGCTTCTTTTTTTCTGCATAGTACGTTCTTTCTATAGCTTTTTTTTTCTTTTTCTTTTTCTTTTATCCGCACCCGCCACTGTTGTGGTAGTCATTGCACGGGTCCCTCTCCCCGACCTAACTGGGCTTAAGGTTATCTAAACTGGTCTTTGCCGCCCCATAGGCCTTCTTCCATATCGAGCTCTTCGACCCATCGTCCTCTAAACCGCGTCCGCGGACAGGTCCCTTCTTCTTGCGGATCGCCTCGAAAAAGTGACTCTGAACCATCATCTGATTCGACGCTCCCTCCCAGCGCATACGTGCAGGACTGACCAGCGGCTGACGCTCCTCCTGCGCATGGTGGATAACTGCCTCGGGGATCAGCTTCGCAGGCAGCAATCTCAGGCACAGGCCCACAGGCAATGACAGGGACCCAATCAGAACCGTCACCAACCATTGATGAGCACTCAGAGGCGTTGTCTTGAAGGCCTGCCCACCAAATTGCACAATCAAGACCTGACCGGCAACAACAGCTACCTGAACAAGGATAAAGATCTTGTTGTGCTGAACGTTCTTGAACACGTTGATCGTGTCGTCAATGCGGCGGCAATTGAGTTCGTTAAAGACTTGGAGGAAGACAAATGTGTTGAAAATCATCGTGCGGAGTGTCAACAGGTCCTGTGGTGTCTTCGTGCCGTCCTCGGACTGGAGATGAAACAGGTCGGCGCCGTATTTGAGAAGCGCCAGATTGAGAATAATCTGGAACAGGGCCTGCCCGAGAATCATCTTCCACATGTTAAAATTAATCAAAGGTGCAGTCTTCGAGGTCGGGAAACGTTTCAGCATATCGGGGCTCGGGGGCTCGGTCGCAAGGGCCAGGGCTGCAAGCGTATCCATAATAAGGTTAATCCAGAGTAGCTGAACCGCTGAAAGAACAGATTGATTGTCGTCCGACGCGATCGCTGAAATAAACGACAGCACCACGGCAGTGATGTTCACCGTCAGCTGAAACTGCAAGAACTTTCGCACAGAGTCGTTGACAGCACGGCCCCACATGAGCGCCTTGAGAATGCTACTAAAGTTGTCGTCCATCAACACAATAGCCGATGCCTCCTTCGCGACCTCAGTACCAGTAATACCCATCGAGAACCCAACGTCAGCCATCTTGAGAGCAGGTCCGTCGTTCGTTCCATCGCCGGTCACGGCGACAATCTCTCCTAGTTCCTGAAGACGACGAACAACGATGGTCTTGTCAGTAGGACTACTACGGGCCAAAACCTGGAGCCGCTTGACGGCCTCGGTCTGGTCCTCCTTTGACAGTGCTCTGAACTCGGGTCCAGTCATGGCTAGCCCTCCCTTGACCAAAATTCCAGCATCCTTGGCTATGGCTCGGGCAGTCTGGATATTGTCTCCAGTAATCATGCGAACACTCACACCGGCCTTTGCAAACTCGCGAACGCTCTCCACCACGCCGGGCCTCAATGGGTCCTGAATTCCAACAATACCGAGGCAGACCAGCTTATCGTTGGGCGCGTCTTCCTCGTTGAATTTCTTGTATTCGGACGACGGAATATCGCGGTAACTGAGGGCAATCGTGCGAAGAGCCTTGTCGGCATACTGGCTGATAATCTGGTCAAACCTGGCGCGCGCATTCTCGTCCAGGGCCTTCGCTTGGCCCTCAGAGTCGATATAGTGAGTGCAGGACCTCAAAACGATTTCGGATGCGCCCTTGACATAGAGACGGTATGGCTCCTTGCCACGTGGAGACTCAACGACACAAGACATGGTCTTTTTGGCCGAGCTAAAGGGGTACATCTTGACGACATTGACGTCCGCACGAATGTCGCTGTAAGAGGCGCCCAAATTCTTGATAAAGCCCATCAATGCCGACTCAGTCTTGGATCCAATAAAAGCAAGGTTGCCCTTTTCATCCTTATCTTCAAACGCAGACGAGTTGACGGCGATTCCCTCAATAAGCACATCGACAATCTCAGGACGAGCATCATTTTTCCAGTTCTTGCCCTCATCCACAGATCCGAAGGGCAACAGCGAAAGGGTACCCTCGACTACAGTCATCTTGTTCTGGGTCAGAGTTCCAGTCTTATCGGAGCAGACCGTGGTGGCGTTGCCCATGGTCTCGCAGGCAGAAAGGACGCGAACCAAATTGTTGTCCTTCAGCATCTGGGTGGTGGCGTAGGCGAGGGCGAGGGTGACCGCCATAGGTAAACCCTCAGGGACGGCAACAACGACGATGGTGATAGCCTGGATGACAATCTTGATAAGGCTCGAAAAGATATCGGCGCCAGGGGGAAAAGGATCTTCGGACAGCGCAGCCTGAACAAAGTACTTGGCAACCAGGGTCACCAGCATGGCAATGGCGGCTGCCATACCAAGCTTTGCGATCGACTCTGCCAAGAGATCCAACTTCAGCTGGAGAGGGGTCTCCTCGGGTTGGGCCTCACGCATAGCCATCATGGTCTTTCCAAAGAAAGAGTTGGTTCCAACAGCCGTGACGAGCATAGATCCTGATCCGTCCAGAACCTTGGATCCAGAAATCACATAGCATTTTTTCTCCGTGTCCTTCTTCATGGCGTCTGATTCGCCCGTAGCAGAGGACTCATCACAGGTGATGTTGTGACTCTTGAGAATGATTCCGTCGACGGCGAGAAGATCACCAGGCTCCATAAGTAGGATGTCTCCAACCTGGACTTCCTTGATGTTAATTTCCTGGTCGCGACCATCGCGCAACAGCTTCACGCTGCGGTCATCTTTCTTGGCACTAAGTTTGAGGAACTGACGTTCCTTCTGATAATCATTGATGGCATTCGTGAAGACGACGGCAGCAACAGCGGCGAGAATTGCAGCGCCTTCGACCCACCCTACGCGGGGCTCATCAGGGTCATGGTGCGGCCCATAATCCTCATACACACTCACGCCCAATGATACGACTGCGGCAACGCTTAGCAGGACTATCAATAAACCAAGTTTGTAAAGATCGGATTAGAAACAAAAGGATCCTTGGCGACGATATTACAGCTTTAACTCCAAACAGCCTAATGACTCCGTCTTCATTAGAGATTAGCCGATGGCAAAAATATAAGCACCGCGCCAGGGGTGCCTGGCTTGCACAATCCAAGAGTTCTCTTATAAGGCTTTGATGGACTTACTCAGGGTACGGTCATTGTAGGCCTTCTTGATAAGCTGGAAGAAGGTGGCGCTCTTCGCTGCGGGTAGGATCTATATTGAGACAATTTGAGAAATGTATGTTGGTGATTAGAAAGCCATTCATAATTTACTCATTGCGAGAAGTCTGCTGTGTCTGTGGTCGACAAAAAAACGCGACTCCTTGGATCGATGCAGCACAAATGTGAAGATTGCGACCGTTAACAGCGTCATTGTCTTCATTTCAGCCTGCAGGGGATGACATAGGAAAGGGGTCGAAAATGGAATGACACCATCCGCATTTGAACTGAAAAGTGCAAGGCCAGGTAAAACTATCGAGAAACTGCAACAGGTCTTTTGTTTCAAAAATAAAAATGAAGCGTCCATTCAGGTCACTCACATCCGCGATGCCCCCTCACCCCCGCGCACGCACAATATGACGACAAAGTAATTGAATCGAATGGATGGGGAGCGAGAACCATTCCTTTTTTCCATATGTCCAATAGCGCTTTTCTGGCAAGATAAATTGTTCACAAACATCTGCTTACATTGCGACCAAAGGCTTTGGATCTGGTAGCAAATTTGGGTTGGTCCGAGTGGCCAACGGACGAGGAGTCGGCCTCATCTGAGCGCAGACCGACCTTGGGGTCGACCTTGAGGGCCTGACAGATCTTTTCGATGCCGCCCATCTGGTGAGGCAAGGTTGGGTTGGTGGGATCCGTAAGAGGCGCGAGATCTTCGCATGTGATAGAGAATCCGGTGTCGGAGTCCTGCTGGCCCGAGGGCTCATTACGGTGGCCGAGCAGAGGCTCGTCTGAAGTCGAGTCTCGAGGCATTAGGTTGCGTTGAGTTGAGTTGGGTTGGTATAACGATCCTGCTTGAGCACGTTGCACTGATAATGATGAGGTAATGACTTGTCCTGTCCAACAGTGATGCGGGTATCGAGCTGCAGAGACAATGAGGTTAGAGGAAGGGCGGACAGGAGATAGGAGGGGAAGAGAGAAAGAAAAGAAAGGAAAGAAGGGCACGAACCCTTTTTGAACGAGAAGAATGAGAACCGGTGCGGTCCACTGGGGGACTTCTTTTTATGAGGCAAACGAGGCCTGGCGGGTGAACCCTGTCAGAATTTGATGTTTCCCCATCGACATTGACGACTGAACCTGATTTATGCAGATCGCCCTCCTTCTCGTTACATTGCGCCATCAATGCTGTCGCCATTGTTTCCACCCACAGTCAAAAGGCTACTCCAGAGTGCACAGACGACTCACTTGCTTCGCTGCCACCAGTGATACCGAAAAAGCCCAAGTGTCTGTTATCTCGGCAGCTTATTCCCGGGAACAACGGTGAATCAGGCAACTGGAACAATGGGAATTCGGGGTTGCTAGTAGACAGAGAAGAGGGGGTTTTTCCTCCAAGGCCTGGCAGCCCCAGGTCTGTTCCTATGAGCGACTCTCGACTGTTGCTCCAATCTGCCTACCAAGATGACAGACACCACTCCCAGCTGAAAGTCCTCGGTTCGTTTGGTGGCGGCTGAGCCTGATTGGATGCCTGCTCTGTGTCACATACCAGATTGAGATGCATCGTCTGTGCGCCCTGAAAAATCCTTAGCTATTTATTTATTGTACATACATGCTCATGTCGTCTATTTCAAATGGATACCGGCGCTCACTCTAGTAACGTCTACATTCATCCGTCTATCTATCGGTTCATCATCACAGCAACGGCTATCAACCCTCCGACGAGTGCGCCTCCCAGACCACTGACCAAAAAGTCCCGTCGTCTCGCAGGCACCTCTGCATCCCCGTCTTGCAAGATCAGCGACAGACGACTCTGCATGCCCTCGGTGTTGACCTTGGATCGTTTGCCCAATTCCTCCCGCCATGCTTCACCGAGGTCAATAGTCTCCCCATCATCTCCCTCGGACAGCAGCACAATCGACCCGTCCTCTGCCAACACCAACTCACCATTCTCCACAGAGCCGTGCATCTCCTCCAGGATCAACTTGGGCAAACGCTTGTCCTGTTCTCCAGAGGCCTGCTTGAGCAGCAGGTCCTCCATACGGTCGAGTCGCTCTTCTTGACGTTCCGCACTCTTTATAAGCCTCTGTAGCACATCCTCGCCTCCTGAAAGTGCACCGCCGATGGCAACTGGAGTGGACTCTGCAGTTGAAATCAAAGTATTATCCGAGACTTGGTCTACTGTATTGGGGCCCTGTGCCACGCCAGTAATGCCGCCGTTAGAGCCAGCTGTAGTCTCAATCGATAGAGCCTTTTCAGGCAAAATTCCCCGCTCAGTCAAGTCCCGAACCAACTCCTCGTACCGCTCGACTTGTTTGCGACGTCTTCTCGGCTCCACAAATGCTTGGACAATCAAGAATGCCATGACGTTCACACCCACGAGGCCCCATGTTCCGTATGTGCTTGCGGCTCGAATCTTGTCACTCCAGACCTGTTCCTCATGGTACCGTTCCATAATAACCCTCGTCAGCCTCCTGGATTTCTCTTCGACGTTCGATTCTGCCTGCTTGTATTCTATCTTGGTCTTTTGTTCCGCCTGCTCGTTGGCGTGCTCTGAGCGGTAGAGATCTGTGAAACGGATCACATCGTCTGGAGACCAAAGGTGCTTGCGCTGGAGCAGGTCATTGATGGCCTTTTGAGTGTCAGATCGAGTGCTAATGGCGTCCTCGTAGGCGTATTTTGCTTGGGCCAATTTGATACGAGCGTCATCAAGACTTTCACCTATGTTTTTTTTTTTTTTTTTTTTTTTTAGACCGAAAAAGTTGGCACAAACATGTTAGCGGAGAAATCAAACTGTTGAGCTGCCTCGATAATGAAGATATTACAGATACATACCATGCGCAATAACCTTGTGCTTTAGATCGTTGATGGCGTTATATCCCGTAAAGTTATTGAGATGCTCCGATAACTGAGCGATCGTATCCCGATAATCCTTCCGCTTCACAGATTCTGAGAGTTGGCGCAAGCTGTCGGGGATGGAGGACCGGATGTACTCTGTTGAGGATTCAATCGACTTTTTATACGGTAGCAGCCTCGCCTTGAAGGGCTCTAAGGGATCTTCAGCTAATCCAGATTGCGTTGACGACTGTTTGACAACTTCGCCATGCTGGCCTGATGCGGTCGATGGATCCTTAGAGCCTAAAGACGTCTCTGCTGTTTTCCGCGATTGATCCTTCTCCTTGGCATCCTTTGACGGTGATGTCGCATCAGATGCTGCTGCCGACACAATAGTACTCCCCTGGCGAGGCTGCGTTGCCTTTGTTGCTTCCGCAGTCGAGTCGGCGATTGATGACTTGGCCAATTGCTGTTGTTGCTGTTGCTGCCGCTGCTGTTGCTGCTGCTGTTGTCGTTGTTCTCTGGCCAGCTTCTCTGCCGCCTCTTTAGCTGCGCGCTCAGCCTTTTCCTTTGCAACCTTGAGTGCTTCCTCCTCGATCTTTTTTTTCTCAGCAGCCGCACTATTCAGGATTTCCTTCAGAGCTGCGTCCTGGGCCTCGACCCTCTTTCTCTCTGCCTCCTCTGCCATTTTCCTCTGTGAGTCTCCTTCGGCGGCTTCCTGTGCGACTTTATCCTTGCCCGTGAGGTTCTTGGAACCATTGGTATCCCCTGCAATGGAGGATGGAGGTGAAGACGATGAAGGGCGATCATTGGACCTCCTGGGTGTGGTGGAAAAGTCTCGCCTGGTCCATACTGCACCGAGGAACGCCTGCGTGCCTGAACGACCGTTAGTGAACTGAGTGCGCAGGTTGGACGTATATAGGAGTGGTAGTTGGTCTTTTGACGAGGGCACTGCGTGCCGAATCAGGCGGAGGTGGCTGGCCATGATCCGTACTCGATTTGTCGCTGATGGATCTGTTTCCTGTGCGAATGGATGAATAGAAGTGGGGATCGGGTTGATTGTGAGAGCTCAGGCACTGCTGGTTCTCGGGACGGTTAGCCAATCAGAATAGTTGTCTGCAATATCAACGCGCGAAGTACCACTTTTCGCCCCAAAGTGCCTTGCAACATAAAAAAAAAAACTGTTCGTTCCACCACTCCCCATCCTTCCGTTTGCAAGCAGCGAAGCAGGAATAGTGAGGCATCGAGAATTCCACGGTTTGGAGGGAAGCAACAGAGGCAATGATGTGTGTATTCATGTTTTTGGTTTGAATCGCGCTATCGGGAGCGGATTCTTAAGAAGGAATGGACGCGTCCACATCACACCATATTATATACGATCCCTGGATATGAGAAAGCGGATGGTGGTAGCCTCAAGTTATGAAGTTGAAAAAAAGAAAAAAAAAGAAAAAAAAGTCGAGCTACTTCTCACCGCCATCGTCTTCTTTTCGGCTCTAAGTTCCTCGTTGATACCAATATCGCGTTTGCCAAAGCCTCCACGCTTAGAAAAGTGGTTCTTTTGAGACTGAAAGGCACCCTTGATCCGTTTCCTCACGAAGAACCAAAAAAGCCAGCTTGATATGTGCTCAAAGTGGGCCTTTTTTGATGGACGCTGGCTTATGGATTTCCAAGCCTGTAGTAGTAGATCTAGTAGATCATTACGGGTCACGTTTTTTTTTGTATTTTGCTGCATCTTTGTATTTGAATCGCTCACTCCCTTCGTTCTTTGGTTCGCCATCACTTCGCTCCTCCTTCTCTTGCCCGCCTCCTGCTTCCCTTGACCCTCAGAGCCAGAAGACAACTCAAACTTCACACGCCAACAGTCGGATCGCCACACAAGACATAGTTTAACTCGGATCATGGGTAAACGACAGTTTTTACGCGATTGTCGACTACAGGCGGACGCGCGTGTGGCATGACGGACCTCAGTATTAACACAGCACCGCCTTAATCGCTCTTTGATCGACCTCTAGCTAACAACCAGGGTTTCAGCTGTAAGCGCCATAAAGCTATCTCTCGGCACTGAAATACTGCAGTGTATCTATCTGGCTACTCACCAGCTTATTTTGGCCCTTTTTACCTCATTGGTATAGTTGGATTCGGTGGCGCGGCTCAAGGGGGATTTGGATCCTCTGCGGCCGGAGGAAATGCCTTCGGTGCCAAGCCAGCAACTAGCACGCCAGGAGCAGGATTTGGATTCGGGTCTAATACAACTGGGGCTCCCTCGACATTTGGTTCGACCTTTGGATCCGCACCAGCTTCAGGAGGTTTTGGTGGCGCATCGACCCCAACATCTGGAGTATTTGGAGTCGCATCTACACCTACAACTGGAGGATTCGGAACCACGTCCACACCTACGACCGGAGCGTTTGGAACCACATCCACACCTGCAGCTGGAGGGTTTGGAGCCACATCAACTCCAGGGACCTCGTTGTTTGGTAGCTCGACCTCTGCAACATCAGCAGCACCATCATTCGGAGGATTCGGCGCTCCGGCGCCAACAGCCGCTCCAGCATTTGGCGCCTCTGCTGCTGCCTCAGCAGCGCCCACTCTGTCATTTGCCGCGCCTGCTTCTGCGTCCGCCCCATCATTCGGCACCCCCGCTAATACAGCTTCGACCACATTCGGTACTACCTCAACGGCACCGTCATTTGGATCTGCACCTGCTGCAACCCCATCCCCCTTTGGAGCGCCAAAGCCTGCTACTCCGACGGCCGGTCTTTTCGGAAATATCTCAACAGCTCCGGCAACTCCAACTGCGGCTTCAACTTCTCCCTTTGGTGCATCTTTGACTGCAGCCACCAGTGCCGCTCCAGCAGCGACCTCGTTGTTTGGAAATAAGCCTGCGACAATTGGAACTGGAAACACACTCCTTGGAAGCGCACCTCCCGCGTCCAGCGCAGCACCCGCTTTCGGAGCCAAACCTGCTACGCCTTCTCTTTCATTTGGAGCCGCACCAGCCTCAACCACAGCGTCTTCGACTTTGGCAGCTCCCACATTCAGTCTCAACGCAGGGTCTACTGCTTCATCAGCGGCGACATCAGCTCCTGCGTTTTCATTGGGCACCACACCTGCTACTACATCTGCTGCCACTACTGCTCTGACGACAAAGCCGCAGGATGATGCCAGCTCCAAGACTGTGGTGCCTCCAACACCCTCGGCATTGCGTAACAAGAGCATGGACGAGATTCTCCATCAGTGGTCGAGGCAGCTTGATGAGCACACAAAGGCGTTCCGCGAACAGGCCAACAAGATCTCCGAATGGGATCGCAAGTTATTTTCTAATGGACACCAGGTATATATCAGGGGCATTTGTTTGAGTGCATGCAGATTATCGTTGAGTTGGTATTGACATTTCATTGCCCTTTTCTGATATAATAGATTAGCCAGCTTTACCAGATGACAGTGGAGACTGAGCAAACGCAAAAGACAATTGACCAGAATCTGGATTACATCGATTCACAGCAGCAGGAGCTCAGCGGAATTCTGGATCTTTACGAGGAGCAGGTCCAAAAGATGTTCGAAAAGGATGCCACTACGGCAGGAGTGAATGCCAATGGATTGCGACCTGTGGATGAGCAGCGCGAACAGACATACAGCTTAGCCGAGAACTTGAACAAGCAGCTGGACGACATGTCGCTCAACCTCACAAGCATGATTGAGGAGATCAACCAGACTGCGCCCAAGACTGATGGCGAGAGCAGCGACCCTGTAAGTTTGATAGCAATTTCGACCTTTCAATTATTCATGGCCTGCGCTTCTGTGCTTCTGTACCAAAACTAACTATTGCTTTTTTTTGCGCCACGCCCTATTAGGTCGGACAAATTGTGCAAATCTTGAACGCTCACTTGACGAGCTTGCAATGGATCGACGAGACGACAACATCGCTGCAGTCTAAAGCTCAGGATGTCGGTAGACTGCAAAGTCAGATGATCAAGGAACATGAGAGCTATCGCAGCCGCGGTGTGTTCACGGGACGATCCTGAGCTATGGAACTGCAATGCTGACAGGACAGGACAATTGAACACCGGAGGAAGAAGTCGCAAAGCGTGATAAAGAAATAAAAGATCGCATCTGAAAATAATAATAGTTACAACAATGATAATAATCGTACGCTATCGTTTGAAGGATCTACCAAGTTCATGTCGACGCGTAAGCGTCGTAAATTCGGGGTAGAAAGGCTACTCGAATTGCCCGAGCGTCGATTTTGTTGTGCATCCATGCCATGGGTACAGACAAGCACAAGCCTTATGTTCTTTGAAAGTATCCAAGACGGGTGCGATAGTAGAAGTTCAAGAGGGCTGTTTGCTTATAAGGTTTTCTTTTACGTCTACGGCTAAGCGCCGGTCCAAACGAATTGACCCCAAATGGCATTGATGGAAATGAACGCTAGTTTTTTTTTTTTTTTTTCAAGAAAGCGGATATTATGACACGCGAGCTGTTCGTTGACTGGCTCTCGGAGCTAGACTAGGGCATATAACTTGTATGTCCAGGAAGAGACGAAAGATAGCTTTTTTTGCTGATCGACAGCGCACTAGGACATGGCTGGTACGGAAATTGGGGGCCCTCTCTCTCAACATTACCATCATCAGGCTACCCCTCTACTGCACGGAAAAATATGCAAGTTCCATAGACCTTCTAGACCCCCAACATTTGGTTCTCGTGCTTCGTTTTACAGCAGTTTATTTTTTTTATTTTTTATACATTTGTTATTAACAACATTTGCTAGTGTATAGTGTGGATCGAGCGTTAGATACAAAGGTGGGGGTGGTGTGTATAGGAATGGCCTCTCTCTCTCTCTCTGTCTCTCACAGCCATCATCGACTCCTGGATAAAGGTATAGAAAAAAAAGAGATTTTTTTTTTTTTTTTTTTTTCGTAGGGTCATATGGGTTTACCATGCGCCATTGAAAAAGCGCGTGCCCTCCATCCTCATATGATTTACTTGGCAGGAGCAAAGCCGACACGGTCCTTGCCAAGGTCGTAGACGCTGTAGTACTTGCGCAAGAAGACATCGCCGACGATCCAGAGGTCAGCGAGGGACTCAGGGAAGTCCATGCCCATGAATCCAGACACGCATGATCCTCCGGCATTGAGGATATAGTCGGATCCCTGCAACTTGTACTCCTTCTTTCCAAAGGTGAAGGCGAATTCGGGCAGGTCGGGGACGGCAGCGCAGTCGATGGTGTACTGTCCAGCATAGTTCTTGGTCGCGCCAATCTGCTTGTTGATCATGTCCGACAGAGCGGTCTCCAAGACGATCAAGGACGAGCCGGTGTCGATCACAGCGCCACCGCCGAGCTCGACGGTCTCGTCGCCCAGTCGGATCTTGTTCAGGTCAATCTCCCAGTAACCCTTGCGGCGCACGCTGTACCAGTCAAGGTCGCCCTCAAAGTGGTTGGCATCCACGCCACCGAGGGTCATCTGACCACCGGTGCTGCCATCAGCCTGGGCGAGATAGAATCCAAAGACGGGCTCGTCGACCAGCTTCTGGTTCACGAGGCTGTAGAATGGAGGGACGACGCCAAGGACGGAGATGGTGTCGTAGCCGAGACCAAAGATACCGTCAAACTTGCCAAAGGCGAAGGCAAGACCGGGCTCCTTGACGGACTCGCCAAAGTCCTGGTGCTTGATGACGACACCACCGACCTCGACATTGTCGTTGCTGATGATGCCCTCGAGCGATCCAGAGCCGTATTGAATGCCGAAAGCGGTGCCGTTGGCCTTGAAGGTCGAAGACTTGTTCGAGTCGAAGCGGCGGTGGAGGAAGCAGGCAATTGAGGTACAGTGGGTCGATGGGACCCAGAGGTTGGACGAACCGGTGTCGAAGACGACCGAGAAGGTCTGTGGGGGCGATCCAATGGAGATGTCACCGTAGTACTATGAGGCACGCGAAAGAAAGAAATGCCAAGCCAATCGAATGTTAGCCTGAGAAGAGATAATTCCATAAGCGGGAAGGATGCCCTGCCCTGGTGGGACATGCTGAATGACCAGGCAGTGACGACACCACACACAGCCAGGCCAGCAGCAGACTAGGCTCCTTTCAGGGTGAAAGTGTCGGTTGCAGCCCAAGAAATCAAGTCTTTTTCTTTCTTTCTTTCAAGGGACACACGTAATAGCAGGGGGAGGCGTTAGCGTGTATGCCTCCACTCTCTCCACAGGACAATGTTTACTGGCTGGAATGGAGGCGATAATGAGGGAGGGAGGGGGGGATACGCAACCCGTCTTGTATACTGCGCATGAATGTTCCCATGGATACAACATACATTCCATTTATCCGTTTTTCGAATGACCCCCAAGTGAACACAGAAAAACAACGAACCAAGGGGGGGGGAACTCCTTCACTCGTAACCCCCTCCATCTTCTTTTTTTTTTTACCTGGGCATTCATATAGTTGGAGAGGGGGACGCCGTACGATGGCTTGCCCTCAGCATCCAGACCGATGATCTGATTGGCCTGGTCCGTCTTCATTTTGCGCGCTGGCGAGCCAAAGTACTTCTGGGACAGGTACGAACCCGTCTCGGCGTAGGCCTGGAGCTTCTCAGCAGGGGTGATGTTGGCCTTCTTGAGCTGAATGCTAATAAATGAGGCAGAAGAAGAAGAAGAAGAAGGGTAAGTTTATCTAACCAGGTCGTGTTTCCTGCCTCTGCTCTCTCACTCCGCGCGACTTTATGTGAGTGAGTGAGCGAGGGTGTCTTTTGGAAGGGATAATTCGATAGACGGCTGTTTTTACCGAGTCATTTCAGCCTGGGAGGCAACAGCCAGGGACAAGAGTCCGGCGAGGAGGAAGGTGGTCTTCATGACTGGTGAATAGAATGTAGTTGCGGTGTTAACGAAGGAGGATGTTGATGGAATGAAATGAAAGAAGAGAGAGCGGAGGGAGGGGGAAAGAAAAATGGGAACAAAGGGAGCAAAGTTCGTTCGACCCTGGCCTGGGTTTGGGCTTCTTATGCTTTTCATACATCATCGAAAGACTATAGACTATATTACAACGCAAATATCTGCAATCCTGTCACGCTATGAGAGCATGCGGATGAACAGCGTGTGTTGCGTTTGCGGTTTTACGAGTCGGATACGCCCCCCCGGATAGACTATAGACTAACAGTATATGTGTATATCGCGATGATGATGACCATGGTGCCCCCCAACCCCTCCGACAACAACGCGGATAGGGTAAGTCATCACTTCACTCCCTGTCGACATCTCCAGATACAGATATCTCCCATCTCGAAAAGAAAAAAAAAAAAGCCTTGGTCAACAACAAACCCCCCAATGGCATAACCCATTCAGCTAAATTGATAAATTCTCTATGTATTGCTATGTTTGCAGCTATGAAGACTCGCACAAAATCCATGTAAAATAATTTTTATTCGTGAAGATATTTGAGATATGCTGATGGAGGAGTTTTTTTTTTCAGGAATGTGTATATAGTAAAAAGAACGCTTGCACGCAATAAAGAGGATATAGGATAAGATAGTAAGATAGTATGACACACAATGCTTGTAGGCATGCTTGCAAAGAACCCCAGCTGTCTTAATGGTCTCTATTGGGCAGCATCCGCATTTACCTTCGCCTTCTTTGCATTCACCCTCACCTTCATCTTCGTCTTTACCCGCTCCTCCCTCTGCTCCTTCTGCGGCGCTTCCAATCTTCCTTGTCTGTTTTCTTTCTTCTTCCGATGTTTCAGTCGCTTTCTTTTTAGTCTGGCCTCGAGCACCTCCGGTGACTCCACCAACACTACGCGTGGAGGAGCCTTCTCCTTGCGCCTGTCTTTCCTCAGCTTTCGCTTTAGCCTTTTTCTGACATCCCCTAGAGATCGGATTCCCTTCAAGAAAGATTTGCTCTGGAACTCTTCGCTTGTTGTATCGAAAGGATGTCTCCGAATGTACGCGCTTACGTTCTGCTGTCCGATTAGTCGCTGCAAATACTTCATAACTTTAACCAGCTCAATGTCGGTGCTCTCCAAGGATAGTTTCTTGTTGAAATCGCGTATCAGGACGCAATTGTAGGGCTGGAGCTGTGATTTGTGTGGTGAATCGTCAATGAGGACTGTGTTCGTCTGATCGTATTGGGTTCCGTATCTCTGTCCTGGCTGGAGCTCTTCCTCGGGTGCCTGTTCCCTTTCGGCCTCGATCTCCCTCCAAACGAACTCGAGATCCTTGAGGGTCAAGACCTTGCGATGGAAATCAACCGTGTCGAGTTGAAAGTGTTCTCGACTCCAGATACGGTCTAGTTTTGTCAGCTTATCAAGGAAACATGTTCCCAGCATTGTCCGGACACTGCTCTCGCGCGCACTTGACCATACCATCACTCGAAAATTGTCGAACAAAAAGTCCAAGAATTCTCTCAGAAACGGTCGTGGGGAGATGGTTCGCCTCGCGTTGTCTGATCGGTAGAGTAACGTCCCATTGAGGTCTAAGATGACGAGGATTTTGTGGTGGGATCCCCCTGTTTGTGCCGTGGGTTCTTCTTGGGCAATCTGTAGGTACGTCGGTGTAATGGGGCGGATTCCTGTAAGCGGAAGAAATGTGTAGTCTTCATGGTTGTAATAAACTGAGGTGGTATCGTTTTCGAGTGCGCCATCGGCGCTGCCGCCTGTGCTGTCGTTGTATGCGTCCATGTCCGAACCGGCAGTGCTGCTGCTTTCGTCAAAGGTGTTGTCGTCCGAGAGGAGATCAAAGGGTTGGTCCTACGATGAGATGATGCGAATGAGGATGTGGATCTCGCTGCCCTGTTGGACTTTTGGAAAAAGGCGGAGCTGCCTAAAGACTAAAAAAAAAAAATCTGCAGTAGAATAGACTCCCGCCTGTTGAACCCTAAACTCAATCGGCTATTTCTTTAAATGATCTTGGTGTTGGCCAACAATGGCCGTTGACAATGCGTTGGACATTTAGTAGTGCTGGAGCCATATTCAGCATACGGGGAGTGTAAGGTACTCACGGGAGCTCTTTATCAGGGGGTCAAGGCTATCTTTATAACCATGCTATCCCTTGGTCGCTCTGGTTGTTATTGACAACCGTGATTCTTCTAAAAAAAAATAAAAAAAAAAAGAAGCACGCCGCCAAAGCTCCAATGGACAGAGGATAGGAAGCGAGAGGAAGGATCCCGCTCTCGCACACATGCATGCATCACCTAATTCTGACGCCCTGTTTGTTGTCCTTTGTTCATCTCGTAATCCCCACCTTGGACCGACTGCTGTGTTCACACAAAGCAAGCTGCCCCTCTCTCTTTGCTCGTGCCTGAAGCAGTTGGCGTCCAGTGAAGTGTCATCTGAGCGTGCATGTACCTGAAGCAACCCCTAATTGCACTTGGCCTTTGTTTGTTACATGCTTTACGCTCTGACCGATGCTTGACCCCTGTCTGCTTACTCTGTCCTGCCATGCCCCATGCTCAGCTGCTCTCGTGCAATGACAACATGCCTCTACCTATGCTCATGCCAATGCCTACCCTCCATCGCGCGATTTGACACAGGGCTTTGATTCCGTATTCGTTCTCTCTCTGTCTCTCTGTTTTTTTGTTTTTTGTTTTTTTAACCTCCAAAAAAAAAAGTTCATTCTTCTTTTCTTTTCTCTTCTCTTCTCTTTTCTTTTCGCTTATTTACAACTTGTCCAGTCAAGTCATTCATTCACCTTCACCTTCTAATTTCCTCTGATACTCCTTTCACCACACAAGAAGCCCTTACGATACACGAATCCAGCCTGGACATCCCTCCGACAGAACCACGCCCCAGTATGACGACCCCTATCGAGATCCCTCAGTCAAGGATGCGGAGGTCCCATCCCAACAAGATCCACACCATCAACACGACCTCACACCTCTCAAAGTCCTCCCCCGCATTCTCATTTCTCAGTTCACCCCCACCAATGTCAGCACCCGTCTCTAACAGCCCCTTCAAAACCAACGTGGGCAGGAGCAGAAGTTCTAGTAGGAGCGGTGGTGTCGTCTTCAACACCCGCCCACGTGCAGCCTCGGAGGCCGCTCGCACAGCCATGGAGGCCATGATTCAGACTCGACTGGATATAATCACGAAACGACTTGATCGGTTCAACACTCAATCCCAAGAGATTCAAATCCAGACTGAACAACTCGCCAAATCTTTTCAAGAAAAGGCCAAGCGGCTATACAAGGTCGAGGACCACCTCCTGCGAGTCCAAGGCAAGCCCGGTCTGTCAGAGGCATACCTCGAGGATGGTCCCCGGAGGAGGAGGCTGACCAACGATTTGGACGAGCTGAGCATGGGTGTCAGGACACTGAGAAGGAAGTTCCAGGCTGCTAGCACCGCGGTATCCGCCATCAACTGGTTGAGCAACCTTAAAGACTCAGGGGAGCAGGGGTCTGCGCTAACGGATAAAAACACTGACCTGGCGGCAACAGATCATGGTCTAGAGAGCACGGCTCTCCATCCGTCCTCCTCACCCGCGCTAGGCGCCTTTGGCAAGAAGGAAGGTCAGGTGTTGCAGTACATTCTGACCGCCCAAGAACTCTTCTCGAACGACTCTTCATCAGAGGACGCAGCAGCACTCCCATCGTCAGGTCTGAATTCACCGCCTCTGACGCCCAGGGGCCCGCTCTTTGGATCTTCGCTCTTGTCCAAGGGTCTGGAGGACCATCATTACTCACACACTCATAAATCCCGACCACTGTCCATCATCCCAGACCTCGAAGACCTTGCGGAATCCCTTGAACAGCTCTCGTCCGCCATTCAGGAGTCAACAAACACGGAGGCATCGTCCGTGCAGCACAATAATGTCCGGGATACAGATGAGGAGCCTCGACCAGAGTTCATGCAGGTCTTTTCACCACCTTCGCCTGCCTCCCCAACAACAAGAACAACAACAGGAATATCAACAACAGCAACGACATCTGGACTGACTGAGCCGACCATGCAATGGCCTGCACGAGCAGAGACCGGAGGTGCATTTGCATTTAGTGAGCCCACCACAGGTACGGATGCTGAAAAGGCTGCAGTGGCGCAAAGACGAGAGCAGCAGGAGCATGAGGAACAACACGAGCTAGCAGACACAAGCCGAAATCGACAGCAGACACAACAACACCAACAACGGTCGGACAATAATGACGCGAATGAATCGGAGCAGCTCGACGCTGACACATCCAAGGAAGAGGCCAAGAACGGCACCAGCCTCCAAGAAGATCAGGCTGCTGCTACTGCTGCTCCAAAACATCCAGAACCGATCCTTTCGAGCTCCACAGCCGCAACGACAGAAATTCTTGATCAACAGCAGCGTTCAATTCAGGACGGTCCCTCCTCGACCGAAAACGATGGCACGCCCGAGGACAAGACCGATGGGTGGGTCCAAGCTCTTTGGCGTCTGTTAGTCCGGGCCGAGTACTTTCTACTGGGCACTGCAGTCTTGGGAGCAATGATGCCCGATAACCTGATTGCGCTCTGCGCAGGGTTCCTGTCCGCGACCATGTATGGGATCCTGGTGGTGCGCCATCGTCTGACGGCGAGCCCGGGCAAGGACGCGCCTCATCCGCCGAATGCGGCCTCTATCGCGGCAGGTCATAAGAAACGCGTTGCGGACGCTGTTGGTTCCAGATCTAAGGGCACAGCATCGACTCGACGGGCGAAGAATTGAGAGGCGACGGATGGATGGGTTGAATGAATGAATGAACGAACGAACGAACGGACGAGCGAACAAGGGCAAAGATGGCCTTTATGACACACCCACACCCACACCCTCCCACACATATACATACGCACGCTACGCACACTTCCAGTTTTGAATATGTACAGCAACCCTTCTATAACGTATCTACGCCCTCTCCGATTCTCTGTCAACTCGACGGAATGACAAAAAGAATACTTTTTGTAATAAATGACTTTATTTTTTTTTCTTTTCCATTTTTTTTTTTTTTTTATTCACCTCGGAAGAAGACAAGGTCCTCTCTAAGTGCTTCCAGCTCCCTCCTCAACACCCTAGATCGCTCTGCAGGATCCCTCAGGAGCCGACCCAGGTTCAACAGCCTCAGATTCGGCTCCATCGCCCACGCGGCCTCATTTAATCCATGCTGTCGTATCTCTTCTGATGGCTGACGATCCCCCACAGAACCATCATCACCCGTCCTACACGGGGCGACCCTAGATCTTCTTGGTCTTTCTGAACCACCGACAGATCCCTGTGGACGCGACTGCCCCAAAGATCCCGGGTTCGAGACCAAGGACGATGATGGTGATGATAGTGATGATGATAATGTTGATGAGGGAAGGCTCGCGTTCGGGAGGTGAGTAGCTTTGATCTGATGCAGCAGATAGATCAGTCGCTGTTCCCGTAATGACAGTTGTGTGGTCAGGAGCTTTGTCCGTCGGGTCATGGTCCGTTGCAGCTGTGTCTGTTGTTCGATCTGCTGCAGGGTCCAGTAGGTCCTGAGGGCGGTGAAGAATTGGATCCCGGAGAGGAAGAGCGTTGGTGCAAGTGGGAGTATCTGGAGCGCGATGGAGGAGTCATGGGGCAAGGTTAAAGTGTTATTTAGGGATTGATGGTGGTGATGGTGGTGGTGGTGACTGTGGTACGTGCTGCAGAGTTGTTTCCAAGGCGCAGTCGGGAGAAGATAACGCGCCATAGTTGCTGTGCCTAATCTATGTGTGCGTATATGTATGTGGGGAGGATGGGGGGAAGCAAAATTCGGTTAATCTCAGTCATGAAAAACTGCACAGAAAAAAAAAAGAACTCAAAAAAATAAAATAAAGAGAGAGAAATGGACAGAGGTGTTGCGAGCGAACAACACTTACAGAAGCGAAGCGAGCATGTTGCCCTTGAGAGTCCAAAAAGTACAGTCTTCACCCGCGGCCCTGACGTTCACTTGGGTCAACAATGTCTTTTGTAGACTCTTTTCCTGAGATAGTCGTAGTTCTCTGCATGCCTTGATCCACAGTTCCGCTTGGTCTAATGAATGAAGGTTAATATACATGTATAAAAATAATAATAAAAAAGTTTAAGGATAAGCATCGACGAAAAGAACTGGTGGTAAGACAGGAATGAGCATGCTATGCCTAATGGACATACCGATAGATATCTCATTTCCCACAGGACCCGGATTCTCAATGCTCGATCCCACTGGGGGTTGCTCTTGTTGTTGACTAGCTCCCTGCACTAAGGACATATGACCTTCTGTCGCCTGACAGCTCTCCAGATTTAGATTTGTCCCGTCCTGCTGCTGCTGCTGCTGCTGTAGTCCCTCGTCCCCCTTGCTCCATCCAATTGCTACACAATCCTGAGATAATGCTGCAGTCGTCATTCCTAATGATGCAGTCGTAGCATCTCTTCTCGTCCTTGTTCTTGTTCTTGTTCTTGTCCTTGCTGTCGTTGTTGCTGTTGTCGTTGTCGTTGCCGTTGTCCTCGTCTTTGCCCTGGAGAGAGAGCATCCTTGATGATTTCCCTGTCGATCCATGTTTGTTGCAGCAGGGGCCTCGGCGTTGCTGCTGCTATTACTGCTGGTATGGAGAGTGCGGTCCAACAGGTTGATCAACTCTGAGAAAAGGGCCTTGTCCGAGAGGGACTGGATAAAGAGATCGAGCTGGGATTGTTCCGAGAGTACGGCGTGTTGGTTGCGTTCGCGTTCTGCGTGTGCAAGGCTTCTGTTGCACAGGTAGACGTGTGCGGCCGCGGTGAGGCCCAGGCCCAATGGGATAGTGGGGAACGAAGAGGAGAACGCGCTCATGGGATAGGTTAAAAAAGAATGGAACACCCAAAATGTGAAGGGAGGAAAAAAAATAAAGTAGACGAAGGGAAAAAAAAAAAGTGATGGTTGATGGATGAGTAGAGGAATGGGATTGGATGAGTTGTCGAGGGATGGAATGAACAAAAGGGAATGGGATGCGCCCTTTGTCTTATGGCTCCTTCCGTGGGACACTTCCTCTTTCTCTCCCATCCCATCCTCAATTGGAGTTTTTTTTTTTCGCACGCGTCTGCAAGTGTTCAGTCTAGGCAACAGAGGGCTGGTCCCCCTAGGTTTACTCGGGTGGTGTTGCATATACCCCACACTTTCGCCAGATGACTTCATCCGCTAATCCAGAACGAGGTCGCACAAAGAGCATAAAAATGAACGCATTGGACAACCAGCGTCCCTTTGAGACCCATCCCAAGACAGGAGTAAGCAATAGAACATCATCATTATTCATTATTCACTATTCATTATTCGGGAATGGAGCACTCCCTCCCTTTGGTCACTGCTTTTCACGCCACCAACTTTTCATTTTAGGGATGGACCCACCCCACTCCACTCGCACGGACAATTTTTAAGGGTCAATTGAAGCTAGGGTCAATTGAAGCTGTCGATGGTCGATGAGGAATAAGCTGTCTTCCCCTCCGCCATTTTGCCTTTTGATTGTGGCTCTCCACATCCCTACTCCTGGACATCACTTTCAGCCTCAACTGGATCATGTGGGGGGACGGATATGGAGAGGCACTTGGGTGTTTGTTTGTATTGCAACGGCTATATAGGGGCTGGACAGATAGAGAACTAATAGGCGGTCATTATGATGCTGGGATGGATGCAACAAGTAGAGTCAGCCCTACACAACCACCCTGTGTACATACATGTGTGTGTGTGTGTGCCTGGACTATGGGCATGCCTTCTCCTCGATTTGGGTTAATTGACCACGGAATTACCTGCCCAGGACATGTATAAATAAGTGAGTGTAATAATGATGGACTAGATATTTTCCGATGGCTGTTCATGTCGGTTAAAATGCCATGGTGGTCTGACGCTGTGTAGAAAGCACGCTGCGAATAATATTGATGCCATGAACTCTTTTTTTTTTTTTTTTTCCTTTTTTTTGTTTAGTCTCATTATATGGACCCTTTTTTTCCTTTAAATGAGGATGGGCTGTTGTCTGGTAATGTTTCTGGAGAGACCACAGCCGATTGCTCTGTCAGTGAGGGGGGGGAGGGGATTTGAACCGACGTTATAGCCGCATTACGAAGGAATGGCCGACTACCGCACTTTTGCTGTGGTGGATGGGGATGGCCCGGAAGTCGTTTGTTCCGCTGGAAGATCTGTCAGGATCTCCATCTTCCCCTGTGGCAGCATGTTGCTGTGTGCACACATATAAAGAACCATGTCAGTGCTTTGTCATCCTCCATACTTCCTTGTTTCTCTCTCTTTCCTCACCTCCTCCTCTTCGCCTCGCTTTCATAGCCCTCTGCTCCCCTCTCACCTCCTGGCCCCAGCATCTGCCCATTGCCCCGCTTGGCTCTGCTGGTTGCTGCTCTCCCACCTGGACTGCTGCACTCACTCGGCTCACATCACATCCAGCGCTCTCGCCCGCTAGATCTGATATATAAAAATACCTATTTCCACCGCTCTTTTCTGGATTTAACAATTTAAAAAAAAGAAAAAAAAGACAAAAAGGCGGTGTCTCTCATTATCGTCGTTGTCGTCGTCGTCGTCTAATCCGCCTCCGTCTACTGGCGTGCCACAACAGTCTGTCTCACAGAGGGTTTCTCCTTCTTCTCCTTTTATCTCTCCCACATCTCCCCCCCTCCCTCCTCTCTCTCCACCACACCTGGACCCCGCCGGACCTTTCTCCCTCCATCCTTCTATCCTGAACACCCCCCTCCTCCCCGAGATCCACCCAACACCATCCCCAGCCATGGACTCCCTCCCGTGGCACTCCTCTCGGAAGACTAGCACCAGCAGCAGCCTCCTCCTCCTCCTCCTCGTCCTCCACACCGTCCTCCTCTCCTCCTCATCCCCCACCGCACACGCTGCCTCCTATGAGGTCATCGTCTCCAAACCCGTCCCCGCCGCCACCACCAGCGGAGCCTATAGTCACCTCTTCCAGTCCAAATACCTCGGCAACTCCATCGTTACCAATGCCAAGAACCTCGGATACACAGGCACCATCATCCTCGGCAACCCTGCACAGTCCTTCCAGGTCGTCTTCGACACCGGCTCCGACATGATCGTCATCACCTCCGACCAGTGCCAGGGTACACACTGCAACGATATGCCACATTACACCTGCAACTCCTGTACAAAGACTCCTTATTCCTACAACATCACCTACGGTGACGGCACCTGGGGCGCTGGTCCAATCGTCGCGGACACGGTCGCCATCGGAGGACTCGTCATCCAGAACCAGCAAATCCTCGATGTCACCAAGAGCGCCCTCGACCTGTCCTCCTACGGAAAGGGTATCGCTGGTCTGGTCGGACTCATGCCCAGCTCCCCGGTCTTGCACTCTGTCCCACCACTCCAAACCATCTATCAGGCAAAACTCCTTGACATGGACGTCTTCTCAGTCTACCTGAGTCCCTCCCTCAAGGCCAACCAGGGAGGCTCGTTCCTCTTTGGCGGTATCGACAGCACAAAGTACCAAGGATCGCTCAATTATGTACCCATCTCTACAGGATCCGGCACCAGCCAAGGAATGTGGTACATCGATGCGGATGCCGCCTACACAGGATCCGTAGTGGTCTCGGGGTACACCAAGTCGCCCTGGCTGTTCGACACCGGCACGTCCTTCATTGCCGTACCCACCTCATTCGCCCAAAACTTCCATGCCAACATCCCCGGAGCAGCGTACTCGGCAGCGGATCAGCTCTACACGGTGCCCTGCAACGGCACAGCGACCTTTGGACTGTCCTTCAACGGCGTCAAGTATGAGGTACCCTATCTGGACTTTATTGCGAGTGGAGGCACAGGATCCTGTGTTTCGCTTGTCATGCCCCTGGGCAACTACGAGATGTTTATCCTCGGGGACCCCTTCCTGAGACAAGTCTACGTCGTCTACGACTTTACTGCGGGCGCCACCAGAATCGGACTCGCACCCGTCAGCGCCACGAACACCTCCTTGGGTACCGAGGGCTTGTCCGGCAGCCCTGTTGCGGGCGGCTCCACCATCACCCCCTTGGTACCGAGCAGTGCGTTTAATGGAAAGGATGTGTCGTTCAGGACACTGGCAACGTCCATGGCCCTGGCCCTGGTTGCGATGATGCTGGTTGTATAGCAAAGGCCATAAACTTGTAGTTTTTTTTTTTTTAATTATTTTTTCCCCTCACCTCCTCCCATTTTGCCATCTAAACGCATTTATTTTAAAATAAAATTCCATGTATCATGACGAACCCCCCATGCCATGCGCCTTTTATTTACCCATGCGAAGAAGAGATGCATTACGCTTGTCGATGACAGGTGGCGCCCCCTTCCCCCCCTTCATCTTATTTCTTTGGGTTAAACGTGGAACGTGCTACCTGTGTTAATCTCGTAGCGCAAGTTGCATTGCCCCATTCTCGTGTTCCAAACTGTCAAACTGTCTAATTATCTTCCTTGAGCCCCCTCTTCCTCCTCCTTCTCCTCCTGGATTAAATTCCCTCATTGGTCCTGCGGTGCTTTACTTGCATTCCTTTTGAAATAACGCCGAATAAATAATTGAGCTCTTTTTCTGCTGCTCCCCCAAACAGACACAACTTTTTTAATTCTTGAAGAAGGGAGGGGGGGACATCTGCTTAGCCTCTCTGTAGACTCCTTAAGACAACCACTCATCTGGCAGAGAGAAAGAGAGAGAGAAAGAGTCCAGCACCTTGTCTCCGCCGATGGCCCGCCTTGTCCCACTTTCCCAATTTAAACCCTGGTTTTACACACACACACACAGAGAGAGAGAGAAAGAGAGAGAGAGGGAGATTGATGCATGACCATTATTCCCTATGAACCTGTTGGAGTTTTTTTTTTTTTTTTTTCTATAGTGCCTTTGACTCTTCATTGGCACATGTGTCAGCAAATTGTTCGCGCGACTGATACTGCTGCCGCTGCTTGCATTTTTTTTTTTTTTTACTTTGTTTTTTTATACTTTTGTTTTTGCACAAAATGAAACCTTCAGTGCCTTGTGGGCCTGACACCTGTAACATCCCACCAAGAGTCGACGTTGCAGGAACTGTGTGTGTGAGTGTGTGAGAGAGTGTCTGCATGTGTGTGAGTGTGTGTGTGAGGAGAGGGGGGAGGCCCAGAAGCTGATCGAACGGGGGTGGTGTGTGTGTATGTGTGTGTGCGCTTTTTCACAGGCCTGATGGAGTTCCAGACGCTTGCTGGAATAGTTTTTTCTTTGGATTACGAGTTTTTGTTTTGGTGGGATCGAAGTTTGATTCCCACTTTGGATTTGTCATCAAAACTGACTATCATCGACAGTGTGGCGAGGGGGAGTGATCAGACTACGGGCTTGAGGTTGCCTCAAGAGGGAAAGATGGCGCGCGCGTGTGTGTGTGTGTGGGACGTATGATTTTATTTTATGTTTTTTTTTTTTTTTTTTTTTTTTGACAAGCTCGACGCGTATTACTTGTTATCCGGACACGTCGAAAGAGGCGTTCTCCAAAAACGGGGTTCCCGTGAGTTTTTTTTATCAGTTCTCTTTGACTCTCTTTGGGGCGGAAAAAAATAAAGCTGCCACGGTGAATGTGAGTGGGAATGTGGCTAAGGATACGGATACGGATGCGGGTGCGGGTGCGGATGCGGAGTCGTGCATCGGAATATGCGCAGCTCTCTCGTGTTCGAAAGCCATGTGCGACCGGGATTTCGGCACGATGACGGATATGGATAAACAAAAAACTTATCTGGAAGGACAGGGGAGGACAAAGCAACAAATGAAAAAAGCGTGAATGCGTTTAATGGGCGACGGAAGGTCTATGGTACAAAAAAAAGGTGACAATGTCCCTGAGAACCATTCTGGGAAGGGGAGAGAATCCCTATCTACTGGACTTCGGGGTTAACCCAGGTCATGACGCCCTCACTCGGATGCTCCAGATCCACTTCCCAAGAGATCGGTTCCTCCTGTTTCTCCAGCCAATTCTCATCAAACAAAGCCGAGGGCAGGACCTCGAGCAGCCTACAATACACGCCCGGGATCTGAAGTGAGTATTCCCTCCAAAACGTCTTCTCGGTCCTTCCGAGCCCATGGAGTTCAAAGGACGGTAACCGATCGAGGTAACGAAAGATCTGTCCGATGCCGACACCCTTCTTGACGACCAGATCGTGGATTTCTTGATCCTTGATCAGGACCTGAGACTTGGCGTTGCAGACGACTTTGTTGTTGCAGAGCAAGTTGACCTCGCGTTGGAACCTGGAGAGGATGGCAGGATCTTCATCTGGGGCGAGGGAGACGGGGGTGTTCTCGAGGATGGTGACGGAGACGGTCTTGTTGAAGTACGCGCTAGAAAAATAACAATAATGAAAATGGCGTGAGAGGATTTCGCCCGAACCGTGCGTAGGAAGGGAAAAGACGTAATGAAATAGAGGGGGGGGGGGGGGGTTCGTAAGTTAGTACAAGGCCCTGCTTCCTCCTCTCCCCTGTACGGATATTTGTTGGGTTGGGCGGCTAGCTCTGTTATAGTACCTGATCAGACGCTGGAGGTTCCCGTTGGCGGTCAGCAATATCCGTTCAGAGCCGGAGAAGCCGTCAGGCAGGGTCAAGGTCGTGTCCCTTGTTCACCACGGTGGCATAAAAAAGACAGGAAAACAGAGTTGTTGGATATGTTATTACACCGATCACAGGAAAGGAATTGAGGGAATACAAAAGCAACTGTACCTCCTGGACATGATATCGCCAAAGTGGCCAGGAATCTTGACGATGGGAGGACTGGGAGATCGGGCGAACATGGCGGGTGGAGACATTGTGAATGAGTTGATTGAGGAGGTGTGGAATGAGAACTGAACTGATCTGATCTGATCTGGGGTGTATGTATGAAGCGTATGTCCGATTTTAAAAGGAGGGAAGGACGGAAGGGAGTCTGAGGGTGCAATGTATTTATGCAATGGGGTTAAAACAAGTGAAAGAGGAACAGGCGAGGGAGAGAGAGAGAGAGAGAGAGAGAAAGACAGGGTGGGAAAGCAGACCATAAACAGATGTGCGGACGATGCGTTCAGACAGACGCACTTTCGCATTCCCTTCCAGGCAGCAAAAAAGATTCTTCTTACGATACTTACGATAGTTCCAATAGTACTGCCGCATCCAAACAGCCGTGGAACTATGGGATGTTTATGAGAGCATGATGGGTAGGCGTCATTGCCCTAGGTTCAGCACGTTTTTCTTTTTTCTTTCTTTACAAAGAACAGTGTGGCCCGGAGTGTGCAACTGAACACGCTACAAAGCAAGTTTATCGTCCATCCAGGAACAGGCATCGTAACTGTAATTATTCCGAAACAAGCATGCGCGACCGATCACCGCAAGTGCACCTTTGTCCCTGCTACGCGCACAGGACCCCTCTTTGTAGCAGGCAGTGGGGGCGTGCTGTCTCGATGCAAAGAGTGATGCGCCATGGGTCTATCGGGTCTATCGGGTCTATCGGGTCTATCGCAATTAGACGACGCACTGCACCGCGAAAATGCAGACGCGTGTGTGTGTGATACGAAGGGCGGACTGCATTTCGTGTCATGCCCATCCCATCCAGTCCTTGCTGGGCAAAAGGGGGAGGGGAACAAGCAACAACAATAGCTGATCCCTTGTTTTCGCATCCATCCATCTACCCTTCCCTCCCTCCCATTCCTCCCATCCTGACATTCCAACAACGACAACACAACAAACAGCATATAACAAATGACCACCCCTGACACACAGGTTTGCCAGCAACTCGACGACCTGGTGCTGCAGTACCTGGGTCTCATCGACGAACACCTCTCTGCATGGAATCGAATCTCAGACCGGTTTCAACAGGTAGGTGTGCCTTTGTCTCTCTTCACCCTTGCCTTGATCCCGTATAATCGGATATCATTGGGGCATATTGGAACAATAGCCCCATAACTCATCATTGTCTTCATCTGTATCTATCCACTCACACACACCACCCACGCATCTAATTGTAGGGACGTGAGCAAATCTCGCAGGCAAAGTACATCATGGGCCCCCGAAACGTGTCCGCAGACTGCTACGACCATCGCATGAAAGCACTTCGCGGCGTGTAAGTGAGTTGCAAAGATCCTCTATATCGCACAGCATTCTAAAAAAGACAACGAAAACAAAGTTGTTCATGCTAACATTACTTTTTTTTTTTCTTTTTTTTTTTGCTTTGATCCGACCACAGTGCTGTGAATGGACCAAGTGACATTGTCCTACGAGATCTGTGGGCGGAGCAAAAAAGGGCAGCCATGGAAGCTGCTGAGGAAGCTGACGAACAGCAGGAGAGAAGTAGACAGGCTAGCGAGAATGGAAACGGAGTTGCGGACTTGTGGGAAGATCCTAATCCGAATAGCAAGTCTGGTCTGAGGCGAAGAGGAGGAGGAGCAGGAGCAGGAACAGGAACATTATCAAGTGTTAGTTCAGGATTAGGATTAGGATCAGGACTAGTATCAGGATCAGGATCTGCTTCTCTGGCGTCCAATGGTGATGATGATGATGATACTCTGGTTGATGAAGACAAGTACAAGAAAAAGCCGGTGAGCAAGGCAACGTCTATTGCGACTGAACATGCAGGGAAATCACGCGTCTTGGGAGAAACGACCGCCACAGAAACCGATGCAACAACAACGACGACGACGACGACGACGATAGCAACGGCGAAAAAGAAGAAAGAGCGCAACCCAGATCCATTGCTGTGGTTCGGTGTGTTTGTGCCGGCTCCGCTCCGTAACGCCCAAAGCATTTTTCAGAAAGGTAAGATTTTATTGGTATCACGGTGCCCCAGAAAAAAAAAAAAAAAAAAAAAAAAAAAAGAGGAAAAAGGAAAAAAGAAATGGTAACGAGAGCAAAGGTCATTTCTAGCTCTGTCTTGTCCCTTGCATCGATGCGAAGGGATAGCCATGGACGTCAATATTTTATTTGTTTATGAAAATGATTAGGTGAGCTAAACCCGATGTGTGATTAATGAATAACGCTAGGCCTACAGGACGTGGTCGAGATGGCGATGATTCGACAGCGATTGCTCGAGTTGGAAGAGGCCATCGAGGCTTTGCAACAGGCCAAAAAGAAGATAACACAGCCATCATCATCAGCAACGGAGTAATAAATTCAAAACACCAAGCAATTTTTTTTACTCCTTGTTTGAAATAAACCGGGTTAGCGGTGCTTTGCTTTGGCAACCTGAAGAAAGACAGGGGGGAAAGGGAGTGGAGGGACGGGAAAGGAAGAAGCGCACTGGCATGCATAGACTACAGTGCATGAGCATGGGCATGATTGCACCTGTCAGATGGCGGCATAAGAGTTAAACTATGCAGTATTGCTCGAGCGCAGATTAGCATCCACGATCGATGGATGGAGTGGGAGGAATGGAGAGCAAGCGAGTGGACGAGTGAGTGAGTGAGTGGGTGAGTGAGCGGGTGAGTGAGCGGGTGAGTGAGTGCTCATCTGAAGCGATGGATAGTGGATAATATTATTACTCTTAATATTATTGGCTTCCCCCTCAAGCTTAGCTTATGAATGCATGCCCCATGCACGTTCGTTCTTCTGCAGCGTCTTCGGTTTTGTTCTTCGGTTCTCGCTAGACTATCGCATGGGAAATGGGGATGGAGCTGAGTTAGTGGTACAAGCGAATATATATTCGTTTGGATAGGTGATATTGGTCAATTGGTCCGGTCTTTATTTCATTTCTTTGCTCACTTTCTGTCTTCTGGTGCTTTGCTCACTTCGCTCTCAGCCGTTTCCTTCACACTCACTCTCTTTTGTGTTTTCCTCCCTCTCATCCCCCCTCTCCACCCCTCCACTCCCATTCTTCTTCATCAACCCATCAACTCATCGCTCCATCTTCCCGCTGCCTCCTTTCACTTTTCTTCTCTCCTCTCTGTCCCCTCACCCCCTCAACCAGAAAGTGTTTCTAAAAGACATACCAGCCCCTTCTCGATTCAAGTTTCACTTTTAACTGCAGCCTGCAGAAACAGGGTTCCGCCACAGCTTGCTAGTACTACTTGTCACCAACCATCAATATTATGGAGTCCCTCAAGTCATCCTTCTTTTCCTCTCGGAGAAAGTCTTTAATTGCACCCAAGACACCGACACTGCAGCAACAACAACAACAACAACAGCAACAGCAACAGCAATTATATCAACAGCAGCTGCAGCAACAGCAACAGCAACAACAACCTGGACAATTTGCAGATGACTTGCAGCCACAATACTACAGTACCGCCTCGGGAGGAGGTGGAATTTCTACAGTACCTCAAGGAGATCGAGACCACGAGCGTGAGCGGGAAGGAGGATCTCAAGGGCATAGGAGTCGTCCCGTATCGCAGTACCAGCAGGACCCGTCTACCTTCGTTTCCGCGCCTTCCAACCCCAACCCCAACCCCAACCCCAACAACATAACTACCGCATCAGCATCGACAGTCGCTCCCAAGAGTAGGAGACCAAAGAGTTTGGCGGCAAATGAGTTCGGAGTCGAGACCAGCACCAATGGCTCTGGGGCTGGGCCTGATGGATCCGGTTATTCTCGTAAGTCGTCCAACGTATCAGACAGCGCACTCTTCCTCCAATTTTAGATCCGTTAAGGACGCAGTAATGGGCTGTGGGCATTCTGGTTATCGTCCATCATCATGGGGGCAACTACGGCAGGACACTTTGACATCAACTATCGGCAATGGACCGCACCGCATATGAGACAATTGCTGTGTACGCAGAAAAACACCAATGATCCAGCCAGCATAGGAGCTGGCATTATGACGCGGGTTCCTTTTTTCATGCCACGCCATTACCAGTGGAGGTATTCCAGCATTCTGCATAAAGGACAGCTGCGAGGGAGTGAAATCGAGCGAGCAGGAGAAAAAAAAGAAAAAAAAGAAAGAACGTGCTCCAGCATTGCTTGCATGGGTATCCCAGCTCTCTGGATTGGACTGTGGTATGAGGTATATGGGGATCGTTGGCCAGGACGATGGAGGTACAAAAGGAAGCCGTGAGCATTGTGAGGAGCACAGAAACTGGCATGGACAACAATCTGAGGCGGCAGCAATGTGTGGACATAGTGGATAAAGTGGATAAGTGAGAGAGAAAGAGTTGTTGCGTGTGAGTGAGGATATGGGTTGGAAAGAGCCGAATGGGCGCCCTGAGTAATTGGCGAGCAACGCGGGAACCCATCTTGTCTTGACCCAACAAACCTGGTTAGCAAAGTACCTTTCCATGCACCCTCCATTGTGTGCGGAGTACATCCTCGTACCTTTTTCTCACTACGTGGTTTTTGTTGTCTATGCATTCGCAAACAAACTCTTCCCCACATACGACGACCCGCTCGTGGAGGTTTTTAGGGGGCGAAAGAAAAAAAAATCCGAATCCCTCTCTCTCTTTTTTTCATCTCTTTCTTCATTCCATCTCTCTCATCGCATCCTGATGTACTCTTCTCTTGAAACAGGGGGGCGCTGAAACTGCTTGCTACGTCGTATACGAATCTTTTCCACAAAAGGACTAAACTAACGGCCTAATGGCCTGATTATCATTACTAGAATACAACGCCGACGGCAAGGACAACTATCGCAAATCCCTGCCAGCAAAGTCGCGTCAGTCCACTGGAGCAATCATTCCCCAGGTGCCCTACTCTTGGATCCAATCTCAAACCCCTGACCAAAGCCAGCAACAACAGCCACAGCACGAACAGGGCTCCAGGAAGCAGTCGAGGCAAGGTTTCCACGAACAGGAACACCACGCGAGTCAGTTCCAGTACGAGCAGCAGCTGCAATACCAGCAGGAGGACGCCTTTAGACAACAGTACTATCAACAGCAGTTTCTTCAGCAACAGCAGCCGCCCCAAACCATGGACATTGCTCAGTATCGGACGCACGTTCAGCAGCAGGGCTCTTCTTCCCCACATCGCCGCGGTCAGAGCTCTGGGTGAGTGTGGGATCTGGGTCATGAGCACATTAATGTGGTCGTGCATATTTGTTGTACCCGAGTGCGCCTTTTTGGCGTGTATGCCTCGGACCACGAGTAGGTTCTCTTCATCTTTACACTGCTAATCATACTCAACCACTTGCTCACCCGTGTCTAGGTCGGACATGCCCATGTCTCCCAATCCTCCGTTGACGCCGTCGTCCATATCCAACTCGGATGGCTCTCCTATGACGACCTTGACGAGTCCCTTGAGTTCTGGCAGGAATAGTTCAGGACAGCATGTGCAATACCAAAGACAGTCGGCGCAAGCACCTCCATCGCCTGCATCTAGTGCCCACTACCGCAGCAAGTCTTATTCGTCTGGGCCTATACCCCTCATTATCCCTTTGGAATCATCACCGAAATTAGCGGAGCAGGGATCCTCACCTTTATCAAAGCACCATTCGACCCAGGGAAGTCTGACACCCTCTCGTAAGAGCACTATTGATGCCCCAACTCCTCGGGACCATTACAGGCGCTCAGAATCATACAATACTCTCCAGTCACGGACGTTGCAAAAGAACAACGACAGCACGTCAGATCTGAACTCGGGAGCGTACGCCACCTCCACAGCGGCGCCTCCTCAGGACCCAACTACGCCAGCAGACCCTTCGAACGGCGCTGAACAAGCGCTAAACAAGCGGGATTCTTGGAGAGAGCAGGAGCAGTATTTGCTACAGCTGCAGCAGCGAGATCATCAGACACGGGCAAAGCACAAGCGGGAGAGTTTTTACGCTGCCTTCCAGAACGGCAACGGCACCAGCGCCAACAACATCAACGGAAACGGAACCAACGGCACTGCCGACCTTGCCAACGATGAGCCGAAGCAAGCCTCAAAGACGCCCCCGAGAGCTGCATCGCCTCATCTTCCTAGTGGCATCCCCCAGCTTAGAACAAAGTCTAGGAGCGGGATCCCCTCCACTCCCACTGCTGAATTCAAAGGTCGTCCTACGCCTCCACCTCGCTCAAGATCGCGCACCCCCGCTGGCAGCTCAGGACCATCCATCCAAACAATCGACCCTACGCCTCAGCAGCCACAGATGCCACGACAGTATTCTGGGGAGCTTCATTCGATTCTGCGAAAGTCTGTTGCCGTGCCAGAAGATCTATCAGCATCTATGCAGCGTGCAGAACAGCACCGATCGCCAGTATCATCGACACCCAACAGCAAATCCGGAACTCCGCTACCACAAACAGCAGACACCATCCCAGTTCCAGTTGCAGACATGACCAAGCACCTGAGCTCGCTGGATCTTAAGGAAGCAGCGCCAAAGGTCGTACGGGTACCCGCAACAGCACCCGTGCCTGCTTCGCCCGTGACAAAAAGGCAATCTATCGTGGGTAGTTTGAGCGGTTCAAATCGCCGAAGCATCGTTTTCGACACATCCAATACACCTGTTCGTACGACTGCAAACGGAACTGCGAACGGATCAGAGAGTAGCGTGGGAAGGATGAAGGATGTAGGCGTGATGGTGTCTGGCGGCAGGGAGAGGACGTCTATATTCTCTAGTGGCAGCAGCAGCAGCAACAACGCTCAGTCAAGCGTCACCCGCAAGCGAGGAAAGGTAAAGTGTTTCATCTGTGCATCTCTCCCTCAAGATGTCTATGCTGTAGAGGTTGAAGCATATGGTATACTAATAACTTTGTATTATTGACAGACATTGTCCGCTATGGACCCTCCCAAAGCCAAGCCTGCGCCAACAATCCTTCCTCCCATGTATATGTCGACGACCTCAAGGTCCAGTAACGTTTCGGCACCAATGGCTTCGCGAGCTGCCGGATCTATGATCCCAAGTCCCTCTGGCACATCTCGCGGAGGCACCGTGACACCCAGGGAGGCGTCGTCTAAGATCGGCTCCAGAGTACTGGCTATTGAATCTTCCGCTCAAGATTTAAAATACCTCCGCCGTGGCAGTGGCAGCACCATATCATCCTCCAAGGCTTCGACGCTTGCTGCCAACAATGCGGAGAAACCAAAGAATGCCAGAAGCTTTTCGAGTGGACTGCTGAGTGGATTGAGTCGACGTCGCTCAGTTGTGGACACTCTGACCATCTCAACAAACAGCGGGTCGACGGCAGGCGATGGCTCCTTAACGCCTAAACATTCCTCTCACTCAAAGTCGGCTTCTGGACCAATGTCTGCCAGAGTTCCAACTACCTCCAGTCATTTGCTGAACCAGTCAGAGTCGAAGAGGACACCGACGAGCGAACTTCGGACACCAACTGCACGATCTTCTCCCTCCATGCAGACCAAAGCCTCCTCGAGTTCGGCCAATATCTCAAATCCAATCAATGCCTATCCACCACCATTGTACGGACAAGGTGGTAGTGCATCATCTGAATCCAAGTCCTCGAGAAGCACGACCTCAGGCGTCAGTCCGTTCCCACCACTGTCGCCTTATGCTGCCTTGAAGCTGTATGCACCTTACTTGAGCATGTATGAGCGTGCTGAAATCAGCGACTATCCACAGGTCTACTACGTGGGCCAAAATTGCCGACACAAGAAGCCGGCCAGCATGGAGGCCAGCAACAGCAATTTCGGTAAGTGCAGTTTGATATCGTCGTTGGCAACGCTAGTAATCATGTGCATGAAATATTAAAGGTGACTATGTCTTTTTCTCATGGTCCTTTTTTTTTTTTTTTTTTTTTTTTTTTTTTTTTTTGTTTAGGTTACGATGATGAGCGCGGAGATTACCTGATTGTGAACCATGACCATCTTATGTATCGTTATGAGGTCCTGGACATGTTGGGCAAAGGATCCTTTGGGCAGGTCGCCAAATGCTACGACCACAAGACGGGCGAATATGTCGCTATTAAGATCATCAGAAACAAGAAGCGTTTCCATTGCCAGGCAGTTGTTGAGATCAAAATCCTTGACAATCTAAACAAATGGGTATGTAGTTGTTTTGTGTATCTTTTTTGGTATCTGCAGCCGTTTCTACCGATTACTGACCACCTCCTACTCCATCTCTTTTACGCTTTCAGGATCCCGAGGCCAAACATAATTTGATCCGCATGACCGACAACTTTTACTTTCGCAACCATCTCTGCATCGCAAGTGAACTGCTTTCTATCAATCTTTACGAATTTATCAAGAGCAACTCTTTCCAAGGGTTCAGTCTTGGACTCATTAAGAGGTACAGCTTTTTACTTTTATTTTATTTTTTGCTGCTTTTGACGCGTCGCTACTGTGATAGATGCACTAATTATGGTGCTTCATGACAATCGATTATAGATTTTGTACGCAATTGCTGCAGTCATTGGATTTGCTCACCAAGCACAGCGTCGTGCACTGCGATCTCAAACCTGAGGTAACGTTCATAGTCCATTATAAATGTCCTCGAAGACTTAATCACCAGTGCCCTTGATGCTAACGTCGAACTTTACTTTTGTCTGGCAAACAAATAGAACGTGCTGCTGAAGCATCCTACAAAGTCCAGTATCAAGGTCATTGATTTTGGAAGCAGTTGTCTCGAAAACGAAAAGGTTTACACCTATATCCAGTCGCGCTTCTACCGTTCACCCGAGGTCATTTTGGGCATGTCGTACAACATGGCGATCGACATGTGGTCCTTGGGATGTATTCTCGCAGAGCTGTACACAGGATACCCTCTTTTCCCTGGCGAGAATGAGCAGGAACAACTTGCTTGCATCATGGAAATCCAGGGAGTTCCAGATCGATACCTCATTGAGCGGGGCACTCGCAAGAAGGTGTTTTTTGGTATGTTCGCGAGCACGTTCTATATGTATCGCCGTTCACACCCGCCAAATATGCTGAGCAATGAACTAATTGACATAAACATTTTCATTATTTAGATCCTCTTGGAAACCCGAAATTGGTCGTTAATTCAAAGGGCAAGAAGCGCAGGCCGGGCTCAAAGACCTTGGGGCAGGCCCTCAAGTGCAGTGACCCGTTGTTCCTTGACTTTATCTCCCGGTGCCTTATCTGGGACCCTGAGAAGCGCATGAAGCCGCGGGAGGGACTGCAGCATGAGTGGATCTCGGACATCCGCACTCCTGTACGCTCTCTTTTCAGTCCGCCTCCTGCCTCTGATACCACTCTGAATAGCAGCATCAGTAGCAACGGTTCATTGTCTTCTCGGCGCCGTAGCTCGATGTAAGTTTTTCCAGGACATGTGTCCCTTTATTCACTTCGATACGCTATGACTTCAATGCTGGAACAGCCGCTAAAACGCTTTTTGTATTATTCAACATCTAGTTTCTCGGGTCAAACTTCGAGCTCATTCTCGTCGCGTCCACTTAAGGTTAAGACTGAGTCCGATGCCGGCAATTCATCATCTGGGTCGATCCGTTCAGGACGTAGCCATGTCAGTGCCAGCATTCCGACTTACTCTGGTAGTAGCGCAAACCAGAGTTTCCACGCGAACAACAGTCAGGGATCGGTCTATAGCCACCACGGATCGTCCTCGAGCAGCCATTTGGATGTGTCGAATGGAAGCAAGTATGGATCGCACTATACCAGTCTCTATGCGAACCCTACGTCCTCCTCGTCAGCACACACGATCTCGGCTGCCTCGAGGAGACTGACTGTTGGAGGTGGAGGTGACATGTCTGGTTCCGGCTCCGGCTCGTTCTATGGTGGATCGCCGTCGTCGTCGAGAAAGAATACAACGAGTATGTACGTAACAGGTTCGAATACGATTGGAGTTTCTTCTGGCGCAGAATATTTGCGCCAGGCGAATGCCAGTTCGAACACACGAAGCAACCGAGCTTAATCAGGAAGAGGAAGGGTTGATGATATGTATTTTTGAAGAAGGGTGCGCAAGATGTATTGTAATAAAACGGAGGTGTGTAAGATGTCAAGACGGGCTTTCATAGTCCCGATCATGCTTTGTATAAATGCTTTCAATTTCGCATGCGATCATGTTTAAGATGGTTGGTTTTCTGTATCATGAGCGTTCTTGCTGGCACAACTGTCCTTCCTTGATCTTGTTCAGTGTTGGCAGCTTTGGGAGAAAAAGTGAGATCAAAAGGTGACATTCCAAGACGGGATCGTCGGCTTTAAAACGCAAACGTTTTTTTTTTTTTTTTTTTTTTGCTTTGTTTTATTCCTTTTTGGCTGGTTGGGGTTGCTTGATGCATGTTTGTTGTTGAAGGATCGTCCATTATTTAACAAATACAAGAAATTGTGGTCTCTCTCTCTACTTGGCTCCACCCATCATCTCGGCGTTGGCCTCTGCGAATCTCTGACCGACACGCTCCGAGTGCTTCAAGAACTTATCGGCGCACTTTTGTACGCAGCCCTCCTATGGAAATATCGAAAATAGGTAGGTGATGTTGATTCAATGTTATGTTACGTTAATTGATGAGGAGAGGGGTTTGGGCTTGTTGCTAGCTGTTGTCTTTCTCTCTCTCTCACTCTCACACACACACACAAAAGAGAAAGAAAGAAAGAAAAAGCAGCATAGGTCAAGGATCAAGATCTTACCTCTTTTGAAGTGAGGGTCTTGGAAGTAAAGTCGTTGACGCAGTCCGTGAAGCAGCGCTCGACGAGTCCACTGTAGAGCTTCAAGAAGTCCTTCATCTATGATAGAGAAAAATGTCATCCGATAGAACATAGGACGTAGAGCGCTGTCCGTTAGTCGTCGTTGTAGTTCTTATAGTTCCACAATGCTCAGTGCCCTTCTCCTTCGCAAGCGTAGGTTCGTCCCGCGCATATGTATGTGTGTGCGTATGCGTTCCCCCACGACGTAGTATGTTCTACGACTCGGCTGGAAGTCTACTGCCCCGTTATAGTATGCTGGTCAGGTAATAAAAAAAAGAAAAAGAAAAAAAGAGTCTCTTTCGCGTACCTGCTTCTGCTCCATGACACGCTGAAGGTGGTTGCGCTCGGCATCGTTGAATTGCGAAAAGTCCATGGTTATTGTAGTTGTTGTTGTTGTTACTGTTACGGTTGCTGCTGCTGCTTCTGGGCGGAAGTGGGTTGATGGGTCTTGAGGGTGGAAGAGCGGTGGGGAGGATGTAGGTGAAATGGGCGATCTTTTTCCGTCCTGTTTGTGATGGTGGCTTGGGTTTCTATTGGATCGTCCCCCACTCCCCTACCCTCATTCTCTTTGTATAGTTTGTGTTTGTGCTTCTTCAATCAATTTTGCATACTTCCTGATCACCTCTACACATCTCGCGAGACTCGGGACATGAAAAACTCGGACTCGGATAACAAGAAGTAAGAACCAGCGCTGTTTCCTTGCCTCTCGACTTTTGGCTGTTGTTTGTTGATGCTGCTGGGGGGGGGGGGGGGGGTTCGCGATGATTATACAGAGATATACTCTTAAAGGAATATACAGCTCTCTCTCTCACTAGCAGAGCATTACGACCCATACTAGAAGTAAAAGCCGTTTAGATGTCTGAAACAACGCTTTGGAGAGAGGAAAAAAAGCAAGCAATTGTTTTTTTTTTCTTTTACTCCCGGGTAGACTTCAGGCACTGAAGGGTTTATTTGCTTTTGAGGTTTTCTTTGCTTTGGTTTGCGGTGACAGATGAAGTTGGTCCTTAATGATTACGACATTTGTCTAATCTTCTCTATGAGCGAGCCCCGTACTTGGAAGAATGGAATAGCTCTTTATTTTTTAATACCATGTTATTAATCGCACGTTTTCAGTCCCTGTTTTCTTTCTCTCTTTCTTTTTATCTTGTAGGTCGGTGTCTGGGAAGAATTATTATAGGCGAACTGTTGGGATATGACTATAGGTCTACCCACGAATTCCTCGACAGTGTTTTATTTTGTTTTATGAGAATAAAGAAGAACGCGTTCATGGAAAAGATAGAAGATTGTGTGTATGTGTTCCAAAAGATCTGCCTATGCTAAAATAGTTCTAGTGATATTCAAACGCTCCAACCCTACAGGCTTACCAGTTACTAGCGAGTACCCATGATTTCATTGGCCCTGGCTTGATTTTGTTGTAAGGCTGGAATGTGGGCATGACCTGGATATCTCTTGCAACGGCGATTTCAGGTACCGCCTCCACATCCACCATTACAAACACGGTATCGGCTTGGCTGAAGGAAGGAATCAGTCGAGAAAGTATGCAGCCGCCTTCCAGGGTCGTTTGCGGCCTAACGCTTGCTCAGGGTTGATGAACTCCTGCAAGGAGTGGACTCGGTAGTGAGATGCTGTGCCTTTGGCAAAGAGAACAAACACGCTTGTCCGCTGTGTTTCTGTGCGCATACATTTTCGATTCAAAAAGGAACACGACGAGGCAGTCACTTTCAGCAACAAACAAAACGCTTTTTTTTTTTTTTTTTCTGTGAGAACTGTTCAAACCGTTGGCCGCCTCTCAATCATTCCCCTTTGTCGGTTCATCCTCACTTTATACCACCACATCTACTCATATAGACACCATTCATAATGTCGAAGCGAATTCAGGATAACGACGAGGACATGCGCGAGGCAAAGTCCGCCTTCAACGTCGGAAACCGCCACACGGTCGAGGACGAGGGCATGGGTGAATTCGAAGATCCCTGGGAGGACGAGGTCGAGAGCGACCAGGAGGTGATTATCGAGAACGACGACGACGATGAAGATGGTAAACAACTAGCTATGTGGTACCCTTTGCTATTCATCTTTTATGAGCTTATCTAGTTCTACTGGGCTAACATCTCCATTCTTCACTCGTTTATTGTTTTTATTGAACCGGATAGGCATGGATTTGGACCAAGCCAATGAGATGGATCAGGACAAGGAAGAGGATGGCAAGGATATCCGTGTGTACTTGCCCGGTCAGGCCCTGGAGAAGGATGAGGTTCTGGAGGCCGATCAGTCTGCTTACGAGATGTTGCACAGCATGAACGTCAAGTGGCCCTGCCTCAGTTTCGATATCCTTTGGGATCAATTGGGCGATGAGCGCTGCACATTCCCTGCCACGGCCTATGTTGTCACTGGAACCCAGGCTGACCTGGCTCAAAACAATGAGGTCCTGGTCATGAAGATGAGTCAGCTGGCAAAGACCAAAAACGACGATGGAAATCTGAGCGACGACGACAGTGATGATGAGGAAGTGGACGAAGACCCCATTTTGGAGTACAAGAGCATGAAGCACCAAGGAGGCGTCAACCGTATCAGAGTAAGCAAGCATGGCAATTATTGTTTTGGTTCCCCTACGACTTTTGATTTCCGGAATCTGACTAGGATAGCTCTCATTGCTGGCAAAATCGTAGGCTATGCCTCAGCGCGATCAGCAGATTGCTGCCACATGGGCTGATACCGGTAAGGTCCACATCTGGGACTTGGCGCCTCATATCCGCGCTCTGGACCAGCCTGGATCGGTGATTCCTGAATCTGCCAAGAAGCCCATCTACACGGTTGAGTCGCACGGACGGACCGAAGGTTTTGCAATGGACTGGTCCGAGACTGTTCCTGGACGCTTGTTGACTGGAGACTTGAACGGCAAGATTTACATGACGACGCTGAACTGCTCAACAGGCGCAGTCACACCTGACCGCGTACCATTTGTGGGTCACCAGAGCTCGATCGAGGATTTGCAGTGGTCGCCCTCGGAGAAGGGAGTGTTTGCTTCGTGCTCAGCAGATCAGACGGTCAGGATCTGGGATATTCGTTCCAAGAAGCGTGCAGGTCTGGTGGCTAAGGTCCATACGTCGGACGTCAATGTCATCAGCTGGAACAAGTAAGTTTCGAGTGCGATTTTGAATGCCTTATGTACCTGCAGTTGATCCGCATCTGTTTGTTGACATCAGCATTTTCTTGCGTGTATTTAGGAAATTGCCATACATGTTGGCTTCTGGATCAGATGATGGCGTGTTCAGTGTGTGGGATCTCCGTCAGCTCAATGAGAATGCCACCAAACCCACACCCATTGCAACGTTCAAGTGGCACCAGGCACCTATCACATCGATCGAATGGCACCCCACAGACGAGTCCGTGCTGGCGGTCGCTGGTGCGGACGATCAGATCACGCTCTGGGATTTCTCTGTAGAGCACGACGCAGAGGAGACGTTGAACGGAACAAGTCAAAAGGCGATTGTGAACGAGGCTGGCGTTGAGGTCCCCCCACAACTGATGTTTGTGCACCAGGGTCAACAGGATGTCAAAGAGTTGCACTGGCATCGTCAGATCCCTGGATGTGTCATTTCAACAGCAGAATCAGGGTTTAACATCTTCAAGACCATCTCTATCTAATTTCCTCCACGACTGTTGCTTTTTTTTTTTTTTTTTTTTTGACCGACGATACACCGTACCCTACACCTCTGGCACCACTCTTTGGTCCGCAAGACCGAGAGTCAAATCTAGTTATTCTCCTTCCATCCAGCATTTTCACATACTCACAACCAACAACATTATTTTACAAAATGAAGATACAAACGCAGACAACAAATGCCTCTATGCAACTAATGATGATTATGAGCCGTTGGAGTGCGGGTGTGGACGTAGGGTAAGCCCCTGAAGCCCGAATCATTGGCGAGTCGGCGACCCAAAACAGGGTATTTTAGTCTACACGTGATCGATAACTCTGGGTATAAAGAGCGGGCCATGAAAATGGTTGATCTTCCACTCATTCCATCTCCACACTCCCCTCTCATAACCAACCATGTTCGCTTCTAAGGCCTCCCCTGTCATCCGCCAGGTAGGACAGACCTGCCCTCTACCTCACTAGCGACTCGAATGATCTCTCAGAAAGAGTAGTTGAAACTGATTCTCGTCCCTGATCTCACTTGCCTTAGATTCGCTCGTATGCTACTGGCAAGACCCTCAATGTAAGCGTGGGAAAAATCAGGGGGAAGGGGCATGGAGCCGTTCAGGTCCAGGAACACATCCATGCATACCTGACCGTTTACTAATGCTCATGGGTTCCTGTCTTCTTTTTTTCTTTTTCTTTTTTTTTTTTTTTGCTGTTGACAGGAGGTTGTCATCGTCAGCGCAGTCCGCACTCCTGTCGGCTGCTTCAACGGCGCCTTGAAGAAGTTCACTGCCCCTCAGCTCGGATCCATTGCCATCCGCGGTGCTATTGAGAAGGCCGGTATGTCATTTCGAGCGCAGGATGTAAAAAATCATGAATGAAGGCAACAATGCCATGAAAACCTCCCTTGGACCTTTGTCATGCGCAGTTCTGCACTACTCCCTGTTCTTCTTTTGGTGGTCATCAATAATGCTTTCCGTTCCCTCCCCTGACTTTTTTTTTTTTTTTTTGTTTGCACCTTTCTTTCGAAACGAAAACATAGGCATCAAGGCTGATCAGGTTGAGGAGGTGTACATGGGAAATGTCCTCCAGGCCAACGTGGGCCAGTCCCCCGCTCGCCAGGCTGCCTTGGGCGCCGGATGCCCCCTCGAGACCGAGGCCACGACCATCAACAAGGTCTGCGCTTCTGGAATGAAGGCCGTCATGCTCGCTGCCCAGGGTCTCCAGACCGGCGCCCGTGATGTCATGGTCGCTGGAGGCATGGAATCCATGTCCAATGTTCCGTAAGTTGGCTCTTCTTGTTGTTCTCGCAGTGGGCAGTGATCTGACATGTGATTACGGTGAGTCTTTTGTGCACACGGACTAATTGGTATTTCTTTTTATGGCCTTGCCGGTATGTATACGAAAAATAACAACAGATATTACGCTCCCCGCAACGCTGGATACGGCCACCAGACCATGTCCGATGGAATCATCAAGGATGGTCTCTGGGACGTCTATAACCAGTTCCAGTAAGCATCTGCAGCTTTTCCATGACCCGATTGATAGATCTATTTTAGTTTGAAAGCAATGGCTAACATCTCCATCTTCCTCATGTTTTTTTATCGTGCATCTTGTTCCTACCAGCATGGGTAACTGCGCTGAGAACACTGCCGAGAAGCTGAAGATCACCCGTGAGCAGCAGGATGCCCACGCTGTCGAGTCCTACACCCGCGCCGCCAAGGCCTGGAAGGATGGCGTCTTTGCCGAGGAGCTCATCCCCGTTGTGATCAAGGACAAGAAGGGTGACAAGACCATTGCTGAGGATGAGGAGTACAAGAACGTCAAGTTTGACAAGATCCCCTCTCTCAAGCCCGTCTTCCAGAAGGAGGGGGGCACCGTCACTGCTGCCAACGCCTCGTCCCTGAACGACGGTGCCTCAGCCCTGGTTCTCATGACCCGCGCCAAGGCCGATGAACTCGGCGTCAAGCCCCTGGCCCGCATCTTGTCCTTCGCGGACGCCGCCGTTGCTCCCGTTGACTTCCCCATCGCACCATCGGCTGCTTTCCCCAAGGCCCTTGAGAAGGCTAACCTGAAGATCGAGGACATTGATTTGTTTGAGTTCAACGAGGCCTTCTCGGTCGTCGCTTTGGCCAACAACCAGATCTTGGGATTGGATCCCAAGAAGGTCAACATTGCTGGTGGCGCCGTCGGTTTGGGACACCCTATTGGTTCCTCAGGCTCGCGTATCCTCGTCACCTTGACGCACTTGTTGAAGAAGGGTCAGAAGGGTGGTGCTGCCATCTGCAACGGTGGTGGTGCTGCCTCTGCCATTGTTATTGAGCGCCTTTAAGGACGAGGTCGATATCGACAGCATCGAAGTCGCAGCATTTTTGTACATGAATAAAAGTAATCCCCACTCATTAGAAAAAAAAAAAAAAAAAAAAAAGTACATTACTGTTGATTTACTTTGTGTCAGGTATTCACAAGAAGGATGCTTTTATTTATAATGACGCTCCTTTCAGTTCGTTTTCCCGTTCTCATTGCCTGTCCCAGACGATGACCAGGGCCAGATCCATATATCATTCCTGCTGTGCGTCAGAATTGCATTCGTATCTTGATCCTGATTCCGATCCTGACGCCAGCAACTGCAACCGCTTTGCTTAGGCAATGTTGGCCAAATAATCCTTGACCTCGCTTGGCGACAATTTCCTGAATTCTGGCAAGACAACGGAGCCATCATCCTTGGTAGAAACGACTCCTGTGATGACACCGATCTCGATGGTGTTTTCTGTCATCTGGCCCTCGAACCCTTCCTTGAGTGTCAAGATAGCGGTGTGGATGGCATCCTCGAGCTCAATGTCCTCATTGTATCGCTTCTCCAAGAACGTCTTTGCATTGACCATGTTCTTGCCGATGGCCGTGGCCTTCCATGGCCAGTATGAGCCTGAAGGATCGACCTGGTACAGCATAGGACCGCTCTCGTCAAATCCTGCGATCAACAATGATACACCGAATGGACGCACACCACTGAGTCATTATCCCCATCGGAAAAGAAAAAATGGTGGTTAGCAAGTTAGCAAGGACGTTGAACGCAATATATACCTTTGCAGAAGTTAACTAAGACGACATATCGTCTTTGGAGTCACGGTATACAGTAGATCGAGGAAGGGGGGGGGGGGCTGCTACTACTGCTTACCCAGACTGTGTGAACTCCTGCATGACGCTGGCGATTTCCTTGACGAGGATGGCGGTGGGTGGTTCCTCCATGTAGACTCTCTTGTAGGCCTGAGCAGCCTTCCTTGCCTTGTTGACGAGCACACGGTAGTCGGGACCCATGCCCGAGTAGACCATTCCAATGTTGGAGCTGATAATCGCGACCTTTTCGAGCGAGGAGTCGTCAATGAGTGTCGAGACCGCCTTTTTCTCTGTCGCGACCACGATTCCGTTGGTTGCTATCCAGAGAGAGAAAGAGGAAGAAGGGAGGAGCGAGATCGAAAGGTTAGAAGAGGTGGGTCTGATTATGGGCATTGGTGTTTGAGATATTAATGAAAGCGGATCCAATTGCTTGAGGAATACAAAGCATTGGCGCGTGTTTCGCTGAACCTGAAGACGTGTCCAGGTCTATGAGAAGGGCGAATAGCAGTAAAAGGTAACGTGTTTTTATCTTTTTCTTTTTCTCTTTTTGTTCCTTTCGTACCTTTGATGCCGATGGAGGTGACACCGGAGTTGACGGCACTGAGGGCATACTCGATCTGAACCAACTTTCCAGAGGGCGAGAAGGTGGTGAGGGAGAATGAGTATCGGTCGGCCATGTTATGTATGCGTATGTGTTATTGATATGTCCAAAAGTGTCGAGTGGTGTCAGGAAGTCGGCAGCAATAACGAGGATGTCCTTCGAAGTTCGATGGAGAAGGAGTTGGGTCGAGTCGAGTCGAGTCGAGTCAAGTTGAGCTGAGTGATGGTGAAGGAGGTGATTGGAAGGACAAAGAGGTGTGAATGTGGGATTCAAAAGTAAGTCATGGATGGACCTTCGTCTGCAGACGTTAGCCCACATACGCGTTCCCTCCCTCTTTCTCGCAGACGCGGCACAGACACTGTGTGAATGTGTGTGTAAGAGAGGGAGAATTGGATCTGTCATGGAACATATTCCTATCGCGTCTACTGCGGCAGCTCACATTCACCCTGGATATAAAAGGATGTTTGTTCCTGGATTCGAAAGACAGGGTGGGCAAAGCCCATCTTCTCGTTTGGGTGCTGTTACGGTGCTAATTCATACTAATATACAGGCACAACAACATCTCTTTAGCCGTTGAAAGAAAATACCTACAGAGGTAAAGGGTTTCCCTTCAAGGGACAGGCCCCACATCCTGTGGATTTTCCTTGGCTGGTATCAGGGGAGGTGTATTAGACTACTACAGCCCACTCGTTTTTTTTCTTTGAACCCCAGCCCTGCTCCGCTCTCTGATTCTTTTATTTGACGCTCTGCTTCTTCTTCCTTCTCATTCACTTCCTCCATCCCCTTCTCGCATGATCATTCACTTTTGCATCATTTGTCGGTAGCACTCATCCACACTTTAGAGTATGAGATCGAAACTCAGGTCCTCAACTATCTCCTCGCTCTCCCTCCTCCTCCCCTTCCTCCTGCTCTCCTTAATACTCTTCACCACCCATGCAAGTCTCCTTGACCAATGCGCCTTTTCCATAGCGGCCCTCTTCGTCGACCCACACGTAAATGAATGCATCCCGATCGCTCCTCTCGCCCAGCTTGCCAACGGCACGGATGTGACCCCAAAACTCGTCAATGACACCTCAACGACCTTTTGCGCCATGCCCTTCTGCAGCGCCCCAACCGTTTCCTTGATGGAGAACACCATGAACCAGAACTGCGCCGAGACCACGGACGACATTGATTCCAACCACTGGTTTTACGGGTTCGCCTCACTCTACGTCCCCTTCAAACAGGGCATGTGTCAACGAGTCCAGACCCCGCCGACGAATGGAACCTTCTGCGTCACGCTACTCACGGAATCCTTGAATGCTTATGTGGCAAAGCATCCGAATAAGAAGGGATGGGACATCTTGGCGAACTCGACAGAGATGCAGCAGTACGTGGATGGGATACCAACATCGATGCTGTGTACGGCCTGTAACAAGGCCATGATCAATCCATTAATGAATTTTGTGGAGGTAAGACAGTTGGCACTCGATCCGGTCGTGGTTTCATGGGCGAGCTCCTTGGGAAACGGGATCCAGGAACGATGTGGAGAGGACTTTTTGTCACACATGCCTCCGCTTGCACAGCAGTCGCTGACCCCGAATGATGCATATGCATTGAGGAGCTCTTCTTCTTGGAGGAGGTCGTCATTACCGGCGGTATGGATCGCCGTCTTGTACCTTAGCACTGTGATACCCTAAAAAATAAAAAATAATAAAAACAAATAAAAAAACATTGAAAGATTAATAAATTATCAGCTCTTCATTGGACTCATGAGAAATGAAACGATTCTCACTTTTGGTGCGATGTATCCTGAAGATCGCAGGGATACTTGGTGAAGCCCATATCTATAAAGACGATAGCCCAATGGACAGCGTATGCGCATAATGATACCTGAGCCATGGGCGCAAGAAGAAAGAAATGGGTGATCCTAAAAAGAATACATAGCTTGCCCGTTGTCGTGCATTGCCGCGACCATCTCACCCCTGTTTTGTAAAACAAACTCGTAGCCTTTCATGGATAAGAATACTATACAATGCTTCGCTGGGGTCTTTATTATGAATACTTAATGGTAACTATGCCTGCAACAAAGATGAGAATGAATGGTATGAATGGTATGGATGATTGATGATCGAAAGACTATAAACATTAAGCAATTACGAGGAGGGAAAACTGGAAGGAAAGCCCTCTCTGTACAAAGGGATCGCGACGGATAAAAAAAACCCCTCTTCATGACATGGTCTTTGCAATACGCTCTTTGGCTGGAATGAAAGAACTCGAGAAATCCAAGTTGACGTTCTTCATCTCCGCTTTAACTGCTGGACCTCCGTTCTTCGCCTCCTGCTTTAGACGCGCCTGTCTCCTGGCCTCGACGGCCGCCGCCAGTGCCGCCTTGGCCTTGGCCTGCTTTGGCGTCAACTGATCCACAGGAATGGCGGCCAACATCGAGCCCAGCGACTGTGGATTACTGCCATTGGTCTTTGCCGTTGTCGACGATGTCGCCGTTGCTCCTGTCGAGACCGAGGATGAGGACGAATTGTTCGACAAGGCTTTGCTCAATGCCAAAGGACTCGACTTGTAATTATCCTCGTTCGGGTTGACCTTGACATCCGTGCCAAACGAGCATCCATAAAAGTCTGCTTGTGGGTTCGGTTTCCGGGGCTTACTGTTCGAATTCTGGGTCTCGTTGCTAGATTTGGAGTTGATCGACCGCGAATCCGGCAAGGTCTTGTTGAAGCTGCTGCCGCTGGTTTTGGGGCCGGCTCCAAGATTGTGCCCTGAGGAATCTGAAGAGATCGAGCTAGCGTACTCGCGCAGGGGCAGCAAATCGCCTATTGCCTGGGAGGGGTCGTACAGGCTCTTGTTGACAATATCGACAGCCTGACGCATGGTCTCCATCCAATAGTCGCGCTCCTCTCGGCTCCTGCAGCGCATCATTTGTTTGCGTCCTGCGTTGGCGATTTGGATACAGTTGGGGAGCTGTGGGAGTGTCACATTGTCCTCAGGGTTGTTGATCTGCGTCTTAGCCAAGTCGAACATTCCCTGTAAAAAGATTAAAAGGATCAGACAAAATGAACGTTTGTCAGCACAGAGATCTTAGAAATACAACATTGTATTAAATCATTATAAGACGCAGACATCGCCATGCTTACCTTGAATGTGTAGGTATTCTTCTTAGGATCAAACCGCGAGTACAGCAGGACATCGTTCATGAGATAATATGTTCGAGGTTCCAGTGCCAGGGACGAGTCAACCTTATGTAAATCTGCTCGCAGAATCAGGCGACGTTTTGGGATCATGATGGGCTCGGGTAACCCTATCGTATTGGATTGGATTTCCCAGAGCGCCAGCTGGTCCTGCGCGACGAGCCGCTCGCCCCTGAGCTCACTCGCAACAATGTTGACTATGTCCAAAGCTCTCATCAGATTCAAGTAGTCTGGATGGCTGGGCTGGGTTGCTTGACAAATAGCAATGATCATATCTCTGTAGGTGGGGAGACGCCCCAATGGGAAAGCAAGCATGAGATGCAGACTGGCTGTGCCTGGAGGATTGTCGATTGCACATTGCTGTGAGGGAAAATCGGAATACAAATGTCAGTCCAAAGGTCTTTATCTCTACCATCGTAGTCCGTCAAATTGCCACCACAAAAATCTACCTCTATGAATTTTTTGTATTGCGTTGTACGCGAGATACGGTCAAGAACCGTCAAAGCTCCATGGAAGTTGGAAAAATATTTGCTGTAGATCCTGAACTTTGGGATCTATTAGTTTCAAACGGATTGGCAAAAGTAAGGAATGGTTCTTTGCAAGGACCTTCAGAGCATGCAATGTTCTCCATCCACTCACAATATTGATGAACAGGTCACTTATGATCTGCGTGGGTCCCCAGATCTTGGATCGCTCTTCCAGCATCGACCGGATGTCCTCGTGGAGTTCGATCAGCTGCTCCAGATTGCCGAAGAGTGCTTCGATTTCTTGCTTTGTCGCCACAGCCTTGGGACTCGAGGACGAACCCAAGAGTCCGGTCTTCTTGGAGTTCTCTGCGTTCTGCAAGTTCAACAGGAAGGGCTTTTGGTAGCATGACTTGATCTCCTGCAGCGATCGTAGGTAGTCCTCCTCAGAATCGTACAAATGGCGCACCAGGGACTCGCGCTGGAGGTGTGTTCTCTCGGCTTCAATCAGCTGCGACTCGTTGAAGCGCTCTATTTGGGGAGCACAGCAATCGCGATTCGAATCAGTGGAATGAAAAGAAGAAAGAAGGGTCCCCAAAAATAAAAGGCAGTTTAGCCTCTGTTATCTCGTATCTCCATGTCTGTGCTCAATCTGTGTGCAACCGAATGATTACAAAAAACGCACCTGCGCCCTGAAAATCGTCGTGCGCAAGATCATCATCTCCAAAATAGTCCAGCAAGTCCTCGACAATCGCTAATGATTCCGACATATCAAATGCGCCCAGTGCGAATCCTGTGTTGGTCGTCATCTTGACGGTCATGTTAGGATCCGTCTGGCGGCCAGCCTGTGCAAGTTTGTCGCGCAGGATCTGTTTCTGCATGCGTCGACGGTCCTCCATCTCTTCGTATTCTTCCTCTGTCATTCCATAAGGTACTCGGCTATTTTCTGGCTGCTGTTGTTGCTGTTCCAGTTGCTGTTGCTGATGGGAGGCATAGGCATGAGCACTCAAGGACTGGTAATGTTGGCTGTCTTGACGTGATGGGTATTGTGGTGTGCCGTTGGGATGCGAGGGATCCAGTTGACGGGGAAGGCCACCCATTGGCCCGATCTCGGTCGACGAGTGCTGAAGTGTGCTGCTGGAATCACTTGAGGCGATAGTTGAGTTTGAATAATAGGCCTGAGGAGTCATATCTGTTGCTGTTGCTGTTGCTGTTGTTGATGCCGGTTGCTGTACAGATGTGGATGTGTGCGAGCCGCGTCGAGGGGGTCTGACAGGTGGAGTTAGGGAGTGTTGTAGCTTCCCGTTCGCTGGAGGAGAGAGAAGCTGTGGTGGAATGCTGGAGTACGTCGTGGTGAAAAGATTGCGGAGAAGCCTGTGGTTAGGGCCTCTCTATGGTCGGTTGGGCTAGCTTCTTGTTTAGGTGTAGCCTTTGATGCTTATTGCTGTCGAAGGATATTTGCTGTATGACGATGCCGTGGGATATAATTACAAAAAAAAAAAGAAAGCGACAAGAGTAGGAGAGAACGAGAGAAAGAGTGGAGAATGGGATGGCACCAAGAGCGTTCTTCTTTCACAGGAGAAGGATGAATCCGGCAGCGAATGAAGGAAGCACGGAGGGGAAAGGAGCCGAGTCCGAGTGGTGGTGGTGATGAAGAGGAAGCTAGCCGATAGAGGAGGACGGGCGAGGAATGAGGATGGAGGGAGGGAAGAGGAAGAGACGAGGATAGGAGCGGGGGAATGTGACAGAATAAGATAAAGATTAGACGGAAGGCTAAAGAGAGACAAAAAGAAGAGAAGAATGAAGAAAAAGAAAAAGAGGAACGGGACCACGACGGAGGAAACGCCACAGGCAGTTTGGCCATTGGTCAACTGGCTCTGGCTACTTCGAACTCGAACTTTGGATGGATCTCCATGGGCTTGAAGAGTACGTTACACACCGCTTTCACTATTGTGCCCTATTAAATAACAGATAGGGAGGCTCGGATTGACTCGATCGAATGAGCACAACACCTGCTTAATGTACACACACGAGCAGTTCGTGGGCGGTTTCGCGCAAATGAACGAGAGAAAAAGTTGGGCCGGTAGGTATGAAGGATAGGCCATGAGCGAAATGCGCGGCCAAACAATCCCAACAGTCCTCTTGATAACATCTGCACTGTCCATCAAGGTACTATACTGCATTAGCTACAAAGGACGCAGAGAGGCTGAGAGTGACGACAATGGTGATCGCATACAGCATACAGCAGTGGATGATAGCTCGGGAAGGACAGGGGAACTAGCCGGTTAACGGAGAAGGAGAAAGGTACAGGGAAGTGCGCACAGAACGGCGACGACAACAACAAAAACACCAAATTCTATAATACACATGCATAAATAGTCTTCAAAAAAATACAACGTCAGCAAACAGGCAGATAGACAAGCGGCCAAAGGGAACTTTTTTTTTAATACAACAGTTCATTGTTTGCCGTCAGGGCTACATCCCTTCACGCGGGGGACGAAAAACAAAATTCTTTCTTTTGATTTGGCGTCAAAAGGCGGGGTAAAATTCGGGAGCCGACCGACAACTCGTAGACAGAACCGACTGAGTAAGCTGCCATTCAATCCCTGATGAGCACAAAGCTGTCTTTGTTAAAGGCTTGCAAACAGTGTTACATCTGCAGCGTCCACCATGGGACAAACCCGACCTTGTAAATGTCTTTTCCCCGGATTCCGTTTTATGAAGCAACCTCCTCCTTATCCTTATTTTTTTTTAAAAAGAGCTGTCTAGTCCTCTTCACAGAAAGGCTGGCCACTAGCAAGTTAGTACGGAGATTGGCGAGTGAATAGCGGCCAAAGACCAGGGGTACCTTTACACAGATATAAAAAAAAAGGTTGCGAGCAAGAAAAAGAAGGGCAAGAAAAGAATGCACCAAGTCCTGAGCGCAACAACATGCTGAGACTATGCATACTCAGAAAATTGAATGGCTAAGGTTGGAGTAGCCCTCCTCTTTTGTTGTTTTGAGTTCAAATGTCCGAACTGACCATGGAATTTGCCATCAGAGTAGGAAAAGGCCAAAAAATATCCCTCTTTACGATCACGAAGGGTATCCAACCCAAGCAACCATAGAGAACATGAGCAGGTGTTGTGTGTAAAATGAATATTCGTAAACGAAGGGGTCCTTTGTTGCTAATAATATTTCTTTCCAGCCAAAGTTTTAAAAAATATGAGGACGAATAAAGGAGCAAAGACGCATGAAACGAAAAATTACTTGGCGGCGGTCTAGACGGGACCAATTACGCTTTGCAGATGATTTTACGCACGGCATTCATACAAGCAAAGACCTGTCCTGGTCGCTGTTTCTCGACGCTCAGATGGCTTACGCGTTGGGCAGGCATTTTTTTCTCTAGGGTGCTTTTCTCTACCTGCTACTATCTTTGACCTCATCTCCGCTCTACAAATAGGAAACGAAAAAACGCGACCATCGGTTTTCAACGAATAAAAATAACTCCGGCGAGAGAAACACGAGTAAGGAAACGTGCAAGTGAAGTGAACAAACGAGCTCATCTCTCAACTATCGTACTCAGCTGTCACGCCGTTCGTCGGTTTCGTAGCGAATTAAAGGACGTCACTCCCTTTACCGGAACCCGGCCAACCACAATTAAAAGATCTGGCAGGGGCTGTAGGCCGTAAAGGTAAAAAAGACGCGGACAAAATAAATCGAAAGCACACCGCCGAGTTCGAAGAGGACGTCTGGAGGGTGCTGTTTTGAAAAAGAATCAAGTCTCTCCGCGTAAATGTTCTAGTCTGCAGGGTTTATGCTAGACTATCCATACACGACCCAAGTACTCTTCTTTTTTTTTTTTTTGTAAGACACTTCGCGTTTTACTGATGCGTAGGTGTACTATGCTCAAAGTATGTATACGGCAATGCAAGCAAGCACGCGCCCGCTTTACGAGCTTCAGGATATTCATTCCCCTCTTCCCCCTACTTTATGTCCACGCGCCATGTCATGCTATCAACCTTCTGTTGTATCTGCCAAAACGACATTAGCCTCGTTCAGAAAACTTGACGAGGGTAGATTCGACCTGACCCCCATTCCAACAATACACCTTCGGTTCTTTTCGCAAGGATCCATGTAGCCGCATCAATGCAATTGACAAATGACTGCAGCAGGAACGTTTTGTGGAAGGAAAGGTGGGTACAGTGTCGATCACTGACGCCAAGAGGAGAGGATGGGGCTCTTTTCTTTTTCTTTTTCATTTTTGTCCGGTTTTAACCTCTCTACCTTTGTATCACTTCAAACCAACCCTACACTGTGTTTGCATGCTCGGGACTAGCTATGGGACGACAGATGTAACAGCCCGATTTTTGCGCCCAGCTGTGTGGCATGTCTTAACGCCCAAACACAAACACAAGTAGAACTGCAGCCGTGGAGAACAGTGAAAAAAAAAACTGGGTCCTATCCACAATATCTGTTTCCCATCAGCTCAAAGCAAGAATTCGACGCCTTTCATCTAACCGGAAAGATCCAGGTGCCACTTTTTGTGTAGATTAGGCCTATCTGTGTATCGGAAGCAATCGTTGTCCACCGAATTTTTGGGTCCGACGATGATATCATCTTCAGACGGACGTGCAGTATCCTTAACGATGGGGGAGGGGTTTCTCCCGATCGAAAAGGACTCCGCAAATGCTATCCACAATAGGTTTATTCTCCCTCCAGGCAGCCTCATCCATCCGCCCGAGCTCGGCCCTAGACCACAGTGTGGTGCAAAGGAGGAGCGGCCTGGATGTAAAAATAACACGGTCTCATTGTTTTATGCGTCTCCTTTCGCTAAACTAAGCTCATCTCTGCGATAACCGGAGCTTCAAACACCAGTTGGAACCAGCGAACGGGGCCGCATCTTGGTTAAGATACGTACACCTTCATTGTACAATGCTGAACATCTGCTCGCGACATAAGACTTTTGATTAGAAACGCCTATTCATTTTCGAGTACAATCGCCGAATCAAAGTCTGGATCATTAAAGTGCGTATTATCCCTCCTTCTACAAATCAATGTTCGTTGTTTGTCAATATGACCTCCAGTCCAAAGGCTTTTGAGCTTCAACGTTTTCTACGTACAGTCGCGACTAGACATCCTGCAATATATCCTTCACCTTGCCAATTTTGGTTTCCCCCGCATTCTTCAAAAAAAAAAAAAGTCTAGAATTGAGCAACAAGGATTGGCCTCCACGCCACGTGCATTTGGTAATGCCCTGACTATCTATTTTTTTTTCTCCTAGTGCCTTGGTCCATCAGTTTTTCTAGGCCTCTAGGTTTTATTCTTTGTTTAGGCCTCCTCTCGATGTCATAGCTGATTCATCTCTTCCTCAACCTCTTTATAGATCTTGGTCCCCTTCGGTCTTACCGCTCTTTCCACCACAAACTCATCCCCTGCCATCAACGGAGCACTCACAGAGGTGTCCGACGAATCGACCTCAACCCATGTCTGATGGCTGTGACCTCGCTGTGCCTGCTGGGAGATGCTGCTATGATTGTTACTCTCCGCTTTCCGACGAGCACGTTGGACGAAGCCTCCGATTACTGAGGCAATGTTCGGGAAGAAAAAGTGCTCCGCAACCAAGGCGAGGCCAAGGTTCAATGCCGCCATGAACAAGATAAAGATACGGAAGCCAAACGGGATATCGAGCAGCTGCATGAAACTCGACAGCCAGTCCGTAGGGAAGAGAACCATACCGGCAGACAACAGGACCAGTCCAATGGTGATGAACACAAATGGGCCTGGATACATGGTAAACAAGGAGACTGTTGTTAGCAAGATGCCCGACAATAACCATGGGAAAATAAAAGGCATAGGAATACAATAGCGCTTACGATTCGAGGACATAGGCTTTCTGTAGGGCGGTCCAACACTGAAAACAATCGCCATCAGCAAGTACTGAAAGATCGACAAGAAGAATAAACTGGTGTTTTCAAAACACTCAATGTTCTTCTGCCCCCGCTCATATTTCGGAGGTCTATACCATTCCTGATGACGCACGATCCAGTACAAAGTCGCTTGGAAACATCCCTGGATGAGGATCTGTCCAATCAACGACGTCAAGACTTTCTTCGACACCAGGTTGGCAGTCGGGCGTTTGGGACTCAAAGTCGAGAACGCCTCGGTGCGACCCATGAACACTGCAATGGGCAAGATCAGCACCAGATCAATATATAAGAACTGAAAGTCGCCGAGATTGGATGCGAACGCGTACAAGAAGCTGACAGTCGTGAACTGGATGATACTATAAAGCGCCATGTACTTGAAGCAGCTGAAACTAGTCACCAACGCAGCACGACCCTCCCTAGAACAACACAGATAGAACAACAAAGCCCGTTAGTGCTTGCTTAGGACAAGACAATACTTCCGAAAGACTTCACTGGCTGCAGATCAAACTTACTGAATGACTTTGACGACACATCCGATGTCATTCGATCGACTCGTGAACGGTGCTGCAACGGACGCTTCAGCTTCGCTAAGACTGATCCCAACGTCTGCAGCCTTGAGGGCTCCGCAATCGTTCGCTCCATCTCCACAGAATCCTACGCAGTATCCGATCGCCTGGAGGTTCTCCACGAGCTCGTGCTTTTCATCCGGTGACATGCGAGCGAAAATTTGACCCTTGACGAGCATTCTGTTCAAGGTCGAGGTCGGAGCATAGTCAATCATCCAACGGAAGCAGTCGCCCGTCACCGCAAGGACGTAGTCGTTCATCAGATGAATGTAGGATGGGAATTCTGGGCCTCCACCCGTAGTATTGCCCGTCTCTATCGTAGCTGGCTAGAAAATGATGAACGAAAAGAACAAAGTCAGTAACCAGTTCCCTCTCTTAAAAGGCAGTATAGAAAGCACTCATAGTTGCTGCGTACCTTGAGAGTCATAGAGTCCAAAGTCATGCGGTTGTCGTCAATGTTCTCCCAAACGATCTTCGAGTTCTGAGTAGTCGAATCTCCAAAAACAAACCTCGGGGCATAAACCTCCCTGGCCCGATCAATCAGTCCACACTCCCTGGACACACTGATAGCAGTAAGGACATTATCCCCGGTGCACATCACCTTTCGAATTTGAGCGTTGGTAAGGGTGGCGATCACTGGCGCCGTGGTTGGCTTCAGCTTGTTTTCAAAGACGATGAATCCAAGGAACGTCAGCTCGCTCTCCACCTGCTCTCGCTTGATGCGTTGCGCGCGGACGAAATTCAGGGCGGGCATCGGCTTGCTGGCGCAAGCAATGACGCGGTACCCATGATGCGTGTAATAAGAGAGACGCTCTGTGTAGTCGGCTGGCAGGGATTCTTTCAAACAGATATCCGTCATGGCTTCAGGCGCACCTTTGACGTAGATCTCCATCCCCGGACTGTGCAGCTTCTTAACGATGACACTCATGCGTCGAAGGGACGAGACAAATTCAAAGCAGCGGATAATGCCAAGTTCCAAGAATGACGCCTACATTAACAATACAATAAGGTATCGTCAGTATCACATTGATCTCACCTTGCGCATCCCAAAACCTCCCATTTTTTGGGTTCTTACCGATTCGTTCATCTCTGTTGGGTGGTGCGAGAGCACTTCGTCCAAATTAAACTGCTTAGTACCTGGAGGTCGAACAATGGTCGATACAACGCTTCCTCCGGAACCCTTATTGCGTTGCGTGGGATCCTCAGGGACTTCAGAGGTTCTCATACCCAGACCACCCTCCTCCAGAATCCATTGCGTGAAATCGAACATCTTGAGATCCAAGGGATCACCGATGAGCTCCCCTCCAAGGGACTTGACAGAGTGACAAGTCGCCATGGTATACAGAAGCGAGGTACGCTTGTCCTGGGTAGAATCCGATGCCTGAGACAGATCCCTTGCATGCGTTATCATGGATCCAAACAAGCCCGTCTCGCTATTGCCACACTGGACGCCCAAAATATCCAAGCCATCCTCGGTCAAAGTTCCTGTCTTGTCGAAGCACATGCAGTTGATCTTGCCGCCAATATTCACCCTCGTGGGACTGATGCAAAAGATGTTTGAGCGTCTTAATCTCGCAATCGCAAAGCTAGTGCCGATCGACATGGTCGCTGGAAGAGCCGGTGGAACAACAATCGTAATCAGATCCAACGCCTTGATAATCATCAGTCTGAGAGGAACACCCATCCTGATAAAATTGACGGTGGAGACCAAGAAGCCGCAAAAGGCGATACACGCAAGGATGCCGATGAACCGGAATGAGTCACGATAGAACTGAAAGTCGTTTGGCTTAGGAAAAAGCATCGATCGGATAAGTGTACCCTTGGTTGTGTTGAATCCTGTGCGCACAACCATGGCCAACCCCCTTGCTGGTTGAGCCATCCCATATTCAGCATCGTCTGTATTGAGTGTCTTCTTTGCACTTTGTCCTGGACGGGCACGAATGATCTTGGTTCCAGAGAACAAGAAATGTCGAGCGAGGTCGGAGGGTATGTTCGCTATGGACAAATCCAGTAGCTGTAATCCCCTTTCTGTGACCGGGATCTTTGAGACTGGCACGGACTCTCCTGTTAGCATGCTTTCATTCACGATGCAGTCTCCGGTCAACAAAACAGCGTCGCACGGAAATACTGAGAGCTCCGTGTCTGTCATCTCGAAAACGTCTCCTGGCACCAATTCCTCTGATCCGACGTAGCGCCCTATGGGAGTAAGCATTTGATTAATACCAGGTTTAGCAAAAGAACAAGATGAGCATGCAGCTGTGTGCTTACAAAAAGATGCAACGTACATCTGCCAGTCCTACAAACTTTCACGTTGCAGGTAAACCTCGACATATTACGCATGCGCTTCATGGTCTTTTTCGTCTCAATCAGTTCCGAAATGACGGACACGGTTGAGATGACAAGAATGCAGGCTGCGTAGTAATAATAGTCATCCGCGAACCAAAGAGCCATCGAAAAGACCTGGAAGATGTAGAACGGATGAAGCACCTCCTGAACGAGTAGCTGTCCAATCGTCTTTTCCTGAACATCGATCAAATTCGAACCAAAGACCATGGCTCTTTCCTGATAGGTCTCCCGCTCCAGTCCCCGCTCACACGTAGTGATGCTCGACCATTCAGAGTCCTTCCAGTGCGAATTCTGCATGAACATATGCGCCACAGGATTGTAGATGAACCGAATATACTGGTAGTCAAAGTACATCATGTCGTGCATTACTCTTGTTAACTAGTGTTGAACAGGTAGATGGGGCAGGCGCATTGGTTAATGCCGATGCTGCATCAAAACTATACATATATCACTCAAGTGTCGTGCATATTACCCTCGCATCATCGTATTCCTCATTGTCCCCTAGCTTTTCCATCTGCTCAGGGCTAAAGACAGAGCTGATAGGTCCCCCGTAGTACTTGCTGGAGATTTTCTCCATCGCCGTCTGACCCCACTCGTTCTGTAAGTCGAAAAAAGGTATGCTACGTTATGGTTCGCCCTTTTTTTTTCGAAGCAAACATGTGTTATATTGACCAGTGCGATGAGGGGAATACAAAAACATACCTCGACAACAATAAATCCTGCCTGACCCATGGTGCATTTCCTGGCCACAAAGGAGATGTAGTACTGAGGCATCCATCGTCCAAGTAAGAAGATGATTCCTCCGCTCAAGATGCATGCCAAATAGTAGAGGTAGAGACGGGACTGAATGATCCTGTATCCCAAAAATGTCAACTGTACATCCTCCTCCTCGAGAAAGATATGCTGGACACATCGATCATGAATGGGATCTATGAAGAAGGGTGCAAAAGTGAGAAGATATGTAAATGTCAACTTTCGATAAGAATCGTTTTCCGCAGTTTGCATGCCATGGAGATAGTTCCGCCCAATGGGCTCATTGAGGCATTAGAGTTATTCGTTACTCAAAGACAGAACGGATGCAGACCAAGCAAGGCAAGCAAACAAGCATGCACTCAGCATAATGTGCACTGTCAAGTCAATTTTTTTTTTCTTTTTTGTTATCGCCTACCATGGGCAGTGGGCCTCTTGCCAGCATTCTTCTGTCGAGATGACTTAGTCATCACAGGCTGGATCTCGCTGATTCCATCCTCCTCCTCGTCCTCTTCATCCTCTTCGTCCTCGTTATCGTCGCTGCCGGGATGTACTGGGTGGTACTTTTGAAAGCTGGTTGTGGTCGAGCGTTGAGGGATCCGAGAGTCGTCCATGAGGATCCCTTCCACCTGGCTTATAGATTCGACATGCTGTTCGAGCGAGCGAGTCGAGAGTGGGTCATCCAGTGGGGTGTTGACCATTAAACAGCGGGCTGGTCGAGGGTGGTGTGGTGGTGTGCTGGAGTCAGTGAGGTAAAAAAGAGTGAGCGAAAAGCAGATGCGGAGAGGGGGACGAGTGCTTTTGAAGGGAGGGTGGAGTGTGAAAGAGGCAGGGTGCAGAAAAACAATTTTTGAGTTCAAAATGTCTGTTCTTGCTTCCTGTATGGTGCCGCACTGCAAACAAACAGCATGATCACGCCTCTACCCTGGGCTGGAACGGACGGAGGCGAGGAGCACCGGATTATTCCCAGGCCACCCCAACATCTGGGATGATGCTGGATACCCCCCAAGCTCTGCTTCACCCCCGCGACGCCTCGCTCAGACTGCACGGGTGCGTCTTTGCTTGAAGCAAGAAACAAGACAAAACCATCGCCGTAATGGGATTGAACCATTGTTCGGCTGCACGTGACACGATGGGTTTGTTTCGAAGCGTCCGTGTTTCGTCTTGTTCCTTCACTTTCTCATCACTTGCATCCATCCATCCATCCCAATCCTTCCGTCCGCCATGAGCGAGCAGACATTCACCGACTCTGAGCACCGTGGCCGCGATGCCAGCCCTGACAGCACCGGATCAAGATCCCCTCGTCCAAGAAGCCGCTCCCCAGCACGACACAGGTTTGTCCTCTCTCTCCGTTACCTTACTTCAACACGTCGTCCCCAGACAAGCAAAGTTGATATGCATAGCATGTTCTTGCTGAGAAGTAGTGCCGACTGTCGCCAGTTTCTTCGCTCTCTCTCTCGCGTGCGCATTTTCATTTCACCGCTCGACAGACGACCTCGTCCCACTCGCTCAACTGACTGATACACCTCCGTTCAAACAATAAACCCCTAACAACCAGCAGCGACAATGCCATCGACGAATCCATCAATCCTGGAAACAACCTCTTCGTAAACAGCCTCTCCGTCAAGACTCAACCCAGCGATCTCGAGGACTTGTTCGGCAAATACGGCAAGGTGAGCGGACCAAACAGCACGCGACACCGCTCGCTTCAATTGATACAAGCATCGATCTGCAGCGACTTTAATCGTCTTGGTCCTACCACAAACCAGCCTGGGAGTCTCGCCTCGCTATCTCTTTCAGCTCTCAACCCTCTGTCTTCAGATCCAAGGCCAGCAGAGAGAGGGGACAGCAGCAGGCCATTGCGAACCGATCTTACCTATGCTTTGTGGCTCACCTTGAATCTTACTCACGCCCTTGCAGTCGAAGTTTTGTCTTTATCCCTTTCTCGGAAGCAGGATTGGGAATGTTCAAAATGAAGATTGAAAAGGGCGTATTTTTTCTATTTCGACCCACCAGGCGGCGGCTCTATTGTTGCCTTTCCCATTCTTCGTTTCCTATGCCCCTTTCTTCTCTTCCTAGATCCCACCCTGCTACTCTTCTCCTGAACTTTGCAAACTGACGCAGATGCATTTCGATGGATGTTATTAATAGGTCGAGAAAGTCCAGATCATGTATGATCCCCACACTCGCGAATCCCGGGGCTTTGCCTTCGTGACCATGGTCCGGGCTGAAGATGCCGATGCAGCCATGCAGGTCTTAAGTGGATTCGAGCTCCATGGACGCGCCATGTCTGTCAACTTGGCAAGTGCACAACGATTCTTGCTGCAGATATTATTGTTGCTGGATTCCTGAATTCTGTCGAATGTCTAACGCGCCTTTGTGGTCTTTCAATCTGAATCCTGCCCTCATTAGGCTAAACGTGGTCGTGCCAGGACTCCAACACCGGGCCAGTACCGTGGACCCCCCAAAAGGGAAAGGGCCATCGGTGGTATGCCCGGCTACTATGGCTATGGTATCGCATTCGAATGAATCTGGCGAAACCAACTGTTCTCGCCTTGTGAGAAGACATTGAACTGACCAAGCACCGTTTCGGGTTTGGCCTCTTATTCCTCAATGAATATAGATCGTCGCACGGACAGGTTCGATCCTCGCTATGATCCTCGTGGACCAGATCCAAGGGACTACAGAGGAGGACCTATGCGAGACTATGCTCGTCCTGCCCCATATGACAGGTATGATCGTTACGACAGGTAAGGGCTTCAAAACAATTTGTCAAAGGCCTATGGGACAAGAAGATCTGCAGCCACTCTTATTTTGTCGCAGACAAGAAAAAAGTGGTCTGTGGTTGCTATTGTCCTTGTGCACTTGGTACCTTGCGAGGGCCTTTTGAGTCGCTGCCTTGTTTGATTTTTGTGGCTGTAATTGTACCATGACCTTTTTGTTTGCTAATCTCACGTCTTGCTTCTCGGCGCTTTCTTATGGTTTGATAGGTGGGCGGGAGGAGCTGCATCCAGATACGACGACCGTCCTCCTCGCGATTACCGACCCCCCTATGGAATGGACCGTGGCTATGACGACCGATCGGGATATGACCGAGGCTACGATCGTCGTCCCCCTTCTGGCTACGACGACAGATACCGCCGATACTAAAATACTAGAGCGACGGGGCCAGCGTGTATTGAGCTACATTGGACTGACGCGACACGAACCACTGCGCAGTCGATTTCAGTCGTGTCTCGACAACAGGGAAATACACATCTACTTGCATCCACTATCTCTAACGACCATCAATCCACCAACTTCACCACCACCAACCAACTAACCAAACACTATCGACACTATCAATACTTGATACAATCTGCTACAAATGGATAAACTAGTGCATTTGGAGTCCAGAACGCTATGCCTCAATAAATTTAAGTGACCTGCAGTCATCAAGGAATGTCCACTTGCAGGTTGAATAGGCAACCCATAGGTCAAGTCAATCGAAGTAGATGTTGACCGCAGCAAACGAGAAACGAGAAACGAGAAGAGTTTACCGGGTATTGCGAAGACCTCTCTGTCATCAAAAATGGCACACCGCAGCATGGCTGTTGCCAGTATAATATCAAGATTGGATCACCACTGCGCAGTCATGAAAACATTCAAATACTCCAGTCGTTTGACACTTTTTTCTTCTATTCTAAACACCAATTCCAACATCGCTCACAAGAACGCTGCACTGCCTCATCATCCAACAGGAACAAAAGCAACATTAAAAAAATGAGTTCTAACAATCTTCTCAGCAATACCCGCGTCGTCCGCGCCAGCTACGCTAACAAGTCTCATGTAACTAAGGCCCAGTTCAGGGTCGAGACCCATCGAGATATCGACCTCGGTAGTGTCAAACCAGGCGAGGTCATCCTTCGTAACCTTTACCTCTCGCTCGATCCTTGTAAGTAAATTGTCTCTCCCCCTCCCTCCCCCTCTCGAACCTCCAAGGGAACAACATGAAGCGTTTTGCACTGTAACCACTTGAATAATTTTCTCACGACTGATCACTCTTTCTTGGTTCAAAAATAAAAGATGTCCGACTCACGCTGGACGAGACTGGCGCCAACGTGCCAGCCGCTTGGCGTCAACTGAACGTCCCTTTTTACGGCCTCGGCATCGCCGAGGTCGTCGCTTCAGGGGTCGTAAAATACCCCGTCGGCGCTCTGGTTTCGGTCAACACTGGCTATGAGCAATACACGCGCGTCTCCGGACTGGACGACCCCAAGACGCAGACGGATATTCGTATGTTGCCTGCGCATGCGCGAGATGAGTCCAGGGGCGTGCCACTTTCGAATTATATTAGTGCATTAGGCATGCCTGGGTTGACGGCGTACGCAGGGTTGAAGGTTTTGGGAGTCCAGTCTGGGAAGACCATCTTTGTGGGATCGGCTGCGGGGGGCGTGGGTCAGCTCGTCGGCCAGCTAGCCAAGATCCAGGGACTTACAGTTATTGGATCAGGTAATGTGATGAGCGGTTGTTTTTCGATATCAACGAATGTATATGGCCATTTTTTTTTTCGATGCATGGACTAATCGTTCGGTTTCCTGCTTATTGCTATATAGCCGGCACGGATGAGAAGGTCGCATGTTTGGTCGAGAAGCAGCATTTTGACGGTGCATTCAACTACAAGACCGAGAACATCCGAGAGGCGTTGACACGTCTGGCACCTCAGGGTATTGACTACTACTACGACACCGTCGGAGGTGAAACCCTGGACATTATGCTGGACCTGATCAACGAAAAGGGTAAGATCCTGTCTGTGGGTATGATCTCGCAGGAGAACGGCGAGGAGGCTTACCCAATTCGCAATCTCAGATTGATTGCAAGCAAGGGAGTGTCGATTCTAGGATTTATTTACTGGCATCATTTAGAGTACTTTGAGAACGGTGAGTTGGACGCGACATTGAGGCCATTGCTGGAGCGTAAGGAGATTTATTATCGGGAGGAGGTGTTTGAGGGCATTGAAAATATACCGGAACACTTTGTGAATATGCTGGAGGGCAAGTATGCGGGCAAGGTGATCATCAAGATTGCGGACTTGTAGGAAACAGGACAAATAAATCTACATTGACCAAATAGCGCAACGGAGAGCGTGCAGAAAAAAGTTACTTGAATATTGGTGAGTGGAGCCCCACGAGGAGCTCCAAAAGTCGCGCTCCCGTGTACTTGGAACGGGATGCAGCTCTGGAGCATAATCACCACGAGAAAAATAGATGCCATCTTTTTGAGTCCGGCCTGGCTCCCTTTCGACTTTGGCTTTCTTCGCTTTCTCCAAAGCTCTTTCCTACATCTCTGCTTAATTTCTGATCTGCTAGCGCGAATCAATGTACGATTTTGTTTTCCCCTTCCCTTCATCCATGAAACGTACTTTTCTGTTCTCCTCAGTCGTTTTCTCCTTCTTTTCTGCTTCGGTGCCCTTGATCCCTCTTTGCTTTCTCTTGTCCTTTTCACTTCCATTTCACTTGCAGCATCGGCATTCACGGACCCACTCCTGTTGTGATCGAACAGATCCTCCTTCCCTCCTCAACCTCACTATCATTTCATACCTGTCCCTAATCTTCCTCTCTCGCTCTCGCTAACGATAACATCGCGGCAGAGGCACTACACGATGCGGTTCACATCCCTATCCCTAATTCTGACGGTGTCAACGATCCTCTCATACACACCATCCTGTCGCGCCCAAGGCACCCTCCCTGCATCAACCTCTTCGATGTCAGAAGCCCCAGCAGTGGCACCAATAACACAACCTGTAGATTCGGAAGATCACCCCAGGATCATTTTTAGCAAGGAATCCAAAGTTCCTGTCTCGGCAATGATGCCCGCTGCAAGCGCACCGCCATCACTGTCACGACGGTTTCTGATGCCGTCCCGTTTGCTTCCTTCGCATGAGGGTTCGAATAATGGAGATGGTGCTTTGAAATCGCACTTCGAGAGAGTAAAGCATTCGATAGAACAGCAGAATCAGCTGAAGAAGCAGAGGCAGAGAAGGGAGCATAAGCAAAAGCAGGAGCCGGAGAAACAACAGAGTTATGAAAGAAGGACGCTTGTAAAGACGGGACCTCGTCGGCTCACAGGCGAACGACGAGCGGATGACCCTTTCGATAATATGCTAGTACCTTCGGAAAACTTTTCGACATCTAATTCTAAAGGTAAGCTCCTCTTTGTTGTTTGCAATTACTACAGCACGGCCAATCTGTCCGATCGCATATCGAGTCGACGACAATGGCTAGTCGGTGGTGTAACTGATCCCTTGGATGGGCTTGGGTACCTGAGCCATTGAGGGAGCCTTTTTTCTTCATTTTTTGCTCGACACATTTTTGATATTGGGTGTTTTTCGACCCTTAGCCTTCCCAACCACTTATTTTGTTGATTATTTTTACGCCAAAAAGGACTGCATCACATAATCCGACAGGAAAAAAAAATTACAACGCTCAGTTTGCTCTTTCAACAAACAGGAGAAAACAAGGAGAAAAGAGAAAGCAAGAACGAAATTGTCATTGAGTTCTCGGGGGAAGGATGGACTCCTAAAAAAATACCTTTTACTATTATTTGGGCTGCATCCAATTCCTTGTTTGAAGAGCGGAACCTCCGTACTCCTTGCAGCAACAGCACATCGTATGCATTTGTGCGTCGAGAGGGTGGAGTGGTGCGTAACGTGAACAAAGAGATAACTCACAAGAGCGTCATTTTGTGCAGGACTCGGAAGCGTGGACACCGTATAGCATAGTATAGATAACCACGAGTGCGGTGAATGGATCTTCTAAAGGATGATATGATATACCTTGAGTTGAGCACGAGCCAACAACAATGCACGGACCAGCGTCGTTCATTTCCTTAGGGTCGAAACACTATTTTTTGGTGGCGCTGCCTACTCTTGGTCTTGCTAATGCTAACCATCCATCATGCTCCATTCTTTTGTAATCCCCATTGACATATAGGTTCACCTTCCTCAATCACCTCCTCCGCTCCTTCTCCACCATCATCGCCTCCACCTGCCACAGACTCTACCTCTTCATCATCCAACTCTGGGACATTGCCCACACCTGTTCCCGATGCACCCGTCCCAACACCTGTGCCAGACCGAACTACACCTCCTTCACAGCTCGCATCGACTCCAGACCTTGAGCCGACTCCAGAGCCTAAACCTGACACCCCTCCTACCACGACTATGACCACGGTGGACGCCCCAGAACCGAGCTCCGAATCTTCAAGCCCTGGAGACAATTCCGGAGCGGAAACGGCTAACGGCAACACGCATGGAAGGGATGGATCGAGTTCAAGCAGTGAAACTCGCCCCGAGGAGGCGCCGGAAACGGCAAAGTCGGGCGAAGGAGAGGCCGATGAGGATGAGGGAGAAGGATTGGGGGCGAATGGTAACAGTATGAGCCAAGGTCGAGCGACGGATAATAGTAAGGAGGATACTGGAGCGACTGTCGGGATTGTGGTGGGGGCAGTGGTTGTGGCGGGAATGATCGGTGTGTGGATCTTTCGCAAATGGAGGTTGTCGGTATGACATATTGAGAAAGACGACCGAAAGCGAGAAATGTGCAGAAGGACGCTATTGCAATCACTGACAACGCTTACCGTTATTTACTGACTGACAGCCATCGAGACAGTTCAAGTGCAAGATCGCGGGCAGCTCCAAGAGTAGTTCTCCCTGTGCAGGTATTCGTACCACAGATCCTGCCTCCGATTATTCTTGCCCAACTCCTCCGCCTCCTGCACACGCACATGCACATCCACAGATGAAGAATATTACCTCTGCCGCCACCGTGACTGGGGCCATATCCGCGGCTTCTGCAATGCCCGACTCGGCGTCTGAATTCCAGCAGCAGCAACAGCACCCTCACCTAGCTTTTCAGGAATGCTCTTCCAATGTAATGCACCCGGATGAATATGGGTACCAATATCACCAATACCACTACCAGTTGCAGATGAGTCAGCAGCAGGAAGAGATGACTGCGGGACAGTATGACGTGTACGGATACCAAGATCAGTATAACTCGCACCAGTACCAACAAGACCCACAACAGCATCAGTATCAACAGCAGCACCAGCATATGCACTTGGCGCCCGGTGCTTCTATGTCAGGTACTGGCGGTGGTAGCGCAGTGGGAGGCGCAAGGGCAGGCGGGGAGCAGATGATGGGACATAGCGCCTATGGATATGGGTCGGAGGACTACAGTCAGAACGATCAGTTTTTGAAGGAGCTGCGTGAGTGAAACCGCCGATCCGATAACCTTAAAAACAGAGTAGATCTTGATGCTGCGCCCAAATTTGGCACACTGAACGCAGAGAGCGGCAAGCTGGTTCTTCTTTCTTCGCATCTCCATCCGCGCTCACTCTCAATCCTCGATTATTATTTTAAATTTCTGATTTCACCATCTCAATACATTCAAGGAGGGGGTCTCATCATTTCCCTTTAGCATCTGCCTTCACATTTAAGCATATACCGCTCACTTTTTTCATTTAATCATTCCTACACTTTATCCATTGCATCTACTCATTTTACTTTATTCTAGCATATGCATATCAATAAACGGTAGCGAAGAGCGAGTGCCATAGACTCTTAAAAAAGGGGCCGTTGCCATTCGTATGAATGGTGCAGCCACGGACAGGAGATTAGGAACGGATAACAAGCGTTTTCAGAGTGATATAGTACCAGTCGCGAACACAAAGGCTTTGTTCATAACCAATCACTTATACCTCTTCTTTGTGCCGGAAATATATGTGGCCCTAAGAACTTTTATTGTATATGCATTTAACTTCTGGTACGCCCTGAGAATATGCTTCCGAACCAAGGACAACTTCTTTTATTAGTCCATAATTCCTTTCAACACACGTTTTGCTTTCCTCCATCCCACATACCGCTCGCTTCGTTATTCATAGCAACTTCCCTATATTTCGCCAACTTTGGCCAATCCGAACATTACATCCCTTGTTCTCCCAACTCTGTGTAATGCTGCTATTCGTAGTCTTTCTCAAGTCTTAAAACCTTTTTTTAATAAAATCTAAAGGTGGTTGAACTTTCCGCCTATTAACATGTACAATGCCCTCCCAAAAATTATGAGACTAGGGTTTAGAATACGACTGAAATGAGCTCGTAGACTGGTTCAATAAGCCATTGTAAAACCTCTTGGTCATTATCTTTCTTTCACTCCATCACCCCACCATCATGCCCAAACACCATTCTATCGAACTCAAGGGTCGTATCATTGGAGCCCACGAGTGGTATGACCCCATCCAACATTGCCAAAAAACACAATCTCAGCATCAAGGCAGTCCTTTTGATCGTGCAAAAGTGGGATAAAGATGGCACTGTTGTCCCCAAGAAGCAACCTGGAAGACCATCAATTCTTGGAGAACTGGATGTTGAGCAGCTTGTCAACAAGGTCAAGAGCGACAACCGTATGACTCTTCAAGAGATAGTTGCAAAGTCGCCCAAGCCTGTTTCTAAGAACACAATACGCAGAGTTCTCCATAACAGCGGGATCTTTTGTCGCGTTGCCGTCAAGAAGCCTCGTTTAGAGCCAAGGTATGTTGAAGCCCGATTATCACTTGCGCGAGATAAAGAATAGTAGACGTGGATTGACTGGGAAAGAGTCATTTGGTCTGACGAGTCTTGCTTCGAAATAGGCAAAGACTTCAGGACGATCCGCATCTGGCATACTAAAGAAGAGAAGTATCATCCAGAGAACATCCAACCTCGTCTTCGAAGTGGAAGAACGAAAATTATGGTATGGGGAGCAATCGCGGGGGGGAAAAATTTAGATCCTATCATTATCGACGGCGACAACAATAAAGGACCGGGATTCATCAACACGGTGTATGAGAAGGAATAAAAGAGGTTCATGCCGCAAGTGAAGAACGCCCTTTTCATGGAAGATAACGCGCCAGTTCATACAAGTAAGCACGCGAACAGTTGGCGGTTGAGGAACGGCGTTCAGATGATGTGGCCAACTAATTCTCCTGATCTCAACCCCATCGAGCACATCTGGTCGATTCTCAAGAATCGTCTCGACCGTCGTTCTAGAAGACCAACCAGCAAAGAAGAGATGATAGCCGCCCTTCATGAGGAATGGAAAAAAAAATATCCCCAGAAACCATCGCGAATCTCGTAGCCTCCATGAATAAAAGAGTAGCTGCGGTGCTGGAAGCCGAAGGAGGCTCAACCCGCTTTTAGTCCGAATGAATTGTCATCCCATTCTAAAATCCTTAGTCTCATAATTTTTGGGAGGGCACTGTACGTATGGCGTCCAGAGTGAGCCATCCTGGAGAGGCACCTATCCCCATCAATTTGATAGCCTGCCTCTATTGCGTTCTTTGAAGCCATTGGAGCTCGGTGGACGAGAAAGGCGTATTGGGTCTCATATACAGGTCCCTGGTCAATAGGTTCGAGGGCCCACCTATATATAGAGCTATACGTCGATGGGGGCACATGCAGCAGGAAAAAAAAAGTAGATGGTAGCAAGCGCGCAATAATCCTTAGAAACGAATTTATGCCAGGGATGTCCTAAAGGACCGAAAATGAACGGAGCAGTTTCGTCCGCCCACTTCTAGCGATTCAAACAAGGCGAAATCTTGACATGCTGCTAGTTTAGGATGACGATAGTGATAACGACGATGACGATGGAATCACGATCTCATCTTATGAAGTTATCAAGCGAGATTGGGATGTGGAAGAGGATCTAGTTACGATGACTTGCACAGATTTTACAAGCTGAGGATGCGGACAGGGCATATTCCGGCAAACTTCAGAGTGCTCACCCACAAGCTGGCTGCTGAAGATGATGGAAGGGACAATTGGTCAGAGGAGAGAGATCTACAGCATAAGATGGTAATTGCAATCGGTCTTAGTAGCTTTGGCATGGATCATGAAGCTAACTCTGCTCTACAGTACGTCTCGGCCGTTCTTCGTCTCGAATGTTTGTCACCAAATGTTTTTTTTTGTAGATGAAATGAGTTTCACAACTCGAAACAGCATCCCAGTTGCAAGAAGTGAGAAGGAAGCGAAGACGAAGGATAACTTTGCCGGCAGTGTCGCGACGAAGTGGCTGTTTTGCAAGGGCATTTTATCACGACAAAAATTGTACCGCCAACGTTTTCCACAAGTACTTGTCGAGGCCAGGAAAGACCCAAGTAACCCCAGTCAATCGATGCGCCTATCTTACACCTTCAACACCGACTCTAGGTTCTCCGTCCATGAAGCCGGGTAAGAGAAGGCTCCCAAGGGTCCAGGTCTGACACCTTATTCCGACATGACTACTCGAAAAAAAGAAAAGAAAGAAAAAAAAACACTCGCGGTACCGACTCCTCTGCTAGGCATGAACCTGCAATCCAAGGCAGGGAAAGCGAAAGGCCCAAAAGTAGAAACATACACGTATGTGTGTCAGCAAACACGCGTTCCATGACCCGTTCCACACACTTATGCCTCATTTTGCCCTTCTGACCTTTCCGAAAAAAAAAAAAAGGATATGCTATTCATTTTGTTGCTTGTTCTCAGCTATCGTATTTCTTTACTAGTATACAAACCTATTGTATTCCTTTACAAATATATGTTCAATGCGCGTAATATTTTCCTCCTTATTCAGTTTTTGACATTCCTTGCTGGGGTATCTCTGCTCTTAAGCAATCGCCTCCTCCGGATGGGCACCCACAATTCCTTCTTCATCCCCCTTGCCATCCGAAGAATCCGCCGCCGTCGAAACCGGTGACAGCTCTCCAGGCTCGACATCCGAAGACGCTCCCGACACCGACGCCGTATCGATCGATCGTATTGACCTTGCGTCCTGCTGTCTCTTGAAACTCTCTCTCGGCGATAATGAGGGCGACAGTGGTGACGATGGCATCCTCGACCGGGCCGTACTCTCCATACATTCGACCGCTCTATCAAAGTCCTGGTCACTGACCATGATATAATCCGCGCTGAAGGTGCTCAGATAAAACAATCCGACCCCATCTCCGCCTAACGGCCGCGAAAACTCGTTAACAATTCCACTTTCTTCTTCAATCCCCAAGGGACCATCACCGATCGAGATCAGCCGCCAGTCGCCCTCTTGGGTGTTGAGCGTGTGGTCTGGGAAGAGACTCATCGTTGCCTCGTCCATAATGATGCTCAATGTCGAATCCGTTTGTGTGAACGAGAAGAACCGATCATCTCTATTGTTTGGTATCCAACACAAAAATAATAAAGATCTGTTAGTGTTACACGAGCCACCAGATTGTCAATTCGTAAAAGTGAGCAATGCCGGTTACAGAGACTTGCCTGTTGTCGAAAAAGATGGATTCAAGCAAGCGGATGGCGAGCTGGTCCATGAGTCCATTCTCCATACTCGTGATATGCAAACGATATGGATAATTGATTTGGAATGGCTGTCGAGTCCTTGCGGCCCTGACACTCTCCTTCAATGACAATGACGAAAGCAAGGATGAGCCCAGACCCTGGATGGCTGCGTCCAGCACATGACTTCCATGACCACTCGTCAGTCCACTGTTCGGTCCACTAGTCGCTTCGCTTCCAATACCGCTATCCCCATGACTTTTGATGTCATCACCACCTCTAAGTGGACCCGAGAGACTGGACTGACGTCCGCGTGTGGTTGCAGCACCGAGCAATAGTGCGTCCTGAAGCGAGTTGATGTCTGCGGCACATGTGGGGAAGGTCTCCTCCCAGGACTGCAGATCTGAGGGCTGCAGTCCGGCATCTTCGAGAGGGTTGTTGCCGATGCTGAAGGTGGTGGTGAGGCATTCGAGCGCGCGTGTGAGGTCACACTCGGGCAGGAGTGTAAAATCTGCGTCGTATGTTGATATTTGCCTGTTAATGAAAGAATGCAAGGGACAGGATGAGGTCAGTTGGATGTAATACCAGCATGAACACTGATAGTCATTGGCCGATGTGAGAGAGTATACAGTCGGTAGTAGTAGAGCCGTGGTTGAGTATAGCATAGTGTGCGTGATATGTAATGTATGGAGTGAAGTAAGTGCGTATGCGAATTGTTCAATGTGCGTTCGGACACAATTAGAATCACTGGAATTTAGAGTTGTAGATGACCTCATCGCGTAAGAAACGTGGGGAAGGGAGACAGCCAATTTCACAGTATATGGTATATGTAATGAGTCCGATTGCTGCCCTCTTTAAGCACAGAGTTTACAACCAGCAATCGACATAATAAACAACAAGGTGCATGCAAAAGGGGAGGAGAAAAAGAAAAAAAAAAAGAAAGGGACCTCGTATAGTGCGCATAGTGCATTCGCACTAGACAAAAACGGGTGGTATCCGCATACGTTCAGTGCAGACATCCATTGCACCATTGGATGGGGTATTATACCATATCCTGCGTGCATTACTGTTGGATGGAATGGATGGACTTTGTTGTATTTCCCTCAAAATTTTATCCCCTCATTTTGTTTTTGGGTTGAGGTGCAGTAATAATAGTAGTAGTAGTAGTAGCCATTTGAGATGGATGTGGCGAGGCAGAGGCAATGGGCTAGCTGTAAAATGCGTTGTTTAGTTCCAGTCCTATGCAGGAGTGGCACACTTACATGATGGAGACATCGATGTCGGCCAATGGCTTGGAGACTCGGGGGACCACCTCGATCGCCGCTATGGGTTATGACATCGAAGGACATGAACATACTTTTCATCAGACCGGGGTAACTCTAGAAATGGCTAGAGCCAGCCAGGGCCACTCCAAGTACCCTTTCAGCCCAGGTGCTGGTACACGCCCATACCGTTGACAAGCCAATTTTAAACTGGGGGAATACAAAAATTCTGGAGAGATACCTCAAGAACAAAGAATCAATCACTCGCGAAAAAGAAACTGTTACACGAGAGTCTGGTAAATGGTGGGACTCGAGGAAAAAAAAAAGCCGGTCGGCGAATGCTGTCGCGCCTGGTCCTTTTGTAGAACCTCCCACCCACCCCTTAGCTCTTCGAGTCCAGAGGAGGACCCTGTCCTATCCTGAATGAATGCATGCATCTGTTGTTTCATTCGTCTTTTCCCTTTCTTTCCCTTTTGCAATGCATATGTTACCCTAGTCGCTTCTATTTTTTTGCGATGCATATCCCTGCCATCTCTCTTTTTTAGGGACGTTATCAACGTAATAAGCACAGAAGAAAAGTAAAAGCTATTCGCTTACCAATGCCCGACTCGCCGGGCTCGATCTGAACGGCCCGCCAGATCACATTGCATACATCGAGGACATCATCCGGAAAGCCAGGGATATGTGTCTCGTCCAGGATCAGCGAGACCTCCTTGTCGGTTTCTGTGTATGAGAAAAAGTGTTTTGGCCTGGGGTCGAAGCACGGCGTTCAATTGATTCAATGAAATGAATAAAATATATGCCACATCACGTCAAAGTACAAAAAAATGGATCAAGGTGCGATTAAGCAGTAACGTGAGCAAAATTGAACCATGCGTATACAGAGTTACAAAGGAGGTAGGAAAGCAAAGGCGAAAAGGAAGAGAACTCTGGTTAGTCGATGACGAAAAAAAATATATACAAAACAAAAGATGCTGGGTAACAAAATGTGTTTGATTACCCTGCTGGAAAGAGAACCAGTTTCATAAGCTGATGAGTGCAACGGGGGATATCGGTCTTTTCGATCGAGGCCAGTTTGAGGCGAAAGGGAAGGATATCAATAATCATTCTGGTGTCAAGAAAATAAGAAGAAAGGAAGTAGGATGGGTTGGGATAGGATGGGATGGGACCGAAGTGTGGAGAAGGCAGTTGTCGTCGGACAATTATTATTTTTGTTTTCTTTACAAATGCAAATGAGTGAGCAAACAGAAAAGACAACGGTCTCCTTTTATATGTGAATGTACAAGGCGGTATGTGCTGAAGATAGTGCCTGAAGGAAGAATGAAAGTGAAAAGGACTGGTGCCTGAGTATCCTGATCACGGAGGAGAGCACCAAAGTAGAATAAGAAAGGAGGCAGGCAGCTTTCGAAATAAATAAAAATAAAAAAAGCTGCTAATGATAGCGGCGATAATGATGAGTGATGAAGGAGAGAGTGAGGCAGGTATAAGACAAAATGTATCGCGCGAGAAATAGAACACCAAGGGAAACCACATACACCCTCCAAAAGATGAAAGTGATGAGATGCGGAATGAAGAATGGAGTTTGGTGGCAAAGGGAGCTGCTTAGTGCCGAATGAGTGGGTCGAAAGGTGATGGGAATGGAGAAGGCAAGAGAAGTAAGAAGGGACACCAAGGGAAAGAAACTTATTACAGTGCACTATGGCACTATAGCACCATGGCACTATGGCACAATTGACCAGCCATGACTTATTTTTTTTTCTTATTTTTTTTTGTGCTCGATTTTGTTTGATGAATGGTGCGATGGATGACTTGTGTCTGTGTTCTGTGTCCACCATGCAAAAAAAAAAAAAAGAAAGACCTGTCCTCCGATGCAGTGTATCCCTCTTTATCCTCGGTCTTTCGTGTATTGTATGTGCGACCATAGTATGTATGCAGTAGCACCATCTCAAGACACAGGGAACAGGGGACACACGACGGGGGTTACTCATTGAAGCACTGGAAGAGCTTCGCGCTTCCTGCCTCCTGCATCCCATCCTCTGTTTCCTCTATCCTTTCGCAGCCCATCGTATGCTTATTGCTATGTCATCTCATACCGGTCCAAGCGAAGCTCGGACACACATAGACTATCCCAGTCTGCCCGGAAAAGAGATTTACCATCCATCCTCACCTTCCATACTACATGTACGCTGCGCTACACTTACGCGACAGGTTGGATAATTTAGTCCGCATGGAAAACTAGAAACTAAAAGAAACGAAGAAGAAAGAGGCGGTGCGTGGAGAAGATGGCATGTTCGAACTTTTTCTTTCTTTCTTTCCAGAAAGTACAATCTAGTGGACGCGTGGCTGCACAGAGGAGAAACTAAAACGCGGGAGAATAGGAAGCAACAACAACCCCTCTACTTTCTCACACTCGCTTCCCTTCCTCCTCTTATTTGCTTTGCTTTGCTTTCTTCTTGTTTTTTTTTTTGCCTTCTAACACATTTAGATTGCAGAATAAAGAGAATAAAGATACTGATGGGTGCGTAAGTACACACCTCTGCCAGGCACAATGACATCAGACGGCTCAACAAGATTGGGACCTAGCCCGACTCTAGCGTGTTTCGAACGCACGCGCTGCCAGACTAGAGCGAAACCTTATAGCAGCGTATCCTGTCCGTCCAGGACACGAAGGATTTGAAAGAGGCCTAGACTGATGCCTGCCACTACTTTCCTTTGTCCAATGCAACACCCCCACCCCCTTCCACCTTTTAGTTTCCTTTTGCTGTCTTTCTATCTTGTCGGAAAGTACAGTGTCTGAGAGTTATTTTGGTTGTGCCTCCATCCTCCCCTGCTCTTTTCTTTTTTTTTTCTTTATTTTTTTTTTTTTCGTCAAGTCGTGTCTTTCGATCGTAGCAAGTAGGACGACAGAGAGTTCAGACTATAATGAAGGCTGGAGTAACCTTGCTCATGCTTTGGTAGTGTGGGCCTGAGCTTCACTATCTCCCAGGCAGGAAAAAAAGAAAAAGAAAAAAAAAAAAACGCTCAGATGCTTGTTCGGCTCTGTCTCCACACTCGCTTTTTTTTTTTGGTGGGGTGGGGGGTGAGGGAGGGGGGAAAGAAGAATCTCCATGCGCACGGATCCGGAGATCTGGAGGAAAAAAAAAAAAAAAAACATAGCCTTTGCCGGCGTGTTGTGCAGACATCCACGCATAACAATAAACAACATTAAACTGAGCCTTGAAAGAAGAGGGATATACTTTATTACGATATTTTACAATACCCAGGGAAGCCATGTTCCCCGCTGCTGATGTGTCTTTATTTTTGTGTCTCTTCAGCGCAGGTCGTCGTAAGGCTGCATCTGGAACTCATTCCTGTCGTCTATCAGCATCAGAAGAACAGCACGATGTTAGAATCCGCTAAATAATCCGCTTCTTTTGCCCTGAAAACGCTTTCATTTTTATAATGCTCCTCTGTGCATGCAACGCCCATGGATTGTTCCGCACCGCTTCTCTCTATGACAATCCCAAAGTGCTCCATCTAGCGTTCTTCCATGTCCTCACAAAATGGATCCTGAATAAACCATAATCTGAGGTAGCGCTCTTCTGTCCGCGCCCCGCAAAATGAATCCTGCGAATAAGCATATCCCACAATGAAGTACTATAACAAAATGCATTTTACCTTCCATGACCCTGCTCCACTTGCGAAGCTTCTGCCTCCTCATCCTGCGCTGGTAGAACACCGTTCCAAAATATGCCAGAGCCAATAATCCCACGATCGGAAGGATGACTTGCCAGGCCGAAAACCCGCTTCCAGAATTTGATGCAGCCTCCCGATGAAGTAACTGACAGGTCTTGTTCACGGACAAATTGCCATCCTCATACTCGCATCGGATCCCCGTTACATTCGCCGTCGCAATCGGCGAATTGTTCTCGTCCAGACCCAAGGCCTGCGGATTACACTGCCATGAAGACGTACAGCTCTGATTCAATGTCGGTCGTAGTTGACATTCGCCCATCATGCAGGCCAGATCCGGTTCGCAATTCGAGAACATCGTGTACCAAATCGTCGTCGCCTGATCGAACCGGGACAACAGCAAGTCCCTGGGTAGAGTACCCTGGATCAAGTCATACACCATCAGTGCCAGTCCTGGTTTGTCGCTGCTCTTCGGCATCTGGAAGCGCGTACAGTTGGTGTTCAGTTGCGAGCGCGGTCCAGACCAGCTGGGGACGGAAGGAATTCCAGAGTTGTTGCGAGCTAGGATGTAGCCCCAGTTCATGGTCTTCTCCAAACAGACCAATCCATCCTCGAGCACAAAGCATTCCTCGTTTGCGCCACAGTATGGCTTATCCAAGCAATTGACCGTGCCAGGCTCAAAAGGGTTCTTAGCTGGACCGGGTGTGGGCTGAGTAGGTAAGAGGACACTTGTTGATGTTGCTGGTACGGTGAAGGTCGAGGTCGTGGCGGACACTGATCCGGTTGAAATACTGGATGCTGTCGGTTCCGATGCAGACGCGGTTGTCGATCCGGCGTTCGCTGTTGTTGAAGAAGCAGCTGAGGTGGTTCCTACTGGTAAGATTGGAGTCTGGGCGTGCACCTCAGCAATGAAGAGTGTGCCTGAGAGGAGGACGAAGAACAGGGCCATGGCCGGCATGGTTGCTATCCGCGAAGCACGGGCGCTCATTGGAGGGAAAAAGAAGAGTGAAGTGGAGAGAAAGCCAGAGAGAGGCGATGTTCCGAGGGCAAGGAAGATATATACTCTTGGGAGACAAAGAAGGTGTAGGTAACGGGTATGAACTGAACGAGGACGAGCTGAGTGCTCGTGTGAGATGAGATGAGGTGGAAGGGATCTGTAGTGGTTTCCTTCCAAGATTAATGGCACATGGGTTCTCCACAGGGGGGGAAGGGAGGATCGATTAGCGCTGAAGGATGGGATGAACTGGGATGAGGATGATGAGGTGTTGAAAGTGACAAATCGAAATAAGGTTTAGACTGAGTGAGTGCATTAGGGCCGAGGCTGCATGCAAGTTTATCCCCTCTATTTACAGCCAGATCACCGGCAGCCAAGCGTTCATTCGGATATTTGACATTTGAGCTTGCCTTAAGCAACCCATGGCCCGAAGCCATATCATTCGCTGGACCTAGTCTGTGCTAGGACGCGACAATCATCCGCCTTTTGGCTTTTAGCTGCACACGAATAGACTCCAGGGTCCAGTACCATACAATGTAGGGTCGTCCCGTGGTGCAGAAAGGCGACGTGGGGCCTCTACTAATGTTAATTTAAAGAATAAGCTCACTACAGACGATTTGATCGAACTGAGAATTGTATGCGCTATAGCCTTGTTCCTGCGATCTGAGACTAAGCTCACTGTTCTACAGATTTGTTCGAAAGGGCGTTTTCTTTATCTTTATTTTCTTCCCTCTGCAGATGGCTAACGAGTGATCTGTTTGGCCGAAGACCCTGGAATTGGAATTATGAAGCGGTCTTTCAGATGGTCCACATAATGGATGAGCCTTTCAATGCCCTTCTCCATATCTATGTACCATTTTATGGTACGTTAATATCCGCGGAAAGCCCGCGGAAGATTCCTCTTTACCTGACGGTTTCTATCCCGCGTTAGTGATCACTACCATTGAAGGTGTCCCAAAGATCTTTCCAGATGCCACTGCCTTTTTGATCGTATCCATGGACTCCTCGCACTCCTCCATATGTTTCCAGATTGCTGATATCGGCATGTAGGTATTGCCACATACATCGGTACATTGGGATCTACGCGGACAAAGGAACTCCGCCTTAACTACTGTGCATAGATTGACGGCATCGAGGTACTGTTCTTGGCCCTCCACGCTCGACCGTTACCTGGCCGAGACTTGCGGGGTTCGGCAAACGCGGACTGGGTGACAAAGGAAACGATCCAGAGGAAGTCATGGCCTACCAGGACACACGAGGCGGACAAGCAGGTTCGATCCCCGCTAAGTGCAACACAGGGCAGGCCTGGACAGAAGAACCCTTTGATCGAGACACAGATCTGGGGCAAAGTCAATGAATAGAATTTGTGGATCATAGTGGCGAATGAGAGAGAACTACAAGCAAATGTAGCTTCTTCCGAGCACGAAATGGCTTTCTGCAGAGTCATTGACGCCATAATGTCCAAGAATAACAGACCGTACCATTCCCATCGCATCGTTGATCACATCGGCAACATAATAAACGTTGCTGATGCACACCACCTAGCACCTGACCTTCAGAGACAATGTAATTGATAGGTCTGTCTGGAGCTCCGTTGCCTTCTTCTGCTGAACCATCGCATGGGCCTCTAGGCCTCGAATATGTAGGTCACTCCGGGGGCCTGCTCGAGCTGCCGGTCGCTTAGCTCCCTTGCTTTTTACACACGGCTAAACAGATGAAAAAAATTGGTGGGCTGGTCGCGGTTGTTATCCCACTGATGTTGTCGGAGAAAGGTGTTGATGATTCGCCGCTGGTGAACATCAGTGTCATCGTATCTTCTCAGCAGGTTAAGAAGTAGCCCGAACTGATAATCGGCCTACTGCCGCATCGGCAGGCTCAAGTCAAAGCGATTCAAGACAAGGTAATCCTTCGTCCCCGACGACTATGCACATATTGACCTATGTAGTACATACGAGCAGAGAAGAGCACCCTTCACGTGGCGCAGACAGGGGCCACTTTATAAGGTACCGTCTGCCCTGGGAATAAGGATTCCTCTCTTGTTTTCTTGACTTTCTTGTCTGTAAGTGGATATAAGACTAAAATATTGCAGACTGGACCGAGCTGAGCAACGTCATGCAGTCTCCATACGGCTGATTATTGCCACAGGCGAGATAGAGCCCTTGATTTATCTCTTCCAACAACGAGTACGAAACCATCGAGGCTCCATCCACAAGAAAACGTGGCCGGCGTGGTGCAGTAACCCTAGCTCAGGGTAAAGAGGGCGGGGAACTCGAAGGTTGTATCAGGGTTAACACCACACATATCGGATCATGTAGGGTCGCATCCAAGGGTCAAGCCACGGTCGGTAGCGCTGTAAAAGGCAGTAATTGAAGGAGCTTCATCCTGAGGAACTGAGTTGCGAGGAGCAATAATATAGAGGGAATTAACAGTGAAAGAGACAAGAACAATCCAGAGGTAGATAAAACACTACTGGAGGTAAATTGAGAACATAGAAAGTGTAGAGCGAAATGAGTTGTAGAGTGCGCTATCTAAGAAGAATACTAGTACTAGAATACTATCCAGGAAGGCTCGGACGCGGCCTTCCATTTATCTATACAAGATAAATCTACAAATGAAGTAGTCTATCGGTTCGACAAGGAACATCGGTGATAAAGAGAGCAGGGCTGCAAACGATTGGGACCAGTGGAGTGAATAAAAAGCTTTTCTTGGATTGAATTCCCAGGCGAAGACAGGACTTAAACACGAATGAGATCATTGCCATAGTGATCTGGAATGTTACAGAAATTGGGCGCAGCAAAGGCCCATAAAGAGAACCGTGGACACTGAGGACAATAATTGGCAGTCAGTAATTTGTCGTTACCGCTTTCCCCGAAAGAAGCACACGTTGAATGTGCCACTATTTGAGAAGTGTGATCGCTTGAACTCCCGGAATTACACAGCAGTAGAAGAGTATAAGAACCATAAAGAACAGGCCATTCGTTGTACCCGGTAAGCAATGGTGACCAAGAGGGTTGATGAGATGGGTGTCAAACAGTTCTCTTTTCTTTTTTTTTTTTTTTTTTTTTTTTTTTTTTTTTTTCCAGCACTGTACCTTATTTGATAATCCATTGCTGCTATAAAAAAGGCACATCAGCTCCTCCAAAGGAAAGCTTGCCCTCGACAGAAGGCTAGAATGACTAATATTTATCCATATCAACGTTGTTCGAGTATTCTATTTCGAGGCCTTCCTGCAACTTTTCATTTTCACCCGAAGAGCTGCTGGGCAGCACTTCAGCAGAACGCCCTGATGTTAAAGTACCACTAGTCGAGGACTGAGGAGCATAAAAAGAGTGACACCATTTTGTTAAAACGCTGAATGAACAGGGCATAGTGAGTTGTCGGTATTGTTTATTGAATATGGTATAACAACCACACTAGAAGACGTAGGCGCAGTTAGACATAAGTCTCAGAGACTATACACTAGAAACTGACACTGATCGTTCCCTCTCGATGACCGCGTTGAATAAAATGATACACCATACGGATCGTACAAAAAATAGAACCACTCTACTTCCTCTCAACACACACTATTCCCTCCACCAAGGAGAGGACATAAATCGAGGGCAAAATTTGGGCACAGTGGGATTCGAACCCACGAGTTCCAGGAACATTGTGTCTTAAGCACAACGCGTTAGACCAGACTCCGCCATATGCCCATGAAACACCCAAAACCAGAGCTCGCGCCTCTGATTGGCTGAAAATTCATAAGAAGACAAGCTGACAGACCTTTATGTAGTGAAAATTCTGGCAAATAATGGGTTTCGAGCTATTGCAGCCCTCTGGGGCCCGCCCTGGGGCCTCAGTGTATATAAGTCGATAGCTATATCCTAGGTGAATGGAACAATGTTTATTTGGATGCCGACTAATATGTGGAATCATGAGGAATAGACTGTTCAGTGGAATCACAGCTGCGGAATAAGGCCCGGTAGGCCCGGCAGACCTGGGGAATGTGACCTGTGGAAAGGGCGACTGTCGTAGATCATTGCTGGTTAGGTCTGATAGATTCGCAGGATCAATCGACTCGAGAGACAAAAAAAAAAAACTTAAGTTTGAACGCATTTTTTTTTTTGCTGTGTAGGTTATTATGGTTTTTATCGAAAGGCTGCGGCAGCAATATTACATGCTGTGCTCATGGGGATTTATGTTAATAAAAAAAAAAAAAAAAAAAAAGCAATATTACATGCTTTCTTATACGTTTATGTGACTTTTACATGTCGTTAACGCAGCACAGATGGAGTCCTGAAGAAAGAAGAATAAAAAGATAAAGAAAAGATGGGTTCGGAGCCGCTGAAAAGTGGGGAGTGAGGGCCAGATGGAGACCAGTCGTGCAAAAACGAAAAGTAAAATGCGGGGTGAATTAAATTTTGAAAGGGAAAAACGTCAAACGTCAAGCAATTGACCATGTCAACCACCGCTACAGATGAGTTGATGCTCTTGTGCCTGAAATTTCCAGCGCGCCCCTTTTTGAGATTATTCTTACAGATGAAGCATGGAGAAAGTTGTATCGTTCACTATTTTAGTGGATACAGCAAACATGAACCACTCAGGGAACGTATACCATTCTCTGTAGCATTGCCACGCCTATCTTTAGTCCTGTGTACTTGTCTTTGTTCAATTGCTCGTTTTGAAGTGTTATTCTTTTGTGGCGGCATGCGAAGAAAAGGAATAAAAAGCTGATGAAAGAAGAGAGAACTTTGTTTTTTTTTTTTTTTTTTTTTTTTTTTGCTTTTAACCATGCAGCAACCGTTTTGCATTTCATCAACGACCACTCATCAACTACTCCTGCATCCTCTCTTCGTTATTTATCTGTTCCTCTATTTTCCTCTACCGCCTCTCTTCATCTAATACCATACACTTTCTCATCGAGGCGATGTTCAAACCGCAGCCAGTAAACATTCAGTCCTCAACAGATCCCGAGCAGCACCAACAGGAACCGCCTGGACACCCTGTCCCACCCTCGGAGTTCGTTTACCAACTTATCCTCGAACAATTCTGGGGAGATGGTGTTTCCAAACGCGAGATCCGGTCTGTCTATACAGTCGCCAGCGATGCCAACGCCGCCTGCCAAGACTACTTACTCAGGACCTGGCCACGGGATCAGTTCTCATTCTACGAGATCAGTGCCTCGCCACAACGACCGGAGCTCTCGAAAGTCTCAGCGTTGATCAACGGAGACCGATTTCATGTCTGGATCGAGCAACACTCATGGGAGGGTACCCTCGACTTTTCCTCGACGGCGATCGCGAAACGGGCAGGCAAGGGTCCAAACGCCTATATTCTTCAACGGACCATTAAGGATGCCTCGGGTGGAAAGCGACGGTCGACTACGCGACGGATCTTTGCAACACGCCAATTGGCCAAGCAGGCATTGGCCCAGGACGAACCGCCTTCGGAGTGGTCCTCGAACCAGGGCTATGTGCTTGAGCCAGGCGGGGAATATGCACACGCGCTCTCACCCTCAGGAAAGACTGCCTGGTTATTTATTGAGGTCAGGCCCTTGTACATGAGCTACACGCGACTGGAACAGGAACTGCAGGAGGTAACAGCAGGAGACGGGACCTCAGTGTTGAACCCCATCAGTCTCGACAATGGCGACGACAGCGTATCGTCGGTACCTGCCTCGCCAACATCGCTTTCACACCCGGCTCATCACTTGACCCATCATCCTCGATCCTCTCTCGACAATCCATTCTCGCCCATGCCGTCCAATCCAGATGAAGCGGGTGCGTTTGTGTACCTGGTTCTACAGCTCAAGACCATTCCTTATACGCCACCCATCCTGACGGTCGAGGCAGTTGCATACGAGATCGAGGTCGCCAATCGGTTCGGGATTGGTCTGCTGGAAGGGTTCGGTGGACCAGGAGCTATGTCGGCAATTTTCAGAGAGGACGGGTGTCTTCAGGGCAGCGTGACGCAACGCACGTGTGATGAAGGGCTGACAGTCTGGGTTGAAAAGCGAGCGGTAGTGTTAGGAGACGAGGCGATGGATTCAGATTTGATGTCTGAGCATGGATCAGTGCAATTGAACAGGGCATATCAGGATTCAGAACGGAGTCCTCACCTTGGTTATTCGACTTCTAGTTCTGGTGGTGGTGGCGGTGGTGGTGGACAGAAACGGGAAGAGCCAGCGGACGGGTTTGATTCTACAGAACGACCTGCCGATGCGCATTCACAGGGCCATTCATCATCAAAATTGGTTCGTGTATCACGTCCAGATAGCGAACTGTTGACGGAAACGAAGCGAGTTGTCGATTCAGGAGCGCGATATACGGTTGTGTCTGTCTCTCAACCCTTAGAACACACTGCTGTCCAGGCGTCTGGTTCGTCGTCGGCTCGTGTCATTGTGGATTCTTCAGAGGACCTTGCGGCAGCGATTGTGCGTGCTCGGGTGGAGTTTTATTCGTCATTGGCAGGACTAGATATCGCGACGGTGGATATCAGGGACGAGCTTGAAGGAGAGAGCAAGGAGAGGGTCATCCGAGCGTGTTCTCGATCCAATCCGTCATTGGTCCTGCAAGAGACCCGAGTCGAGGATCGTCACGGACAAGGCGACGCGAGAGCATGATTGGAGTGACCCTGGTCAGAGAGAACAAGAAGCTTGTTTGTCCTTTCCTAGAAGGGGATGGTCTGCAGAGATATATAAAAATAAAAAAATAAACGGACAAGTAAACAGCGAACCAGATGGATGGTACGTACAAAGGTATATGCGTACATGGCCATCACCGTGCTCCTTCTGTTTTGGGTATTCGTGAACATCACGATGACAATTCACGCACTCGATGGGGGAGCCTGTATTCGCCCGGTATGCTTCTCCACAAAATAATAAACTTTATTCGACATCATCGTTACGGACGTCACTTGGAACCTTCAATTCTTTCGTCACCCATTTACCTTACGTCCCGGAATAGGAATAGATTATTCGCGTGGGTCTTCATGATGGCGGCGTCTGACGAGAGAGAGAGAGAGAGGGAGCGACATAGAGATAGAGAGAGAGAGAGAGAGAGAGAGAGAGTAAAAGAGACCTGTTGTTTACACGATTCCACGGCTGCTTGTATCATGGAGGGAGGACAGGGGCAGACAGGCTGTACATACTGTATCTGGGAAGGGTGGAAGGGTGGAAGTGTGGAAGGGGAGACACGGCGGTCGCGTACAGTAAGAAGTAGGTCATCATGATGGCCGTTGCATGGGGTCGCTCTTCTTTGGCTAGCAAGGGCGGGGGTTATTATCCCAAGTTCATTAATTGCGCACTGGAACAAATTAGCCAATGAACGCGCTAGACTTTAGACTACGAGCCCTGGCTCACTATCATCATTCTTCCATCATACCATCATACGTGTCTCACAGCCCCGCCTGCCTCTCCCCCTCTGCCACTCACCTCGTCAGCAGGCTATGACAGGACTCCACTTGGAACAGGTTTCTTCAAGGGCGGCAGCCAACCCTGACGAAGGAGGACAGGGCGGAGAAAAGGTATAAATACCATCGATTCCCCGCACCTTTCTGTCCCTCATCAAACCATCTTCCTGTCTTCTACAACAGCAACCCACTCTTCAACCAACCAACCAACCAACCAACACTTTCCAAAATGACCAACAAAGTTTCCAACACTGTCCACGAGGCCGTCGGCGCCACCAAGGAGAAGGTCGGCCGTGCCACCGGTAACGAGTCCTTGGCCGCCAGAGGTGCCGCCCAGAACGCCCAGGCCCACGCCAACCAGGACGCCTTGAAGGCCAACACCCACGCCCATGGCGTCGCCAACAACGTCCAGGGTGCCACTCAGAGAACCGTCGGAAGTGCCACCAACGACCACTCCATGCAGGCCCGCGGCCATGCCAACGAGGCCCTTGGTGATGTCCAGCGCAACTACTAAAGCGGCCCCACGCCACTAGGGAAGCAGATCAAGTTCAAGTAACAAGACGGATCGGATTCTAATGTCGATGAAGGGGGGAAGAAGAAGAGTCATCCCGGCTATTTTTTTCCCTCAATCCGTTCACTGTCCTTTGTCTCTCTTCTTTTTGTAAACCTATGTAAATAAACTACCCATGTGTATCGTACTTTTGCACTCTTTATGTGTTCGTCTATGTCTATGTCTATGTCTTGTCTTGTCTTGTCTGGGGTGATTTCTGAGCCGCTGCATCTAATGGTCGTTACAGTGTCAGTGTTGGTGAGATTAGAGTCCAGCACCGCACAGCACAGCAACTATAGCAATGGTGTACGGCGGATCAGATAGAGAGGAGCGCATTGACCAAGCACATGCCAGTGAAGGGGATCCAGTTTTGGTTATCTCTATTCGATCTGCTTTATTCCGCTCGGGGTTGGTTCTCGATCATTTCCCGGCGAAATACAACTCCCGTTGCCACATCCTCAATTGCTTCCCGTACATGTACATTCTTATAAAAGGACTTCCTACCCAGCCTCCTCTGTCCTCTTTTTTTTTCCCCCTCTCCCTCCTTCTCCATTCCGCTCCCTCTCTCATTCTTCCTTCGCAATGGACATGGAAACAGTTTCGCAGATCCTCATGGGCAGTCACCCCACCTGGGCATTCCTGAACAGCACCAACACAGGATCCCGTCTGCTGCTGCAGCACCAGGAACAGCCCCTGATCACGGCTCTTATCGTCCTTGTGCCCCTGGTCTCTGTCTGGCTCTTCCGCCGGTACACAATTTCGCCCGTTGTGATCACCCATAACGACAAACCGGTCTCGATCCAGGTCTACGACAAAGGCACTGGCAAATCCTCGTCTGAAAGTTTGATTGATTACATTGCAAGAACATGCCCCTCGCTCATGGATCCCAAGAAGGCAGTCTTCAAGCCGACGCTGTGGATGACCAGTGGACATATCCAGACGGCCTATGCTGCCTATATGGACTTTGCGAGCAGATATGTTATTGATTACCAAAGGTATGTGATAGATAGAGACTGATGGGGTTTGCCTATCTTTCCGGATTTTTTTTTTCAGGGCTGATTTCGCTATATTGATCGAGCCAATGGCTCTTCGAAGCGAATCCGTGCGCACCATAGTTTCTAGGATGGCCATTCATCTTCTTCTATGCACGTCCTGCATCTCCTTTTTTTCTTCTTCTTCTTCTTCTTTGCTGCGGTCTTTCAACAACGCTTAAACATGCGCTTATGTCTGCTTACATTTGCAATTTTTCCTCTTTGTCCGTGTCTCTGTGCGCCCATATTTTCAATGTTTAATGTTTGGCTTACGAATATAATCCGAACAGGGAGCTGATGAAGACCCCTGACGGCGGAACGGTTTCCATTGACTGGTTCCCGAGTTTCGAAAACAAACCCGTGGACGATACCCCGACCCTGGTCCTCCTCCATGGTCTGACAGGAGGTTCCTTCGAATCCTACATCCGTGCGTTGGTCGAGACTATGACCAAGGACCATGGCTACCGCTGCGTTGTCTTTAATGCCCGTGCTTGTGCCAACACTGAATTGACTTCGGCCCAGCTGTACTGTGGATCGTGGACGGATGATCTGAGGATGGTGGTCAAGCATATCCGAAAGACCCTGCCCGAGGCCAAGTTGATGAGCGTCGGATTCAGCTTGGGATCGAATATCCTGATGAACTATATGGGCGAGGAGGGTGATCAGTGCGAGTTCCTCGGAGCCATGTCTGTGGGAAACCCTTATGACCTTATGGGGTATGTTCTATGTCCCTTTATTTCCCCCCCTCGGAATTGTCAATGTTTCTTCAGCGCAACTAACACGGGTTCGTATGGTTTTCTCGGGGCGCTTGCAGAACTTGCTATGCGATGGAGCGCGGATTTCTTCAAAAGCTGATCTACTCTCCCACGATGGGCGGTAATCTGAAGCGCATCTTCTTCAAGCACGCCAAGCTCTTTGAGAACCATCCCGAAATCGATCTCAAGCAAGTCGAAGCCGCCCATTCGATCCGCATGTTCGACGATGCCGTTACCCGCCGCATTTTCAAGTACAGGACCGTGCACGAGTACTACCGCATGGCTTCATGCTCCCAGCGTATCCTCGACATCAAGCGACCTTTCCTTTGCCTCACTGCGTTGGACGATCCTGTGGCCGTCGAGGAGTGCTGTCCCTATGACGAAATCAAAGGAAACCCCTATGGTATCTTGGCAACGACCTCGCACGGTGGACATCTGGGTTGGTTCCAGGGATTCCTCACTCAGGAGCGTTGGTGCACACGACCCTTGGCAGAGTTCTGTATTGCGATGTTTGAGGCGGATCGCAGACCGGTCTCGCAGACACCGACGAAGCCCGCGGTTGGAACACAAGAACAGGAGGACACCAACAGTAGCCATATGGTCCGTGATATGAACGGAACCGACAGGGGTGCCACGACCAAGCCCCATAGGGACCTCAACAATGCCTGAACAAAGGAGATGAGCATACCTGGCGTCTTTTAAGACGAGCGACATGTTGATGGATATGTCGATTTAGAATTTTTTTTTTTAGATAAGACGATGAATAGATGGGAGTCGACCGTTGCATGGAACAATAAAATGCATGGAACAAATAAAATTATTTCTTTATTAGTGCTCTGTTATTGTCAACGGCTGACCCCGCGATTGTCATGATCGATAAAAGCAGAAGTTATGAATGGTTCTGGGCGATGGAGCTTGACGCTACGACGTTCTTATGGCCACGCATCTCTGGAGAGGTCTGCGGATTGCCGTTCCTGTTGGTGGTGCGCGCCGGTCGCCGGTTGAGGTCCTTGGGATGGATGAAATTGCATCGGTCCCCAAACGCACAGTTCTCGGGGTCACTATATCGCGAACGTAAAAAGAAAAAAGAGGAAGGAAAAAAAAAAAAAAAAAAAAAAAGGAGGAGGAGGAGGAGGTTTACTAGTCTGGTCTCCAAGCTCACCTGTTATAATAAAACGAAAGAAACAAACACTCACCGGCAAGGCATAGTCGGATGGGTGAACTTGCAGGCCTTGTTCGTGCAGTTGGGCCAGAATCGGCAGCGACTCTTCATCTTTTGCTTTTGATCTATATAGAAAAAAAAAAAAAAAAAAAAAAAAAAAACACCGTCGTTGTTCGTTTGTTTGAAAGGCGGAAGGATGGTAGCTCTTAGTTTCTTTCACAGGTCGTTCAGATCGTTCGCCCCCTTCTGGAGAGGACACGTTCCTTTGTGATTACCATGCATATTCGGCGAGGATGTCTCCTCAGGATCCAGATCAACTGCCTTCGAAGGTCTTGCTGATCCTGATGAAGAGGGTTGGGGCAGCCATGAGGGCGTAAAGACTGCGGCATTGGTATTAAATACATGCTGGTGTGTCCCTACCAAAATCAAGAAACAAGAAATTGTCCAAGGAATCCGATGTTAGTGTGCGGATAAAATTTGCCTTGCTTCCTTTAGATCATGCATCCTCGACTTCCTTACTTGACGCTGGTGCTCCACTCGGACCGTGTCCTTCCGGTGCTGTTGCCGCTGCATTTAAATGAGATGAGGACTGCGCCAAAGAAGACGAAGATGAAAACGATGCAGGTACCGGGATCTTGGATGCCCTGACGTTCTTGTAAGGCGAAGTCGCCTCCGCGATCGCCAACGCCTTCTCGATCCTTACTGCAGCCTCTCTCTGGCCCGGGAATTCTTCCTCGACAATCGCCGGTGTGGACGGCAAAAGTATTTCCAGAGCAGGAGTGGCGTTGAAGGACTCGATCTCGAGCTGAGTGTTGGCGGAGATAATGGTATCGTTCTGGGACTCGACCTCCATTTCCTGTGACTCAATGACCTCTTGATCCTTGGTACCAGATGCCGTCTCCTCACTGGGCGGGATCGCTGACAGCTGGCGCTCCTTGATCTGAACTGACTCCTCGACCTGCATTGACTCCTCGACCTGCACTGACTCCTCGACCTGCACTGACTCCTCGATCTGCACTGACTCCTCAATGACGGTTGCTACAATCTGAACATCCTCAGAGCGTTGGTCCTCTGAACTGGCGTCGTTGATGCTGGATGTCATAATAATATCCTCCTGGATCAGCTCTGCAACCTAGAAGGCGTAAGGAATAGATAGGACACCTTGAAAAAGCATTAGTAAAAGTAGTCAACAGTTTTGATCCAGAACATATGATGGTCAACAGTCGATAATAAACGCGTTACGTTCGACTGGGCTCGGTCGACGACATTGTCAATGGCATCAGATGATTCTATGGAGTTCAAGTTGTTTAAGTTACAAGGAAAATAAAGATTTTAAAAAACAAGATCTGTACTGTTGCGGAAGAGTATGCTAGGACCATTGTTCGTCTCCAGTTAATTCATTTTCCAAAGATCAGCTTCGTTGTCGACCTCGCTTACCTCTGACATCAGCTTGCTTCTCGACAGTAGTGATAGCAGTTATCGAAACCTGCTCGGTAAAAGATGCAATGGCGTTTTCCGACTCGATATGGCTAGATCGCTGTTCTTGTCGTTTTATGCCTCCTTGCACTTGATCCTTGTTCTTCTCGTGCTCCGAATCACTGTTGTGGCGGGCAGATTTCCTTCTATCGGCCTTAGTACTGCTATTGCTACTACTACTACTACTACTACCGGTGTCGCGAGTATCGGAGGTAGTTGAAGACCTGACCTTGGTAGGATCCAAGGGAGGCAGGGGCGGGGATGGAGCGTCTGGAGGTGAGGATGAAGAGGTTGCAGCCCAGATCATGTACACGACAAGCCCTCCCACTAGGGCAGCAGCGCCGAGGCGCACCGCGTTGTTATTCGCGAGAGAAGACATTGAAATAAAGAGTGGAGCTGTACGAACACGGATATATCAAAGTTAGCTGCGTTGTATCCTGAAGGGGAGAAATAGAAGGTGGCGACCAATGACAAGAGTGGGGAATGAAAAAGTGGGGAATGAGAAGGAGGATGGATGCAGGTGGTCGAGTTGATCCAATGGGTCCAAACAGCGGGCCAAAAAAAGGTGTGCTTTTGTTTGTTGTGGCAAATGGAGACGGAAATGCAGCAATGCGTGGAGCAGCCAATGAGATTGGAGGAATAACATTTTGGCTTTCTTTTTTGTCCTACACACACGCGTATTGTGGGGGGGAAGGAAAACGAGGGTGATTCTCGGGAAAGAGTACCGGGCTGCAAATGCACAGCCAAACAGGCCAGGGTGGCGAACACGGCGGCGTCGTGAAGGAAGGGGGAAGGAGAAGAAAGGGAGTGGGGAGCCAAGAAGGTACGAAAGAAAAGAGAGAGCAAAAGAGGGAGAGGCCTCATGGTCCTCATACGACAGGTGCCGATCTTGTCTCATAGTAGATCTAGTGGGACGTTGCCATCCCGGGGCATTCGTTTACATCGATCACGTCCCACAGCCACAATGAGCCAGCCAATGATACGCACCCACGACGGGTCACCCTCCGCAGAGCCCCCGATACGACGCGATGCGATGCGGTGCAGTGCGATGCGCTCTTGTCGATCGATTTATTTCCATGTATGGAATAAGTACCATTTACATCAGCATGAAGAGACATATTTTTTTTTTCTAGTAGCTTTGTCTCAGCGTAATCTGTTCACCATCACATATTGTTTTTTGGCCCTCCCAATGAATCCTTCTTTCTTCGCTCCTTTACTATCTTCCTCATCCTCATCATAAATGATCCCTTCTTCAGAGGATTCTTCAGCCAACTCGCCGAGCGAAATCAAGTCTGCTCCAGCAATGTACACTCCCAGCAAGGACGCTCTTCGAGCACTCGAGGACGAATGCGACTGCAGCGAGCCAGACCACAAACGCACCCATCATCATTTGAAGGACAAGAACATGGACCAGCAGTACATCCCGAACCAGCTCGATGCTCACGCCATCAATATTGGGACTAATACCAGGACCAACCATGGTTCCTCAAAGGACACTCTTGGTTCATTCGATATGGTCAGACCCACTACAAGTAAGGGTGTCATGATTCATGACTGGAGCACCACGACGTCCTTCCCTCTCCCAAGCGAGGTCCTGATTTGTGTCTTCGATAACCTGACGGTCGGCCAACTCCTGCCCTGTCAGTTGGTCTCGCGACAGTTTCGCGCCGTTGCTCGTGCAGTCTTAATGGACAAGGTCGGCGGTTGCATCTTACTCCAACAACAACAACTACAACAGCAGCAGCAACGACAACAGGACAGCGACAGGAACACACCTTCGCATCCATGGGATCTGCGACCGCATCAACGGCCTGTCGGGAACGGGACTCATGGGCTCCCGCCATTACCTCAACATCACTATCATCATCACCACAACCAGGAGCCGAGCAGCGTTAATAACGCAGGTCCACGCGCAGAGGATACACGGCCACGCCTGCACCAGCACCATCCCCACCATAATCTGTACCAGAATCAGTCCATGGAGGGACTAGATCAGCACCCACAAATAGACCTGCATATCCACCATCAATCTCACAGCTACAACGTCTCAACGTCGTCATCGTCTGCATCACCATCGCCTCAACAACAGGAGCCATTACAGCATCCATGTCGTCGCGACGCAGGTTATGTCGCTCCCGGGAACATCGCGCTATTCTTGTTCCCACACCATGATCACACCCCCACAGGCTGGCAAGAGCGTCAGGCAGTGCACTTCCAATGTACGGAGATCGACCGCACCCGGGAGCAGTTGGTCTTCATGCCCGTGAACTCCGGCTCGGGCGACTGCATGCGATTCATTACCAACTCCTGGAGCTTGCCCTCGTCGACATCGTCCTTTAATGGAAACATCGGTGGACTACTAAGGCCGGGGGCAGGAGTTCGACCGCGCTACAACCTCAGCAGCGACAGCAACAGTGGAGGCAGCAGCGAGGCTACCAGCCCTCTCACAGAATCCGAATACAGGAGTCCGGCAACTGGCTTGGACTTGTTCGACTATGCAACAGGACATCCTCGCCCATCGCCTCCATCCTCCTACAGCAACCGTCGTACAAGCATCGCAGATCTGGGCAGCTACTCTTTCACAGATCAGTTCAGAGTCACACGGAAGAGTAGCAACAGCAGTTTGAGCAGTATCGACAGCGCTTCCTCACCCTCCCATTCTGCGTCGTCCCTCTCACCCTCTGCTTCCTCTTCCTCTTCCTCTTCGTCCTTGCCCCCATCCTCTACCCCTGCCAGCAGGTCGACATCCTGGCTCACTCCTTCATCATCCTCCCCGCATTCTATGACCCCATCCTGGGCGATTGTAAACGGAAAAGGTGACGAGCACTACAGCGTGATCGGGATCAAGCATGGCGACTGGCCCGAGGAACGCCAAACCACAAGTCGATGGTGGGGCGGCGGATTGCACACGAACATGGTCCGACAATCTATGGTCTTCCTGCCGTGGTCAGCCTCGCCCGGCGGACAGGGTTCGGTCGCAGAGTTCCAGCAGCGATTGATCCGACAGCACGAACTCTCACGACAGGACAATATTATGAGTGGCCATCGCAACCATCATCGTCATACACGCCTTGTAGACGCACCAGTACGTATACTACAAGAGGAGAAGGACAATGATGAGGGCGAAAAGGGATGCACAAGGATGCACAAGCACCATATGTACATGTCGTGCACTCAAGCCAGGAATCCGCCGGCACATCATCATCGGTATTTCTGTCTGCACCATGATCAGCTTATGACGGATATTGCAGCGTTCAATTCGATCAAAGCGGCGGCAGCAGATTTTCGAGCTCTCGAACCGGTATGCGTCTTCTGTTATTTTCATCGTCGCAGCATAGACACGAGAACACTTGTGTAACTGATTGATGAATCAATGAATCCTCTTTTTTTTTGTCAACCTCAACGTGTGTGCTACAACAACAGAAACCCAGCAAGACAATACCCTTGACTACTGCCGGATCGAAGCATCTGGCAATCGATTACGAAGCCCGGATTGCCGAGAGCAAGCGCTGCCAGTTCTGTCTTTCGTCACTGTGTAAGGCCAACCTCGAGATCCAGGTCAACTTTAGGGAGATCAGAGTTTCGCTTGACTGGGTGCTTTCCGGCTTTATTCCCGAGGTCAAGCAGGGCATGAATATGCGACCACCATCCAATTCTCCAGAGTATCCGTCTTCGCCAACGTTGCAGGCCCGTGGATCCGGACAAGTCTCAATCTAGACAAGACCATACTCTCAGTGCGCTGTCCTTTCGCATTTCGCACAGAAGCATTGTATACTCGTAATAGTCCAATGAGGAAGTGTTGCGTTCAGTCAATATGACGAGCATTTATTATGTATGCAAAATCGCTCTTCCACGTTCATGTCTATGCCCATATTCAATCCGATTGATATTATTTCGACTTCGGTTTCTTCTGTCCATCTTCATATCCTTGAAACGGATCCATGCGCTTCCTGCGAGATGTTGAGGGTTCTGCTCCTGCTTCTGTTACTGTTCCTGCTCCTGATGGTGATGATCCTGCTCCCACACCTGCTGTGTTTGATGCCACCACTGGTGCCGGCGTATTGTCCATATCATCCTCCGAGCCCAACCCCTCATCCTCCAAGAACCGCGTGTGTGTTCCTTCTGGTTCTGCCCACACTGGTTCCTCTGGTTCTGCATCTTCCCCTGATGCAGCCTCGGCGGCGGCTTTGCGATCTGCGATCTCATTCGCTACCAATGCGCCTTTAATGAACCGTGCGGCTGCAGCTTTGTCGACCTCCATAGCTGAGCGGTTGTGGCCTGGAGAAGTGGCCTTCTTGAACCGTTCTATGTACACTTGGATTCGTTTCTAGAGCCAGAGAGAAAGAGATTGAAAAAAAAAGAATGGTTCAAGTTAGCATGCCATCGAAGTGGGATGTAGATAGCTCTATTAAAAAGGAGACATAGAGCAAGCAAAATCAACATGAGTACCAATTCCTGCATGACGGGGTGAGATGAAGGGGCCTTGGCGTTTGCCTTCAAGTTGACTATGAGGACACAAGAAGAAAAAGCGAAAAAAAGGGTATTTCAATACGATAATCCCCATTGTACCATAACCAAAAAACCCCACATAACACCAGACATAATAAAGCAAAGCAAAAACGTACTGAAGGCAAGGGTATTGATAGTATAGGCCATCAACAACTCGAGCTGACACCGCTTCTCGATATCGAGTTTCGCGAGTGTCTCTGACAAGGATGACTTTGTCGCAAACAAGGGTGCGAGCATATCCTCGAGCTCCGCAAGGGATCCGAGTAAGACGTTTGCTGCGTTCTTGTGGTTCGCTGGCAGTGCCGTCATCACCTCTGGAGGTGTAGCCTTCGGTTCTTGTACATCGCTGCTGGATTTTGTCTTCTTCTTGGCTCCCATGGCTATTTTGGAGTATTTGTCGAAGGGAAGGGGAGAGTGAGAAAAGGATGGGGAGGGAGTGGAGAGGAGGGGAGCGAAAGAATTGGTGGCAAGGCAAAAGAAAGGGCGATGCACCAAAAAAAAAGGGATCATTTGTTATGTATTTCGTGCGCGGCAGTCACGACCACAGGATTGGCTCGCATGGGCCAATCATATGCTGTCGCCGTCCTTCCCAGTGTGGACTAGAAAGATATTTGCGCACCTATTTCCAGCAGTTCGTCCTGAGCTCCCAGGATCTGGTTGTTGAAAGATCACTCCTAATCGAAAGTTATAAAGGCGATATATTCGTATCTATAGATATAGGGGATCAAGGTGAAAGAACATATGTTGAACAAAAAAGTTGGGTAGAGACGCGTCGGTTGGTTGGTAGTAGTATGATCAAAATCAAAAGAACGCTTTTTAATTTAATCCTTTAAGATGATGTCGATACGATCGTGGGATGAACGCCGAATCCCTCCCGAGGTGCAGGCGTAGTCTACCACTGCACCCAACACATCATCCTATAACAAGAGCTTAGGATACAATTATGATATATACGACGACGTGTATCAAGCGAGCGCGCTCGTGCATGCATTTGTTCTGTTCGAAAGACAGAGTACACATAGTCTACGCACACAAACACCTCCAACGTTAACATGACCTCCATCTAAAGCACACAGTCCTTGTCATCCTGGTCCTTCCGTTCCTGGAACTCCTTGCCCTCTCGTTCTCAGCGCGAGGAGGAAAGACACATTACATGCACGGACTTCTACCATTGTCTTCGAGGAACCGATATTATTACGAAGATATCCGCCCTGAATACAACGGTCTAATTCCTGAGTCAGAGTCTTCTTTTTACCAATTTTACTTGTATCATCTACTGCATTCGTCCCGATCCTCGTGGATTAAGCCGTACGCATTCGAGAGATGCCGCCGATCCCCGCCAAACATTCAGCACAATGTGATACATCTATCGAGAGTTATCGATCCTGATCATCCGTCACAATTGTATCGCCAATCGCTCGCTATAGACGTTGACCTCGCCTCGCCGTCTTCACTCAATTCCCGATCGTCTCTCACCGAGTACCCGTCATTTTGACCCATCCTCGTTCAACGGCATTATAAAGATACAATGAAAGGCTGATCAGTGAACATTAGCAAAGAACGAACTCCATAAGAAGCGGTCTGCATTGTCATGACTCAAAACTAATAGTGGAGAAAAAATGC